AAGAAGCTGGACACCAAATACGAAGGGCCATTCGAAATAGTTGAGGTAATAGGCCGACAGGCGTACCGCCTGCGACTACCCAGGTCATATGGGAAAATCCACCCGGTCTTCCATGTATCACCCCTCAAGGAATGGAATGCAAGAGACGGCGACTTACCGGCGCCACCCCAGCCAGTCGTCATCGACGACGAGGAAGAATGGGAGGTGGAACGGATCGTCGCACAACGAAAGCTATACGGCAAAGACCAATACCTGGTCAAATGGAAAGGATGGCCAACGTATGAGAATACTTGGCAATCAGCGGAAGACTTGGAAAACGCACAAGATATCCTGAACGAGTTCCGCCACGCAAACGAGACACGGGCGAGGCGCCGGCGAAACGCCACGAAATAGTGAAACGCGAAAATAATAAGTCAATAAGGGTTAAGGAACCAAAAAGACTACAGAGGCGCACCAACGGCGCTACCCTTCCTCTTTTTCCCACCGGGTTTTGAGGTTTAACGGGGGCACACTACGGGCGTCAAGGAACCTTAAAGAAAACGACTTGATTTCACTATGCGAAAATAGAAACAGCGAGCGCCTGCGCCGCGACATCGGTAAACCCCTAATCGTCATAACCGTCCCAAACCTCCTCGTCGCTGTCCTCCAACTCTATCATGCCGCCCCCAACACGCTGCACGTTGAGCAGGCGAAATAGGTTGCGGTTAATGGACCGAAGCAACCTCTCCGACTGGTCCTCAGTCTTGAGGCGACGAATAAAAACCTGGGTGGCGTGGGTCCAGCGAGCACAAGCCGCCACGCCCGCCGCCCCGCCAGACATCGCCTGGATCTCGCCAAGACTGGCGCGCACAGGCGGGATCACAGGGAAACACTTTTTATGTAAGCGGGCACAACGAGTACACCGCTGTCCTGGGTTCGGGCGCACGCAGGAACGAACTTCCACAGGGCCATTGTCCGTGTGCCACCAAGACTTCGCGCAACGCAGGCAACACGGCGTCCACGCGACGGCGGACGAGCCAGCGGGAGCAACCGGAACGGCCGGAGCAGCCGGAGCCACAGCAGCAGCGGGAGCGACCGGAGCCGGCACAACGACGGGAGCTGGCGCGACGACGGCGGCTGGAGCAGCTGGAGTCGCCGCAGCGGAAGAAGCGGAGGGGGAGACGGCGGGAGTCACCACAATGCTAGGAGTGGCCACGGAGGACAAGGGGGATACGGTCCCGCCAGACGACGAAGCAGCGACAGCGGGAACCACGAGGGACGCACCGGCAGCGACAGGGGTCGCGGGCGCCACGGTTGGTATAGGTGCGGGGGGGTTCGCCGCGGAAGCCTACAAACAGTCAGCACGATAGACCTGCGCCGCCAGAACGAAGGCACCTACAGAGGAAGAAGTGGTAGCAGCCAAACGGGCCCTCTTCCGCAGAGACGCGGCCAGCGCGGCACCGGATAGAGGACGCTTCGAGGGAGCCATGAAGTCTATAACACAGTTAGCCATCGCCACGACGCCTAAGCGACGACAACCCACCTAGCACAATGTGTCAACCTATCAGGAGGTACTTTTCAGAACGTGGATCGGGCTAGGAGGAGTACGCGCGGAGGAGCGTTCCCCTACGATATTTATACTACAACAACACCTTCGCCTACTACTAGTGCACCCAGCGAACCGCCTACTCCTATCCATTGTCCTATTCAAAGCGAAACATGATGCTATTCATATCCTATTCAACAAAGCGCAATCAATGGAGGCAGTGTTACGCGCACTATTATTATCTCCAGTGTTGAATGAAAAAGCGGGTTGTGTTACACCAACTAGGGCTAGCTCCTCCTTGGCAGAGCGCCAAGCCGGATCGGGCGTAGCGCACGCGGCGCGCGGACGCGCCGCCAAGGGGAGGGGAGGCAATTGTCACGGCGACCACGTGACATGCAACCACATGCCGAACCACATGCCGAACCACATACCCAGTAACCGAGGGTAATCGGGAGAACGGCAACATTCGAGTCGCCTGCGCCGCGCCGGCGACTCGACTAGGCAACATAAATAGCAACGCAATAACCCCCGAAGTGCTGAGAGACAAGCACTTCGTTTTGTTACTTCCAGTACCTTCCTACTATCCTCGTACTCCGTGTAGCTTTGCTTCCTTTACCAACACTACCCATACCCAAGCGCCTCGCCAGTGAGACGCTTACAAAGGGGAAGAATAACCTATAATAGTATATCTTACCAAACCTTACTATTAGTAAATAATAATGAAGTTATTATAGGAAGAATTCAAATATTAATACCTGATCTAGCCCTACCTGAACCAAACCTACTAGAACTAGAGGCAGGTGCTAACTTGATATTTCTGCACCCACCTGCCTCTAGGGCTGTCTCTAAAACCACCCTACCTAACCCAGAAGCAGGTATCAAACTCATCATACCCGAGTGGCTACCTGCCTCTGGGGCTGCCCCTAGGGCTATCTCCAAAACTACCAAGCTCATCATACCAGAGCAGACACCTGCCTCTTGGCCTGCCTCCAGGGCTATTTCTAAAACCATTGCCAAGCAAAACAATCAAGCAATTAGCAAGAATGTAGAGGAGATAGTAAGACCTAGCATGGAGGAATAATCTAGATAGGGTAGATATGAAGGAATAATTAACTATTTTACTATAGATAATCTATATACTAGTTAACCTATTTTTAAAAGAATACTAGTATTATAATTAATATAAAGGCTTCTAGAGTTATTTACCTAATATAGGAAGGTCTTACTAGTTTTAGAACCTTCTAAAGATGACTATACTCCAATAACTCTAGATATATTAAAAAGGAAGCATTTAAAGACTAGAAAGTAGGTTAAATTTAATATTAGGAATATAGAAATAGTTAACCTAGTAAAGGTATAAAATCCTGCTAGTAATAATACTAGTAATAGTATTACTACTCTATAGAGATCTTTAAAATTTATAAAGGGTTAGTACTAAAGTATTTACTTTAAAGATAAGCAGGTAAAGTAACTACAGGAAAAGGAGGTAAAATAGGAATAATAATCTTAATCCTAGTCTATATTACCTCTAAAAATACTTCTAAAAATACCTTATCTACTAGAATCTTATCTAAAGTTAGGAGAATTACCTAATATAATTACTATAGTATTACTAGATCCTAGTAATTTTATACTAGAGATTAAGCCTATAAAGACTTATAAAGTTAGAATCCTATAGATCTATATTTAAGTAATAAAGTTATTATAAAAGGATTACTAGATATAAGTAATATAAAGTTAAATTAGCAAGCTTGAAGCTATTTAGACTTATAAATTTATGCTATTACTAAAGAATATAAAGGTCTTACTAGGAAAATAGGTATATAATTTAAAGTTAAATATAGATAATAATATATTATAATTTTATATAAGATAAGTTATATGTAGAAATTTCTAAAAATTAGGTATAGACTTTAACTAAGTCTACTCCCTAGTAGTAGTAAATACTTTAATAAAGCTATTTTTAAGTATAGTTACTTATTTTAATTTGAAATAAGCATAATTTAATATAGTAATTACCTATCTTAATATAATAATCAAGGATTAAAAGATCTATATATACTAACTAACTAGTTTTAATAAGTAAGATAGTATAATATATCTATTACTCCAAGCCTTATATAAATTATAATAGTTAGCATTTCTTTAGTATAAGAAATTCCATGATATTCTAGTAAAAATTAGTATAAAGGTAATTAATAAAGACCTATGCTTCTACTATGATCTAGATTAGTAGCTAATACTTATTATCTATATTAATAATATAATAGTTGCTGGCCCTAATAAAATAAATATTTAATAATTTATAGATAAACTAGAAAGATATTTTAAATTAAAGTAACTAGATAAACCTATATAGTTCTTGAGATATGATATTTATAGACTACTTAGTAATCTAATATTAATATCTTAACATGCATATATCTAAAAGATACTCTATAAATAAAATTTCTATAGTCTTTAGCTATATTATATACTAATAACTCCAGGATAGAAATTAACTAGAGAGATACTAGAAACTAGTAGTATTACTTAAGATACTAGTAGTATTATTCTAGATATTATATATGCTTCTACTAGTAAAGATAATATTATCTATTACTAGAAATTAACTAGATCTTTAAATTAGATTACTATTTAAACCTAACTAGATATTTAATATACAATAACATAACTACTATAAAGAAATTATAATCCTAGCAAGTTAGATTATAATATAATTAAATAAGTTTTCTAATATTTAAAGAAGACCTTAGACTATGTAATAATCTTAAGCTATTTAAATAATTTATTATATGTATATATTGATGCCTCCTATATAGATTGCAAAGACAAGAAGTTAATAGAAAACTTTATATTTTTTATATTTAGAGTACTAATTATATAGAGATTAGTAAAGTAATTACTAGTTACTCTAAGTTTAATTATTACTGAATTTATTACATGGGATGCAGTAACAAAGCTAGCTATATAGCTATAAAAGCTATATACAGCTATTAGACTAGAAAAGTCTACAAAAGATACTATACCTTTATATACTAATTCTGTAAATACTATTATATTAGTAAAGAAGCTAAATTATACATCTACACTCTACTAGATAGATATTCATTACTTCTTTGTTAAAGAGGCAATCAAAAATAGCAGAATTTAGTTATAAATAGTTAGTGGAGAGGATAATATTACTAATAGGCTAACTAAGGCACTACTAACTGCAAAATTTGATAAATTCATCAAGAGGTTGGGTTTTGGCAGTTTAGAGATGGACTCTAAATAGCTTCATGTAATAAACATGTCGCTAAGGGGGGTGTGTTGGAGTGCTGCAATCAATGCAAACAGCACTGCCATTAAGTGAGTAGCAACACGTGACTACTCTGTGTATTTAAGGCCACGGTTTCCTTCTAGATCTCCATGCTTCCTCCAAGCATCTCTCCTTCTCTCTATTTCCTAGTTAGACCAATTGAATCCATTTCGGTCAACTTTCTACTGTCATAGTTTGACGACCTCTCATCATTTCATTCTCCCGCTTAATAGCTTCGATTTCTCCTCGCTGGGATAACCCCTCGTCGGGACGGGGTGCGCCAGAACCCGATGCTCTTCTCTGCTGCGACAGTGAGCTGCAATGGGGGCACAGCCGTGGGCTGTATGTGAGAGTCGCTGACGGATCAATTTGTTTTTGTAGCTGAGGCGGGGGGGTTGAGAATAGGCGCTCCGATTTTTGATGAGAAGTAAAAGATGGCTCCCGGCTACGACTGGCTCGAGAGGAGTCCTGTGCACGCCATGTCTCTCTGGACGGGGTAATTCCAGAAACACTGCTCGTTCTCGACCCTTGGATAACGGGGAAATACGAGCTGCTCAAGCTGGATGATGAGCGGTGTCGCCGAGACACTGTGGGATAGATAGGACCGGGTACGAATGAAGATCCGTGGAGTGCGTCGAGTGCGTCGTTGAAGGTGGCGGAGGTAGAGGAGGTGGTTGAGGCGACAGAGGCAGTTTGTTGGCGAAGCAGGGATAATTCCCTTGATAGACGGTTGACCTGGTGCAGGGTCGATTAGATTTGGGGGGAGGGGGTTTTGAGGATTTGACGTTCATCATATCTTACTATCGCTTCTTGTTCGCACTCAAGCATCGAATGAATATCAGCAGGTGTAAAGGGCTTTGGATGTCGCAGAGGACCTGCACAGTTTAGTTGGATAGCTCGTCATAGGTATAGATCATAGCATACCGGATGTTGCTCTCTCACGCGCATGGTTGCTAGTAATCCGGCTCTTCTCATCATGACCTTGTCCTAATAACATGGTAGGAGGGTTCATGACTTGGGATGATCGTCGAGAGGGAAGAGGAGAGGTCAACTCATTGGAAGACATCATCATTTCCGTAGCAGCGCGGGGTCGAGAGCTTGGAGGGGAGAGAGGGATTTGGCAGAGGTCCGAAGCCATCGTGAGAAAAAGGCGTGATATCAATACTATGTCTATTATTTAAAATAAGCTCCCCCAGCTGCTAAGCCCCCTTGATTGAGATCGTAAAACATACCAAGTATGGAACTCTCCGGTTCAGCGTGGGTCATAATGCAATATAGATGCAGGAAGGAATGCAGCAAAGTAGGAGGATGACCTGTCTTTTACTATACTCTCTCTGTATTCTGTAAGAACTATGTTTATTGATCCTTCGGGACGTTTTGTAGTCTGAATAATGGAATGTAACATCCGTATGCGTGTCCAAATTACGTAGAGAATTTACCTGGCGATGACCATGGTTTTCGAGAGTGTATTAAGATGAGAGAGAGAGGGAGCGATATGTAGTAAATTGAGATCGTGGGATAAAATCCCCCCTCTGACTTTCTTGACGACAGACGGTTTACTTGAAGATGCATGAGTCATTGTCAACTATCAGTAGATACAGCATGAATATAGATCTCCTGTGAGAAGGAAGTAATGTATTTTCCCTCTCGATTAGAGTGCAAAAAGCAGGTCTGTTCTGTTTATCAACAACAGCTTTTAAGGAGATGCACAAGGATCACGTGAAATGCCTGCTTAAGTAAGATCATCTACAGCAAAACAAATAGCAAGACAGCCAAATAGCAAACCAGCAAGACATAAAGAGATGAATTGGCATGTGTTCTAGTTTCAGATTGAGTGTGGGTTTTTTTTTTTTTTTTAAATTTTAATGCCAGGACTCTTTCAGCTTACTGGTGCACAGCCATCCATCCCTACCCCTCATGGCCCCTCCGAGTGAATCTGTGCCAGCGACCATCCCCTGCCACATTCCCCCCTTCGCCAGACCCCTGGCTCCTTACCTCAAGAGTCGCCAGGAAGCTCTTCGCATCCGACAAGTTCTGACCTCTTATCTTCGCTCCCACATCGCATTCGTGGACAATGACGCCAGCCACCCCGGTTGCCATGCCCAATCCCACGTTTCCCTATGTGTGCCGGACGACACCGTCGTCGAGATCAAGCGTATTCCGGCGGAGCTCACAGGGCTGAGGAAGGCGTATCTCCAGGCGTTGCAAGCGAACGTCACCGCCAGGAAACAGCAGCAGTTGATCCTGGAGAAGACTGCTCGGGCATCTGAAGGGGCTACTGGTGCGGGAATATCCGCCCCGAATGCATCCCTCGAGCTGCAAGCTTATCTGAAGCTCGTTCGAGAGCGACGCCGACATGCGAAACTCCGAGTTTTCCAGCATTACCTTCAGGAATTCAAGGAACGGGATCCTGTTAGGCCCGAGGATTTTGAGGATCAGGAAGGTCGGAACCAGTTTACAATCCCCGAAGAATTCGCAGATGAAAGCCCAAAGGGCTCAAGAGTGGAGGGAGGTATTGGGGAATTAATGCATAAACTAGAGAGGGCAGTGATCCGGGCAAAGACCCAACTGGACAGAGAAAGGAAGCTATACGAGGAGCTGAAGAGTAGGAATGGGTCTGGAGGGGGAAATCGAGCTGAAGAGGTCGCGCCAGCCGTGAAGATTGCAGTCCTCCAGCGAACCCGCGACGAGCTTGTGCAATGGGTCGAAGAGAAGCTTGTGGGCGGAGGAACTGGCGAAGAAGCACCTGTCCCGGACCTTCCTGCGGAAGAGATTGAAGAATCCGTGCGTATCCTCGAGGAACAGAAGGGGCGAATTATGGAACAGTACGCGGCCTATACGGATTCCCGCAAACGCCTGCTGGACGCGGCCTCTCGGGCTTGCCAGCCTATCTCCACAGCATCTACAAAGCCCCCCTCCCGAACTCCCGATCCCGGTATATCTACAGTGGAGGCGACGTTACCTATTGAGCCATTGGAGGTCTTGTCTTTCGCCAGTGACGTTCTTCACCCACTGGCGAAGAGCCAGCGGTCCCTGGCTCTGCAGAAATTCTACTTGTCTGCCTTGCTGGCCAAGGAGAAGAGCACGACGCTTCGGATTCTACATCGCCTCAGCGACGAGAGCCACCTTCTGCCCGAGTATCCCATTCTGGCTCGCCAGCCCCGTTTCAAGCATGCAGCCGCCGCTCTTGGCTCTCGTCCTACTGCGAACGAAGGGGAGTCAACCAAGCCGGACGAGATTGTCAGAATGGCCGAGGCATGGTCTTTTGCATCTGAGGCGGCAGGATCGGCAGAGAAAGAATATGTAGAGGTGAAGGTAGCAGAGGGGAGCGACCGGACGGAGGAGGCACAACACCTGATGGAGAGGGTGTATGATACATTGAATCAAGACCTGGAAGAGACCCTGGAAGACGAGCAGGAGAATAAGCCGGAGAGGGACATATGGGCGTACGAGGCTCAATCGACCCGAAGTCGCGGGAGAGCGAATCGCGGCGAAAAGCGCTCGAAAGGGCCGTGGACTCGCTTGAACGGGAGAGTGGGCCTGACGGATCAGAAAACAGCGTAGGAAATACATACATACATACATATAGATATATCTATATAATAAATGGTCATTAGCGATTGTCACGAAGGAGTCTGCAGAGGCTTTACCTTGGTACCGAAACTCGTAGGATTGGGGATGCGATACCCACGCGACATCCACTCACTATTTAGTACCTAGATCGGAGGTATTTAGCCAGAGAAAAAAAGAAAGAAAAAAAAAAAAAGAATCACCATAGATAACTATACAGGTTGATATTCACACTCCTGTATACTTGATCTTGATAATCCATATCTGTAATCCTATTTTCTTCCTTATTACAGAGTACATCCAGAGCAAGTAGAGAATCCACATCGGCCCGGTCGTCTCCAATTCTCACTCATTATTGGAACTCCTACGCAGGCGGTGAGAATGAGGGCTTTTTCTTGTGGTTTTTTCTTTTTTTTTTTTTTATAATTCTCTCCACACACCGGAGTTCTTATCGGCGTTCTTTTTTATTTTTTTTTTCGTAGTGTTGAGGAGGCTAAATCGTAATTCCAGTTTGGTGGTTTTCCAGGACTCCATTCTTCTTCTGCTTTGTCTGACTGACTCATCGCCGCTTTTCCTCCTTTCTCGGACTTAATAAATTTTTTTGGATTTCCTCCTCCCCCTCCCCCCAATCCATCATCCACTCTGATTCCATCTTCCTCTCCTCACGCCATTCCTTTTATTCTCCTTCCCTTTGAGTCCTCCCCTGAGTCTTGGGCGTGTGACTGAAGGCGGGACGAACGGTAGGGATCAATTAAGGTGAAGAGAGTGAACCACCTGTATATATAATCCATCTTCAGTTGGAGCTCCTCGGGACCGATTCAACTATCCTGAGCTAGATTTCGAGTCAATTGGCTCTTCTGCTCTTTCTTTTCCTCCTTTTTTCCCTTCCTCTTTTTTTTCTTGTTTTTTTATAAAAAAAAAAAAAGCGCCGTGCGCAATGGTTCTCGCAGCTCGTTGCGGGCAGGTTACATCCTCCCTCTTGCGTCAGCGATGCCTCACTGAATCCCGTCGCTCTGCCTTGGCTTTGCGCTCGTTTTCCTCCCAGACGACTGCCCATTCCACAGCGTCTACTCTCCGATTGCAGCAGAAGCTCCCCTCCCAATGGCGACCGCAGCAATTGCGATCTTTCTCTAGCGCCCTCCGTCGGTTGGCTTCCGAGTCCGCCAACACCCCCTCCGCCGAAAGCTATCTCGCCAGTGGAATTATCAAGCCTGGTGGCAACCTGGTCGATGTGAAGAAGGTCTTGGTCATTGGTAGTGGTGGTTTGAGCATTGGACAGGCTGGAGAGTTCGATTACTCCGGTAGGTCAAATACATCAGCCAGTCATGAATCTTGGGATTTTCGTGTTCCTCCGAGCCCATGAGCTGGGCTGGTGGCTCTACAAGATATTCCAACGGAGGCAAAGTTGTTGGACATACCGTGACTAACATTCGTCCGTTCGCTACTCTACAGGTTCCCAGGCTCTCAAGGCTCTCAAGGAGGCTGGTGTCCAGTCCGTCCTGATCAACCCCAACATTGCGACTATCCAAACCGATCACAAGCTCGCAGACGAGGTCTACTATCTTCCAGTCACCCCGGAATATGTCACCTATGTCATCGAGCGCGAGCGCCCCGATGGTATCTTCCTGTCCTTCGGTGGTCAGACCGCCCTGAACCTCGGTGTGCAGATGAACCGCATGGGTACCTTTGAACGGTATGGCGTCAGGGTTCTTGGAACCAGCATCAAGACCCTGGAGACTAGCGAGGATCGTGACCTTTTCGCCAAGGCCCTGAACGAGATCAACATCCCCATCGCTGAATCCATTGCTGTCAGCACCGTCGATGACGCGTTGAAGGCTGCTGAGCAGGTCGGCTACCCCATCATTGTCCGCTCCGCCTACGCCCTGGGTGGTCTGGGATCCGGTTTCGCTGCCAACCCCGAGGAACTCAGGGACTTGTCTTCTCGCTCCTTGACCCTTTCCCCCCAGATCTTGGTTGAGAAGTCCCTCCGGGGCTGGAAGGAGGTTGAATACGAAGTCGTTCGTGATGCCGCCAACAACTGTATCACCGTTTGCAACATGGAGAACTTCGATCCTCTGGGTATTCACACTGGTGACAGTATTGTCGTCGCTCCCAGCCAGACCTTGTCCGATGAGGAGTACCACATGCTCCGAACCGCTGCTATCAAGATTGTCCGCCACCTTGGTGTCGTCGGTGAATGTAACGTTCAGTATGCTCTGCAGCCTGATGGTCTTGACTACCGAGTGATTGAGGTCAACGCCCGCCTCTCTCGTTCCTCTGCTCTGGCCTCCAAGGCCACGGGTTACCCTCTTGCCTACACGGCTGCCAAGATTGGTCTGGGCCACACCCTCCCTGAGCTCCCCAACGCCGTCACCAAGACCACCACCGCCAACTTCGAGCCTAGCTTGGACTACATTGTTACCAAGATCCCCCGTTGGGATCTGAGCAAGTTCCAGCACGTTAACCGTGACATTGGAAGTGCTATGAAGTCCGTGGGTGAGGTTATGGCCATTGGTCGTACCTTCGAGGAGTCCTTCCAGAAGGCTATCCGTCAGGTTGACCCTCGCTTCGTTGGATTCCAGGGTGACCACTTCGAAAACCTGGATGATGTTCTGAAGAACCCCACCGACCGCCGCTGGTTGGCTGTCGGCCAGGCCATGATTCATGAGAACTACTCGGTGGACAAGATTCACGAGCTGACCAAGATTGACAAGTGGTTCCTCTACAAGCTGCAGAACATTGTGGACTGCCACAACGAGATCAAGGAGATTGGTAGCCTCTTTGGTATCAACAAGGAGATGATGCTCAAGGCCAAGAAGCTCGGTTTCTCTGACAAGCAAATCTCTCTTCTCGTCGGTGCTTCTGAGGATGATGTTCGTGCCCGCCGGAAGGGCTTTGGCATCAGACCCTGGGTCAAGAAGATTGATACCCTGGCGGCTGAGTTCCCGGCTGACACCAACTACCTCTACACCACCTACAACGCCACATCTCACGACGTCACCTTTGATGACCATGGCACGATCATTCTCGGAAGCGGTGTGTACCGTATTGGAAGCTCTGTCGAGTTCGATTGGTGTGCTGTCAACGCTACCCTCTCCCTCCGGAACATGGGCAAGAAGACTGTCATGATCAACTACAACCCCGAGACCTACTCCACTGACTTCGATACTGCTGACAAGCTTTACTTCGAAGAACTCAGCTACGAGCGTGTCATGGATATCTACGAACTCGAGGGTGCCAGTGGTGTGGTCGTCTCTGTCGGTGGCCAGCTGCCCCAGAACATTGCTCTTCGTCTGCAGGAAACCGGTGGTGCTCACGTTCTGGGTACTGATCCTCAGGACATTGACAAGGCTGAGGACCGTCACAAGTTCTCTCAGATCCTCGACAGCATTGGCGTCGACCAGCCTGCCTGGAAGGAGCTTACCTCCGTTGCTGAGGCTGAGCGCTTCGCTGACGCTGTCGGCTACCCCGTCTTGGTCCGTCCCAGTTACGTCCTGTCTGGTGCTGCCATGAGTGTGATCCACAGTATCGACGAGCTCAAGGAGAAGCTTCTCAACGCTAGCGCTGTCTCTCCTGACCACCCTGTCGTCATTACCAAGTTCATTGAGGGAGCCCAGGAGATTGATGTTGATGCTGTTGCCTCGAACGGCAAGCTTCTGCTGCACGCCATCTCTGAACACGTGGAGCCTGCTGGTGTCCACTCTGGTGACGCTACGCTTGTCCTCCCCCCTGCCTCCCTTGACAAGCCTGTTATGAGCCGTGTCAAGGAGATTGCCGAGAAGGTTGCCAAAGCTTGGAACATCACCGGTCCTTTCAACATGCAGATCATCAAGGCTGACCAGGAAGGTGCGGAGCCTGAACTCAAGGTCATTGAGTGCAATCTCCGTGCTTCTCGTTCTTTCCCCTTTGTCAGCAAGGTCCTGGGAACCAACTTCATTGATGTTGCCACCAAGGCCCTTGTTGGACGTGATGTCCCTGAACCTGTTGATCTCATGGACGTCAAGCGTGACTACCTTGCCACCAAGGTTCCTCAATTCAGCTGGACTCGTCTTGCTGGTGCCGATCCTTTCCTTGGCGTTGAGATGGCTAGTACTGGTGAAATTGCTTGCTTCGGTAAGGATGTGGTTGAGGCCTACTGGGCTTCTCTGCAGTCGACCATGAACTTCCGTGTTCCTGAGGCTGGCGAGGGTATTCTTCTCGGTGGAGATATCAACAACCCTGCTCTGTCCCAGATTGTTGACTACCTCCAACCTCTTGGCTTCAAGTTCTTCGCTGCTAGTCCTGAGGTCCAGGCGCACATTCAGTCTTCGTCCAAGGACAACGTCCCCGTCCAGGTGATTGAGTTCCCCAAGAAGGATAAGCGTGCCCTCCGTGAGGTCTTCCAGAAGTATGACATCCGTGGCTGCTTCAACCTTGCTAAGACCCGTGGCAAGACGCTGCTCGACGAGGACTACGTTATGAGACGTAATGCAGTCGACTTCGGTGTTCCTCTGTTCATGGAGACCAAGGTAAAAAAAAAAAAAAAAACCCCTACTTCATCAAAAATGAATGATATCAATGCTAACTTGTTCTAGACCGCTCTTCTCTTTGCCCAGGCCATGAGCCAGAAGCTGCCCCGTCCTGACGGCATCCCTGCTGAAGTCCGCACCTGGTCTGACTTTGTCGGTGGCAAGCTCATGTAAATGAAACGTCGACACCCCCCCAAACCAAAAAAAAAAGGACAAAAGTTTTATATTTGATACTATAATCACCTGGTGTTATATCTGTTCCTTTTCTCTTTTCTCCAGGCACAGAAAAATAAGCTGCCTGTTCGGCGTAGTGGATAAGGCTCCCGGTTGATAGACTTTTTTGCTTAGGCTGGTATATGGGCTCCCAGCATCGCCTTTGATTAGGCGGCATGAAGCATACGGTCATGCGCTCTGGTGATTCTTTATTCCCTTCTTCTTCTTCTTCTTCTTCTTCTTCTTTTGCGATTCGTTACTCTTGCTTATGCGGTTGTCTGGTATTTGTAGGCAGGCGATGTGCTTGAGCGAGAAAAGAACCTTTGAACGGGTTATTCTGATGACTTAATTATTGGCATGATTTAAGTGTATTTATTTGTAGTATAGTGGTTTATATCCAATCTCAACTTTCGAATCTAAGATTATTTTATATATTGTAGTCTCGGGATGTAATGACCAGAATAGTATTGAATGTTTGTTGGTGTTGTGAAATTGTTGGTTAATGCCGTGCAATGTGCCGGATGGAAAACTTCGGTGGGATATGTTTTCTCCTCCTGCTCGACTTTCAAGTCTGTACATTCAGCTCAACACCTATCAACCAACCCCCTTCATGAGGAACCGACTCTCTTTTGAAATATTCCTATTCTACCTATTATATATCTCCTAAGAGCTTCAAAACACAACAAAATCGGTACGTTCTGCATACCTTATTCATGACTATAAGCCCAGCATTTAACCTCCAACCAGATAATGCAAAATATCGTATAGGATATATATCTCTCTCTCTATATTATACCATAATGTCTCGTGAAGCATTTTTACCATCAATTCAAACAAAAACAACTCCAGGCCCTGCACCAGGTGGCCTGGGAAGGGGTCTTTTCGCGTCCGCGGATGTCAACAGTGGAGATGATATTCTGCACATCCAGAGCCCATTTGTCGCGGTTCTAGATACGCAGCGACTAGAGGATACATGCTCTGGGTGTTTTGGTAGGAAACAGTTGGAGGATGAGGCTATCTCGCTGAGGGGGTGTACGGGGTGCCAGGTTGTCAAATATTGTGATCGAGTAAGTGATTTCCCGGCGTCAAACGCATCCTCCACACATCGAGAGAGAGAGAGAGATTACAAAAATGAAAGATTAGGCTAATTATGGATTATCTAGACCTGCCAAGCAAAAGACTGGAAATCTGGACATTCTCTCGAGTGTTCGATTTTTCAGAAACTCACCCCCAGAGTGCTTCCTAATAATGCAAGAGCTGTCCTGCGCATGGTCCTCCGCAGCGGGCGGAAGAAATACACATCCCAGGAATCGGATCTGTTTGTACAGCTCGAAACTCACATTCGGGAAATACGGGACGAGAACCCAGCGCAATGGGAGCGGATCGCACTCTCCTCAAAGGCTGTAAAGGCCTATTCGGGCACTGATATGGAGGAGGAGACGATATCTGCTTTTGGGGCCAAGGTATGTGATGTGATATCTCTCACTCGCGAATTTATGTCTGGAGCTGGAGAGTACCATTGTGGTCTTGTTGGGATAGAGGCGATGCTGAATCATTTCTAGCTCGACTTGAATTCGTTCAATTTAACCAATGTGCTCTATGACCGTGTTGGCCTTTATCTACACCCATACGCCTCCCTGATCAATCACAGCTGCGACTACAACTCCGTCGTTGGCTTTGACGGCGACGAACTGTTTATTAAAGCTGTGCGCCCAATCAAAAAGGACCAACAAATCTTCATATCATACATCGACGCCACTAACCCAACACACCGACGTAAGAAAGAGCTCCGCGAGAGATACTTTTTCACGTGTGAATGCTTGAAATGCTCAAACCCAAGCCCCAGCCCGAATGACATCCAAAACAACCTTTCCACTCCCACTCCCACTCCCACTCTCACTCTCACCCCCGCCATGGAGGCCATCGAAAGAAGGGCCTACAGCCTCCTAGACTCGTCCTCTGCTGCTACAACCCCAGAAACAACAACAACAGCAGCAGCAACATCCTCAGAGATCCAATCCACCCTAATACGCCTCCTACAATCCCAATCCAAAGAACAGCAGTCTATCATCACCACGCAACCACTCATCTCCCTCCGCGACGAACTAATCGCCACTCTCATCGCCGCCGGGAAATTCAAATCCGCATTCCTGCAAGCCGCGATCCGGTACCTCCGGATCGACCCCGTCGTGTATCCGTACGACGGACACCCGCTGCGGTATTTACATGCGTGGGCGCTTGCGAGGCTTGCGATGCATTTATCCCAGCATATAGACGCGGCTTCTCCTCGCAGTGGTGCAGAGGCAGAGGCAGAGGCAGAGGCAGAGCGACTGACCGGGCTGGATTTTAGTTTGGTTGTTTGGGTTGTTCTGAGGCGGCTGCTTGGGAGGGAAGAGGGGGGGTGTACGGTTCCTGGGTTTCGGCGGATGGTTCGGAGGGCGTTTGTCGAGGTGCGTGGGGAGTTTGTGAGGAATGGGGTGGATTTGAAGGGGTTGGAAGGGGCGGGTATGAGGGAGTGGGGGAGGGTTGAAGAGGTTGTCGCTGCTGTGCTTGGAGAGGATGGGAATGCGAGGGAGTTAAGTGCTAGGTAGGTAGGTAGATTACTGTAGTTGGCAGGGGGGAAGATAAACAGAAGGATCTTGGATTTAGATGGTTTGGGGTGGAAGAGTAGCGGGAGAATACCTATCTGTATTATATTGATATTAATACTGGTTACAACCTACAGAGAGCAGTTTAAGTAGAAAGATTTCGTTAAATTAGACACCCATCCTAACTAATCCAAAGGAAATGGGCAAGTCTTTTTTTTTTTTTTTGTTGTCTCCAGTCCAAATGAACCGAGGACAGATAGAGCTCTTCATCATCCAGGGTCTAGGGATCTGTTTGTGTTTGTGTGTGTGTGTGTGTGTGAAATTTGTTTCATTTTCATGCCGACAAGACCATTGTATTGAGATGTAAAACAGCTGACCCGCATTTGACATACAAGCAGATGAACCCAGTATAAACGCAAATGGTATCCATCCAATTTTCTTGTGTTTTTGTTTTCGTCCTTCCTGCACATCCGTACGCCCAAATCCTCCACGCAACACCCCGGAAAAGCTTTTCTTCTTTACTTGAGGGGAATGAAACGAGAAGAGTGGGTGGCACCAATACCGGGACGACCGTGCTTGACGGGCTTGCTGTAGGGGAGTTAGAATCAAGTCCATATCTCTCGCGACTAAAATCCCCCCCGGGGGGTGGGAAAAAACGTACTAGGTGATGGAGAATTCTCCCAGGTAGTGGCCAACCATCTCGGGCTTAATTTCGACTTGGTTGAACTCCTTTCCGGAGTAGATACCGACGACACTGCCGATCATCTCGGGAACAATGATCATGTCACGGAGGTGGGTCTTGACGAGGTCGGGCTTCTCGTTGGGCTTGGCCTCCTGCTTGGCCTTGCGGAGCTTCTTGATCAGGCCCATGGGCTTGCGCTTCAGGCCACGGTTGAACCTGCGGCGGGCACGGGCGTGGACGACATCACGGAGCTGTTCAGAGGAGAGATCGAGGAGCCTGTAATACGGGGTTTGTGTGTCAGATACTACTCTGTTATATTTTGTCCTCCCCATCATTCCTTATCCTCGCCCGACTCCTGACGACAAATCGCCCCCAAAAAATTATAGAGAATTCGTTGGCTCGATCGATAGGAGTCGGGGAGGACAAGGGAGGCTTGGATTGAATATTTCAAGGATCAAGGCGAGTAACGTACTGGTCGAGGTCAATGCCGCGGTAGGTGAACTTGCGGAACTGTCTTCTCTTCTTGATCTCTGTTTCCAAACATCAATTGTCAGCCCATCTACTCGTTTTCATCCTTTCGTGTGGTATCGTAGTTGTGCGTTCCAGAAAATATCGAATCCCTTCCGTCTGCGCGTCGACCATTCACCATCTCCATTGTTGTTGACATTTATACACCATTCTTCATCGGTGCCATAAGTCGATCGAAACAAGACTCCGCAGCGCATAATTCATGGTGTGGATTTGGGCAAGATTGGAAGGGGGGAAAAGGGTTTCAAATCTAAACGTACCAGCAGCCTCCTCGGCGTTCTGCAAGCAAAGGACGTTAGTATCGCAACCTCTTTAATGATTTAAAAGATAACTTCCCAACTGGAATAGAAACACTCACGTATTCAATGTCAGACATATTGGCGGATGTTCCTCTCAGGGTCGCTTTTCGCACGGGACTCGAAAAGCGAAAGGGACGATGGGTTGTCGGATGTCGTGTCGCTGGTGAACGTTCGGCGGGCTCTCGCTATGTCGCTACTCAGTTGCGAGGTGGGCGGGAGGGCTCGTCTAAGCGAGGGTCAAGCCCTACTGCACTAATCCCGTTTGGGAAAGCTGTATCTGTAGGGCTATTATCTACATCTAGCCCTACATTCCTATTTCGGTACTGCGCATTTCCGGCATTAGTTAGGTATATAGGCTCTGAATGCTTATTGGCTATTGGAACTACAATTTCAAGGCCCCGGAATAATGGCCTTCTTAAAAATACAATGAGTTCGAGGAGGTCAGAAAATCTGTATTGGCTAGAAGCTCTTTCAAGCTCACGTATGTATCTTTCGTAATAGCATTAGACAAGCCTGAGAAATGCAGGCATGACTGTTCCAATTGGTAGTGTCCCTCCCAATACTGAATTTAACAGCCAGACTCCGGTTCCCCCCCGAACATAATCACTTTTTCTTGGCATCACGATGGATTGGAGGCATTTAGTCAAACAGACCGAATCCCATGTCATCATCGGACTCCTCCTTCTCCTCCTCCTTCTCCTCAGCAGGAGCCTCAGCGGCAGCAGCGCCACCAGCAGCGGCAGCAGGGGCAGCAGCGCCAGCACCACCAGAGGGAACGGAAGCGAGCTTGGTGGCACCCTCGGCGATCAGCTGTACAAAAAAAAAATATTAGTATTCTTGTGAAATTTTTTTTTCCAAGGTTGACCAGGGTGGTTTTCACGAACCTCGTTGATGTCCTTGCCCTGGAGCTCAGCAATGAGCTTCTCGAGACGCTCCTCCTCGGCATCAACACCGACGGAGGAGAGAACAGCCTTGATGTCGGCAGCGGAGGGGCTCTCGTTGCCAGCAAGGCCGAGGAGAAGGTAAGCGGCGAGGTGCTTCATTTTGATCTGTATTGGAGAAATTTGGCGTTAGTAAAGAAGCGCTTCAGACAACAAGACATTGAACTGCAGAATCCGTGCGCAGAAGGAAATACATACTGAGTTGATTTAATATGTATCGAACACGAGAATCAATCGATTTAACCGCAAGTTGGGCGGAGACTGAGACGTCGAGTTCGCTGAAGATATAAGCGATGTCGTGGATGGAAGGGAAGAAATGGAAAGACCGGCCTCAAATTTCCGGGAAAAGTGCGTTGCGGCTGATACCATTATGTGGCTAGTGCACTAAGCGAGCCCTGAGGGGCGGTGGCGCATGCGATGTATTTAATCTACTCCTATTCGTCTACTCGATCTCCATTCCCGATCACGTGGAATACTGATTATAGTTAATCCGCGCCAGGAGAGATCTTAGTGTGTATTATGTCAGCATTCTCGATGTGGCCACGTGACTAGCGCTTTCCAGAAACTTTGATGGCGACACTTGCTACATGTTCTCCCCCGCCTGTTATATCCCGGTTGATCGATCCCTGGGGCGTCGATTTGCACTTGTTCTTCATTCTTCAGTGAATAAAATAGAACTCTGTGTCTTTTCCCCTTCAACTGCCCGTTTTCACTTGACCCGGTGCGTGGATAAAGCTTATCTACCGGTTCAAGCTACTGGCTTCTCCAGTGGTGACCACGACGAAGTCATGAAGTTGCTCCGTCGTACCAACCACCGATGGTGAACCTGCTTGCATCAATATCCTGTCTTTGAGTTTGTTTCAACGTGTGCTGATCCTAATCAGACTGCAGGAATGAGTGTATGAAGTTTTCTTTATCCGTCTTCGAGATGTTTACTCACCATTTGCCAGTTCCTCGATTCCGTCCTCTCGTCCATCGAGACGGGCAAGCCATCCCCGATACCCACTACCACCTCCTCTATCCCATCTCCTCCAGTTACATCCTCGAATGCCAAATCTGAAGCTCGCAGGCTTAGCTCAGTGCCTCGCGCTGTTTCTTCCGAACGCAAAAACGTGCTACCACTTGGAACGAAACGCAAAGCTGAGGAGCCGTTGCCCCGACCTTATAGACCAGAACCCCAAGCTTTGGCGAAACCAACACTATCAAGAGCAGTGACTCTACCCACAGCCCCTAAACCCCGCCCTAACACTACGATCATGCCTGCAAGACCTGCTGCAAGCAGTGCTGCTACAACAACAATAACCTCCCAAAAGGCTCCTCCAGTCTCATCGAAGCTACCCCCCAAAGGATCCTACGCAGACCTCATGTTGAAGGCAAAAGCTTTGCAGGAAAAAGCCCCAACTCAAGTTGGGATGTTTAAACACCAGTCCGCCCCCAAAGAGAAACTGAGCAAGACAGAACGTAAGAAGAGAGCAGCGGAAGTACAGGCGAAGGAAAAGGATTCGAAGCTAGCGAAGAAAGCGAGTGCCGGATCCAGTGTGTCCTCTAGCATGAAGTCTGCAAACACCAAGCCCGTCAAGAGACGAGAACCCGAAGAACTTACATATAAGGGCACTGGAAAGCCGACGCCATCCGCGCAACCAGAATACCGCGGCACAGCTAGCCTGCCCAGCCAATATGGTGATCGACGCCCACCGCCCAGGTCTAATAAACGGTCAAGAATAAATGAATACCTTGGCACAGATGAGGAAGATGAAGGCGAATATGCGGATGAACCTGATGACTATTATTCGGAATCCTCAGACATGGAGGCGGGCTTGAATGATATGGAGGAAGAGGAGGCAACAGCTTTGGCTTTTGCTAGACGGGAAGACGAAGAGGAATGGCGTGCAGAGCTTGCTGCTAAACAGGAAAAGCTTGAACGCCGCAAGAAACTTTCCATGTTGGCTTCCAAGAGGCACTAACCTTGGACATTCGATATTTCCAACGATAATTTCCCTGGTTAAATTTGCCTTTGCCGCGAGTATATTTGTGTGGAATTCTCCAGAACACTCATCATCCTTGCTTTATTGATTTTACTGAATTTGGGAACGGAGCATCAGCGTGGAATACCCCGAGGGTGCATTACAGAAGTGGTTTTGTGTCTTTTGCTCTTCCTCTAGCTTTCTATCCCTTTCTCCCCACATCATCTCTTTTTCCTTTCTCATTTATATCTTTCTCATTTATGTTGAAGCATCCGTGAGCGTCAAGGTGTCGACAGATGAGGGTCTATTTCCGATTCTTGCTTCTTTCCCTGGTTTCTTCCCTGCCTTTCGATTTCACATTGTGGATTACATGCTGGCGTCACCCTTCCGCCATTTTTTTTTTCCTTAGGTAAATTCAATGTAGATATTTCAATTAGAAATTAAGCCCCATTCAATATTCTGTTATTCCTTTGTACTTCATACCTATACTACCTACATACTATATAGAGTGGTTGGAGGATCTTATCGCAATCCATCAGCCCCACCGGGGAGGCGGTGACATCACTGGTTGATCAGCTCCCCTCCTGGCGCTACGAAGGACTGCTTTTCGAAATTCTTCTCATTCCCTCGTTTCCTCCGCCGAGCTCTTCTGTATCCGTTGTATCTCCCCGTGGACCCAAATGGAGCGAGTGCACCCCGTGTCAGTGCCTTCAAAGGTGCTATTCAAGAAGGTGCGCAGGATTGTGCCGCCTATGCTTGAGAGATTCCACAAAGGTGGGGTATTCACACCCCGAAGCTCAGCCGGGATCGTTCTTCAAAGCTTGATGTTAACAAATATTGAATACAGGACAGCTAGGTCGGGTTGCTGTTATTGGGGGATGCGCCGAGTATGTCCCATGTTGCTTCCATGGTTATGGTGGATGATGGTTCAGGCTGAGATCGAACAAGCTACACAGGTGCACCATACTTCTCATCAATGGCCTCAGCAAGACTCGGTATTTAAGCTTACTTACTGCATGTGAGCTTCTACATGCTAACTGAACTACACAGGATGCGATATGGTAGGACTGTCAAAATGCTTTAGCCTGGAAAGCACTAAACTAATAGCTTAATGACAGAGCCATGTCATCTGCGAGAGTTCTGCTGCTACCGTAAGCTCTTCAGCAGCATGAAGTATATTGATGCTTACGATTTGTACAGGTTATCAAGTCTTACTCCCCGAATCTTATGGTCCACCCTCTCCTACCCAGCAGTAACTCAGTCTCAGACCCGAACTCAATAGATGCGCCTGCTCTGGCTAGCCCAATTATCGCCATGCTTTCTCGTCTTCATACAATAGTAATCGGACCGGGATTAGGTCGTGATGGAGTCACCCTGAAGGTGGTCACAGAGGTAATGAAAGAAGCACGCTCTCGCTCAATACCTTTCATCTTGGATGCAGATGGGTTGCTATTAGTTACGGAGGACCCGGATCTCGTGAAGGGATACAAGGAGTGTATTTTAACTCCCAATGTCAACGAGTTCGGTCGCTTGGCAAAGGCACTAGGGATCGACGTTCCGAGTCAGACTCAGCTTGCAATCGCACAGGATGGGGACAAGATCAGCCAAGAAACAGAAGCATGCGAAAAACTCTCAAAAGCACTTGGTGGGGTCACTATCATCCAAAAGGGGAGACATGATGTGATTTCCAATGGGGTGACTAGCATCATTTCCGATACCCCGGGAGGGCTGAAGCGTAGTGGTGGCCAGGGAGACACTCTCACTGGCGCACTGGGCACGCTGATGGCCTGGAGGGTAGCTTACCACAATGGCTTATGGGATTCAGGTGAACAAGATCACTCGAAGGAGGCGCAGACCAAGGAAGAAGTCCAGGCTGAGCTGGAATCGGAGATGAAAATGTCACCAACCACGACCCTGCTTCTTGTCGCGTGGGCTGGCAGTGCGATTACCAGAGAGTGTTCCCGACGTGCTTTCAACGCCAAGGGACGGAGCATGCAAGCGAGTGATCTTACTGATGAAGTACACGAGAGTTTCCTGACGCTTATTGGCGAGCCTGAAGGATCCAAGGTGCATCTATAGACATAGTTACCCCGGGAATAGGCATCTTGGAGAAAAAGCAGTCCTATTCTGATACGTAATATAACATTTTGTATGTCTAGGATATCGCCGTATTTTGGGAGATCTTTTTTATAACTGCGTTTCTAGGCCATGGGTCGGACGTTTTCATCTGCAGATCGGAGGCAACAAATGAAATATGCACCTGCGAAAGCTTTTAACTTCAGACCAGCACTTGCAGCCCAGTGGCATATGTCATTCGAGGCCACTGGAGAAATGTCTCTGTTGTGGGCCAATCTGGGGAATCCACATCTGAGAGGTAAGATTCCTTAACTTTTAAGTCCACGTTTCTAACTTGACACTATTTGTCAGGTTTTAAACTGCAAAGCAGGCCCAAGTTGAATGGGTTGGTATTTTTTTGCGGAGAAAATCGCTCAGACTCATGTTTTTTTTTTTTTTTTTTGCTTATTGCCCACATAATGTAAGCCCAGGAAGTGTGAGGAATCAGGATCCGTCTTAGGGCTAGAAAAAAACGCCTACCATGAGGCTCTTTTCAATGACGGGGAATTTCCCAGAGCAATGTTGGGCACGGTTTAGAACCCATGTCTTCTATTTTGGAACCAGAAGTAGCGAGAAATCGTTTCTGCGTGCTCGTGATGCCTTGTGTCGCACACCTCGTATTCCGGGCCCAAGTTGCGATGCAAAGTCAGCACAGTACGCATAAGAAAACCATGTCTCAGACCCTCAGTCTTTTCGCTGCCTTGTTGTCTCTCGTGACAAGGCAATACAGTCTGACAGATGAGGACCTCTGCCAGTTAACTTTCCCCAGGTCCGAGTACTCCCGCAACATCATCCACCACACCGTCTCAGTAGATATAGTTCCAGAAATAGAACAGAGGGGGTATATAAAGACCAGAAACGGACGCCATTGCAAGAGCATTCGATCAAGTCAATATCATCTTTTGCCATCCCAAGCGAAGTACAATCCATAACGCAATAATGAAGGCTATTTCCGTCATCTCTTCCCTCCTCCTTGCCTCCATGGTGGCTGCTAAACCTAAGCCACCAACCTGCGGAACTTGCAATCCCCTTTCTGGTGAGAACTACTGTGATATCACCACCTCCTGTATCAACACTGGTACCCGTTTCCACTGTGCCTGTCGTGCTGGATATAAGGCCTGTGCAGACAACAACGACATCACCCAGCAGTTCCGTCTCGACACGCCCAACTTCCAGTTCCTTGTATTCACTCCCGAGTACACGGAGTGCAACACCCTCTGCGATGACCCATACGGTGCTGGTCCAGACCTCTGCGCTGAGGTTCCTATCTACCAGGGCTGTGCTGTTTAAACTGCTAGCCGAAGGATACTTTTATCATGTCTGAAATCTTGATTGTGTTGGTATAAATAAGCATCTATGTTCAGATAACCAAATGCAACCTCACCAGACCAAGTGCTACCTTGGTGAGGGTATTTGATGCTTCATCCTTGAGTAGTTCATTTGTACCTAGTTTGTCATTAAGTCTGTGGTTGAATTTAATATAGATCCCATTAACAACCAATCAGGCGCTCGAGTCAAGCCTGAATGGATTAGTCATCCATAAACTACATGTGTCCCTCATAAATATCGTAAATTCAGAGAGCACGCTCCTCCTAACATATCACTCCTTGGAGAAATGTCCAGATGAAAATCTCTCCGGGGCTTGTGCCCTAGACTTTTGCACCATGAGTGAGTCTCGTAGTTCGAATAGATCTCTACCGTCGGTTCCCCGAAAACACCGGCGAGGATTGACCCGCAGCGCTGCTGCCTGTGAGCGATGCCGGCGACGGAAACAAAAGGTGTTGAGGAAGCATTCTATTTTCTAATACTAGTGGCATTCACTAATTGACTTGCTCAGTGTGATGGGAAAACACCAACATGCAGCACATGTCGAGCAGTCGGCGCGACCTGCGTCCCCTCAGACCGGCTGGTAGTCAAACCGGTGAATACCGAGTGTCAGTGTGACTTGCTACGCACGCAGCTGGAGGCCCTCCAGAATCAATACCAGTCTCTGCTTGGGCAGTACGAACAGTTACAAGTGCAGTTACAAAGGGCCGAAGAAGCTCTCCAGCAATCCACGAGTATTGCAGCTGTATCTATCTTACCCCCTACCAAAGGCAACGTTTCCGATCTCGTGCTTCGCGTCCCTGGGCAGGAAAGCCAGCGACTGGACCCAGACCTTTCTTACCATGGGCGTATCATTCAGCCGACGTTTTCTCCACGATCCTATGTCAAAGGTACAAATCACAGTGCGCTCAGCAGTGCGTGGGACCTGTGGGGGGATGATCTTCCACCCTTGGACGAGACCTCTCGGGCTTCCCCAGTCATGCCGCAGTTCGACAACGAGGCGTATTTGAACCTTGCAAACACCTTTTTCGACTACAGATGGCCATACTTACCGGTACTGCATAAGCCTACATTCCTACGTGAACATTTAACTCCTTTTCTCTCTCATTCAATCTCGAGCGCTATATCCAACTTCCTGGTCAATTTAGTCTGTGCTATTGCCGCGACGGAGAAACCATGGAGCCAACAGGGGAACGGTCAGATTCATAGACTGTTTTTTCGGCGCGCTATCCAAGATCTGCATGTGGTCATTGAGACTGATGATTTTGAGTGCGTGCAATGTTTACTATTGCTTTGTCTCTATGGGCACAACGAGCCCCAATCCATCAACATATGGTATACCACAGGTCTGGCTCTTAAATTAGCCCTTGGCATGGATCTTCACCGCAAAGAGAGTCTCGATAGTCAGAGCATTATGCGCGCAGAAATGTCTAAACGAGTGTTCTGGGCTGCCTTCGTGATGGACTGTAACATGGCGATTAACATGGGTCGACCGCTAGGAATTCGCGAATCTGACATAACAATGCCGCCGCCCCTGCCACTACTAGATGATCAGTTGGATAATCCGCCTACCATCCCTGACTTCGCGGTAGCCCAGATGCCAGGTATATCCGCATTCATACACACGGTCAAGTTGCGGAAAATCAACGCGGCTGTTTACGAGACGTTTCATTCGATCGGACGACCATTACTGGACCCTACTGACTTGCATGACAAGAGAAAATGGTACTTCTCCGAACTGAATCAATGGCTGATAGATTCGCCCCGATTCCTCCAAACAGCATCAACATATCAATCTCCAGAATGGTTCTTGATCGCATTCCACCACGGCATATTATCGCTGCACAGACCCTCACGGGCAGCACCGATCCCGTCGCCTGACGATTTACGAATCTGTATGGAGTCCTCAATCGGGCTGATCAGCTCATATAGCGCCTTATATGCCCGGAATCGGATTAAATACACCTTCGTGTCCGTTCATTCCCTATTTCTAGCCGCAGTGACGATGCTCTACGTACTGCGGGCTTCGCCCCCTCTTCGCCACGAACTGACGCGTCCCGTGGTGCAAACCAACATCCTGACCTTCCTCACTATCTTTCGCGGTATCTCGAACGGCCGCGCCGTTGGAGAGAAATGCGCCAATATTATTGAACACCTGGGGGACTCCATCCTGACCTTGTTTAACGACAACCGTGAACCGGGACTCGAGGTCGATACGGCTTTCCAGTCGTGGTTTGGGCTGCGCACACATAGTTTCCCTACAGTAATGCAGGCTTCATCTCTAGAGGATGAAAACACACCGGCCCAGTTCCCTGATAATAGAGTCGACCCTGCGTGGGCTGATTTGTTTCTGGAAGGAATTGATATCGGATGTACTGATATTTCAAGCTTTCCTTTCTGAAGGAGTCTTTCCCTCTCTCTATATGTGAGATGAGACGACGGCTTTTACACTTTTAATACCGCCGGAATATCCTCCCTCCCAGAGCAGATGTTAGCAGAATAGGAAACGGAAGGAAAGCAGGTAATCGACCTCGCCTCGTTTCATGCAAATCCAATCACTCCATTCCAACAGGACGTCTCCGAACGGCGTATCCGAAGCTAAGCACTTAGCGACGCGATTTTATTGCCTCTCTATTAATAGAACAACATTGGCCTCCTCGATACTATCTCAAAGAGAACCTCAGTTCGAAAAATGGGGATCTCCGACCTTATTTCTGGAAGTAAAGATGTCGGATGTTCGAGGGGACAATATTCTGGAAGAATGGAAGCTGATGCTGCAGAATGATTTAACACGATGTAGTAGTATTTATATATATACATATGTATATATATGTGTATAGTCATATATGTAATATCCCCGTCCGTGGGTTAGTTAGAGAGTCAATCAAGAGTTAGAATCCCACTAACTAAGTATCTATCTTTTTATCATTCCTTTCATTTATTTCTTTACCCGCAGAAAAAAACCCATTATTTAGTTCTGATCAGGGCTGGTCGTTGTGAAAAGAAAGGTAATTCGGTATATCCCAGACCCTACGTGCTCAATCAAAGATATCATAAGTATCATATCATACATACATACATACATATAGATAGACAGACACCGTAAAACACCGATCCCGGAATTCAGCCTGCCCCATGCAACTTACTAATTACTCTTTAGAAACCCAACAAATAGCCGAACTAGCAGAAACAGCACAGCAGAGCACAGCACGTGGGGAAGGCGCGTGGGAAATTAATTGCAATTGAAAGAGACTTCGGGAGGAGCCGCGTCAAGGTATTACATTTTGACTGAGTATATTCTCTACATGTCCATATCTTCCGTGTTGAGGAAGACCAGGCGTGTTCCATTGGCAATGACTTGCCAGACCTGATGTAAAAGGGGATATTAGTGACGGTAAAAAAAAAACCAGGAGGATGGAGGAAAGATGGAATACTGAAAACTTACGTGGGAATTTTCATATTCATTAATGGTCATCGTGAGCTGATCCTCGTCGAAACCCTTGGCAAGGACTCGCTCGCGGATTCTCTTCATGCTGAGCTCACCGTCTTCTCCGTCTCCAACGGCTGCGGCACCACTCTCCATCATGCCACGGATGAGATTGTAAATCTTGGACGTAGGGCTCTGATCAAGGCCGGTCTGGCCATCATGGGACAGTGAAGCTCTGCTGACCTCAATCAGACGGAGCGCCTCGTCCACATCCTCGTTGACGACCACCTCGCTGAACCTAAGTCGCGCAAGGGCCTGAGAGAGACGGACGACACCAAGCAATGTACGTGGGGTGACGTGAGAGAACTGCTTCTTGTTGGCCTCGTCACGCTTCTGTTGCTTTCTCATCCCAACGTAGGCGCCGACCATGTAGTCGGACACCTTGGATGGGACCACAGGTCGGTAAGTGCGGGCCTTGGCGATGTACTGACGAACTTCGTGGGGGGTGAACATAATGCCAGCATCCTCGCTTTCAGGGTGCTTGTTGTGCATATGGACGTAAGTGACGTGGGCAGCGAGTTCCTCATCGGAATGGCGCGACGGGGTGTCGAGAATAAGAAACATGACGTCGAAACGAGAAAGCAATGCAGCGGGCAAGTTGATGTTCTCCACAGGGGAAATTCGGGGGTTGTATCGTCCATACAGGGGGTTAGCTGCGGCAAGAATAGAGGTACGGGCATTGAGCGTAGTTGTGATTCCAGCCTTGGAGATGGAGATAGTCTGTTGTTCCATGACTTCGTGAATGGCTGTCCGATCTCCATCGTCCATCTTATCGAATTCATCAATACAGCAAATGCCATTGTCTGCGAGCACGAGAGCTCCACCCTCCAGCACCATCTCATCTGTGACAGGGTCTCGCATGACTGCGGCTGTGAGACCAACACCACTACTTCCACGACCGGTCGTATACACTCCGCGAGGGGCAACCTTGGCAATGTACTTGAGTAATTGAGATTTGGCAACACCAGGATCACCCATCAAGCAGATGTTAATATCACCACGGATGTGCATGCCATCACCCATTTCTTTGGTAACACCGCCAATCAGCAGGAGGAGCAGCGCCTTTTTAACATCCAGATGGCCATAGATTTCAGGGGCGATCGACCGCGCAAGGTATTCGTACATGTTACCCGATTTTTGGTATTGCTCAATCTTGCGCAAAGTTCGGCTGTCCATGCCAATATCATTGTAAGATTTCTTGTGTTGGGTAATGTGTTGAGCCTCGAGGTAGGTATCGGTAAGCAAGCCAGCGCGAATGGCCCTGAAGCCAGTGTAAGGAGTAGGAAGGAAGATTCCAGCAATATCCACGACATCGCCAGGGTTGAGCTGTCGGGTAAGACTGCCGTTACAGTTGATAGTCATGGTTCGGGGAATATGGCCGACGGGCACCTGATCGGCCATTTCTTGGATCTTCACCTCCTGGAAGGGGATGAACTTCGATGCCCGGGTAGACAGGAAGAGTTGGCCCTTGGAATTGTTGCCCTTACACTCGTCTGAGACACACTCCGTCATTGGTGAAAACTGCTTGGTGGTCACTGGTTGGAAAACTTCATTTCCACAGCGGTCACAAGTGTAGGCATTAATCTGGACAGCCGGCTTCACATCCGACACCCTGGTGGTAATGCCACGCACGGTGATAAGGCTACCAAGATGCTCTGCTCGCACATTGCGAACCGCAAGTGCTTTGGACTCGCGCTCACTGCTTGATCCGGAGGGGGTGAGGGGTTTGAAATTAAGGACATAGCGACGAGTCAACTCTGCGGGGAACATTGCTGGGGTTAAAGCAGCGTCATTGTCAGCCTCCATTTGCATTGTCATAGCCTCGTTTCGCTTTTCCCGTTGCGACATGATCACGTCGAGGACATCATCTTTGAATCTGTATCAATTCAGCTTCCAGTAACGTTGAGAATTTGAGCGTAGCAGCTACATACGTGATCTCCTTGGTCTCCTTTGGCATAATGGCATCCGCAGCCTGCGAAAAAACTTCAATATAGCGCTTCGTATTTTTTTGAACCGACTGGACGAGCTTCAATTCGCTATCTTCGGGAAGGGATTTCTCGTACTAGATTGCGGTCGTTAGTCAAGAACGAATCGCTCTAGCTAAGTTGGAAAAAAGGGTACGTACGGTCGCCAGGTCATCGAGCTCGATGAGAATGTTTGACCGTTCTCGATCGGCCACATCCTGTAACATCTGCATGTACTTGAGCTTGGGGGCTCTGTTTCGGCGGCTCGACCCCCTTGTCTGCGCTCCACTCTCTTCAATATCGTCCATAAAGTCGTATCCATCGCTGTTGTCATCTTCATCGATGTGCAGGTCTTCAATGGCCTCTGCCGCAGCAGATTCAGAGGTCGATTCAAAGCTCTTGAAGTGCTTCAAGAAATCCTTGAACCCATCCAACTGCGCCGCATAGTCAACGGGGGCGGGATACTGAAGCAAAGCCATGACGATGCAACCGCGACAAGAATACCTTGGTCAATTGGGTGTCCAGCAGCTCAACAATTGGAGGGGCTTAGGGGTGTGTTTGCGGGAGGTGAAGCTGTGGCAGAGACTGGGCGCCAGTTTTCAGAGCACGGGATGCTTGGGTGCCTTAGGCGCAGAAAAAACACGTCGCGTCGCGAAAGAGACGCGTCTCTTCCATTCTTGATGGGTTCTTAGCCTCAGGCATTCCAGCAGCACCCGCTAGTCCTAAAATAGCGATCTGAATAGAGCACGTGAACCGGGACGGAACAAGTCTCGGCCCGAAGGACCTGAGGCAGAACTCGGCTCGGCGAGAAGTAGATGGGTTGCGGAGACGAGACGGTCAAGTCCGGGGATTTGGATCCGGTGCTTCGTTCGCTGTCGTCGTGCTCTTCCTTTCCTGTTCCCCACCTTTGCGCACGCCCTCTTCAATCTCTTTCACAGCCTTCTGTGTTGATATTCTGGTATTCGCTTGTGCGCGCCTGAGAATGGCGCCCAGGAAGCCTGCCACCACGGCGGAGGTTGCCCTCGTCCCTCTAAAGAACTGCCTCGTGAACTTGCCGCCTTCCTTGGTCTCCTTGCTGGTCAATGCCAATACCGTGAGTTGTCTAGCCAGCTCCTTCCCCCTGCTTCTATCTTGCATCTTTCCGTAGACTAACGGCATCATTAGGCAGCGCAGAATGTGATTGTTGAGTTACAATACCGCCCGACCGCAAAAACCACCACCAACGGCAGTACTACCCCGCGATCATGCTTCCTAGGATGGACGGGAATGCCCAGCAAGCGAAGACTTGCGCCGGTAGTCAGCAGGGATGGGATTACTAGCTCGTCCTCTGCTCGGGATCAGGATGTATCTACGGTTGAATTGGACACAACGTTTGGAAGGGTTCTTGGTTTAACCGAGGGACAAAGGGTAAGCAAGCGTGTTATTCTCAGTGCCAGGCTGGCACGGCCTTCTAACGAATCATTAGATTGGTATTTTCATTCACGTTGACCCTCCTGTGGCCCATACGATTAATATTGAGCCTCTAACGCCAGAGGATTGGGAGAGTATGCTCATGTACCCTGCCAAATAGGTGTCTTCGGGTTGCTGACTTTTGTATTAGTTATCGAGCTCCATGCATCGTTCCTAGAGCTCAATCTTCTGTCGCAGATCCGTGCTCTACCGAACCCGGCGTATTCAACACAACAACCTGATCATATGCACCCTCTAACATTACATCTTTCCCCCACATCGACTGCTAATATTGTCATCACATCCTTGGTGCCTGCTCCACCTAATACCGCGGCATTCGCCAAGATTTCACCTGATGCAGAGGTTATTGTTGCTCCAAAGACCCGTCCAAAAGCCAACACGCGAGCTCCACGTGGAGATAGTAGAAGTGTCACGGGAAGTAGCAGGAAGAGTGTCGGAGGAAGAAGCAGTGGTAGCGCCACACGCGGAAAGAGCAGCAAGTCCGAGTCGACTAGCCGAGGCGCTCTCTATTTCAGGGGGGTTGATCGCCAATGGACAGAGCAGTATTTTGATGAAGAGTCCGAAGAAGACCACAATGATGGGTTCCGCGTATGGGTTGATCCTGATGTTCTTGCAACTAATGAACTCCGTGGAGCTAGCTGGGCTTGCGTCACGGTTATCCAGCCTTCCGGGTTGAAGGCACCGCCTGATCCTCAGCAACAGATAAATCAAACGGAGCAGAAGTCTAGTGATGCCGGGGCTCCCACAACGAAACTTGTGGCTAAATTGATGCCTTGGGCTGATTGCCCTGACCCTCAACACGCAGCCCTATCCTCTGTACTGTGCTCTGCAATAGGAGTTGAAAGCATGGTGGGCGGCATTGTTCGGGTGGAGGCAGCTCCCCCGCCGCTGCAGCGGGCGGCTACCAGGGCGCTCAAAGTTTATCCCTTCTTAACGGATGCATCCAAAAGGAAAGATGGGTTAAAATTTGGCGCAGATACCATAGCGGCCAAGGATGCATTGGTGGAGCGCATTAAGGTGATATACGGCAGCACCGGTTCAGGAAAGGGATTGCTTACAGGCCCTTTGACTGACGGCATGATCCTGCCCAAGGCCCATAATCCAGGAGTTGTGTCTGCATTTGATGGCGCTATAATCCGATTTGATCCGCCTCTGAAGAACCCTTCCGATGCATCCAAGCCGGCCTTTGGGTGGCTTTTGGGATCCGATGTAAAGCTGCCTCTTGAGGTGCAAGCTGAAATACCAAAGCCGGCAGAATCCAGTGCCTTGGTGCTTCCGACAGAGGATGTGATCCCATCTACCGTTACCCCGATGGTTGGCATCGACCAGGTTATTACGCAGTCGCTGGCCAGTCTTACCAAATCCTCCTCTGTTTTGGTGACAGGTGGTCTTGGATCTGGAAAGACAGCCTTGGGCCATCTCTTAGCCCACCGCTTGCGCGAAGACTATCTCTTTAACGTGAAGTATTTCTCGTGTCGCAAGCTTGTAACCGATGAAACTCGGATTTCCAATATCAAGGAAACTCTGACCCGCCTCTTCATGTCCGCCGCCTGGTGTGCTCGTCTAGGCGGGCAATCGGTGGTGATCCTCGACGACCTTGACAAATTATGCCCCGTGGAGACCGAGCTGCAGGTAGGAGGGGACAACGGCCGTAGCAGACAGAACAGTGAAGTGATTTGCTCTATGGTCCGGGAGTATTGCTCCATGAACTCGGGCGTGGTCCTTCTGGCAACTGCTCAGTCGAAGGAGTCCCTGAACAATGTTATTGTGGGTGGACATGTGGCCCGGGACATTATCCATCTTAGAGCTCCAGATAAGGAAGGTCGACGAAAAGTCCTCGAGTACCTCACCAGTCAGGATCGATCGGCGACCAGCCCTGCCACCGCAGCCACTGGCCCTGCTACCATTAATGGACAAGTGCGAACCGGCAGCACCTCAACTAACGATTCTTGGCTGGATCCCTCCAACCCAGGGAGCCGTCCAAGCTCGTCTGGTGGCGATGGGTTTGTTCTTGGACGAGAGGTCGACTTTCTGGACCTTGCGGGCAAAACTGATGGATATATGCCTGGAGATCTAGTCCTGCTGACCTCCCGTGCAAGGAATGAGGCACTTATCCGATCTGTCTCGGAGTCAATGGAGACTTCCAAGGCAATCACCCTTGATTTGGTAGATTTCGAAAACGCTATCAAGGGATTTACGCCAGCATCTCTCCGGAACGTTACCTTGACCTCTTCTACCACTACGTTTTCAGCTATTGGTGGATTGCAGGAGACCCGGAAGATGCTCCTGGAAACGCTGCAGTACCCGACCAAGTATGCCCCTATCTTCGCACAGTGCCCACTACGGTTGCGATCCGGTCTGTTGCTCTATGGATTCCCTGGGTGCGGTAAAACCATGCTGGCCAGTGCCGTGGCAGGCGAATGCGGATTGAACTTTATCAGTGTCAAGGGGCCCGAGATCTTGAACAAGTATATTGGTGCTAGTGAGAAGAGTGTCCGCGATCTTTTTGAACGGGCGCAAGCAGCTCGGCCGTGCATTCTTTTCTTCGATGAATTTGACAGTATTGCACCTAAACGTGGACATGATTCTACAGGAGTCACAGATCGAGTGGTCAACCAGCTCCTCACCCAGATGGATGGCGCGGAAGGCCTGTCGGGCGTGTACGTGCTGGCCGCCACGTCCCGTCCCGACTTGATTGACCCGGCCTTGCTACGTCCCGGACGTCTGGACAAGGCGCTCCTCTGCGATATGCCCAACCATGCCGACCGAATGGATATTATCCAAGCGGTCAGCAAAAAGCTGCTGATGAGCGGAGAAGTGGCTTCTCGACTGGACGAAGTGGCGGCGCGTACGGAAGGCTTCTCTGGTGCGGATCTGCAAGCTGTGGTTTACAATGCGCATCTGGAGGCTGTGCACGACGCTCTGGGGGATCGCTCGGGTGGGGACAAGCCCCCTGCAAAGAGCGGAAAGACCACATCCACCACCAGTACGGGCAGTCGCTCCTTTATCCAGTTCGTGTACTCCACCTCGGAGCAACGAGCCGGGTCAGTCACTCTGCCTGCGCCCGCAGTCGTGGCATCGAGGCTCGATGCGATCAAGAACGCACGCCGTCGTCAACGACAACTGGAACAAGCAGTCTCTGGGGCGACTACTGCAACTTCTACCAGCGCCCCAGGTAATTCTCACGAAGCGGTGGCGGACGAGGGACGGGAGGAGATTGTAGTTCGCTGGGAACACATGGAGCGGTCTCTGTCCACGACCCGTAGCTCGCTTAGTGACGCAGAGCGGAGGCGTCTCCGGGCGATCTACCGAGAGTTTGTGGAGGGACGCGATGGGGAAATGCCGAATGGAGAGGGGGGAAGAGAGATTGGGGGACGGACGAGTTTGATGTAGAATACCAATCGATAGATCTTCTTGCATTGTCTGTAAATTAAATCTAGCATATCATCCCGTTAGCATTGACTTTGAAATCCGAGCTCACGAGAGCAAGCGGGGGTGAATGAACGGATCATCCACACCTAGGCAGTGAGAGGGAGAGATGCCGAGGTCATCATGGATAAATAGCGATCTTCGGATTCTTGATTCTGGAACAAATCAACTTGGATTATTCTTGGCTTGATCTCTATTCTATTTTCTTTCTTCTTCTTCTTCTTTTCATTCCCTTCTCGCTCTCGCTCTTTTTCCTCATCTCTCACAATGCCCGTCGCCTCAAGTTACCCTTCCGTTGACATTCCTAATGTCGACCTCTGGTCATTCCTTTTCGAACGCAAGGATAAGCCCTTCCCGGATGATCAAGGTGGGTTTCTTTCTTTTCCATAGTTTGATTTCCCTTGGACATGTCAGGCTAACTTAACTGGCTTAGTTATCTATGTTGACGCCGACACAACCCGATCCTATACCTACCAGGAGGTCAAACAAACGGCCATTGCCTTTGGGCAGGGTTTACAGTCCCTACTGGACTGGCGCAAAGGCGATGTACTCGCTCTATATACTCCCAACAGCATCGACACACCGGCAGTAATGTGGGGGACGCTGTGGGCAGGCGGCGTCGTCTCTCCCTCAAATCCCGCATACACGGTCGAAGAACTAGTCTTTCAGTTGAAGAACTCTGGTGCAAAGGCCCTGGTCACCCAGCTACCGGTTCTGCCTGTCGCGCGAGCCGCCGCGAAGCAGGTTGGCATCTCCGAGGACCGCATCATTCTGATTGGGGACCAGCGCGACCCTGAAGCCAAGGTCAAGCACTTCAGCTCCGTCCGCAATATCTCGGGTGCAAGCCGCTATCGTCGCACCCAGATTATCCCCGAGAAGGACTTGGCGTTCCTCGTGTACTCCTCTGGTACCACCGGGATTCCCAAGGGGGTGATGCTGAGTCACCGTAACATCATCTCCAACTCGCTGCAACTGGCTGCAGGTGAGGCCGGAAACCTCAAGTGGAATGGCGGACCAGACGGCAAAGGCGATCGGATTCTTGCGTTTCTTCCGTTTTTCCACATTTACGGTGCGCTGCCCTACCTTTCTCCTCCTCCTCCTACCAACCCCGACACGATACTAACTAACCACCCCCCTCCCAGGCCTGACATGTCTCGTCCACCAAACGATCTACCGAGGCTACCGGCTCTTTGTGATGGCCAAATTCGACCTGGAAAAGTGGTGCCAGCATGTGCAAAACTACGGCATCACCTTTAGCTACGTCGTGCCCCCCGTCTTGCTCCTGCTCAGTAAGCACCCCATCGTCGACAAATACGACCTCTCTAGCCTGCGCATGATGAACTCGGGCGCCGCGCCTCTGACGCAAGAATTGGTTGAAGCGGTCTACAGCCGCATCCAAACGGGGATCAAACAGGGGTACGGCCTCAGCGAGACCAGCCCGACCACGCACACGCAGCCGTGGGGGGAATGGCGCTCCTCGATCGGGTCGGTGGGCAAACTCCTCCCCAACCTGGAAGCCAAATACATGACGATGCCGGAGGACGGCACGGCGCCTCGAGAAGTGGCCGCTGGGGAAGTCGGGGAGCTCTACCTGCGCGGGCCCAACGTGTTCCTGGGCTATCACAACAACGCGGCGGCCACGCGCGAGGCCCTCTCGCCGGACGGGTGGTTCCGCACGGGCGACGTGGGCCACCAAGACGCGCGGGGCAACTTCTACATCACGGATCGGGTCAAGGAACTCATCAAGTACAAGGGATTCCAGGTGGCGCCGGCCGAACTGGAGGGGATTCTGGTGGACAACGAGGCGATCGACGACGTGGCGGTGATTGGGATGGAGAGTGCGCGGCATGGGACGGAGGTGCCGATTGCGTTTGTGGTGCGGAGCGTCAAGAGCCTGAGGTCCGGGGTATCTGCGGCGGCGGAAGCGCAGAACATTATGCAGTGGCTTGCGCCGAAGGTGGCGTATCATAAGCGGTTGCGGGGGGGGGTGCGGTTTGTGGACGAGATTCCCAAGAGTGTGTCTGGGAAGATTTTGCGGAGGGAGCTGAAGAAGCAGGCGATTCTTGCTAAGCTGTGAATTCCGATGCAGGTGTCTCAGGAAGAACAGAGCGTTACTCTCCCGGAAATTACGATAGACAGTGGACTGGATTCGATGAACAGTTCATGTCCTGGATTAAATCTGCGATGAAACAGCAGGATCAGGACTCTCGAGATGAGGAGATTAGTTAGTGATTCAGAATGATTCAGATTGACTACGTCGGTAATGAGGCGTCAGCCCACTACGATTTGTTTCATCGTACACTGTGATTTGTATTTACCCAATATTAATATTATCTTTTGTCCCAGGGAAGAGATGAGGTTATTGTTACTAGTCAGGGGTAAAATGTATAATTACAGTGAAGATACAAGGCCTGGTTAATTATAGTAATTATTGGTTCTCTGATGGAGTACGGAGTATACTCTGGATGCAAGGGACCAAGGGTTACTGACCCCCGGTCTGTACTGTATGGTACTGTACGGTAAAGACAGTATGGGTTGTTCTTTTCTTACCCCTGCGTTTCTTCTACTGTATGTACCACCCAGTAGTTACCACCAAGTACCACTAAGTACCACTAAGTACCACTAAGTACTACTGGTATCTCCCAAGTACTGGTCCTAATAAAGTACGATCGACTAAATCGCATGGCAAAAACATCTTCGAAGAAAAAACCTCTCGTCTAAACATCTTCATTCATCTTGTCACTCTTTTAGCTTTCTTTTCTTTCTTTTCCTCTGCTTTTCCTCTTCTCATTCCTCTTCTCATTCCTCTTCCTCTCTTGTCTATTAAGTCCTCGGGATAGATTCCTCTGCCACATTCTTTCCTTGTCTCAACTCGACTGCTCCGTACTGGTATCATCATCCTGATTCTGCCGATGAACATTGTTTGGATTCTTTCGCCTCCCCGCTCTGTCGCCGTTACACGTCACATCCACTATTGCACATCACGACGACGACTCCCTGCATAGGATTGATGCTTGATTTCGCCTTCAATTGACCTCTGCACCACTCCCCTTCCTACCAAGAACCCGCGTTTTCTTCACTCGTTTCACTGCGTCCTCTCCTTTTCTCCGGGGAGTCCACCCTCACACGCTCAATCCTTCACTACTAAGATCCGATTGTCTGCATTTCAGTCACTCTGTCCCTGACCTGATCCCCATCGAGCGGTTTCCTGTCCAGACTTTCCGTCCACTGCGGCCGGTCCCGTGTTCCCGCCGTCATGAATCGTTTCCGGAAAACCAAGAAAGAAAAGGCCAAGGAAGACAAGCCCAAGGAAGAGGTGGATGTGCTCGAAAGTGTCCCCCCCCCTTCCTTCAGCTCAATGCTGAAAAAGGGCAGAAAGGACCCCGAGCAGAAACAACTGGATTTCGACCTCGCAGCCGCCTTACCGCCCAGTGATGATTTCCGGACCAGCCTTCTGATGCCAAAACTCTCCGCGCGATTCAGCATGCTGCGAGAGCAAGATGACCCCGACTCCCTGCTCGGAAAAGCTAGCGATGATAGCGTGCTCTTCCCCAGACGTGCCTCCCGCTTGAACCTCTTCGGCCACAATCCCGCCCTCTTATCAGACATCGACGAAGGTTCCGACGGCTCTCGGCCATCCCTTAGCCTGGGACGAAAGGGTTCGTTCGCGTCGGGAAGTGAAGGATACCCCGAGAACGATGATGCATCGCAATCCGGTAGCATAATGAGTAGGCCCCGCCGTACAGAAGGGAATAACCTGTTTGGTGGTCGACAAAAGGTATACAAGATCACCACCAAGTCCACTTCCTCAATTTCGGGTCCAGACGCCAGCCGCTCCCCGATGGGGGGCCGTGCCCTCTACGAACATGACGTCAATCTTTCTCTCTTCCAACGCCAGAGGCTCAAGGAAAAAGAGGCCGAGGAAGCCCAGCTGGAGACCCCGAGTCCCGAGTCCGAAGATGCATTCTCGAGTGTCTCTTCCGCCGAGCGGACCACCTTCTCGTCCACGGGCTCTGGGCCCACCGCTACATCCCCACCCGCAACAACAACAACAACAACAACAACAACCCCTTCATTCCAGCAATCCTCTCACGGGCCCCTGGAGTCTTCGGCTCCGTTTTCCAAACTACCAATCCCAGGCATGGCCCCTGAGCGGGGTTCCGTCAAATCTCGCCGTCTCTACGGTCAAGGCTTGGCGCAGTCCGTGCAGCACCAACAAGCTTCGACTTTGTACCGATTGGAGAGCCTGAGCCGCCAACGTGCGGGAGGAACCCCTGAGATGCCTGCTCTGAACCGCGCCTACTCACGAAGCGCCACAAATTTGCGCGATCGGTTACAGAAACTCGCCATCTCGGAACCTTCTCCCCCTTCTCGTCCGACCAGCCCTCCCTCCTCAGCGACGTCGCCCAAACAACCCGTGATGGAGTCGGGATCTAAACCGTCCGGGTTTGGAGCTCCACTCAGCCCCCCTGCGAGTGAAAATGAAGATGGGGCGACCTTGATGGCCGCTCTGCAGCCCGAGGACCACGGGAAAGCGACGGCGCTGGGTCTGTTCAATAAGCCGCAAACGGCCTACGATGAGACCCAGTTTTCCCACCGTCAGTTACAGATGTATCAGGGACGAAACACGCCCCCGCTCCAACAGCGTCCTCCTTCGGGACGCGCGACCCCACAAGACCTTCGGGGACGACCCCGGGGACTCTCGAATACCAGCTATTTATCTCGACCAGGATCCACCGCATCGTCTCATTACAGCGAGACCCATCGTCCCGGAAGCCGGTCCACAGCGGCCAGCGTCGCGGCCTCCCCGGCCCGGCCTGGACATGTCGTGACGACCTTTTTCGATAATTCCAGCCCCAGCGAAACCGACGATGAAGGATATGGGCCTGATTCGCGAGACACCGAATATTCTATTGATCTCAAACACCCTGCCCTTCGCTCGGCGACCCCATCGACCCCCTCGACCCCGGTAGCCGAACAGAACAGTCCTCTCCCAGAGGTCAGGTACTCGGACCTGGGTGATCTCAAACCCATTGCGGAGCAGCATGAAGCCAGCGAGACCCCCCCGGCGCAGAGGAGCCATGGGCCGGAAACCCCCGATTCCCCCACATTAGGCCCATCTGGCCTCGGCCTGGGTGGGCTGGTGCGCCATCTTCGGAATGATAGTGACAGATCGTCGATTTTCCCACCACCCTCCCCTGCGTTCCCACCAAAGCCCGCAGAGAACGACCCGGTCCGTGACGCTTCTTCCTGGGATGAGTCTCGCAACGCCGATCCCGAGTCCGCCCCTCAGTCCCCCACCGCAACCCCGTCCTCCCGGCACCCGGCATTGCGCGATCAACCACCGTCGTCTCGACACCGACGGGAGGGTAGCACGGAGACTCAGAAAGAACGCGAAGAATTTGCGATTGAACTGGCAGAACGACGGCGGAGGGTGCAGGAAAAGCTTCGGGATTTCGCCGAGAGCGAGAGTCGCGCCGCAAGCCCCGTGTTCGGTCGTCAAACTCCGGACTTGGTGAGCCAGCCTCGAGCTGGCAACGCATTCGCTCTGCTGAAGAGCAAGTCCAGCAAACATCACCTCTTCAACCGCCCAGAACCTAGGGGCGGGGTCAAGGGTTTGCCCTACGGGAATGCCTCCACTCCTGCCTTGGTTTCGGAGGACTCCTGGCGCGACGAGGAGGGAAAAAGGCCGGCTCCTTTCGCCCGACATGCGAACTCAAGCTCGCCTCATATCGCCGCAGAACGGTCTATGCGGTCCAAAATTGCGGTTTTTGGACGCAGCAGCCAGGACGAATCTCCTGAGTCGAGCCGTAGCCGTGGCGTATCCCCCCATTCAAGTTTCCATTCGCGGCGGGACCGGTCCAGCTCAGACGCCTCTGGTCGCTCCAAAAGCCGCTCTTGCCGCGAGCGAGACGACCTGGGAATCCTGAAGGAAGATGCTGCGGGCGCTCATGCCAGCGTCGCGGCGGCGACGACGACGACGACGACGACGACCACCACCACCACCACCACGGACTATGAACCGCGTGGAATGGCGTCCGCTGCATCATCCGCCCGGCCTTCCGTCGAGGGCCATGAACGGCCGCCCTTCGATCGATCTTCGTCGGCCGCCTCCGGTAGATATCGTCTGGAAGGTCGATCGTCGGCGACTCCAAGTTTCCATGACCGACCATTCCATGCTGCTCCCCCAGTCGCCAACTCCCCGCTGATCGGAGCCGCCGCCCCGCGACCATCTCCGGCGGCGCCCCCTTACTCTGCCAACGCGACGCCTCCCCTGCATGATCTTGCGGCCGACCCTTCGGCCACCCCGCCATCCACGTCTCCAAGCAACCACCCTCAAGCCATTCCCCCGCGTGCGCCGGGCCACAATGGTCTTCACAAGCGGATTATAAACAAAACCCAGATCTCCGAACCTACCTTCATCTCCTGTACCTCCAACGTGCCGACTGTTGGCCTTCCGCCCGGAGCGAGCCTGAGCAATGGCATGGAGACCCCGCCGCTGCCCCCCATGAACCCGCGACGCCGACGCCAAACCACCACGCAGACGATCCTGGGTGCGCTCAAGGGCGATCGGTACGAATCGCACTCCATGCCTCCCTCCGAGCCCGACCCGGGCCCCGAGTACAGCACCTTCTCGGACGAGGGAGACAAGCGTAGCCGGGCGCGACAACGACTACGCAAGACATCCAGCGAGGGCGGGGACTTGAATCTCAAAGCTCGCCAGCATTTTATGGCGAGCCCACCTCCTCCTACGCCCCCAGCTTACCCACCCCAAGTTCCCATGGACGGAGGAATGTTTTAAAATTCGGGGTTTTAGTATGATTTTCTCGCTTGTTGAGATACCTATGTTTTTTTTTTTTTTTTTTTTTTTTTTTTTGATCTATGATGATAGATACCAATTGTGTTGTGTTCAGCGGTCGATAGTCTTTCCTTAGCAATTTCCTTTTTTGCACTCTTTTCTTGATCTTTTTCTTTTTGGTTTATAGCTTGTCTACTGCAAATGCACTGTCTTCTCACATAATTAGGACTCTGAGGTAGAATGTTTGAATATCCCAAGTTGAGGTTTTGACATGTTCAGTCACGTGTATCAAAAGCCCTATACAAGAAGTCACATAAGAGCAGACTAGAAAGAACAAATAGGTTTACACCAGAGATACCAGAGTGATTCCACAGAATATCCTTTGTGTAGAGGAGCCTAGAAGAGGCTTCTACCTATTGAACTTGCTGGTGTTGGGACTGTCATCGTCTCGGCGACACCAGTGAAAGAAGCAGCCAAAGCAGGAATCTGTTTCTGCTTTCTTTCTGTTTCTCCTTTCTCTCCTTTCTTCCCTCTTTTTCCAACACATCTTTTCTTCTTCTCCATCATTCTTTTGCTGCTTTCATTGCCCCTCATTTAGCCACGATACCTGACTCTGAAACTGGAAGGAGCATGGTCAGACGGAGCTCCTTCTGCTCCTCTGAATTACCTTCTGCGGTTCAGCTGTTGGATCGCTTTTTCGATCTCGACCGCTCGATTCCCGTTACTGAAGCGGTTTCTGTTCTTCTTTGGGGACGCCACGCGGCTGGGGAGATCATTATTATGTCGTCTGACTTTTCTTCTCTGGCGATGGCGCAGCTGGATGGCTCGTCGGAGCGTCGTAAGGCTAAGAAGCGCGCCCAGCTGCAGAAGAAAAAGACCAAGAAACCTCCTCCGCTGGCTCGGAAGGAGGAAGATCAGAAAGATCAGAAAGATCAGAAAGATCAAGAGGCCGTGTCGTCGTCGGTGCCTGAGAAGCAGCCTGCATCATCTACATCCGTTACCGACGCAGCTCGACCAGATGTTATCGATGGAAGTTCAATGGGACCCCATGTTTATTCGTTTACTCGCGGCTATGGATCTGGTGTTACTGGTCTCAGTGCGGTCCAGGAACAACAGCCCGGTGAGACGACCAAGCGTCCCGAGTCTCCCGCCAGCACTGTCGATACTGTTCGTGTGACGCAGCTGCAGTGCCAAACCCACGGCCGGTCGTTGTGCCAGTTCAGTTCGAGCTGCTGTGTGCATAAACCCGTCACTGACTGCGGCTGCCCCCCCAAACACTCCTGCTGCTGCACTCACCATTTCGGGGACTGCTGTCACTGTGTCCAGACTCCTCCCAGTGAGGGTGACGGGGATACATCGAGAACGGTCACCCCCTCGGCCGCCCCGGCGCCTGCCACGTCTGCCGATACGACAACCGTCGTGATGACCCCTCCGTCTGTGTCCCCCATTGATCAATCCGAGCTCAATTTCGAGGATGCGGCGCTGCTTTCCCGCTATCTGGTGCAGAGACTGGAGCGGAGCGAGCTCTGTGACTTCCACATCACCCTACGTTCCAAGCAAGACCTCTTCTGGCCGCTCACCTTCCTCACGCACAAGGTCGTCGTCGCTCGCAGTCCCCTCATTCACACCGTTCTCCAGGCGGACCCTCACTACCATACCCTCGGCGAGATTGTCTGTCTCTCGAGCGACAACTTTTGTCTTGTCAAGCCCTTTGAGCTCGTCGTGCAGTATCTCTATGGCCTGCCCCTGCTGCGTGCGGACCATCTCCAACCCATCACGCTCGGGGCGCTCGGTTACGACCCTCTCCCGAATCAAGATGGAAAGGGGGCAGAGCCCGTTTACCCTTTTTCTCTGCCGGCTGCGATGGTGGACCTGGCGCTCTGCTATGGGGCATGCGGGGCATTCTTTTATCTCCCTCCGGTTGTCAACGCGGGATTCAATATTGCCCTTGGCCTGCTCGGCTGGGAGACAGTTGAATGGATCCTCCACTTTGGCCTACATATCGAGAGATACGCCGTGACGATGGATACCGGTGCGACTGTTCCTTCCAGCCAGGGGGATCCGGCGGCTACTCCCCAGGCCGAGACCGCCAATCGGACGGCCGATATAGCAGCAGTAGCAGCAGCAGCAGCAGACACTGGTCAAACTCCCACCGCCGCGGAAAGTGCGCGTGTATTGAATCCAGACCCCGAGACCCCGTACCCTCTCCCGTTCCTGAGAAACCGATGGGCACCGCGTCTCATCACCGCAGCCCTCGAGTTTGTGATCAAGCATATCACGGCGGACTTTGCTCTGTATCGTCCGGCGCAGTCCGATAATATCCCGGACCGCATCCCCTACTTCCTGCGTGCGAATGTTGCCCTCCAGACGCAGACCGCCGAGAACGCCGCTGCGCCTGCGGTTTCGGCTGCTCCGGTCTCCAACTCGCCGGCTCTCGCATATAACCCCCGCCTCGCAGGCGTCAAATTTGGCACGCTTCCTAAACCCGATCCTTTGGCGGCTCCTCCGTCTGGCGGACCCAGCACCGAACCCGAGAACCCGGCTCCAGAGGTTCTCGTTCCTTCGATCGTCCTGCTCGGTCTGCCGTTTGCCCAGCTTCAGGTAGTCTTTACGATGATGGCTGCTCGACGGGTGCTTTCGAATTCTCTGGCACAGGGGATAATTATGGAGCGGGAGGCGAGACGGCTGCGTGCGTTGAAGGTGTGGGGGCGTCATGTTGGGCAGCGTGCCGAGGCCGAGAAGGAGAAGGAGAAGGCGAAGGAGAAGGAGAAGGAGAAGGCAAAGGCAAAGCAGAGTGAAGAGGATAACGCAGAAGAAGAAGTGCCCGAGGAAGTGCAGGAGCTGGGATATCGGGAGTTTTATAGCTCCAAGGGCAAGTTTTCAGAGTCGTCCGAGGTGGAGATGGAAATTACTCTGGAACGAGAATGGGTTGGATTTGAATAGGTTCCTGGGTTTCCTGCCATGGAGTGAAGCTGAGTTGAGATCCTGGGTCGATAGCTGTTAGGTAGAGAGTGAAGAATGAATTCAGTCTACATCTTTCTCAGTATACGGAAATTGAAATCCTGCTCGGAAAAGGAATCCCGTATTAACATATATATATATATATATATATAGGATAACCACACTCATCGGAATCTTCTCTATTAAATACTCCAGAAGAAAGAAAAAAAAAAAGAACCGAAAATGACCCCCGAGCAACTCTCCGACGCCATCGACAAAGTCAACCTCCTCAAGGCCGAAAAATCACACTTCGACCAAGACAAAGACAAGACGCAGTTCCGACAGTACGAGGAGGCCTGCGACCGGGTCAAGCACTTCTACAAGGAACAGCACACCAAGCAGACCGTGGCGTACAACCTGCAGGCGCGCAATGCCTTCCACTCGCAGACGCGGGCCGAGATGACGGTGTGGCAGGCCATGGAGCGACTCAACACGCTGGTGGACGAATCCGACCCGGACACGGCGCTCTCGCAGATCGAGCACCTGGTGCAGTGCGCCGAGGCGATGCGGCGCGACGGCCAGCCGCGCTGGATGCAACTGACGGGGCTGATCCACGACCTGGGGAAGCTGCTTTACTTCTTCAACGATGCTGCCGCCGGCACTGGGGTCGCCGCGCAGTGGGCCGTCGTCGGGGACACCTTCCCCGTGGGCTGCGCCTTTGACGACCGCATCGTGTACGGGCGCGACTCGTTCCGCGACAACGAGGACTTCGGCCATGCCATCTACGACGGCTCCGTGCCGCACGGCATCTACACGGCCGGCTGTGGGCTGCGCAACGTCATGCTCTCCTGGGGCCACGACGAGTATCTCTACCATGTGGTGCGCCACCAGTCGACGCTCCCCGAGGAGGCCCTCGCCATCATCCGCTACCATTCCTTCTACCCCTGGCACACGGCGGGCGCGTATCGCCATCTGATGGACGACCGGGACCATGTCATGTTGCGCGCGGTGCAGGCGTTTAACCCGTATGATCTTTACAGTAAGAGTGATGCCGTTCCGGCCATTGAGGAGCTCAAGGTAAGGGGGTTTTCTACTTTCTACTTTCTACTTTCTACTTTCTACTTTCTATAACGAAGGCTAATATAATAGGGGTCCAGCCGTACTATCTCGAGCTGATTGACGAGTACTTTCCCAACAGGGTTATCCGGTGGTAGACTTGATATATATATCCCATATAGCCAATCGATATCTATATCTCTATCTTCAGAACTCGAGGCTCCTTACGAACATTTATGGTACTGGTTCAGATACAATCTTGCGGGCTCCATCGCTCAATTAAGCGTGTGCTCCGTACTCCACTACTGTATCGATTAAGACTTGTCTTGACACCTTTTAGCTGAACGGTAAAGTTGTAGGGGTAGAAATAAGCAGATTAGTGGTTTCATCATTCATGCATTCATACACTCATGCTAGAGGGCGTTTATTCTGCTATAAACATCACAAGTGGGTAACAGTCTGAAAGTCGACAGGAAGACGAAAAGAAATGAAAACAATCAACCCCCGCCGCAACACGGGGATATCCGAATACCTACCTCAGCCTCCAAGCGCAGGTGGAGAGAGAATAACCTCCACGGCCACCAACACTATGCAAAGCAGGATCAAGTCTGAATTATGAATATGAAGAACTGTTCCTCCGACTGACCGACTTCTCCGATAAATCGTCCAGATCACGAGCCGTCGCATTGACAACCCGCAGCTTCTCCTTCGGCACCGTAAATGTCACCTGCACCCGACGGCCCTCGGCGGCACGTTCGACATCCCAGTCTTCGTCGCTTTCCGGGTCCAGCCTTCTCTCGAGCCCCAAATCAGCGCGCGTCGACCGGGCCGTGTGGAATGCCATCCCGCCCATCGACTCCCGAGAGGCCCTGGTTCCGGCACCCCAGTCCTTGGCTCCCTGCTTCCGTCTAAAGAGCTCGGCGGACGCACTCACGGATCTTTGGGGGATTCTTGCTTCCGCGGCGGAAATCCCGAGCACGGTGTGTCTTCCATCAATCCCGGAGGCGAGGGAAGCTGGGTTTGGATCTTTGTTGATGGACGGTCGTTTTCGGGTGACAGAGAGTACTCGCCGGACGTTTCCTATCCACTCGGAAGCTCGCGGCCGACTAAGAACTAGGACGGCAGATGGCTCGGGAGCATCTTGGAGGAGGTGCTCGCCTTCTATCTGTCGTTGAGAGAATGAGGTGTGCGCGGTAGAGTAAGAATCGGATGAGTAGCGCTTCTCGTAGGATAGGGTTGTGGCTACGCTATCTCGGTTTCGAGATTTTTCTCCGCTGGGACCAGATGTGCAGGCGGATTTGGTAGATTTCGCTGATGACGTCGAAGAGTCCGAGAGCGTGGATGAGGTACGCTCACTCTTATCGGGCGATATGCGTCCGTCTGCAGTTGGACTGCCCAAGGCAACAGATTCCGAGCCAGAAAAAGGGCCAGGGGGCTTCCCCTTCAGACATGGTTCCTGGGGTATGGGAAATTCCGGCCCTGTGGAGGGGTCCGAGGGATCTCGTGCGCCACTCCTTCCCGCAGAACGTTCTTCATCTTCCTCGCGTTCATCGATTGGGTGGATATCGCTGGTTGCTTCCCCTCTCCTATAGTCATTATATTGTGTAGGGGGGCGGTGCATTCGAGCATTCGACGCTGGTCGATGATGTTTCGCAGGGCTTGGAACATCTCCGAGCAAGCCAGTTCTTTCCGCGGCCGCTTCTCCATTTGCTCGCCAGTTGCGGTTTCTTCCAAAACTTCGATTGTTGTTATTCATGTTCCAAGGATAGTCGCTATTCACTCCCGCCTCGCTCATCGAAGGATCTCTGATACTGCTAGCCATATTCGGTTCGTCTCTCCCCCAGAAGTGGGCTCTCTGCGCACCTAACGCCAGCTTGCGAAGCTCCCGGCTCCGTGTTCGACGTGCCATATGCCTTCGGCGAAAAAAGAAAACGAAGATGGCAAGCCCAGCCAGGGCAGGAATTCCCAGGCCCAGCCCAACCCCAAGGCCGGCCTTTTTCGATGAAGAAGAACCCGACTCTGCAGAAGAAACACCAACAGACTGCTGGAGCGCCACTGCGTTGGGGTTTTGGTATGAAGGCGCCCAACTGCCTGCGGTCACATTATACAGATAAACCTCTGGGTTCAGCTGGGATTCCATCACAGAACGTTTCGAAGATTGAGATATCTGATATCCCCCTGCGATCATCATAACTCCTCCAGGAAGCATTGTAGCCCCATGTCCGTAGATCCCAGTTCCGTCGGCGATCCCCGCGTCAGTCATGGACGGTATCTTCCAGACCCAATCTCCAGAGCCGGCAAAGCCACCTCCTATTTCGAGAACAGCGAGCTGGGGTGTTGCAGGTACACTAGTGTTGCCGACCCAGCCCCCAAAGACAACCACCTGGCTCCCATCCGGCGAGAGAACGGCGGTGTGACCAGACCGGGGTTCAACTGAGGTATCACGGATTGCTCGCTCAGTCTTCTGCGTCTCTATGACAGAATCAACCGTGGCAAAGCTCCAACTGTTTTGCGGGGCCGAAAAGATAGCCAGTTCCGACATATTGATAAATGCCTGCTGAGTGTGGCCACCAATCAACAAAAAGTCCTGCTGTTGTCGGCGCTCACCATCCAAGTATGCGTACGTGGCTTGTAAAGGAGTGATGGTAAATCCTGCTTCTGGGATTGGAGGTGCTCTATCACTAGTGGTTGAAGCCTGGTAAAAACCTCCGTCATCAGAGGTCACCGGGTCTAACATCATCATCATCTGGGAGTAGTTTGCGGCCGCGATCCAGGACGTTCCAGGGTCATCTTGGTAGGGGCACATGCCAGCAAAGGCAAACAAAGAGGTCTGGGTGGTGTTGGAAGACGCAAATGCAAACCCAGCCGACAAATAATTTGGCCCGGAAGTCTGACCCTCGGTTCCATCCACCGAGAATTTCGCCCATGTCCCATTACCGGTAGAACTGCTCGAATCAGGTTGAAACTGCCATAGCATACCCTGGTCATCCGGATTCTGGCAGTCGCCCGTGTAAACCTTCACCACACCATACTGATCGACAACAGAGACATATGCCGATGCCGATGTCCCACTGTGGTTTCGGAAGGGTGCCTCGTCCAGGAGCACGGTATACACCGGGTTATCTGGGTCAATGTCACCGGAGACATTTAGTGAGAGGAACTCCGTCCTATTTTGATCTGGGTCTCCGGGTCGGAGCAGGTAGGCAAACGAACCGTTCTGGTGGGGAGAGTATATGAGACTCGAGGGTGTATACGGGACTCCGGCGTGGACGCGGCCGACCCAGGGCAGGGCGCAAAGGATTGTAGGCAGTAAGCGACTGCCAACTGCCCTGTGCATTCGGTATATTCGATGGGAACGATCATCCATCAGATGAGAAATGGATGGGTATATGCAGTTTCAAACAAGGTCTCTCAACGTGCAGGATCTAAGACCACCATGGGACATTTAGCGAGGCCGTCAATCACACGATTCACAGAAAACATGCCACGTTGTTTCTGAGGCGAAGATAATCACAAGGGAAATAAAGTGGGATTTAATATGATCAACGAAGAGTGGCCGGTGTTGCGCGGGATCAAGAGTAAACAGGAAACATCCCAATCACAGTGGGCCAAGCGTAAAAAGTCTAGATCTCCTGACGCACAAGACTAGAGGAGGACCTAAGGTAATCTAATCAACGTCCTGCCCAGATAAACATTCTCCATGATAGGCGATGCATCTCACCCGAATGGCGGAGGGGTCGGCAATAGGCGTTCCCCATAGTCGCGGAATCACGGGCGGTTGCACTGGCAACGTCTGACGCACCCACGGTTGAGAAGTCAATGGGTGGGTAAGAGTGTCCAATCTGCTGGTCCGGTTCCAGCGTCAGTGTATATATATCACTATATATACCGGTAGACATGGTGGCGATAATCAATGCAGAGAAAAGGAGGAGAAGGACGGCGTCAATTGATGAAGTCAGAAGGGGGGAATTTGGGGCCACATTCCCAGGCAGAGACTCTGAAGTTATTGACGGTTGGAAAGGGGAGCTCGAAGTGAAACTTTTTCCTTATCGATGGATCCTTCAACCGTTGACAGTTGACATTCTTGTGTTTCGCGAGTCAGTGAGATGAGATCTGTCTCTGTTGTGCATGAGGTCAAGTATGTACGTATGATGAGAAAATGACTACCTAGATACAATACCTAGGTACTAAGCTTACCCAACAGGAAACAAATCTCTAACCACCCCAGAGATTACTTTACTGTTATATTTAGATCTTATTCTAGGAGTTCAGTTATTAACAATGTCTTTCTTCTCTTGATAAACTTCATCTTGTACGGAGTACCTGTACACCGATACTCACCTCCCTTTGTTTACTTCTCGATATCTCCTTACCTCTCCGTCCTTCCATTAAGCTACTATGGATCCTAGAAGTTTCCATTTCTCCATTTCTCGGTCATCACTCATAAAAATCAACCCGCGCATTAACCCTATACCCAAGTGAAGGTCCAAAGTTCCAAAGTTCCAAGATAATCGCGGGGTGCATGGGAGTTCTATGGAGACCACCCCAGCTCAACTCTTCTCCAGTAACGAGTAGGGAACTAGTTAGTTAACTAATTGTGGCCGGGGGGCCGCTGGGCTGACATATAAGATCACAGACCTCCTCCAAGATCTGGATGCACCGAGTCGTAAGAGAGGATTCACCAGCCGATAGGTGGTTTGCGCCGAGAACCCTTACACTCAGAATACACTAATACTTAGGTATACTCCTCATGGCATGATGGATGACCTAGACCGGAAGCAAGAGCAGGAGCAGAATTAAAGCCAGCTAACTATCTACTAGTATCCTGTCAATAGCACTAGTAACCTGTATGCAACCTTGCCAACCTCGTCCAATATCCGGGCTTACGAAGAACATGTTGGTAAAGTAACTAAAAGCAATACGATAGAGTTAGTTAGTCTATTTATTTAGAGTGGTATTTCAAACACAACTGGGGATATGTTGGGACACTTTTCTACAGAGTAATATAAAATAGTTGACTAGTTAGCCTCCTGGCTAGAGCTGCAAATGACAAAAGCGCGGGGTTCAGAAAGCCACTTACATATACACATACAACCAACCCTAATCGCAATACGAAGAAAGGAATAGGGGCTACTCCGTACCTACTCGGGAGTCGGGAAGACCCGGTTAGCCGCTAAGACCAATACCGTGCATGACCATGTCGAGTGTCAGGGCCCTCGGGGATGCAATTGCCAGATGCTACAGTATCTACTTCATGCATGATGGTGGATATGGTTAGGTACGGAGTAGTTGGTTGTTGCCTTCCTCTGGGGGATCGGATTCACGACCCAATCAGGGGCAGTAGTCTACCTAAGAAAGCTAAACAGGTGCAGTGCATGTTTGGTGTGACTGCTATACGATTATATCACACCCAGTTGAAGCACAGGGTGCCACTCTAGATGACATATGCGCCGTCCCTTACGAACCCCTCAACTCTCCGAGTAGGGGAAAGAAAAGAAAAACGTGCTCGGAGCTTCGCGTACTGTTGCCAGCCATTCCATGCCAGTTGAATGGCCATCTGCAGGCGCTTCTCTGTTTGATCTAGCGTTTAAGAACGTTTTCCTGCCTTGGAACTGGTCAGTAATGAAACTGTACTGATTTGGGGGGGGTATTACTTACTGTTAGTGTACTGTTGTTGCATCAAAGGGCACTGAACAGTAGAAAGCTTAGTAAAGGAGTAGTTACTCAATCATCCAGGGAAAGGAAAATACAGTGTACTTTATTGGAGAGGGGGGTTGATATGCATGCAGTAAAACAGGGATAGTAAACTAGTAGCAACAAAAATTCACCTCGCTCTATCAGACCATGACTCCCCCCCAAAACTACCTCTAGGGAACAAAAAAGTTATCAGAATGATATGATGGCACTGCCCGGAATCGAACCGGGGCTGGCACGGCCACAACGTGACGTCCTACCACTAGACCACAGCACCTTGTTATGGAAGGCGGCCCGAATATTGACTTGATAAGCCACATACCACAGCAGTCCGGAATAGTAACTTCGAGTGATGTTTCCAACAGGGATACGGAGTACCTGTCAGTTGCATCTATTGTGCAGACTGAACCTGATACTATATTACTGGTTCTAATCCTACATGTGTTACCTAGTAGGCTAGTACTTCCGTATTAGATTGCGATCGGGCGAATTACCCACTCGGTTCATTTGACCCCTTATTCCCCCCCCCCCCGGTAGCATTTCATTTATATATCTTCTCCGCGCTCGATAACTATCCCAACACCTAGACTACCCCCTCGATTATCATCTCCAATATCAACCCTCAGACCCCCCCCCCCCCCAACTAGGCCCCGGAACCACACGCGAATAAATACATGCTCTACTGCACAGCCCCACCGAATCCGTTAGCGAAGCAACCCCCGAGTCCGTCCTACATCTCCTTTCCCGGGGCTATCCAGAACTAGTATTCAAACCACCCGGATTCCGCTGGCCAGGGGAAAATACACCCACTAGCGCAGTCCGTAGCTCTGCAGAGAGCAATATAACGGATAGGACGTGGAGGGATGGGTCTGCCGGGGTCATGGGTGGGATTAGGGTCTTCTCCACGATGCTACATTACAGGGAGGGCATGGATGTAGCCAGGAGAGAAGAGAAAGTCACTAGCGGGGTAAGAAGAGAGAGAGAGGGAGGTAATATAATGAACCAAGAGTCGAACCCCGCGAGCATCCGTGTGGGATTAGCTACTAGGTACGTAGGAAACTAGATTTGGTATACAATCACCTGTTTCCATGTTTCCATGTTTCCAGGCTTCAGGTTATATATATGTATATAGTTACAGAGGGGACCTAGAACCATCATTTACTATCTCTAGTACCAGGCAGCAACCAATACAAATACCCCATCCCATATTCATCAGATCAGGACAATGATAATATAACAACATATCATATCATATCATATCATATCATATCAGATCAAAGCTCCCCAAATCCCCACATAACTGAACATTGGAACCTAGGAGCTGTACTGCACGTCGGATACAATACGGCAGTTATACAGAGCACAGAACACAGAAACAGCTGAGTGATAGAGTGGTGGCTGGGTATGAAACCAAACCATAAAACATCCAAGCCGGGGATAAATCACCCACAGCCATACAGTACTGTCGACGCGACGCAGCCGGTGATTGGATTGGATGGATTGTCGATTTTCGATTCTGACAGCGGGTATCAGCGGGCCGCTCTGCTTGGTGATGTATACTTCAATCTTGACGCTGGAGTTTATGCTATGGGTTTCGAACACACCGGATGCATGTAGGAGTACAGGATGGACGATGTAATAGCAGCAGCAGTAGCAAAAATCACCAGTAATCAAGCTAAATCCTTAAACCCCAAGGATCACGCTAATAGGACAGCGGGAAGCCTGGTTGACTTAAGACCTGTGAGTTATAATACCTCCTAGGTAGGTAACAGTTTCAATGCCACAGCTGTGCGACAAATGGACGGTTCCAATTCCTGGAATTAGTTATAGTTAGTATTACTAGTATAATGAGTAATGATTAACCAGCGGTCGGAAATCAATACCATACTAAAAATTATACACCGCCATACAGATGGATAGCTATTCCCACGGAGCTATGTACGTACTAGTAGTAGTTTACCCGACCCTCCCTTGGTTAACCCTCAGGTTCATAATGCGGTGTGAGAAAAGCAAGAGAAGAAAGGATTCTTCTCTTCAATCTGCAGGCCGCTATAACGAGCAAAGGGCAAAGGTGATCTACAGGATAGAGGAATTTACTGTCGGTGCTATGTAGATCCCCGTGTAACTTGCAAGAGGGAAAAGAATGAAAGAAAGTGGGAGGGATTGGTGTACGGAAAAATATCCTAGTCTCGGATTCGGGCTGGACTCAAGTCACGGTGGCAGGCAACCCTGCCTGCTTGCATGCACCTTTTTTATGATTTTCGAGTCGTAAGTTGTAACGTCTCGGACCGGATAAGCGTTGACCTCGCTTAATTGACCGGGACAAAACGGTATGGAGGATCATTGATAAAAGAAAGATTTTACAGCCATCATGGAGGCGCTGATGGTATTCCGGACGGATGTGGCATATTGGAGTTGGGCTCTAATGACGCAAGGCTCCGTGGGTCAAAAGCAACTCTGAGCCCGAAAAAAGTGAAAAGTGGTATGTGTAAGAGAAAGGTATGCAGTGAAGCACACCAGAGACCTAGAACTGCCCAGTCAGATCAATGGGAGGTCCCAGGGTCTCGTTTCAGTTAGTTACCTTGCCAAGTTGTCATGGCCAACTTTTTAGTTCCCCTCCCTTCCTCCCTGTGAGTGTGCCGTGTTGAGAGCCGAATGATATTACCGATATTTAGCTCTTTAATTTAAGAACCCTGGGTAGCTACCACTGGTTAGTGGCCATGAGTAGATGCTCAGGGAGAGAGTGGAGTATTCCGCTGCGTCTAAATCAGCCACTCCTCGTGGAACGGGTCAGGCTGCTATGCATAAGGCATTTCTCGAGGATCATGATGATGATGAGTTTGACCATCGTCAAATTGGTAATAATAATATGATGAATTGGATGGGAGGCAAACAGGAAGATTAGTATGGATTTGCCTCCGTCTCGTTTAAGTTGGAGCCCCAGTGGTCAACGCGGGCACTGGTAAAGTTAGTGGACGGAACTTTAACCTCCAATTTTCCACTCCGGTGGTATCTATGGATTAAAGGGACTCGAGGTTCTGTGTCACCTTGTCATGCTTGAAGAGAGTTAAGGGTAGGGTTGTGGGTGGTATTATTTGTCGGATTTGCGAAGATACTGTGATGAATTTCATCCTTGGCTGTGATGAAGCTGGAATGCGACAATTATGATTCTTATAATTCTCTCTAGTTTGTACCTTCTTTTTTGCCACCACTTTCAACCTCAAGCCGGGGCATTATTGTTGTCTTCTAGGATTGTTGGTCTCCAGCAAGTTAGAGATCACGGACCTCGCGTTGAAAGTTCGTCCCGCAAAATCAAGGCCGCTGACTGGGATTGGATTGGATCGACCGAGGGGAACGAATAGCGGCCGCTCAGCCTACTGTAGGTAATAGACACTAAAAGGAAAAAAGGAAAAAACCCCATTACTGTCCCTCGTACAGGAATTGGAATTGAGAATGATGATGAAATGCCACCGTAGGCTGGCTGGAATTAATGATGGAAAATAAGTGAGCTGATGAGGATGGAACCACGGAACAAGACAGATCCAAAGATTCGAGGGTTGGAGGTGCTGGGAATCTAGGTTGACAGATGTCAGACTGAGCGGGTTTATTCCAATTAGACAGAGAGAGAGAGGGACGAACGAAGAATGTTGAATCCGAAAAAGAAGGCGAGGGGTTCATCACACAGCCTGGGAAGTTGTTTCAAGACGCAACATTCAGCAAGTGGCTGAAGCCTTTCAGGTACGGCAAAGATAAGCGACGATACCTCTCTTCTAAAGATCCATAATTATGGTTACAATTATGACTCGTTGACAGTAGAAGGGAACCTGGCAAGAGTAGACGTCACGGACTTTTTTTTTTTTTTTTCTTCCTTTTTTTTCTTCCTTTTCTTTTGCACTGAAGTTTCTTGATTTTACTAAAGTAAGATCAAGTTTATCCTGATGTATGGAGTATTGAGGAGGGGCTTTACCAAGAAAGGTAATTCCGATCATTGTCCACGGTCACTTGTGGCGGAGAAATGCAGCTCTGTAGATATAAGAGATCAGCTCATCGCAGACCTGGGTATACTTTATAATTACTAATGAACTAAACCTGTAGGAACCAATTATCAAGAAATCGTAAATGGGAACCGGATGGTCGACCGAAGTGAAGTGGCTTGCTTGTCCACCCAACCTAATCCTGTTTAGTGTTTTAGGAGCGTATATATTACGGGTATTGTGTATCGGTGCTTACTAGCTGTCTTTAATGCGTAAGATTCAGATGATAGTACCTCCAGGCTCCTAGTTAGCTCTAAGTTGGAATAAGAATAGTATCAACCTAATGGTATGAATAAGTGCACAAGTCCTAGGATTTTCTCCATTCTTATTATTGTTGTGATTGTTCTTATTATAATACTACCAAATATTATATCACTAAGGAGAACTATAAAGTATAAACAAACCACATTGAGCAGAGAAAGAATTCCAGAGAGGAAGAAATGGAAATAATAACCGGGTCAATTCTGGTAAATCCTATACGCTGTACTGTCATGGCCGAGACATTCTCCCCTCCCTCTCTTCTTCTTCTTCTCCTCCGCTCAGAGTAGGGATTCTTTCTTCCCAGTTGTTCTTCTTTTCCTCTCTCTCTCTTCCTCTCTTCCTCCATTTTCCTTCCCTCTTCCTTTTCTTCCTTTTTTTTTTTTTATATTCCTCTTCCTCCTATTTTGCTTCCTCTACCCCTCCTTTCATCTTTTCCTTCGTCTCCCCCCCCCCCCCCCTTAATTCCCCCAGTTTTAATATATTTTCTTCATTACTTCGTCTTTTTCCAATTCCCCTACTTCTACTACTTCTCTTCGAAGTCCCCCCCCTCTATTATATAGGCGCCTTTTACATATCGCGCCCCCTTGTTTCTATACTTAGACGCACTCTCCTTTCAAAACCTTCTCTCCCTGTCCTCAACCGCTTGTCGTCTCCATTCTCGCCTGCGATCATCTCCCGTTTAGTCCTAATCATAACCCACTGCATCCTGGTGCTGTAGTAGGTCGACCTGCCCGAATCCGTTGTCTGGTACACGGTCTCCCAAGTCGAGTCAAGTTTCTATGACTGCCATCGCTTTCCTCCGAGTTGAACCCCGAAAGTAATACCGATTCATTTCACCGCACAATCGGGGCTTCGCATCTGTCGCGCCAGGAGACAACAAGGATCACTCCCCGCCCAAGAAAAGGTTGACAAAACACGGCGGACAGAATCGGAAATATATCCCAGAAATACAACCGAAAGAAATAGACAGAAGAGGATGCACAGATCTTGTCCGGGGAGTGGTTTGGTTACAGAAATCTGAAAATGACCGATCGGGCTGCGTTCACCCTCAGCCTGGAGGATCTGACAAACGTGGCATCCTCAAATGGTCAGATATCGGAACATATCTACAAGCAGCGGATGAATAGATCGAACGAAACTTTGGACTACTCGCGACCTTCGTCGTTGGAGATCGATTCCAGGCAGACCATCACCAAGCCGCCAAATGCAAAGCTCCCTCATGTGAGTGATGTGGCGGACGGCCAAGCATCTCTACGGCACCCTTTCCCCCATCTATATCATTCCTCCAGTACCTCCAGGTCACCTTCCACCCGAACCTCATCCAGTTCGCTCCAAGCGTTGAATGAAGATATAGTGGTCGATGCCCGGTCGGATAATGGTCTGTTTGGCCGAAACTCCACCTCTCGCAGAGTGTCGCAGATGGGGCAATCAGATACCTTCTCTACCGATTATCCCGTCTACCCTGATCAATCCTACGCCGTCCTACAATCTCAGATCCACCCCACCTATCAGCCCCCATTTCTACGAACCCGAAGTTCATACCCAACTGAAACCGCCTCCCGGCAAGGTCCAGCCCGCGTCTCTCGCACGGCGGGCAACACCCCCCTCTCTAGCCCGGGGTTATTCTCGGTCAAAACTCCCCACGTCGGCCCTTCCTCCGAGTCTGATGACGAGGGCCACGCCAGCTTCCCTCACCTGCATCCAACACATCTTCAGCCTCCGAAAGAGTAAGTTTTTCCTCTGCATCTTCTACCCTACGTGGATTCCTCTACCTCCTTCATCGTTCTCAGTACTAACCTTGATATGTAGAACACATACGGCCGAGGTGGATCGAGATCTTATAACCGGAAATAAGCTTATCAACCAGTACGAAATTCTCGAGGAGCTCGGGCGTGGCGAACATGGAAAAGTAAAGCTTGGTCGCCATCTAGCAACCCGGCAGAAGGTCGCGATCAAGATCGTCCAACGATACTCAAAAAGGCGCCGCTTAGGGAGATTGGGAAATGCTGAAGATAAAGTCAAGAGGGAGGTTGCCATCTTGAAGAAAGCCCGCCACCCGAATGTGGTAAGTCTGCTGGAAGTCATCGATGATCCGAACCGCCAGAAGGTTTATATAGTGCTCGAATATGTTGAGAACGGTGAAATCATCTGGCGGCGGAGGGGCCTCCGGGAAATTGTCTACGTGGACAAGCTCCGGCTGGAGCGAGAGAAGTCGGGTCTCGATGACACCCCGGCGTTTTTGGAAGAGAGCCAACAGTATATCAAAACTGCTCAACGCCTTCGACGGCAGCGAGAGAGGGCGCGCGAGCGCCGTCAAGCGCAGGCGGAGTATGCGCAGCAGGGTCCCATCCCTGCTTGGAGCTTGGAACACGGGGCCGAGTCAGACGACGAACTGGGCCCCGAGCTAACAATTGCTCGAACGTCGAGTCGCTGTGTTCCGAGTTTCGATGAGAACCATTCTTCCCCTAGTCACTCTCTGGCCTCAGCCCAGGAGGCGGCTTTGGCCGCGGTAGAGGGCACCATGTACGGGGCTTATGCCGATAATCCCTTCGAACGACGATTTAGCACCGCCTCGAGCAGCTTTGGATACGCCCCTTCCGAACCGGAGTGGCGTCCAGATGAGGACGACATGTCCTACGTTCCCTGTCTCACCATCAACGAAGCACGTACCGCATTCCGGGATTCACTGTTGGGTCTCGAGTACCTGCATTACCAAGGCATCATCCATCGTGACATTAAACCGGCGAATCTACTAGTTACAAGCAATTTCCGAGTAAAGATTTCAGATTTTGGGGTGTCCTATCTGGGACGACCGATTCGAGATGAAGACGAAGAGCAAATCGAGGAGACAGATGCGACAGAGTTGGATGATGCTCGAGAACTGTCAAAAACAGTTGGCACGCCGGCATTTTACGCACCTGAACTGTGTTACACCGGAGACGAATTTGTGGATAGCCTGGGCGGTGCACCACGTATCACCGGTGCGATCGATGTCTGGTCTCTCGGAGTCACCCTTTACGGGATGATCTTTGGTCGACTGCCCTTCATTTCGGATGACGAATATAGCATGTTCCAAACCATTGTGAAGAAAGAGGTCTTCATCCCGCGGAAGCGTTTAAAGCCCGTTCAGATGGATAGCGGTAATGTTGGACAGTGGCCTCACTCTGCAGGCCCTGACAAGCGGCTGGAGGACGAGCTGGCCTATGAGGAGGTTGATGATGAGTTATGGGACTTGCTGAAACGGCTACTGACGAAAGACCCGGTCAAACGTATCACGGTGAAAGAGATTAAGCACCATCCTTGGGTTCTCTATGGCTTGCCCAACCCCAGGGCATGGGTGGAAGAGACTGATCCCGGTTACCAAAGCAAGGGCAAGAAGATTGAGGTATCTAACGAAGAAGTCACGACCGCTGTTAGCAAAGTGCCGTTTATCCAACGTGTGCGGTCCAACGTTGCACGGTGGTCAAACTACCTCACGGGAAGGTCAAAAGACCGCGACAGCCGTAAACGGACATCTAGTACGGCTCGGTCAGTTGAATCATCCTCTACTACCTCCAGCAGCAACGCGTTTGGGAAGCATCTCTGGGAAGGCCGCCGACTCAGTCTTCGCGGGGACGAAGATTTCTTTCCGCGGTCTGGCCGACATGCCAGAGACGGTGAACACCCGCTATCGCAAAGTGTAACCGTGAGTCCGACTGGAGAGGAAAGGCATTCGTCATCGTCGTATTTTCAGGATCCCCGGGGTGGCTCCCTCTCGTCATTTGATCGAACTCCTCGCCCTGATCACCCGGAACGTGCCGTATCTACCTTGTCAACTGCCGAGTCCGCAAAAACGGTCAGGCCATCTGACCCTGCCAAACACTTTACTGGCCCACTCCGTCCTGTTACACCGGCCCTATCCGATCCCTCGGGAACGACACATCTCGGGGGCTTTTTCAGTGGCGCGAGTCGTCGACTGGCTAGAGGTCTCCAGCCAGGAGAATGGCGATCTGATAGACCCGCCTCTGGCGAGACTGCGTCTCTAGACGGAGACCGCCACTCAGAACCTAGCCTAGCCTTGAGCGTTGCCTCTGCCGTTGGTCAGATGCAGCAGTCGACTTTGCTCCCGAATGATAAATCCTCCGCGCGAGTCGAGAGCCCAGTCCCCACTCCAGGACACCGACGTAGTCGATCGCATCAGCTGAGGGGCAAACTTTCCACTGAGCCGCTCAGTCTTACAAAGGAGGCCTTGCTACGAACCAAGAATTCTGACCCCACCGTCCACAGTGGACATACAAATCCTTATTCCGAAAACGAGTCGTACCCTTCAGACGATCTTGCCCAAGGGGCAGAGCAGATTCGTCCGGACCCGGAGTGCACAGCAGCTTCAAGTACCTCCGCGGACCCCTCCAAAAGTGGGCTGACTACATCCCCTCCATCAGCTGCAACCATGTCTTCATCCTCCGTGGATGACTACACCAGCGGCATGTCTCAGAGCACATCGCATCCCAGCATTCCGTCCGTGATTTCGGGAGCTTCGTCTCTATCTGGAGAAGGGAATGGCCCGGACGACTGTGACACGGCTCAAGTTCCTCCACTCCTTCGCACCGGCGAAACAGTGAAAGCCAGGCGACCGAGCCCATCGCGACCGCCAGAAGACGACGAGTCCCGCTATTACTGTGATGACGAGGAAGAAAGTGGCGATGATTCAGATGAGGGTCTCGTCATTGGTCAAAAGAAACCAGTTTCCCAAAAGCCCGCCATTCGTATGGGTACCGGACCAAAATAGGGGCACAATGCAGGCCAATCGTGCTCTTGATCCCGTTTCCATAATTCTCCTCCCCCGCCTTTTTGGCAACGCTGGCGGCTGTGATGCCAACTTAGATAATTAATTGAACTATATGAACGAAAGGCCGAAACCTAACCTTTGCGTCCTTCCTCACCATGTCTTCCGGGGCGTGCCATCATCGCCTTTTATGACCTTTTTTTTTTTTTTTTTTTTTTCCCCCCTCGTTTCAAGGGCTCTTGATGATTTGCGTGTATATCATTTTACTGGGGGATTGCTTTCTGGTTGCATGTTTCTCGCTCACATACAGGAACCTACGAAAGGCTATCTATGTTGCTTGTACATATATTCGCATTGGCGGCAAGTTCTCTTCTTTGTTTCTTTCCACTCCACATGATTCCCTTTGCGTCTTTCTATATTTGGTCCCACTTGATGCGTCCGAGTTTGGGGAACATGTGCGATTTCCTGTCTGTAATGTTCACTGACTGGCTGGCGGAGGGTGGACCAGGGGTTGAGATATAGGGTATTTTGCTTCACTTTCTCGGCAGCACGCAAGCGGTCGAATGCTGTCTGGTTGATGATGATGGTTGACGACTCGGATTTAAAGAACGATTGCTGATTTTATATATTGAGATGAATAGACCGTCATCACTCCCCTACTAGACTTCCCATAAGGACAGATTTGTTTTATCCGGACCACGCCAGACGAGGAAATTCCTCCGTCGGCCAGATGTACGGAGTAGAGTATGCAGATTCTGCGAAGGGGTTCCTCCACCAATGAATACTATCCAATTCGAGAGTCGTAATGTCGACCTCGTATATTTCAGGAGGTCGAAAGGGTTAGGGATCCATTTAAAATCGAAGAAGGAGCTTAGTTTCAAACAACCGGAGAATGTCCTGATTAGGGGCACTGGTATTTAAGATGTCTGGGTGTTTCTCTATTTCTGCTGGATACCTAGATCCCGAGATACCTACAGAGACAGATACCTCTCTCTCTCTCTCTCTCTCTCTCTCTCTCTCTGGATCCCCACAAAATGACGTGGATTCCTTTTCTCTTTTGTCTTCCTCTCCTCGTGTTAGCGAATGCGGCTGGTCTGACCTACCACGGAGCAGATCTCTCGTCCCTTCTCATTGAAGAAAAGGCCGGAATCACCTACAAGAACCTCAATGGCCGGCCCCAAGCGTTGGAGACCATTCTCGACCAGCATGGGGTGAATTCGGTTCGGCAGCGCGTGTGGGTGAATCCGAGCGACGGGTCGTATAATTTGGATTACAACCTGAAGCTTGCGAAGAGAGTTAGGGCAGCGGGGATGAGTGTTTATTTGGATTTACATTTGAGTGATACCTGGGCGGATCCGGTTCATCAGGTTTTTTTTCTTCTTCTTCTTCTTTTCTATATATATATATATATATATATATATGGATAGACTGAAAGTTATTCTAGACGACACCATCTGGCTGGTCCACCAACGACATCGACACCCTCACCTGGCAAGTCTACAACTACACCCTAGAAGTATGCAACGCCTTTGCCGCCAACAAGATCGACGTCGCCATCGTCTCCATCGGAAACGAAATCCGCAACGGGCTCCTGTGGCCCCTGGGCGCCATGAGCAGCACCACCACCAGCCACGACCACATCGCACGCATCCTCCACTCCGGCGCCTGGGGCGTGAAGGACTCCAACCTGCCCACCACCCCGAAGATCCTCCTCCACCTGGACAACGGCTGGGACGCGCCGGCGCAGGAATACTTCTACCAGTCGGTGCTGGCGACAGGGTCCCTGAGCGCGTCGGATTTCGACTTCCTCGGCGTCTCGTACTATCCGTTCTACAACCCGGCTGCGACGCTCGCGGCCCTCAAGCGCAGTCTGGCGAAGCTCTCCTCCACCTATGGCAAGCCGGTTCTGGTGGTGGAAACGAACTGGCCGGTGTCTTGTCCGCGGCCCGCGTATGCGTTCCCGGCGGATCTGGCGTCGATTCCGTTCTCCGTGGCCGGACAGGCTGAGTTTCTCGAGAAGCTTGCGGGCGTGGTGAAGGCGGCGGGTGGGGTTGGGTTGTATTATTGGGAGCCGGCGTGGGTTGGGAATGCTGGGTTGGGGTCGAGTTGTTGGGATAATTTGATGGTGGATTATACTTCTGATGTGGTGAGGGAGAGTGTGACTGTTTTTGGAAAGATCTGATATCTCTCTGTATATCTCTCTGGATTGACATGGGAATGATGCTTCAGCTCGGGGCTGTGCAGAAGCTAAGCGTCGGGAATCCACTTAGTCCTTAATCAGGATTCGCACGAAAAGATTAACCTCGGAAGTTAGAGAGAGTTCTATTCGGGATAATTCAAGAATTTGTCAATCAACAAGTGTCGTTTATAGAGGATCGTAGAGGTTCATCAGGCAGGTTCACGTGTTAGAACAGAGAACCAGAAAGGAGAAACAAGAATCGAGGAAGGCTATCTATATCTTCTTCTCTTCTCTTCTTCTCTTCTCTTCTTCTCTTCTCTTCTTCTCTTCTTCTCTTCTTGTCGCTGGTAATTCTAGAGTTAGATGATAACCCTAGGTATGCCTTCCGGTGGTGCCATAACACTCCACTCTCGATCTAGCAAGAACAGATACACCCGATTCAAATCAAATATCACACACATCAATAGATATTATTAGAATCTTTCGAGTATTAGAATACTTCATCCTCCCATATTATGGTATTGGTTGTGGAGCAAATCTGCCTTGTTGGATTCTCACAGAGAGAGCTTCACTTCACGATTCAGCCTGTTCCTAGACCCTGCAGATATCCCTTTTATTTTAAGTATACTCTTGGTTTATTTTTATCTTCTCCATCAGTCTGTAATCTGGAGGAGAACCTGTTGTAGAAAAAAACCAATCCATGAGGATGGCCAGAGGTTGTTCAGGCAGCAAGGCATTGAGGGAGAGAGATTCTCTCTCTCTCTCTCTCTCTTCATCTTCTCATCTTCTTCTTTCTCTCTCTCTCTCTCTCTTCTATCATCCTCTCTTCTCTTCATTTCATCTCCTTCTATCAATCTATCCTTCATATCTCTCTCCCGTTTCATCCTCTCTCTCTCTCTCTCTCTCTCACCTCATCCCTAGTAATGTGAAACTCCCCGCTTTAATTCTCCCCTGCGCCACGAGGCTGAATCGCAACCTGCCTTCCTTTCCTTTCCTTCTTTTTCGTCCCTCTTCTCCCTCACCCGCGAATGAGAGCGTAATCAACCCCTTTCTTCATTCCTGTTATTATTATCATCCGCCCATTATTCGTGGTTTTGCTTTTCGGTCCCGGCCCCTCGCTGCGATTGCGTCCCACTCGCCCAACCCTTTCTACCTACCCCCCACCTCCCCCGTTGACTTTCGTCCGATCGATCTTACTCTTCCTTCCCGTCACTCAGCCTTGCTACCTCGCGTGGTATCTATTCTGGGAATCATCCTGAATCTTTGCGCACTATGGATTCGCGGGATGCGCTCCCGGACTCAGGGCAAGCTTCTGCTGCTCTTAAAAGCCGCAGCGTCAGCCCGTCGTCGTTTCACCACCAGCTCTACAACAACCCGTCGTCCGGCTTGACCATTGACCCCTCCGTCACCACCTTCCCTCCCTTCGCCAACAATCCTACTGCAACTACAACCACCGATTCCTTTGCCTACTCTTCCCCGACCTATCTCTCTGCGGCCGACCAGACCTTCGCGCCCGCTGATCTCCAGATCCCGCACTTTGACCAAGGGGCTTCCGAGGAGAATTTCTCGAACCTCCTGAATTCCAGTCCGGGGGACTTTGACTTCTACCAAACCACGACCCCCAATCCTACCACTGGCACTGAATACGACCCCTCGCTGTTGCTTGACCCTCAGGTTCACGGACAGTCACAGGCCCTCAACCAGGCTGTCAATCCGGTCGACCTGGTGAGCCAGATCCCGTCTCCGCACCCCTCCGCTGCATCCCAGACCTCGCCGCTAGAACAACAAACCCACCATTCCTCCCCTAGCCCTATGTCTCCTCCCGGCTCCACGGGGCCGTTCTACACCCCTCAACACTCTCGCCATACCTCTCTAGATCCTGCCACCGCTGCCTACATGACCGTTTCGCACCCCGAGTGGCAGGCTGTCATGGCCAATTCATCCTTCCACGGCCATCGACGAGCCCCCTCTGAGGTCTCGGATGTTTCGTCGGTGGCCCATTCCCCGTATCTACAGCAGCATGATACTTTCGATGCTGTTGACAATAATCCATCCCCCTTGCTCGCCCCCCAACCCGACCCTAGCCTCTATGACAACCCGGCGTTGGGATTTGAGTCATTTACTTTAACCGATCCTCACCAGCAACAACAACAACCGCCGGGAATAAGTCCCGGACATAGCCCATACCTCTCTCCGCAGCTGATGCCCCAGCAAGGACAGGAAATGATCCCAACCGTACCATATATCTCGAATCCCGCAACGAGTTCACCATATCCAACCCCTTCCACCGAGGCTTATGCAAATGGCACCGAGGGCATGGTTTCGCAGGGGAATATTAGCCCGGGAGATATGGGACAAGCATCCCAGATGGCCCCGCCTTCGATCAATGTCGAATTCGCCCCTCCCTCAAGAACCCAAGTCTTTTCTCAGGATAAGCCCGGCGCAGACATGGATTCCTTGAGCCCTCCTCCATCATTGCGTAAGATTTCTCTTTGGCTCCTTCCTTTCCTTTCCTCCCGGGAAATTGAAATGCGATTGATATTAACTGGAGACTTACACAGGTATCTCTCGACTGCGCAGCAAGTCTGACCCTTATGCACACGGTCCTATATCTCGCGCCCGCTCTCCATCATCCCCGTTAGCTACACTGGATCCTCTAGCTGCATCGTCGCCGCGGTCATTGTCGCCCTTTGATTCCACGGGGCGTCATCCGTACAGCAACCCCAGCTCTAGGGAACCCTCCCCCTCTCGATCCGCCAGGCGTCTGTCAACGTCGTCAATTGATAGCCGTAACTATATCCTCGGCCTGGCAGACCCGCAAAGACCTGGCATCAACTCTAGCGACAAGCGCGTTCAAAAGCATCCCGCTACCTTCCAGTGCCATCTTTGCCCCAAGCGCTTTACCCGTGCCTACAATCTCCGCTCCCACCTTCGTACCCACACTGATGAACGGCCATTTGTCTGCACGGTTTGTGGAAAGGCTTTTGCTCGTCAGCATGATCGCAAACGTCATGAGGGCTTGCACTCGGGCGAGAAGAAGTTTGTTTGTCGGGGCGATCTAGCCCGCGGGGGGCAGTGGGGATGTGGCCGCCGATTTGCTCGTGCGGATGCGTTGGGTCGGCATTTTAGGTCGGAGGCCGGCCGCATTTGCATCAAACCATTGTTGGACGAGGAGTCTCAAGAGCGCGACCGTTCCCTCATGGACCAGCAACAGCAACAGCAGCAACAGCACCTCCAGCCTGTTCCGCAACCTCTCATGGTGCCTGGAATGGATGGCCAGCATGCTAGCAACTTTGTTCTTCCTGCCGCCCTCCTTGCACAATATCCAGCTCTCCAGACTTTGCAATGGGATCAAATTTCAGCGGGTGCTGATGACCCAACTGATATTAGTGGACGCAGCAGTTTTGATGCTAGCTCGGGTGGTGAATTTGGATACGACGATGATGAATCCGGAATCAGCGCCTCTGGCATCAGCGGAGGATACGCGAGCGACCAGGGCAATATCTACGGAGTAGATAATCATGGTCAGATGCTGGTCAATCCCGGCGAGTCTACCTACCCAGACCTAAAATGGCGGGATCAATAATAAGACTTTTTACCGACCTAACCCTTTTGCTTCTCTCCATCTTCTTCTCTTCCTCCTTCTTTCTCTTTTCGTTCTTTCTTTTTTTTTTTTTTTTTTTCACTTTTCTTCGCTTAGTTATCAAAGGAAGCTATTATCCTTTGCGTTTGAGAAAACTGCCCTTGAGGAGGGCTATGACTGATTATATAGAGGGGACTTTGGCGTTGAGATACAGGATGGGAAGTAATCGACCCCGATGTTTTGGATTGATATCCTCATTCCGCCACCTTTTTTTTTTTGGTGTATTTCTCTTACTTTGATTCCTTGTGGTCCATGGACCACACACACACTTGTTATGCGTCTACGATGAACTCGACTTCATACCCCTGGGAACTTCATTCTGTTTCGTTGTGAGGATACCCTGACGGGCTGCTTCTGGGATGTCAGTTTGGCCGGTGTTTCCCCCCCCCCCCCCCCTGATATTAATTTAAAATTTCTTCTCTTTTCATGCGTATTCTATTCATTCAGATAAGACTTGGAGCCATTTACTTGATTCTAGACGTTGCAATTGCAAACGATCTATTTCTACCTAAGGCCTAAATGAAGAGAATCCGATATAAACTGTAATACACACACACACACACACTCACTCACTCACTACCCGTAACAAATCTATGAGGATGTCCATGGAAAAAAAAAAAAAAAGATAAGCTAAGAAAAAAAAAGAGAAGAGATTTCACGCTGTCATCCTAACCAACTTCCCAATCTCCCCCACCCACTTAACGGCAAACTCTTCCTCGGTGAATCTCAACGCGGACTTCCTAGCCCTTAACCTCATGGCCATCTTCTCCTCCGCCGACAAGGCCAACGCCGCCTCAAAGGCCGCCGCGAACTCCTCCTCCGTCTGGGCGTGGAACCCGGTTGCGCCGTCTCCAAGGTCAACGACGATATCCTCGCGCGGCCCGCCAGAGTCGTGGACGACGCAGATCAGGCCGGCGGCCTGGTACTCGACGACGCAGATGCCGAAGTGCTCGTTCCACATTGCGTTGACGCCGACAGAGGAAGTCGAGAGGTGCTGTAGGATTGTAGGCCACGAGGCGTCGCAGAGGAAGGTGGTTTGGTCGCGGATGCGCAGTTCGTGGGCGAGGAGGCGGAGGTTGTAGATGTGGGTTTCATCGGGGCTGGCGTGGCGGACGGACCCGATGAGGACGAGTTTTGGATCCTGGGGGGCGACGTTGTTGGCATTATTGTGGAGTTCATGTTCGGGGTCGTTGTCAGCGGGCGAGGAAGATATGTGGTGGTGGTGGTGGTGGTGGTGGTGGCGGGTTTTGAGGAAACGGGCAAAAGAGCGGAGGACAAGGGGGTGGTTCTTTTCGGGACGGAACTGGGCGATGTAGAGAATGGTCGGGGTGCGGAGGTCTCGCTCGGTGGCTTCGGAGACAACGATTTTGGATTCCAGTTCCGAGACCGCCGTGGGCGGGAAGATGACTGTGGGGTGGTCTGGGGATCCGGGTGTATCCTTGGAGGTGGAGGTTAGGGCGGGTAGAGACGCGCGAGAGGGCCCCCAGAGGGCGCGGATGTGCGCGGCGGTCCAGGAGGAGTTGCACATCACGACGTCGACGTGGCTGCCGACCCAGCCGTAGAGGCGCGCAAAGGCAAGCCAGTACTTGCGTTTGAGAGTGCCCTTGAGACCCTTGCCGGCGCCGGCGTTGACGCCTTGGAGACCGGTCTGGTCGTCTAGCGACTGGAGCATGTCGGTGGAGATGGTGGGATAGTGCACGTAGGCGGCTGTTGGGACGCCTGGGAAGAGGAGCTTGCAGAAAGCGATCGCAAACGCGTAGCCCATGGTGTCGATGAAGATGTCTGGCACAAGTAGAGTGAAGGCGTCATAGCCAACGATTAGAGAGCCAAGGGACTGGCCCAACAGCGTCATGTAGGGGTACATGCTGCTCTGGACATATTTGCGAGATGTTAGATAGAGCAGCTCGACTGTTGGTGCATGTAGTTGGATATTGAAGCGGGTCTATTTCCACGTTAGAGAATGGGGCGCGGATTGGAGAAAGAACGAGAAGAAGAAGAAGAAGAAGAAGAGGAGGAGGGGGGGATTTACTTGGACTCTCTCCAGCATAGTGGCTTTGGTCACTTCATAATCGCCTGTGTAGATAGCACAGACAGCTTTGGGCCATCGTTTCTGGGTTGCTCGGACAGCCTCCCAAAGGACACGTTCGCCGCCGCCACCAGCATTGCTATGCCAAGTCAGTCCCAACACACACACACACACACAAAGATCAAAGAGTATAATGGAAGAGACAGAAATGAAGTACCAGAAAGGGTGGAAGAAGCCTATGATCCCGCTCCAGTCTTCATTCTCCGAGGGCTGGGAATTCTGCTTGCCAGCTGTTCCGGAGCCGACACCTGAGCTAGACGAACTGCTGGATGGGTCGACCTGCTCCCAATCTTCATCCTCAGCCTGGGTTGCCGAAGAAGGAACCGTTTTCGGCCGTTTTGAACGCAGTTCTTCCTCGTCCGCTCGAACACGATTAAGAATGGCCTCCCTGCGAGACTGAGTTCTCTTGCGAATCACCCATCCTACGCAGCGGAGTACGATTCGGAGCAGGCCCAAAGGAAGCTGGGGAAGCACCACGCAGGCTGCAAGGAGGGCCAGCAAGGTGATTAGGGACTTGAGAAGAAACAGCATCATGATATCCGCGGGATAGAATAACCTCTCAAATCATTCCTGTCCGCGACAGGCTGTTGTTGTGTTCTCCAGCTGAGGTGTTGTTGATGATGATGTTCTTCTTCTCTTCTTGTATTTTGCTTTTCTGGTCTTTTCTCTATCGATAACGCAATCAGTTTTGTCCGCTCTAGTATGGTAAGGTATGGTAAGGTAAGGTATGGTATAGTATGATATTACAATACAATACAATACAATACAATACAGATATACTTGTTATAATACAGTATATAGAAATGAGGCTGCTGCACCGCCCACGTGATTGCTCACCTGATGGGCTTATAGGGATCTTTTCTGCTGTAGAAAGCTTTCAGTGTTATTATTTGTTTATCTCAGGTGTGTGGAGTGTTGTATGAGTATTCTCAGTCCTTCATTTCTTTATTGTATTATATCTTTTATTTTATTTTTTTTTCAAAGAAACCATTAAAAAAAAAGTCATCAATTGAATCATGAGAGCAGCTCGTGTTCCCTCCCAAATCGTGGCTTTCCAGCAAGTCCGGCGCTTCCATCGGACGAGACCAGCTTCGTTCATAAGTGAGGTGTTGGACGTCTCCTCCGGCTTCATCCACGGTGTACACTCAGTCAGTGGTCTGCCATGGGTATTATCTCTTCCATTGACTGCTCTGCTGGTCCGAATGACAGTGGCAATGCCCCTGCAGATCTACAGCAAAGTCAATGCCCGAAAAGAACGAGATCTGGCCCCGATTCTGACCTCCTGGAATAAACACTATCAGACGCAAATTAGAGAGAAAACCAAGTTAAGACCCGCAGACAAGCCGCTTCTCCAAGGAGAGGCTGTGAGACTGCTGGCAAAGGATCTCAAAGAACAGCGAAAGGTCCTGCATAGCCGCTGGGGTGTGTCTCGATTCTGGAAGCCCGCCAATTTTCTCCAGGTCCCTATCTGGATCTCTATTATGGAAAGCCTCAGAGCCATGAGCGGTAACGACAAAGGTCTAGTCCCTTATCTACTTTCTCTTGTTGAGCCAGCGTCGTCATCGGAGGCCGGAAAATCGCTCCATTTGGCCGTGGAACCCTCACTTGCAACGGAGGGTGCACTCTGGTTCCCAGATCTCTTAGCTGGCGATGCGACAGGTATTCTACCAGCTGCCCTGACGCTGTCAATTTTGCTGAATGTCCACCTGGGTTGGAAGGCTCCGAAGTTGAATAGCCTTGCCGAGCTACCCCGTCTGGAGATGGCGAAGCATCTTACGGTACGCGGAATACGAACACTCATTCAAGTCCTGGCGCTCAATATCGGGGTTTCGTCCTATCTGTATGAAATGCCTACAGCCCTCATGGTCTACTGGATCAGCAGTTCAAATATTGCTACATTGCAAACATATCTCCTGGAAAAGTACATGTTCCCCACCCCGTCATTAAAATCCTGGAGACAAATTTATGTGAGGTTTGGTCGGCCCCAACAGAAAACTTCTCCATTAGAAAACTGAAAAAAGAGTGTACATTGCGTCTTCGAATCCAAATGGCTGAATTCCTGAAAAGAGACGAGATTTCTGAAAAAAAAAAAGAAGAGTTCCTTCCACAATTCTGGAACGAGAAAATATTAAAAAGTGAACATGCTAAAAAGAAAAAGAAATAAAGAAAAAAGAAAGAAAAGAAGAAGGAAAACAAAAAAGGCCCGAAATAGGACGAAAATGACAAAAGTGACAGAGAAAAAAAAAAAAAAAAACAAAAAAAACAAAACCCCATAAAACTGACATGATGGATTCTCAATCCAAATACTCCGGCCCAATACTCAGAGGAGAGGCCGTGAGAAGAAGTTTACGACGAGATACTGCAGCCTGCAATTCAACCCAGGTCAGATTCAAATGAGGTATCTGCGCCATTCGAAGGCTGAGGAACTCGAGGCTAAGTCGGGACGGGAATACCCAGCTATAGTCGCCCCGAAGAGCCTCTGGGTGGTCGCCCAGGTATAAGGCAGCGTACGCATCGTCATAACGAGTCCATTCAGCAGGGCCACCGCCGGGAAAGACAGGTTCAAGATATTGGGAGTTTCTGGGATCGAGCTGTTCGATATCTAGTTGCTGAGACCCGCTGCGGACATCGGGATGCGAAATGTTGGCTTCATAGATTACACCACGGGCCTCCGCACGCTGCAGAGAGTGGGTTTCGCCAGGGAGATAGGTCTTGAGGAACGTGATTTGCTTGTAGGCATTCACACCGCTCAGTCTTTCAGCAACAAAGGTCTCCTCAATAGGAGGGCTGAATGCAAATACGGCCTGCAGGTGATCAGTAATGACAGGAACGGTACCACGGCACGCCCAGAGAAAGTAATCATGGTGGGTATTCCAACCGGTGGGCCAAGTGCTCTGGGGTGGTTCGTTGTCTTGCGGGGACGGATTGTTCAAATTGAAATTGAGTGCCAGGCTGCTTCTTCCATGTGTGGTGGAGGAAAGCGGTTGGCCTCTCGTGGGCTCTTCTTCTTCATCGAGCATGCTAAGACTGTCCAAATCTCCGAGAGGCTCGTGTCGAGGTCGTGGAGTGCGAGAAACAATTGGACGACGTATATTCAATGCTGCAGTGGTAGGGATCGGTCTATTCTCTCGATTCATGGTTCTCCATGGGTTGTTTTCATTGTTTTCCTGTTGTTCTTCCAGTTCGTCCTCCGAGTTCGGCCAGAGAGCCAGGGGCCCTCCCTCGCGGTTGGAGAGACGGGACCTGACCATAGCATCCACCATTAGAAACCCGAGGCCTGCCAATTCAAGGAAGCTCATGAACGATTCTTCATCTGTATTATCCTCCTCATCGTCGCTGAATGGGTTGTCATGATGGTGGCCAAACGACATGATTCCTAAAGCTTCCCAATCAGTTAGAGACAGGTCAAAAACTCCTAAGAGCCAGGAAAATCACGTACTTTCAAACCGGAAACTGCTGCTGGAGAAATTAAACGAATGGAGTGCGGCTTCTCAATCTGAAAGACCTTAGGACTCGAATCGAGGGCAGCAACATACAAGGAGCGAGTCTTACCAGTGCTGTGTTGGTTATGGTTATTGATCCAAACAACCCACAAAGTTAGCAATTTGAACGAGAAGGAAGAAGGAGAGAGAGAGAGAGAGAGTCGAGAGACAAAGATCATGTGTGTACAAAGGATGCAATGAAATGAAGCTAAAAAGAGAAGCAAGATACAATACTCACAATAACACTCAGCTAGAGAGTTAGTAGTGCTTAAGAAAAGGTAAAAGAGGACCTAAAAACCCCTTTCCTTAAATACCTTTTATCTGTTGTCGTAGCCTGAACCACAACAACATCACCTGGATTCGAAGTAGGGAAACCGGATTCTGGTAGGAAACAGTGAATTTTCCTAATACATATATTTATCTCCCGTTGGTTGACTCTGCCCATCCCATCCTCTTTCCTCCCCAGATTTCCATTCAGTATTCATTCACTACTACTAATCTATAACTTACCTACAAGCAGAGCTTCGTTAGCCAGCAGCAGCATCTTATCTTATCCTGCCAGGATATTAGTTTCCATATTGATTTTACTCTGCAAAATATGACTGACTACTGACTGACTATATCTAGGGAAATCTGCTTAAAAAAGCCTGGCATGTTTCTTGTTGCACTGCTTCTGTTATTCAGGGCACAGTGACTCACGTGGTTTGCCTAAAAATATGACTCACGTGATATTCACTGATTTGTTGAATTTATTAGGTTACCTGGTAGAGGTAGCTTAATGGTTAATTGTAATAATAGATTTCTATAGTTAACTAGTTAGTTAGTTATGTCCTGACCTGTTAAAAGGTGGCTATTCTGCCTAGTTGGGGACATAATATCACAAGACCTGATTTATTCCCGACAAAACTCTCTATGCTTGTGTTTACCTTCCTTTTCTCTTTATATGGCTTTTACTTTCTTAGTCTGGATTTTTCATGCTGAAGTAGAAGAATAATAAATGGGATTTGTAGCCTTGTAGATGTAATTCTGCGTACATGAAAGTGCCAACCCGGCCCCAACCCGAACCCAGGGTGAAACGCCGACTCTGAACTATCGTCTCGGAATAGACCAGAGAGAAGGAAAGGTAGATAAAAAAAGATGACTAACTATGGGAGTATCATGATGCTCTTTTCAAGAATGAAGACGGAGAAAGACGGATCAAGAAATATGCGGGGACTGGCCGTTAGATATCAAAGCTTGGCCTTGACGTTTTCCTCCGACGCGCTGGCCTCTTCGTTAATGGAAACGGTGCGGTTATCTGGTCCTTCGCCGAAGAAAATTACTTCAACTGTAACGTCGTCACTGTGATCGGTTAGCAAATGGTTTGCTCTAGGATAGGTGGATTGTCTTACCGATATCGCCGAGAATAAGGGCTAGGAAGAGTCAACAAAGCGCAGACCATGTCGCTGTCCTTCCCTCCCATCGCGTTGCGCACAAGGTGAGTGGCGGCGTTCTTGTCTTGTACTACGAAGCGGCTGGCAGCGCCTGAGATATCGTACTGTTGTTGACGGATAGGTCGGCGCTGGCCATCGGTAGATGTCTCCTTCGGGGCTTCGACAGGTAATTGGTTGGCCTCGCGACCAAACAGGCTTTGAACCCAGGTCTTGTTGCCACTGCCGGCTCCCGCCTTTTGTTCCTCAATCCACTGCCCAACCAGGCCAACAACTTCTTCGTTGCTCAACATCTCCCAGAGACCGTCGGTTGCAAGCACAAGAAAGTCGCCTTGGTTGGGTTCAACCTTGGTGGTTGTGATTACAGGCTCAGCAGTGACATAGGGAGGAGTCTTCAATAGAGGATGGGGCGTTCGACCGAAAAACTGTCGCTTGATCTTATCTTGTGTTTCCTTGCTCCACTTGTAGAAAGCATCTCCGAACGACCGACTGGGTTCCAGCTGACCGAGGATTCTTCCGTTACGCACCACATTGGGCTCACCAGGGTGTTCTTGACGTAGTCGAGTCATCTCAGAAGGGGTTCCACCGGTCTGATCCTCCGAGAGAGCCGTTGCTGACCACTTTCCATTTGGACCCCGACGACCTAGCACCGCTCGTGAATCACCAGCACAAGCAACCTTCAGGTCCTTGGTCTGAGAATCATAGAACGCAAGTAGTGCACATGATCCAGAGAGCGCAGGGGCAAGCAATTCGGCCGCAACACGTCGCGAGTTGGACTTGAGTACCTTGTCGACGCTGTTGTGAATTATATCGTTGTCCAGACGAACAAACCCTTGCTTGATAGCGGCATCCACCGCTGCGGAGGATGGCACAAGCAGTGACGCGTCGGAGGCGGCTGTTTTATATGTGCTGTTTAGCTCTCGGGCGACGTACGAAATGAGGACATTGCGCAATTTGGCGGATGTTGTCCAGCCACTAGGCAGATATGTTAGTAAAGCCAAAAAGAGGCCAGAGGACGCTGTAGAACCGGGCAGTAGGAACTCACGAATGGCCGTCAAACACTGCCCAGAACATCCAGTCACTATTGGCTTGGCCTTGTTCGGCAACGGCTGAGGAGGCCGGGACCTCGACGATCTTCTCCGCATGGTCATCCTCAATGGGAGAATTGCTTGGAACCTGGACCACATCATAGCGGACAACCCCCTTACCCCGATTTACCAAATATGACTCCTCATTCTTTCTCAGTTTCTGGGTTGCTTGCTCGGGAGTGAGCATCTCTAAAACTCGGCGGTCCGAGTCATCGGTGTTTTTGAACAAAGGCTGCTCTCCCGAAAGGGTGGCGGTATAGAACTGGTCGTGATCAACTAACAAGGCTCGACGAGTCGTTTCGGAAGGATCTTCTGCGTGGGCGCTGGACGTTGTTGCTATGGAGCGAATTTGCGAAGAGGAAGTCACGTTGAGACCGGCCGCCGTGGGTGTTTGAGACTTGTCGCCCTGATAAGCGTACCAGGCTCCAGAGGCGACGACAGTTGAGATCACAGCAACCGAAAAGGTCCGTAGATGCATGGAGGATTGTAGGGAAGCAGGAATGAAGGCAGGATATTTACCCGAGGTATAGGGCCGGAGTCCTAGAGGCCGGGTGCTAGTAAATGATACAGCACACGATTTTCTACCAGCGACCCGCCATACTGGTGCGCGACGAGCTGTACGGAAAGCTTGGAGAGCCGCACGACGCATTGAGTCAGCGTGGTAATAATGAGAAAAAAAAAAGAGAACCGTGGCTTCCAGCGATGCTGGAGTTCCGAGGGAGGGAAATGGAGGAAGATGAGAAGGGGAAATGAGACTGGATTCTTCCGGTTGGTCACCATATAGTAAACTCCTGCCCCAGGCACTCAGCCAGGGAGCAAGCAAGCACGTGGATCTGATCAGGTGATGCGGTGAGTAATCTAATACATTAGATACGGTATTGTATTATTACTGATCCTGTTTTGTAATTTACCATAGCCCGCACTAATCCCAATTCAGCTGTGTCGTCATTCCCCGCGATGATAAAAATCACCGAGTAATCAACTTCACTGTGGAAATTAAACGAGGCATTTCTGGACATTCTTGACCTCACCTAGCAGAAGATTACTGGGGAAGGAGTATAGGGTTACTTTAGCTCCTGTTTGAGCTTGTATATATATATATTTTTTTATTTCTATTGTGATCTTCCTGGATGTCCTCCCGCGCGATTCGCAAGCTGCAGAAGCTGCGCGAACAAGAGTTGCAGCAAGCGGAACAAGAAAACTATGACTCGAGTGAAGAGGAGATTGTCTCGAGGTCAGCGAAGCCGAAATTGAATGCTTTTGACCTCCTAAATGCAGGGGACGAGGATGAGGACGAACAGGAGTCTGAAAACGAGACGGACGTTCCGGGGCCCGTGACTCACCCGACTGAGGAAGTCTCTCCTCCTACACCGGTGGCATCTGTGGAAAAGAAGAAAAAGAAGGGAAAGAACAAGAAGAAGAAGAAGAAGAGTGTCGCGAAACAAGACCCCATAGACGTCGAGCCCGATGATGGAGACCTAGATGAGATCGACCGTGCGTTGAAGGAGCTGGCTGTCGATAAGAACGGAGATGCTATGACCGAAAATCAAGAAAACGCCCTTGATAATTCGTTCCCCAAGACACCCGAAGATCTTCTAGGCATTGACCCGAAGTTTCTCAATGCTACGAACGAGATGCGAAAGTTGTTTGGCAATGTTGTGCTAGAAAATTTCGACCAAATAGATTCTGGACCAGGCCGCAGGCGAGACAGAGCTCGAGAAACGGTTGATTTAGGTCGGGCCTTGACGGGCAGATATAGCCCAGCAAGTAGGGGACAAAGTTTAGCAGGCGTTACCCAACGGAGGAACATTCTGTTCCAGGGCAAGGATGAATGGCCGCGTTCTCCCAGCGGTGGTCTTGGAATGGAGCTGGTTGAAACGCTTTCGAATGGAGTGACTCTCTACCGTGTCCTGCACAATCCTGCATACAAAGATGTTCAGAGGCAGTTTGAGATTTGCGTGGAGTCGATGGACCCGCAAAGAATGATACACCTTCTCCAATACAATCCTTATCACATCTCAACCCTCCTTCAGGTGTCCGAAATAGCAAAGCATCAAAGTGATCATGCTGTATCTGCGGATCTCCTTGAGCGAGCGTTATTCAATTTTGGAAGGTCAGGTCACTCATCATTCGGAAATCGTCTGAAGGAAGGGAAGGCGAGACTCGAATTCGTACATGACGAAAATCGAGAGCTTTGGCTGGTGGGCTGGAGATACATTTCAAACCTAGGAATGAAAGGCACTTGGAGAACCGCATATGAGTGGGCCAAGTTCTTACTGAGCCTTGATCCGAAGGACCCCTATTGCATCAGACTTTTACTTGATAACCTCGCTCTACGTGGAAGGGAGTACTCTCATCTCGTCGAGTTGTGCACCCAGACTAGGTTCAGCAAGGAGTGGGAATATCTCCCAAATATTCAATGCTCCCTAGCACTAGCATACCTTCGATTAAAGAAGCCAAAAGAGTGCCGGGAGCAGCTGCGCCGTGCAATGGCCCGCTATCCGTGGGTATTTTGCAAACTAGCGCAAGAGCTTGATATTCAGCCGATGCCGAAGCGGATTTGGGGTAAGATGCCACCAACCGACGGCCATGAGCTGTTTACCGAACTATATATTGCGCGGGCCAAGGATCTGTGGAATACACCAGAGGTAGTCTCCCTCATTGTCGAGGTGGCGGATACTCTCCCAGAAGGCGACGAACCTATTGAGCCTCCAGAGATTACTCTGGATATTGCGCGACACGTGGTTCTCTCGGATATTCCTCGTGTTACGACACATTTGCCCGGGCGCTTTGTCTCTGGGCGAATCTCGGCATCTGATCCTCTTCCCCCGTATGAATCCGAGGCATTTCGCCAGCAATCCGATCCTACTCCGTCCTATCTATCCCAAGTGCCAGAGGGTGGACGACCTCAGTGGCTCCGTAATCTTTTAGACCAGCTCAACAACGGTGCTCTTCAGTTCCCCCGACTTCGACGGGGTGATGGGGAAGAGCCAGCGGATGAGGGCTCATCAGACGAAGAAGCCCACGAACCTCATAGACAGCCAGTAGGAGGTGCGCAGGAACAGGTAGTCCTCGAACATTGGCTTTTGGGAGACGGATTGCACAGCCTAGAGGCCTTTATCCGCCAGTATGGAGTTGACCGGGGCAACTGGGATCTGGAAGTGGACTACTCTCCGCTCCATGACTACGCGGACGCATTAAATGCCATCCAGCCTATTTCAGCTCGAGATAGATTACTGGATGGTGCAATTCTAGAGGCTCTGGACCCAATGGTTGTGGACTTGCTGCGAGAAGAGCTTGAGTTTCTGCAGGCGGGCGATGAGGAAGTTTGATACCCAGTGCAATCCTTCTATTCAGTCATAGTTCAATACCTCCCTAGGTAGCAGGTGTACTGTACTACATTGAGCGGTTCAGGAACCAATAAGACTGAGATAAATCCAAAGTATTCCGTACAATGAATCCAATCGTATCCACATCTTGCTTGTTTTATGCAGGAATCGCTGCAATTAATGTCTGCCGATTGGTTGTTGGGCTGCATGGGTCTTCAACAGATCTCTGATAATTATGGTGTAGTTTATAGATCATAACAGGATCTCCCTCACTTTCAGGAACATTTCTATGCGAAAGAGAGAAAATCGACAACGTAGTTAAACAACCTCAGGAATCTCCAGCTTAGTCAAACAAAAATCTACGGATCCACCCCGCAATCCACCGACCTTGGAAAGCTTCAAGATTTGCTGTTTCGGGTTTATCTTCTCCCTTATCTCGTCCGTCTTTTCCCTCTCTCTTGCAACCCATGCAGCCTTCCTTAGACTTCTCCTCTACCTGAAATCCCACAGACTCTATTACCGGACTTTCAGCCATGTCTGGAGTAGAACCAGTCCCGTTAACACCGCGGGAAGCTGCATCAGGACTGCTCGGCTCGATATCCCTGACCTGCTGGATTTTCTTGTTGGTATGCAGTGCCTCTTTCTCCTCCATTCCCTATCCCTCCTGTCCCCCCCTTCTTACCATTGCTTGTCCCGAGTGGTCAAGGGAGAAAAAAAAAAAAAAAAGAACTAACACATCTTTACACAGCTCCCCCAACTCATTGAAAACTACCGCAATGGCAATGCGGAAGCCATATCAATGCTTTTCCTCTTCGTCTGGTTCGTCGGCGATATAACGAACCTCATTGGCGGCGCCTGGGCCGGCCTGGTCCCCGTCATCGTCGCCATTGCCGTATACTTCTGTATCGCGGACGGTGTCCTCATCGCTCAATGTCTCTACTACCGGGTTAGGAATGCACGCCGTGTCGCTCGCGAAAGGCTCTCTTCAACTGCTACCCCTGAACCCACCACTCCGCTTCTGGGGCGGCGATTCAGTGATGTAGTAGTAGGAATAAGTGAGGATCCAGTGCGTCGTCGCGGTTCTCGAACGGGGCCCTCATACAGCGCTATTCCTGGTGCTGCGCCGCCTATGAGTCAGAATCCGGAAGATACGCTTGCGAAGTTAGTGGAGGAGAATAGTGCCGGTTCTTCAGCTTGGGTGAAGAACATCAGCAGCGTGCTGGCTATTTGCGTGATTGGTATGGCTGGTTGGACTATTGCGTGGCAGACGGGGGTGTGGGAGCCTGCTCCTCAGAGCGATAATGGGGGCGTGGATACGGCTTTTGGAGCTCAGGTTTTGGGGTATATTAGCGCTGTTTGTTACTTGGGGTGAGTGTGCTTTCTCTCTCTCTCTCTCTCTCTCTCTCTCTCTCTTTATGCTTTTAATATTTGCGCATGCGTGAATTTTTCTGCTTTTTTTCTTTTCTTTCTTCCCCCTTTCTTCCCTACCAACCTTGTTCACTTGAGGTGAATGAATGTGACTGACAGAATCTATTCTAGGGCGCGTTTACCTCAGATCTATAAGAACTACACCAACAAGTCATGTGAAGGTAAAATTTGGCCTAACATGCTGAAGTGATATTCCTCGCTAATCATGGTTATTATTTTCTTTAGGCCTCTCCCTGTTGTTCTTCATCCTCTCTTTGATGGGTAATTTGACCTACGGCGCTGGGGTAAGTTTCTTGCCCTTCTTACTTGCATATTATTATGACTTCAGAAACTAATTCCTAAATTTACGTAGATTTTGTGTCATTCCACGGAGAGGGACTACATCATTACCAATCTGCCCTGGTTGATCGGTTCCCTGGGGACTCTGGTCGAGGATGTGACTATCTTCGCGCAGTTCCGTCTCTACGTGGTCCCAGATTCGACTACGGCAGTGTTGTAATTCTTGACTTTTGATGGCTTTCTTTGCTGTACTGCCTTTTTTTTTTTTTTTTTTTTTTTTTTTTTTTTTTTACCGTCGCGTCGGGGTTAGTCTTGCCAAAAAAAAAAAAAAAAAGGCCTTGGCTGGGGTTGGCGTTGGTGTGGGAGAGACAGGCGCTGTATTTGTAGGCATGGATACATGGTATGGATGTACCTATGTATGTACAACTACGATTAGGTAGATAATCGAAGATACAATTTTTTTTTTATCCTACGCAAATTCGCAGATAAGAAATTATGAGGGAGATCATTGCAGACGGAAACCTTTTGTTCATGGTCGCATGACAGACATCGCATAAGAGCTGGGCACCTAAGCTCCAAAAAAAAAATATAAAAGTAGCTGATCAACATATATCAGATAGAAATCCGAAGACGGCCAAACAGACTTCGCCTTCGGGCTACCATACAAATGCTGCCTGTCCATTCATCATTATGTTCCCAACAGCCGAAATCCTAGCGTCATTCGGTCCAGTACCTCTGCCACGACGGAGTCCATCATGCAAGCACAGCGCCCAGTCCCATCGGATGTCCTTGTCCGTAGATTTTTCTTTTTTGCTTTTTCCCTTTTTTGGTCTTCGTGCGGGTTGTATAGTATCGGGTACAAAGAGATATGAGGGGTTGATAAAAACGAGGTAGTAAAGAAACGAGGTCGAGGAAAAGACAAAAGGAAAAATAAACGGGAAGCCCGGGGGAAAGACGCTTAGTCGAAGAGACCGAAGCCCATGTCCTCGTCGGACTCCTCCTTCTCTGTAGGAAGGTGTTAGTATCCAGATCCGAGTTGTTCCCTCCAGGGGAAATAGATATGATATCGAAATGATGTGTCCTTACCTTCTTCCTTCTCCTCAGCGGGGGCAGCAGCCTCACCACCAGCGGCGGCGGCAGCACCACCAACGGCAGCGGGAGCGGCAGCACCAGCGGAGCCAACGTTGGTCAGGAGGTCCTTGATGTCCTTGCCCTCGAGAGCCTATAGAAATGAAAAAAAAAAAAAAAATTCAATCGTAAGCGAATTTGAACCCATAGATTTTATATCCCGATCGATTCAATCGAGTCGGCACGGTGCAACAGACGCAGGGTATTTACCTTGGCGAAGATGGAAGTCCAGATGGGCTCGACATCCTGAACCTTAGCGGCAGTCAGGAGAGTCTGGAGCTTGTCGGCCTGTAAAATCCCAAGAACAATCAATCAGCCCAGTTCATCCAATTTTGATGTGTCTTTGCAGTTCGCATTCCTCTGTCGTTCTCCTTTGGCGCCTTTTCTTTTTTTTCTTCTCATTTTATTTCCGGACGTCACTGGCGACAAATTCTGATCCTCCTAACAATCCTTCCACGATCCCCACGGAGGGGCGGGAGAGAACGGGGGGTTCAAGCAACGAGGTGAATACATACGGTGATCTCAATGCCCTCATCGGCAAGGATGAGGGAGGCGTAGGAGCAGGCGAGCTCAGCGGTAGACATTGTGATTGAGGTTGTCGTGGGACTGGACAAGAGTCTCGAGAGGGATGGGAGGGGGGATAAGAAGGAAAAGGACGGGAAGACCTTTTTTTTTTAACGACAGGCTGTGAAGAAGTCGGACGGAGAGCAACGAACAGCCAGACCCAACGCGGAAATTGTGTGTTTGGCGGCCGAGCAAAAGCCCTCGCTTAGGGCTGACCCCTTTAGGCTTAGCGCCAACGACTCCAGTCCCGTGACCACTGCGATCCCCGTGACCCGGCCCTAGTCCGGAGTAGGAAAGGGCGACATCATAGGTCATGCCGGAATCGATCCATACTGTACATGAAAGTACTGTAGGTAGAGTAACACTATCTGAACAGTTGGGAGCAAATCGCTGGATCGTCGCTGCATTTGCCCGTGCTTTTCTTGCGTGTATTTCACATTTCCGGTATCCTATTTGTAACTTGATCCCCTTTGATTTCGCTCTCATTTCCTCCGACCTTTCCAGGCGTGATGGATTCCCCCGCCATCTTCACCCCACTTGATCCGAGGGAACAGCCGATCCTCGAAGCAGTACTTCGGATTCGTGATGCTCTTCTACTTCTGAAACAAGACAAGTCTTCTTATATTAGATCCCGTGATGTTCTCCCGCTGTATGAAGAGGTGATCGCGGAAGTAGAGAAGCTCAATGCGATCCGGAAGGAACAAGACCGTCGTCTGGCACATACCCGATGTGAGCACTATCATCAGCGTCAATCAAATAAATCATCGCTCTCTGACCATTGCTGTTCTCATTCTAGTGGACTACATCTTGGCCGACTGTTTCCAATTGATCTCGTTGCTCTTTTTGACGGTTGGCCGGAACAATGAAGCCCCCGCCGTGTGAGTGCTTTACCATCAGCGGCCTCGGACTATACTAACCTTGGACCTTTTTATCATCCCATAGTTATTCACTCGCAGCCACAGTTCAGGTATTCCCCGTTCGAGCTTGCTTTTCCAGTGGATCCGATAATGCTAACTCCCCTCCAGCGGCTTCTCGACCACCTAGAAGAGGCCGGTTTTTATAGTGCCAAAGATCTCAGCTCGATCACCAAGACCCTTGTCGATATGCGTGTAACCCTAGACCGTGGCCGCAATACCCATTCTCCGGCGTTACTCACACTCCTGGAGAGCCGTTTGGATAAGTGCCAGCTCAAACTAGAGAAGTTACAGAGTTACCTCACCCGCTTGAGCCCTGAACTTGCATCCACACACGAAACACTGGTATCGATTCTTCGGTCCACCTCGGCCGTCAATACTCGTTCAAAGGTTCGTTGGCTATCTTCGTTTTCAAGGGAATATCGGAGTTAACTAAATCTGGGTTGTAGTTCTCCGCCGCGGAGGTCAACGGACTTCGGAATCAATTGAAGAAAATTGAAGGCACGATGAAGGATGACAACTTTGTTGACGCTAATGGGACGCCGCTTGCCGGTCAGGATGACGTGAAATCGTTGAAGCACCGATGCTGGCGATGGACTGACCTAGTTTTGGAACGGTTTGTATCCTGTGTGCCAAAGTCGCTTTCGCATGACCTCGCTGACCGATGAGTAGGGAGGGTAAAATCGACGAGAGATTCCAGGAACAATATGAGCGATTGTTAGACATTCGCAACCAACTAGATCGTCTCTCAGTGACGCAAGCATGGTCACTTCGCGAGACAGACTTATTTGGATACCAGCGCCAGCTCGATCGGATTGATGAGGCTCGCGTTAATGGCAATTTCGTCGATGCTGAAGGAAAACCCGCCGATCTTCATGCCCAAAGGGTAGGCACTGATACAAATACCCAGCTTATTTAGTCTTGCGCTGACCATGACATTATTAGACTCTCTTATACTTGATTCGTAGGAGTTATGCATATATTTATGCTCTTCTCATTTCTTCGGAGCCCGTTTCAGAGGCACTCTTGCCAGTATATAACCAGCTGCAAACACTTCGACGCTGTCTATTAGAAGTAAAAGAGTCTGGCGGTGTGTCCAACGCACGCGAACTCTACCCATATAGCATGAAGGTAAGCTCTACATGGTAGAAACACGGATACATCTATCTCGCTAACACAAAGAGCAGCTCAACTCGATTGACAATATGCGAGTAGACGGAAAGTTCTATGTTGGCAACGACATCCCTGAAGGACAAGGCGGAGTAAATTCTTTGCTGGCGGAATGCTATGATATGGTCTGGGAGCTGCGGGCGGCGGTAGCAGACGACAAGGAGTAAGGGGCGCTCTGTCGTGTCGATCCTTTTATTCCCTTTTCTCTCTTTTTTCTCTTCGCCCATGTATGAATCAATTGGGAATGGGAGGCTTGCAGTAGGTTTGAATTTTTTTTCTCTTTCTTTCTTTCTTTCTTTCTTTTCTTTTCTCTTCTATGAGGGCGTTGAAATGGGTGCAACAACAACAATAATTTCAACCTGGTTTTTAACCCCTTTAATTAATAGGTACATGTTAACTACGAGTTATAAGTTATGAGTAAGTAGGTATTGTGGAGTCAGTCCATACATCATCATACATGGCTTTTATATGTCTCAATTCGATTGTTTTTTTTTTTTTTTCTAACACCACTTGGACCACCTAGGAAGTTCGAAATACCTTCCAAAATCGTATATGATGATACATGTTCGGCTGTCGAGTTCTAGTATCTGGAGGTTCTCCAAGGTTACTACGACACATACCTTAGGTGGTAGAGTGGCGCCCATCAGATCAGGTACTTCATGGGTGACCAAGAAGGTACAGTAATTTCATGTTAACTAAATGCCAGGTTCCATAATAGACTACCTACCTATCTACCGACCTACCTATTGACTCCAGCCTCAGCTCAAGCTCCATGAATCAGCCGACATACCAGAACTCAAAACGAAGAAAAGTGACGAGAGACATGCGAAGGGGAAAGCACAGGAAGGGAAGAAAAACAAGAAGCAAAATGATCAATAATTGAAGTATCCGACACATCCATTCATTGTCTAGATAGTATAAGAGTAATATTGGAAGAAAATAGGAAGAAGAGAAGAAAAAGAAAGAGACTCATTTAACGAAATCATTCACATCAAGTAGAGGTAATTACTGGAAGTAACTGCGCACAGCTGCCTGGTTCTCTGGACTCACACCAGCTAAGATCTGGTCTGCATTCAACCCTGTTGCCGCCACAAGTGCCTTGGCTGAGTTGGCTACTCGACCGGCCGTCTGGCCCTGAAGGGTCTCGGCTTCCAACGCTTGTACGATGTATCCAAAAACTTTGTCTGCATTTGACATGACCACAGGGTTTTGTCTGATATTATTAGTAAGTGACGTGGAGCGAAAATAAGGGGGAGGGAGATAAAACATACTGGTCAATCAATTGAGCCAGGAAAGAGTATGCGTACGGAGCTGCCTCCTCATCGTAGGTAATTGGAAGTGTGGAGATCCAGTTACCTGCCATCTCGGCTGCGTTAGATACCTTGCTAGCGTTGTAGTGTAAGATCTTAGCAATACTAGCCGAGGCATTCTCAGTTGCAAATACATGCTCCTCTGTGCGCGATTGGCTGAACTGTGTAACTTGAAACAGACTCGGTAGACTAGCCGCCACAAAGTCGCTCCAGGCTGCGCCACCCTTCTGGGCGGCCACTCCCACACCGTAAGCGGCCGCCTGGCGGTTGGCCGCATTGGCATCCTGCAGTCCGGCTGCCAATGGCTGCATGATGTGGTCCTTGTATCGCCATGAATCCGGTCCGCAAAACTCCAGCACGTCGTCCATAATGCACAGTGCCCATTGTCGCTGGGTTGGGTCCTCGCTCTTGATGAATGCATCGTAGAATGGCATTAGCTGCTCCCACGAGGGAAGGAATGTTGTGCCCTGGTTCTTGAAAATGGTGTGGAACGCCTTGTTCATATCACTGAGAAGGTTCTGGTCATCCTCGATAGCGTACTCGTAGTCTGGGTTCTCCTCCTCGGCATCGTCTGCGTCTGCTCGCTCTTCGGCGCGCGCCTGCACGCGGACCTGGTAGTCTTCCAATGTCGACTTGGCCGACTGAATGAACGCCTGCATGTGCTGTGGTCCCAGGCAGTTCTTGCCGACAACTTCAACCGACTCGTAGAAGCACTGATACATCTCCGCCAGGGTATCCACGGTGGGCTCTGCGCTGAGAACCTCGATGATCTTCTCTGCAACCTTAGACCACATTCCAACGAAGCCAGCGGACTGTTCTCCGTGAGCTTTGCGGTAAGAATTCAGGAGCTGGGGGATCAGCTTGGCCGAGGACACCCGCACAGGGTCGTGGAAGAAGAAGGCTAAGCCTGGAACAGCAATCTTCTCCATCGTCTCCAACACGTATGGCTCGAAGGATGCCTCCAGAATTTGAGCGTAAATTGTGATAAGCTCAATGGCCGTGTTCTTGTCCTCTAGTGCGCTGGTCTTGATACCAATAATCTTGCCCTTCAGCGGCACCAGCTCCCAGCCCTCGTCCTGCTCCACCTGGTCGATCTGGTCCTCATCGTCGAGCAGCTGGATATCAGCCTTGGCGGCAGCTACAGCTAGCAGTGGTGGCATAACTCCTGGCAAGTAAGGAACGAAGTCCTGGCCGAGGACACGGCACATACGGCCCCAGCAGTGAAGCAAGTATTGAGACTGTGGGTCATCCGCATCGACAATATTCTGCTGAATGTTGCCTAGCAGCTGGACCAGGTTGAGTGCATCCTGTCCCATCTTGGCCTTACCAACAGCGAGCGCAATCAGAGTAGCGCACTCCATTGCCTTGGCACGTAGAAGGCGGTATTCCTTGGACTGTTCCTCCTTCAACACATTGAAAAGCAAAGGCATCAGAGTCGAATAGTATTCTTCAAAAGCATTCTCTGCGGAGTCAGCGATGGTGGCAATGGTGGACAAAGCCTGTTCCTGCACATAACGCTTGGGGCTACGGAGGAGCTGCAGCAGGTGTCGGAGAAGGTCAGCCAAATAGGGCTCAAGAATCTTCCTCTCGGCCTCCTCGCAGAAGTTAACCAGGGCGGCAGCAGCGTGCGCCTGGACACGGGGTTCAACACTGTCAAGAACTGGGATGATGTTGCTAAGAACAACCTGGTGGTACTTCTCCTGCATGGTGCCTGCAAAGTCTGTGCTCATCTGACCCAAAGCATTGCAGCCAGCATAGCGGACACGAGGGTGAGGGTCCCGGAGAGCGGGAATAACAAGCTGCAGGACCTGGTCCAGTTCGCCAACCATCAAGTCGCGGCAGCCTTCAGAAATCGCCGAGATGGCCATGAGAGCCGCATGGCGGTCACGCCAGGCGGACGAAGACATCATGCGGGGGATCCATGCAAAGGTGGCAGGGAGCACGACCTGGCCTCCGAGCTTGTTGGCAAGACGGTCCATACACTGCTCTCCAGCAACGTGGTTGAGATCACTCTCTTCCAAGTCCAGCTATGAAACTAGTTAGTAACTAAATAATATACAGGGAAAAAAAAAAAATAGGGGACATACATCTTCGGAAGCATTCCACTCAGAGGCATCCTCATCGTCAACACCAATGTCGGTCATCAAGCTCAAGCACTGGGTCACCATCTCCTGTGTGAATTCAGGGTCTTTCTTGCACATGGCAGGGGCGTAATCAGCAAATGTGGCCATCAGTTCCAAAGCATTCTGTCTGACTTGATCACTGAGTTCCTTGTCGGCAATAACGCTAATGCTGAACTTCACCAGGTTGTTGAACAGGCTCTTGAACATCTTTGGAGAGATTTCCGCCAGCTCGATGAGGGCCAAGAAAGCGGCTGAAAGCTCGTCACTTTCAGAAGATTCCTTCAAGGGGGGCAAAATGTTGAGCAGGTCGGGCATAAGACCGAAGAACTTGGTCTGGGACTTCTTGGCGATGGAGCGGAAGAATGAAGCAAAAGCCTCCATGGCCGCAATGCGTACCTATAAGCCAGAAATTTAGAACTATCGTCTTACGCGGATTGCGGACGCTCATTGATCGGAAGACATACGGAAACTACATCATCCTTGAACCCCTTGCCAAAAACTCCAACAACGGCATCTTCATGAGGCTTCTCAATGATTCCGGGGGTTGTCGAGAAAATGCGGAAGGAGGCCTCCCGCAGACCAGCATCGGGAGACTGGCTAGCCTGGAATAGAACTCCCAGGAGTTCTGGCCATTGATCGCCTAAGAAGAAGGAAAAAAAAGAGATCAGTCGTTAGATCGTGGATCAAACCATCAACCATCTCTCTCAGAATGTGTGTGCGTACCATTATCGGTGTACTGTCTCGCAATCTCGGCAACTGCATCACCAATCTTCTTCCTGACATCAGTAGCGGATTCGTTGGTCAGGCAAGTGACCAGCTTTTGTCGAATAATCAACCTCTGTTCGCCGGTGAGAGTTGAGAAAAGCTCTTTGGCCTCATTTGTGGCGGGGTCCTTTCGTGTTTTAGTCGCGATTCTCCGGAATAGCACCGCGGCAAACGACCGTGTCTAGGAAGCAAGGCAAACAATCAGAATAAATAATAAGTCATTAGTTTTAAACAGATATCGGTGCAGATAATAATGAGTATTGTTTCATAATCCGTATCGACCGATCGGCCATTCGTTCCCTTGTCGTCCCAGACTCCCCGCCATTCCAAGCACTTACCCCTAGATCTTCGGCTCCCTCGATCTGCTCTGCCAGACCCATCAACAGGACATCCGGCCGATTTTGAATCCAATCATTATTCAGCTGCTCTTCCGCCTGGGTACGGACGGTGTTATCTGCGGTGCTCAGTGCGCGCAGCAACTGAGAGAGGGCGGAGTGGACTTCGGGAGGCAGCAGTGACATCTCGCCGGCTCTGCTTGACCTCAACAACCAAACCAAACCAAGGAGAAATTAATCAAATCGCGTTCCCAAATGGGAGTCCAAACGCGGGCTGAGCGTTGAACCCAAGTGGTAAGTGGGGGTGGTGGTTTTGGTTAAGGAGGATATTTTTTTTTCCTGTCAGGAAATTGTTTTGGTGGGGGGAGGCGGTGGGAAGTAGTGGTAGGAGTAGTAGGGAGAGCAAATTGCAGAGAAGACAAGAATCAAAATCCAGCTGTTGTTTCGAGGATTTAAGGATATTTACAGTTGATGAGCATCAGCACCTCAACCAGGCAAGAAAACTGAGGCGAAAGTGAATTAATTAATCACAAATGGAAGTTGCGAGGTGGATGACTGAGGCCGAAAACCCCCCATTTTTCAGGCATTATTGAAAATAGGCGCTAGTCCATAAGGAGAAGTACCCCTTGGCCTTAGGCGTACCTTCAGTATTACTAATCACCGCCTTACCTTCGGGCTAGTTACGTAGTATAGCCAACTATGTAGTTGCTCGAGTAGTCAATACAAATAGCAGGGGGGGGGGGAAAAGCCATGGCAAAAATGGATTAATATCGACCTAATAATCACAAGATGATGCAATTGCTAAACTGCGGTATCCGAACAAAAAAAAAAAAAATCAAAATTAGTAGTGCAGGGGCGGTAGAGAAAATGAGCAAGACGACCGGGAACAAAGAATAGTCGAAATGTCATAAATACACAAAGTCTAGTCGTCGTTTTATAGAAGTGTTGCGGTACTGTATCGGTTACCGCGAGGTGGCACGGCTGAGGATGAACACTCCAGCAATCACGGCAGCCAAGGTGACAATGGCACCGGGAAGCAGTAGTTCGTTGGGGACGCCTGCAATGAATTGTTCCTCGGGAGGGTGCGCTGGGTATGCCTGGTGTGTCCGGGGCTTAGCCACAATAGGCTCTTCCTCCAGCGATTCCTCAGTACCAGAAGGGATCTTTATCTCGACATGTTTAGGTGCAGGCTCCACGGGGGCAGGGACGGGAGTAATTGGAGGCTGGGTGGGGTCATGAACGCAAAGGTCGACCTTGTCCCTGCCAGCCTGTCGGGAAATAATGACTGCATCAGCAAGATCCTGATCCGTGGTAATCGACACAGTATCTCCTTCGTTATCAACATAGCTCAGCGCATAGCCGGTGTTGCTGAGGGTGCCGTCTTCAGAGGTGGCAGCACCGCCCACAGCCTCCACCTCGGGACCAAGCTTCGCAGTAACTTGAGCCACCAGCTCCGCAATGCCAGCAGTGGGGAGAACGTTGACTCTGTGCACACGACCACTAGGGGCCTTGAACTTGAAGGGAAACGGAACAGGCTCTTCTGGGTGGTATTCGGAATGCTCGTCTCCACCATGATGAGAGGCGGATTCATGAGGGAGCACGCTGTCCCGTGTGTCGAAGGTAGCCTTAGGGGACTCGGGGCTAACAACCGATCGATGTGGGGTATGGGGTTGGTGGCTGCCTGAAACCATCGAATCGGACTCATGGTCCATTGACAGCCAGAACTTGTTCCATGCTGGGCCTTCAGCATCATGCGTCTGCATAGAGTTGATCTGAAGATTTCACTTAGAGAATTTCTTGCGTGCAGAGAAAAGCTTTGAATACGAACCTGCTCCAGAGTGGCATATGTGAGTTTAAGGACATCCACCATTCCAACGATTTCGCCTCCTTCGTTCATCACAGGCAAGTTTAGGTAGTGCCCATCTACGAGCTCAAGCAATTAGTAGCCATCCTCGATATTCAAACGGAAGGATAAATACTAACCATGCATCTTCCGGAGAGCAGCTTGGATGCTCATGTCAGAAGGGGCGAAGTCAGGGTGAGGGGTCATCACTCGGACTACACTGCAAGTCGCAGGATCAAGGCCTGGGGCAATGACACGGAGAACAATATCCTTGCTAGTAAAGATACCCGTGATAGATCCCTGGTCCTGCACCAGCAAAGCAGTAGTATGGTTTTCCTTCATCATTGAAGCAGCTTCCTTAACAGTGGTCCTCACGGACACGGTTGTCGGAGGCAGGCCGTCGAGGACAGTCTCGAGTGTAGGACCAGACATCTTTTGGCGAAGAGCCTCCACATACTGAATGACCTGCTGGGGCTGGGTAGAACCGAGTTCCGATTGAACACCTTCCAATGCATCGTACAGCTTGCGGGAGGAACTGTAGGCACGCTCCAGCTTTTCCATAGCATCGTAGAAGCACTTTGTAATGTCGAGCACACCCGAAATATCCTGGTTCTCGTCCATAACGGGCAAGTGGCGGAATCCCTTCCGTACCATAAGATCGAGGGCATCTGTAGCGCTGGTGTCTGTCCTTGCACACAGGGGGTTCTTCGTCATGATCTCCGCCACTGTAATGTCGCGAGCCTTGAGGCCTGCTCCCACTACCCGAAACGCTAGATCTTTAGCGGTGAAGATTCCGGAAATCCGATCATCGTCGTCCGTCACCAAAACACAGTCTTCCCTCTTTGCTGCCATCAATTGGGCGGCCTCCGCAATGGTGGTAGATGGTTTGATCTGGAGAGCGGTACTGGGTTTCAATGCAAGGACTGTACCCGGAGGAGCCTTGCGGGCACGGCTTGCCCTTGTCGGATGGTGTCTCTTCTTGTTGAGGTCTGCCTCCAACTTTCGGCGGATAGCCTGGGTTCATAGCGGATTAGAAACGAATCGCATAGGGATAGAAGATGACCATTATTCGATTGGTTCATCCTTCTTCCCTTCCCCCCCTTTCCTGCCGGAGGCTTGGGGAAGGTCATACCTCATCTCGCTTGGACTGGTTCTGCCTCTGTCGGCTGCTGGCGGCACTCATTGTGGAACTACCGATATCGCTGCTGGGGGTCTGAGGTGTGACGGTTGAGGAATTATCTGGCCGCGGACGTGGAATATGGGATGTCGAGCTGTTCTCAAAGTCAGGCAATTTGCCTCGTCCGACAGTCTTGTAACCGGTGGTGCCCTTAAAGGCTGGATTCGACGACATTTCCCGGGTACCTTGATTAGGCGGGCGGGGTTTAAGGGATGGAATTTCGCAAAGGAAGACCAAGAAAAGGGATGAAGGATGGAGATGGGGCGGAGGAGGATTTGAAGATCGAGGGGACTCGAATCACAAAAAAAGAAAAGAAAAGAAAAAAAGGAAACTACTGTGTAGTTGGAGAGACAAAAGATGATGCGGCAAACAGGGGGGGAGATTTCCCAAGAGGTTTTAGTCCGGTCGACTATTTGTCGCTCGTTGTCTATTCTGGGGCTTTTGGTTTATTCACGGACACAGTTCTCTGTACAGCAGAGAGCTATAAGAAAGTACCTAAGATCATATACTGCAAGTCATTACAGAATATCACGGAGTTCTACCCATCGCTCTATAATTACACTTGCTATTCATATTGTATGATCGCGCAATGACCGTGGCCTGACATCTCCAGCAAAGTAAACAAAACCAGGCGTATTGACGTACAGTACTGCGTAATGAGGTAATAAACAGGTGGAAATCATGTGCTGGCATAGCCTTACGCTAGTCCTCTTTGGAACTGTGGTTCGGCACGTGAGCACATCAAAAGGGGTGCCTGATTCTTGAGGTATATATAGTACTGTAGACCCATTTTGCCTGAGGCATCTGTGCAAGATCCCGTGACCCAGACTCGCTTAAGGGTATAGGGCTTCCACACACACCGACATATCCTCATCCCGAAGAGAGTCTCTGGAGACTGGAGCCATATCGACAACCAACCCCGACAGCCAAGTACGCAACAACCTTTCCCTTTCAACCCCCAACCTTCCTGTCCCTTCAGTCTCTGACTTTACATCTCCAGAACAATCCGTCAAGATGGTCAAGAAGAGGGCGAACAAGTAAGACCGCACCCTTTCCCTACCACTTCGATTTTGCACTCTATATATACACACACACCTCTCCGACTTGAAATGTGACGCCGATGGAAAATCCGCCCTGGAGAGAACTCCCGGTTTTCTTCTCTGAGTGTCATGTCACAAGGATCGCAATGTTGAGGATAAAGAGGACAAACTCAAGATGGAAATTTGGAAATCACGAAAGATCTATAGACTAACGAATTTACAGCGGTCGTAACAAGAACGGCCGCGGCCACGTCAAGCCCGTGCGCTGCTCCAACTGCGCTCGCTGCACTCCCAAGGACAAGGCCATCAAGAGATTCACCATCCGCAACATGGTTGAGTCCGCTGCCATCCGTACGTTCGACTATTTCTGACCCCGCAATTGAATGAATTGAAAAGTCCCGATCCGTCGCGCACACTGCCCTACCGTGCCCTATCGAATGAAATGGAACTAGCATCGTCCTAATTGGAATTTGACTGTGGCAACGTCGGTCGCCAGCAGCGATAACGCGCGGATCGGAGATTCTCTATACGTTTTGGAAAGAACAATCGACGCTGACTCGATTCTGTTTCACTCTCTAGGTGATATCTCTGACGCCTCCGTCTTCACTGACTACGCCGTCCCCAAGATGTACCTCAAGCTGCAGTACTGCGTCTCCTGCGCTATCCACGGCAAGATCGTTCGGTACGCTCCTCTTAACACCTCGATCAACCTTGTAACGACTCTAGTATGAATCCAAACTGACGGGTTTTATCCTATAGTGTCCGCTCCCGGGAAGGCCGCCGCAACCGTGCTCCTCCCCCTCGCATCAGGTACAACAAGGATGGCAAGAAGCTGAGCCCCCCTCAGGCCGCTAAGGCTATGTAAGGAAGATCAGAAAAGAAAATGGAATTAGTTTAAAAGGCATTGAATGTTACTTTTCCTCTTTTTTTTTTTTTGGTGGACAGACTTTCTTACGGAATGAATGGGTTTCACTTTCGGGGTTGAATGGCATAATTGGTCTCGAGGCAAGAGGCAACATAAAACAATACCAAAAATGAATTAAAGAATATCATGAACCTGTTGTCTCTACATATGGGCATAGAAACCATCATCCTACCTGTAGGAATTACTTACAGCCCTTTTTGACAGCTGATTGGTAGATGTGTGACGGCTTTCTAGGTATATACTGGCTCTCGACATTCAACCTGAAGCGTTGGAAACTCGCTTCATTTGTTTTATCGTCCTCCGAATATTTATACTGAATATACGACAGACCTGATATGATGGGTTTATGCATCAAAAAATTGTTGTTATGGAAAAGCTATGGGTATAACAATGCATTATACCAGAGAAAAAAAAAAGGTCCATATTCGTAACATCAACTTTTACCTTCCTAGCCTATGCCAGTTCTTAGGGATACAAATACCCCTTCTCAAAGTAATTTCCATACATATCTACCATCCCACTTCGTCCCTTGGGAGCTGCATTCCGGACTATTTTTACCTCTCCTTTCCAATGCCCTTCAACATGGTGTGCAATAGATGTAAGAGGCGCAGACATCAATCCCCTTAAGCTTGGAGAGGGTGAAATAGCCCTGGTAGAACCCGACGCAGACTCGGATCCTGTGAAAAGGGTGGGTTGAGGAGAAAGGGACCCATTCAGGCTCCGTCGTTGGTAGCTATTTCGTACGACTTGCTCGTACTCGCCTTTCTTTCTCCGTCGGAAGGCGGCCAGCTCAGAGACAAGGTCAACCTCTGGAGCCGGGGGAGGAGAAACCGAAAGATTCTTCGCGGACGGTTGCAGCGGGGGGGTTTTATTAGGAACCTGTCTCCTTGGTACCGGTATGTGTGGGGGGAAGGAAGCTTCTAGCTCTGAGATGCCCTGACGGTCGTAATCTTCGTCGTCTGGTGTGAGGGTGACCTTCTCATTGAGGGCAGCCATAGGGAAATATTTCCCCGCGTCGCTCTCTGGTATTCCGCATTCAGTTTCATCGAAGAAACTGAAGTCGTCCATTGCTGCGGACCAAAGCTGCTCTAGGTCTCGGTTTCCCGTGCTCGACTTCTGAGAACCAATCTGTGCGCTAACGGACTTCCAAGCTGTTGATTTGGTGGGATATGGTGGTTTGGTCGGTGTTATCTCTAGGACTAGCTGGCGTATAGCGAAGAGAGATCTTGCACGCTCTTGTTCTGCTCTCGCTCTATCTTGTCCTGGCGGGAGAGAGTAGTCCGATCCGGCTTGAAGAGTTGCTAGCAATGCTTCATTTGAACAGGCCGTTATGAATTCGATCAAATACTCTAGTATCGGGGAATTTAGCGGGACGTGGGATGGGACATCCGTTAGCACCAAAGTTTCCACATGGGGAATATGAGAAGGGTGAAGATGTGATGTGAACGCTTCCTTGCTGTTTCTTCGGATTGGAAAGTAGACCTTAGGCCTCTTAGCGAGAAGCTCCTGAATCTTTTGAGCTCGTGAGTCTTCCATAGACACAGGAGAGCTACATTGTGGGATGATGCCCAGCGAATTAAGGTGTATACAAACGCCTGAAGTGTCCATGATTGAGCCGTCTTGCGTCTGTACTGTAAACTGGGTCCCTGTTCCAAGGTTCCTTGTAAAATTATTGGTATCAACTTCACTCTGGACTTCTAAGACCTCGGATGCGAAGATAGGTGCCCTCCTTCTGGCCGTTAGAGACTCATCTTCGTAAGTGCTGTTCCTATTAGTACTGTTTTCTTCATGGTCGCCCGAGAGTCTAGAAAGTGTTGACCCCGGAAGCTCACACGGAGGAGCTGTATCTCCAGGTAGCTCAAAAATCCCACACGAAGTACTATCTAACTCCAGATAACCTCTGGTCTCATTCTCTTCTGACAGTTCGTACAGAAACTCGTGCGATGGTGTAGAGGACCTCTGTGGTGCAGTAGACGTACAAATCGGATGGTGGGCCCGGAGGTAGGTCAGATTATCTTTTGCAAGGGTACCCAAAATGGGTATCAGCTTTTCAGCACCTGGGAGTGCTTGTTGTCCTGCACGGGTTGGGGAAAGAGAGCTCGACCCCGAAGTGATATACTTTGCCGTATCCACAGTCCCTGCATCAAGGACATGAAGCCGAGTCGATGCTAGAAGACTTGCGACACCCTCGACAGTAATCTGATTGTCTGCTATATAGAGGTGTGTAATGCCCACATTTGGAAGATTTTCGACCCAAGAACGACCAGTTAAGGGGCATGTCAGTGCCCTTCGGAATTCTTTGTCTAGTACTGGGGAACTTAGGAATCTTGATCTCGCAGCGAATGGGTCATGGGAACTTAAGAATGCACCGCTAGTGAGACCTAAACGAAGAGCAGCATAGCCTGGGGGTAAAAAGCAGGCTTGTAGTAAGGATCGAATGGCCATGTCAGTGAGCTTATTGTTACGCAGGTCTAGAAAACGGACTCTGAGACCGATAGCATTAGCCAGGAGCTCTGCTTCGTTGTCCTTCAGGCCGATTCCTCGTAATTTGAGCACTTGCAGACGTTCAAGCCGAGATAGCGCAGACAAGATCATTCGGTCCCTTGCGGGGCTGGTATACGATAGATCAAGGTATATTAGCTCCGGGAAACTTAATAATGCCTCTGCGATGCCTTGTGAGGTTGTATTTGGCTCGCGCTCCGCCAGAAGGAGGCGAATATTGTAAGTCCGAGAGGCACCTCCGTTTGGTGATTGCTCCGGCTTTCCAGCTCCTCTCAACGCCATCATGGCATTGTGATCAAAAAAAGGCAACTCAGAGACTACCAACGACTGAAGACATGGTAGGTATCCAAGAATCTCCCTCAGCCACTCCGCACGTGGGCCTCCGTAGATTTCTGAGAGAGCTGGAGGCATATGAAGTGTGTGGGTAAGCATTCGCACCTCAAGACGAGCATACTTAAGGGTTCGTCTGAACCTCGTCAAGGCGACTGCCGTTACATATTCACATCAGTATTAAATTATTTGAGGGGGAAGGGGGGGGTATAAAAAGCAAGTACCGTAAACATCATCATTATCCGTTCCAAAGTGAGAAGCGGGGTTTCCCCATAGGAACGGCATAAAGACTCCATGCCATCTACGACAGACTAAAGCGACAGCACAGAGATCGCTCGAAGGAATATACTGCGCAATAATAGACCAGGGGTCCCTGGTGGTGGCGAACTGGTATGATGGTGGAACTGTCTCCATCATCAACTGGATTCCCTACCACGTCCACAGAATAAATTAGTATATTCAATCACGATATCATCCCCGCATAACAAGAACAGACTATCATCTGTTCTTGCTTTACGGACAGAGGAATCAAACACAATGGATGGGAGAATATATGAATATGTGCGGATGGCCTGCTTTAAAAGAGCCTAGAATCCAGCCCAATTATAGCCATTATGGTGACTGACGGGCACTGCCACCTCGTGATGGGGCGCGTTTCATGGGTTTGTCTTTGTCTCTGCATATTATTTTGTCCAGTATGATTGGCAAGTCACAAATCTAGCCAGTTCAAATCATGATGGAGCAGAATAGTCACAGGAGTACCCATAGAAGAGAAATGAAAGGCAAGATACGTGGTATGGTAGAAGTCTGTCCAAAAAGAGACAGGTATTGGTATACAGTACGGTACACAAATATTTCATAGTATTAGCACACTCTCAAGGACGTAATACCACAACCATACAATACATCACTCACATGACGTCACCCTTCATGTATAAACAAAAGCGACTATTAACTAAAAAGGCAAGAGATAGTGAGATGGGAATTTTCAACTAACATCACTCCTCAGGCAGTATGGAGACCTGGCACCAAAACATCCGTCTCCTACCTAGGTACACCAAATTGATGAGTTTCTGGACGTTGGTTCCACCCAATCACATTTCATGGTGGATTTTGTGGCCCTCAGATGCAGTCCGTGAGGGGCTTACTCAAGTCGATGAGAATCTCCGAATCCCACTAAGTTGAAGTTGCGTCCGGAGTGGAGGGAATGGGCGATTGTAATGCTGCGGGACGGCCGGGTCAATGTTTCTAACTTGACTAATTGCCTATCTTTTCGAGAGCTCGCAGACCTAGCAGTCAAACAAGAGCGAGCAATCCTAAAACAGCAGCGGAATAAGTCGAAGAAAATTTCTGATAATAAGTCAACGGTTACTTCCTCGTCCTCATCGACGGATCTCGACACACCTAGGACGCTTACACAGGATGATATAAATTCATTTGTTGTCCAGCAGATGAGCAATGAAAGGGCACCCTGGCGTCTTAGTTGGGCCTCCAGTCCCAGCGTTCGAGGTCATGCGAAGCTACCAAGCCAGGAGGAAATCAACCAATATGTGATCCGACAAATGAGTCGAGAACGAGAGCAGTCCCTAAGGGCTCACAGTCAAAGCCAGCCAGAGCCATCAATGCGAAGCCAGCCCCGATCAAGGCCACCGATAGTACGCTGTACATTCTGCGGCGATACCTTCCATCAGTCGACAAACTGCTGGCGTTGCTGGCGAGTGGCTATTGAGGCACTGCAGCCTAATGCTGCCCCTGAGCCTGTTGAATCCAGAAATGGCGTGTCTATCCAGCCACGCATATACGTCTCTGGGTTTACTCCCTTCTAGCTTGGATGTTATAAAAACGGTTATGATCTTGGGGCAATCTTATGTGTCATTTGTCGCGGCGTTGGCGATCATGGGGATTTCATCTTAATCATGCCCTCTTTCGGCAGTCAAGTCAATACTTACTATGTACATATTATCTAGAGCTAATGCTAATCGGCTTAATATGCAGGTCTCCTTTCGCCTATATTTCTGCGAGCAGATGCCTTTCATAATCTAGCCCCTCGCTGCTCTAACAAACACAATTTCATAAATTATCGAATACCAATTTACGCGTTAATGTAGTCTTAGTATTGATTTATACCCATGTATATCATATTGACCAAAGATACAAAGTATTTTTTTCACAAGCCATTACGGAGTATATATATCTCTAGATGTTGAGGTCGGCGGTGATTAGACTTCCAAAAGCACCAATATGTATGTAGCCGAAAGAAAGAACCCTCCAAGAATAATAATAAATAAAAAAAGAAGGAAGGACATATATAACTAACTTACACCCATGATATTCCACCAAATACATTAAAACAGAAGTTCAGTAATATCCCACCAAGTCGAAAGCAATAAGGAGGCACTCCTACCTAGGTAGGGTTGCGGGGCACAGCGTGATTGGTCACCGCCTCAGGCTGCAGGCGGGAGGTGCGATGAACTGAGAAGCTCGGGGAAATTTTGGTCGAGAGCATTCGGATCACTATTGACGGGCCAACTTTCCCATCACCCCCGTCTTTTTGCTATTTGGCCATCTCCTTTCCTTCTCTTCTTGTGTATTTCTTTGCAGCAAATTAATCACCATGGCCTTCGCTGGCCAAACACCCACGATCATCGTCCTCAAAGAGGGTTGGTTCCCACCCGCATTTTGTCCCCCTCCCCCCCGCCCCTTTGTGTGTTCCTTTCGCTGACTCGGTGATTTCAACCTTTTCGTTGTGCCTTAGGTACGGACGCCTCTCAAGGAAAGGGTCAGATTCTCTCCAATATTAATGCCTGCGTGGCCGTTCAATCCACAATCAAGAGCACTCTGGGCCCATATGGAGGGGACTTGTTACTTGTTGATGGCAACGGGAAGCAGACCATTACAAACGATGGAGCAACAGTAATGAAGGTATGTTCTACTTGAGACTTGAGCTCTGATATACGCAAGGGTGATGGGGTAGAAAAGGATATTGAAATGGTGCTGATTGTGTTCTTCTTTCTTTTTCTAGCTCTTGGACATTGTCCATCCCGCCGCCCGCATTCTTACTGACATTGCTCGGTCCCAAGATGCTGAAGTTGGAGATGGCACAACATCTGTTGTCGTTCTGGCTGGTGAGATACTGAAGGAGGTTCGGGAACTAGTTGAGCAAGGCGTTAGCGCACAAACCATTGTCAAGGGTTTGCGAAGCGCGAGTGCAATGGCAGTCAACAAGGTGAAGGAAATCGCGGTGGATATTATTGACGCTGCCGGAAGCGAGGAGAAGAAGATTGAAACCCTAAGGAGGCTGGCCGGAACCGCTATGAATAGCAAGCTCATCAAGCGGAACTCGGAGTTTTTCACCAAGAGTAAGTCCTTCCCCTCAGTGCCCGCCAGAATTTTTCCCGGAGGGAAGAAGCTGACAGTACCTTGCTTTTAGTGGTTGTGGATTCGGTTCTGTCGCTTGACCAGGACGATTTGAACGAGAAGTTGATTGGCATTAAGAAGGTGACCGGTGGTGGCCTCCAGGACTCGCTCTTCGTCAACGGTGTCGCTTTCAAGAAGACTTTCTCCTACGCAGGTTTTGAACAACAGCCCAAGTCCTTCAAGGACCCCAAGATTGTCTGTTTGAATGTGGAGCTAGAGTTGAAGAGCGAGAAGGATAATGCTGAAGTGCGAGTCGAACAGGTGTCTGAATATCAGGCTATTGTGGACGCGGAATGGCAGATCATTTACAACAAGCTTGAGGCTATTCATAAGACCGGAGCCAAGGTTGTCCTCAGTAAGCTGCCTATTGGTGATTTGGCTACACAGTACGTATTCCGTTTGGGCCGGTGGTTGATATCTATGGTTTCTCACCTGGCTTTTTTCTCCTAGATACTTTGCGGACCGTGACATCTTCTGTGCTGGTCGTGTCTCATCGGATGATATGGACCGTGTCTGCCAGGCAACTGGTGCTGTTACCCAGTCGACCTGCAGTGACATCCAAGAACGTCATCTGGGTACTTGCGGCGCTTTTGAGGAACGCCAGATCGGTGGTGAACGTTACAACATTTTCTCCGAGTGCCCGAAGGCGAAGACATGCACGCTTGTGCTGCGTGGCGGAGCGGAACAGTTCATTGCTGAAGTCGAGCGCAGTTTGCATGATGCCATCATGATCGTTAAGCGCGCACTGCGCAACACAACCATCGTCGCGGGTGGCGGTGCTTGTGAGATGGAGTTGTCTGGCTACATTCACCGTTTCGCCGACCGCAACGTTCCATACAAGCAACAGGCCGTGGTCAAGGCATTTGCCAAGGCTCTGGAGGTTATTCCCCGGCAGCTGTGCGACAATGCCGGTTTCGACGCCACGGATATTTTGAACCGGCTGCGTGTGGAACACTACAAGGGCAATACCTGGGCTGGTGTGGACTTTGACCAGGAGGGTGTTCGGGATAACATGGTCGCTTTTGTGTGGGAGCCCAGTCTTGTCAAGGTTAATGCTATTCAGGCGGCTGTGGAAGCTGCTTGTTTGATCTTGAGTGTCGACGAGACCATCAGTAAGTCCCCCCCCCCCTGTTCCCTGGACTATATTTAGTGTTTATTTGCTTTGTGAATATTTGACTGATGTATTGCTTTCTTTTCCCCCCGCTATAGAGAATGAGGAATCTGCTCCGCCTCAGGCACCGACACGCGGACTGCCACCTGGCGCTGCACAGCGGGCTCTTGGTGGAGGCCGAGGACGTGGTATGCCCCGGAGAGGGCGATAGACCTGCGCGACGGGATGAGATGAGATGAGTCGCGTGGATGCAGCTAAAGTTTTGCCATGATGATCAAAAGAAATATAAAAAAGCAACCAGTAGTTAGAATATAGCACATCTGTGCATTATAATCTCTCTTTCTTGTGTGCATGCCTACTAGTAGGTATAGAACCTCTGGATTCTTCCAATTATTTGGGAGAACAGCTTAGTCTGGACAGAGGTACATGTTCCCCGACAGATATCGTCTCTTACTAGTAACCCTAGTTATAGTATGTATTATTAAGGACCTAGGTGCCTAAGTACTCTGTACACTAGAGATGCATGACGGTGATCGCCGTGGTTGCTGGTTGATCAGCGTGTAAGTTCTGTACATAGCTACAGGTAGTCATGGATGGGAGTTCTTTACGGGTGGCGATATTCTGGAGAATTCCTGGACTCAGCCTCTATGTTTAGCCACAGGCATAGGATTGAAGGATGACAACCCTAGGGTATTAACTGACATTATACAAAAGAGGAAATATACGATATACGAATATACATCACATGACAGGCGCAGCTCCTGGGATCGTGGACTATCACGTGCGCGGGATTGGACCCAGTGTGGCCGCAACACTAGTCCTAATTCGGCAACTTATCGGGCGGCGTGGGCCCTGCTAGTTACTAAGCTTACAATACGAGGTATTTCTACATATAAAGGCGAAGATAATGTAAGGCTGAAGACAGACGGAAGAGAGAAAAAAAAAACAGAGAGGGGAGAGATGACGGCCCAAGATCAAGCAAGGTATACTAATCCAGAAACTAGTTGAGTTCCGATGAACTCCGAGGGCCAGGATTCTAGGGCTGATTGGGGGCTGAGGAAACGATCGTATACGATATTTCGCAACTAGTGAGGAATCGGCTGGCTGAATCGGCGAGGCCGCTTCGATAGTGAACATAAATTACCAGCGAAACTCATATAAAAGTCTGATAAAACACACACCAACCATGTAATTTCCCCGTATTGTGCGGATCCAATGATTCTGATCGCTGGGGCTTTCCCCACCTGATCTTTCAGGCTGCATCTTTTCTGTCTGGCAATCTTGAAGTTCATCTCTGCTGCTTTCTCTGTCTGTCTGGTCTCTCTGTTTCTGCCGCTGTCCTTCCTATTTGTCTGATTTCAGGCCTTTTTTTTTTTTGTTCTCTCTCCCTCTCTCTTCTGTACCCTTTGCCCCCCTCCATTTCCTTCTACAGAACATGTCTTACTACCCTCCTTATTCCGGTCCGCCCGGGTACCCCCCGCAGCATCAGCAACAACAACAGCAGCAATATTCATACCCTCCCCAAGACTACAATTCCCCGCCCCAATATCAGTAAGTCCCGCGATGTGACTTTGACCTCCCTGCTTACTTCGCGTGCCCGATTTTTTTTTCTTCCAACCCTTTATGCGTGTTTTTTGACCCCACCCTTTTTCTTCACAGCTCTATTTATCTTCAGTAGACCAACCGCAATACTGACCTGAAAATCTACTTGATCTCTACTTAGGCAAATGAACCATCATCCTCACCAACAGCAGTCGTCGTACGGGGGTGGTGGTGGTGGTGGTGGCTATCCTGGCCAGGCTTACCGCCAGCAACACCCCCCTCCTAATAACCCATACCCATATGGTCAACCTCCTACTCAGCCCTATCCTCCTAATAATGGTTATAACGTATGTCATCTGTGGTGATCTTGCGATGATGATGACGATGTGTTGGGTTTAACGTTTGTGATCTAGCAACCTCCGTCCGGCTACGCATCCTCTCCAGCTCCTCCCAACGGCGGCCAGATGTATCATGGACGAAGTACGTGCAGCCCTGCAGGCTTCTCTCAGCACCATATGCTAATAAGAATTTACAGCCAATTCTCAATACGGATCGCACGGCGCTCCTCCACCTCCTCCCACCAACCCCGTTTCGTTCGGCCAGGGCGCGCCACAGGGCTACAGCTTCCAGTATTCGCGCTGTACAGGCAAGAGAAAGGCCTTGATGATCGGTATCAACTATTTCGGCCAAAAGGGCCAGTTGCGCGGCTGTATCAATGATGTTAAGAACATGTCTACCTACCTGAACCAGAACTTTGGATATGCTCGCGAGGACATGGTGCTCCTGACAGATGATCAGCAAAACCCCATGAGCCAACCGACGAAAGCGAACATCCTGCGCGCTATGCACTGGTTGGTCAAGGACGCGCGACCTAACGACTCCCTCTTTTTCCATTACTCTGGTGAGTTTCTTTCTACCTGGATTTTTCCCCCCCCGCCGAGGCTAGTTGTCTGATAAGAGCAGGGCACGGTGGGCAGACACCCGATCTCGACGGAGACGAAGACGACGGATATGATGAAGTCATCTACCCGGTCGATTTCCGTGCTGCAGGCCATATTGTTGACGACGAAATGCACCGGATCATGGTGAAGCCGCTCCAGCCAGGCGTACGACTCACTGCTATCTTCGACTCGTGCCATTCCGGATCCGCCTTGGATTTGCCATACATTTACTCCACTCAAGGTATTCTCAAGGAGCCTAACCTTGCCAAGGAAGCTGGTCAAGGCTTGCTGGGCGTTGTCTCGGCATATGCGCGGGGCGATATGGGCGGGATGATGTCTACTGCCGTGGGATTCCTGAAGAAGGCTGCCAAGGGCGACGAGGCCTATGAGCGCACCAAGCAAACCAAAACTAGCCCGGCGGATGTCATCATGTGGTCCGGAAGCAAGGACTCGCAGACCAGCCAAGACGCCCAGATTGCCGGTCAAGCCACGGGTGCCATGTCATGGGCATTTATCACTGCCCTACGCAAGAACCCCCAGCAGAGCTACGTGCAGTTGCTGAACAGCATCCGAGACGAGCTAGCGACCAAGTATACGCAAAAGCCGCAGCTGAGTTGCAGCCACCCACTGGGTACGTATCTTGCTCCTGGATCGTAATTTATTGTTCTCTTTTTGTTTTCCCTTTTCTCTCTCTCCTTTTTTTAACTTTCCCCATCTCTTACAACTGTATTCTGACGGATGGTCTTAGATGTGAACCTACTCTATGTGATGTAATTAATGGGAATCTCTGGATGGGAAATCGTACAGCTGGTCCTCTGGTTCTTGAACGCAACGGTGTTACTTTTGAATTCTGTTCTTGCCATTCTCTTTAATCCTTCATGCACAGTTTTATTTTCTCTCTCTCTCTCTCTCTATCTCGTGCCTAAAAATATCCCTGCTGTCTTTGCAAATTATTTTACTTAGCATGTTGCTTTCGTGTCTTGAATTGAGATTTACGGCGTGGGGGGGGTTTTTTTACCTGGAAGATACTTTATTTTACCTAGGATAGTGTTATACTTCTTGAATGGGTATCGTATATACTACATAATGAGCATTGAGATCGAGAAGAACCACTCTACATATACTTGAAGATGGGAATTGTAGGGACAGCGATAAAAATATGCAATGGAAAGAAAGATACGAAAAGGCGCGCTTCATAATTCTTCATTATATTCATGGTAATATATTGACATAACTTTTTCCCCCCTACATCCTAGATATATAGTGCAGATCACTCATTTTTTTCAAATAACTTAGAGAGGATACCTAACTGGAACTACCACTTTTTCGGCGCATTAATCACCGTTCGTGAGAACGAGGCACTAAACGAGTCATTCCCCTTGCGTTTCGACGCAGCGATAATCCCCGTTCGATCTGTAACAGGGGTCGCATTGATGATATTATCAAAGGCCTCCTCCTCGTCGTCGCTCCCATCAGCCGAACCAGACTCAGCGTCTGAGTCTTCTTTCAACGGCACAGGATCCGGGCGCGATATCTTCTCCAGCTGCGGTCTGTCCGGCGCAGCAGAGGGGTTCTGGAAGGATTTGGAGTTGAGGATTTTCGCACGGATGGCGGCCATTTCGGCTTCATCTTCTGAATCGTCGGATATGGCGTAGGGGTCTTTTTCTACTTCTTCTTCTTCTTCGTCGTCGTCGTCGTCGTCTTTGGTCCCTTCGTTATCGCTACCGTCACTATTCTCGGAACCATCCTCGTCGGAATCCGGCTGTAATCGGCGATTCGTGTTACCGACAGTCCATATATCGTCTGCGCCGCCTTCAGCCCGACTATCCTCGTATTCCTTTTCGATCTTGGCGAGCCATTCTTCTTCTGTTCGTTTGACGTCTTCTTCGGTCTCGCAGGCAGCGTACCGCTTTAGGAGCTCGGAGTTGATTTCTAGAAAGGCCTCGCCGTATTGGAAATGTTTGAGGACTTCTTTGGCCCAGTCTTCGTGGCCGCAGATGCAAAAGCAGGCGGCGAGGGCTTCGACGCAGTTTAACCGCCATGGTTTTCCGTAGTTGACTGTGTTTGCTGCGATGAGGTAAGGCACTGATTGGGATAATTAGTCGCTTTTCTGTAGATATATATATATATATATATAAAGGTCTAAAGAAAAAAAGAAAGGGGGTCATACAGAGTCGTTCGCATCGACCTCCAATTCGTGACCAAGGCACTTCCTGCACCCGAACCCAGGAACACTCGACCACAGCAGCACCGAATTGCTCCAGGAGGTCTTTATCGGCAGGGGAGATGACTTTCTTTGCGTTTGGACTGGATTATACGCATCTTAGTATCAACTTTCTCACATCTAGAACTAAGAATAAATATTTCTTGGGGGAGGAAACGCACGACACAATCACTCCTGGAAACTTCTGTCCTATTGCCAACTCTCGCATCAGACCAAACTGCATCAGTCTCTTTCCAGAGCATCGTTTCGGATCGCAATGACCTAAATCCCAGCAGGCAGCTTTGAAGGGAGGCCTGGAGGAGGAAGAATCGTCGTCACCGCCGCGGGGTACAGGACGTGGGCGGGGGTTAGAGAATTTCTTTCCTCCTCGAGAGAAGTTGTCTTTCTTGTGTCGGACCATGATAGTTTAGATTATGAGATAGGGCTGAATGAGATTAAGTGAAGGGTATTTTTAATCAGGAGGAAATCAAGCAAGTGGCTTGAGATTTGACGCCCACACGTGGAATCAGAGCTCACTGGGTAAGCGGGCGATCCGTCGGTTCTCTGCAACTCCACCATCTCCTCTTCTCACCTCCGGAACGAAGCTCATCGTTCAGCTCACAAGAGCTAATTCTTTCGTTTTCCCCTGGGAATTCACTTATCTTCGCCCCCTTTCTCTGGCCTCCCGTCGTCACCCTGGAGGCTGCTTCAGCACGGATGGCAGCTAGGGACCGCTTTGGTGGTGCCTATGCTGACCTGGCCTTCACCCCTCTTCAACGGGCGATTCGTACGTGACCATCGCACTCTTGTCTCTACGGGGCTTATCTGAGAGCTGGATTCCAAGTCTAACCTCTGTATTGCGTGTAATAGGGAATGCTTGTGACCTCTCGCACTATGAACCGAATCTCGCCCTAAACCTCGAAGTTGCCGACCTGGTCAATTCCAAGAAAGGCAATGCGTGAGTCGCGGCCTACTCCCACCCCCTTTTAAGTCCCTCAGGAATATTTCTGACGGTGCACAGACCTCGAGAAGCAGCGCTTGAGATCGTCCGTCTCATCAATTCCCGGAACCAGAATGTGTCGTTGCTAGCACTGGCGGTGGGTTTCGTCATTCATTTCCCCTCCCCCCGGGGCCGATGGTTTCTGGTGGCGCAGAGCTGCGCGCATTGGCCGGTTGGTCGAATAAATGATCTGACTGACATGCCTTGTTTATCTGATAGCTTCTCGATATTTGCGTTAAAAACTGCGGGTACCCCTTTCATCTCCAGATCAGCACCAAGGAGTTCCTGAATGAATTGGTGCGTCGCTTCCCCGAGCGGCCGCCTATCCGGCCCTCGAGGGTTCAACATCGCATCCTAGAGTCGATCGAGGAGTGGAGGCAGACGATATGCCAGACATCGCGGTATAAAGAGGATCTAGGGTTTATTCGGGATATGCATCGGTTACTTCTGTACAAGGGCTATGTGTTTCCCGAGATTCGTCGCGAGGATGCGGCGGTCCTCAACCCCAGTGACGTATGCCTCGTCTCACCCGAAGTTATAGGGGGCAATTGTTAACCTTGAAGATAGAACCTGCGCTCGGCTGAGGAGATGGAAGAGGAAGATAAAGAAGCCCAATCGGCCAAATTGCAGGAGCTGATTCGCAGAGGTACGCCAGCCGACCTACAGGAAGCGAACCGGTTGATGAAGGTTATGGCGGGATACGACAACCGACACAAAACCGACTACCGGGCTAAAGCGGCAGAGGAAGTGGCTAAGGTGCAAGAGAAGGCTAAGATCTTGGAGGAAATGCTGCAAAGCCATGCGCCCGGAGATCGGCTCGCTGAGGGTGATGTGTTCGAGGTAAGATTGATATGAACCCTTTTCGTGCTACATTGTATTAATGTATTCGTGTTTCAGGAGCTTGCTGGTGCCCTTCAGAGTGCGCACCCGAAGATCCAGAAGATGTGCGAGGAGGAGTCGGACGACCCAGAAGCCGTTCGCAAGCTTCTAGAGATCAACGATAGCATACACCGCACCGTTGAACGATACAAGCTGGTCAAGAAAGGCGATCTTGAGGCGGCGTCGAGGATTCCCAAGGGTACCTTGGGCACTACCACCGGAGTGTCCAAGAACTCCAACAATGAGTTGTCCCTAATCGATTTCGACCCGGAGCCTAGTTCGAACGGGAACGCCGAGCAACCCCAGCCGGGTGCTAGCTCTCTTGAGAATGACTTGCTTGGCCTTTCAATTGAGGAGCCGCTCCCTGCTAGCGGTGGGATATCACTAGGATCAGGTATGTCTCTAAACAGAAGGAAACCCCAAACAGGTTGGTATACTCAGTTGATTAACCCGATTTATACAGGACCAAGGCCGATGACATCTGTTACTCCACCGGTTCCCCAGAATGCTGGCTCATTCAACCCCAACTATGACATTCTTTCCTCGTTGAGCTCATCGCAACCTCCATCTAAGTCGTCCAGTCCGGCCCCGGGATTTACTCGGCGCCAGAACGCGACGGCAACGCCTCCACCTTCCGCCGCAGTCGACCCATTTGCATCATTGATGTCTGCAAGCCCGCGGAACCCAAGCCCCCTCCCATCCGGCAGCTCTACGAGTCCCCGAGCGCCGCCTTCTTCCTCTTTACGCGACCTAGCAGGCAGCGGGCCATCGGTGCCCGAGCGGACGAGCGCCAAGGGGGCGGAGGATGACGAGTGGAATTTTACATCCTCGCTGCCCGAGAGTAGTTTACCCAGCACGAGTCGGGTGCATGTCCTAAACTCGGCATTGAAGATTGAATTTGTTGTGCGACGGCACCCGCAGCAACCGCGACAGATTCACATTGTCGCGCTGTTCTCGAACGGGACTAACCAGGTCTTGAACGAGCTACACTTTCAAGTTGCGGTAGAGAAGGTTGGTTTTCTTTGCTTTTTTTTTTTTTTGTCTTGTTTCTATTAACGTAAACCATTATAGGCGTATACATTACACCTCCGACCGCAGTCTGGACGAGAGATCGCGCCGCTTCAGACCAACGGGGTACAGCAGGAGATGCTGATTGACGGGATTGACGTAGGCAAGGGGAACTCTGTGAAGATTCGATTCAAGGTCGCATACCAAGTTGGCGGCAAGCGAACAGAGGAGCAAGGGATGGTTCCCCCGTTGGGAATTGCATGATAGATTTCCTGCAATCGGATTGTATTTAAGATTTCGTGAAGCATCATCCATCACATTCCATGATTTACATTAGCCTTGAGAGAAGCCGTGTTGTGATATACCTGTTTACTAGTGCCATCATTTTCTTCTCTTTCTTTCTCTTTCTTTCTCTTTACTTGATTCCTGAGATAAGTATAAGAAGTAGATAAAGAAAGAAAAAAAAAAGGAGGTATTTCGGATTTCGCTCGGAGAATTGGAAACCAGGTCGTATCACGAGCTAGGTCGATACTAGTAGACATCCGACTGGCAGATATTCCAAGTTGAACCTTGGAAGGAGTACAGAGTACTCAGTATTCACACCCTGCTTTCCCCACAGTGATAGTGAACTCTCGATAAACCAAGGAACTTGTCTGTGGCAATTGATGTGGTAGGACTCTAGGTACGAGTCAGTGCGTTGATCTTTCTACTATATTATAGCCGAATACCATCTGAATTGTCAGCACTAGAGAATTCCGAGAAGATATCAGAGCTGAGATAGCTCTGGTATGGATACCCCCCAACGGTGCTATGGAAAAGTACTACAGATCGACTGGGTCCTATGGAGAAACAAACGCTTGGAAGTAACTTTCTCTGGAGGGGTTAAGACCGTTCATAGCCGATGGATTCGAAAGAGCTGAAGAGTGCTATTCTAGACAGATGGATGGGTACATACAGTACGAGTTGGGATTAGACTGTCTCCAAAGTCTAGTCTAGATTTCTCTACGCGATCCGGCAACGAAACAAGTTACATCCCACTCTCCCCTCCCTCTCTCCCAACGTCTTCGCTTCCATCACTGGTCAACCACATCTTGGGAAGAACCTAAAATCCAGGGGTGTCCCATGGATCTGCTTCGTGCCAGACTTTCGGAGTCCCTTGTCTCGTCCAACCTTGGATCCATCCGCCTTTCTCCCAGACCTAGACCTCCCGATGGGTGGACGAGGGACTTTTGGCTACGACGATGCCAGCTCTCTCGAGAGTGACATGAGACGGAGAGATGGAGAGATGGAGAGATGGAGAGGAAGCTTGGATGCGTCTGGTCCTGGTTCCCCTGCCGTATTTAACTTCTTGTAATTCGCCTTCACACTTCCCCCCTCCTGCTGCTTTCCTCTAGGATCTTTTCTGCGGGTTTGGATTTTATACCTGCCTCCTCCTCCTTCTATCGATCGCTCTCTACATCTAATACCACTTGGGAAATCCAAATCCTTCCGTCAGCAATGACCCCCTCTCCGACCCCCGGCGCTGAGGTCGCGGCTGCGAATCACCGCACCAAGGAGGAGAATCAAGAACGGTATGGATGCCGTTCTCCTCTTTTTATCTCCTGCGTTGGTCCTGAAAAGTTCCCCCGTCCGTCCTAACTAACGAGATCCCTGTAGCGCCTTCATTGCTGCCTCTCGCCGCAAAGACCGGAGTCTAGATGCCCGGATTGAATCCGCCAACCGTGCCTCGGCCCTGCACAAGCAGCGCACGGGGAGAGCTCTCCATATCAGTCGGGAGATCGTCGAGAGCGAAGCCATGTACGAGGAGATCGACTGCAACTACCAGGCCAAGCTGCAGCGCATGATGCACGCCCAGACCTTGCAGCTGGAGCAGGATTTCAACCGCAAGCTGTTGGATGCCATGCGGAACAACCAGCCTGGTCTGCAGCAGCGCCGGGCTTCCAGTTTAACCCCACGAGGCCCGCTGCATGGCGCCCGCAAGATGAGTCTGGATCTGTCTCGTCTGCGTTCCTCCATCTCCGAGGGGATGAACAACTCGGGCAGTCCCTTGTCCAGCCCTCTGGCCGCGGGCGTCTTACCCAATTCGAATGTCCTGCTGTCTCCCAATCACTCCCATTTCTCTCCATCCTATTCTCTTGCACCCGGCTCCAATGGCCAGATGTCATCCTACGTTACGCAGGCCACTCCTGGCGCCCCCACATGGTTAGGAGGGGGAGGAGGAGGAGGAGGAGGAGGCCCACAGCATCTATGGGAAGGGTTTTACTCGCCCTCTCCCCTATCCGGCGCTAGAGGAGGAATGCCCATGCCAATGCGCCCGTTTCGCGATCGCCTGGGATCTTGCCCCACTATTCCCCACGGCATGCCCACTGCAACTCCAACTCCCATGGCGGCCCCGATCGTACCGGCTGGGGCTCGTGGCCCAGTTGCAATGAGCCAGCACGTCCGTGTCCGGTCTGAACCTGGCCAGATGGCCGCCGCCGCCGCCCCTCTCTCAGCGGCTACTATGCCTCATTCCTCCGCCGATGCTGCTTCTCTCACCACGCCCACGACCACCGGTATGAGCTCCCCGACTCGCGATCTGAGCTCGTCAACGGAATTCCTCCCCACGCCAGATCTCTGCCCGACCCCGGTCACGCCCACCTCGCCCACCACCTCCAACCTTCACCACTTCCAGCACACGGGGGCCAGCGTCGACCTGTCCGCTCTGGATCTGGGCGCTGAAAAGTGGAACACCGACTTCCTGCATGATTTCGACCTTGATCCGCAACTCAGCAGCGAGCTCACCTCGATGTTCCCTCGCGGGCCCACCGACCCAGAGTATCTCGATTTCAGCCAGTTCGCCTCGACGCTGGATAACAATACGCAAGTGCAGTTTGGACCCGAGGGGACCGCGACCGCAGCAGGGATGGACGATATGACGGGAATGGAAGAATTCACCATTAGTGCATGATTACACTTAGTACTATATTCTTAGTTTTTTTTTTTTTTTTTTCAGATCGGTAACGTTTTAATTTGTCGTGATTGAGGGAATACCCATGTCATACTACCATACCATACCATACCATACCATACCATACCATATTTACTAGTACTCGAGGTTACATTGGACTGGTCCTAGGTTACTTTAAGTAATACCAGGGAAATACGTACTCTGGTAATTAATTATAGAAATATCCGCAAACGGTCCTGCCTGCTGCAGGTTCCACTCCAGTAACAACATATCCTTAGTAGTACACCAGAATCCAGAATATGAAGATGAAGCAGAGTACTCCGTATGTAACCTTGCTTAGTGAATTCATACCTATCCCTAACTCTACCACTACTCTTCTATACTATACAGAGTTAAATATACCAAGAGTGGCACAACCAAGTCGACTATTTGAGTTTCTCGGCTTGTTATTATTGTTTCGAGTGTGAGTGGCGACCGCACCGAAACAACACTGCTTGACCAGAAAACCAGGAAAGTTCCCCGATCATATAATAATAAATGCATCGATCTAGATTCCTGCCCCCCGGGAACTGGATCATTTGGGTTTGGGGTTATTTATTTATTTTTGTTGTTGTTGTTTTCTGATATCATCATATCATATCGATGCTAGCTAACTAGCTAGCTATAACTCTGTGCGCTAGGTTTGTCTTGTTGTAGGAATACAATACTCTGTTAGAGTATACTATACTTATCAGTATAGGTAAGAGATAGTATGCGTGCGAATCCAAAAACTAACCACTCCCTAACTACTAGTTAACTAGCTGTAGTAGTAGTAGTAGTAGTAGTAGTAGTAGTAGTAGTAGTAGTAGTAGTGTGGATCTTCGCAGGATAACATAGATAGCCCTGCATAAAAGATAGTAGATAGGAGATACCTAGTGGACCACTACAGCCTCGTGTAAGCGAACGAACGTATAGGAAAGTATCATTGTATATTAGGTACTTGGTAGATGATAGTATACATGAGTGGATTGATATGGTCACTGGTTAAAAGATTCATTCCTTGCGATCTACCTTAAAGCTACGGGGAAATAATAAAAGATAGTTAAACCGAGCTAATAGTTACTCATGCTAATATGGAATTGCACAACTGGCCAAGCCAAACACTCCCCAAAACCGCAGAAAAGAACGAAACCAACCGAGTGTGCTGCAGAGTAGTTGACTCGGAGAAAGTACGAACAACAGTACTCCTAAAGTTACCATGTAAAGCGACTATCGGCTGAACAGTTCTCGCCCGATATCCCCACTCCGTCGCACGCTCACGCTCGAACTGCTGCTCCGTCGTCGGCGACTTCGGCTCTCGGCCGGATCCGCGGGGCTCAACCCGCTAGCCCGTGCGTGCAGGTTGAGGATATCTGTGAGACTCACCACCCCCACTAAACGACCGGATAGCCGTGCTCCGGGTAGGGCTGACGCCGGGATCGATGGTGCGCCTAGCGAGGCCGGACTCATGTACGGTTGAGGAGGGAAAGAAGGAGGCGGCGGCGAAGGGCTGGGGTGGTGGTGTAGGTTGCCGTGGCTTGGTGTCTGGAAGTGATGAGGAGTTGGGCCGGGGGATTGGGGTGGCGACTGCGCGGGTTGGTTGCCAGTAGCATATAGCGGGATGTGCACCATAGAGTGTGATGGAGTGGGAGGACCTGATGACGACGGGGAAAGAGGATCCGTAACCCATAGTCTTGTGTGTTTTAGTTAGTTTGGCGAGACAGCACTCAAGCTATTTCAACCGCTTCTACATTGCAGAGGTATCTTACCGGTGGGATTTAGTAGCCACTACCTTGGCCACCGTATGTGCCAGCGTGGATCCCGGGTTGACATGGAAAACAGGAAAAGAGTCTTTGCCTTCCTGCAGTCCTCGCGTCGACAGAATCACCGAAATGAAATGCGTGCAGGTGTTTCGGAGAAGAGGAAGCGACGAGGACCTCGTAAGCAGCTACACACACACACACACACACACATTAGCTTGTCTGGAAGAGAGTTCTCTCATCTCTGAAAACAAATACCTTCACGTCTGTAGTAGACACATTCCCGACAACATTGGTGTGGTTGTCGACAACAGCGACAGAAGATATTCCTTCGTTGTTCATCAGCTGCAGCGCTTCGCACAGCGGCTTGTCTCCACTAGATATGCATTAGATAGATTCAGTACCTCTCCAAGAGAGAAAAATCCAAACATACTTGATTGATATCACATTGCGAGATCCGATTCGCAAATCCCGCAACGCCTGCGGATACAGCTGGTCAAGCACCGGAAAACTCCTCCCATTCTCCCAGAGAAACTTGACCAGCCGGAACTGGCTGAAGATGCCCACCACCTCATGGTCCCGCTTTTCATCAACTACAACCACACGATGCACTCCGCCCCCAAACGTTTCTACCGCGGTCATCACACTGGCCGATGCGGGGAGGGTCGTGAGGGGCTCCTTTCTCCCAAGATCTTTGACATCTCTCAGCGGAATCGGAATCTCCCCGCGAGCCTTGCGGGCAAGCTCGTCATACGAAGCACGCAGCTCCTCATCCGGCTGGGTCAGTCCTGCTGCCAGGAGAAGGTACGCGTTCAGGTCCGAGTAGTCAAATGTGCCGACGGCTGTCTTGTCCTCAGAAGTCTCGCGGATCAAAAGCACCGGTGCGCCGGATTCAATCAGAAGCTATCGCCCCGCAGAGCACATTAGCTCAGCCCAGCCGGAAAGAAGGATATTGCAGTTCTCACATTGGTGGCCGTCTCAATCCCGGTATCAATTTCCACAAATTTCAAGTCGTCCGGGCTCACCAGCTCCCCGATCGAGATCTCTCGCCAATCCCGGCCAACAAAAGCAGGGTTCACATTGTTCGGAGCGGGCGGGTTATCGATCAGACTCTGGATCGCAGCCTGCGTAAGCGATGGCTGGCGTCGTGAGCGTGGGGATCCTGGTGCCCCGCGAAGAGACTCGCTGAAGCTCTGGCGGTGTTGATGGTTCGAAGACACGTGGGGGATTCGAGGGGTGCGTCCTCCAACGGACGGGGGACGGGAGTCCAAGCTGGATCGGGGAGATGCAACGCCTGATCCATTGGAACTATCCCCGTTCGCCTCAGCCGTTTGACGGTCGGCCATGGCTTCTTGGATGACGCGAGGGTGAGTGCGGGGGAGGGTGTCCCAGCGAACCAGAGGTAGGTGTAGAAATCACAGCAGACTGACAAGATTCAGGTCGTCGCAATAGGAAACAAACCGGAGCGAAATGGCGATCTAGATAGATCACTAGGTCAGAAAATGATGACGGAGAGGGGTGTCTAGATTACAAACGGGGTCCAAGGCGAGACCTGACAAGTTGTCGAACACTTGAGCTCAACGAGTTGCCAATCAAGCGGCGTTGCGGGGGGGATCAGTGGTGTGGTTGGTGGGCCTGAGGCAGCCAATCAGAGGCTCAGGCATCCCTATCAGATTCCCCGGGAAAGTACGGAGTACAGACAGAATAACTGATTCTTGATTGTAAAACAAGCCTAATATCTTCTTTTCGGAAGGTGTAAACACACAGCCTATGTATGCATACGTATATATGTATCCTATTAAAGACACTTTTATAGAATTTCGACTAGATGTCATCGACACCCATTCTGCACGATATGCTTCTTTCTACAGAATCTCACCAAAAGTCTTTCAGCATGTCGTCTATACTCTTTGTCACTCGCGGTCTCATCACCGCCTTTCTGGCCCCAGAGGCAGCCTCCGAGCTCTGTTCCTTGCGCTTTCTTGTGTGCAGCTCGGGATTCACTATCCTGGAAGCTGCGGTGCGCTGTAAACACAGGACAGACTGGGCCGCGGAATGCCCCTTGTTAATCTTCTGCCCAACTCGAAAGTCCAAAATTGGGCGTTCTGCTAGCGTTGGGGATTCTGGACCGTTGACTGCGGCCAGACTCATTCTGTAATAGTCATAAAGGTTATCCCCTGGAGAATGCTCCTGCGCCATAATCTCCCATCCATCCGCCTCGGTTTTGTGAGAAAACGCAGAAGCAATACCGGGACATTCAAACGCAACAATGGATCTCAAGGACGGCAACGTTTCCAAATAGCGGAGTGACGTCCTCGATAAACTGGTTTGACGATGCAGCACCAGGACTCGAAGGTGCGGAAACGCCCCCGCGGTCCGGGTGAGTTCACTCCAAGTTCGAAGAATTCGGTCGTTTAAAGCTGTCATTGGGATAGTTTCGTCCTGGATTTTTTCAACACGCGCCAGGGCAGCAACTTCCAGCGCTACGAGATTTTTGATTTCAGCAATCCCCACAAGCTCGGGCACTCGAGCGTACGAGGCACCCAACGTTAGAACGACTCGCCAGCTCAGACTGTCGCTTTTCACCAATCCCAGGTACTCGCGCATGGAAACTCGGGGGCTTTCAATTTTCATCGACCGGTACTGTTCAATTTCTCTGAATTGGTCCGGGTACACCGTGGCAAAAAACTTCCACATGTGCAGAGTTCTTTTTTGGCTGTAATGACATACACTTGTTTAGGGGCAACCCGGCAAAAACGCGCTTGTAGATGCCAACAACTCACCTTCTACCCAAACAATCCCAAAGATAGCTAGCAATTTTCCAAGGCACATTTGCAAACAAAGGAACGGTAATATTTCTCTGATCTAAGAGTAGTTTCCTCATTGCGGAGTGCATCAGCGAAGGGGCCCCATCATCATTCAATTCTTCCCAGCCTATAGGCAGAAAAGGGGTCTCGTGAATCCAGGACGGGCCATTTGAGAACTCTGATGCTGGAGCAGAAACACTTTCGGTGTACGCTTGGCCACTGGCCCTGTCAAACTTCCGGACTGCCATCGTTCAGTATTGCGTCAATCAGCCAGCCGGTGCCACGATGCGCGAGAGACAAAAGTTTAGCGCGCTCTTGCATACTGAGTAGGATTTCGTCTCAATATTTTTGTGAACCACACGCCTGTGGTAGGGATAAATCATCAGCCAGAGCGTGTGCAGGCTTTACCAAGTATCTGACAGAATGCACTGCATTTTATGTAGTTATATCTGGTAGCTCTCTGGATTTTGTATTACAGCGGGATAGCCCCGGATCAATGTAATCCCGAGTGAATAAGCATCATTTTAACAGGGCTTCCAGTAGCAATAAACATTTTCTTTGCTAATAAAAGAGTGTAACATCTGGTAATTGAAGACTATCAAAGCTGCGGAGTGAACTTGAATCCGCCGAACCGGGACAAAACGAGTGAAAGCACAACCGTCAACTGCGGTTGGGATACAGGAGGTTGATTGGGCTGGTGATAATATAGCTGCCGAGGCCAGAACATTCAGGTGCATCGCGTCAGCACGTTACTGGGTGTCAGGTGATCACCGACTGTAAGGCTTTTCCATCCCATTGGTAGCAGGATTGTATCCAACCCAGAGCATTGCACCTCTTAGGAAGCTGACTGATATTACTTTCACCCAGGTTCTTAGAGAATCTGACTCTTCTAAAAGGGAAATCATGTCTCTTAAAAGGTGGTATGTTACTAATGAATCTACCTAGGTAGTTTCCTGAGCATTTCCTTAACATGACTTTAGTACCACACGATACAGAGATCTCACGCCGACTCTTCTAACCGCGAAATCGATACCTTTACCTGTGAGAGCACTGCATATCGTCGTCTAAAAGAGAAAGGGTTATGTCAACAAGGAGTGGTACCAGACTTTTATGGTGTGATAAAACAAATCGATCCGATATCGTGCCATCCTTATTGAATATATTCCGGATCTGCATGAAATAGATCTCTCAACATTTTCAGACCACCGCATAGCCACCCTTCGGACAATTCTGGAGAGTATTCATGGAGTAGGAATTTATCATGGTGACCCCTATCCTTGAAACATGATGGTCCAGAAAGACTCAGAAAGGGTTCTCTGGATTGATTTTGATCGTGCGCAAACATTCTTAGAGCATGAATAGAAATGGCAGTAGATGCAGGATGAAAAAGAGATGGTTGATGAGTTTCTTGACGACCTAGTAAGTACTCCCCAATTAGTTTGCCGATCCAACTAACCTTTGCCTAGACAAGAGATTATAATGATGGCAAGATATCGCGCACCTGGCCTTATTATTACACATATTTATGAATCCCCTTCAAATTACGGAGAGTTATCATATTAGCTGTGGCAACTTTTGACTGTTAGGGTCATTTAGGTTTCCTTTTCACCTTTAGTTAGGTAAGACCTCTAAATGCAACTACCTCCAACTGTTTTCCGTTAGGCTTCGTATTGCAGGGCAGTCTTTGTGCTCTTTCTATAAATTTAAGCATGGTTCGGATTAGGGGAAGCCCGCCTGAGCTCTAGTGTCAACTTGGTATTGAGAAATGCCCCATCACGAAATGCATATGAGATAATTTGGGTGATCGGGCAGTATGCCCGCTGATAATCACGATGCATAAAGAATTTGGTTCGTTAGGGGTCCTCGGAGGGATGCCCTTAACCATCAGCACCTTCTGGCCGACCTTTGATTTCGAATTATTTTCAGATTACCCTGCTCGTCTTTTGTGCTACACGGCCAGGAAGATTGCAAGCATCACCAGCCCAACCCAATGCTCGTGGTGGCTATCACGATGCGGCATGGGGTTTATGACCTTCAAGTTTACCTTTTATTCATTTGGCCTTAGTGATTCACTTCTGTACTATCTTACTCCTCCAGGTCACATCGCACAGAATATGCTGGAGAAAGGGGTCATCAGTCCACATTGGCCCCAAAGAGCCTCCAAATAGGTTCTCAGAACATCAAGTCCAAAACAAATACACCATTTATAAAATTCTCAGCAAAGCATATTACTTTCACGCTCATTTTTGGAAAGTCATGTCGAGTAGTTACACGTTGAAATGGGCTGCTGATATTTGATAGGGTCACAAGTATCACAAGGCTGATGACACCCGCGAACATGTGCGCCACGGGAAGAACCATCTTGACAAAGAGTGTCCCTTTGCTCCGTATACCCCAATTCTTCGCAAATAGACTCCCCCAGAAGTTGCCTGCCCTGGCTCAGCTGACTCATTTGAATGGAAATGACTCAGGGTAGGCTGCCTGGCACACTCTGAGATGCCGCTGGCTTGACTACGATACAAACCCTGTGACGATCAGGTGGGCTCTCTGCGCCTCCTTCCACAGATGTTTATATAAGAATGGCATCCAGGACGACTCATTGGATATTGGTAAAATAGACATATTCTGTCTACGATCTGCTGGACTATTTCAAGATCGATTTGACTTTAAACACTGTGTTGATTTTTGAAGGACCTCGATCTATACTTTCAGTGTTGATCACCAATCACTCGCACCACATTAAGCGATGAGTTCTTCCCGCGTCCAACAAAAGGACACTACCGTCCCTCCAAAGACTGAGCGCTTACCAAATACTTGGAAACGATACTCCAGTATGCTACGCATAGCGTCATCCAGCCTATTGAGGCAACCTTCACAGAAGGCAGACACCTATCTACATGATGTTTGGCTGCTGGATAACACTGCTTACCGACATCACCCCTCTCATATATCTGGGGAACTCCATTCTTGGCGGGTAGAGGTGATTGCCTTCGTGTTTCGCAAGGATAGCAGACGAGACATCAGTAAGTTCGTTGCAGGAATCGCGGATCTCATCGGGCTCGATGGGGAGATGGGCATGGAAAAAGAGATTCGACGCCGCATAGCGAAACGACTACAACCGTTTCTGTATCATGTTGTAGAAGATCACTCTCTGCTGCTCGAAATACCTCTGCCCAACCTTACTACACAGATTCATAAGCTCGGGCCTACAGATGCGAACGGTATCATCTCCCAGATGGTGAACACGGGCGTTCACCACATCGCAGATGGAGCCAGAATACGACCCCATATCCGGGGAGTGAGGGATAGAGCATCAATGGAAACAATCTTTGCTGGCCCGGAAGGTTGGTTGGTGATATCGGACATCGATGATACGATCAAGCATACGAAGACATCCGACACCACCGGGATCCTTCGCACAACGTTTGCTGAAGAACCACGGCCTATTGCCGGTATGCCTCATCTCTATTCTCATATCGAAAGGCATTTTGAGCCGACGTGGTTCTATCTCTCGGCTGCCCCGTACCACTTATACCCCTTCCTGCATAGATTCATCCAGACCCATTTCAGCCATGGAACCCTCATGCTGCGGGACTCATCCTGGCGAGACGTTAGCGAGCTCGTCAAATCATTCACCGTCGAGACTATGGAGTACAAAGTGGACCAAATCAAGAAGATCCGGCAATGGTTTCCACATCGACGAGTAATCTGTATCGGAGATTCAACGCAAACCGATCCCGAGACGTACGCCGAGATTTACAAGAGCCATCCCGAGTGGATCTACGCAATCCTAATCCGAAAAGTGACGCACGTACCGCATCTGGAGAAGCAAAATTCATCGAAGCGATTCAAGACGGCCTTCCAAGACGTCCCCGGACATGTCTGGAAAGTGTTCGAGCACCCACGAGAAGTATACGATCTTCTTGGATGACGTTCGAGTGGGAGACAAAGACGACTATTCGCCTTGAAAGATGGCAAACGTGAACCTGTAAAACCCCTTTGAAAACCATCACGAAAACCATCAACGAATTATTTGGTTATGGGCCTCTCTCTCTACAACAACGTTCACGATGCGGCAGAGCCCAATGGCATGCATCCTTTTGTCTCGAGTACTTCTCTGCATCAAAATGCAAGGAAGAGATGGTATTCAGAATACGTGAATACAACTAACTGGCCTGTGCTGTTACATTGAAAGAAGACCAAATCATCTCTGCTCTTATCTCACACCTTGCGTCATAGTTTCTCTCTCCGAACTACCTATATGAACCTCTCTGGTTCTCTGTATCGTGAAAATCAGCTAAACTGTCCTCCAGAACAATGAATGAATGGTATGCAAAGCATTCGTGCCTGAGGCTATGAGGGGCTGGCTCTTATTACTGTCCTGTTATCTAATGATCCCAGCCAGTATGGTTCATTCCTTCCACACATTCCTATCATATAAAGCAATTGATATAATATTCTATTCCATACAAGTAAAGCAAGTCTATCAATAGGTAACGCAAGAGGGCTGCTATATGGATTGGATTGGGCCTCATATGCTGAAGAAGTAAGGACATTTCCGAAGAAGAGAAAAGGAAACCAAAAAAAGGAAAGGGGGAAAAAAAAAAAAACAACTACAGAAGAAGAAGAAGGAATAAAGCGAAATACAAGAAAAGCGCTTGCAAGACAAATAACGTAACCTGAGTTGAGCCCACTAAAGCTCGATTCAGGGCTCAAATGCGTCTCTCCGGAAACATGATTTGACTGGACTGGATGGCCCCGGTATAATACATAGGTAGAGAAGGGGGGCTGGGTAGGAGTAGGATAGAATGGGAAAGCAGACAGACGCGGTAAGCAAGTCGATATTGAGGTAGGTAGGAGGTCGTTAGAAGAAGAGAAGAACAGCCGAATAACTAGTTATGGCGAGTGACAAAATAACGAGAAGAAGAAAAAAAAAAAAAAAAAAAAAAAAAGGAAAATAGAACCCATAAACAAACATGCTTGCTGCCCTGCGAAACTCTCGAGACTATATGTCCTGTTTTCCTTGTGCTTCGTTGAAGGAATTTTGAGGGCTGGATTTCAAGGCGTTTGAATTTTCTTGTTATGAAAGGTATAGATACGCTCATCATCATGAGACCGAGTCACGGTTCTTCTCTGCGTCGTGGACGAATGAAGAGTAGAAAATGGTATTTTCCCCCTACTCCATTATGTTCCCCGGGCCGCTTTCATGTTGAGCCGTGTTGGTGCTTTAGATATAGGCCCTCTGGCGCGACGCACCCCCTGTCCTTGAGCATTTGGAAAGGGGGGAAAGTGTGTATGGTTTGGATGTAAGTTGAGAAAAAAAAAAACCAGAAGTAGAGGGGGAAAAGAAGAACAGACACGAAGGTCAGGAAAATCAGGAATATTGAATACCTCATACAGTAGCAATGCATTTGATAACTTTCGCCAGCGGATATATTAACACTCTTCTTACCGAGTTCCAACCTCAATGCCGACTAATTCAAAATAAACAAGGCTTCCAAGTAGCTCCCGTCACAAGCAACCTTTGATAGGATGCTTAAAGAAGAAAAAAAAAATTTAAAAGTGAAATGGTGAGAGGGAGGGCGGGGGGGGGGAAGGAAAGATGAGAAGAAGGAAAAGGGAGAGAGTAGTACAAGGGAGATAAGGGGCCTAGAGTAGGGAATCAAGTCTAGTGAAAACGCTTAGACAGGCCGCGACAATCTGTAGTCAATTAGTACTGAGTTACCAGGGAAATAGGAGGACTTTTTAAACCCCATACCTCCAATTGAAGCTCCCTGTCCTTCACTTTGCTCACTTCATCGTTGATAGCCTGCGCCAGATTGGCTCCGATGGCTTGGGAACCACCCGGTCGACGTCCAAATGGCCACTGTGAGTATTCGGCCAGCAGCTCATCTACCTGGGCAAAGGCTCTCTCGCGGGACTCGTGGCTCATTGTAACCAACGCATTTTCCAGCACATTCGCAGCGTATGCGGCGCAGACCATGGTAATGGTACGCAGATAGCGGAACTCGATATCCTCGGGGAGCCATGCATTGGCTGGGAGAATGACAGTGCGACTGGTGCAGATGTTGCGTACACGGCGGTTGAGGTCATCTTTAGCGCCGCCGTCCGCGACAGGGTGGGTAGCCATATCGAAGAGCAGGAAGTTGCGTTTCTCGGTGCGGAGGATTCCCTTGTCGACAAGGCCTTTAGCAAGGCGTTCGCGTACTTGCTTAAGCTGATAACCGATCTTCATCAAGTTCCAGGTCTCACCTGTCCAACCCCCGTCCAAGTTAGCGCATTGTGCTAAAGACGACGAGAGGTAAAGAAATACACACCACTCATCAAGTCAATCCAGGAATTGACGCTCATCTTCTCACTCGACTTCATCATCTTCAATGCCTCGTCCAGCAAGACCTCCCCTGTCAGAGTGTCGTCGATCACTTCAATCACCCGATCGGCCAGGGGAAACCGTCGTCGAGAAGAATCTTTCTGCATGCTAATCCGACCGCGGAGAGCAAGCTCAATGACGATGCATCCTCGCAAGGCGTAAGAAATATTCTCGTTCCAGAAAGATAAATAGCCCTGTAAAAATTTCCATCCCAGGGACGTGAGCCATTGATCTCGATTCGTAGTGCGCAATCATGCCCCCCTCTGGTGAGAAGAGACCCCCCCCCCCCCCCCCAAAAAACTAAAAAAAACTAACCTGCTTGTCTTTCAACCCCAGTAAAAGAACCTCTTCCATCAGTGTAAGCTTAGGCTGTTTGCTCCGTTCCTCTGTCTCGCTAATATCCCTCGGGTCGAACGCGATCTTGTGCCCATTCTCCGTGCTTGTGTACGAGGTCTCCGGGGTCCGGTTATCCATCGCAGAGCCATTTCGAGATACCGGCGAGGAGACTCTGCTGTCATCGTTCTCGTCTGGGCCAGCGGCTCGACCGCCACCTCTCCGGCGAGTCAAGCCCCCGGCTGAGGCCATTAGGATAGACGAGGGATTGGGGTCGGGGCGGGGTGACGACGAAGAAGGAGGAGGAGGAGGAGGAGGAGGAGGAGATGGTCGCGAAGAATGGTCGAATAGAAGGATATGCCACTATTTGGGTATACGCCGTAGATCTATTGGGAGACACGGTTGGAACGGTTGGAGTCAAAAGGCAGAAGATTATTCCGAAAGGGTGATGGGCGGGAAATTATCAGGGGCGGCTGAAGGAGGATGAGAACGAGGGAGACGAAAAGGTCCAGCCGAGCCCAGTCAAGTCAAAGTCGGTGAATACGAGACGGACCAGGGGAAAGATCTCGATCGGAGATTGAAACAAAGAAAGAACTGAAGTTGAAAGCTGAGAAGAGAAATTGTCAGAGGAGTTGTAGTCGTTGTCTTTGGGAAGAATAAAAATATTTCAAGGCTGCCTACGGAGTGTATATCTGGCTCTTCAACATGGTGGTTTTTTAGTTGCCCTCATCCAGTCCCCTTCAGCGGGGGATTCATATTCTTCTTCTTCTCGCTGCAGCTTCAATTTGAAACCTGAACAATTATACTGGAACATCTCAGGATTGTATTTGCCATTTCTCCCGGATTTACGTTTTAATTCACTGAGTCTCTCTCGCTGGGCTTCCCTCGGAAATCTCCTCTCATCATCTACCACCCCCCCCCCCCCAAAACAGTACTCAAATGGATCAAAATTGCATTTCAAAGTGATATACACGATATAGTAGGGTGAAACGCATCGACATGTATCAGCATACAGATTAACGTCGCCGACTACCCAGATACTCCAGCTCTAAAGAGACCAGTGTAGATGCACGCCGACCATCCCCTTCTTTTATATCTAGCCCTCCATCCAACTCCGAATCCTCGCATTACGTACATATTTAGTGGGCTAAGACCGTCAGCAATTGGACTCTAGTAGCGGATTGCCGCAAGAAGGGAGGATAATAAACGCTTACCGTCGGGCTGGGCAAGGATGTACTCGACAGCCTTGTCAACTGTACCAGAGATATCGTTAGAAAAGAAATTCTATTAGGTGGATCCCATCACACGGGATACTTACTGCTGTGGATAGTATCGGCCTCCTTGTCGGGGATCTCAATGCTGAATTCCTGTTGACAGTCAATATCATTCTTTTTTTTTTTCCCCGGACAGCACATCTCCAGCTGACTCATACCTCCTCAATAGCCATCACGACCTCAACGGTATCCAGGCTGTCAAGTCCGAGGTCATTTGAGAAGTGAGAGGCGCCGTTAATCTATTGCATTTCTCTTGTTAAGCTGATGATTCTTCACGCGACGGTCGGTAAATTGAGGGACAAACCTTGCTAGCATCGGAAACCTGTAAACCAATCATCAGTCAGTCATTCAATTCCCTGCCCTCGTCCAATTGATCGAGAAACCCCGAGAAACCAAGATTCACGCACCTTGTCGAAGTTCTTCAGCAGGTTGACTATGCGGCCCTCGACCTCGTCCTTGCTGAGACCGGCAGGGGCGGAGTAAAGTCTGACAGCCTGGAAGGCAAAGCGAGGAGCGAATTGAGCAGGGCGAGCCACAGGAGAGGCACGGATCTGGAAAGCAGCCTGAGGCTGAACGGCACGAGGCACAGAGGCCCTCAATGAGCGGACAACAGCGGAACGGAACATGATGACGGGGGGGGGGGAGTTTAGAGGAGGTCGGGGAGAGAGATTGCCTAGAGACAGATTAGAAGGAAGAACACTAGAAAGAGGAAGATTCAAAAGAGCGGAGGATACCTCGAAGAGAAAAGTCAGAGGGGGGGGAAGATGAAGATTAAGAGGTGAGGTAGAGATGGTGATGGGAGGAATTTCTGAAGTTCTGCGAGTCTCTCTCGTTCTCAATTTGGCGTTGCTGCAGTCGGCCAATCACGGGATGGGGGAAAGCAATGACCTAAGCCGAACCTGCGAAAACCAAAAGCAGTTCGAACTTCGTCAATTCTCGCCAGTGCTCTGAACCCCCCTCTCTCTCCTCTCTCCAATTGTCCCCCCCCTCTTCCATCCTCTTTATCGGTCTTCTCTCGTCCCTCTCCATCTCCAGATGGCTACCTCTAGGTCAGTCGCGAGGCTGCTCGCCTACCGCCGCCCCGTGCCCTCCGTTCTACCCTCGTCTTTCCTCTCGACCGCAAACTTCTCCTCCTCGGTGACCCGCGCAGCTACGCCAGCTGGACCTCCCCAGCCTGGCTTCCGTCTTCCTCCTCCCCGTAAATGGGATCAGGACCCGGAGTCTTCTCTCGACAAGGCCAGCAAATACTTCCTTATGGCCGAGATCTTCCGGGGTATGTACGTGGTGTTGGAGCAGTTCTTCAGACCACCGTAAGTCTCTCCATGTGCCCCCCAGCTGTCCAAGCTGGTCCATGTCAATGGCATCCTGGCGCCTGCGATGTCTCTCGTTCATGAATTGAGGGCATTGTGCGCCAATGGCGTCGTCTGAAGGGGGCTGTAGCTAAAGAAATGTCGTTGGTAGATACACCATTTTCTACCCCTTCGAGAAGGGCCCCATCTCCCCTCGATTCCGTGGTGAACACGCCCTAAGACGCTACCCTACCGGTGAAGAGCGTTGTATCGCATGCAAGCTCTGTGAAGCTATCTGCCCTGCCCAGGCTATCACCATTGAGGCTGAAGAGCGTGTGGACGGAAGTCGCCGGACGACCCGATATGATATTGACATGACCAAGTGTATCTACTGCGGCTACTGCCAGGAGAGTTGCCCGGTTGATGCTATTGTTGAGAGTATGTCTTCCTCTTCGAAATGTTTCTTTTTTTTTTTCTTTTGGATTCTTCTAGATCAATGGTTAACATGGCTCTAGCCCCCAACGCCGAGTATGCTACCGAGACCCGCGAAGAACTGCTGTACAACAAGGAGAAGCTCCTCTCAAACGGTGACAAGTGGGAGCCTGAGATTGCTGCTGCTGTTAGAGCCGATGCTCCTTACCGATAAATCACTATGCAGTTGCCTCCTCCATCTCAGACGCTTTCCTAATAATGAACAAACACATCCAAGCTCTCTCATTATATAGGACGGACGGGATTCAGGAGAGAAAAAAAAATTTCGTTACGAGGAAAAGCAAACTTTCCCACTAGATCCATGAATTGCGAGGAAATTTTTTCCCCTGCGGTTGAAGCCTTGAGTCTTCTCCGCGTTGTACATAACCCCCTCTTCCTCCTCCGTCATTGTCTTCCTCTATGCCTACTCTGTACTCGACGGATCTGTAGGCGAAGTCAGTCTACTTCCTTGCCTGCAATCCGCTCGCTAACTTCCCTTTTTTGTACCCTGTGATGTTAGAAGAAACCTTTTCTGTTTTAATTGTTTAGGGATTCAATCAATCAGTATTTTCTTTTGTTTTTGCTGTATCCAACTGATGTAGACTGAGATACCGATCTTCAACAGAATACCGAGAAGGCCGATCGATGCATCGGAAATTCCTACAACTTCTATCAATCAGATAAAAAAGAGAAGAAAGAAGAAGAAGAACCAGAAAAGAAAACTCCCTGATTTATATCAACAGGTTAAATCGCTACCAATGCAACATATGCACAGAATGGAAGAAAGATGAAAGATGAAAGAAAAGAAAAAGAAAGAAGTCAACAGAAATAAACCCCCTGGGCGACAATGAGAAAAAAGAAAAAGAAAAGGAAAAAAACCAAAAACACCAAATCTCCAGTGCCTACTTGCATATAGACAGACAACTCACAACCTCACATATTCTGCTTGACTTTTTTGTCCTCCGCGATATCAAGAAGATATTCTTTTTTTTTTTTTCCCCTTCCTCCTCCCTCTTTTCCTTGAAGGTTTCCTTGAAGGATGGAGATGAGGCGTATACACACACACATTCGTTATTAAGTACATGGTTTTGACATCCTCTTCTTCGTTCCTTTTTTTTTTTTTCTTGTAAAGAGAGTATCAACTCACACGCGAGTCACACTGGTTTGCTGATTTATTTCTTCTTTCCGCCGCCGCCGCCGCCGCCGCCTCCTCCACTTCCTCCAACCTTTGCCTTGAAGCTTCCCTCGAACCCTGGACGTGGCTTACCCTTGCCTTTGCCCTTGTTGCCGGCGCCGCCGCTTGACTTCTTGCCACCACCGCCGCCGCCGCTGCCCTTTTCTTCTCGGCGCTTGCGAAGGTTATCCTCGCGTTTCTGCTGGCGCATTTCCTTGCCCTTCTTGACGGTGTCTACACGGTCCTTCCATTCCCGCTCGGATCGCTTCTTGGCGGTTTCTTTGCGCTTCAGGGCTTTCTTGAGTAGGGAGGTGTCGTCGCGGACCCGTTCGCCGTGTGCACGCTTCTTCGCGTTAAGCCACATGTCTTTTTCTTCGATGTCGGCGCGCTGCTCATCGTTCATGCCTGCAAGCCGGGCTTTCTTGGCTTCCACGGACTTCAATGTGGATGCCGCATCGCGTGGGCCGCGGGATTCATGCTGGTCTCGCACATTTGACAAGGTAGGGTCAGCGACCTGGCCATCGGCAAAGACTACCCGGCCAAAGGCGTAGTTGGTTGCAGAGGAGCCGACGGAATCAGCGGGGGAGCGGGGGGACGCGAGCAGAGAGCCGGAGCCACCGGGGGAGAACCGTCGAGCCATGGCTTCGTCCTTCTCGCGCTGTTCCTCCTCCCTGGCCTTTTGCCGGAGGAGTTTCTTGTGTGCTTTGCGCTGCTCGGCTTTTTGTCGCCGCGCTTCGATCAGCTCTTGTCGGTTTCTGGCTGGCTTGCCATTGAGTCCGTCAGCGTGGCGGGCTGCCCGCAGCTCATCCAGGCGCTTTTGTAGCCGTTGCCTCAGCTCTTCGGGGGTGGGTTTGAGGGGTTTTAGTTCGGAGGTTGCGTTCATGGTGGCGTCGCTGGGGGCGGAGGGAGGGACAATGGATGATATGGAAGAGCTACCGGATTGGGGATTCGAGGCGTCAAAACCTGGGGAGTGGGGAGCCGACGAAGCGTCATCATCTTCGTTGTCGTTTTCGTTGTCGTCTTCTGCGTTGAAATCAAGAGCAAGACCCTCAGCAACAGCCTCGTCTTCTTCGCCATCGACTTCTTCACGACTCTCTTCTTCGGCCTTTTCCTTCTTCGAAAGTTTTTCATTGGCCTTGCTCTTAGCAGGCTTGGACTCGGCACTCGACATAGCTTCATCAGCGGCAGTAGTGTTCTTGGTATCTTTCACTCGTTGCTCTTCTTGCTTTGCCTTCCTAGCGGTATCCTTGGCCTTTTTCTTCTCCTGCTGGCTCAATTTCTTCTGTGCCTTCTTCTCCTCTCTCAGCTTTTTACGGGCCTCGGCCTCCTCCGACTTTTTAGTAGTAGCTTCATCCTGATTCGTAGTGGACTCTGCTTGCTTCTGCTTCTTAGATGCGGTATCGCCTCTTTTCATGCCCTCCCGGGGAAGTTCGGAGCCCAGATCGCCATCACCATCACCATCAGACGACCTAGCATGATCATCATCATCATCATCATTCTCATTCTTCTCTTCTTCCCGCTTGCGTTTCCGCGCATTCTCATCCATTACGTCCTTTGCGGTTTTAGCGGAGTCAGGATCCAACTTTGCTCGTTTGGCTTCACGAGCCTGTTCTTTCGTCTGCTTTTTCCGTTTCCATTGATCCTATGCAAAATATTTTGGTTAAAATAACGTAAAACCCCCGCTAGATTATGGGAACCACCCAAAAGAGGCAGAGAGGAAGAAGGGGAAGTGTGGGAGAGAGAGAAGAAAAAAAAAATAGAGAGAGGGAGAGAGCCCCCAAAAAAAAATCATTGCACAACGTAAGAAGAAAAAAAAAACCGGGGGGGAGAACATACACTTCCATCTTCGCCATAATAATATTTCGCCGGAATCAACGACAACAAGCCATCAAAGGCTTGAGCATGGCTTCGTAGCCGTTCCTAATTAACGAAAAAAAAAAAAAAAAAAAAAAAAGTTCGTCAACCTTGGATTCATTGCAACACACAATCACATTCTAGAGTTGATTGGCATACCTCGATATCATCCATGGCGGTTTTACCTGAGGGGAATTCCAGAGGTATCCAATAAGCAAAAAAAGAAAAGAAATACCACCACCACCAGACTTCCTCGACGATGCAGAGAAATAGAGGAGAGAGGAGAGATGGGGTCAGTCGAAGGAGCAAAAAACCGCGCCGATTATCTTGAAAAAATTGGGTGGGCGGTTGAAATCTTGGCATCCACTTTTTCTCCGCTCGGTTGTGCTTCACCGCCTACCTATTTGGGGGGTTGGGTGGGCGGTGAGACCTACAGTGTATTTAAGGTAATCTTTGACTTGAAGCTGATGGAGTTAGTTATATTTGGATTAGATTTGTATTTAGGTAGGTTTTTATTAATGCTCTGGAAGGGGAGATAGATAGATATTGTCTCATTTGGGGTGGTTTATATGTTGTCTATCACAAGGTTGGTGTAGAACTTGGGTGCTGCCTAACATCTATATCATGTCGGTATTAACATAAGCTATCGAGGATGGTGTCTAGATCAAGAGAGGTCATGCCCTAAAAGAATGATTCTTGAAAAAAGCTGTCACTATTCATAAAAAGTCTGCATTTATTGTAGAACTCGAAAGGGGACGGCACGCAAATCTATGAAGATAACTAGGGATATAGCATCGACATTGGAAAAAAGTTTCAAAAAGTATATTCAAGAAACGATCTCATGGGGGAAAAAAGGTCAAGCCCAGTCATTCTAGCAGCACGACCAATCGAAATACTCAAAGAACACAAAACAGTATTAATCCACAAATCATAACCTCATGATGAAACCCAGTAAGTAGATAAACAGAGGACAAAAGCTAGAAAGGAAATGCAGGCCGCGGACAGAGAGAGCGTGCACGCTTATTTCTTGAAGAAGCTGCCGAGCGAGTCCATCTTGCTGGCGTTACCCTGAGAGTACTGAGAACCGCCGTAGTAAGGATCTTGTTGTTGAGCCTCATCCTTGTGCTTTCTGTTCTTGATTGCATCCTCGGCAAGACTGCCGACGATGGCTCCGCCAATAGTTCCGAGAAATCCGTGGTTGACCTTGTGGCCGGCAAAGGCACCTGCTAGTCCACCAGCAACGGCACCACCGATACCACGCTCGCCATCCTGGGCTCCACCGGGGCCACTTTCGCCATACCTATTCGATTGGTTAGTTGCAAATTCACTTTGCAGGACCAAAAGGGGGAAACATACTGGGGCTGCTGTTGTTGCTGTCCGTACTGGTCCTGACCATACTGGGGCTGCTGGTTGTACTGGTTTTGCTGTTGTTGCTGAGGCTGCTGGCCGTAGTAGTCATTGGAAGCCCCGCGTTGCTCGCCGTACTGGGGCTGCTGGTTGTAGGACTGGTCGTACTGAGGCTGTTGGCCGTAGCCCTGCTGCTGACCGTAGCCCTGCTGGTGGGAGTAACCATCCTGCTGGTACTGACCCTGCTGACCCTGCTGGCCGTAGCCGCCGTACTGCTGGTTGTACTGATTATCGTAAGGGCCAGACATGGTTGGGTTGTGTAGTGGTAGTGGTAGTGAGGTTGTGAGAAGGAGGGATGAGGATGAGGGAAAGTAGGAGACGATGCTTGTTGGAAGAAGAGTCAAGTGGATGGATGGATGATGAATAGAAGACAAGAGACCTGAAGCAGTGGGTTCGAGTCCCCTTTTATAGTAGTAAGATATTTAGCTCCTGGTGGGCGAGTAAGATGATCTGGCAATAATGGTAGAAGAGGGACAGTTCGTTCATGACCCCACCAAAGCTGAGAAATCGCCGCCTGCGCCGCCGAATAATACGGTGATTCCCGACAATACCAGGTGGAAATACGGTCCTCGAACAGGCGCAGCAACTGGGATTCCCCAACTGTACTCCGTAATGCGTAATCTTGGTCTGCGAATAGGTTTGGCACTAGCGTAATAAATTCTGTTCTGCATACCAGAATTATCTCCGCTTGGTGGGGTTTGTGGCTGGGCACTCGTACCTACTACCTAGTGCGATCATTGCCGCCCGTGCTTACAGGGCTGAGACCAGCAGGACTACTCTGATCTAGGCAGTAGACCATTCTAATCATGGCTCTGGTTTTCTATGCTATGGACTAGAGAAAATCCCATGCTTCGTAGCTTACACAATAATCCTGGGTTAACTTTCGCATCATCTTATCGATCTGTCAACATGGCGGATGTCGCTGAGTACGGCTGTTCCGGGAGACATCAGGCTCAAGTCGGGTGACGTTAGCGTGTTACTGCATTACATACCTTACAGAAAGTTACGCGATCATTACGCGGAGGCCTGGGTTTGCATAGCCACATGTGGCTCAGTTGCATATATTGCCTCCAGGCACGGAGTACTCTGTAGACTGTGCTAGAATATGACTAGACTACCCAGTTAGGTATGGCCCAGGGCTGTGTCAACAGATAGCGCTGGAAACTACCAATAATAGAGCTATTAATATCTTGAGTCCTTCGAAAAGCTTCGACCGTACTTCTATGAACTCATCATGTTGAAATCTTCAAATTCTTGGGATAAGTGGCGGTCCTCGGGAATAAATCAGGCAACGAGATTCCCAACCTCAGTTTTGCAGCAGTTGCAATTCGAAGAACCAATGAATTCTTGCCGGGATTTCCGTTGCCCAGCGCAATCATGCATAACCCCTTCTTGGCATTACCATCATTGATTCATGATTTCTTGCCTACGGAGTAGAATCAAGTGTGGGGACGGGGGGAAGAGAGGACTCCCTCATACACCGCCTCATTCTGGACAAGATTAGAATCGTCTACCTTCAACAACAAATCCCAGCACGACTTGGGTCTTTCAATCTGCGGTCTACGCGGTGCTTGATTTCCTTGAAAATCGAATGTGTGTCCATATTGCTGACATGGGGTTTGTCCAGCCGCAGATTTCGGAGTCGCTTTTGCAATGACGTCCTGAAGGCAGAGCGAAAAAAAAAAAAATAGTATATTTGTATAGCCACATTTTATTTTGATGGCAATGTCTTTCTCCGCTGGCTTGATGCAGACTTGAACCTACTAGCCTCTAGAGACCTTGTCACTGCAGGTGGTTGCACCCAGTGGATGTGAAGTCTGGACGTTGCCCAACGCCATGCCAGGCAGGCTGTGAGGGGAAACATGGTTGTCAAAACAGCAGCTGTCACACCTCTTTCATACTATCAACACTTCTATAGCATCTCGGCTCAAGACTTGAGAATCATCATGATGATTTTTATACTCCCAGTGGGCTCAGCCAACCCTCGGAGTTATAGCTCGTACCCCAGACAACAGACTCAGCCCTACCCGGACCCTGCATGCTCCTTCTTAGCCACTTATAAACACTGTAATAGAGAAACGACAATGCTTGATTTCTTCTTATACTCGTAAGTTGTGGATGGGACCAAAACGGACTAGCGCATATGTTCATGCCTCAGGCACCACAAGCCAAGCCAACATCAAAAGTTCGAGCGGAAAGATCTCCTACGAGAACTGCTACTAGAGTCCCAAGTCCCAGCCAACACAGTGCAATATGATTGTCCGGCAATTATGCGTGCGGCAGAGTGAGTACTTGGATACATTGTACTGAATCGACAACTTTTGAACAATGTCATTGCTAACTCTTCCTTGTTGCAGGCCGCCAGCTCCTCGCCTGCAACCGCCAGGCCCTCATCCTGAGGAGGTTTTCCTCGACCGAGACAACTGTCGATGCTCCAGTCCGAGGTGCCCAGACCCTTCTAGAGTTTAGCACAGCATCGGAGTCCGTACGGCTGGCTGCACAAGAGGCCTGGAGCAAAGCAGAGGAACGACGTGAGCGACTACAATTCTTTTTCTTTCCGCGGGCGACCCCGTGCCATTCCATTAAACTAACCATGCCATTTCTGGGTATTGTTTAGGACACGCATTTCGCGGCCTCGGTAGCGTTGTCAGAAACGCTTACAAGCCGGAGGACACCATCCAAAACCCTCCCACCCCTTCCGCCGTCACCCTCGAACTCCTCCTCGCATCGCAGACCCACCTTGGCCACTCGACCTCCCGCTGGAACCCTCAAAACTCCCGCTATATCTTCGGTATCCGGGATGATATCCATATCATCTCGCTGGACGTGACGGCGGCGTACCTCCGCCGCGCCGCCAAAATTGTCGAGGAAGTTGCTGCCCGCGGCGGACTGATTCTCTTCGTCGGCACCCGGAAGGGCCAGAAGCGCGCCGTCGTCCGCGCTGCCGAGCTCGCCAAGGGCTACCATATCTTCGAGCGCTGGATCCCCGGCAGCTTAACCAACGGCGAGCAGATTCTGGGCCATTGTGAAACGAAAGTCGTCAACGCGATGGACGAGGAACTCCCCCATTTCAAGGACAACCTGACGGATCGGGCGGCGCTGAAGCCCGATCTCGTGGTCTGCTTCAACCCGCTGGAGAATGTCGTGCTGCTACACGAGTGTGGGCTGAATAATGTGCCGACCATTGGTATTATTGATACCGATGCGGATCCTACGCGCGTGACGTATCCGATTCCTGCCAACGACGACAGTCTGCGCTCTGTTGGTGTTATTGCCGGGGTTTTGGGCCGGGCCGGTGAAGCTGGTCAAAAGAGGAGACTTGAGAGCGCGCAGAAAGGGGAACTCACTTACAAGCCGGTGCATATTGAGGAGCTGACTGGCTCACTTGATAACTAAGGCATTGGTTGTTTTTCGCTTTCTTGGGATGTCTCTCCGGGTGTTTGAATCAATCTTGGGATTGTACTGTATAGAGTACTGTAAGCTTTACCTCTTAGTAGTATGGGTGTTTCCATTTTTAAATGTCCACTGTATTATCAAATTCTGGAGCTATTTTATTTATTTATCCTTTCATTTTCGTTTTTCATTTTCTGGTTGATGCTGGACCTTTTCCCCTTCGTTGCATTGAAGCATGACGATAACATATATAGCCATGCATGATATGCGTTATATGGCCTAGATCCTCTTGAGTTCACACTAGCACCTCGTGTTTGACTTTCAAATATGACTCCGCACTGCGAGTCCCGGTCTTCAATACCTTTTCATTCACCATGGATGTCCGCTCTCCGTCAAATGGGTCTCCTACCTCCGCCCAGCTACCTCCCATCCCAATTCGGTCCCCCATCGAAGTCATCGAAAACCTACGGTCTCTTTACTCCAAGGACAACATTGAGTTGTTCCGAGCTGCTCTAGACTCCGGCTGTTCACCCGATCGCTTCGATATTCGCGACCTGGATACGATCATGATGGACGCTGCCCGCAAGGACGCACCAATCTCAATCATTAGACTCTTGCTAGACCGCGGAAGCAATGTTCAAGAAGGACAAGTCCTCCTCCTCCACGCCCTTGAGCGGGGATCAGAAACCATCCAAGTTCTGCAGCTCCTGCTGGCGGAAGGTGCTCCGATAAATAATGACAATGTAATCAGAACCATTACGCTTCTTGGAGGCTTTACTCTTTTATGGGTTCTCGGGACAAGTTCTCCACAAGGCTGTAGAAAAGCGTGATCAAGCTGAACGTCGTCCGTTTTCTGGTCCAGGAAGGGATAAACCTGGGCATCAAGGACGCAAGGGGCCGGACGGGCTTTGGATTGTGCCCGGGGGGTTTCAAGAAAGATGGAATCGTGGAAATGATTGAGAAGAGGGGTCATTTGCTTAATATCCAATAAAACAAAATAATTTATATAGATCTAGGAATTACACATCTGCCTATGTAGTTCTCTCAGATCTGGCCATTACATGGGAAGCACGAGCATTAAAATCTGCGATAGGTTCAATTATCCAAGGAAATGAATTGACTAGGGCATATCCTGTTTGCAAAGGAAAGATCACTAGATCAGTGTAACTGTATGATGCTAACTCTTTGTATAGTGGTTAAGCAAGCAACGCCATGTTTTATTAAGCCCGCTTACCCAGATCATCCTGAATTCCAGGAGTTTAGTAAGCAATCTGGTATGCTTAGGTTGGGGGGGCCAGTGATCAGATCTGGTGCTTAGATCAAGCCCAGTGAGTGAAATGTTTGATTGTATAATGATCACTGATCAGCTCAGGTCGGTCAGGGGGAGCAAAAGCGGCGAGGGGTGCTAGAATGGAAGGAGAGCGCCAGGAATTGCTAGACATTATCCAGGACAGATGCATTTAACCCATAGCTCTCATGGCAAGTTCAACACTAAATGTCTAGAGTCAGTCACTTATCTCAATTTACTAAGAGGAAAGGAATTGGGAGGGAAAAAAAAAAAAAAAAAAAAAACTTACACAGCGAAGGTTCCCGCTGAAACTGGCATAGCCCTGAGAAGAGTCGGTCCGATACCTTTCCAGAACCCACCGAGTCCCTCGGCAACATACGTCTTCTTAAAGCAGTCTCTCATGCTCTTGAACTGCTGCTGTGCGCCGAATCCGTCGCACTGCATCTTGCTCTTCACCACGTCGAAGGGATAGCTGCTCAGCCAGAGAGCTTCACCGGCCAAACCACCGTAGGCAGCAACCTTGAGACTGGAGATATCCTCGCGCTTAATGTTGTTGCGCTTCGCGTCCAGGTTCATCATGTACTCGAAGGCCAGGAACCACATGCCATATGCTTGGACTTCCCGGAGGTAGGTGACGGCCTGGCCGCGGTAGAGGCCGCGGAGGACACCACCCTGGGAGGAGAGCTTGCGGATGCAGTCCAGAGGACCGCTATAGAGTCGGTCTGCGCCGTGGGGTTGGGTCTGCAGACGGATACGGACATGTTCGATGGGTCCCGCGAGGACAGAGTTGGTGAGACCCGCGAAACCTCCAGCAAGGTAGTACTGGCCATAGGAGAGGGTGCTGTCGGCGTACTTCTTCTTGTTGAGTTCCTCAATGCGTCGGCGGGCCTCGTGGAAGGCTCCAAATTGCACGCTGACCTGGTAGGGTATTAGTATGGTGGTGGTGTGTGACACAGGGAACAGGGAAGGACATACACAGGCGCCAATTCCAATCAATGGGGTCAGGGTTCCTTTATAGAAAGCGAGAGGACCCTCCTTCTTGAGAATTTGCGTGGCACCGTCCAGGGCGCTTGAGTATTGAGAAGAGGTTTGCAATCGGACCTTGACGATATCTGCGGGGTGTTAGATTGGCCGTGAGGGGGAAATTTCAAGGGCCACGAAATGGAGTACACACCGAAAGGCTGACCTGTTAAGAAGTTAGCTACCGTCAAATTGAATAATTAAAATACGAGGGAGAAAAAGAATGCTGGTTCTGAAGGTCTCATAATGGACCCCGCACGGCGCTGCTCTGTACCTGGACGGAGATCCATCCTACGATTGGGGCAGAGCGGGGTTGATCGAGAAAGAAACAAAGCAGAAAGGGAGAGATGGGAGAGACCAAAGAAACCAGATATCAGGACAATCCCAACCCCGATAGAACATACCGAGAAGAACCTGCGCAATACCACCAGCAGCACCCGCGGCCAAATCCTTGAGGGTGCGCAAGGCATCCACAGGGTCATCCTCCAAGATGACCTGGGGCTCCATTTCAACGAGGGAAGAGACAAAGAGACGGGAAAACCAGGAGCAATTGGAAAGAACACTAGACAGAGCGAGAGAGGAGAGGAGAGGAGAGGAGAGGAGATGCTTTAGTATCAAAAAACAAAAATATTCCCCATTGTCCGTCTCCAAATATCGCGCCTCCGATTCGGCGGAGACGCCGACGCACGTGAGGCGGGCGGGAAACCTGCGAAATCTGGCGGAGTTTTTCCTGCTCAGGTTGTGGTTTTCCGGAGTTACTGGAGAACGTCCCGAGGGAAAAAAAAAAAAAGAAGGAAAGACTGGGCGGAGCTCCAGTAGACCTCTAATACAGCATCAGCCATTATGCACAGGCTGCACAGGCATACCATCGTGCAGGTGATTTCTCTCCCCCCAGGTTGTTGTACTGTTGTTGGGTTGATTGATAGCTGACTCCGTTCTCACCCATCCCGCAGCTCTCCCGTCGTCATACTGTCCATTGGCCTGGTGCAGCTAGACTTACAGATACAGCCGTTTCGCGGGAAGAATCCTACATTCGACGACAACACTTCCATTCTTCCCTTCCAGCCTTCAATCCATCCGACGACTCGTCAAATGGCAATGCTGGCGGAGCAGCATCTGCTGCTACCTCCACCACCCCAAGCGTAAAGCCAAAGTTTGGCGGCCGCTGGGGCACTCGATCATCAACACCAACAATCGCAGCCCTTAGCCCGGAGGAACAGGCAATTCGGAATGCTCTGCTCGCGAAGACTGCCAGCCAGCAGCAGCAGCGACGACAACAACAAGAACAAGAACAACAACAACAACAACACCGGCGGCGGCGACAACACTCGGAAAAACCAGAATCAGCACGATCACACTCCACTCATACAGCACGCCCTGGAGAATCGCATGGCACCAAGTTACCTCATGATGCCTCTCGATTGCCGAAGCCACGCGATCACTTTCGAAACTCACGACGGCCTTGGCATGTTGGCGAAAAGGAAAGCCAGTCACTACAGCCCGACAAAGCACATGATTTGAAGCCTCCAATACCAACCAGCTTGCGTTCGAAAGATTGGAAGTGTCCCGACTGTCATTTTGAGTGCTTCGGAAAGCACCGGTTTTGCCCCCGATGCAGAGGACGGCGACCGATCCCAACATCGCAGTCGTTGCCTGTATATAATTCTACCCCGGGAGAGTCCATTGTAATCCGCAAGCTCACCCAAACTCCCAGTCTTGAAGTGAATGATGAGACTGGAGATGACTTGAGAGAGTTATCATTCCGGAAGTTCTCGGCTCAGCAAGGCAGATTTGCAGGGGCCCGCCCTATCGTCCCGCCCGCGTCCCAAAAAGAGAGAAAGGAGAAGGAATTCGAAGCCCCTCGCCACCAGGAGCCCAAACCTGAGCCCGATCCCGAACCCAAGGAAAAAATAACTGCGGATCCGTGGTCGTGGGATTCGTCGTCTTTGGAGAGACTCCGGCTCCATGACGAAAATGCCACCCAGGGGAAACCTTCAAAGCGTCGGGATGGCCGTCGGCAGCGGGGAACCAAGGGTGACGACGAAGAGTTTGATGAAGACGAGCACCGTCGCCGCCGTGAGGATCGAAAACGTTCAAAGAAGGGCAAATCCCGGCCGAAGGAAGTGGAAGCTGCCCCCAGCCCGCTGTATCTTCCCGAGTTTATCAGCGTTAGTAACCTCGCCGACGTGATCGGCATTCGACCCGCGCAATTCGTCCAGCGGATGGAAGAGATGGGGTTTGAAGATGTTACGTATAGCCATGTCCTCGATGCCGAGACCGCTGGTCTAGTGGCCACCGAGTTCAACTTCGAACCTATCTTTGAGACCGGCGATAATGACCTGACGTCTGCACCTGAACCCGACGACAAGACCGATCTGCCATCTAGACCTCCGGTTGTAACGATCATGGGCCATGTGGACCATGGTAAAACCACCATTCTGGATTGGCTTCGAAAGTCTTCCGTCGTGGCGTCGGAGCATGGTGGTATCACACAACATATTGGAGCTTTCTCCGTAGCCATGCCATCTGGGAAAACAATCACATTCTTGGATACCCCTGGCCACGCGGCCTTTCTGGAGATGCGACGTCGCGGTGCAGACGTAACCGACATTGTGGTTTTGGTGGTTGCGGCAGACGACAGCGTGAAGCCCCAAACGATTGAGGCCATCAAACACGCCACCGGGGCCAAGGTTCCTATCATCGTTGCAATCAGCAAGATTGACAAGGAGAGCGGGAACCCTGAAAAGGTGAAGCAAGACCTTTCCGTCCATGGTGTTCACGTAGAAGACTACGGCGGCGATGTTCAGGCCATCGGCGTCAGTGGAAAGACGGGCCAGGGCATGTTGGAGCTAGAAGAAGCTATTATCACGCTTTCTGAAGTCTTAGATCATAGATCTGATCCTCATGGCGTTGTCGAGGGATGGGTGATTGAAGGAACTACCAAGACCTACGGCCGTGTAGCAACTGTGCTTATTCGACGAGGCACTCTACGACCAGGTGATATCATCGTCGCAGGCACGACCTGGGCTCGTGTCCGCACGCTCAGGAATGAAGCTGGCGTCCCCCTTGACGAAGCTACCCCTGGTATGCCCGTTGAAGTGGACGGCTGGAGGGAACAGCCTGCTGCAGGCACTGAGTTCCTGGAGGCCTCGGATGAACAGCACGCCAAGGAAGTTGTGGACTATCGACAAGAACGGTCTGAGACCCAGAAGCTGTCCCAAGACATGGCAGCTATCAATGAAGCTCGTCGTGAACTGCTCGAGAAACGACGACAGGAGGAAGAGGGCACTGACTCTGTGGAGGAGGCACCGTCTGGCCCCAAACCCATCCATTTTATCATCAAAGCCGACGTGGGCGGATCAGCGGAAGCTGTGCTCAACTCCGTCACCGCGGTGGGAAACAACGAAGTCTTTGCTAACGTGCTCCGTTCCGAGGTGGGACCGATCAGCGAGTTTGATATTGAGCATGCGGCCTCGGCCAACGGCCATCTTATCAATTTCAACCTGCCGATTGACCCTACCATGTCACGCATGGCTGAGGCGCGCGGGGTCGGAATCATGGATCACAACATTATCTATAAACTCATTGATGATGTCAAGGATACGCTGAGTGAGCAGCTAGCTCCTTTGGTCACCCAGCGCGTCACGGGAGAAGCTGAAGTCGGTCAAATTTTCGAGATTACCCTCAAGGGACGCGAAAAGACGTCGATTGCGGGATGCAAGGTGCGAAACGGACTGATCAACCGAGCCAGAAAGGTCCGCGTGTTGAGAGGACAGGAGACGATATATGACGGTATGTTTTTTTTTTTTTTTTTTTTTTTTCCCTCGTTTCACTCTACCGAAACAACAAAAAAAAAAAAAAGAAAGCCTCCACTAATACCTACGCTACAGGCTCAATTGTATCCCTCAAGAACGTCAAGAAGGACGTTACGGAAATGCGCAAAGATACTGAATGCGGTATCGGTTTCGAGAACTGGACTGGCTTTGCAGTCGGCGACCAAATTCAATGTTACGAGGAGCTTTACGAGAAGAGACACCTATGATTGTTATTATCCTATCCTATCCTGACCCCGACTAGTTTGATACCTTCTTGCGATCCTGGCTTAGGGTCGCTGTATTTTTTTATCGCTTACACTTTATTTTTGTACAAAACATTAAGGATCTGGGTGATTTACACTTTAATATACAATTCTGGGACGGGACATTTAAGAAGCATAGAACTACTGTATACTACTCTACTATATTACATTATGACTACACAATACGCAATAGAGAGAGAAAGAAAGAGAGAGAGAGAGAGAGACCTATTTAGTCTTCCATCTCACCCTCCCAACCCATCTCGCCCAATCCCTCACATCCTCCCTCTCCATAATCCTCTCCATAATCCTCTCCACAGGGAACCACTCCCTAGCCAACTCCTCATTACTCGCCACGCGATGCACGAACCTGTGACACGCCCGACAAAGCCACGCCACACTATTCAGCATGCACTCACTCCTCCTGCCAGCCCCTCTTGCGGACCTTCGCGTGCACCCCGCGCGGAATCAAATGATGATACGACAGCGGGATCCAGTCCCGCGCGCAGATCTCGCAGGGCGTCGGTGCGTGTCGTGGCCCAGGCTGGGGGCGGGCGCGCGTCACGGCCGGAATATAACTCGTTTTTAAGACCCGGCTCAGGAACGAGGCCGGGTCGAGGGCGGAGTCTGGCATATGTATATTGTTTTTCTGGTTATAGAGCATGTAGATGTGCTGTTGAGGGTGGGTTATCAGAAGATTAGAAAGGCGTGTGTGTGTGTGTACATCGATGAATTCGGCAAGTTCTTCAGGATCTCCTCGACGAGAGGCTACATACAGAGTCGGTTTCTGCTTTGGTTTCTGGACTCCTGGTCTCCTTTTTAGCAGTGCTCTTGGACTTATCCTGGCTGGATCCGGCGACGATGATGCTCGACACGCACTCGCGGAAGACTGGGTAGTTGGCCTCGCTTGGCTCCGAAGATGCCCCATTTAGTCCGTGATCTTACTTGTCTTCATCGAAAGCTGTCGAGTCTGAGCCCGCTCCACAGGCTTAGGAGAGCCGACAGAGTTTTACGAGATGCTGCACACCTCACATTTCCCGAAGCACAGGCTGGTCAGCCTTTCTACAAATAGTTATCGCAAGCATTTTGACCAGAGGAATTTATAATTTGGGGCTCATGACTGTTAAGATGCTAAGAAAAATTTTTTTTTCTGTCTTCTCCTCCTCCTCCTCCTCCTCCTCCCCCCATGGTTAGGCATCGTTCGACAGCGACGATATACGGGAAATACGAGGCGCTGGATTCGAAACCGATATCTTGACCATAATTTAAACCGGGTTACTGGTCGATTGACAATAAAAGAAGAAGTTGAGGCAAGGTGATGTACTACTGAAGATATTTCCAAACGCTCCACGCTGAAGAAAGAAGAATTTGGGGTAAGTCAGCAGAGATGCTCTGACCTTCTATTTCCCCTCCAGATGGTCCATTGATAACGTAGACCTCAGAGTGAATAAGAAGGTGTGATCAGTAATGGAGAGAAAGAAGAAAGAAGATGAGAAGAACGGAAGAAATCGTGGGTTTTTATACCCTCCCGGACTGACCGCCTTGTTATCGATAAGGCACCAATCAAAATAGTTGGATTCTGCTTCTTCTGCTTCTTCTTCTTCTTCTTCTTCTTCTTCTTCTTTCATTCCAGACAGGCAACTATTTTCAATCCTTTAACAGTTCATTCTCCTTCCACCCAGTGCAGTTTTGTGGTCATTGGGCCTTTTCATTCATTTCTGGATTCTTCTGGTTGCAGCAGCTATGCCCTTGGATCTGAGCAAAGCTGCCTGGCTCTACCCTCTCCGCGTATGCCTACTCTCCTAACCTACCGAGTGATCGAGGACGACCCTGCCTCGAGACTAACGACCCTGGGTGTGCGTAGGGCATCTACTATTTTTTGTCGCATCGGTTCCTCTGGCCATTGTTCAAAACTCGTCTAATTCCGATCGTTCTACTTTCAGCCTTCATCTATACCCTCCTGTTCCTCTTCGCATATTTACCGCAAGTCGCCTTTCTCGCCATCTTCCAGGGCGCGGGTGCGTGGGTCAATGGCGCTTTCCTAGTCTTGGGAGAAGGGGCCGCAATTGTGGCGGCGCTGTTCGAGGCCTTCTTTGTTGACGAAACTCTGGTGGATATCTTCGATGCTGTCATGGTCAGCGAAGGCCAGGGCGAGCTGGTCGCCTCGTCCCGCGTGCTGTATCCCCAAGGCGATGACGTTGTCAAGCGACTGGGCAAACCTACCCACAGTGCTGTCTATGCTCCCTTTTCCCTGCGACAAATCCTGGAGTTTATCTTCCTCCTCCCGTTGAACTTCATCCCCGTGGCTGGCGTTCCCATGTTCCTGGTCCTGACTGGATATCGGGGAGGTCCTTTCCATCACTGGCGATACTTTCAGCTACTGGATCTCAGCAAGCAACAAAGAAAGGAGCGGATCCGCAAACGCCAGTTGCAGTACACAACGTAAGACCCTTTTCCCTACGGGTTCTATTCTCATTAGTTGCCCTTCTAACAGCCAAGGTATAGTTTCGGAACCGTAGCTTTGGTCCTGCAACTGATTCCCGTGCTGTCCATGTTTTTCCTCATGTCAACCGCTGTTGGGGCTGCTCTTTGGGCTGTGGAGATGGAAAACAAGCGTGATCTCTTGGGGAGACGATGTGATCGTACAGAAAACTACCGGGATGATGGTGATATGCTATGATTTGGAATTGAGCAACCTTATTTTCAGTTTTATACTCTGTACCAATGGAAAGAAAAAGGGCAAATGATCATTCAGTCAGAACCCGGAGTTGACTTTCCTGCTGACCGTGTTTTAACACGTAGAAAGATCGCCATCCTTGTCTGATCGCTGCCCTGCCCAATATTCAGCCAAAGCCTCGAGGGGCTCTAAAGGGGGCAATCTTCGCGTAGGATAGACATCTTGGTTACACAGCTGAGAGGAATCAGCAGCCACCAGCCTCCAATTAGGAACCTGGGATAAAATTCAACGTGGGTGTATTAATATTTTCTGAGGCCAAGGGGTGACGCTTCCCCACGTGACCCTTTCATTTCCCCAATTCGTCCACCTGGTGAAGCTTCAAAATACAAAGCCAGAAAAAACTCTCTCTATCCATCCAAATTTCAGGCTATATTTCGGGTTCGGGTTCGTAAAGCAACCATACCCCGGGAATGGACCCGATCACCTCCGCTCGTCGATGATCCTCAGTTCTCAGGGCTCCAGGCTCCTGCATCCGGAACGGCTGGAGTCCAGCCCAGTCCCAGCCCTGCAGTCAGCTAATCTCCACCACAAGCAAGATTGCATCCCACATCCCTTGATGTCTCAACAGTTGCGGAGTCGTGTGGAGTAGACTCAAGACTAGCGAACTTCGCCAGACATGACATGATTTATTTTACCTCCAGGCAAACCGTCGATCAGGATTTGCTAAGCGTTTCCAGAAGCCTCCTCTTTCCGGCACTTACTTTTGATTCGGGCCGGTGGTTCAACCCCTCTCCGCATTATTCATTCGTGAAAAAAAAAAAAAACCACTTACGTCTCGTACGGCACAAAAGGGGCGAGTTTGCTACTAGTCAACCTGGCATCATGTCTGCGACGTGAAATAAAAAGGAAGCAAGCGATGGAAACGACGACAATACTATTCCTGTACCCATGGACCAACGAACCAGGCTACAGAAGGCTTGCGATGCCTGCAGTATCCGCAAGGTAAAGGTAGGTCAGGCGGTCTTCGAATTTGCGCCGCTGGAAGCGTTGGGAGCTGACTCGACTCATCGAGAGTAGTGCGATACAAGCGGCCCTCCGTGTCGGTCGTGCGCAAGTTTGAGCATCCCCTGTACCTACGAGAGACCAACTCGGCGTCGCGGGCCCCCCAATCGTCACGCAGAAGCCTTCAAAAAACAAAAGCTCGGAGAATCCCCTTACGCTGCCCCGGGCTCGCCAGATTCAACTGGCAGACTCTCCCCGTCGTTTAGCGGCAATGTTATCCCTCCTCCAACGTCAAGTACCGCATCGGTGGAATTGATCTGCCCGTTGTCCACCGTCCATCTTTTCATCGACGACTACTTTACATATATTCATCCATTGGTTCCTATCCCTCATGAGCCGTCCTATCGCGCCGCCCTTGATCGAAGGGAAGACCTCACAAGCAACACCTTCTTGGCCCTGACGGCTGGCATGATCGGAGCCCTCGTGGTGTCATTCCCACGGCGACCCAAATTACATTTGAAAACTGAAGCGGAGAGGGCAGCGTACCCACACTCTACAGCCCTCGTCAAGCGGTGTCAGGATGTCGCGGTTCAAGTACGAGGCGCGGGGTACCTTGATCGCAACCCCACTGTTTACGACGCAGCTATTAGTTATTTTCTTGGTCTTTGTTCAGGTTATGTCTGGAACGTTCGACGATGTCGGGCGTATTTTGCAGAATGCTTAACAACGCTTCATGTGTACGACCTATGCAATCCTTCTGGCTACCGGCTTTTATCCTTCGGTCCCACTAGCCCGATTTCCTCCTCGTCCCGCCAATCGCAAGATGTCACAGGTGCCGCAAGTGATGGGTCGGTCAATATCATCGAGCAGGAACTCGGGCGACGCCTGTTTTACACAACGTTGGCCGGTTACCGGACGCTGCAGCAAATGGGTTCCCGCGATGCGGCTGTACACGTCCCACCAGAAACGCCATCGGAGCGCTATCCCCCCTTACCTCTGGAGATTGACGACGCATATATATTTCCTACTCACATAGAGCCTCAGCCGGCTCAACCAATTTCGCGTCTTGTCGGTTTCAATGCCAATGTCCGTGTGTACAACTCATACAATGCGCTCTCTGCCTGGGAAGTGGCGTTCGGGGCCGGTGAGATTTTTGACTGGGACCGACAGAAGAACATTATATACGACTGCTTGCAGAAAAGCAAGTTAGCTCTCGCAAATGTCCCGAAAGAGTTATCTCTTTATCCGACGGACGATACCTATACCCAAGACCCGGAAGACTCTAAGCCGAGTCCTTTCAATGGCGACCCTGACTTGGGTGATCGCCGACATATCCAATTCGAGATACAGAAAGCCAATATATATGCCAGCCAGCTAGCAACTCGGTCCTACCTAGTTGAGAAGTACTGGAGCCTTCACGAGGCCTGGATAATGTACCACAAACCGCCGGACCAACACGCCTTTGTGCCTCCTCCTCCTCCTCCTCCATCCACCTTAACCAGCGGCGGTGACCAAGCAGATCATATCAGCAATACAATGATTGAGGAGCGGCGACTTGTCATCCGCGATCTCTTCACCCTGTTACAATCTGTCAACGAGATCAATATGGAGCCTAATGGCGCAAGCATCGTAAGTCCCATTCCACCATATATTCCTCCTCCTCCTCCTCCTCCCCGGATCTGATCCTAATGAACAGACATTCAAAATCCGACAAGTTGCATCTACCTTACTTGACCTTTCCAAATCAACCATGGAAACCGCCCCCGCCACATCAGGCCCGCACCCGCTCACAAAGGCCGAAGCGGAATCCTACCTGTACGCTTTCATAGATATTCTAATGCGCCTGGAGGGCCTCGCCTCGCCGAGCTCAAAGAAGCCGAACGCTAGTCCCCAGACACAAGGACGGTCGATGAGCTATCTGAGCGATCATGATCGAGATGAGGAAGAGCTGCGCCAATGGGCGAGTTTGAAAGGGTACCAGGCGAAGTTTGCGGAAGCGGGTGGGTTAATATCTGAACTATAAATCTGAACTATAAAACTTTTTTTCTCTTTGGGACTTGAGAAGGTAGATTGGCCTGGTATTTTATATACATAGAGAGAGAGAGAGAGAGAGAGAGAGAGTACCTCATTTAAGTTGAAAGAAATGGCCCGACAAAAAGGGAACTGGCCATGTTACATTCTCGCCATTATATTCCACACATGTATACACCGGATATCTCTTTCTATCTATCTGTCTTATCGATCTATCTGTATTGGACGAAACCAAAAACAAAACCAGAAAAAGAACAAAATAAAGGAATTCATTCAACCTTCATAGAGTTTTCCATAGTAGTATAATAACTAGTTAGTTACCTATTGAGCTCGATCTTCTAAGCAACGTAATTCAATAGTTAACTAGTTAGTTAGTTAGTTAAGTAGTGATTATTAACCATCTATGTGTTCTTAACTATCTATCTATAAAAAGAACCAAATTACTTATATCGCAGCAAGAGAAAACAGGAACCCAAAACCCAAACATATAGACTAATAAGTAAGTAAGTACTGGAAGGAAACCCCCTCAACCATAGAGTGTGACTGTCTCTTTCGGACCACCCGTAACAGTCTCAGTGACGGTTTGCGTCACTGTCACTGTCACAAATCCAGCCGGTGTGAGGGGCTTAAGCGATAGGGCACTTCCACCTCTACTAATACTGTCATCGGTGTTGTCGTTGCTACTGTCGTGGTTGTGGTTGTGGTTGTGGTTGTTGGTGTTGGCGCTGGTGGCGGTCACGATTTCCGGGGCTGTTGTTGTTGTTGTTGTTGTTGTTGTTGTTGTTGTTGTTGTTGTTGCGGTCAGCGAGACGACGACGGTTTTTGTTTTGGTGATGTGGACGGTTGGGATAGTGGTTGTAGTGAGGGTTTCCTGGGAAGTCGGGATAGCAGTAGCAGTGGTAGTGGAAGAGGAGGTGGTCAAGGCAGATGTAGATGTAGACGAAGAGGTCGAGCTTGAAGAGGATCCAAATCCTGCACTAGGAATAAAAGTTTCTGTGGTAGGATGGTCTGAACCCAGTGTAATTAGGACAATGACCGGGGTTTGAACAGGGACAGCACTCTCTACAGTTGTCAACGTCTGTGTGCTGCTGGAAGGCTGTAATGTTTGCACAGAAGTACTCGTGCTCGTGGTGGTTTCTTCACTGACGCGGGGACTCGCGGCCGAAGGAGATGTGATTAGGCTTGTCACTGGGTTGATAAGCGGAGTTGGACTTGAACTGGTGTGTATAGATGTCTTAGTCGAGCTGCTGCTCAGGGTTGGACTAGCAGCCGTGGTGGTGGACGTTGTCAACCCAGTGGTTGGGAGGGTCTCAACAACTCCCGCGGTTAATGCAGTGCTGCCTGCTGCTGCGGCTTGAGAAGAGGAGGAAGCAAGTGGGGTTGAAGTTGAAGGAGGAGTTAGTGTAGATGAGGCAGTGGTTGTGGTTGTGGTTGAGGTCGCTGTGAGAGAATCTGCAGGTAGGAGGGTCTCAACAACTCCCCCTGTCAACGTTGTGCTTCCCGTCAACGTCTGAAAAGACGAAGAAACATAAGGGGTTGAAGTTGAAGGAGTTAATGTAGAGGAGACACTGCCTGGTCTGGTAGTTGTTGTGGTCGTAGCAGACTCTGCACTTGGGAGGGTCTCGACAACACCATCTGTCAATGTGCGGCTTCCTCCCCATGCTTGGGACGATGATAACGTGTATGAGTCCTCACTAGGCGTGTGAGGGATCGTAGTCTTGCTTGTAGTAGTGGTGATAGTTGCCGGGAAGGTATACGTAGGAGCGTCAGCAGACGTGGATATAATCTTCGAAGGTACGGCAGACTGTGCCACCGGAATAACACTCAGGATTCCATCTCGAACCATGCGAAGATGCGAGGAAGCGAGCGAAGTGACTGGGAAAGGCGCAGAGGTCTCTTTGGGGAGGACAGAAGCGAAATGAATGATCGGGCCAGCCGAGCAAGACGAGAGCAGAAGAAAGAGCACGAAGAACATGATGAAAGTAGATGAAAAGGAACGTATAGCAACTTGAAATTAGTAGACATCCATCTTAATGGGAGGGAAGAAGGAAATGAAAGAAAGAAGAAAGGAAGAAAGGAAGAAAGATCTGTGATTAGTCTGGGGTTTATTCAGGCGGTTGCTGTTCTGCAGAATTTCCGAGGATCTCTCTGGGAGAAGCTTGAGACGAATCAAGACCTCGACTCGACGCAATGGTTGGTTGTTAAGAGAGATTCAACTGGCGCGCGCCAAAGAACGACGATCGAGAGCTGTTGTGAGGCAAGCCAATTGGCGCTGGATAGCTAGACAGGCATAGGATTCTTATTAATAGATCGCTAATTTCAAATGAATGTCATTGTTGTGGTCTTGTTGGAGGCTAATTAGAGACTCCAGTATGTATATGTATATATATATATGTTGTACTCCAGATGCAACCACCTCCCCAAGTACAATCAGTTATCGTTAAATTACTGCCATCCAATTCACAGCTCTTTAGCTAGTTGTAACGGTAAATGGCTCATCAATTCCCTCAAAAGCCGTGATCTTCCCTCCAAGGCCCTTAGCATCCCCGTAATAATGGAATCGATAGCTCCCTGCCTGGAGGGATTTAGGGTTCCCAGAATTGTAGTAATCATCCTCAATCTGCCACTGCAGAGTGACCTGACTAGTGCCTAAAATTGTACCAAGTCTCTCCCAGTTGTAGACCAGGTTCCAGTCGTGGTCATCACGCACCACCTCCCAGGTACCCGTGTCTGGATTCTGCCATTCAACCGCAGCAAAGGTGGATTCGAGGTGGAGGTTATTGCGTGGGTTCACACCAACAAAGCTGGCCGTCACCGTATCCCCTGGTGCATATGTATTCTTCCCAGCAGATGAAGTAACATCCCCAAACGATTTGCCAAGCGGGCTGCCATCATACACGACTCCGGTGATGAAACTCAGCGAGTTGTCCGTGTTGATTGGAGGATTTATCCCAGAAGGAATGGACGGCAGCCCAGCGAGATTGTTGGAATTGTTTAAATACGGGAGATACGTGAGTGTCAAGTTGACGTAGGCGGCGAGAGTGTTCGGCCCGTACAGAGTCGAAGCACCCTCGTACCGTTGGCGGCGATACTCTTCCTCAGTAGCCACATAGTGAGCATAAGTATTCGCCGGGGACCCCAAAACGACCAAGGGCTCGTCAATTGAAAGCACGTCCTTGGCAGCGCTGGCGATTGCCGCTTTCCATCGCCGTCCCGACATGGTCGTAATCTCACTCGTCGAGACGACGACCATCAGCTGGCCAACGCGAAGAACCTGAATGTCCACAATGTTCGGAGTCCACGCATACGGGAAGGTGGCGGCTCCCACATCTAGAAGAATGTCTTTCGGTGCCTGGCATTCTTGCTGTTCTGCGGTAGGTTGGTGAATAAATGCACGCGCAACGTACCACAAGGGATTGGACTCTGCAGGCCCGGTGCCGTTCTGTGTGAAGTCAAAGAGGCCTGGTCCGTCAGTGGTACCGCCAGCAAAAGAAAACCCAAGCGCTGCCGAGCAAGTCTTTAAAGTACTTGAATTGAAGGGCGACTGGAACTCATAGCCGTTAAGATCCCTAAAAACGTGGAATGAGGCGACCTGGGAGCTTTTGGTAACCTGCACGGCGTCAGAGTCCATTTGGCTGTACAGCTCTTTCGCAGCTGAGTATTGGCGGCGTCCAATCTCAAAGCAGCTCTTTGCGCCGTTGTCCTTTTCGCGGAAGAACGGACCACGACCGTGGCAGTCCTCAGTCTTTCCACCACATGTACTGTCAGTATATTGACATTGCTCCCCTGAACCGTCCTCGCACCAGGCTCCTAGGACGTTGGGCGTAGTATCGCCCACATTTGCCTGGGAAAACCCGGCAACGAAGTCGTCGGTAAACTGGGCGTCTTCCTGGACGCTTCTTTCGAAGAGCCAGGCGGCGACGCCTTTGTTGTCCCCAGTCACTAACGTGTTGTTTTCATACATTGAGGTGCCATGTACGGGGAAGAAAGTCAAGACAGCGGCCGTTTTGTTGTCGCTTTCCCGGTCGAATCTCAGTAGGCTTAACGTCTTGTCCACATTTGCGGAGTATTGGGCTTTCTCTTCCTCGGGGTTGGCATCATAAGAATACGGACTTCGATTGATGTTTGCATCCGCGAGCTCTATTGTACCATAACTAAGGCGCCCCGGGGCGAGACTCTCATGAGCACGTTGAATAGATAATAGAGCACCGTCAACGATCGCTTGATAGCTCTGCTTATCAAATCCTTTATTGGGGATTTGGGGCAGGAGATAATTCATCCAAGCACCCGGCCCCGAATGCGAGTGTGTCCCAGTGAGAGCAAGGTTATCATCGCCATATCGGGAATACTCCCCACCCAGGCTGGTAAGGCCTTCTAGAACCCCATGCCGTATTCCAGTGTCTCCGAACGCAATATCAAGAACTGTATATACCCAAGTCTCCTCGAGGTTATCAGGGTTAGCTACAATAAATGCTCGGGAATAGAGCCTTTGCCGGAGGCCTGTCCCGATCTGGGGCAAGCTAGCATAACCACCGAACCCTACTTCTACCACAGGTCTGGAAAGACTATATTAGCGACCTTGATGATGATAATGTGATCCCAAGCGGATGAAGGGATGGAAGTGTACCCCGTGATGTCCGCTTTACCAGCTCCCAGCAGGAAGATGCTGTCATCCGACGTATAATTCGATGATCTGTCATCCCATCTAGACTTCGCGTCGAAAGCAGGAATCCCACTGGGGGTTTGGAGAAAAGAAACTACTTGTAGTAGTACAAGAGCAAGAACAAGAGTGCCAACAAGAGCCACGCTGAGTCTAGTATTTGCCATGCTTCCAACGGCCAGGTTCCCCCGACTTTGTGTAATCTGATGACATCAGAAAGGATCATCCATATCCAGGGACATAGAGACCTTTTTATTCCTACCGGAAGCTTCACATCAGGGGAGGCCTATCACCATGCATGACCGGGGAGGTGAGCTGAAGGTATGTCCTATCTCTATCCTTTGACCAAGTCAAGCGGGAACGGAAGGGATCTATTGGCGGTACAAAAGGCCCTGGCAAAGGTAGCATTCTTAACCCTACCGAATGTCTTGTTGTGGCAGCCGTCTTCCGATGTAGCCTGATTGGGCATCCTATGCAACCCCGCGCCTTAAACCGAGGGATTCGTCAGGGAGTGGTATTCATCAGTCGATCTCAAGATTGAGAGATAGGAGATGCGAGGAATAATGAAGGCAATACAACGCATCGCATGTGCACAGTTACCAAAGACATGACGGCACTTGACACTGAGATCGATCACAAGGCCAATATCCCATGTAACAAAACAAAACCGGACGAGAAAGCTGGTAGTCGGAAGGGTGTCCTGAAGTTGGATGCCAATAACAGGGGCCAGATACGGAGATAATCACATGAAAGCTGGTTAGACAAGCTCGGTAGGATCTTGAGAAAGATGTATCATATATATTGGATACTCGAGGTCCAAAGTTCCACTTGTTTTCCTGGATTATCAAGACCCCTTTGAATAGTTACTTTGAATAATTTCTCCCTCGAATACTATAGGATGACTAATCATCACGTGCTTATCTGCTTAGTCAGTTATCAAACAGCAGGAAACGCCCAAAAAGGAATCCAACATCCAGGATGATTTTTGTTGCGGTAACCACCTCGATCGTCCATTGTGATCTCTCCAAATAACCCCCGCGGCGCCTTGTTGCTTTGTGTGTTGCCTCACTCGAAATGCCTCTCATTAACGAGTCCCATGACTCTCTACCGTGTAAGTGCTGACTCAAGAGCTTCACTATTCTTTGCCTCGCCAACACTAGCTAACACGGAACAGACATTGATGCGGAGCCTTCTGCTCAGGCCCGGGCAAATGCAGAGAAGCTTATTGCGACAGAGCTCCCTCCAGACCATATGTCTTCAACCCACCCTTCTATTCCCGATTTCCCCGAACCCAGATTCTCTCCTCTCATCCAGCAAGAAATAGAGCGCAAGGCCGCCGGACTTCCTCTAACTGGGGGAATCGACCTCGCGCGCTATGAAGCTCCTGAGCCACCTACTCGCTCCTCCGAATCTGTTCCTAACGTCGACGAATGGCGCGAAACACTCCGCAAAGCCTACACCGCTAGTTCCCACCTATCTACCAGACACGAAAACCTTTCGCTTTTAGAGGAAAACGGCAAAAATGCCTGGCTTATCGGAAATTCACAACTAGAAGATATTCTCAGGTCTCTAGAGAAGGAATTAGCTGAAACCAAGGAAGCAGCGGAGAGCGTGAACAAGCAAAGGAAAATTGCCCAGGAGTCTAGCCAGGGAGAGATGACCGGCCTGGAAGAGTCGTGGAGGCGTGGTGTGGGCGCGATTCTGGATGTGGAATTGGCTGCTGAAGATTTGCACATGAAGATTTTGGAGCAGAGACGCCAGTCTGCTCAGCAGCACACCCGGTAAAATGATCTGCCGTTTATCGCTACATACACTATCCCTACAATAGGGGGCTTACGCAGCGAAGGGGTTAGTTAGTATCCTTATTCTCGTGCTTGCCTGTATGCGAAGCTACCGCGCGCGACATCCCTAGCTCGTCTTTAGGGTCTTCATGTTACAAACTGACACAAAAGCCCGCCGCCAGGTCTGGACTGAGGCACTCCGGGATGTATCACCTGGGGAAGGTCGAAAACTTCTCGAGAAGCACCACCAAATAGAGCCCCAGCTGTGTGAAGAGACAGGATAGGATATCCAGGAACCACGACTAACATAACTGGACTCGCTCTGATTTGCATACTCTGTCGCAAGCAAAGCCAAACATGTCTGGGAATATCCGCAGACCGCTTAAACTGTGCGCTTTTTGCAACACTCGGGATGCGGTTTCTATTCTAATCATGAGTCGGAAGTTATACCAATTTATTGTATCTACCTTCCAATACTGTACACATACAAACTACCTACTGGTATTATAATAGTGAACAAGCGTTAAAAATCCCGCATATAGATGTTTGTGATCCATCTCAGCTTATTTTCTATTGGTAGTTCTACCTACATTCATATTGCTATAAAGTGAAAGAAAGGCCTTGTGACACTCTCCTGGATGAATTACCATCTCCTATGAGACCTGTCCTCTAGTTCCGAACGATCCATAATTGTTCACTGGTTTGCTTTGAAATCCCAGCATGGCTACCCAACCACGAAGCTTTCTTTTTAAAATCAGATACATAGATCGGGAAACCGGCACGAATAGTCGCTATTCACTGGATGAATTCCTCCTCAGCCTTAGCGATACGAAATTCTACTCCTCTTTACAGTAGCCGAGAGCTATCTCCGCTTTATTCTCTTCCCGAGGTGGATCCGGGCCAGGCTTGTTGCCATGGGGTTTCTTAGCGCTACTACGGAGTACGTCTGTATCTCTCAGATGATGGGTCTAGAGTGGATCTGAAAATATTCACACTACACTGCAGCGGAAAATTCCTCACTTCTTGGATTTTCGGCATTCAAAGCGAATGATACTTGGCTGAAAACAAATGATTGGGGGGTTCTCTGCTTATGAGCTATCTACCTAGGCATACACAACCAACCCCTCCAGGGCTCCTCCCCTTGGATACCAAGTTTCAACTTCAACGGCAAGTCTCCTCCTCCGTGGGGTTCTGCTTTCCCGAGATCAACAATTTGGCCTCAGCCTAGGTATTCAGAGTCATGATGAAGCACGCCCGATTGAATGCCTAAGCCCATAGAGGATCATCATCCGCCATGCATGCCGTTTCAACTTTCTAGTGAGCCGAGCACGCCTTGTGAGTAACATAACATGCGTTGAATGCTCTATCACTTGGGGTCAGTACTCTGGACCTATCTATCTAGTATATCCAGTTACCGTGCTGGAGTCTGGACTCCTACGCGGACTGACTTAGTGTACCCGCCCCACTCAACCCAGGCAGCAAGTTGGTATTAAAGATTCTGGCTCATTCTCCATCTTATCAAAATTTAATGTAAATCGTTCCCCTGGTAGGGTTCGTCGATTTTTTTTTTTTTTTTCCTAATGGTCAGGCTTTTGGACATATTCGTTGTGCGGACTGGGCCTTGCTCTGCTATATAAATCCAAATCTTAACCCTATAACTACCCATTCACCCCCATACTGCTTCCCCACGCAGCAGAAATTTTCTGGGTCGCGGGCAGCCTAGTCGTTATCTTTTCCCTAAGGTTATAAGAGGTGGATACAAGAAGGCAGAGTTTCAGTTTCCTTAGCGCAGGTCTTGAACCCTCAACCTTTTTTTTTTTTTTTTTTTTTTTTTATCTGGATCATCTGCCTTTATATTGCTTCGATCCTATACCTTGGAGATCACCATAGAATAGTAGTGCCAGTTTGGTCGAGTCCACCGGACAGCAGCCCTTTGTAGGACATTTTACCATCCAGCTTTTCCAGGGACCTTTTCTAGGTTACGAGTCAAGATGTCTACAAGACAGGATCTCCCTCCAGATCCAAAATGGCCTCGACATAACGTGGAAAGGGCAGTTGATGATGACGATGCACACTCCACAACCGGATCTACCAGCTCAGAGGATTCCTTCGACCAGATCGAAGCTCTAGGCCGCACTCTAACCAGTCGTTCTCGAATGTCAGAACCGTCTCTAACTAGGAGAGTCACCTCAATCGGCACGACGGGGACAGTGGACCCGAACTTCGAAGTCGACTACGAGGACGAGAACGACATGGAAAATCCTAAGAACTGGTCGCTCCGGTATAAAGGCATGGCTATCGGAATGCTTTCCTGGAATACATTGATCATGTGAGTTAGCTTTACTATCTATGAAAGGGAGAGAGAGAGAGAGAGAGAGAGAGAGAGAGAGAGAGAGAGAGAGAAGGGAGCTGACTTGGATTCGCTTGTGGCTGTGAAGCGTTTTGCACTCCACATCGTATACCTCGGGCATTTCAATCATCGCGGCGGAGTTTGGAATCTCCAACACTATCGTCACCTTAGGACTTACCCTTTATTTGATTGGGCTTGCTATCGGATCTATGTTCATGGCGCCATTGAGCGAGGTGTACGGTAGGAAGCCGGTTTCTCTTGCTTGCCTGGGGATATTCACGGTTCTGATCATACCGTGCGCTCTGGCGAAGTCGGTGGAGGCATTGATCATTGTGCGTTTCATCGGGGCCTGTTTTGGAAGTGTCATGATCTCTACGGCCCCGGGTATGGTTTCAGACTTAGTAAATGATGAGCAGCGAGCGTTGGCTATTTCCATCTGGAGTTTGGGGCCCATCAATGGACCAGGTATATGCTTCCCATCTCCCTTACCCTGGCATATCAGCTTATCAAAAGAACACTGACTAACTGTCTATCAGTGCTGGGTCCTATTATTGGAGGCTTTGTAACTCAGTACCTCGGCTGGAGATGGATGAATTGGATCACATTGATGCTTTCCGGCGTGGCGTTTGGTTTCACATGCATCATGAGAGAAACATACAGCCCCGTCATTCTGCAAAAGAAAGCTGCACGTATGCGCAAAGAAACCAATGATGATAGGTGGTGGAGTCGTTATGACCAGAAGATTAGTCTCATCGAGCTGCTTAAAGTGAACTTGACCCGCCCATTCGTTATGGCTGTGGCAGAGCCGATCTGGTAACCTACCCCCCCCCCTTCCTATTTCTCCTTTGATGAGTTGCTAAACCCTTCCTGAACACTGACCACTGACCATGCAATGCAGCATTTTCTGGAACATCTACATCGCCATCGTCTACGGAATTCTCTATCTAGGCTTCACTGCTTACCCGATCGTCTTCCGGGAGATTCGCGGCTGGTCCCTTGGTATCTCGGGACTGGCCTTCCTCGGTATAGGAACTGGATGCGTGATCATGATCGTCTGCGAGCCCTTGGTCCGCCGCATGATCAACAGCCATAAGCCGCACCCCGAAACCGGAAAGCCCCCGCCGGAAGCAATGGTCTCGATCGTGTGCATCTCCGCCCTTCTAATCCCAACCGGGGAACTCTGGTTTGCGTGGACCTGCGCTCCGGCAACAATTCCCTGGATCGTGCCCATCCTGGCTGGGGTATTTTTTGGATGCGGAAACGCCGGTGTCTTCATCTATGCCTCGAATTACCTCGCCGGGAGCTATGGCGTGTACGCTGCGTCTGCGATGGCAGGTAACTCGGTGGTTCGGAGCGTGTTAGGGGGTGTTTTGCCCCTGGTGGGCTCGTATATGTACGACGCCTTGGGGCCAAACTGGGCGGGAACTCTGCTCGGGTTGCTAGAAGTCGCAATTATCCCGATTCCATTTGTGTTCTACAAATACGGGTATAGAATTCGGAACAAAAGTTCCCTTATCCGGCGGATGCAGGAAGACGAGATGAAACTGGAGAAGAAGAAGCAAAAGCGCTTGGAGCAACGGTTCGCTGCTGCTGCTGCGCCGGCGACGACAGAGATGAAGGAGAAGCTGGAGGTCTAAAAGAGGCAGACTCTTACTTAATTGAACGAGCAGAGATATGAAAAAAAAAAAGAGTTTGGCAGGTTCAGGTTCAGGTTCTCAAAAGTCATATACAAGATACCATTTATTGTTTGTCTCATGTCATGAATGACCTTATTTTATAACGCAGCATGAATTACTAAAGAATAGAATATAATACACACACATACCTCATCTCATGCATCCATATAGTCCGGTTTCTAAACCTCTACCCAAGTATCATATCGGTACGGAATAAGCAATAGGTTAACTCGGTCGTTGAACCCGTCTGTCAACCTCTTTCGAATCGTGCAGAATCCGCTCATACTCGCCCAACGCAATGGCCCCGGCCGAAAAAACCATCACAGCATCGACATAGACCGACCCGCGTGTCTCCTTTCCATTCAAGGCGGTCATGGTAGCATCATCTGTCGCAACAGCGGCGGTGGCGCCAGGACTGGGACAACCCTGAGCTCGGCGTACATACCCGATTACATTGATCCACGCGCCAACACGCAGCTCTTCCCAAGTTACTGTTTCCAGAACGGCATTGATATCGACTGATACACACGGCGGTTCTGACCTTGGCTGTCGAACCCGGGGATAATTGTGTTCTAGGATCAAGTGGCCCGTGGAGATGTGATATGTTTTCACACTGTGATGGGTATGATCCAGGAGTTGTGGCTTGCATTAGCTTTTCTTTCGTGATTTCGTTTGTTTATTCTCCTTCATCTTTAGCTTGTGGGGAAATCAATTGGTCTCGACAATTCATTGAATTTTCCAGGTCCAGCGATAGGAGCAGGTTCTACGCACCAACCAAGAAAGCGGACTTTGGAATCAACCGGGAGAGAGGGAAGGTCGGAGAGAAAGACCCTTGTGGAAGGCAGGGGCCCATTCATGCCTGGAGATGTGCATAATAAGTGATACTCCTTGAATATATGTAACTTGACGTTGGTACAAGCGTTCCCCCCCCCTCCCCCAAAAAAAAAGAGGTTGTTTATGATTCGGCCGGTGCACGTGACCGCCAGGCTCCGATAGATCTGGTGGCGTATGTCATAGGAACCGACGAGGGGAAAACGGACTTCATCCTCTCTCTCTTTCTCTTCTACAAGCGAGATACTGCTCCTGTCCTGTTCGTTCACATCTTGGTTAGAGCACGATCACCCCGTTGGCCGTCACTGATTTGAGTCCGGACCGTCTTCTCACCCCTCCTGCGCCCTCTCTATCTCTTCACCTTCGTCCCGTCGTCCCCACCGCTTTCCACCGCTTTCCAGGACAGTCTTTTAAGGCCTCACGAGGCAAAGAGCCACTTGCGCAGTTGCGGGGCCTATTTTGATATTCTATCTCCCGTTGAGAAGATTTCATTTGTAAAACACCATTCTGGGAGCCTAGGGCCTCGTTTGCTCTTATCACAATGTGGTCCTGGTTTGGAGGCGCTGCGGCCCAGAAGCGAAAGGATGCACCTAAGAACGCTATCCTGCTGCTCCGGGAGCAGTTGGATATGTTGCAAAAGCGGGAGAAGCACTTGGAGAACCAAATGACAGAGCAGGAGGCTATCGCTAGGAAGAACGTGACAACAAATAAAAATGGTGGGTCTCCCCACGCTTCTCCTACACTGACCTTGCAGTCAGCGAGAGGGGGGGGAGGGGGGGGAAAGAAAAACAAAATAAAGGGAAGAAGAAGAAGAAGAAGAAGGCTGACTTCATGCAGCTGCAAAGGCCGCCCTTCGACGGAAAAAGGTCCATGAGAAAAACTACCAGCAGACACAGGACCAGATCGGCCAGCTTGAACAGCAGATTTATGCGATCGAAGCGGCGAATATCAACTACGAGACCCTCAACGCGATGAAGGCGGCCGGTGCAGCTATGGAGAAGATTCACAACGGCATGACAATCGACAAGGTCGACGAAACAATGTACGTCTATTCGGATCTGGCTCTCTTCGGCTCTCCATGCGCCGTGTTAACAGAACTAGGGACAAACTCCGGGAACAGCAACAACTCAGCAACGATATCGCAGAGGTTATCTCCAGCAATCCTCTGGTCGAACAACCCGACGAGGACGAGCTGGAGGAAGAACTCGAGGGTCTGGAGCAGGAAGCTATGGACGAGCGCATGCTCCACACCGGCACAGTACCAGTTGCGGATCAACTGAACCGGCTTCCTGCTCCCATCAACGCAGAACGTGAGTTTACATGGATTTCTATTGGTATACACATATATATATACATATATTCGAGAAGCTAACTATATATTAGCTTCCAAAGGAAAACAAACAGAGGAAGAAGACGAGGAAGCAGAGCTGGAAAAACTGCGTGCGGAAATGGCCATGTAGTAGCTATCTATCTATACCCATGGCCGGGCATAGCCTTGTCAGATCTCGTATTCCATTTCCTTCTTTCTCCATCCCTCAATGATCATCTCTGACTTCCTACCTACCTTCCCACTTACGTGCATACATGATGGAATGAACCTCTTCTGATACTCTGCACTCTGTGCAACCAGTGTCTTCCTCGCTTTTTTTCCCTTTTTTATTTCTAATTTTTCTCACCATCGGGGCGGAATCCGGCGAAACTTCTTTTCTGTTTTTTTTTTTTTTTTTTTTTTTTTTAAACTATTATTATTCCGTCTCAATTACAGAATTTTATTTCATGTCACACACATCTTGCTTTGTCTTGCTTTTCTTCACCACCTTTTCATTCTTTGAGGCGCTCCTCTCTTTACAAGGTTAAGTTTATTACAGCTAGCTACTCTCGTCCTTCCCATCTTGTCATTGCCCCGCGATTTTCCATATTCCATGCTTGGTTTGGTTTTTGTTTTTTTTTGTGTTGTTTTGTCTCACATCTCTGGGTTTGCCTGTTAGAAGAAAAGGCAACACTTGCATTCATGCCTGATTTATTGGGGTGTTAGAATTTAATATTTACATGCTACTACTGCATCTTTTAAAACCCCCCTACTACTTATCTTCGAATCTGTTCTAGCCTGGCCTGGCCTGGCCTGGTCTTCGTAACCCTCTGGAAACCGGTTCTTCGTCGCTCACTTCCTTGGATACAGATCAGGTATAGATAGGTCGTCAGGTCAGGTCAAGTCACTTATCTACCAATATACATACGTACACTTAGTTACGGAGTACTCGCATGTGGTACTGGTCCCTAGGTTAGGCATGAGATGGTATGCTATGATATGGAGGAGAAAATGAAATGGAATAAAATAAAGGAAATTAAGAAAAGAAAAGAAAAGAAAACATTAGATAAATAACCCAGGTAGACCATCACGAGGATTGCAGCGCATAGAACTCCCGTTTTTCACCACATACACCCACCACCCCGTTTTGAAAGGGAAAAATAGAGGGGGAAAAAAAAAAAGAAGCCCATCCAAACCGGGAACGACAATCTGAAGTTAGGAATGAAAAAAAAAGAGGTATGATAGAGTATACTCAGTAAGGAAGTTAGGAATGAAAAAAAAAATATCATTAAGGAAACCAGGCATAACTCTTAAGCGGAGCGGTGCGAGCGCCGTCAGCGACCTCACTACGCCACCTGGATTTCCATTCCCATTCTTGTGATGCGGCGTCTATGAGGGCTTCCTTGCACTCAGCTGGTAGCTCTTCCAGGACCTCGGGGCTCACGAACTCCGGGTACTTGGGGTTGGAGGCGCTGGTGAACCCGTTTGTGCCGAGATCGTAAACATCTCCGTCTGGGCCAGGCACGCCCATATTGGAGTATGGAGGGCTTTCAAAATGAAGATCGTGGATGGCAAATCGGCGCGAGAAGGCAGCTGGAATGGATGAGAAGATGGAGGCGTTGCTTGTCTCTTCTTCTTCTTCTTCTTCGTCTTCTTCTTCTTCTTCTTCTTCTTCTTCTTCTGGCTTGTCAACGTCAACATGCTCAACAGGCGTCTCGCCTTCTGCCTCGGAATTCCCATTGCTTGTGCCATTTGTCAATGTAAGGGTGGACATTTCCTGGGCTAGCTTGGCGGTAGTCCGCGGGTCAGGAGGTGGTAGTCGCTCCCATCGAGCATGTGTAGGTTGCATGATCTTGGGGTACTGCATGATATTGGTGTGAATATCATAGATACCGTCCAGGGTTTGGCGCCGAGCATGGAGAATTGCCGAGTTAAAATTGCTAAAATAGGTAATTAGGCCAAGTAAGTACTTTTTTGGTAGAATTTCACTTACGTAGCTTCACGAGCGTGTTCAAGCATCCAGTTATCGCCGGTGACTGTGACCTTTCGCTTCTTGGAGTCCACCGCCTTACCGGTCGGTAGAGGAACAGAAGGCGTGCTCGTATGATAAACGCTGCTGGCTCCATGCCAGGCCACATACTGGTTCTTGTTGTATGGCTCTCCTGGAAGGGGCAGCCTGTCCTCCGGAACCGCAAGCTCACCCTCAACATCGCCACGCTCCCTAGCGGCCTTGATATCGTAATCATCGACGATTTTCCTACCCCCAACAATAATCTTGGCACCAAACTCTCTGAACACAGACCGGGCCGTGACAACACCAATGGCTCGACCCTTGTAGGAATGAGGAATAATCTCTCGCTCAATCAAGTCGCGCTTCGCGTCATCGTCGATAATAATCTTGTAAAGAAGCTTATGCTTCTGGAAAAACAGATATGAGTCCCTGAACCCAATACAACGCGCCGGTTCGGTAGACAACATATAATGCCGCTGCCCGCGATTGAGAATCGTAAACGTCCGGACCCGATACTCCCTATCACCCTTGAGAACACCATTCTTATCAACCTTCGTCTCTCCCTCCAGATCATCGGGAAGAGCCACTTCATCATCAATCACATCCAGCATATTCCCCTCCTTATCAATCGGCACCTGGGTTACATGTGACGGACCGCGGTTTCTCGCCCAGCGCCCACCACTAGCCGCAGGCCGTCCACGCTTCCGCCTCACTGGCGTGCTCACATGAATCGGCGGCGGCGCGGATCCATCATCTGGAAGATCCCAGTCTGGAGGTCGATTCTTGGGCGGACGCCCGATGCGCCGTTTGCGCGGAATGGCTGAGAAGCGACCTGGGCCAATTCGCGAGGGCGTATCTCCACGTGAAGGGGGGTTCGACTCTGCTGCTGGGACGGGTGTAGCAGCGGCTTCGGATTCCTCGGGGGCGGGCTCAGGTTGGGATTCAACGTCCGGGTCCTCCTTCTCGGGCGAATTTCGTCCAGCTTCTTCGTCTTCTTCGTTTTCTTCTTCCGGTACTACAGCGGGAGAGGATTCACGCGATGGCGGGGCCTCAACCATTTCTTCATCTGAAACATCGGGAAGTGGAGGAGCGGCATTCTCTATGGGAGTTTTGTTAGTGGTCGCGTTCATCTTTGATTAGGACCAGGATCACGAAAAATGGAAAGCATAACATGAGGAGAGGATCGGGGCTGAAGAGAAAGGGTTGGTTGTTTTTTTTTTTTTTTTTTTTTTTTTTTCGGAAATAATGATGAATTAACATACTCATTGATTGCGCAGCAGCCTGGGCAGCAGCTCTCAGCTTCCTGGGCATGGCTGGCGGATTGAAGCGTTGATGAATGGAACGATCGCGCGGGCGGGAATCCTGATATTGGACTTGCTTGCACTTTCATGGAGCTGGGACGGGAAAACAAATCTTCCGGATCTGTTTCACGTGAGCACCACGTGCTGGGGCTGGGTCGATACCCTAAGCCCTAAATCGTGACTACAATGGGAAGCTCGGCCTCCTCTCGAATTGACGTCATTTTTATCCTTCCTCCGAGTCTCTTTTGATCCCTTCAAGGTTCGAGGAACCATTGTAACCAACCAATCAAATAGCTCGTTTATTATTCAGAATATAATCATGATAATATGGACAGGTACTGGTCTACTACTCGGGTGAGACGGTCTCTCCGGGCCTCTTCCTATAATCCCTCGATTGAGTGAGGGATTTTAACAACGGCTTCCTTGCTATCTGCGCGTTCAACGTAATAGGAGAGAGAGACACTTGACCGGAGCACAGAGCACCAAGGAGCAGAGCATATGCACTAACTTGAATCTGGCAATTGCTGGACCTTTTTTTTTTTTTTTTTTTTGTTCTTCAAATTGCAAAGCGAGCTTCCTGGTGCTCTAATGGCTGCACCGATAAGGTACAGGTGCTCCGTATCCATGGATGTACATAGGTACAATACAATCCACTCCGATTGCTCCTACTACTATTTAGGCAGGTCACTTATAGGTCCACTCCAGTACCAGTGCCGAAAGAAGCTACTTGAATGACGTCGGGTATTGCATATCTGTTCAGAACTTGCTTAGGATCCGAGATGGAGCGAGAAGACGGTTAGAATTGAATTCCAAGCTCGAATACTCCATTCCCCTCTCATTACTTCTCTCTTTTTTTCGAGTTCTTCTTCCTATCAGTAGAAGCAGACCGAGGTAGTATTATTTTGTACGTCCGTACATACTTCTTCAGGAGTACTGCTGTAGTACTACAGTAGTATTAGTAATGCATACATACATCACTGCGCTGCGTACTTTTTTTTTCTCTCTGAAAGGGAGAAAAACAAAGGGGGGAAGCGCATGCATGCGTCAATTCTGCTGGAGCTCCTATTGTACATAAGCTTCCATAAATCGAAGTTATTCTAAGCTATCCATACCTAGGTACTCCGTAGCCTCACATGCACCGTTCTCCTCGGGTCGATAGGGCAGAAGAAATGCTCGGGGCTCCTAGCGGAAGTACCCTCCCTGTACGGAGTACGCCATGACAAAACTGTCGTCGAGGTAACTATCTGTATGCTGCACATCGCTCGTACACACCCACCGCGATACAGCCGCAGATGACCTGCCTACTGACTCTGTCCCAGTAGCAGTAGCCCATGCGTGGATGACCCTTACCTTTGCCAGCAAGGCTAGCGCAATCGTGATTCAAGAGTCATTTTACTGTTATGGTAGGGGTAAAAGCTACGGGTCTACAGCATTTTCTCCACCCAGGGCAGATCCCTCCCGCTGATCTTCGGAGTTCCGATGGGAACGTGAGGAGACGCCAGCACCTGGCTGGAGACGATTGTATTGTTGACTTGGGAAGGCGGATTTGAAATTGTATACCGAGTACTTGACCAAATGAGAAGTTTCTTATCACAATAATAATGAAGGCCGTTAGGGAACACCTAAGACTGCTTGTAGTGCTAATTTAGTGCAGCCATATTGCAAGAACTAGAATCGACCAGTAAGCAAAATGAACGGAAAGACGTCCCTGACCGAATACCATCGCTCTCGATGCAGCTCCCCAGAACATGCTGCAAAACAACCAGCTCCAAGGGAAGGTGGGCAGGAGCTGCACATCATCTGAGATAATCCCGCGCCGAATGCTGGTCTGAACATGGCTCTGTAGGGCTTAGGTCGGTTTAGGGACACCATACCCAACAATAGCAACAAGGTATGGGCTACTGAATCTTTCGTCGGCTTTCATTCCTAAAGTCACTAGGCTCGAACTGTGAGGAGAACACGGACGAAAAAGGTCGCGTCGCAAGGGGATCAGGCAACCTGCTTAGGTTGCATTCAAATCCTAGGCAGTCGGTATTATCTGGAGGAACTCAGTCCGCGAGGTTCAATACTCGTACGGAGTGGTATCGAGATGCTTCGACTCGACTCCTTCGACGGCAATACTGACAGTAGCGGTGGACCGTACCCCGCCTTTCTTTTAGAGAAGAGGTGGTGGAGAAAGAGTCCTTGCAAAGCCATGCATTGCTCTGGTTTGGCGAGAATCAGGAGAAAAGGAGAAGTTTTGATGTTGTGGATAAGGCAAGAAGAATCAATTACCTAGTAGTTAGGTATTTAACTCACATTTTTCTGCCCGAGGTCATCACTGAGCTCAGGATCGCTGATGGGAGAAATGTAACAGTGTCGACTTTCCCCTCATCATAGAACTAGAGGTTATACCAGTAAACTGCCCTTTTCCAAGAGTTAATAATAATCCTATCATAAGTTTGGATTTGGCCATAACTGTAACCATACTTTGTTATGGAGCAAGGCTTTGATTCAGACTTCGAGTGTCCCGGTTCCAACGCAGAAAAAAGTCTCCATGGTGGTGGATCACGAATCATCCACCCGGTCATCCTCATTATTGGATCCAGAGATACGTATCGGGCTGTTGCTCCTGATGCCCATCACCAGACCTTTTGACTGTCATTGTGAACCCCATCCCCAGAGTTGTTTTTCTGATTCACCTTCTGACTAAAATGAATCCTGCTAGTTTTTTTTTTTTTTTGGTCTTTTGCTTTGTTGGCTTGGAATAAGTCTTGGGGATTCCTCTTAACCAAACACTATCCCATTCTCTTCAGAAGGAAAGAAAAGAAGAAGAAGAATGTGGTTCCCTTAACTGTGGTTCCTTCAGCCATCATCTTGGACTTCATTTGCCAGCAACTTCATCATCTCTCCACTCTTCCCAGGCTACAAATTCTCTTTAGTCTTTACCCCTCTAGGCGTGTCCTTTTTTGGGAGGTCTTGCCTATCGCCTCCAATGCGAGGAACCCGACCTGAATACCCGAGTATCGGTAATTTTGGGCTGAGCCTTGCTGGTTGTCATCATCATCATCATCATCATCATCATCATCGACGAGAGGGGGCTAAAAGGGGAGAGAGAGAGAGAGAGAGAGAGAGAGAGAGAGAGAGAGAGAGAGAGAAGTAAGAAGTAAGAAGATTTTATATTACAATTATTACCTATCTTTACTATTATCATAATCTCCTTCTTGATTGAGGCGGTTTTCCCCCCAATTTAAAATACCGAGTCTAATAATAATCTGCTATATTCAGTTACCACTCCTGCACTCCCCCCCAAAAAACCCCCATCCAGCGGTATCTACAACTTCAGCTTTTGGGCCTTGAACGCCACCCCAATCTTTAATCCTCCCTCCTCTTCTTCCTCTTCTTCCTCTTCCTCCATTACTTTTTCTCAATCTCCCCTCCTTTCAATTGTTATCCTTCTCCTCCTCCCAACTTGAACCCCCATCAGTGCGCCCGCCATTTCCTCTTCTAGGCCTAAACGCCTCACTCTCAGGCTTTTACTTTTCACCTTCTTCCTATTTTCTCGGGTTTACGCTTGTTCAAGTAAATACTAACTAGTTAACGACCCTTTTTTTGGGCCTTCCGTCTCTTTCCTTTTCCCCACCCCAAGGACTCTCTACTTCTTTTCTAGTACAAGTATATCATCGTCTCTTCCTCAGATATCCCATCCCGCCTTTCAACTCTCAACCCCTCTCTCCCTCTCTTTCACATTTTCTTCACTCCTTCCCGAACCCCGTCGGATCCCGCAAACTTCCTTAGTCTCATTCCCTTCTCTCTGACTTCATTCACCTGGTCTTTAATTTACTTTTTCTAATTCTGACCCAAACCCCCCACAGGTTTTTTTTTTTTTTTTTTTTTTTGGGTCTCTCTTGTCTCCGCACCGTCCCTTTCCCTCTTCGCCTTCTTACCATCCCTCCTTCTCTCCCACCTTCCGATCCTGACGAGCTTTACCCATCTTTTAATTCGACGTGCGTGTCCCTGGTGGAGGATTTGGGAATCGGATGGAAACTCAATCATGGCTGCTGTTCAGAGTGGTACAGGTTCACATGGAAACATGGACTCATTGAAGCAGCCAGCATCCCAGAAGTGAGTATACTAAAAAAATTTTTCCCACATCAACTCCAGGTCTGTTGGAGATGAAGAGGATTGGTACAAGAAAGGCAAATCAGAACTATACTAGGGGTGAGACAAAGAGAAGGAAGGATACACTGGCTAGTTTGCCACTGGCTTGTTTCATTTATTGCATTGCATCTTAAGGTTGCCTTGATAACTCTGTCGCATTGTCTTTAAAAAGGCAACTGCATCAGATTCTATGATCAAAACTTGCCTTTTCTTGCTGTTGTTGTCTTCTTGCTGCAAATTGGCCTGTCTGGTTCCTCTTCTCTTGTATATCTGCAACAGAACACCTCTTAGTACGCCATCATGATGCTCTATTGATGCGTCTTTTGCGAAATCACTGGTCACAAGTTCTGTGTGGCTAACTGATCTACCAGCAATGGTTTACAGGAAGACGATACCCAGGATCAAATAGGTTCAAACAGCCCGAGTCCTTCTGGCGTCGCCACTCCACAGCCCGATCCGGCTGACAAGCGTCTGCCATCCATAATGCATAGCTACTTCCAGGTTGGTGGTTCCTCTGCTGATATCCTACGCTCTCTTAAAACCCGGTTCTCCCTTTCCGAGTCTCCTTCTTCCGCACACAATGCTCAGTCGGGTGCGCTTGCCACTGGCACATGCGATGACCCATCCGTTGGCCATTCCACCTCGTCTTCCGGCTCTTTTGTCATGATGGAGCGCGACGAGGCTGGTGTCGGTTCCCCCAATGCTGTGCCAGACAAGAAAGCGGAAACCCGAGAACTATCGCTGGAGACCCTCCCCCCCACGAGCTTACCTACCCCCCCCTGCTCATCTGCATGTTCCCTTCTTCGGAGAGATTCCGAGGACCCGGAACCAGGGCCTACAACCCCGGATAAGGGTGTTAGCTCTATCTTTACTACCTTGAAAAACTACCTCTCTTCGTCATCCAGAAGCATGTCCTGCTCTGACCCTCAAGCACGCCGTCATACCTCTCATCCTGTTTCTAGCGTCTCTGACGACCCCGTTCTTGCCTCCCATTTTTCCAACCCTTCTCTTCCCTATGTCTCGGATGCCCTTTCTTTCGCAGAATCACCCCTCCTCGACCATGAAAAGCCACATGTTTCTACGTGTTCTGAGAACCTGCCGAAGCTAACTGGGAACGTGTCCGACCTTCCGCGTCTAAAGAACACCCCCCCGCTTACTCCCCGAGCGATGTCCGATGAAGGCTCTCAATCCGACAAGAAGAATTGCACTTCGCACCCCCAATCCCTAGAGCTCGCCCAACCACAATCCGACGACATGACGAGCCCCACGGACGAAATTGCGGGGAAGCTGAATGAAGCATTTCCATCACCCATGGACACTTCTTCCCCATCTGCCGGTCCCCCTGTCGCCTCCCTGAATGGCAAGCTTTTTGTCACCATATCCGAAGCGAGGGGACTCCGTCCCGGTTTTGATCCCTATGTTGTCTGCGTTTTCGAGTGGAACGAGTGCATTTCTAAGAGTGCGCAGGATGAGGAAGAAGCTTCTTTCAAACGACAGCAAAAGGAAAGGGAAAAGTCAGATCGTGAGGCCGGACGACCAATGGCCATTCCAATGAAGAGCAGACAGAGCAGCCACAATAGTGCCCTCGATGGGCCCGATCACCGGGGCCATGCTCCTGTGACAGACCCTCACTGGAATCATGAAGCGGTCTTGTATGTCGTCTCGCCTTTGACTCGTTCTATGTGCTTATCGGGCAAATCTAATCCTTTTCTCTCGTCTACAGTGATGTCTTTGGCGATCAGTCTGAAGTCGACGTTTCGGTATATGATCGCAATAACCAGGAAGCGTTCATGGGTCACGTACGACTATGTGTCAATTTGAAGGAAGATAACAGCCGGTTGGAAGGATGGTTTCCGCTGTCAGCTCGGGGAGCCGGAGATTCTCAGGTTTCCGGAGAAATCCACATGGAGATGAGATTTGAAAAGACCGAGAAGAAGCAGGTGGGACCGAATGATTTCCAGATCTTGAAGCTTATCGGCAAGGGAACGTTCGGCCAAGTCTATCAAGTACAGAAGAAGGACACGCGACGCATCTATGCGATGAAAGTACTGTCGAAGAAGGTGATCATTCAAAAGAAGGAGGTTGCACATACTCTGGGAGAGCGGAACATTCTGGTCCGCACAGCTATGGCGGTTTCCCCATTTATTGTCGGACTCAAATTCTCCTTCCAAACCCCCACCGATCTCTATCTTGTCACAGATTACATGTCGGGTGGTGAGTTGTTTTGGCATCTTCAGAAAGAGGGTCGATTCCAGGAAGCTCGAGCCAAATTTTACATTGCGGAGCTGATTTTGGCTCTTCAACACCTTCACGATCACGATATCGTCTATCGTGATCTGAAGCCAGAGAATATTTTGCTTGATGCAAATGGCCACATCGCTCTCTGTGATTTCGGTCTGTCAAAAGCAAACCTTACTCAGAACGACACCACAAATACCTTTTGCGGAACCACCGAATACCTTGCCCCTGAGGTCTTGCTTGATGAACAAGGATATACCAAGATGGTGGATTTTTGGTCACTAGGTGTCTTGGTCTTTGAAATGTGCTGCGGCTGGAGCCCTTTCTATGCGGAGGATACACAGCAGATGTACAAGAATATTGCCTTTGGCAAGGTTCGTTTCCCCCGCGATGCTCTTAGCACTGAAGGCAGGAACTTCGTAAAAGGGCTACTCAACCGCAATCCTAAGCACCGCCTCGGAGCCAAAGGCGACGCGAAAGAATTGATGGCTCACCCGTTCTTCGATGATATCGACTGGGAGGCGCTCGGCCGAAAGGAAGTGGTTCCGCCATTCAAACCAAAACTCAAGTCCGATACAGATACGTCCAATTTTGATCCTGAGTTTACCAATGCTCTTGAGACCAGCAGCTCGTTGAATGACCGAGCTGCAGCCTTGGCAAATGGGTTCATGGCTGCCTCCACCCCTCTATCCCCAGGCATGCAGGCGAACTTCAAGGGGTTCACCTTTGTCAATGAGAGCTCTATCGATCACCACTTCAAGAACGAACCAGGTGATCAAATGGATGAGGATACCGATACCTGGCATAAATCTCGCCGGCCTGGAAATTCTGTGGATCACCGCATGAGTGGCGTTCAAAAGACTGGAGATGGGGGTGAACCTGGAATTTTCAATGTGGATGATAATTTTGACATGTGATTATGGCTCTTGATGCATGATAATGGAGTTGTGATGTCTGCATATATGTTGTCTCCTTTTTTTTTTTTTTTTTTTTTTCTCTTACTTTGTACATGTTTTTCTCAGTGAATGGGGTCTAAAACATGGAGGTTTTTTTTCCCCTTAACTTTTCTGTTTATTTCAACCCTACCCTACTGGATTACTTATGCCTTGCACTGTTGTCCCTATCTTCAGTCACTGCGAAGCAGAGTGTTGACCTTTTTGGCCCCATAATACTCTACTCTTTTACCCATTATCTATGATAGCTGGGAGAGTATTCATGTTTACTTCTTGATGGATCTCCATCCTGTGCCTGGTACTCTTGTTAATTTCTGAGTTCACCCTTCTATCTGCATTGCCCCTTTCCCCTTTTTTGAATGTTTATTTTATGATATCCATCCATTTCTATTTCCGGCCTACTTGCGTGCCCCCATTGCCTCTAATTTCTTGCTTTTCGACTGGACCTGAGTCCCCTTTAATCATCTTTCTGGCGATTAGGGAATTGCATATCTGGATTGGACAAGACAGACGGTGTCAATGGTTGATGTAGTGGCGTTTTGTCTGGCAGCATTGGCGCAGGAGGTAGTTTGATGAGCTCGCTTGGGCAATACTTCAATAAACTACTCCGTACATAGTCTTGTTACAATTGATTTTCATTGTATCGTGGCAAAATTTCCTATATAGGGGTGAAGTGAGCACACTAAAAAAGAAAAAAAAAATTCCCAAGGAAATAGGATTGATCCACACCTTTATTAGTATTTTCTTTCTTCATGACAGTTGAACGCCAAAGTCTCCCGGAGTAAGGTATGTATGTATCTATGGGGTAAGAATTCGTTCTATTTCAATCTACCGAGTATAGAACGGCTGCGCTAAGAGGCTAGCAGGTTGGAAGTTATAGTATAGCCTATAGCTCGTTGTCTCCACCTGGAAATTGGAATCGACTGTCATATCATCATCATCATGGTTACTCCGTAGGTACTCCATAGTTATGCCCTTGGAATCTTCAACAGGGGTCTGCCGCGTTAGACTTTCCGAGGTACAGGGACTCGACTCGGTTTCCGGATTGTATTTGTGCTACGTTACCATAGCCGGCAGATAGTTAGACTTTAGCTGGGATACTTGAGCTACCATGTAGGGACTGGCACGTGTTTGTTTCACTCTACCTGCGGAAATGGCACTCCCGGTGGTTTGATAACTAGGTACGGAGTAGTTACAGAGTATATGGTATGACTACTAGATAGGCTACTCCGTCGGGCAAAGTAGGATGTAAACAGTAATTGTATTCCTATTATGGAGCCTGGTGGGTTTGAAAGTTGGAAACTTAAACGGCGCCGTATCGTACAGAGTATTTATGCGGTATATATCAAATCAACGGTGTTGATCGAGAAACTAATTTTCGAATTATTCTTCCGTTCTCTACGGAGGATACCCGAAAATGCGTCCCACCTCCTCCCGCAGAACCGTTCAAATCGTGGAGTCGCGCAACTCATCGGTGTGATTCACATTGATTATTGAATATTCGGATTGTTTTCAGAGTAATCTGTCTTTGTCAACCCCCCCCCCCCCTCCCCCCAAGTTATATTAATTAAACAAGCCAGAGCCTCGGCCAATAGAGTAGACGATAGGGACGAACCGTCGGTTGGACTGGATCCAAGCGTTCATCCCGATGGTTCCTTTGCTGCTTTGCATCATTCCATGTTCAGGGGGCATAAGGAGGACAACCTATTGGCCCCCCGGGAACCTGGCTGGAAGGAAGAGTACGTCAGAGGTTCACAACGGAGACGCTCGGCATTACCGCAGAAAAAGCAATGAAGCGTCATTAGAGCCTAGAGGTAATTTGGAAGTGGGAACTTTTGAGTCTTTGACAGCCAAAAAAAAGCCCGTCAGTGCGCTATTTTAGGGGGAAAGGGGGTTGGTTCTTCGCAGCTTAAAAGGGGCGACGTGAGTGCAGAGAATCACAAAATGACTCGAGAGCGGCTCTTAGTCAGCTCTTTCCCTTCTTGGGTGGCCCACTCTCTGTCCCAGATTGGACTAGCGTCAGGTTCCGAACGCCAAGCCGGATCCACTTTGAAGGTGCTCCTTTCCCAAAGAAGTCTAGTGTTGATACCCTGTTCCACGGGTGTCCAGGCACCGAAAAACTGCCAACTAAATTCATTCCAGGTTTTTCCCCCCTCCCCCCTGGAGGAAGATCTCTCTCTCCTCGTCAGCCATTCATTATCTCGGCCCTAGACCTAGCTCAATCCTCTATCTAGATTTTGTCTGGGATTCATAGACGAGTGAGTGACTCTGGAATCAAGATTCAGAACTAGATGGATGCGCTTTTACTGATCACAATGCAAGGGAATCCCCTCCAGCTCACACTCTCGTTTTTACTACGTACACATCTCCTCACATCTTTACTAATTTAGGTTGTTGCAACTTGCCAATCCCGTTTTCTCCAGAGAAACTAACTCCCGAACTAGCGGATTAGTTTTTATGGGCTCTCCTTTTCCTGTCGTGATGACCACGATTAGTATGGGATTTACGGCTCTTGAACCCCTCCAAGTCCGCTCTGCCCCTTTCCTCGGGCTTGAGGAACCTTCACTTTCAATAGTCGACGACGATAAGTGATAATGTGGATTTTCCTCCACAGTTTTCGTGGGCTTCCAAGCACGAGTTGATTGACAGGTTCCTGCACGGAGGTTGGAAAGGAATCAAGATCCTCCATTCCTTCCCTTCTGTGGAGACGATCGGCCCCTCGGTGCATTGCGCATTTATCTTAGTGTGCTCTCCTTAACTCGATGGAGAGATGGCGTGGCAGTGCGAACCATATCAGAATATTATTTCTCTTGGGAGTGCGGGCTTACTACTAAATTTCAAGGTGCCAATTAACTGTGAATCACTATCCCCTTCCTCGTATCTTGGCCATAAGATTCCTAAAATAGTTCTGCGGCTTCTTTCTTGTGATTATGGTGCCTAAATTTACTTGGACCTTTTTTTCTTTTTTTTTTTTTGTTTCCCTTCTTTTCTCTTCACACTGATTTCCCAGTCCCTTGATCCTACGGAGTACACCATCAGACAAATTCTCTGATAATTGATGATCGTTCTTGTTGCTTCTGCTGTATCCCACTCGTTCCAAGTTCACAGCTCCTGACATCCTTCATCAGAGTGTTGGCTCTGCCGCTCTACATACCGTGTGCCGTGCTTTCCAGCCCCGCCCTCACACCCACCCCCCTTCCCTCCCTTCCTCTATCTACATGATCATCCAATGCACAAGACAGATTCACCATGAGCGTTGTCGCCAGTAGGCCCGAAAGCTGTTCTGTCCCTTACACGCCGGCTCCTCATCAAGGCCAGGTCATGCATAATTACAAGGATTCTGGGTATGCAGTTTCAGTGCATCCAGTTTCTTCGCGACCCTCCTCCATCTCATCTTTCAAGAGCAACTACACCGTCTCAACCTCCCCTACGTCCTACTCGCCAACCTCATCCGGTTCCTATCGTTTATGTGACTCTGCGGCCTCGCTCGATAAGATATTGGAGTCGATCTTCAAGAAAATACCGCAGGAGGTCTATGAGAATATTCTCAATCAACTACAGCATCTCCATACTAGTTTGAATCAGTCAGGGTGTACGACATGCTTTCAGCGCGATTTGCATGCCCTGTCTCTAACCTGTCGCCCTTGGGAGAAGGCCGTGCGAGCTCGACTGTGAGTGAAATGCTTTGCGTTTTCATATTCTTCCGGCGGTCTCGTTATGACCACCGTGAGCTATAGAAGAAGGTGCGGGTTAATTCGTGTTTGATAGTTACAATCATATTCACATCATCGGAAATGATTCCCCGGTTCAATTGAAAAAATATCGATTGAAACGGGGAAGCAGGTTGAAGCTGCTTCGACGCTCTCTTCGGGAAAGAAAGTTGCTGGCCAACCTTGTCCTGGAGCTTCGTGTCCCGCAGGTCGACCTCTTGTTCACAACAAGTAAACACAGCACTCAATGGCAGGAATACCGGGATTTGATTGCATCAGTTGTCATGGTTTGCCCGAACCTGGAACGGTTACTGGGGTTGACCATTCCTTACAACCATGAGTTCGACCGCTTGACGCATGCGCTATCCACCCGACGAAAGTTAAAGGAACATACCTGGATCTTGTGTGAAGCACCAGGAACACTAGAGGCCTCTCCACGCAGCGATTCTTGCCCTGGTAGCCTTGGTCCCTTGCAGATGTTTGAGTTTCTAAACTATCATGCCTCCTGGACCAACTTGGAAACCTTGATGCTTCATGGACTGAACGAAACCAGCACCCTCGAACCTAGTGTTTTCCTTCGCATGCTCGATCTCTTGCCATCGTTGCGCAACCTGTGCATCTCGAATTTCGACGCCGATGCCTTTGCCGACAGCGCCCTGCTATGTCTCCCCCCGCTAGAGTCACTTCGGCTGGAAAACCTTCCGGGGCTCACGGATACTGGGTTATCTCAGTATACTTCCCGCCCAGAGTCTCTCGCCCTCAAATCTCTAGTCCTTATAGAGCCGAATATCGGGTCTTTATTAGTGATTTCGAAGATTCTAGCATCCCTACAGTGGCTTGAACGTTTCAAGATTGTACAAACAAACAAATGCCCACTATTGAACACGGACGGGATCATCTTCCAACCGCTTCTAGCCTCATCCAGCCTCAAGTACCTACATTGGGATGTGGCCAGTCCTAATCCCAGCACTGCCCTGAGCAGAATCGACTTCGCTCCTTTTGTCAAACCGCCTAGCCATTCGGAGACCCCAAATTCCCATCTTGCGCAAAGCATTCTCGCCGGAGGGTTTCCGCGTCTAGATGCTCTGCGAGCACCGTCCGATATCGAGCCTCCAGGCGTGCTCCAGGGTGTTTGCCAACCTATCCCCCGCGGACAAGCACTCTTACACCCAGACCGATATAGCCTTCCTCGAAGTTCACGTGGCTCCATTCCAACTCGACCAATGGCGCTACCGGGGGGCAATAACTTGACATCCGCCCGAATACGGGCTCAAACATTTATTGATATGGCCGCGAAGGACACCGAAACCGGCATGAAAGTACTTATTACCGACCACTCGGATTCTTACTTACCTGATAATGCACTTGAAGCATCCTCTGATGACGACGACGACGACGACGACGACGACGATGATGAATCAGATATGGAAATGGATGAATGTGGGCTGTGGGAAACACCTCGAGAGCGGCCAAAGGAGAGGACAGTGTCCGTGGATCATGGAGGTCCTGTCACGGTGTCTGATTATAGAATGCCTGCTTACATGGGCAGAGTGGGCACCAAGACATGCGAAAAAGACTTGTCCATTCCCCGATTCATACTCAGTCCTGATTTAGTTGGACAAGACGCTGACGGAGGCCTTGTTACCTGGAAGCACATCATGGCCGCAAATCAATCGTTGACATTTGCTGCAGGAGTTGGGGTCAACTGCTTCGGGAGCAAGGGAACCACGGTCCCTTCGCCTTATAATGAAGAACCTCTTTCCCCAGCATCAACATCGACCCCTAGGTTCGGCTGGGGGAGTATCAGTGCTCGTTCGACGATAGCCACAAGCCCCACCACGCCTAGTACTCCACCTACCCCAATGAGCTTATCACCAACGACCGCTCTCCCGTGGGAGAAAGACATCTGCACCGGGTCTTGGAATTACAGCCATAAAGGTGGTCGGGAGTGGTGGTTCCACATGGAACGAGATCGTCGTGTGGACGTTGACACTTATAGTGTCAAGAGACTTTTCTAATAATAATCCATCTGATGTGAGATGGATATAAATGGCAGAGACTACGGATTGGACTTTGCCATTGCTCCCCGAGAGCCTGAAGTAGTACATGCAAACTTCACTTGATACGCACACGCAACATACACAGAACCAGGCGTTTAGGACTGACTGGCTGAATGGATAATTCATACCAGCGAAATTGGACATATTCCCACGCATATTACCTGGTCTCTCTTTCTTTTTTTCTTTAAATCTATTTATGTCCCAGTTATATGTCGAGTTGGAAGCCCCCCCCCCCCCCCTTTCTTTTGCCATCTCCTCGCTCTCTCACGCACATATCCATCCACCTTGAAATCCGCAGGAGGGTTTTTGTAGCTTCCTTTGCTTTCCGAACATACCCTTTTTGTCCCATTATATACCCCAGTATACATAAATACTGAACTCCGACACCAGGGAGCTCTCCGTTTTTCCAGCTTTTCTATCTTCTCCTCCCCCCTACCTATACTATTCTTCCTAGCACAATTTCCATACTTCATCATCATCATCATCATCAATTTTTCCCTTTCCCTCTTCTGTCCTCCTTACATTTATCAAGGTGCATTCGACGGAACGGATTCTTGCAATTCGAACACGGGAGGTCTACAATCCATATATCCTAAGCTTAGGTCTTCTTTTTTTTTGGTTTTTCTTCTCCCTTTTTTTGGTTTTTCTTCTCCCTTTTTTTGGTCAGTGTCGTCACTTGCTTCCTACCTTTCTACTTAACTTCATTCCAGTTCGTTTCCTTCTTTCTTCCTTCCTTTTTGATGGGCCTGGCCGGCGGGAGGGGGGGAGGGGATATTTGCATGGTAAAGTGAGTGAACAGGGAATCTGTATATATCACTTTCGCGTGTTTTTTTTTTTTTTTATCTGGGATCCCCAGGAGAGAGAGTGTGGGGATTATAATACCAGAGACTGTATGTATGTGTGCTCTATGGAAAATACGTTGGATCTTCTTGAAATAGCAGGATACTCTATTTCTCAGGAAAGATCACTCACTCACTATATGAGGATATCCAGTAACTCTACGTATTGAGTAAATACAAGCGTGAAAATTGAGAAAGAAAGGCAATGTATCCATTTAAGCCCCGGTTATAGTTAATTGTACGTACGTAGATACACATCACGTAGAGAGAAAGGCAGCAGCAGCAGCAGCATTAAGTCCAAGGTAGGGCCAAAGAAAAAAAAAAAAAAAAAGGAAACACAGCGGATATATCTAGACGTAGATACCCATATTGGTGTCCTTCTTTTTGGCTTGGACTTCAGCAATAGCATCGACGTAATGCTCGTGGCCAACTTTGCTCATACCTTTGCGCAGGGCAATCATACCGGCTTCAACGCAGACGGCCTTCAGCTGGGCACCACCGAACTCGTCTGTGCTGCGAGCCAGTTCAGCCCAGTTGACGGCGTCTTCGACAGACATCTTGCGCGAGTGAATCTGGAGGATGTTTGCACGGGCTTCCTCGTTAGGGAGGGGGAACTCGATCTTGCGGTCCAGACGGCCGGATCGGAGGAGAGCCGGGTCGAGGACGTCAACGCGGTTGGTTGCAGCAAGAACCTTGATGCGGTCGTCGGAGGCAAACCCGTCCAGCTGGTTGAGGAGTTCAAGCATGGTTCGTTGCACTTCACGATCACCAGATTTCTCTGAGTCGAAACGCTTAGTTCCGACGGCGTCGAGTTCGTCGATGAAGATGATCGACGGAGCCTTCTCTTTGGCGAGGGCGAAGCAGTCTCGGACGAGCTTCGCACCGTCACCAATGAACATTTGTACCAGCTGGGGTCCAGCAAGCTTCAAGAAGGTGGCGTTTGTTTCTGCTGCGCAGGCTCGAGCGAGAAGGGTTTTACCTGTACCTGGGGGTCCGTACATCAGAGCACCTGAATAGAGAATGAGTGTTAGAAAGCCCCATAAAAAGACAAGATGGCTGATGCCTACCCTTGGGCGCCTTAATGCCAAGTTTCTTGAACCTCTCGGCCTCCTTCATAGGCCATACTATAGCCTCGACAATCTCCTCAATCTGCTTATCCAAACCTCCAATGTCTGTATATTTCTCTGTGGGCTTCTCATCAACTTCCATAGCCTTCACTCGGTTATCATATTCGGCGGGTAACGTATCCAGGATGAGGTATGAGTCCTTGTTGACACCGATGAGATCACCGGGCTTAAGCTTTTCGTGATCTACCAGACCGATCAGAGGGAGGTAGATAGTCTGACGAGTCGATGTTTTAATCACAGCGGATTTGCCCACTCGAGTAGCATCCAGATCAATGTTGGCACCCTCCTCTGCGGCCTCGGCTTCGACATCCAAATCCAGCAGCTCAACAACGTTTCCGACAAGGTATGGTAGTTGTCTACAGAATACAACAGTCAGCTAAGTCCCAGTGGTATAGGATGATACGTTCTTTGCAGGGATAACCCTCCCCTCTTTCCGTTCGACGAAGAACACACTATCGCCACAGGAAGACACGGGGGAAAATCATCCAATAGCAGCCCATTCATACCTGTTATTTTCAATCTTTTCTTGATTGTCCTTGACTTTCTCCCTCATCGTATTCTGTTCGTGCGACAACCGCTGGAATTCACTTTTCATTATGCGAAGTTCGTTCTCCAACATCCGCCTTCGTTTGACGATGTCTGCTGTGCTAGAATGAAGGATCTCATCGTCTAGAAGCTCATCTTCCTCCTCCTTCTTTTCTGCATCTTTCATTTCAGCATCGTCATCACCTCCGGGCAGTTTGCCATCGCTGCCATCGCCCTGGTCCTTCTTCTTGTCTCTCTCCTCGCGCTCCAGGTCGTCGAGATCCTCCAAGGTGGACATGATTGACGCTCGGAATGTAAATAGTCGGAGTCAAAGGAATAAAATAGGATCAAATTAAGGCAGATTAAAGGAAGAGGAGTGGAAGAAACTGAGATGGAGGTGTGTATGGTGGTTGGAGAAGAGCTGTGTTGAAGGACGAGAGATGTCGAGCTCCGGCCAAACAACGTCAGCTGCCCTGCCTATATCACGTGATGACCTTACAAATCCACCCATGCTCAACACTTACATTCATCTCTACAATCAGGCTTCAAAGTGAGTGAATTGAAATTTGGGTTATGTGCAGGATATAATAGTATTTACTTGGTTTGCCTCCCTATTTAGGTAGAACTGGTGAAATATTGTAGCCGGCTAGGACACCACCCCACACCATGTTCACAGTACATCTATCTGGCTTAGCTGGGTCCAAATACTCTTATATAAACCTGCTTGGGTTGGTAGAATGTCTAGTAGTATCTCCAATGTGCCGAAGAACGGCTTCCCGGCCGAACTTGAGTAGGCGGTATCGCGAGATAAAGTCATCGTTGTTGACTATATATTCATTAGTATACATCACCTTGAATCACAAATGAATAGCACGAGAGTTTCCACGACACGAAAGAAAAAAGGACTTACTGTAACCACCACACATCCTCCGTTTCCCAGTAAATTGGGAGCGGCCGTGGAGCATTCTCCAGTTATCAAAAACTACCACCGATTAGTCAGGCCGCATAATCCTTCACTAACGACACAGAAAACTTACTCAGGGCTGTTCCTGGTTGTAGCTGAGTCCATACTTCCATTTCGGGCCGACGAATAATCTGGTCGAAGTGTCTCGCTGCGTCATACCAGCGCTGTTGCTCATCAACCCACCAGTCCCTTTTGGGTGCTCGGTCGTAATTATTCCAGCGAATCTGGTACAGTTCTCGCAAATACCCGTGATTCCTAAAGACAGGAAAGTGATCCGCTGGTTGTATGCAGACGTCATCGTTTCCACTCGCATGAAATGGGTGTTTGACTGAGAGTAAAGCCTTCGCAGCGCCCGGGTTTTCTTCGTTCAAAATACTAGCCGCTTGAAACCCATCGACAAGAAGATTAGTACCTCCATCGCCATCAGTGTGAGACAAGAGATGAAACAGCTGGAGTCGCGCCGGGTCAGTGAAATATGTATTGTCTGTATGGGCGCCCAGGAATTCCGATGTGTACGCAGTGTCCTTGAAAGTCAGGTCGGAGGTAAAATCCCAGAATCCCCCTAGAGAGTGTTAGAATTGCCAGAGAACATCGATGATGCGAAGACATGTTACCGTAATGGGTATTTCTTATAAATGATATCCTCTCCAAAAGCTCCTCTGTTGCATGAGGATCGACAGGAACTCCTTTGACGAAGCAAAACCCCCATTGATACTTGGGAAAGGTTAGACCAGAGGCAAGATAGTAGAGAAGCGTAACGTACGATGTTTTCAAGCCACTCAAGCACTGCAAAATCACCATCCATGACTTCTTCATAAGATACTGTTGGGAGCTCATCCCGGCCCTGTTTGAAAAATCGAAACGGCCTAGATAGAAACGTTAGCGGCAGCTAGCAGCTCTCGACAAGACAATGTATTACCGGAGCCGCAAAGGCGAACCTCCAGGCCGACGATTGATCTTCTTGTGCGTATGTACGCCTAGCCAAGAGTATGAATATAGACTAGAGTGTCTATCGGACCCTTTCAAAAGATATCAGCACTATACTCAAAAGGTCGCCTCTGGAATAGCCGTACAGGTTACCTTCACGGTATTTTCTCGAGGAGCAAGTTCGGTAATAGCAACTTTGCGCGGGATCTATCATATGATAAACAACCACTAGTTAACCTAGGTCTGTTATTGAAGAGTGTGAAGAATAAACATACAGAAAAAGTATCAGAAATTCGTTGCTTTGTGTCTGGGTGGACACAAAGTTCGCATTGGCAATTCTCTCTAATATGGGGGAGAACAACACAAATCAATTATTTACTTAAAAGGGAAATCCAGGAAAAAATCATGTTACCTTAGCCAGAATTTTCCACTATATCCACAGTATCAATCATTAGGCTATTATGAAATGATATAGGTTGCCATGAAGCACTTACAAAGAGCTCCAGCGTCCTGCAGGGCCCAGGCGTAATCGAACAAGTTTACCTTCTTCATCTTGGCTGTAGGGACCAAGAGAGGAAGGAGGTTCAGGTTCATTTCCGTAAGACATCGCCCGGATTGGTTGTATCCGCGAGACGCCCTAAAGCCATCCCGTTAAACGAAGGTTTAAAAGCGCTTGATACATTTGATATCTTTCAACAGTTATACTGTCGCGTACTTACTGAGCTGGTATGTTTCGATATACTATCTATCGTATCAGAAATTGCTCGAGAACAACCTTAAGGAAGCACTTACAGCGGGGAGGCCAGGGGCCGAAGAGCCCTAGAGAAACTGATTCTGTTCATGTTGACACTCTGGAAAACCGAGGGCTGCGAGGACACCAAGAATTAAATTGAGCCCAGTTGCTTCCCACATAGAAAATAGTGTTTCATAAGAGCCGTGAAGAATGCAAGTTCTCTATGGCATGATTCCCCACAAACTTGGAAGATGATCACGTGCAACAGGGATGATGCCGCGGATCTTCGATGCTTGCCAATGATACAGTGTCTCTCGTTGCGGGGCTTCACACACACACACACACACACATATCGAGGACAGGACGGAGACTTACTACAATCGGCGTGGGTCTACAGTATACCAGGTATAGTAAGAGTTGGTTCCAGCGAAACTCGTCCACCAAGGCGCGCCGAGAATCCTATCAAAAAAAACACACCGGAACCACTCTGATCAAAATCTCACTTATGGACTTGTACTAACGAGTACCTTCTACTCCGTATACAGTAGTATTATTTGGGGCTGTGACTCTAAGAGATCCGCCAATTCCGGTTATGGTTCCATGCGGATGGGGCGCTCTACTTTTTATCAATTGTTATCAATCAGGACTGTACTAAATACCTACCCAATGAGTGAGTGGCATGAGTGGTTCTTGGTCAGTAGAACTAAATAGTTAACTACCTGGTATCTAGGCAGGAAAGATTTGGCCGTTCAAGTGGTGTGGGGGTTGATCCGTGGAAAATACGGAGTATTAAGTACAATAATAAGGATGAATCGAAGGCTGTCTAATCGGTTAGGAACTTCACAAAATCTCTCAGAAATAAAATCTGGGTATAGAAGCCCTCCCCTAAGGAAGAGTATTAATTACAACCTAATGGTGCCGAAAGAATGCGCAGACACAGAAATCTGAACAGAACGAGAACGTTGGAGGTGGCTAGACTGAGCGTCGACTCGGGGGTATCTACCTGGGAAAATTCGAGGAGCTTCATAATTGTCTCTTGTGGAAATCATCTCTCCGTTCACGCCGAATAATGATGCCATTCCCATGCCTTCCATAAACAACGCCAAGCAAGTGAAACAAGAAACATAGGAAGAAAAGACGATGATAAATGGGTAAAAAAGGAGAAGGGGGAAAAATCATCAACAACCCAATGTCCATACAACTGAAGTACCATCAATGCTATGCTGCCGACTTGTCAACCTCCCTACATGTATTGACAGATCATAAATCGACTCCTTCTAGAATCGAGGAATAAATAACCAAAGAGTCGTTGAAGACCAATTAACACGGAAATTTTTTTAACACCTGCGAAAATTAGGTTTTCAATCACCAAAATGAGAGAATTAGATGCTTACATCTTGTAGAAACAGCTACCCTCGGCAGCGCGGGTCTGGTCGAGAGTCTCAAGCTTGTAAGAGAGGTGAATATCGAGGTCACGCTTGTTCTTGTCATTAGGCTTGTTCACGAGGACACCAGAGACGTGTTCCTCCTCCTCAACGGTCAAAACGTCGCGCAGGTAGAAGACAGTCTGCTTCCAGTGAGTGTACTTGGCGTGGGGGCCGGTGGAAAAGGTGATCGGCTTGTGACAAGCACCAAACTCGATGTCAAACCAGGCAATCACGGCATGGATGAAGTCACTGCGCTTGACGACGAGGGAGTATGGGGCCTGGAAGGCCAGATCGGCCTTTGTGACTGTGTATAGATCGAATGTGATAATTGGGCAGGGATCAGTGACGAGAGCCTTGAGCTCGACGGTGTCAACAAGGGGTTCCGTGAGGGCAATCTCCTTCATAGGGCTGTAATCAAATCCATAGACGTTGTCCCAGACTAGAATAAGTTAGCAGGGGTCTAAGTCAAAATTGAGTGAAACCAGTCGAAGTCTCCTTACATCCAATCTTGTCATCCTTGTACTCTCCATCTTCAATTGCAGCCAGGTACATGGTGGCCTTATCGGGGAAAATCTTGCCACCAGGGACGAGATAGCGGTCACGAGCGTACAAAACGGTGTCCAGCATGCTCTCGTAGAGGAGGAAATAGCCCATCCATTCCGAGATGATAATGTCAACCTTGGGGAATGGAAGCTCAACCTCCTCCATCTTTCCCTGAAGGAGGGTAATCTTGTTTGCGAACCCATTGGCCGCAACAATCTCACGTGCTTTTTCGATAATGGACGACATGTCGACTCCGATAACATGCTTAGCGCCAGCCTTCGCGGCAAACCTTCGAACACAAAACTGTCAGAGTGCCGCAATTCGTAGGTTTCATACAATTGGTCACATACATGCTAAGAATACCAGTTCCACACCCAACGTCAAGGACGACCTTATCCTTGAAAATATGTCGGTTTTGGTAAATAGAATCGCGATATGATCGAGTGCGAACATCGTCTTTCTAAAAAATTATGAAATGGTCCAGATTAGTCAAGGAATCGCAGTAAGATTACTGTTTTTGGGGGGAAACACATACAAGCATCTCCTCGTGAATGCCTAAGCGGGGTTTGACATTAGCACTTGAAACAAACACGAGTGAAAGTTATCGAATGAATTTACCATGGTGATCGTAGCTATTATTCAAGTTAGCATTCTATGAAGATACCATGAATGAGATAATATCTGCACCTACCTAGTAAAGTAACGCACTTCAGCATGGTCCATGCCGACCATGCGATCAGCGCTGCTGCTCATACCAGCAGTGTCTTGTTGTCCGTCCATATTGATAAAACGAAAGGTAAATATGAAGGGGGATGGACTCGGGCTTTGAGACTCGAAGAAAGAATGAGAGAAATGAAAGGGGAGTCCCAGGTTTAAATTGGGATGAGAGGGAAGGAGGCGACACCTGCAAAATCAATCAGCTGTAAGGTGAGGTCTGCCTCTGCGCTCTCAGTCTCTTTTTTTTTTTTTTTTTAACTTTTCCCTCATTAGGAATTTCTCCTCCAGCCGGTGGCCAAAATCGGCTAGTCTAAAATTGGCTTAGTTTAATACCCTCGAGCTTATCTTCATGTGATAAGAAAGCCCTATTCTTGATTAGGGTTAATGGTCTGCATTTATGTAGAGTACTTTGTTAACATACAAGAGGAACTACTACTTAGTACTACAACTACTAATAGCAGGGTAGTTGCTCATATAAGACGGGTTGAAAGAAAACTTACAGGTAAATGATTTTCAGAGATCATGTCTAAAAAGGGATTCAAAGATGACTGTATGCTAGACAAGACATACAGAGTAATTAAGCACCTAAAAGTAATAACAAAAAAACGACTGCAAAATATAATCAAGAGAAGCATATTTACTTCTAACACATTATGAGAAATTAACTACATTTCGTCAAGTTTGGTTACAGTAAATATTGTTGATGGTATCGCTTTCATGTCATACTTCATTGCGGGACGGAAATGCCAAGATGGTTCTCCGCTGAACTGTTGCTGTCTTCCCCAATCAAGCCCCAGTGCTGTCTCCTTTAACTGACGCGTTCTGTCTTCAATCCAACAAAATACAGAGCACACAATGATTTTGGGGTCTGCTCGGAGGAAAACCTGTTATTACCTCCTTTTTCTTCTCCTCGCAACTTACGTTGGAAAATCAGCCGCGTCACTCGGCGACCATCTCCCTGATTTCAAAGAATGTGTCAAGGTACATACATCAGAGCAATGGTTCTAGGAACTACTCTAGGGACGAGCTAACGTGAGGACAGATCTGTACAGCTGAAAACTGCCAGGATGGAAACTCGGCCCTTCGTACGCTCCAATTCCGTCGACTCCGCACGTTGTAATTTGTGAGCTAATAGGAAGAATTTAGCTATCCTTCTCCGCCTCATGTGGTGGACGTGTCCCGCCGAATGCGATTATACCTGCCAACATGTCGTAACCGACCGTCGAGTCGCTCGCGATCCTCCGATGCTCAGCCCTGTCGTCCAATTCCATGGGAAATGGCCCTTTCGCCGAATTCTCGGCATGCAGGAACTGTTCTCCGTCCTGTTCTCGCTTCTCAATTTCCTGGCTCACTGGCATGGCATGTCCCAGATTCGTGAAAAGACACCAAGCTGGCATACTCTACAAAAGTACTACCTGGCATTTGGATACAGCGGCCTGGCGTCGTGGACATTCAGTATGCTCTTCCATGCCCGAGACTTTCCTCTGACTGAGAAGTTGGATTATTTCGGAGCTGGCGCGACTGTTCTGTATGGCTTATTCCTTTCCGTGATCAGAATTTTTCGACTAGACCAAGAAAGCCCCCGGTACAAACCAACCCTACGACGCCTCTGGATTGCTATATGCATTCTCCTCTACAGCATGCATGTGTGCTATCTGAGCTTTTGGTCATGGGACTATACCTATAATATGATTGCGAATATCGTGGTTGGGATGATCCAGAACACGCTATGGATCTGCTTCAGCGTTGTCCGATACCAAAAGACTGGGAAGAACTGGACCCTCTGGCCGGCGATCATTGTGGTTTGGATCATCTTAGCCATGAGCCTTGAGTTGCTGGACTTCCCTCCCTGGCATGCGCTTATTGATGCCCATAGCTTGTGGCACTTGGGGACTGTTATTCCCTGCGCATGGTGGTACCTGTGAGTGGGCTCGTATTGTCCTTAATAGTTCAAAAACAGATAAAGGCTAACCATATCCAATAGGTTCCTCGTCAAGGATATCAGGGACGATGTGCACGGAGAAAGATTGAAAGCCTAGACGGCTTCACTAAAGCTAGTAATCCTCCTTCCTTCTTAGCCTGATAACCGAGATCATCAGGCGCACAAGGAGTGTCAGGTGTTGCGAATGTCGGTCCAGGTGACCGGATAACATCACAGCGTTCAATTATGAGAGCGAGAAGTTGTAGGAAGTAGAGGGACGAAAAAATAAAATACAACACTAGTCATAATTCATACACTCCGGGTGGTACTAGTATGTAGTTATCGCCAGACAGGCATCTCGCATACCCCGCCTCGTCCACCAGTTACTAGTTCTAGCAGCACTACCATCCTAAACCTCCTTTCGTCATTATTTCTATAAATATCCAGCAGCCATTTTTATTTCATTGCTCCCTTTTAGTCGTAATAATCTGTAGTGTTTTAGATCGGCAAGCTGTTGAGGCCCGCCACTATTGGGCTCACCGCTCGGCGGAGGTGGTGCTGGCAGTAACAAAAGTCCGCCAGCCTGTCTCACTTCACATTGCTGTAGTTTTCTTGTCTTTTCCTCGACTTTCATCTCTACTGCTTTTTTTCTCCCTTTTCCGCGTGTGATTCCCAAAAGTTCCCTTTTAAAATATATATTTGACATATTTTGCGCCACAATGGCGTCCCCCGCGATTAAAAAGGCGATCTCAGAAGCGGCTGCGCAGTACGTGAAGCCCGAAGGGAAGGTGTTCCAGTATGGTACAGCAGGGGTAGGTCCCCTTTTGGCTCCATTTTTATTTTCATATTGTGTTTCTTGAAGCTAATGAATTATCTTTACTCGACAGTTTCGTATGAAGGCGTAAGTATCTCTCTTTGCTTGGGGGGGGGGGTTTGTCCATCCCTTGGAGAATCGACCATCCCCGCATCTACCCTACCCCCGCGATTACTTGTTTACCCCTTCCTTAACTAACATATCTTTGGCAGTGACCTCCTCAACACCGTCGTCTTTGCAGTCGGATTGCTCGCAGGTCTCCGTTCCAAGAAACTTAGTGGACAATGGGTTGGCGTTATGGTTACTGCCAGTCACAACCCCGCGGAGGACAATGGTGTCAAGCTGATCGATCCCATGGTAGGCTACCAGTCCGCACGGTTTAATATGGTAAACACTGCTAATATATTATCAAAGGGTGAAATGCTGGAGGTAAAGCTAAATACAAAAAAAAAATCCCCTATCTAAACTAACCACTCATTCTTCGTGCAGGCTGAGTGGGAAGCCTATGCGACAAAACTCGCCAATGCCTCGATGGAGAACATCGCCGAGGTATACGATGAACTCATCAAGGAAATCGACGTTAGCATGGAAAATCCGGCCCGTGTCGTTTTTGCTCGCGATACTCGTGCATCTGGTTCTCGTCTTGTGGGAGTTCTGAGCGCCGCTCTTACCGCTACGCAAGTCGAGTTTATCGATTGGAAATTTATGACAACCCCCCAACTCCATTACGTTGTCCGCTGCAAGAACACTCTGGGAACACAGTACGAGTATGGCGAACCCACTGAGCAAGGGTATTACGAGAAGCTCGCGGAGGCTTTCAAGAGGGTGATGCGGGGTGTGAAGGTCCAAGGCTCTCTGACCGTGGACTGCGCGAACGGTGTTGGCGGACCTAAACTTCGAGAGCTCATCAAGTATCTACCCGCAGCCGATCAGGGTGGTGTTGATATCAAAGTCATCAATGATGATGTGATCAACCCCGACAGTCTAAACTTTGAGGTAAGGCATTCAACCACCCCCACTGCCTTTTTAACTTACTCATCCTACTCTTAGTGTGGTGCCGATTATGTCAAGACAAAGCAACGTGCTCCTCCATCATCCAAGGCAGGTGCTCTTGACCGCTGCGCGTCGCTAGATGGAGATGCGGATCGGATTATCTACTATTTCCTCGACGAGGGCAATGTCTTCCGCATGCTCGATGGTGACCGCATTGCCACCCTTGCGGCATCCTTCATTGGTGACCTTGCCCGGAGCGCAGGGATTATCAACAAACTCCGAATTGGTGTCATCCAAACTGCTTATGCCAACGGATCAAGCACGGATTACATCGAGAAGGTTTTGAAGCTGCCTTCGATCTGCACCAACACGGGTGTTAAGCACCTTCACCACGCTGCCCTACGTTACGACGTCGGTGTTTACTTCGAAGCCAACGGACACGGCACAATTACCTTTTCGGAAAACGCTCTCAAGACCATTAAGAGCACAGAGCCCCAATCTCCAGCCCAGCAGCGCTCCCTGGAATGCCTGCAAGCCCTTACGGACTTGATCAACCAGGCTGTCGGCGATGCTCTCAGCGATATGCTTCTCGTTGAAGCCATTCTCGCCCACAAGGGCTGGACTCCCAAGGAGTGGCTGGCCACTTACACCGATCTCCCTTCGCGGCTTGTCCGTGTGGAGGTTGCTGACCGTTCAATCTTCAAGGCATATGATGCTGAGCGCAAGCTTGAGTCGCCTCCCGGTCTCCAGGGTAAGATTGAATCCCTGCAGTCCCGCTATAACAAGGGAAGGAGTTTCGCCCGAGCAAGTGGTACAGAAGATGCTGTTCGTGTCTACGCTGAGGCAGCCAGCCGCTCTGAGGCAGACGATCTTGCCACCCGCGTCTCTAATGCCGTTCGCGATGCCGGTTCCAAAGAAGCCTTGCAGTAATTTCAAGCTAGCTTGACAGGATGATATGATCTACCTAGTGAGTAAAGTTTAGTGGGCAATCGCAAACGTGCATGACGGAAGACAAAAGAAAAAATATTGTGGCCTCCCCACCGCAATATTTGTTAATGGGATTTATGAAGAAGTCTAGGAAATGGCAGCTTTAGCTGTTTTGCATCGATATATCCTGTCATAGAGGTTACCTAATGGGAAATGTTACGAATTCAATGACTTTTTTTTGAGTCTGTCTGTCTGCCACTGCAGTTTCTGTCTGTTTGTTTTTTTTAAATTGTTTTTTTTTTTAAATTGTTTTCAAGTCTCTAAAAGAGGTTGTCCTTCATCTGATGGACATCACTAATGCTTATTTCCGGGGTTCTCTTCATACAGTACCTATAATACGCAGAAATTGTCAAACACGAACAATAATGCAAATCAGACTTGGGTATTGAAATTCATAGTCAAGTATTCCGTCATAGGAGACGCTTGAACTACTAACCATAAAAGATAGATATACATCATCACTTCACTGACACCATTAGCCATAAGTTCGGTTCAAGCACACCGTCACAACCGACTCTAACCCTCCTCCTGGTCCATATCATCGCGAGACCGTTTCCCTTTACCGAACTTCTTCCCCCGAGTGCCTCTCTTTTCGTCGAAGCTCTTCATCTGCATGATCGCCTGTCGCTGGGCCTCTGCAACCCTCTCCGCCAGAACCATGACTTCGTCCTTCTCGGTATCGTACTCCTTCAGCTTCTTCCCTAGTGCCCATTCAATCCGCATCCAGACTTCGAAATCATACTGAGTCACAAAACTAATTGCCACACCGCTCTTGCCCGCACGTGCCGTACGTCCTACACGGTGGATATACGTTTTGCTGTCTGTGGGCAGATCGAAGTTCAACACGACGTCGACCGAAGGAATGTCCAGACCACGGGCCGCGACGTCCGTGGCAACAAGGATATCACGACTCCGGGCGCGGAATTTCCCAAGTGCACCTAACCGGGCAGACTGCGAAAGCTGGCCGTGTAATGGGATAGCGCCGAATCCGAGCGCGCGAAGCATGAAGGCCACGCGCTGCGCCTCGTGCACGGTCGTCGTGAAAATAATCGCGGATTGGCCCGCAAACTCGTTCAGCAAGTATACGAGGTAAAGGTTTTTGTGCTTGTGCGGGATGCAGAGGTAGGACTGGAGTAGGGTGGAGACGGTTTGGTATTTGTTCGAGGAGACGGAGACGCGGAGCGGGTTGGAGAGGGAGGCGCGCTGCAGGGATTCGACCTTGGAGCTCATGGTTGCGGAGAAGAGGTAGGTACGGCGGGAGCGGGGGAGGACTTTGAGAATCTTGTCGATAGAGTCGCCAAAGTCCATGTCGAGCATGCGGTCGGCCTCGTCGATGGCGAGGAATTTGAGATTACGGAGGGAGAAACCCTTGGTGTTCTCGAGGTGGTCAAGGAGTCGACCGGGTGTGGCTACGACGATATGAGGCTTTTTGCCTAGGGCGATAGACTGCGCGACCATATCCATGCCTCCAACAATGACAGCGCATCGCACGCCAATAGTTGATCCCAGGTTTTCAAAGGACTGTGAGATCTGGTATGCCAGTTCACGGGTGGGTGCTAGGATGAGAGCGAAGAGTGATTGGGGAGCATCCATGAGAGCTGTAGCCGTTAGAATGTAGATCCTTTTGTTTCTGTTTTTTTTTTTTCTATATAGAAGATAACGGAGTTTACCTTGGAGAATGGGGAGTGCAAAAGCTGCGGTCTTTCCACTTCCAGTTTCAGCGAGTCCGATGAGGTCGCGGCCCTGGAGAGCAAGAGGGATTGACTCCGCCTGGATCGGAGTGGGAGCCTTGTATCCCATGGTCTCGCATGCTTCACATAGTTGGTCGATGATTCCTAGCTCTTTGAAGGTTTTTGGTGTCTCGCGTGGGACTTCTTCCTCTGGTACTTCATTGTCGCTGGCAGGCTTATGAGATGAGGACTCGGGTTCGCTGTGGTTCTCCGGTTCCTTGTAGGCAATCTTGCGCTTCTTGACGGTCGACATCGTGAATCTTAGAATTATTTATGAAATCAAGAGAAAGAGAGTCCTCCGTCTATGATCTTGTTGCCCGCGAGATTAAAAAAAAATTAATCGGGGACACGGAAAATTAGTTGATCCGGCTCCTCCGCGGAGTGATCTTTTTTTTTTTTTTTCCTCGCCGCCCAGAAAAAAAGAACTTGGTTCAGACAAAACATCTGGAAAGAAGAATAATACCTTCTTTTCATTTGAATTGGTTTTCTCTTCTTCTTCTGACAGAAGCTATCCAGTATGGCCAAGGCACGTACTAAGAAGCGCACCCATGTCAAGGTGCCAAATGGCCCTACCAATGGCAAAGGTAGCGCCTCGTCCATGAATAAGACTCCGAAGTCTATGGTTATCCGCGTTGGAGGTTCTCGAGTCGGTACCAGTGTCAGCCAGCTGGTAAAGGATGTCCGGTTGATGATGGAGCCAGACACAGCAGTGAGGTTAAAGGTAAATCTCTTGAGCACTTAGCGCCCCCAATTCACGTTGGTCCGTTTCTCACCTTCAACTCTCAGGAACGTAAAACAAACAGATTGAGGGATTTCACCACGATGGCTGGACCTCTCGGTGTCACCCATCTTCTTCTATTTTCGAAGTCTGCCACCGGAAACACAAACATGCGTTTAGCCCTTACACCGCGTGGGCCTACACTCAACTTCAAGGTCGAGAACTACTCCCTGTGTCGAGACGTCGAGAAGGCATTGAAGCGCCCAAGAGGTGGTGGTCAGGATCATAAAACACCGCCGCTGCTAGTAATGAATAACTTCTCGACCCCGGATTCAGACGAGAACTCGAAAGTCCCCAAACGCCTGGAGAGCCTTACAACCACCATCTTCCAATCCCTTTTCCCGCCCATTAACCCCCAAGCTACTCCTCTTTCCTCGATTCGCCGCGTAATGCTTCTCAACCGAGAACCTGCTTCTGGGTCTGATGAAGAGGGCTCCTACATCCTGAATCTAAGACATTACGCGATCTCGACAAAGAAAACAGGAATCTCGAAGCGAATCCGTCGTCTAGATCCCAAAGAAATCCGAAATCGCGAAAACAACAAGTCGGCTGTTCCTAATCTCGGAAAGTTAGAGGATGCCGCGGACTATCTGCTTGACCCTTCGGCTGCGGGTTACACCTCCGCCAGTGAGACGGAACTCGACACAGACGCTGAAGTTGAGGTCGCAGGAACCACGACACGGAAGGTTCTGACCAAGCGCGAGATGCAGCGGATGAAGTCTGGTGAAAAGGTTCAGAAGAAAATGAACGCTCCCGAAGTCGAGAAACGGGCAGTCAAACTGGTTGAATTGGGTCCACGGATGAAGCTCCGCCTTATCAAGGTCGAGGAAGGCGTCTGCGAAGGAAGAGTTATGTGGCACGATTATATTCATAAATCTGAAAAGGAGGTGAATCAGTTGGACAAGAACTGGGATAAAAAGAAGAAAGAGAAGGAGGAAAGAAAGAAGCTCCAGAAGCAGAATGTTGAGAAAAAGAAGCAGGAAAAGGCAAAAGCTCGAGCTGAGGGCAAGGAAGTCGAGGACGACGAGGATGATGAGGATGTTGATATGGATGAAGAGTGGCTCAGTGATGATTTTGATGAAGATGGCGCAGAAGAGGAGAGTGACGAATCTATGGATGAATAAGTGAATCAAGACATTTCCCAAGCGAATTTCCGACGAGGCTACGCCTATCCGTCCCAAGTTTGCGACAAGCCCGGATGCTTTGCCAATGCTGTTGGCTCATGTCCTTGTCTACCACGCAAGTCTCTTTGTGAAGCCAGCGCCACGGTCGACATGACGGATCTCTTCAAGCGACGACAGTGAACCGCATCGTCAAAACGGGACCACAAGTCTCCGGACTTACGAGAACTGCTTTAGTTGACAAGCAATTCATACGCCCGTCCGCTTGGTACCAGAATCAATCAGTTGGATCAGGTCTCGGTAATGCAATGAATAGCTTTGCATTCCTCCGTTAGAATCTCCAAATTATACCCCATTGCTTCAGTTTCAAGTACAGTAGACATCTCGTATGGTCACTCACTCATTATCATCATAAAATAAATACACTGGCATCATCAAATACTTATTGTAACCACCACATTTGCCTGCTTTCGTTTGATCACATCCACCAAATTCACCCCTTCAATTTCGCATCCACAATCCGAGAAACCATCTTCTCCAGCATACCCATATCGCCTCCCGCCGTCGTAGCAAAGTACGCCTGCACACTTTTCTCGACATACTTCGCCACAACATCAATCTCGATATTCACATAGTCCCCGGGCTGCTTGGCAGCGGTCACGATCTTCTCCTGCGTATAGGCGATAAGCATAATCTCAAACCAGCCATCCTCTCCATCCTGGACCTGCGTGACAGTCAAACTAGCCCCGTCAAGGGTAATGAACCCCTTTTCAACGATATGCTGCATCACTGCCATATCCCGTGGCTGCAAACGGAGCACCAAAGCATTGCTATCGGGCGTCACGGCGATCAGTTTCGCAATTGTATCAACGTGGCCCTGGACGATGTGTCCGCCCATGCGGGTATCGCCCTTCACGGCGCGTTCAAGATTCACTTTTGAATTTGTTCCAAGGGATCCGAGATTCGTCCGGCGCAGGGTTTCGGGAGCGACGCCGACCTTGAACCATGTTTTATCGAAGGCCGTCACGGTCAGACAGGTTCCTGATAAAAGCCGGGCGCGGGTGGGGTTAGTTGGAGGGGTGGATTGAAGAAGATAGCGCCGCGCGGGCTGCTGCAATGATCTTGGACGTACATACCATTTACGCTAATACTGTCTCCGAGATGCACATCGGTGAGGATCTCTTCACAATCAGTGATGGTCAGGGATGTTCCCCCGCCCCCGCTCACTGAGGTATCGAGGGGTTCGAGAGACGAAACCGCTATAAAAAAAAAAAAAAGAGAGAGAGAGAGGAAGAGTGTTAGCCAGTAGTTCCTGGAAAGAGCTTGTTACATGCAATGGTGCAGTAGAGTCACGCACTCCCAATCTTTTCAACCAGTCCGGTAAACATTGCGGAAGAGGAGGATGATTCGGTTAGAGGTATCCGCGTGTCACGGAAAGAAAAAAGAGTGATTTAGAGAAGGAGAAGAATGGCTTGATTTGGTTCTCGTATTCGTCAGCGCAAATCTCTTGTTGCGTAAGCATTCATGACTTTACCTTTTTAGTTCTCTTTTTTGTCCTTCTTGACTTCTCAGCGGCAATTGTCCGAGATAGATCTCGTAAATTCAAGCCGCTCTGCTCGTTCTTTTGCAGTAGTTATCAAAGCTTAGTGAAGCGGCAGGCGTGTTGCGGAAGAACTGGCGCGTTGACCTCGGCTTTGGAGCCGGGGAGATCCGCGAATCAGCGAGGGAAAGAGAATACATAGAAGCGCTTGCTGGTTCCTCATGATTATGATTATTGTTCTCTGCTATATTAAGTCAATACTCTCGCTACGGTTTGATTTGTCTCTTGGTTCAATGTACTGCATCTTAATTGTGAAATCATGAACGTCGCGTTGAAGTTACAGCGGGCTTTCATTGCTCAGCGCCCTTGGCTCCGTCAGCCAGGCAGGAACAACATCGTCAGGTACGCAACACAATGGCGGTCCTATTCGACTCCGGTTGCTCCAGCGGATGGCACACTTCCTTTGCAAGGGGTTCGGGTCCTGGATATGACCCGAGTCCTCGCCGGAGTAAGTCCTGGCCCTGCAACTACTTACCATGGAGCCTGGGCTCTGTGTGCGGGGTTTATACTGACAGATGATTTTCTTCGAATGCAGCCATACTGTACACAAATTCTGGGTGACCTGGGGTACGTATGATCGCGATATCCGGTACTCTTTCTCGGGGCCTAACTCTAGTTTCGATTCTAGAGCCGATGTCATTAAAATTGAGCATCCCGTACGGGGAGACGATACTCGAGCATGGGGTCCTCCGTACGCCAAATACAAAGACGGCTCTCAGGGTCCTGGCGAGAGCGCTTACTATCTAGGAGTCTGTTCTACCTGTGTTCTCTCGGATATTTTGCATGCCACCATTTCATTGACGCGCGCGATAGGTGAACCGCAACAAGAAGTCTCTCGGCCTCTCCTTTGCTCACAAGGCCGGCGTCGACATACTACACCGACTGGTGAAGGAGTGTGATGTTCTCGTTGAGAACTATCTTCCTGGAAGCCTTGAGAAATACAATATGGATTATGAAACATTACGAGAGATCAACCCCAAGCTAATCTACGCGAGTATCACCGGATATGGCCAAACCGGGCCATACAGCAACCGAGCCGGCTATGACGTTATGGTGGAAGCAGAGATGGGACTGATGCATATCACTGGAAGCAGAGACGGTGACCCGGTTAAAGTCGGCGTGGCCGTCACAGATCTGACAACTGGACTGTACACATCGAATGCTATTATGGCTGCGTTGCTCGCTCGAGTCCGGTCCGGCAAGGGACAGCATATCGATGCCTGTCTGAGCGACTGCCAAGTCGCCACACTTGCTAACATTGCAAGTTCTGCTTTGATCAGTGGAGAGAAGGATTCTGGGCGATGGGGAACAGAACATCGTAAGTGCTGGGAGTCTGGGCCACCATGAGAATGCGGCCCATTGTTTTTACTAATGGACTCCAAGCATCTATTGTACCATACCGAAGCTACCAAACTGTCGATGGAGATATCCTCTTTGGTGGTGGAAATGACAGGTTATTTGGCGTGTTGTGCGACCGACTCGGGCACCCCGAGTGGAAGAGCGATCCTCGGTTCCTAACCAACCGTGATCGTGTTCAACATCGTGCAGAGATTGACGGCTTAATTGAGGAGTGTGTCAAACAGAAGACTACACAGGAATGGCTGGATATTCTGGAAGGTAGCGGGATGCCCTATGCTGCCGTCAACGACATTCAAGGCACATTGAACCATGCACACGGTACGTTTCTTCAGCACAGTTACAAAATGAAGGCCACCGCCCCCCTAACAGCAGCTCTTGTAGTCCAAGCACGTGGAATGATCACAGAAATTGAACACCCAAGTTGTGGTCCCATCAAGCTCGTCAACACCCCGATCAAATATTCCCATGCAACCCCCGGTGTGCGGACGCCGCCGCCTACTCTTGGACAGCACACAGACGAAATTCTCGGACAAATCCTCGAATATGGCGCGGCAGATATTGCTCAATTGAAAAAGGATGGTGTGGTATCATAGACAGCGCAATTTTGTACATATAGAACTATTCATAAAGCAGAAGAAGACAGAGACCAAACACAAACTCCCCAGCGTTTTTATCATTATTCGAGTCGTGATTCTGCCGAGGAAATCATGCTGGCCAGTAACAAATAAATCCGCGTCTCACATTCGAAGCGCAACCACAGGCAGTTTCGCCAAAAACCACATGAAATATCTCGGCAGCCTATTTCCCCTAGGCTTATGCGGACGAGTCGCACTGAAATCCAGGAATCCCTCCCACAGCGCGGGGGATCTCGACGGCATCACGTGATGCTATATAAATCCTTGGGTCCGTTCACGATGTCTCCATCCAGCTTCTCAGCGACGACGACAAGAAAGGATTCCAACTGAATGGTTGGCAGCCACTAACCCCGGCATCTCTACTCCGTACCGGGTACCCCGAACTTTTAGCAAACCGGCTCAGGGCATGTCCCAGCAAGATGGGGTTTCTCCCTCACTGGCTTCTATAGAAGCAACGCCGCCACCAACCTACGGAACACTGATCACCACCACTACTTCGGGTGAACACCCATCAACCTCCCCCATTCCAGCCCACATTGACTCATCTTCAAGGCCAAAATCGCCGAACTCCGGTCAATCATCAAGCGCAACATCAAGTAAAGTCCTGATTCCGAAGCTTTCGGCAACCACGACGGAGCTCCTTGCCCGGGTAGCTGGTAATATCAAAGGAACACAGCAGCAGGCGCAGAGATATGATCAAAACTCCGGCAGCTGGACTTCTTTCCCGCTTAATCCAGATTTGAATGGCTCCAATACTCCAGTGGCTGACACAATGAGGGCATCGTCAACTCTTATCGAGCTACCCACGGCTCCCTTCGTGTACTCCAACAACAAGGTAGAGCCGCCCGCCGTTGCCCAGAAGGGCACTTCCGTGCCGCCTTCCTCGAATGGGAATTCAGTGAAGCCCCCTAGTCTGCTTAACATTGCTCCGAAACCAACATTGGCACCACCATCCTCAACCACGCCAGTTCCCTCTCAGCCAGCAGATACCAAGATACAGCTGCCACCGTCGCAACCCCAGCCACCAACCCCGGCTACTACCAACCCTGCCACGATAAAAACATCGTCCCCATCAGGAACTTTAACAACCAAACAATCTAAGGCTCCCTCTAATACCCGTCAACGGAGAAGCACTGGGACTCGGAAGAGACGTTCCAAGAAGCGTAGACGCGGCCATGACAGCGATGACGAAGTCATCAGGGCCCGCGACTCGAGCTCGGATGAATCGGATTTTACGCCAACTGCCACACAAACCAAGTCTGGCCGACACGTGAATAGGCCATCCCTTTATATGCCTACCCCGGCTTCCCCGGCCGCTATCAAGGAGAATGGCAACACCCTGGGCGGCTCGGATAAACTCCATGAGGCATCTCGGAAGCGCAGACGTGTCTTCCGGAAAGGGAAGGACGCGAACAATATCACCTGCGTACATTGCCAGCGAGGACACAGCCCTCCAAGTAACGCAATTGTCTTCTGCGACGAGTGTAATCGGGCATGGCACCAGCGTTGCCATGATCCTCCTATCGAGAACGATGTTATCGCTGTGAAAGAGAAGGAATGGATATGTCTCGAATGCAAACCTGTGAAGATCTCCATCACCCATCCGACAGTCGTCAGAAGCAACCCAACTCTAACTTCTGCATCCCTGCCGCCACCTGTTCATACCCCGCCAGCACTCCCAAAAATCGAAGTGGCGGGAGAGCGCTTTACCGCGGATGACCAACGGAGATTCTTGTCGGGTCTCTCGCATGCCACACTGGTCGAGCTCCTGCTCGCCATCTCAGATCGCAACCCTACAGTCCCTATTTTCCCCGAGCATCTGAAGACCCTGCCGCTGTCGAATTTCCCCTTTTCACACACCATAATGACTACTACAGCTGCTACCGTACTTACCCCCTCCCCTTCCGTCTCAACAAACACGGCCCCCGTTACCTCTACTTCGAATAACTCCGCATCTACTCCCAGCGCAGAAACCGACAAACCAAGCGTGGAGCCCGCTTCAGAACCCACAGGAAAGAAACGCCATCATTATGAGTCTTCCGATGACGAGTCCGAGTATGATTTCCAGGACCACCGTCTATACCCTCGAGCTGGGAACGGAATTCAACTTTCAACCAACCCTGAGGATCTAGATATCATGCAAGAAGACCCAGCCTGTCCTACTTTCAGCTATACATTACATAAACGTGCCCAAGCATAAGTCAAAAAACTTTAACAGGCGTGCTTGCGTCGTTCTTTTCTATATTTATATCTCCCTCGATTGTCTTTTCTATTTTCTATCGCATAGTTGCCTTACAGGGTTATAGGTGTACTGGTGCGGTTTTTTTTTTTTTCCCTCTGGGGTTCTACCATAGAGGATTGATTAGGCTTGGGGGTTACTGTGACATTACTTACATTGGGAAGCGGAGTTGCAAGGACCAAATACACGCCGGCTGGGGTTTTTGGAGTAGCGAGTTATGTTCTATATTTAATCAACGCTTCCTTGAATGAATAAGATTAAAAAATTTGACATCTACAGCGTCAAGCACATGAAGAGCTTTACCTACTCTACAAACTGAGCAGGCATCTCCAGAGGAGATGGGTGCTTGAGGTAAGTCTAGAGTGTATTCTATAGCGATGCTCCAGGGGGATATTTATATTGGAAATTAGTGTCCACGAGTTGAGTCTATGGTAACAAGATATCTACACACACACATATATATATATATATCTATGTATCTATGTATATTTCAACATGCATGACATTTGACAACTACACTTCATTTAACTCATGCCAAACACTATAGAAAATCTCAAAATACACAGACTCGGTAATCGGACCTTGGAAGCGTTGAATCTGAATGCCGGCCATATCCACGCTATGTAATCACCAGGCAATCACAAAGCAGTAAAACTCCAACCCAGCGCTTTCTCTCCCTATCCTCACAATGTGTCTGACTACCTAATTAGTTAACTAACTACAGGTATCTAGGTACATTACTAATTCACCAGATATCTAACTATCACCCACTAAAAAAAAAATGTCGTCGGAAAACAAACGCCCGCCGATTCCAACAACAACAACAACCACCACCCCCCCGCGGATCCTGACCTCCTCCTCCTCCCGACCAGCATCAATACCCCCACCGCGCGAAACGCAGTGGTACGAGCACCTCACCCTTGATCTCTTCGTGACTGCCCTCAACCATACCATCCTCCACCCTTTCGTCGCCTGGGTGATCGTCCTCTGTCTCCGCGCCCAAGCATACCGGTATACCCATCCGGCGTTCATTACCGCTGCCGCGTATGCTGCGTTCCTGAGTCTGCTGCACGCGGCTTCGGGAGTCAGTGATCGCATAGGGTTTGGCTTGCCGAGGGATGTGGATCGGAGCGAGGAAGTCGTGGTGATCACCGGCGGAGCGAGCGGGCTGGGACTGCTGGTTGCCCGGATATATGGCCTACGCGGAGTGAGTGTCGCGGTGTTGGATGTCAAAGCCGAGGCCGAGATTGAAGGGTGGGAGGAGGTCTGTGGGGTGGATTATTATCAATGTGATGTTGGGGACCGTGTGCAGGTAGAGGAAACAGCAAAGAAGATTGAGAAGGATGTACGTGCTTCCCCTTTTTTATTTCATCATCATCATCATTATCATCATGTATTATACATTACGATCTGGACTTGGGTGTTTATCCTACAAGGGGGAGGAGGGGGGGGGGTTATAGCTTTGTTATTTCGTTGCTTCATTGCTTCATTGCTTGGGGGGTGTTCTTGATAACTGATTCTTTCTTAGTTGGGTACCCCGACAGTGCTGATGAACTGTGCCGCCGGCCGGATCAATGCGCAGCCGCTGCTCTCCCTTCCTAGCGAAGCGTTTCAGAAGACCATCCAGACGAACTTAATGGCGGTCGCCCACACATGTCAGGTGTTTGTGCCGCGCATGTTAACAGCCAAGAATGGTGGTACGATTGTGAATATAAGCTCGGTTGTTGGACAACTGTGCCCCGTTGGTCTAAGCGACTACTCTGCAAGCAAGGCGGGCCTGAGTGCTCTCCATCGCACGCTGGAAACGGAGCTCCGGATGTCAGAACACGGAAATAAAGTCAAAATGGTGCTGGTCGAGTGCGGCCAGATCTCAACGCCTCTTTTCAATTTCGTCAAAACGCCAAACTCCTTTTTTGCGCCCGTGCTCGAACCCATTCACGTTGCTCAGGAAGTCGTATCTGTGGTAGACCAGGGAAGAGGCGGTGTTATTAGGATGCCCACATTCGCCATGCTTGTCAACTGGTATGCGGTGCTACCCGTAGGTCTTCAACGAATTGCCCGATACATAAGCGGGATCGACCTTGCCATAGCAAAGTCGACACCGTCCAGTCAGCCGTCGCAAAGCGAATCGAAGCATGCAGAGGCGGATTGAGGCATGGTCTGGAAATGCTGCAATCCAAGAGGTATAATTATGTTATGAACGTGAAATGAACCCACGTATATGTACTGTATAGTAATGTGAGATGAAAACTTTCTACTCCTGGAACCCGTGTCTGGGAGCAAATTCGACTTCGCCCGCCGGTGGCCGAAGACAATAATATGCCTGACTATTTTTCGTTTGTCAAGATCATCTTCGCGCGCTCGCTCTGTCGTGGCGCCAGAGTACTCTTCTTGCTATGCTTCCGAACATTCTCCTCACGCCTCTTAATAGCCGAGAGCTCCTCTCTCTTAATTTCACGAGCCTTCTTAATAGTTCGTGGCACATGACGCTGGCGTTTGATCCGTTTGATATCAGGCATGTGCGAGTATCTCTTTATCAGGGCCTGGTCATATTCAAGTTTTGTCCTCTGGCGAGCACTCTTGATTCCACTCCGCTCCGATGCATTGGCACGCCACAGGCGAATGTTTCCGTCATCCGAACCAGAGAGGATATACTTGTTATCGGGTGTGAATTTAGCAGAGAAGACACTGTGTTCTCAAGTTAGATCCATGGTTCCCATAAATAAAATTCAAGAAAATTTTTTTTTTACATACCGTTGCATCCGCTGTGTGTGATAAATGTCACGAGAATGACCAGTTGCCCGGTTCCACAGACGTACCGTCTTATCGTACGACGCAGTGACGAGCTCTTCACCAGTAGGGCTAAAGTCCACATCCATAACGGCGGCAACGTGATCTTTCAGCACGTTCAAAGCGCGATCCATCTTCCTCATGTCGAACATGTAGACGTTGTGGTCCTCGTTGGCAACGGCAAAGTTGAATGCTTCCATGGGATTCCATGAAATAGCGTTGGATGCTAATTTTAGGACGAGTTTGGAGAGGGGCGATGAGGTACGTAGGTCGTATAGGATGATCGAGCGGTCAATTGCAGTCGACGCAAGAATAGATGTCTCGGTTTGGTTGAAGGCGACAGCCGTGATCGTATCAACGCTGGTGGGCCAGTGAAGAGTCTGGGACGGAGTGGAAGAAGGCCGGGAAAGATCATAGATTGAGATTTGAGAGGAAGACGCAGCGAAATAAGGAAGATTTCGATGATGTGTGAGGCTGGTAAAGGCGCCCTGGCCTAGATATGTTGCAAGAGGTGGAGAGTCCGATGAAGAGTTATAAGGATCAAACAGCTTAATGGTTTTATCGGCGGCGCACGAGAGTAGTTTCCGCTCTGGGGTCCAACACACGCCCTTGACGATATTTTCATGTGCCTGGGTGTTCCAGACCTCCCCACGGGTTGTCAAATCCCACACCTTGACCACACCATCACCACTGCCGCTGGCAAACCGTTGTAGAGAACCAGGGTCTTTAGCCATGGTGTATACCCCGTCAACGTGTCCCTCACCCATTTGGCCTAAGAAGGGAGCAGCAAAAAGACGCTCCATCTTGACGGCATTGAGTGCTCTTGTGTATTCACGAGCACGTTCGAAAGGGTGTTGTGAGGGGTCAAGGTTTCGCGGCTGTCGAACGACACCAGACCCCGGAGCCTGCTGCGAGGCAGCGGATCGCGAGAGAGCTTTGATTTTCTGAGATTATGAGCGATATATTCAATTAAATAGAATTACCAATAAAAAAAAAATAAAACTCACCATGATTCTCTGGTCAGAAAAACCTAGGGAAAATAAGAAAGAGAAGGGAATGAAAATCAAGAATTCTACGCCGTGAAGCTCAAGAACCAAATATTTTTTCTTTTCTGTATCTTTTTTTTTTCTGACGGAAGAATTTGGGACCGCCGAGCCGTGGGCGGTGAAGAGCAACAGCCTCAGGCAGTCAGGCAGCAATAGAACTTAGTAAGGAAAGGTACCTTCCAGCAAGCGATGGATGAAGCTCCAACAACCAAAGTGACCATATCCTCCCATCCAGAACCTCCTCTTTCATCCCATCCTTGCCCTCTGCTACAGGGGCTTATTTCTCTATATTCTACCCTGTGATACTTCCCCAGATATTAAACCTCTTCCTTTGCCTTCTCTCCATATCAGCCTAGTCATGGCGCCCTCCTCCCAGGCCGCTGAGCGGATACAGGAAGCTCGAGCTCTCGCGAAGAAGGATGCTTCAAAAGCTGAGACCATCTATAAGGACATCCTTTCCAAGGGCCCAGGCTCATCTGAAAGTTCGTCGCGTGATTACGAAAATGCGTTGGTGGGATTGGGAGAGCTCTACCGAGATGAGAAGAAGCCACAGGAGATCGCAGAACTGATCAAAACAAGCCGGGACTCATTCTCGTCCTTTGCCAAAGCAAAGACAGCCAAGCTAGGTAAGTCGCTACAGTGATTGGCTTGTATTGAGGTCATGTAAAGCTGATTGAATGCCCCCGCCCTATAGTCCGCCAGTTGCTGGACCTGTTCAGTGAGATCCCGAACACCCTCGATATCCAGATCGCCGTCATCAAATCTTGCATCGACTGGGCCGTTACAGAACGACGGTCTTTCCTTCGCCAGAACCTCGAGACTCGCCTTGTGGCAATATACATGCAGAAACAAAGTTACTATGATGCCCTTAACTTAATCAACTCACTTCTTCGGGAGCTAAAGCGACTGGACGACAAACTGATGCTCGTGGAGGTACAGTTAATGGAGTCGCGGGTGTACCATGCGCTGGGCAACCAGGCCAAGGCCCGTGCGGCCTTGACTGCTGCTCGCACTTCCGCTGCTTCTGTCTACACGCCCCCAAATCTCCAAGCTGGGTTGGATATGCAGAGTGGTATGCTACACGCCGAAGACAAGGATTTTAACACCTCATATTCCTACTTTATCGAAGCCCTAGAGGGCTACAGCTCCTTGGATGAAGGCGACAAGGCAACAGCAGCTCTTCAGTATATGCTGCTGTGTAAGATTATGCTGAACCTGGGGGATGATGTGACGAGCTTGTTGGGCTCCAAGCAGGCCCAGAAATATGCTAGCCCGCGACTCGAAGCCATGAAAGCGGTAGCCCGCGCCCATGCCGACCGATCGCTTGAAGAGTACGAGAAAGCACTCTCGGATTACCGGTTTGAACTAGGCAGCGACGCCTTCATCCGCAACCATCTTCGCAGACTTTATGATGCCATGTTGGAACAGAACCTCATCAAGGTTATTGAACCGTTCAGCCGAGTTGAATTGGATCACATCGCCAAGATGGTGGGGCTGGACACGCAGCAGGTGGAAAGAAAGCTTTCGCAGATGATTCTGGACAAGGTAATCATCGGTGTGCTAGATCAAGGCGCCGGATGTTTGATTGTTTTTGATGAGACGGAGCGCGACCAGGCTTACGATGCCGCTCTGGAGACTATCGCAAGGTTGAGCAATGTGGTGGAGGAGTTGTACACTAATCAGGCCTCGCAACTGGAGTGAGGGAACTCTCTAGGTGCTTTGCAGTCTCTTTTATTTTTCATCTTTGAGGAATGATATAACATTAGAGACAGACGATAACCCCGGAAAATCGGACAATGCACTCACTCCTTTTGCGAAGCCGAGTTCTTATAGTTTGTTAGTTACATCTTTACATGTGCTGGCTAGAGGATATTTCTCGAATCTCAACGCGCACAAAGAGGGCTCAAGAAGAATGAATATGTAGATCACATATAGACAGCATAATTCCTGAGCTCCTGGATTCATACCTGGGACTCTATTTTGGAAGGTTGATATTTGAATGAAGGAAGCGCCATGAGGGTACGTAGTTCCAAGGTTATCGGATGGATGTCCAAATCCGGTATAGTACGATCGCGCTGGGAACTGAAGTTTGGAGTCCGCGATTATTCCAAGACTCTCTCTCTCTCTCTCCCCTTCAGAACCATCCCTCCCAGATTCCAGATCATCTCTCACGACTTCCCTCCCAATCCCCTCATTTGAATCCCTCCATCCCTTGCCACCTTGGTTTTCCCTACTGGCCCAATGGCCATGAACGCTCCAATGCCGCCCAACTACGGCCGTGGCTTCCCCCAGGCCGCTCAACGTTCTCCTGCCACTCCTCGTCGCGGTCCTCCAGCTCCAGGTTCGCATACTCCCTTTCCCCACAACTCCTGGACCTTCTCGAACCAATGTACTAATCAATCTGTATTTGTCTCATGTCTAGGTCCAATGCCCGTCCCAATCCCCCAACATGCTGTGGCTCCTCAGTATGTAGCGCCCCAGCGCAACATGCCGCACCCTAATGATGCCGCCCTCCGTCGCAGCCGTAAGCCTACAGATAAGAGTATCCCCGACGGTGTCGAAGATGTGATTATTGGCGAAGGTGCCCAGCAGTACAAGAGCCTGCGCGACCTGGAGAAACGGTTGGATGCCGCCATCGTGAGGAAAAGACTGGACATTCAAGACTCGATCAGCAAAACAGTGAAAAAGTACCGGACTATGCGAATCTGGGTTTCCAACGAGGTGGAAAACCAACCCTGGCAGAACCCTGGTGCACAGAATGGCTTGATTCCCGGAAGCAACCCTGGCTCTGGCCGCTACAAGGTGCGAATAGAAGGTCGCCTGCTAGATGATGATAGCGACCCTACAACGGACCCGGCTAGCGATGAGGAAGCTGATGCCCAAGACACTACGGATGCGATGGACCATGATGGCCCTGATGCTAAGCAATCGGCTTCTAAGCGGTCGAGACAGCGCTTTTCGCAGTTCTTCAAGTCCATCACGATTGATTTTGATAAGGCGTCTACCGTTAACCCGGATGATGTGCAGACCATCAACTGGACAAAGCCACAACTACCCCCCAATACTGCCACATTGCCTCCTACTGCGGACTTCGATTCTCTGCAGTTTTCACGTCCTTCGCAGGAGAACTTGAATGTCACCATCAGCCTTATTCGCGACGAGACCCCTGAACGCTATAAGTTGAGTAAGGAACTGGCCGAAGTTCTTGATGTTGAGGAAGAAACCCGGAGTGGGATTGTTCTTGGTATTTGGGACTATATTCGCGCAATGGGCCTACAAGAGGATGAGGAGAAGCGGCTAGTACGCTGTGATGATCGTCTGCGATCGGTACGTCCTTGTGCATACCTTCTTTATGCTATGATGATGACTTTATCTCAAAAAAAAAAAAATACTGACAATTACGCAGATTTTTGGCCGAGATCAGATGTTCTTCCCGCAGATTCCAGAGAGCATTGGCCCTCACACTAGCCCCATTGATCCTATCAAGCTCCCATACACGATTCGCGTTGATGAAGATTTTCACAAAGACCCCACCCCCACCATTTACGACATCCAAGTCGCCGTGGAAGACCCCCTTCGCTCAAGGATGATGGCTTTGACTCAGAACCCACAATACACCGCTGGAATGCGCCAGATCGCTCTTCTGGACGATCAAGTCGCGCTCATCATCCAAGCCCTGACGCATTCCCGCGCAAAACATTCTTTCTTTACCGCACTCAGCAAAGACCCTGCTACATTTGTCCGCCGCTGGATCAACTCTCAACGCAGAGACCTTGAGACTATCCTGGGCGAAGCAGGTCGCGGAGGTGGCGAAGACGGTAGTGGTCCCGAGTTCCGACGCGGTGGTGCAGATGGTGTTTGGGATACAGTGGTTGCACGGGAGGCTGTGCGATACATGCTTGCCAAACCAGAAGCCGCTCTGGGTCGATAATTTTTTTTATTTACCTATTTTATTTTATTTCCCCCCCCCCCCCCCCCTTTTTTTTTTTTTTCTTTTTTGCCGGAAACTTTTATCTCATGCCCTACCACTTCTACCATTGTGTGCTGTGTTTTCTTATAGTTGGTAAGGTAGGCAAGATGGGTTGGAGACTTTGGAGGCGCTCATGTGGTGTTTATGTATTCGGATGCCTTCTATATCTACAGTTGAGTTTTCCTAGCTCTTTCTTTTTCCAGGTTTTCCCCCTCCGTGTTCTCTCCAGGACTACTTGCATACGATAATTAGCATCATAGTGAATGAAGCAAGGTGCTGTAAAATATCATGGAGTTAAAATTATGCTTCCTGGATCTGCTTTCCTCACTTGAAGACGTAAAGCTTGTATTCATAAGGTTGTCATGTAAAAGCAGCCTGTGTAGCCGAATTCATGAGATGAAATAGAAGAAGAGTTGAGAGTATTGACAGGAAAAATCGTACAAAATATGATATGATATGATTTCCCTGACTTGCTTACTGACTTACTTGCTTGCAGCTGTATTTCTTTCATAACGCTAATTAACAGGTTCCAGAGATGCTCAACACAAAGAGATAGTAGCTAAAAGAAGAAGAAGAAGAAGAAGAAGAAGGAAAAAAAAAAAAAACATTTGAGACATGTCATAAATGCGTGCACATAGAGTGGAATCTGGGCATTCTTATAGAGCAAAATGCAAAATGGATCACATTGTGCGGATCCTCTGAGATAGATAGATGGAGTGAGGTAGGGTTTACCATTTTCTACTTACTTTAGAAGAGGCAAAAAGTGAAGCAAAAAAAAAAAAAAAAAAAAAAAAAAGAGGGAAAAAAAATTGACTGACTACATTCTAAGCAGAATATTCTTCGTAACTCAAGTATTTCTACTCAAGCCTTTCTCTTTCTCAATTCCTCGGAGAGAAGCGAAACACCTGAAGCGTTAGATGGTTCGCTCGAAGCAGGGTCACCGAGGAATAGGCTTCCTTCTTCTTCTCCTAGCTTCGCAGCAGCATCAAGGACGGCCTTTTGTGTGAGATTCTCGATGGTTGGCTCTCCAATGGGAGCGGCTTTCTCATTCTCCTTCAAGACAACCTCCTTAGCCTTAGCAGCAGCAGGAGGGCGGCGGAAGCGTTTCATAACTGCTTCGATCATTTGAGAAAACCAGTAGTAGTTAAGGCCATTGAGGACGATATTGGAGAGGACGTATGTGAAAACCAGCCAGGTAGGGATGCCACCGGCAGAGTGTTTGGAGTACTTGGAGATCTCCGCGTTGGCCAAGACACAGGCCTCGTTAAGGCAGAGGGAGCCGTCACCACGGGCTTTGAAGATTTGGGCAGTGATGTCGACAGGCTCGAAGGAGGAAGAAGAAGAAGAAGAAGAAGAAGAAGAAGTCGCAGACCAGGTGTGTTTGAGAGCAGCGAACATGTCAATGTAGACGATGATAGACTGCCAGGTTCCCCAGATAAGACGGCAGCAGAAGAAAACGAATAGAAGCAGTATGCCGTTGTACCACTGTAGGGAGCTTCCAGTCATGTTGACCTTGTCAAGGAACCAGTGAATATTGAGGAAGGGGCTGGAGAGCTCATAGAGAATGAAGACGGGGGAGTAGAAGTTAACGAAGGGCCGCTGATGAGCGTAAGAGAATAGTGGTTAGTAACTTGATGCTCGAGATTTTGATTCGTAGGGGAGTAACTTACGAATCCCATGCTAAACACCCAGAGAGCACAGACAGCATGGAACAACATGCCAATACCAAAGAGCTTGATATAGATCGTGCTGACGATCAGGTCATAGATAAAGTATCCCACCGCCAGGGCTTCGATGAGAGCACATGACCCGACGTAGCCAAAGACCCGCTCCTCAGTCGACATGGACTTTCTTTCCTCATCCACAAAGATCACCCACAATGCGACGGCATTGATAACGGTGCTCTGGATGAGCGACACGACGTGGACATCCCAGTTGAGCTTGGTACGCTTGTTAAGGTTGGGATAGTAACGCGGGAACAGGAGCGGAGACAAGCATGGAGATAAGATGTAGTGGATGAACAGGTAGGCAAAGAAGGTGACGACAATTTCGTGAGAATGGTCTGGGAGGGCAGGAAGGTTGAAGTATAGGGCCCAGGGCTCGACAAGATCTCGTAACCACCCGGGAGGAGGCGGAAAGGGGTCTAACATGTCGATTTGACCGCTCCTCCGATGGGGAGGAGAGGCAGTATGAAGGAGAGGTAAAAGCGGGCGGAACGTCGACAGGGAGGAAGCACTCGCTCAGAATGAGATGTCGAAAGAAGCAGGACTCCCCAAAGCCGGAAAATCGGTCGTAGAAGGAAAGCGAGCGGAGTTTGCGGTGCCTAGAGACCGGCCATACTGGTGGGAAACCGTGGTGTTTAGGAGTAGAAAGGACAACTCTGAAGGAAGGAGGATCTAGTTAAGTATTAGATATGACGGAAGAAGGTGGTCTGTCTCCTCCAAGGCTCAGGCTACTACCTATGCACCCACGTTAACCGTGAACCTTGGATGCCACGTTGGTTGGTTTCTGGCGATTCGTGACTCCTAAATGGATCGAGCATTCAACAATCCCAAAGAGGCCTCAGGCTGCTCGCGTGCCAGCTGATGCCTGATTCGTCGGCTGAGATACTTGTTGGGGAAGGCACATGACTCAGCAGCGGATGTCCCGTTTGGGAAAGATCGTGGTCTCGTGATCCCCTTTTTGGATCTTGACCCTTTTTTTTCTAGAACTACACACAAGAACTACACTGATAATAAATAACTAGTCTACTAATTAACAGGTGGGAGTGGGTTGGAAAGACGAAAAGACATGTCTGTATGCTTTATTCGGGACCATACAGCTCACAATGAAGACATCAACTAATCATAAGTATGTAACAAAGGAAAGTACAAAGGAAACTATTTCCATCATAAACCCCCGGACGAGTCCTGACCAAAAGTAACAATATGAACATGGTGGTGGTCATTGGGTCAGACTGAACGTTGGTGGTATATCGTAAAAAAAAGCCATTAACAGAGCCGAGTAGTTTAATCTCCTTTGCTCGTGATCTCTGTGCCTAGTCCGCTGTCGTGTGGTCTGTAGAGCACCATCTTCGCTGATTCTTCCCCTAACATACTGTCGTCGAAGTCATTCTCGTTCGTCGCTTGGGTCGCGTCCTCGACATCTGATTCGCCATCCCCACCATTTCCCCCCTCCTTCAATTCCTCCTTATCTGCTCCACCATCATCAACAACGGACTGCGGGTTGGTAACGACACGTCCAGTGGTAGTACTGGCGGTACTCACTTGCCGGTCCACAGATACGACGCTTCCTGGGCCGTACGTCATGCTATCCGCATAGGTCCCAGCATAGCTTGTTCGCCGCTCCGTACCAGTCTCACTCTCATCTCCACTCGGGTTCCCGTCCTCCTCCGGGAACGCCTCGTTCTCTTTGTTGGCAACCGAGCTTCTACCACCCCAGGAAGCTTTGCGGTACGAGAAATTAGATTTGACTGATTGGCTTCGCTTGAGATTGGTAAAGCCACCTGTTGCTCCAGGCTGTCGGTCGGAGACACCCCTGTTACCCGTGACATGACTGAGACTGAGTATTCTCCGTTCCTTCGTGTTGGCTGTTACCGTGGAGTTTGTCTGTGATGTAGGTGGAGCGCGCTTCTTCAAAGCCAAGCCTACACTGCTGCCGAGGATACTGCGAGTGTCTTTGGCGGTGCTGGCCGTGCTGGAAGCACTTGTACCACGACCCCTTGCATGTCGCACCTTTTTCATGTTCAGACCTTGCATACTGTTGGGACGACTAAGTAATACGGTTCGAGCATGGTCGAGAACGCCCTCTAAGATTCGTTTCTCCAAACTGTCCGCACGCTCTTCCATAAGTTGCATCTCCTCATGACGCAGCTCGAGCGCCATCTCGAGACCGGAGACTTCTTTGTTCAGCTTCGCGTTCTGCGCGGCAAGGTCGTCCTTCTCCGTTTTCAATTTCTGAATCATGGCCAGCAGTGAATCCTTTTCTTCCCCGAGAGTCAGGATCTCAGCTTCCACCTGCTCCCTTTGTGCAGTACGTCTCTCGAGAGCAATAGCAGCCTCTTCGGCCTCTCGTTGTCGTCGGGCGGTGTCCTCAGCCACGATGGCGGACTGAGCCGCAAGCATCTCATTCATTTTGCGAGACGTTTCCATAATGTCCTTATGCATCTCATCCAACTTCATCATCTGGGTGACTGATTGGTCGGTGTTCGTGGCATGGTCAATGAGAGTGTCCAGCTTATCGTGAATAGGCCCCTTGGTGTCCGCGGTATGGCCAAGCAGTTCGTTTAGCTTCTCATAGACCTCGGCATTTGTGCTCGTAGTCTGGCTGAGGAGTTGGTCGAGCTTTTCATGCACTTGGTTGTTTGTGACCCGTTCAGTCAGCACATTCAGAGCATCTTGGACTTGGGTACTCTTCGTATGATCCAGAAGATTGTTGAGTTTCTCGTGCAATTGGCTGTCATCATACTTCTCGGGCTCTGGAGCGGGCAGCGCAGGTAGCATTTGTGGGATAGTTGTAGGGAGTATAGATAGATCCATCTTCAGATCCTCCGTAGCTTTCTGAGAGTGATTGTAATGCTGGCCCACAATGGAAAGAATCTCTTGAATAGACTCCAAAACCTGAGGATGGAATTCATGCAGCTTGGTTTCTACACGCTCCGTAGCAGCCGCGGCACGTTCGGCGTCAGAGCGGGCCTGCTCTTGCTGGATCTTGACTTCGCTATGCATCTCCTCCATCTTGGTATATGACACGTCGACTTTCTCGAAGAATGTTTTCGCATCGTCGCTCATCCGTTCGCAGGCTTCATTAACACTGTTGCCCATGGAGCCAATGACGAGCTTGATGTCTTCCGCAAGGGCTTTCGTAGTCGTGACTACTTCCAGGTTTTCGTTATGCCGTTCTTCGGCTTTAGAAAAATTGACGTCAAGGAGGGACTGAGCCGCATCATATTTGGCCATGACTTCACCCAGCTTTTCATCAATCTTCTCTCCGAGCTCAACGGTGATTGCTGCTCTGGTCTCATCATGTTTGACAATGATCGCAGCGTCACGTTCCTCCTTCTCGAGCTTCGTTTCATCCTGCTCGCCACGTGCACGCTCGAACTCGCGGTTGATGAGTTCAGTAAGCTCGTTCACGTTTTCCGCAGTGGTAAAGCTTTCTGCGGATGTCGCTAGACCTTCTAGAAGCTGTCTCAGCTCGGTGAGTCCCTCGTGACTGCCATCAAGTTTGCTCTTGAGCTCCTCGCCAAGGCCTTCGACAACCGACCTGACTTCATCGACCTTCTCTGCAATGCCAGCGTGCTCGATTTTTCGTGCCTCAAAGCCTTGGCCGGTCAGCTCATTTTCTGCTTCCACCTTCTCTCTAAACTCAGTCACAAGAGCAGCTAGGTCTGCAATCTCAGACTTGGTTGGCAGTGCGTCCGCGTCGGGAAGTTTGAGCTCTTCGACTTGCGTTTTGACTTCGAAAATCATGGCTTCGACGGTTTGCAGGTCCGACTTGAGCAATTTTTCGGTATCGCTCTCGGTCTCCTCACCAGCCTCCTCTTCTCCTTCCTTGTCTTTGCCTTTAGATTCATCAAGTGCGAACCACATATCCTTCATGAGCGTCTCAAGAGTGCCAATCTCAGCCTTTGTCGGACATTCAGCCTCCAGACGACCATACAGCTCAGTGACAACGTCCTTGGTTTCTTTGACAAGCTCCTCTAAGCTGCTCAGATGCTCGGCTCTGGCTATTTCATGGGCTGCGGGGAAGGCCATCTCATCAAGTTGAGACTTTGTGTTCCGAAGAAGGGTCTCAATGGCATCCGTATCCTCCTTCTTGGCAGTCGTCTCATCGGCAGGATTCTCACGAGCTACGATTGCGGAAACAGAACTTTGGAGTTCGTGCAGACCCAGGAGGACTTCGTCTAGATGCTCTTTCTTCACAATATCTTCCGGAAGATCAGCTGCCCGGGGAGCAGCCTCAATTGCCTCAACCTTGACTTGGAGTTGGGAAATGAGAGATTTGAGAACCTCGATATCACCACTGGTGGTGGTGTTTGCCTCGCTCGCAAGCATGAGCTCTCCTCCTGTGGGTATGCTACTTTCCTCCACCTCTGCCTGAGATTGGCGTAGCATTTCCACCTCAGCCTTCAGACTGCCTAAGCCTTCTTTAAGTGTCTCAAGAAGCTCGGAGGTGTCCAATTCGACAGGTCGCTCCAGGATCTTCGCAAGATCTTCTCTAATTATACCGACACCATCTTGGAAAGCCCCAGTTAATTCTCCCGTAACAGATAGTAAGCTTTCACTGCCATCCTTTGGCTGGTTATGCTCAGCATGGAACGCCTCTAGACTCTCGCGGAGGGCAGCAATGATGTCGCTTTTGTCGCTCTGATCACTTCCTTCGCTTTGAGGCACCACCGGGACAAGACTCATACTGAGAGAATCTCGAATACTTTCGAATTCCTGTTGAATAACCTTCGAAATGCTGTCCTCACTTGTCGATTTTTGACTCTCGGAGATGTCGCGAATGGCGTCAAGGATCTCGTCTTTTTCGTCGGAAACATTGTTGCGAATGAGAAGGGAGCTCAAGGTCTGCCGCAGGTGTTCGAATTCCTTTTCCATAGCATCTAGGAGCTCTGGGGTGTCCGGATTACCTTGTGATCGATTGGTGAGAGCGACGTCCGTGATGGTTTTTTCCAGATCTGCCTGAAGCAGCCGGAAGCCTTCCTTCACTGTATCCATGATTTCGTGCTTACCCGATGCCTCAGTGGCATTAACCGCGTAGCCTTCAACCTCTGAGCGTACAAGAGCAATATTATCCTTAATTGTATTCAGGACCTGTTCAGTGTCTTTCTCGCTCAGTGATGCATTTTGTCTCAGTTCCTCTTTCACGCCCTCAAGCTCTTCATGTAAACGCTCCAAAATCTGCTCACCCACGTTTTGGTTCGTGCCAGTAGTTGCTTCATTGAGTCCGGCTGTGATGGCTTCCATGAGATCTTCTCTATTCAACTCGATTTCGCGGGGGATGGAATTCTGGCCCTCGAGGCCTTCGGTAATAGCGGCGAGAATTTCTTCACGGGAAATTGGTGGTTGGACATGAGGCGTAAGAGCTGACTGCTGGGCAACAAATGCATCATTGACCACATTGGCGACATCCTCCTTGGTGATTTGTTGATGCTCCATCTCCTTGGCTGCGAGGAAGTGTGCCTCGATCCCGTCCGATACCGCGCTCAAAATTTCGTCACGCCCAAGACCCGAGTCAAAGGTGTCCCGAGTAAGGGCACTTTGAGATGTGACCGATTCAGTAACTGCCTGCAGTATTTCTTCCCGAATTGCAGCCAGCTGCTCCAGGTCCGAGGACCGGGGTTGTGAGCTTTCGAGACACTCCTGAATGGTTTGAATGATCTCGGTCTTCGAGATGGTAGGTGGTTGCTCAAACTGCTGCAGGCCGGCCTGAACAGCTGCCAGAACCTGGTCATATGTGACAGCCTGGTCGTGCTGTGGTTGATACGCTTGCAGCCCTTCACTGAGACACTCAAGAATCTCCTCTCGCTCGAGCCCGAAGTTTTGCAGTTCTATCTCTGGCTTATATGTTTCCCAGGCTTCTCTGACTGCCTCAAGAATGTCTTCCTTTTGCATCCGAGCTCCATCTGGCTCATCATCACGCACTTGAGACATATTGAAGTTGTCCAAAGCCTTTTTAACAATGGAATAGATCTCAGCCCCATCCACTGCAGCACGGAATTCAGAGAGAGCAGTAGAATGCCGCTTGTTATCGTTCATTATGGACGCCAGTTGACCGCGTAGTTCCTCCAAACTGTCGTCGACAATACGAGCAATTTCTTCTTCTCCAGGGGGCGGTGTTGGTTTGTCCTCTATGGCTCGCGAACTTTCAGCCTCCTCGAATTGTCGAGCTAGGTTCCTTCCCATGCCGAGGACTTCACCACGAAGCTCGCGCACTAGAGCTTTGACTTCATTCGTCATACCACCCCCCTCGATAACGCTATTCCTGACTCTTTTCATGATGTCCAGCATCTCCTCGGTGACTGACTGCACTGCAGCATGCTCAACGGCCCGCGCCTGGTTTCCTTGGATAATATCCATGTCAGGTGCATATGCCTGGTCTGAACCGTTGAGCTCTGCATTGACACCACCAGCCCGTGATCGTACTAGGGCCTTGTTGCCCCAGTCCTGTTTGACGATATTGAGGATTTCTTCCAGCATTTTTGTAGTGGTGGCGTCGACATTGTTGATAGAATTATCCGGGGCTGGTCGGGCTTTTAGTTCGTTCATGAGCTCTAGTAGCTTTTCCTGTCCCTCCTTCGTCGCCATCTCTCGCAACACCTTCTCTAGCAATGCGATACTGGCGGAGCCGTCCGTGATAGGACCTGGTGAGCCGCAGAATTCGCGTTCCATTGCAGCAAGGAAAGGGCTGGGGCTTTGCATCCTTGGTGCTGAATAGCTTTTCTTTGAACTCGGAGAACTATCCGATTCCTTGTTGTTAATACCAGTTTCAGACCCCAGGAGAGCACTGAAATCAAACCTTGTGGCAGCATCACCGTCCAGGAACTTGGAGGCCAAGTTGGAGGACAAATCACGAAGACTTTTGCGAATATCCTCGTCTCGCGCATTAGTTGCAGCTTTGAGGCTAACCAGATCTGTGGCATTGTCCTTGCTTCGCCGACTTAACTGCGCCATCTCGCGCTGGAGACTGCTAGCAATGTCGGTGAGACTGAGGATCTGGCTTGATAAGGATTCAAAACTATGCGGCTGGACGTGTTTCAATTCGGAGAAGGGCTCGGGCTCAGACTCTCTTGCTCTCGACTGTGGCTCGCTTTCAGGTGGTAGTTGCATGGTTTGCAGAGCTAGCATGGTAGCAGAGGTAGGAGTGCTTTCACCGAGAATCGGCCTGGAAAGATAACGATTAGAGATGAGCAAATTCGGAAGATCCTGGTCGGAGTCCTGCGGCTCGGGTGAGCCCCCAGACTTTGTCAGAGCCTTCTCCTGCAACTTTGGACTCTGATCCAAAGTCGCTGCGCGCAAGGGCCGCTCCGGCGACCTGCTTTCCAGGTAGTTTAGGAACTCAGAGCGGGTGTCTGTGTTCTGTAGTGACTGCATGCGCTTGTGGAATTGGCCCTTTATTAGTGACTTTTCGGGCGACTTGGGCGGCATTGGATTTGTGGTGTATGGGCTCGGCGCATTTTCGCGAGCTTTCTCAGTGAAGTTTGCTGCCACTGCTTGAATACCGGGAGACACATTTCCCTTTGTTATGGGACTCGATGATCCCGGATTCATTGGTAGCGGGGGTGGTGCTCGTTCTGGGTCTGAACTGTCCCACCTGCGTTTCCAAGATTTGACTGTCAGCTTGAGAGGCTCCATGATTATACAAGAAGGAATGATTGCAAATCGACTCCTCTAAGGGCTTTCTAATAACACGTACATGGGCACTGTTTGGTGTCTGCTCAGGACCAGCTCCCGATCGCGGGAGCCTTCACGGGTATGCGAAGACATAGTGAAACCTGAATGTTGCTTGGCTAGTTTCCAGATACCTTCGTCGATGGAAACTTTCATACAATGAGAATTGGGGAGGAGGGGGGGATTGGAATGTAGCGAGGAATGATCTTCAAGCGTAGGGTCGTAAAGGCATATCAAGTCGTCAAAACAAAGAGCAAACAAAAACAACGAACCCCAGACGATTATCACAGGGTATATAAAATGAAATAACAACAAACTAGACAACAACATAAAACAAAAAGAACAAGGGAGAGAACAAATGCGCTTGCTATGAGAAACAAGGACGACGATGTAGGAGGACAAAGTCCAATGCGATGAAATGATGAAGGGCTAACAGGAAAGAACAGGTTCTGGGGTAGAAGTTGAGTTCTCATTTAATTAAGTAGAGATAAGAGTGCCTCTGGTCGATCAGGACAACAGAGAAGTGGGGTTTAGAAGGCAGGAGAGGATTGGTAGCTCATGGGGCATCAATTTAGCCCTCATGCTTGGTCCAATCTGCAGCGTCCACATCAAAGCTCCCTTCATAGCAACGCGCGACGCTTTTGGTTGTCAAGTAAACAATCGAAGTATCCTTGCCGGATGGTGGAGTTTTTCCGAGGCTCCGACACATGATGACGCTAGTCTCCTTGGAGAAATTCACCAGATCCAGACTAGTCTCCTTATGTCGGTAAGTCGGCCAATAGTATCTCGGCACACAAATCGTCGTGCCCTGAACCCTCTTCCGTGCACTTCCCAAGCGAAAAAAAGAACGTCGAGCGCGGAGAACCTCACTTCCTCGACCGAAGCACAACGACAACAACCCCATCGACCTTGCTGCCGCTCACCGGGACTTTCACAATGAAGTGTGAGTGATTGATGCTATTCTTTCGATATTCTTTTTCTTTTCGTTCCCAGCTAACAGGAATGTTGCGATAGTCATGAAAGTGGGCCGTGTGGCCATCATCACCCGTGGCCGTTACGCCGGTAAGAAGGTACGACAAGACTTTTGCTTCATGTTTTTGCGAGGAGGGAACGAAGATTTCAGGTGGATGCGCAGGAGGATCGAGATCGAGAAGTTGAAATCGATGCGAGGGCTACGCCATTTGACGAAAATTGAAATTCGGGGGGAAAATTGCAGCTGAGCTGGGACGGATTGAGTTTGCAGGATGTGCTGACGAGGGTCTTTTTTTTGCGATATCACAGGTCGTCATTGTCCAGCCTAACGACACCGGCTCCAAGGCTCATCCCTTCTCCTATGCCATCGTCGCCGGTATCGAGCGCTACCCTCTGAAGGTTACCCGCCGCATGGGCAAGAAGACCGTTGAGAAGCGCAGCCGCATCAAGCCTTTCATCAAGGTCGTCAACTACAACCACTTGATGCCCACCCGTTACACTCTCGAGCTTGAGGGTCTCAAGGGTGTTGTCTCCAACGACACCTTCAAGGAGGTTTCCCAGCGCGAGGACGCCAAGAAGACCGTCAAGAAGGCTCTTGAGGACCGATACACCAGCGGCAAGAACAGATGGTTCTTCACTCCTCTACGTATGTTTTACCTCCCTTTTTTATTTTATTTTATATTTTTTGCTCTATTGAATTCCGTGCTGATAATGAGCAGGTTTCTAAACGGGGTAATTCTGGGGCGTTATGTCGTTTGAGCGCGCAAGGTTCTTAGATGAGGCAACGGGAAAAAAAAAACATCGAGTACGTTCGGTTCATGAGCATGGCATTCACAGGAAATATACCATAGCTGGAAGGAGAATTGGGAATGTATCGATGTACAAGTCGAGGACTTGATCATTTTTTATATGAAGGATGCCACTCAGACCCGGCGTCCGTCTCGAAATGAAATGGAAAATATGAACAATTTCTTTTTTTTTCTCTCTTAAAACCTGCGCACCAAAACCGTTCTACTCTATCTCAGTCTTTTTTTCCATTTAACCACCACAGGTTTCTTTCCGTACCTTCAGAATCGACTTCTGCTGGATAGCCCTGGTGTCTATCGGACGTGGTCTAGATTTCACCACACACATATCACCAACCAATCACCATCACCGCCACCATCCCGATACCTGCTTATTTCTCACGCAGAGCCACGGGGAGAAGCCGACATTTAATTATCCACATTACCAGGAAACCCCCCAGACTACGCAATCTCAAACTACGGAGTCCTCGTACCACGATTTGGGCCAGGGCGTATTGTACTTCTTAGAGGTCCCTTTCCCCCCCCCCCCCCCCCCGGCTCCCGGACTTCCCCTCTCCGCATAAGATTCTCTTTAGGGGAGCCATCTTCCGTGCTAACCAATTGACGGGGATAAGGTTAGAATCGAGTGGCTAAATGGAGTACGTAGAAGGCTGTTGTAGATAATCAATCCCCTTGAAATCCCTACCGCAGACCAGCCGGGGGCGCCATGGAAATGGAACCCGCACATGTCTGCCAAGGTGGTGTTGCCAATTCCCGACAGATTTACATGGCTCCTTAATGATTGTCTAGAATGGGCTCACGTACGAAATCCATAGCAAATAAAAACTAGCCCCTCGCGAGGAACCTCATTCATTATGTGTTTGCTGCATTAACTATACTGCGCCCAGCGTATCCATGACTCCTCGGTATTGAGAGTGATATTGATCTACTAGGTATACTGTTCTGCGGTATAGCCAAGAAAGACTGGAAGATAACTTGGTTATCAATCTTCTCTTATTTCTGTTATCCCATTGGATACTGTATGCTTCTGTATGCTTGATGGTGCCAGAGAGGCTGACCTCACGTCCTTTTTTTTTCTGCCCATGGTGTTTTTTGGGGTAGGCCGAATTCTATCTTGCGCCTCCATCCGCGGAGTTGTTCATCCTCAAGTGTATGATGTAAGACTATGTGGGCGAGAATCGTCTTTCTATTTACGGAGTACTACACAACGGATACTGTAACTTTTGTTGGATTTCCCGTAGGCTGACCTCGATCCGGTCGGAAAGTATATGGTCGACAAAAGTACGACGTGGGTGATGTGCAAATATCGCCTCAACGCTAGAAAATCCCATCAATGTCGGTAAGAACCTCAAGGTGAGCGTATGACAGGCTATAGTTGGCTGTTTAAAGAGCGCTTAGGTCGACGGGTGGATAGTGGTTAAACGACGATAGCAGAGATGCATGCACATAAGAGTGGCGTTTCATACCGATGGATCTCCAACACGGAAGGGGCCCAGGCGCAACGATGCTTCTCTTGTAGCAGAGGGATCAACTGAGGAGTTACCCAACTCGACAAATGGTGAAAGAATTGAAAAGGTCACAGCTTAGGGCTAGAAGATTACCTGGAATCACAGAGCCAGCCGCCAAGTGATAAGGCAGCTATGTCGTTCCTTCCGAAAAGTAACCAAGGACTGGCTAAGGCAAAACCCCCCTTATATCTGGAGACATATGTGAATTCGCAGCATATTACCCATAAATGCCCACGCAAGACTATATTCAAGAGTTAGCGACAGGTACCCGTGAGCCTGTCCGATATATGATGAATCTCGGAGCAGCAGCGGCTTGAGGGACAGAAGACCCACTATCACATGCTGGACCGTACATTTAGTGGTGGGAAGACTGTCACGAAGGTGGCCTAGCCTCAGTACCATTGACCAGCCAAGGTGGCCGTCTCGACTGTCACAGATGTGGTCGCTAGAGTCCGTCTTCAGCCTGTTTATGATTTCCTATCCAAACTCTCTCTTGCCACGCCGATAACGCTATGTTCGTCATTGTCGCTGACGAGGCCATCCCACTCTTATCTCGTTTCCATATGATGCCGGTCCCACTCCTCGACAGTATGGCGCAAAGCACCCTACTATGTACGTCTTGATAGCAAACGCTGAGCGTTCATTTCCCCCGCTCATGATGATGTCCACTGGCCAACTTAGATGCATGATACTGGAAGGGTTAACGTAACGAGAATTGACGTCGCGAACTTTTTCTTTGGTTTAGACTGGTTGGATTATATGCGGATGAGTATGATCATGATGAGAAAGGAGGACCGGGTGTGAGTGGAAAACGTGCTTGCAGAATGCTAAGTAACGGGTGCGAGGAGCAAGCAGTGTGTCTCAAGATGGGCCCGCAATCACATGCATCAGCTGGTTCTATCAGACAGAAAAAAAAAGCACATTATTATACTTAATCCTCGTAAGATACAAAGTTCTTTTTCTGTTCTTTTTTTTAAAAATATATATATATATATATTAGTAGTATTTGAGTGATCAGACACACCTCTTATTTATCTGACCGAATTTTTTGGCTTTTATCTACATCTACGGTTCGACCTGCCTGCCTCCGGAACCGTCCATCGCTCTTCCTCTCATAACCGCCTATAGTACCAGTCTTTCCCTCCCACCACCTCGACCTTCTATTCTCCTATCCCTTGTTCTCAAGGCTTGATATTTCTCCCACTTTTTGACTGTACAGAGATCTGCACTTTGCCTATTATACCTCCTCAAGGTATTTTCATCCTTGTTTGCGCACATGATCCATTTCTCGGTGTATACTAACGTGGTGCTTATGACCTTGCCAGAGTAAAACCTATGCCTCATCTAGAGACCGAAACAATGGGAGAAACTTCTGTCAACGGTGAAAACGTTCAGTTCCACTTCCTGGAGGTAAGCACTTTCTTGTTTTCTTTGTCTGATGCTTGTGGACTATATGACGTATACTGATGCGTAGGCTGTGTAGCACCTTACATCCTATCCTATCGTGTCCGACTCCATCACCGTCTTCAAAACCAACAAGTATGGTGCAAAGTCTCTAGAGTTTGCTGACCAAGGCTATGGCTACGCCAAACCCTACCTCCCATACTTCTCGAAGCCCTATGGTTACATTGCGCCGTATATTGCCCGTGCAGACTCTCTTGGTGAGCAAGGGTTGAGCAAGGTGGACGAAACCTTTCCCTTTATCAAGGAGGATACGGGGAAGCTCAAGACTACGATCTATGATACCGCCTATTCGCCAGTGCGATTCGCCGGGGATGTGAAAAGCCATGTCTTTGAAACCTACGGCTCAGAGTACAAGAAGTGTGGAGGTGACGGATACGTCGCAACTGGCAAGGCTTTCGTCACCACTGGTCTTGTCCTTTCCCAAGAGTCGCTCGCCTATCTCAGCTGTCTACTACAGAGGAAGAAGGTACAAGTCAAGGATATGGTGAACGACAAAACGGAGCAATAAAAGGCTGTCGTGTATTGATTCCATGGTTGATCCGGGGTTTGCAGGTTTTTAGACAATTAATTCGGTCGCCTTTGTCTTGCCTTTCTTCTTAGTTTAATTTGGGGCTGCTTAGTCTCCTCTCTTATTCTTTTCTTTCAGGCTGCATTTGGATATACACCAGTGTTTTACTTATTCTTCCACTTTCTTCGTTACTTCTTTGCTCGACAAGTTTCATCATAACGGGCTACTACTCAACTCCTAGTCATTCTTCTTTATATCTCGCCACCCTTTTTTTTTTTTTTTTTTTTTTTTTTTTTGCGCTGGCTGAAAAATATTCGAAGAGATTGTCTGATACTTATTGTATGGCTGACATGTGATCCTTGTCAGCCCTGTAACATGTGATTGCCCGATCGGGGAAAATCAGGTCAGGCCCACATTAAGCTAATCCCGTCATCGCGTCAAGCGCGTCCAGTCCAAGAGCCTTTCTCCATACGCCAGAATATCAGCCAAATTCCTAACTATAAACCCTCCATATTACCACTCCCAATACAGGAACAGAATGGCTCTCATTCGTAAACGACGAGCAGTTCGTTTTCCCCTGTCCATTCCCCCCGACAAGTCTAAAGTAAAGAAAATCCATCTAGGAACCACAATACGAATCCTCCAGCGACCGCGAAGAAGAAGCCGATGATTCCTCTTCAAACCCCCAGCCCCAAGCAAGCACCCGACAAAATGGCAGCGGCCATCGCCAGCGCCGAATCCGCGCAGAGGCAGGTTCCTCATCTGAGGACGACGAAAGTGCAGAGGAGCCAGGCACCAACGGCCCAAGTAGCACAGACGTTATGGTCAAGAAACTGGTGCGACTAGCGCTTTCAAGCGAGTACTCGCGCCAACCGATCCGGCGAGTCGATATCAGCAATAAAGTGTTGGGCGAGCAGGGGTCGCGACAATTCAAGATGGTGTTTGAGGCTGCGCAGCGAGTTCTCGAGTCGAATTTCGGGATGCAGTTGACCGAGTTACCGGGGAAGGAGAAGGTGACGATTCAGCAAAGGAGGGGTATGTACCTTTTCTTTTTTTTTCTTTTTTTTTTTTTGTTTGGGAAAAAAAAAAACGGCTTGGTCGATTACATGGGCTGATTTTTTGGGACTCTGGATTAGCGGCTCAAAAGGTCGACAAACCATCGTCGACGAATAAATCGTGGATTCTCACGAGTACCTTGCCTTCTGCTTATCGGAGACTGGAGATTCTCCAGCCGACGAAGGCGCCCCTCGAGAGTTCCTACACGGGGCTATATACCTTTATCATTGCAGTGATTTTACTTAACGGGGGTACCTTGCAGGAGCAAAAGCTTGATCGGTACCTCAGGCGTGCGAACGCGGATACATATACCCCGGTTGATCGGACAGATCGGCTCTTGCAGCGGCTTTGCAAGGAGGGGTACTTGATACGGAATCGGGAGATGGACGGAGGCGACGAGATTATTGAATATATGGTTGGGCCGCGGGGGAAAGTTGAAGTTGGTGCGCGGGGTGTGGCTGGGCTTGTGCGCGAGGTCTACGGGAAACAGGCGATGGTCGAGGACAACGATACGACTGCTGCCGAGAGAGAACAGATGGAAGAGTTTGAGTTTCGCTTGGCGAGAAGCCTCGGGTTTCGAAAATCGGGCGAAGCACAGACGCAGGGTGCAGATGAAGCGGCGGAGCAAGAAGCCAGACAGACGCAACAGATGCAACGTCGTTCGGCGTCTGAGGAGGAGGAGGAGGAGGATAGTGATTATTAACGTATGGCTATTTAGCGACTTTGGTTTTCTCGATACCTAATTTTATACATATTTAATTTCTTTCTCGCTCGCTGAGTTGCATGTCTGCGGTAGTTGTATATATATAAGTATCTAACTAACTAACTAACTAACTAGTTAATCACAAAGATTAGTCACAGGTATTCGAACCACTCAACCCAAGTTCAAAATACCTACGATATATATGCAACTCATCTTGTAGCGCAAATCTACTCTTTATAAGCTTCAAAACAGTCTATCTCATCACAAAACACAGTGTCTCGCTTTTGAAGCAAGCAAGAAAGGCGACTAAAAAGACCAAGGAAATAGAAATAGGAAATAGAAATAGGAATAGAAATAGAATAAAAATAGAATAAAAATAAAAATATGTATCATCATCAATCGTATATCTATAGAACAGAATATGAAGGTAACAGTGCCGCCAATTCAGTCTACAACACATAGACACAAGCGCAAGCACAAAAGCACCTCACCTACTCACTATCACTCGCACTATCATGCTCCGAGCCATTGCCAACATGATCATTCCTCAGCCCTTCTGCAAGAACATACTCGGCCTGCTGCAGAGCCTGCTTGATCGCCTGGTTATTGTAGACCAGCTGCGCGGGCTTTTGGCCGTGCTTGTTGCGGACCCGCGGGTCACAGCCAGCGTCGCACATCATCTTGATCATTTCCAGACCGAGTTCGGCATCTTTTTCGTTGGCGTAGCGGACGGCGACGTGGAGGGGGGTGTCCTTGTCGAGACGGGTGAGGGGGTCGCATTCAAAGAATTGGATGTCGAAGAGGGAGTCCATTGTGTCATCTTGAGTTGATTCGTTAGTTTTTTTTATTCTCTTTTACGTCCCTTTTCGTACACACACGACAGAAAAAGAAAGGGTTTAGGGAAAAGAGAAGGTTATATTATATATATAAGGGGGACGTACAGCTTCCGTATGAAGCACAGATATGAAGGGCATGGTTGCCCATGGAGTCTGTCACGCCGTTGAAGAACTCGGCGACCTCTTCATTTGACTTGTCTTCGAGTCCCTCGAGAACTTGTTCTATTAGGTGAGGCTGGTCGCGACGGCAGGCTTCCACAACTATCTCGCGAGGAGATGCACCCTATTTGGTGAGTAGATGGAGGTCGTGATGAATTCAATGCGGGTTGTTGAGCTTACCTCGTCTGCCATTGCTGCCTGGTGGAGAATGTATTCGTTTGGACGCGATGCTAAGGAGAAAGAAAGAGAGAGAGAGAGAGAGAGAGAGAACAATGCAGCTGCCCTGCAACCGCTATAAATGAGTACTTTATGTGGATGAGATAAGAATGTAATGACACCACCGGGTGGTCGAGTTAGCCGCGAAGTGAGATCGACTTTTGTTGATAGGAGAAACCACGGAGCTGGAGGAAACAGTAAGTAACGGAAACAAAGGTCAATAAAACGAGAGAGGCTGTTTAGGGAGCTAGAGAGATGATGCTGAAGTCATCCAGCCATAGAGAATGATATACGTACAGAGATAGGGATCGTAATAATACCAGACCAGATATGCAGGAGTTCCTTATTGTTTGGATTTCCCCGCCGAGCATGCCGCCGACCTGCCTGCATCGTCTCCCGCGGCGGACCAGCCTGGCGGATTATCTATTATGCCGTTCTGCCGTTTCCTGCCCCCGCGTCCAATCGGCATCAACGGACTGGGCCTGAGGCATCATCGCCAGGACCAGCATCCGGTTCGGGAAAGGCGGTGTGAATGATATAATTTTCTCTCCGCCAAGTACATCACCAGCTCGCGAGTTGATAAGAGCTTGTCATTTAGTGTTTGCATGCGACATTACTGCGGGACGTTGCCGACGCATTTATCAACTACATTCCCTCTACAGCTCTGGCCGGATTGATTGGGACCGAAAGCTTCAAACAAAATGCCGCTGACCTGTTCGTACCCGTACCCCGCCCTCAGCTGAATTGGATCTACGAACTCACCTTGACTGACGCGTTTCGATCTCTTCTAGTCTGCCCTAATTGTAGCAATGCGTTGACGATATCCCGCGCGGATGCCACGCCAAAATACCCCATGGGAGTCAACCGATTCGAGTGCCGTGCCTGCCCATATCAATACGTCCTGGAACAATCCTGGTTTGAGAAGACCCCCATGAAACAAAAGGAAGTGGAAGACGTCTTTGGAGGCAAGAACGAGTTCGCAAATGCAGACAGCGTGGCCAGTAAGTTTCACGGGGGTTCCGTTCGAGAATGGGAAAAAAGAACAGAAAGGCTAATTAGGTGCTTTTCCAGCTCAATGCCCCGCAGAAGGCTGCAATGGCGACCGTGCATACTTTTTCCAGCTGCAGATTCGAAGTGCAGATGAACCGATGACTACATTCTTGAAGGTGGGTGTTGGCATGGACGGATACCTTGCATATGCTGGTTGTACTTGATGAACTGACTCGAGAGTATTTAGTGTACTTCGTGTGGTGCTCGTTGGAGAGAAAACTGATACGTTCAGAATTAGCTTGTTATGGGTTACGAGTTTTTTTCTATATATTTCAATGGTCAAGAAGCAGGCGAATAATTGGAAGAAATGGTGTTTTTTATTGGGTTTGATATCTTTTATTGATTCTTGACATGATGTGATCCGATAATCCGAGGTCCTTTCTGGAGTTACCTGCATGCGACTACTGTACAAGACAGCTTCCTGATACCCCTCAATAATTAATGGCAAAGAATTATGGTTAAATTCCCGTCGCGTAAACCACAGCTCTAGGAAGCTATGCTTGACTTGATCAGGCGTGAAATTTTTTTGTTCTTAGCGGATGAAAATCATCGTGGTTGGATAGCTGATTACCATGGTAGACTGGGGCGTCTCTACCAAACAAGAGTTTTTTTTTTTTTTTTTTTTCCCCTCTTCTCTTTGGTTTTCGGTGGGCATTATACTAGATTTTAAAGTTTTTATTTTTGAATCAAGCCTCCCTCCCTTATGACTTTCGTATAAATTTTTTCCCTGTGTCTGCAAACGGATGATACACGGGAGACAGAAAAAAAGGACAAAAAAGAAAGAGGCTGGTAGGAGAGATGAGGGGCAGTGACTCAAATCATCCCACTTAGTGTTGGGTTCCTTAGGCAACAAAGGAGGGGGGCAAAAAGAAGAAAAATTTTTACTCCTATTTTTTCATTTTCAATGTTGTTGGGTGTTTCTAATTGACAATAGTGTTATTTTTCCCTGTTACTGAATACGTAGACCTTGCAACTCAATTCTTATTGTGGATCGAACAGCGCCACTTGGCCGTTCCAAAACTTGGTGGTTAACGAGCAAATGGTAAGGCAGGGAGCTGTAATAGCCGCGGGGTTATGATATAGAGAGTTGGACTGCCTGAGACTGATACAACCAGACATCCCACCACGAGATGCGTTGATGCCCAGGATTTCAGTCCAAAATCCACTACGAAGACTATCGACACTGTTGAATAGTAGGGAAAAAAACAAAATAATAATAAAAAAAAAAAAACCTTTTCGCTGGTAGCAGTGGAGACGGATTGTGCTCTCCGAAACAACAAGAGACGGGCAGATACCCAATACCCAACAGTAAAAGAAAAAGCGCCCAGAAGAGATGAAGAATTTTTTTTTTTTGCGCCGGAAATAGTGGGGGCTTGTTACCCCTCCATGTCCAATGAACACACGGTCCAGCCAAGGGTTTGAGCCCGCCCGCTTAGTCGTCTTCTCGCTTGCCCCTCCATATAAGGATTTCCCCTCCTCCCCCTCCCACAGATTTTTCCCTTTCTCTTCCCTTCTCGTCCGCTTCAGTACGTATTTCTTCCCCCCTCCCTTCCTTTCCTTCCGCTCCATCCTTTCTCGTCTCTTCTTCATCCCTCTCTTGCTAACTCTTCTGTGTTCAGCACCTCTACGCATATCTAGCCGTAGTACCTGAGCACCCTCTTTTTTTTTTCTTCTTCAAAAATCACACTTCACATCCGTCACAATGGGGTAAGTTTATCTCGAGAAGAAGCAATCTTTCCCTTGATGGCCTGCCTGGCTCTCTCAGTTGGCCGTTGCATTGCCATCGTTGTGAACACCTGGCTGACGGTAATCTGTTCCACAGTAAGGACGAGAGAACTCACGTCAACATCGTCGTTATCGGCCACGTCGATTCCGGCAAGTCCACCACTACTGGTAAGCCGGCCCTTCTACTACTAGACCCCTCCCTCCATCCACCAGCAACAAACGCTTACACGCTTCTACAGGTCACTTGATCTACAAGTGCGGTGGTATCGACCAGCGTACCATTGAGAAGTTCGAGAAGGAAGCCGCCGAACTCGGAAAGGGTTCCTTCAAGTATGCTTGGGTTCTTGACAAGCTCAAGTCCGAGCGTGAGCGTGGTATCACCATCGATATCGCTCTCTGGAAGTTCCAGACTCCTAAGTTCGAGGTCACCGTCATTGGTATGTTGACTCTTCCTTTGTGTCTGTTGTTGATGGCTTTTGTCCCGCTAACATCGAATCCACAGATGCCCCCGGTCACCGTGATTTCATCAAGAACATGATCACTGGTACTTCCCAGGCCGATTGCGCTATCCTCATCATTGCCTCCGGTACTGGTGAATTCGAGGCTGGTATCTCCAAGGATGGCCAGACCCGTGAGCACGCTCTGCTCGCTTTCACCCTCGGTGTCCGTCAGCTCATTGTTGCTCTCAACAAGATGGACACCTGCAAGTGGTCTGAGGATCGTTACAACGAAATCGTCAAGGAGACCTCCAACTTCATCAAGAAGGTCGGATACAACCCCAAGACCGTTCCCTTCGTCCCCATCTCCGGTTTCAACGGTGACAACATGCTCGAGCCCTCCCCCGCCTGCCCCTGGTACAAGGGTTGGGAGAAGGAGACCAAGGCCGGCAAGGTCACTGGTAAGACCCTCCTCGAGGCCATCGATGCCATCGAGCCCCCCGTCCGCCCCGCCAACAAGCCCCTCCGTCTTCCCCTCCAGGATGTCTACAAGATCTCCGGTATTGGAACTGTTCCGGTCGGCCGTGTCGAGACTGGTGTTATCACCCCCGGCATGGTCGTCACCTTCGCCCCCGCCAACGTCACCACTGAAGTCAAGTCCGTCGAAATGCACCACCAGCAGCTCAAGGAGGGTCTCCCCGGTGACAACGTTGGTTTCAACGTCAAGAACGTTTCCGTGAAGGAAGTCCGCCGTGGAAACGTTGCCGGTGACTCCAAGAACGATCCCCCTGCTGGCGCTGCCTCTTTCACCGCCCAGGTCATCGTCATCAACCACCCCGGCCAGGTCGGCGCTGGTTACGCTCCCGTCCTCGATTGCCACACTGCTCACATTGCTTGCAAGTTCGCTGAGCTCCAGGAGAAGATTGACCGCCGTACCGGAAAGTCCGTCGAGTCCAACCCCAAGTTCATCAAGTCTGGTGATGCTGCCATCGTCAAGATGATTCCTTCCAAGCCCATGTGCGTTGAGACCTTCACTGAGTACCCCCCTCTCGGTCGTTTCGCCGTCCGTGACATGCGCCAGACCGTCGCTGTCGGTGTCATCAAGGGTGTCGACAAGTCCGCCGCTGGTGCCGGTAAGGTCACCAAGGCTGCCCAGAAGGCCGGTAAGAAATAAGCGGATCGCTAGTTTTTTTCCATGCCGTTATGAAATCGAAAAGCCTTTACGAATGAAAGAAATGGGATTAGACTTAGTTATGTAGTTGATTCTACATAGGAAATTGATTCCTGATCAAAATTCACTCTGCTTCCTTGGTAAATCACAGTCGTACCGTAGAATAACTACATTGTTTAGCGCTGAGTATCCCCGTGTAGCTGGCCCGGAGCACTCTGCACGGGGGCACTTGCCAGCGGCGCTTGGGGTCTTGGGGTAATTATATGTAGATGAATTCATAGTTAAGGATCGGGGATGATTCGGGTTCCCTTGTAGATATCTTTTTAAGAACCATGTCTGTCAACCAACAACCCAGCTTCAGTCTATAAGACTTCCCGAGATATCGACTGAGACCCTATTTACCTGATTTGAATGCCTTCTGGTTACGAATATATATATATATATATTTTGGGTGGGTGGTCGAACATGGCGGGGTTGCCATGAAACCCGATTATGAAAAGGTGGGACGCGCCCTTTTAGCGACATCGACTTTTTACAGCCGTGGGCAAAAAGTTTGCCTAATGTGACATCGTCACTTCCATACAGTTCCGAGGTCTTACTATCTATATATGTACCATCTATGGGACTAAAATCCAACACTCACTTATCCCAGCAATTTCTTGACACACATATTCTCTACAAGATGGCACATCCAGAGGAAAAGCCCTGGATCGAAACACCCCTGATCGAGTCCGCTGCGCTCTCCAAAGCAGCGGGATGGTTAGCAACCACACTTTCTTATCCGAGTCTCGCACGCTCCCCAATAACATGTCTATCCTTGCTCTAGCAAAGTTTTCCTCAAACTGGAACTCCTCCAACCTTCTGGCTCATTTAAATCAAGGTATACCCGGACCCAAAACGTCATTTCCACCGGAACAGCGTTTATCTAATCTTCAGAGAACAATAACAGAGGAATCGGTAACCTCATCCGTACAGCCCTTCTAGACCCCGAAAACACGAGCAAGGAATTGCATTTCTTCAGCTCGTCTGGCGGAAACGCTGGCCTTGCAGCCGTGATTGCCGCTCGGGATCTCGGATCTCCCTGTACAGTGGTTGTGCCAACATCCACCAAGCCGCTTATGGTGCAAAAGCTACAGGATGCGGGAGCTACGGCCGTGATTCAACACGGGGAGAGTTGGTACGAAGCCGATGCTTATCTCCGGGAGAAGTTCATTGATGCTCAGCCTGAGAATCCCGGACCGGAGAAGATGCAGATGAATATCTACGTTCCGCCATTCGACCACCCGGATATCTGGACGGGCGCGGGGACGATGATCTCGGAGATTGCGCGGCAATTGCCCCCGCTCTCCGGCCCGGCGAGCGCGAGAGCAAGTGGCGTCTTTCCGGCCGATGTGGTGATTTGCAGTGTTGGCGGCGGCGGCCTTTTCAATGGCGTTGTCGAGGGGTTGGATGAATATCTTCAAGCCCACAGGGCTTCTTCGACACTCCAGCATAGAGCAGAGGATAGAAAGGTGCATGTCCTGGCTGTTGAAACAGAGGGGACAAATTCCCTAGACCACTCCCTTCGAACGGGCACCCTCCAAGCCATTCCTGCGATCACTTCGCTCGCGACATCGCTGGGGGCTCGACAGGTAGCTCCCAAGACTCTGATGAATGCGCAGTCCCCGCCATCCGGGGTGGACGTTGTAAGTGTTGTTGGGTCTGATGCAGAGGCCGCGCGCGGGGTGATTCGACTCGCAGACGAGATGCGATTGCAGGTCGAACTGGCTTGTGGGATTAGTGTTGATGTTGCGACTTCAGAGAGATTGCGACAGTCGGTTCCAGACCTGACCGAAGCAAGTCGGGTGGTGGTGGTCGTTTGCGGAGGGAGCCATATTACCGCGGAGATGATTGCTGAATATCGCCGGAGACTTCAGGAGGGTTGGTCTTTGTGAATACCTAATCTGTATTAAAGAAGATCATAGATAAGCGCTGAGCAACAGACAGATAGAGATATGCAGGGAATCTGATAGCTTCCTTAGTTCACTTCCTATATACATATATGATATGGGCCTTCAAAATAACCTTATTCCTATTTACACCTCCAGCAGGTTATCAGGGGCTTGCTGGAGTTAGCCCTCTATCTAGTAGGAAATTATATAATCTAACTATTTAGTAGGTATCATATATATAATTATATAACTATCTCCCCCCCCTTTCTTCAGACCTTATAGGCAGGAGTAGTCATATATACCCCTGTGGGACACCACAGGTATGAATGCAATAACATCAAACCACGTCGCCCTCGATCCCGTACTACCTATGCAAGCAATTGACGCAGGAGAGAATTGAACGACAGAAACTACCTAGGTAGGGGGTTGTAATCAAATATGTAGCATTTTAGATGATTTCCCCCCCCCCCACAGTCTCTTGAATCCGTCTTGTCTTTCTCTCCAGGGGCCAACGATTTCATACCTATTGATTGGTACCTCATTATTTGCTTTGAACCAGCCAGTCAATATTGCTGGGAATATCTCTCTCTTACCTCAGGTAGGTACTGCTTCAATTCGCATTCTCTTAAACCACGCCATGAGGAAAAGAGGCCAGAAAGCCACGTGACCCCCTGGGATCTCCCGCCGTCGTCACTCTCGGATCTTTTAATTCTCACCCATCAAGGAACAGTGAAAGGGAATTACCGACACATCCTCGAGAAATGGCCATGAAAACACCACTCTCCTTTCAGGGTTCTATAATACCCTTCCGCACGTGTGGCCAATGCATCCGCCGTCCGTACCACCTCGGCCCAGCTAGGACGGCCGCGCCGACCCGACACCTGTCCACGAGTAACCCGCTCCGCTCCGCCGTAAAGAACGCCAGCGGAACGAATCCATTGCGCTCCAGTGGGAATGTCCGCTCCCGGGAACAAGAAGTTGCGCAGTACCGCCGGTCGATGGGTTGGTCGGCGGCTGGGATCGCCGTGTGTGCGGTGGCTATGTATGGCATGATCAAGCTGGATGCGTTTGGGTTGGAGGAGCAACAGCAGGAGGAGGAGGAGGGAGGAAAGGAGAACAATGCGATGAAGATGGAGGGACCGCAGGGGTTCGCGAGCAGTCCATCGATCGTTCGGATCCAGGGACAGGATGGCGTCGAACAGGTAGCTACGGGGACGAGTTCGGTGTCGCATTTCCCGGCTACGATCCGACTTCCGAAGTACCAGGCTGGGTCGCTCAAATCTGGAGATGAGGTTGCCACTGGGGAGGAGGAGGAGGAGGAGGAGGAGGAGGAGTATCAGCTTCTCGGGCTTGGGATCCGGACTGTCTCTTTCCTCAAGATCCAGGTGTACGTCGTGGGCCTGTACGTAGCCACATCTGATATCTCTGAGCTGCAGCGGCGCCTGGTGCATACGGCGGTAGATCCCCCAAGCGAGAAGCCCGTGATCTCCAACGCCGTCGGAGCGACATCAGCGACATCTCTGGTATCTACGGAACGGCAGCACCTGAAGGAGCTTCTCCTGGACGAGGAGAAGGGCGATGCCGCCTGGGACGCAATCCTCAAGGAGGACGGGCTGCGAACTGTCTTCCGCATCGTGCCCACGCGGAACACGGACTTTTTGCACTTGCGCGACGGCTTTGTGCGCGGGATCACGGCGCGCGCGCAGAAAGCCACCGCCACCGCCAAAGCCAAAGCCAAAGCTGCTGCCGAACCAGGCGAGTCGGGATCCCTTGTTTCTGCGGGAGAATTCCAAGACGAGGCTTTCGGCATCTCATTGAACGATTTCAAGAGCCTGTTCGGTGGAAGTCAGCGCAAGAATGTCCCCAAGGGCCAGACGCTGCTTCTGATCCGGAATGCCCACGGAGAGCTAGATGCGCTCTTCCAGCCAGAACCGACCAAGCCACTCCGATTCATGGGCCGGGTTTCCGATGAGCGAATCAGTCGACTGGTGTGGATGAATTATCTCGCTGGCAAGCCCGTCTCTAGTGAGGAAGCCCGCCGGAGCGTCGTGGATGGAATCATGGCGATTGTCGAGCGACCTGTCGGGACCCTGGTTTAGAGTTTTTGTAGAGCTCTCTAGCATTTCTTGTATAATGATGTATGTATGCAATCTTAATGGCTCGCGCTCTGCTATCCTACACTTGTCATACACGTGTACTAGTGCTTACCTAGGTATTCTAGGGACATAAGTAGCCAATAATAAGTAGTAGAAATACCAAGTACCTCACAATTCTATTCTACTACGTAGTTCGCAATGCAAGTCAGTCTGACTGAATAACTGACAACACATTTTTGGTAATTAACTAGTTCCTCCCACCAAACAATGACGCCATGCCATCAACTTCTTCCAAGAACCTATTAGAATGTCGCGAAATTCTACAAAATAGAACAGAAACATAAAAAAATAAAAAAAGATCTATCATTTAAATGGTATCGCTATCAAGAAATCCACAACTGTAGGTATACTCTGTATCATAACCCCCCCCCCGACGTAAAAAAAGAACATCCAAGTCCTACTCCGTACTCCAGATTAGAGAGCACCAGCATTCTTCAACAAAGCAGGCAACTCAGCCCTGCGACCCTGGAGATCCGAGTTCCCACCGATATGCTTCTGCCCGATGAAGATGTTCGGCACCGTGCGCTGGTTGGTGAGTTCGAGGAGAGCGTCTTGGATGGCGCTGCCGTCGTCTGTTTGATTTAAAAAATCTTAGTTAGTTCCTTGCTTTCCTCATTTTTTTTCCCTTGATTTCCGATTTGAGAGCGAGACTGGACTGGACTGGACTGGACTGGACTGTACCCATTTGATCCAACTCGAGGGCTTCGAACTTCGCGCCTAGTTGTTTAAGGAGATCCTTGCTAGCTTTGCAGTAGGGGCAGTAGGATTTGGAGAAGACGACTATTGGTTTATTTTATTGATGCGTTGGTGCATTCCTATCGTTAGCTTGTTGTTTCTTTTTGCCGCCAACCTCCCCGCCCTTCTCTTTCTCTCTCTCGACTCCAGATAGGAGATCGGGGGAAGAAGGAACTCACCAACGCCATTCTCACTAATCAGGGTTTGGGCCTTGACCTTTGCAGCGGACATATCGACAGGAGTGGGGGCAAAGGACCCGAAAAGACGGCGAAAGATGGAAGCTATGGTGGGCAACGAATGTGGGATTGATCCCTGGAACAATTTCAAAGAGAATGGAAGGGGAAGTAAGGGAAGAGAAGGAGGAGGGGGGGGCTTTTATATGGAAGGGAACGAGCGATGAAGATCTCCGAATTCCATCGCCCGATGTCGCCGCTTTAGGGTCAGGTGACTGGCATATTATTAAGGATTGCTTTTCCAGCTGGGAACATGATTTGCAAGATTCTTTTTGGATCTATTTGCCTCTACAAGAGGTGATATTGGTTTGTCTTGCTTTATGGTCGAAATTGCTGAAATGCCGCGTATCCGGTGCGATATTGTCAGGCTTACAAATGAACTTGTAATTCCAAGTAACTAACTAGATTGATTTCTTGATGTCAATGATCGCCAGTGGCATCTTGAATACGAGATGCCAGCTAAATAATCACTCAGAACCGTCATGACATCACATAGATGTCGAAGTTGGAGTAAATAGGGAAAGAAGACAAAGGGGACAATAGCCCGGATGCAGAGAACGTATCTAGACAAATTGAGCTAGGAAATCGAAAGAAAGTGCGCATCGTGAAAGTCGTGAAGAAGACAAGCACAGAATGCCAGCTGGAATCCGGGTATCTCGCTTCAACATTCTAGTGGGCGAGCAGGAGAGCGGTGTTAAGTTGCAGAGAATCTTAGAGGATGATTCCACAGCTGCCATAGTCATTTTTGTAAGCTATCAAAGGGTTAAAGAGATGAAGCGAAGGAGGGCAAAAAATGACAACGAAATTAAAAAAAAAAAAAAAAATCTAAAAGGCAGAAGTACTCGATAGTCGAACAACGCGAAACACCAACCATCCCTAAACGCTGAAAAGCAGGTGAAAAAAAAAAGATGGAGAGATGGAGAGATGGAGAGAGAAAATTGTAACAAATCGAACGTCAAGACTTCAAAGGTATCTTTTGAAAAAAAAAAAAAAAAAAAAAAAATTATAGCTTTTGCAAGCGGGTGTTTTGATGGAAATCACATCACGATGCAGCACCCACAGCCTTTGTCTGCTTTTTCATCCGGAGGGCTCTGCGCAGTCACAACGGTTTGGGTATTCCATTTCGGAGTCAGCCCGACTGGAGGCGTCTCCTGCACCTTCGGCATCGGACTGTATCCGGTTCCAGTGCTGGGTCGGGTTCCTGGTTCGGGGCTCTTGGGTATGGCGCTTAGGCCCAATCCCTCTATCTTCAGCGATTCTGGCGGCTTTTCTTTATTTTCTTCCTTTTCTTCCTCCTTCTTAGCCTTGTCTCTAACCTGGGTTGGGTCAGGCGCAATGGCGAGTGGTGCGAATTCTCGATCATAAGTCGTGGGTGTTTTCCCTTCTTTGGCCCATTGCTCTTGTTGCATCCTCCGCGCGTGTGTAGGGAGGATTTGCTGATCCGGAGGCAGTCGAGGATCTGGTTTGTACATAGTAGCCAACCATGGGGGGTCTCCTTCCGGACGGTTGACTGCTGTTGGAGGACGAGTTTCACCTGACCTGGTGGTGGGACGCTGCGTAGTGTTACTCGACGTCGCGCGGTTGCGGGGTGTGGCCTTTCTGGTGGTAGGCGGAGCAGAAGCCTTCCTACTTGTTGAGCCAGGTTTCGCGGCAGTCTTCTTGGATAGTGTAGTTTGAGATGTCTGGACGCCCCGACTCCCAGGCCGGCTATCGCTAGCCGGACTGGATGTTGAAGCGGAGTCTACTGTAATTGGTTCACTAGCTCTACGCGGCATCCCGAACGACAGCGGATCTTCCTCCCCTGTTAACGCCCGTGTCCGCTGCATGGGCAATTCACGGTCAAGGTGTTCAGGGGAAAGAGGCGCAGGGCTCATTGTGGGAATTGGTATCCGAGAGGAGCTTTTTCGCAGACCGGGATTGTGGTAGACATTTGAAGCGGGCCCATCTATTTCTGCTGCAATCTCCTCGGGCCTGCGAAGGTCCCAATGTCTGCGTTCTTCGCCCGTACCGTGGCCATTTAGTTGGCCCTCAGGGGCAAGGAAATCGGGGTGGTTGCGTTGCTCCTCTTGTAGATCTGGCCAAGGTTCCAATGGTTCGGTCGTTTGAGGCGTGGTGACAACACTTCCGCTAACGCTCCCATGTTGATCTCGGCTTCTCCCATGTCCAGCCTTGATGCTTCCAGTTCCGGGGCGGCGCTGGAGCAAGATTTGATGCAGCTCTTCACTTTCGATTTTCGCCAACTTGTCCCGGTGGATCCAATTCTCGTTGTCTGTTTCTTTCAAGTACAGCCCAATCCCCTCATTTTCTTCTGCTTTCTTGGCGGATCCATTCATATGAGGCGTAATTCCTGGGTCGCGGCCACTCCCAGTCTCACTTTCGTAGCGGTTAAGGCTGGCATCTCGGTGTCCTCGGGAAGAATAGTGCACCTGTTCGTGAGCGTGTGCATGCCTTGACATCGAGGAGCTGCGGGAGCCTTTGGAGCCACGATCTCGAGACTTGGCGTCCCGGGATGAGCGTGAACGAGATTTAGAGCGACGACGTCTGTTGCTCTGTTCAATAGCGGTCAGCCGATTTGATCAGGTGGGAGATATCGAGGGAGAAAAACAAAAGAGGTTCTTGAATATGCTGGGTGAAACCCCTTCGAAACACGTACCTCTTGCCTAATTGGAACTGAAAACTCCCACTGCTGCTGGCTCGCCTCTAGGCTGCTAGACGATGTCCAAACATCTGATGAAAACGCCGCGGTAGCTGTGCCCCCCATCCCAGCTGCAGACCGTCAAGATACTTTAGAACAGAACACGGCCAGTCCAGCTGGAGCCCGGTTGAGGGGTATAGAACGATTGAGGAGATGAATAGATGAATACAAGAGTGATCCTAGGCCCCTCTTCCCTGATCAGGCCATCATAAGACTCAAGAGGTACCGATCGCGTCGTGCTCGTTCACCAACGAGTCCCGCCAATCTGAGTACTCCTGATTAGGTATGTAGTATGCGAGGGCGGCGAAAAGAGAAAAAAAAAAATTGAGGAGGCTGTACACACTATGCGGCGTAGAACACGGGCGGAAGGGCGAGAAGGCGGCGAAACGAGGGTAGAGGCGCCAGAAAAAGGAAATTGCAAATAGACAAAAAAAGTGGAGATGCCTAGTTACCTCGTAGCAACTGGGAAAGCTGCAGCGCGACCTGGTCCTTGAGTAGAATTTTAGGGGACCGGTAGGCTGCGGTACCGTGGATATGTCTGTGTAGGCAAAGAACGCTATAGGTGGATGATATGGGGGTAGTGGTTCCAGAGAATAGATAGATCGGGTAAAAAGTAAATAATAGAAGAGAATATGATGAGGGAATGAAGGTGGAAAGAGAGAAATAAAGATAAAGAGCTGGTGGAAGGAGAGGGTAAGGAGAGGAGAAAAAGATGAGGCAAAGAGGGGAACGAAAGGATGCTGGTCAAGGGAAAAGGAGTGAGGGAGAGAGCGGATACAAAGAGCTGTGGCGGGACGGGCTGGGCTGCCCCCGAATCAGAGATGAAGAACAAAAACTGACAGTAGAAAAATGGGAGGAGAAAGGATTGTGAATAAAGTGAAAATAAAAAAAAATCTATATTTAAGACTGTATAAACGCTGGGTGAGGAGAGAGCAGCAGAGGGAAGAAGGAGAAAGAGGAGAAAGAAGAGAATCACCACCACCACCACCACCACCACCTCTCTAGATGTCAGCACGGGGGAAGGAAAGAAGAAAGAAAAATTATAGAAACCAAACTAATTCAACCTCTTAACTGCGTCAAGTTTAGTCTTTAGCTAGTGTGCAGTATTGCTGGGCCTTTCGTGGACTTTAGTGGGTACAAACTCTTGAGGATCTCCGGCCGCAATAGCCCAGAACATCCAACATCCTGACCATGAGCCTCTCACAAAACCAATAGAAAAGGAGAATCTGTAGATTTGTTTTGGATAAGAAAAGCAAACTGGACTTACGTCTTATCATCCCAGAAGATCGTCGATTGTTGACAGCCATGTGCACTCGCTCTAATATCAGGTCGCGAGTGGAGAGAAGCCTGCAGGTGGTGTCTCAAGGTCATTTCTATAGTTACAGTTCGACTCATAATCACATTGAGCCTGTCTCCTAGGGTATTCTTGTTTCTTGTCATACTTGGAAATAAGCAGTGCGAAAGTACTCTCTGTTGACTGCCCAAAACCCTGGAGTTTCATTACTTGTTCGAGAAAATGGCCGTGTTGAATGAACTTTTAAATCTGATACATCTATCCATCAATTGCATTGACCAGCATGCATTACCAAGCACTATCCTTACCCTCGAGTAATGTTACAACTTCCAGCATAGCTACCTAACATCCTTATAGTACTGTTATATTGAATCACCTCACCTGTGTGGTTCTAGTTCTAGGAATCTGGAACCTGCTTTTAAAATGATTCTATCCACCATTTAGTCCATCCTTCCGCTATTTGGCGTAGTACCATACAGACTAGACTAATGAACTGGAACCAAGCATTATGAACTGAGGATGATCTGCAAGCGCAATTCTTCACCCTGTTCTTGTCAGGGGCTATTTATTCAATTTATTCAGAATATTGCAGAAAATGGGTTCTGTCATGGGATAATAAGGATCCTATAGGTATACAGCTCTCATCGCATACCTTTCCCAGCACAGAGTATCAACTTTAACTAGTTAGACAGGTCATACAATAGTCACAAAAAGCCTGCATTTTCTTTATTCCAAGAATTATAATATAATGGTCTACCAGGGAAGCAAACAATACTATGGTAGGAATATAATTGTTTTACCCCTCTTAATTTTACTTATGTACCAGGTAAAAAAGGTCTTGTGTCTCAATTTCTTTCCAACCCTCTACGACCATCCCAACTACTCCATACCAGGAGCAAAAATTTAAGAAATAGGGATACTCTTTAAGATGGAAATATATTATCATTTTAAGAAATACTCCATTTTGCATTTCAGGGGCGAAAGCATCTGGATAACCAACCCTGACACGGAATAACCCCAAAGGGGTATATCCAAACAGACACACACTAGCTGTTATAGTTTCGCAATTTAGAGCAAGGATATTTGTCTTCTTCATACCATCTTCATCCTCTCTTGATACGGGATCCCTTCCTGACCAGACAACGCCGTGCTAACCCTAAGAAATACAAGCATCCAAAAGCGAGGGCAACTGGGCCACAACGCTTGACCCGACAAGAGAGGGAGAGAGAGAGAGAGAGAGGCTCTGTTCATTGCGGAGCCAATCTTGCATGGGGAGGCGGCTGGCGTGTCTCCCAGTAAGAGGGCCGTTTCCGTTCCTGGTGCAGTGTAATCCGGGCATTACTCCGTACCTGTTGTTATCGGTTTACCTTGGTTAAACTTAAAGTGCGGAGGATATCTGGTGGCTCAAGGGGATCCCGGAGCGAGAGGCGCACGGAATTAATAACATCCTGCCGGGTGACTGGGGATGGGTTATGCAGTTGGCCATTAGATGTCACGAGCAGCAGCACCTCTGGGATGATGACTGCACCGATTGTTGGGCCAGACTCTTATTAGTTGTGGTATAACGAATAGCAAGAAAAGAAAAGAAGTAAGAATACATCGAACTTCCCGTACATAACAATTCCACTTACTGTTTCACGAAAGACCAAGATTTACAGACTCGTACTCTGCTCATCACGTTCACGACGACCACGAAGAACCACGAAAGAAGACAGGACAGTATTAGAATCGATACTACAATTCAAGTCAAGCCTGATCGATGATCGGGTACGTACCGTCGTACAACATATTATTTAGGCAGGAATTTTCGGCACTATTGGAAGCTATCGAGATAGGGCTAGAGACTGACCCACCACCAGATTCAAAAAGTTCCGTAGTCCGTACTCCGTACGTACTCCGTAGACTCCGACCATCAGAATAGACTCAGATGTAATTCTAGGTAGATTGTACCGATCGTTTCTATACCACGAGGCAAACTGCCAGTCCAGTACCTCGCTAGGATGCAATGAGAAGCAACAGGATGAGGATGGAAATCTTCTAGTAGGTTCGGGTAAAGAGTTCGGTAGGTAGTCAATATTAGTATTAACCACTCTAAATACCTTTTAAGTGGCGATAATTGGGATATAAAAAGCGTCATTTTATATGGATTACCGCGTATGGCAGATCGGTTGGGAAATATGGTAAATAACGTCACCTATTACTATAATGATGTAAGGTGGACTTGGAAGAGTAGGCGTTAGAGAATCCTCATAGAACCAGTTCATAAGGTGATCTGATATTAGAGCGTATAGTAAATTGTTCGGCATTTCTACCCGAGATTAAAAAACACACTATTGATATTTTTTTGGGGCTCTTTTTTTCAATAGTTTACTTTGGAGTGTCTTCCATAATAGATAAAGTAGGGAGGATTCCTCCTCTTGATTTAGGTAAACTGTTCTGTTCTCTGGTGTCTCGAGTTACAAAATCCACTGATACTACTATTTCTGCATACTCATTTTCACCCCAAAAATGCATCTCTGGCAGTTATATTCTTTTCTTGCCTTGGCCTTCTCGCTGTTCTCCACAGCTGCAGCATCATCCGATGCTCTGAACGTGACTGTCCTCGGGGCTGCAAATAACCACTCCACCTTGGAGTGCTGGTCCCTAGAGCCGGGATTTACCGTCTCTCCACAGGCAGGCACCGCAGGGTCGGAGGTTCTTTCTTTGGGCCTGCTAGGAGGCACGAATGCATCCTATGTCGTGGTTCCGGCCGAGTTTGACGGTGGAGGGCATAATGCCCCTGCGGTACAGTAAGTCCCAGCCCATTTTCCTTAGCCAGGGGCACATTGCAAGGCAGCCTGTCGCGTTCTACCTTCTAGTAGCCAAACTGCTAGAAGTGGAAATAAAACGCCCGAAACATTCGAACCAAAAGTGAAAACGGGGAATCGTCACTGGACACTTTTTTTTTACTAACTTGCTCATGTGCTCGCTATAGATGGGTGGTCTTCCTCTCCGGGCTCGCGCATATTACTCTCCCACATTCCAAACATGAAGCCTGGATCCGGGGAGGTAAACACGGTACAATACTGGCTTTGGATACCGCGGCTGTTAGTGCCGATGGACATAATACAACATACCCTAGTCGGGACATCACAATTGGGCTGCAATTGCCTATTGCCGGAGGGAAAATCCCAGAGCACGAGTTTCTCCATATGGGAGCTTGTCGCCATGAGGAGCTGGAGCTGTAAATCTGTGTCAATGTTGGCTTTGTTTTGCTCGTCGCGTTTCTACATAATAGGGTAGATGCGTTTTAGCAGGAAAAAAAAAAGGGGACTTCGTAACATAAGCAGCCCAGGCTCATAGTATAGTTTGTAGTTAAGAAGCTCGCCTAGTTAGAAAAGTTACTGAAGATCCATATACGTTCGCTTTCTTCCATCTTGGGATGTTTCCAGGGGTTGAGAGGGAGGATACTGTCGGCTCAGGGGGCGAATCGGCAAGATTCGTCGATTGCTGCTGTCTTTACCAACTAGCATCTATTTCCTAATTACGGCCCTCGGGTCTAAATCCTTCCAGAATGATCTGGTCTATGCTTGCGCTTCTTGGCTTTATCCTGTGGTGGTTTCTCCCTTTCGCTGTGTGCACTTAAAAGTCTCTTCAGCGGCGAATGCTGAACTGAATGATCTCCTAGTAGGAAACGAAAGATCCTCGAATTAGATAAGGCTGAAGGTGCGGAAGTTGGCATGTATGGAGTATATTATTAGATCATCTTCCCTATCTCTCCTTGTGTTAACTGATGCTTCTCAGACCCAGAAGCTATATAAACCGAATTTGGTAGGGGAAGGGAGCAACAACTTAGCCCTTTATTCTCCTTACACACGTTGCTTTTTGGCCTTCCAACTCCAACAACACCCTTACATTGTGAGCTGAAATCGCCAGGTATAATCTTCCAGCTACACTAGAGACTCATCAAGATGAGGTTGAGATTGGTGCTAACTGCTCTGGAGATAGTGCGATTGTTTAATGCAATTCGAGGTATCCAACACCACGATGGCAGGCCGAAGAGCAGGACCTGCAAGGCGCGTGCTAGCCCCGAGAGCATGGCCTATATCAGGAGGAATCATCACATAGGTATTCTGCAGGTCACCGATCTTGATGGGGACTTTCTGCTTCTCCAGCTTCCCATCTTGCCCGTGGTGGATGAACTCTGCAGTGGCCTGGTAGTAGTACTTTGTGGTGGTCTTATTTGCTTCCGTAAAGCAGCAGCAACGGGTCACATTTTGAGGGCTATGTATGTATGAAGGAAGATTCCTTTGAATTCGCGGGGGTGGATTCTAATGGAGTTTGAAGAGATGAAATTAAGTACTTGTGTAAACAGGCGGTAACAGCAGGCATGTGGACTGAAAGGGAAGTGAAGATTCCAACAGCTTGGCATAACATTCCGGGAGGATTGTTTTATATAGCTCTTGAATACTAGTATTACTATATATACAACAACATCCAGCTACTACTAGTAGTGCTAAATTCCAACACCAGCTAGGTAATTTCAGGTATCTTACCTAGGTGCTCTTGATATTGTTTACCCTGTCCTTCCCGTATATGATGGGAATGGAAATTGTCCTGGGAGATAAAATATATATATGTATTATGATAATGGCTGTATTATACACCAAAAATAAAAAAAAATCTAGAATTATATCATTGACCTTTGAAATACCCCTTAAATATACATCAAGAAAACCAGTGATCAGAGAGCAAATCAAGTAGAAAAGAAGATTAGCCAAAACGAAAAAAAAGCATGGCAACAAGAACGGTAGGATTAAAGCTTTGCTGCCTGGTCGAGGCTGGAAAGCATCTTCTGCGTCTCCTTGATCAGAGCCCGGCGTGCAGTTCGGGTATCATCATCGGTAGATTCAATGCCGTCCGCCTTGAGAATCACCTGCGCCAAGATCGTCTCCGCGAGTTTCTTGTGCTCGAATTCGCGTGATTTCGGCTCAGAGGGCGGGCTAGCGATGTATGCTTCGCAGAGCGGTAGTAGGTCTCGGTGGAAGTATACGGTCAAGGCTCTTACTTGCTCGGGTGCGTTGGGCAAGGCATTTAGGTTCGGTGCGGGAGGGGGTAATCCCGAGCGACCACTGGATGATGTTGGTCGTTGTGATGGAGGCGGAACTAGTTCGGGCTGAGTCTCCCCAGGCTGCTGCTGCTTCTTCTTCTTCTTGCCCTTGGATTTTCCTTTACCCTTGTTTTTCTTCCCTTTACCTTCGGAGGGACCGTCCGGTACGCGCGGGTCATCCTGACGGCCCGAGTCGCTGATTCTCTCAGCGTCGGAGACATCGCTCGGAGTCCTCGCTCCCGACTGAACCTCCGACACCACGCACAGAACCTCCGATCGCTGTTTCAGACCCTCCACTCGACAAGGCAGGGAGTCATTGCCTAGCAGCTTACCCTTGTAGAGGAGTCTGATACGATTCGGATCCGCCGTCTTGGTGACCTCCGCGGCGCTTTGCCTCAACTGGCCCACACTAAGGGTGCCGTCGTTGATCGAGTAAGGCGGGAAATGCAGCTCGTAGGTGACTTTGCGGTGGTTGAGGAGGAGTTTATCGGGCTCTGTGTCGTTGTCCTCAGGATCCCCCCTCTGGAGGTACGTATTTTCGTATACGTGCGTGGGAGGGTCCACAATACCGTTAGGTCCAAGGTAGGAGTAGGGTCGATCACGCTCGCGATCACCGAGCGGGGATGTACTGGGGACGTCGCTGTAGGAAGGAGAGCGGCGCCAGAAGCTGCGCCAAGACATGACCACGAGGGCAATCGCACAGGCAACGAGGGTGAAGGCGATCGAAGATTTCTGGGAATCTGAGGCGAGCGTGCGGTAATAGGAGGGCCAATCGGGGGGAGAAGTGAGAGCGCGCAAGAAGGGCGTCGACGACGATGAGGCTGAACCGGAGACGAGGGGAGTAACCAATTTGTGGTGGAGGGAATGCAGGGAGGAGGGGAGACTGGTGGTTATATAATCGAGGTAGGATGCACACGTCTCGCCCAGCGCCAGAGAGGACTGGGAAATGTGTGAGAGCAGCTGGGTCATGGATTTATGAACCAGAGGCACAGCGAGGATGTCTTGTGGTGTTGAGGTCATGGAAGCTGGCCTTAGTTTAGTTTCTTTTTCCGGCATCGGCTTACTATTTTGTCAAGCGGAGCCTTGCCTGAGGCCTGAGCTCCTTGTATTCTGTCGTGACTCAGCCACAGTTGAGCCACAGTTAGCCAGTGTTGATACCTGATTTGTAGACCAGCATCCAAATCATCTGGAAGTCTAGGTAATTGATGCTGAGCATGATCTGGGATGAAAGTTCATGATTACTAGTACTTCCATCTGACCGTACATCCATACGACCGGTAGCAGGGTACTCTACAGCCTTCCACCTGCAGGCGCAACACCTGGTCCATAGAGGAGATACAAGAGACTCGGCGCCTGGTGGCAATTAAAAGTTTCGTCATCTGATCTCGCTATCGGATAATCTCGGTTGTTGTCCGATCTCTCCCTGGCCGTCGTCGGAATTATCGCAATATTTTTTTGGAGAGAGAGAGAGAGAGAGAAAAAAAAGATGGCTTGAATATGGACAATAATAGAGGTACTATACTATATATATTAGGTGATATCATACAGGGAAAAAAAAAAAAATCGTGTCTAGTTAAAACGCCTTTGCAATGCGATATAGAGTTCGTCCTTCTATATTCTGACCCCACCATTCGCGGGCCGCCCGCCAAACCATCTAGCGAGACCCCCATTCCCATCGGGACCGTCATTGCTCATCCACCGAGGAAGCTGAAAGGAATCGCCTTGCAGCCACTGAGGTCGGCTGGCGGTCTCAATGGTATTTCTGACCCGATGGGCAAAGGACTGGAAAAAGTTTTCCTCGTCCTGGTTCTCATCCTCCTCTACAGCAGAGGATATAGCAACCGCACCCCTGGGAGCCCCGGATGGCCGTGTGGCGTTGTTTAAAGGGGTTCGCGAGGATGAGAATGCTTGGGTATTGCTATCCATGTTCGTTGACTCGCGAGGTGGCCGCCCAGTACGCGCAGACAGCCCAAGGGATCCGAGACTGTTCAATTCCCGATCAATGAGTTCCCGGCCCTCACGCCAGCCGCCTATTCCGTAGCCACTAGGATTGTTTTCCAAGTCATCATCCTCTTCTTCCAAAAGCCCGAAGCCACAAATGTTTCGCACGCGACCATAGAGATTGAAGAGAGCAGCACAGACCGGAAGGAGGATAAAGACAGGGAAGAAGTAATCAACCCCTTTCCCAAGGGGGGTCAGAACAATCCACTGGCCGAGAAATCGATAAAATGTAGTTCTCTGCTGGACATCCTTCGGCAGAAATGTCAGGAAGTTGTATGCAATGGGTACCGTAAGCCTGGCGACTAGCCCCGCATACCAGCACGCACTCTCTCCGTATGTGTTCCGACGGACCAGCGCTCGATTGCCCCACACTTTGGCATCGTTGACGCCAACCAAGGCTGCAGAGCACATGTAAAGCAACCACATAGAGGCAATTACTTGTTTTCCAAAACCGATTGGTGCCGGATCCTGGTGATATGAGATAATAGATAGCGTTACCACAGACAGGCGGGGGGCCAAAGACTTGATCAACTCCGACCAGACAACGCAGATCGACGCGGCTGCAAAGACTGCCCCCAGGAACAGACGGAAGCTGGGATAAAAATTCACATAGAGATGGTACCGCAGATAGGGGGTGAGGAGCTTCACTTGCGGGAGACAGGAGGAGCGCTGGGGGTATTGGCCAAATTCGAGTTTCTTCGATGCGGAAGAGTTTATGATTGCCTGCAGATCGGCAGCCGTTAGGATTAGACGATCCCACTCATCGACAAACCGAGCTTTCTGATGCCGGGCGCGTTGGAGACGTCTGGTCAAGTCCGCCAAATAGCGTTCTGTGATGACAGCGGGAACGGTGCTGGAACCGGCGGAAGGTTCCAATAGACCGGATCGAAGTTCTGGAGGGGTGGAAGTTTCTGCGAGCTCTTCTATCCAGTCCTGGAAATTGCGAGCGGAGCCAGTCTTCCGGTTTTGTAACTGGGCAACCTGAGACTCAAGGCTCTCCAGATCATTGATGGCATCCATCAGGCGGTCATGCAGTAAGGGCGCATGGGCTTGGAGTCTGCGTAGTCTGCCACTGACATTGGAATTGCGGAATAGCGTGCGTGGGATCGAAACCAAGCCATGGCCCATGAGATAGATGGCAAGAACGAGACCCCAGACGTAAGCTAGAGCCATTACTAGGGCCTTGATCGACGTAAAGTCAAAGCCATTTTGGATGCAAATATAAATAAACCCCACCGTTGCACAGCCCAACACAATCATTTGATACCGTGCGTTGGAGCGGATAGAATATTGGATGCGGCCCTTGGCATCGCGGTATCCGGAATCGATATATTCGCCGAGCAACGGGAGAATAGCCCTGGGGGACGGAAGCATCGGAGATTAGCATGAATGTACACCAGAGGAAAAGGCAACATATGTGCAATGCATACCACGTGAGGACAAAGATCAGCCAGTAGGCGATGCGCCAGGATACCAGGATGAGGCGATCTGGGAGCCAGATGGCCTTGGGTCCGGAGCCATCATCACGCGAGCTGGAGGCTAAATCAATGGGGACCAGAAGAACTACACTGGCTGGGAGGGCGAGCGCAAGGAAGACGGGGGTTGATAGATAAGCTGGCGTGGCTCGCAGTGTAAGGAAGCGTCGGAGGAGGAGCAGTACGAGGATGGAGATTATGACGAGGGCAAGGGTAAAGAATACAGAGGAACCGACCGAGATGGAAGCTATGGAGATCATCATGGTGGATGTGACAACGGAAGAAGGGAGGGTATGGGAGTTGATTTGCTCGATCAACAATAATTGATCATGTCGAGTCGGTGAGGTGGGTGGACTCAGAGAGGAACTATCGATCCAAGCCCCCGACGAGAGCGGAATATAGGTATGGAGTGGAAGGTACGGAAGAGGTAGTACTGTAACTATTGGGCGAGGGAATTAATAATAATAATAGGGCAGAAAGAGGATGACGGGTAAGAGCAAGGGGAACTTGACTTGCAAGGCACTGAGAATAATAATAGTAATAATCAAGGTTCTAGTTAGTTATTTCCAGACAAAATGACAAAGTGGAGGATCAAAAGGTGGACAGACAACAACAGGAACTCGGGAATAGGTTGACGACGACTCTTTTCCCCCGTTTGTACGATTGAGATGCGGTCACGTTGTGGTCACATGACATGGCTGCTTGCGGAGACATCAGCAGATGTAATTGGCTGAACGAGATTTGATTTTCCCGCCATAATTATTTCTATAAACCTAACTAGTGGACGGAGTACGAGTAGTTAAGTAATAATCCTAATATTAGTCTGTTCTGGTGATGGTGGTGTTGCTCGTAAAGAGACAAGGTTTTGTGCGACCTTGGTAGATAAATTAAGAATGAGGTACTTTTTCTATTACTTGTGCAGAGAGGTACATGATTATACTCTGTGTACGGTCCGCTTTATAGAAGACACACAATAGTTTCCTGATAAATTATAATCCGAAAAATCCGAAGCAGAAGAGGATATAAAACAAGAAAAAAGAAATCTTCAAGTCTCCTCAGGGTTGTACTTTGTGAACCGATAATAAAGGGAAGCAATGACTTCTTTTTATGTTGTCAAGTCCTACTAGTAGTCTTCCATAGTTACCTAAGGTACCTTAAACTACTTGAAGATCATGTCGAGGTCTAAAGGTCTAGTTCCTGGTGAGTCCCACACCTCTTTTTTTTTTGACAGGATCTTAAGTCTTACCTGAGTATCGCCTATTTTCTTCCTCTCTTCGTTTTCCTCTTGCTCCCTTGTTCGCCATTAATTGGGTACTTTCATCTATTATTTGCTCTTAGTAGTAGTAGTAGTAGTATTATTTTTCCTTTTCTTTTCTTTTCTTCCTCCTCTTCTTCTTCTTCTTGCTTTTGTGATTTCTTGTCATTTTCATTTTCTACTTTCTTCCACTTCTCTCTTCTCTCTTCTCTTTTTCTCTTTTTCCCTCTTCACCTCTTCCTAACTAGTAAGTATTGACCTATACCACGCCACTGGGCAGCATCTACCTACCTCTCTCTCTCTCTCCCACGGTTGCTTTCTCCTCTTCCCTTCTCTCCCGACCGATTGTTCCATTCTCTTTCCCACCCGCTCTTTTCTCCCCACTTCCTTTCCTCTTATCTTCTTTTCCTCTCTGATGATTCCGCTGCTGGTCCCTTGTTTTTTATTTTCCAATTTCAATTTTCTTCTTATCCGCCCATCTCGTTTCAAACTTGCCCCTACCTCATATTACGATCATCCTGATATGTTACTTTTTGATTAGATCTTTAAGCTTTTTTTTTCCCCTTCTTTTGTCCTTGAATATATATTTTTTTTCTTTATTTTTCTCTTACCCGATTTTCCCTTGGATCGTTTTGCGCGATCTAAAAATCCCCGTGGTTCATCAAGAGCTTCTCCCAAGTCGATACGAATCGTTCTGCAGCGGCTGGATCCCGTGTTACTGCAACATCCTTGTCACTGATCCAACCCTCTCTCTCTTTGCTCCTCCCACTCTTCCCCCCTTCTCCCCAAAGGCCACTTACCCGGTGTCTGCCAACGAACTTGCTTCAACTGAACGCTGGTGCCCGAACGCCTTGTTGCCCCCGTTGAGTTGGTCCCCTTGCTCTCTCTATCTACCTTTCTTCCCCCCTCTCCTCGATCTTTCTCCGTCATTATTCTACCACTCACCTTGCTTTATTTTGATCTACCCTTACTCATATTTATCCTAATTTCAACGTTATCGCTGTCTTGAAGCTGACTCTTTCTTGGATCTCCCGCAAAAGTCGCGTCTTTGACACCTATATTCTCGCGATTGTTTGATTCCGCTCGTCTTCTCTACCCCTCGGATTCATTGCCGCCTTTGCCGATCTCGAAGTCCGCCCTCGTCTCCACCGTCCTGAGCTTACATATCCCCTCGCTCGATTCGACCGTCGACAAAGGGTGACAGCTTTCATTTCCATCAGCGAATGCTGATTTCCAAGGAAGGCTTGCGTGGACTGCTCCTCGATCCCCATTGAGGGGGTTGTTGACATGAATCCCGCAAACTTCCCCAATGTCGCTGGGGGCTTGAACGGCGCCACGAAGCCGCATGGCCAAATGCAAGTTCCCCCCAAGGGCGATAATGGCCAGTATATTCTCGCAAATATTGCCCAAGCTCTACAGGCCCAGGGACCTTTCACTGGTTGGAGAGCCGGCCTCACAGTGAGAGATCGCACTCTCAAAGTCCATCACATGTGAGTTGCTGCCCCTTCGTGCACACACTTTCCACTGTACCATGGTACCTCGGCTGACCTCATATTAGGATCACTTCCCTCCGCCTAATACAGCCTCAAATAAATCTACAGAACGCAGCCCAGGCTGCCATGAATTTCGAACAGAAAGCCTTTAAAGAATCCAGGGATAAGGTAGGCTTCGTGTCTTCGAGAGTTAACCTACCAGTTGGGTCTGATCTAATTTCTATAGACCGAGTACGAAAGGGAATTTAGCGAGAAACTTGTCCATATTCGAGATACGCGTGCCCGACAGGCCGCTGTCATGCAGGGAGGCATGATGCAGCAACAACAACAACAACAGCAAGGTCCTGGTTCGGGCATGCAAGGCGTAGGACAGTCTCCATTCCCTCAGCAGATGACTCGACCGGTACAGGCATCCCCAATGCTGGGTCCCCAGCAAATGCAGATGGACATGAACGACCCGAATCAACAGGCCGCAATGCAGCATCGCCAACAGCAGCAACAGCAGCAACAGCAACAACAGCAACAACAGCAACAGCAGCAACAGCAGCAACAGCAACAACAGCAACAACAGCAGCAGCAGCAGCAGCAGCAGCAGCAACAACAACAACAACAACAACAACAACAACAACCTCCTCCAGCAATGCTTCAGCAACAACGCACACAACGGCCTGGTGGTAGTGCCGGCCTCTCCGATGAGCTTAACACTCTTTCACCCCAGGAATACGAGAACGTTTGCCGAATTGCAGCTCAAATCCTTCAAAAAACCTCTCAGGAAGATATGAATAAGATTAAAGTGAATTTGCAAAATATGAGCAACGAACAAAAACTTTATTTGTCGAAGAAGGGCATGGACCCAATCACATACTTTTTCCGTTGTCAGGCCTTGAACCAACTTCGCAGGTTCAAACGTTCACGCATGGAGATGGCCCGTAATGGACAGAACAATGGGGTTGACCCCAACAATGGAATGATTGGGGGGGATCCTATGATGAATCCTCAACAACGTCAAATGTTCCAGAACATGGTAAATCTTCAACGAAATCCTCAGTTCTCTATGGGCAACCAGCAAAACATCGATCCTTCCTCATTTATCGGCAATGTGGAGAATATTCAAGGTCAGCAAGCAGACGGCCTCCGCTCTCAGGAAGCAGGTCAACTTGTGGTCCCAGCTAGCTCTTCCCAGATGAACCAACCGCCTTTCAACACACCTCAGAATATGTTCCAAGTCGGGCAACAGCTTGGTCAAGGTGGTCAAGTGAACATGAATGGCGCGGGCATTAGCCCCCAATTTCTTGCGCAGCAGCATCTACCCGGCGCTCAAAGTGGTCCACAAGATAGAGCTCAACAGGCAGCTCAATTTCAATCCCAATCCCAGGCTCAGACCCAGGCCCAACGAGTACAAGCTGCACAGAAAGCCCAAATGGCTATTTCTCAGGTTGGCCAAGCTAATACCCACATGCAGCAGCAGATGGCTCAGCAAAGTCCAGCGATGCCCATGTTGAATCGTCCGATGGCCGCCCCCGGTCAGATGTCCCCTGCACAGGTTGCTGCCCAGATCCAACCTCAATCTAGACCACCAGGAATGGGGCAACAGCAGGGCAACGTCCAATCCCTGGGAGCTCAACAGGGGATGCCAAACCGGCCGGCGATCCCCCCAAATCTTCCTGCCCATGTCCAAGAACAACTGGCGCAAATGTCAAATGAGCAGCTCACAGCGTTTTTGATGAACCAGCGTCGTATACTTGCAAATAACCAGGCTATGGCAAGAGCAAATGCTGCCGCTCAACAACCTATGAGTATGCAGCAAACCATGTCACAGTCTGCTCAGGGCCAACAAATGGTCAACAGCCAGCTGGGTAACGCTCAAAATCTGCGAGCATCCCTAGGTTTACAGCAGCAACTTGCAGCCATGGGCCAAGCACAGCAAACTAATCAGATGATGCCGGGACAGCAGATGTCTGTTCAACAGCGCCAACAAACCCCGCAACAACGCCAACAAGACCTCTATAAGCTGCAATTCCTTCGTCAGCAAGCTAATAGTGGGGCGATGGAAATGACTCCGGATCAAATTAGAGAGATGGACCGCATGCCTTTCCCGGCGGCAATTCTGAATACCAACCCTAACGCAGCATCATTTCCAAAAAATATCAAAACCTGGGGCCAATTGAAGCAAATCGCAGCCACGAACCCCCAGCTTCTTAGTGGTATGGATATTTCGAAATTGATGACCTTGCAAAAGTTTCATCTTGCCCAGCTCCTTGCTCATGGTAAGGAAAATCCGAATAGGGCCGCAGAGCAGAATAATGGTCAAGCTCCTTGGATGCCTATGTCTTTTCAGGGCCAACAACAGCCCTTCATGAACCCCCAGCAATTCCAGGCAGGCCAGCAGCAGCCCCAAATAAGCATGCAACATATAAGACCCGTTACGGCACAGGATATCGCAGTAGCTCGCCAACGTTTGGGCCCCCAGGTGCAAAACCTTACTGACGAGCAGATTCGTGAAGCACTTGGACAAAGACGAATGCAAGCATCCCAGGCCCGTGCGGCCCAAGCTCTCCTGAATCAGCAGAACCAACTGTCACAGCCACCTCAGCAAACTCCAGTTTCTGTTGCGCCCTCTGCACCGCTGGTTAAATCCGAACCCCAACCTCAACAGCAAGTACCTCAGCAGAACCAACAAAACCAAGCCGCAAAACCCACGGCTGCAACACCGGCAAAGACAGCCAAAGTGGCTGCAAAGGCGGTGCCTGCGCCAAAAAGAAAAGCGCCGAATGAAGAACTCGCACCCCCTCGGACTTCACCCCTGCAAAAATCCGGGCCGCCAGCTACGCCTCAACAGGCACCGTCCCGGCCACAAATACCATTCACTCGGGAGCAACTGGCAGCAATGACGCCTCAGCAACGTGCGCAAGTTGAGGCGCATCTTCGTCGACAACAGGGCCAAGCGCGTGGGACGATCAACAGGGCCGCTGCGGAAGAGGCTTGGAACAATTTACCCGAAAAGATTCGACAGTTACATAACGAGATTTCTAAGAACGCCCCTCCTGATCAGCCCATTGCTGTGACTCCCGAACAGAGAGCTACTATGAACCAGCAGCTCCGTGACTGTACAGACTATCTGGGTAGAATGGACGCACTAGTTCAATTTATCTCTAAGATCCCCGGCCAAGAGAAGAACGTTCGAAACCTTCTTGGGATGGTATGTATGCTCAACAGCTTTCCCTTCCCCCCTCCCTTTTTCCTTCTTCTTGTACTTCTTTTTTTTTTTTTTTTCGCATTTTGGTATACTTTACTAACAACATTGAATATAGCGAATCCAATTGATGCGCCAGTTTAAGCCCGGACCTGATTGGATGCTCAATGATCAAATCACCATTACTCCGGATTCTCTTACGGGAACTACGAACTATATCAAGAAATTGTTCCATCACATGATTGCCCGTGTGAACCAGCAGCAGAATCAGTCTTCTGGTCAACGCCCTGGTGTTGCGCAGGGGACCAATGTACAACAACCCAACCAAAACACACCGGCGCTGAACGCAAGCAATTTGCAACAGCTCCAGCAACAGGAAGAGGCTCTTCAGCGGGCACGTAGGGCTTCGAGCCAAACTGCCTCGGGGGCTTCTAATCTTCCGCAGGCGCCGTTTGGGGCCCCGTCTCCCCAAGGTGTTCCGCATGCTTACGGACCTGGAAGTATACCCCCTCAAGAGTTGAAACTTCCGCCTCCAAAGAAGAGAAAGCAATCTCACCCAGGTACCACGCCGGTTATGGGAATTTCCGTTACCAAACCCCAAATGAACAAGCAAGTCGCTACCGAGCCGAAGCCCATTTCTGGTGCTTTCAAGTGTTCTATCCCTGAATGTCAGAACCACTATCAGGGCTTCGCTACCCAGAATGAGCTTGATAAACATGTGGAGGAGAATCACAAAGCGGAGGAACCCATCGATGACCCCCTGCAGTTTGCTCTCCAGAGTTTTGGAAAGCTCATAAAGGATGAGGACAAAGAGGATGTTCAGGCATTGAACAAGACATCGATCCTCTCGTCGCCTATTAAACATGAGGTCAAGATTGAGGGAACCACCCCTGCTACGGGCGCAACCCCAATGGGACGAATCTCAAGCCAGTTTGGACTAAAACCTGTTTCGCCAGCGCCGAGTCAGCAGCTCACCCCTGTCGTGTCTTCAGGTAAACCTCCCGGCTCCTCATCACTCAACCCTACCGCGAGCCGGGATGGGAAGAAAGAACCAAGGAAACCCGGTGACCAGGGCCCTACTTCGTTGGATACGGCAGCAAACGATCCCTGGGCAGATAGCGCGATATCCTTGGAAGCGATTCGCGACACATTCATGGACATGGGCGACGAGGGTGGTTTGGGCTTTGGTGCGATGGATGAATTCCTCAATGCGGAGATGTTTACTGGGACCCAGGATACTCCAGACTCTGTTGAGACTGGCCTAGTTACGCAAACCCCCAAGGATAATGAATTGTCGAAGAATGAAGACTTGAACGACAAAAATGCAAGCATAACGGAAAGTTCTTGGATTCCGGTGGAATGGTTTAATTTACCGGGTCGATTTGAGGACGGTTTATTGATGAATGAGTCCTGTGAGGACATCGACTGGGACACGGTTGACCGCAGGGACGCGACTATGAGTGTCGACGACAGTGGCATTGCTATTTACGCCATGTAAAGAGAAGATCTTATGGGAATTATTAATGATTAAAGCAGGCGAATGGTGTGTGTTGTATGCTCTATATTGATATCCCACCCCCTTTTTTTTCTTCTAAATCCTTCAGTTTCTTTGTTTATTTTGGCCCAAATGTGAATGACTTATGTATAATAAGCCGAGAGGGATCAGGGGGTTTTCCTTTCCTTCTTTGTTTCAATCTTGCCAGGTTCATTTTGTGAATTATTAGCCCCGGCGTTTCAAAGGAAGGGTATTTCTGTGAAGTGTGTGGAAAGTTGCAGGGTAATGGAGTATCTGAGGCTTTCTTTAAAATAAATACCAAGTTTCTTCACATGGATATCTCACTAGTTAGTTAACTAGTTAACTACTCTATGGTACTGTTTATAAGCAGTAGATGTGGAGTTGGTAACTAGTTAACTATCTATAATTATGTAACTAATGTAACTATGGTATCGGGTGATCAGCCACTGCTGATAAGCAGGTTATCCGTACAACTTCCCCAAAGCTCAACAACACATCATCTTCATCTTAACTCATCTCGCTCCTAACTATCCGCACCATCCTCGACTGAAAATGGGCTTCCAATAAGTCGTCCTTGAACACTAAATCTGCTTCATATTGTTTATTCGACCCTTTTTTTTTTCGGTCAAATCCCAACAAAGTCCTCCAAGATCGTCCAAGAACCTACCCACCGAGCTCACCAAACCACCCCAGTTTCGAACGCCGCCCTTTGTCCTTCTGTGCTATTATCGAGAGCCAGCTGTCCCAGCCCAGGATTCAAGATGGAGAATAAGGCTATTATACCGTTCCTGGTCACAATGATGCTTGTGACAGGAGTGTGCAATACCCTTCTTAATAAATATCAGGTGAGGGGAATTTCCCTTCACTTCACTTTCGATGAATAGTGCTCATACAAAAGGGAAGGACATGCAATGTGTAAGAAACTGTGATTCTCCAAATCCCAAAGACCATCGCCACTTTGAACAACCAGTTATCCAAACGTAAGTCCAGCCTTTTGCATAGAAGAAGACACTCAACATGGGCTGTTGCTTACCGTGTGCGCTTGTTACTGGAACAGGATTCAGATGTTTATCGGCGAGATGGGCTGCTGGCTCGTCGTTCTCATGTCCTACATTTACAACCGTCATATTGCGTCGCGCCTACCCCAGAACCAGTCGCCCCTTTTGGCTGGTGGATATCGTCCTGTGAATACCGCTGATGGAGACGAGGAGGACCACACTGTCGAGGACTCCGATTTCAACAATGACCCTTCGAAGCCCCCTCGTCTCCCCGATGGTCGTATTCGGCTCCAAGGGCTCAGGACGTTCCTTCTTGCTGCTCCATCCTGCTGTGATATTGCAGGCACTACTCTAATGAATGTTGGTCTCCTCTTTGTCGCAGCCAGCATCTATCAGATGACACGTGGAGCTCTTGTTCTCTTTGTTGGGCTTTTCAGCGTTCTATTTCTCCATCGAAAGCTGTATTTATACCAGTGGCTCGCTCTTTTCGTCGTAGTTCTTGGAGTTGCACTAGTTGGCCTCGCAGGTGCTCTCTTTGATAATGGTAAGAATCATGATATTGATCAAGAAAGCGTTGTTGCTACTATCACTCTCGCAGCAAGGGAACTAAGGAACGCTGCTGAGACTCCTGAGGCCGTGAAGACTGTATTCGGCGTTGTCCTCATTGCCGCAGCTCAGATTTTCACTGCTTCACAGTTTGTGCTTGAAGAATGGATTCTGGAAAACTACGCCATGGATCCCCTTCAGGTTGTTGGTTGGGAGGGCATTTTTGGCTTCTCTGTGACTGTTATTGGGTCGATCATTTTGTACCTGACCGTGGGGCAGACCGAGGCAGGTCGTTATGGATATTTTGATGCTAAGGAGGGGTGGCGCCAAGTCCTAACTCATAGGGCCGTCGCTATTTCAAGTATGATGATTATGATTAGCATTGGGTACGTATCTCATTTCTTTCTCCTTGTCGTTAATTTATAACTAACATTTTCCCTCTCCTAGCGGCTTTAACTTTTTCGGACTCTCGGTTACCCGCTCTGTGTCTGCCACATCTCGCAGCACAATCGACACCTGCCGTACCCTCTTCATCTGGCTTGTTTCCTTGGGCCTCGGATGGGAGAGCTTCAAATGGCTCCAGGTTGCTGGATTTGCTCTCCTTGTATATGGAACCTTTTTGTTCAACGACATCATCCGTCCCCCACTCAAGGCCTGTCTACCTAGTGGGCTGAGGGAAAGAGAGGTTCTTTTGCCAGAGGAACCCATCGAGCACAATTAAACCCACCTTGTATACCTCTATCTCTCTCTCGACATATATATCTCTCTCTCCCCCGGAAGGATTAAATTTATTTGCACTGTTTCCTTTCTTTTCCTTCTTTTAGTTGAAGTGAGAATAAACGGACAAGTTTCTTTCCTTCTTTCTTTCAATTTTTTTTTTTTTTTTCGGTTTGAAATTTCCGGCTCATGATAACATACCACACATACTTACTGGAGTTTTTGGGATAGGCAGCTTGCATATATGCCTATTTGCTCTCGGCGATTGGATTGTTTTGTTATTTGCTTTGGATTCGTTATTTTATCCGATGGTCTGGTCAGATGGCTAGATGGCCAAATGTGCCAAGTTCAAGATATGATTAAATTAATGATTTCTATTGAGTGGTCTTGCGCTTGTCCAAGTTATTGGTATTTGTTTACTCGTACCTGTACCCTTTCCTCACATTCATCCTTATATAGTACTTGACTGATCAGGAAAAGATACTGTAGTAAACTTACGGAGTACCTGTAGTGGTTGAATTATGTGAGTGTACCCGAGGTAGGCAGTAGCTATTTGTATATGTATGTATATATGTATGTAGTGTATACATCACTATGTACAGGTGACACATGACTGACTTACTTCGTACTCACGGATAGGAAATGCATGTAATCACCCGATAAGCACACAACTAAGCAAGCAGAGAGAAATACGTTAACTAGTTAGCAGCTACTGAAGCTAACATATCAGCTGTCAGCTTCTCCTGACCCCACATTGTAGATATCTAATTCACTAGCCCATCTTCTAGAGAAATCGAAAAAAAAAAAAAAAAAGGGGGGGGGGGGGGGTTAGGTTAAAGCAAAGCAAAGTCGAACTCGAGTGGTAAGAGGGAAGAATTAATTCAATTCAGAAACGATAATGATTATGAAGGCGTCTTGGAACGAAAGACGGGTATGGATAATGAATAATTATAAGAAAACAATGAATATAGAGTGTTGGGTATATGGAAAATGCTCGAGGACTTGCTTGCCTGCTTGGATATTTGTTCCTTTCTTAGACAAGAACGTATAATGTACACATCTAGAATAGACGTTAGCAAATACTGTTATAACGAAGAAGGGAGCGAAGCCTTACTAGAGAAAGACCGAAGATCATTGAGAGCCAAAAGAACACGTTCTGCAGGGTGTGTAGTTAGTAAAAAATTGGTAGGACCAACTGGATGATGTATGGTGAGTCATGTGGGACGGGAACGTACGTTGAGAGTTGTCTTATCACGGAAGTACTTGGACTTTTGGATGGCAATGATAGGTAGCTGGAGCATCATAGCGAGGAACCCGTATCCGCGCAACTTCTTGGTAATACAGCTCATCACGAGTTCGTGGAAGATGGAGCTAACCAAAAACGTGATGAACATCGCTACGGGCTGAGAGAAGTGAGAAAGAGAGGAGAAGTAGACATGGCGGCGGAGGAAATGGTGGACAGGGATGTTCCACTCGCGTGAGAATTCAAGCCTGGCAAAAATGTCCGTCAGCAAAAGACAGGGATTTTGAGGAGTGTACTACCTACCAATCGCAGGAATTCCACCAATCCGAGTAAAAGTGGCGGTCAGCAAAGCATGTCAGCTCTGCAAAGGCGCCCAAGACATACTCGAAGATGACCAGGAATACGAGCAGGAAGGTAATCATGAAGGGAAAAAGCAGCATGCTAATTGCTTCCGCCATGATGAGGGCCTTGTCTGAGAAACTTTTGACAGTATGAAGTTGACTGCCAGCTTCACTTAAGACGGGCACGATAAACTCTTCGCTTGTAAGAGTCAATAGGAATATACATCCAAAAACAGCCAGGCTCTTTAAGCCGACCTCCATCCACTGTCTATCTTTGCTCCGAGGGTACTCCAGCTCGTAGCACAGGGTGGGACAAAAGAGAAAGTCGATATAGTTGGCGGCTGTGAGGTTCTGCGGATATGTGACATTGCCCATGGGAGATGTCAGCTCCGTAGCTAGATCGTCACGCAGATCAACGATTGAATTCGATCGTCCATGGCTAGCTCGTCGCGGTGGCTGTTGGCGAGTGGTTACTTCTGGATATCGGACGGCTGCGTCTAATGAGAAGGAGCCAGGCTTATCCAAGGCGGAGAGACGACGCTCTGTCGCACTGAGATGGCCGTTGTAGAAAGCATAGGAATGGATCTTCATAAGGATTGTCAGGGTGTGGAGGGTAAAAAAGACCTGAGCTGTCCACGTCCAGCGTAGCATGAATGGCCATCTATTATGATTAGTTAATTTCGGGCCGTGCAAGTTAAGGAATCGCGCAACCTACTTGATCCATAGAACTAGCCAAGCTGCTTCAAAAAGACTTTGAAGGATAATACCCCCTCTTTCCCAGCGTAGAAAGCTTATTCCGCTTCTAGAGAGAAAATGGAGTGGTACAACTAGCATGCTACTCCCCACCATAGCAAGATCGCTAAAGCCCATTTCCCACACGTTTGCAGTCAAAAGGCTCCACACCCTAACTCTCAAGGGATAGCCAGTATCCTTGATATTCCGCAGCACTGTGGTAACAACCATGATAAACAACCCGATCCAGAAGAGAGTGAAGAAGCCGCGGAAGTTATGGTAGTCGCTCCGTGGATCAAAATGGGATACACGGGGGATATAGTTGATGGTGTAGAAGAGCCGGTTTCGAGCTCTGGCTTGTTTTCTGGCCGTGGATATCGAAAACACAGAGGGAGGAGCATCTTCGGGAATTGGAGTCGTGCTGCCGCTAGCATTCGACTGACTGTTAGTGATGGAGCTTGAGCTTCTTTTGAAACTGAAGAATCTCTTACCTAGACTCGTTTTCTAGCTTTTCCACCTGGGAGGAGAGCAACGCATCATCCGGTACGGCACGTGGCCTGAAGACTGCGGTGCCATTGTGATTCGAGACGGCCGAAGACATGCTGGCGATAGAAGATTCGCGGTAAAATAAGGGGGGGGAGAAGATGTAAGGGAAATAGGATGAAAAAATTGAATAGGTATAAGCTTGTTTATTTATAAATAGGGCTGTGCCGGTGCGCTTTAATGTGCTGGTGGGCCCAAGTCCTCAAGGCTCAAGCTATCACCATCTCCTCGTCATCATTTCGGGAGCAGACCTCGGGACCATCAGAACAGCAGTTCAAAGAAATCCCGTGCAATTGAAAGGAGCGCGACTAATATCCGGAGGGAGACTGAGATCCCCGAGTTCCATGCAGAAGGAACGACCGGGTTTAGAAGGCCAATATACAACCTAGGTAATATAGTGGCAGAGGCTCATTGGAGCAAGGGGTAAGGGAGGTCTGCATCTTCATGTCATGCGCGACAAGAGACGAACTGCGCCTGATTCCGGGCGGGTGCCGAACCCGCGGTAGAGCCGGCTGAGCCATGTGATTTGATACACATGCATACGGAATATACCTTCCTTATGGATATAGATTATTTTATTCTCTTCAAGGACATTTAAATTATACTATCTAGATTACGCGTATTCGTATTCCCACCTGCTCTGTTGTGGAATGGGTGCCTGAACCATGAGGTGTGAATATCCTTACATAAGGTATTAGTCACAAGGTTGATATCACGTGACCAAGGGCTCCACCCACACCAACTCGACACCTCAGGCACTCAGGCTTTCCAACAGCAACAACCGGTCGGGCGAGGCTCACCTGCAGCGGACAGACTACGACATTCAAACCGAACAGTTCCTTTTGATCATTGTAAACCCAACTCTCGTGTGGGATTGCGTCGACTGGTTTCTTCGCATCCCTCTTACCTCCTCTGCTTCTTCGCTTTTTTCCCCTTCTCCCCCTCCCCTTAATCTCCCAAGGGGGCCTTGTGGCCGCCATGGCATCCCGTGAGTTTCCTGCCCGTTGTTCAATCCCCCACACTCCCTATTCCCTCCCATGAGCTGCTGGCCTAGTGACTGACCACTTCTACCCCACGAATCAATCTAGTCAAGCAATTTATTCGGAATGTTCGATCGGCAAAGACCATCGCCGATGAACGAGCGGTTATTCAGAAAGAAAGCGCTGCTATTCGTGCGTCTTTCAGGGAAGAGAGCCATGATTCAGGCATCCGGTTAGCATGAACCACAGCTGTCCTTTGAATCGCATTTCGAACCAGCGGCTCATACACCCCTGACAGGAGAAATAATGTGGCAAAGCTGCTCTATCTATTCACCCTCGGTGAGCGAACGCATTTTGGTCAAATCGAATGTCTGAAACTGCTCGCGTCCCATCGGTTTGCCGACAAGCGGTTGGGTTATCTAGGCACCATGTTACTACTAGATGAGAACCAAGAAGTGCTGACACTGGTGACCAATTCATTGAAAAAGTGAGCTCCCCATTCCAACTCGTCATGTTGATGCTTTCCTCTGAACGCGTTATTATTGCCATGTAGTGATCTCAACCACTCCAACCAATATATTGTCGGCCTGGCCCTCTGCGCCTTAGGCAATATTGCCTCCGTTGAGATGTCCCGAGATCTGTTCACCGAAGTTGAATCCCTCCTTTCCACCGCCAATCCTTACATTCGGAGAAAAGCAGCTTTGTGCGCCATGCGCATCTGTCGCAAAGTTCCTGACCTACAGGAGCACTTCCTGGAGAAAGCAAAAAAGCTCCTTTCTGATAGGAACCACGGGGTTCTGCTGTGCGGGTTAACACTGGCAATAGATATGTGTGAAGCGGAAGAAGCTGAGGAGGGCCAAGAAGGTGTGATCGAGATGTTCAGACCTCTTGCTGGCGGTCTCGTACGTGCTTTGAAGGGCCTCACCACTTCTGGATACGCTCCTGAGCATGATGTCTCTGGTATCACGGATCCCTTCCTGCAAGTAAAGATCCTACGCCTTCTCCGAGTCTTGGCTCGAGGCGATGCCGCAACAAGTGAACTGGTCAATGACATCCTGGCTCAAGTAGCCACCAACACTGATTCCACCAAGAACGTTGGAAACTCGATCTTGTATGAAGCAGTCCTTACCATCCTTGACATTGAAGCCGACTCGGGTCTGAGAGTTTTGGGTGTTAATATCCTCGGAAAATTTCTTACCAACAAGGATAACAACATCCGCTACGTTGCCCTTAACACTCTGAACAAAGTTGTTGCCATTGAACCCAACGCTGTTCAAAGACACCGTAACACCATCTTGGAGTGTTTGCGTGACCCCGACATTAGTATCAGACGACGTGCTCTTGACCTCAGTTTTATGCTCATCAATGAAGATAATGTCCGTGTTCTCGTCAGGGAGCTGCTTGCCTTCCTGGAAGTTGCCGACAACGAATTCAAGCCGGCTATGACCACCCAGATCGGTATCGCTGCTGATCGATACGCACCAAACAAGCGCTGGCATGTGGACACTATTCTCCGAGTCCTCAAGCTGGCCGGTGCCTACGTTAAGGAGCAAATCCTGTCTTCTTTTGTCCGCCTTATCGCAACGACCCCCGAACTGCAGACCTACTCTGTGCAAAAGCTCTACTTGTCCCTAAAGGAAGATATCTCCCAAGAGGGTCTTATCCTCGCTGCCACATGGGTTATTGGTGAATATGGCGACAACCTGCTCCGTGGGGGCCAGTACGAAGAAGAGGAGTTGGTGAAGGAGGTAAAGGAGAGTGATATTGTTGACCTTTTCGACAACATTCTCAACAGCACATACGCTTCCCAAACTGTGATCGAATACATTACCACAGCGTCGATGAAGCTCACTGTGCGGATGTCTGACCCGGCACAGGTCGAGCGTCTCCGTCGTTCCCTCAACAGCCGCACTGCCGATCTAAGTGTCGAAATCCAACAGCGTGCTGTGGAATACGTGAATTTGTTTGGCTATGATCAGATCCGACGAGGTGTCCTAGAGCGGATGCCTCCACCCGAGATCCGCGAAGAACAGCGCGTCTTGGGACCTTCCACAAAGAAGCGCCAGAGCAAGCTTCTCAAAGACAAGTCCAAGAAACCCGCAAAGCAGGCCGAGCAGGACATTCTTCTGGACCTCATGGGTGGTTCCGATGCCCCAGTGACAAGCCCAACTGCCAACGGTTCACAGAACACCGCTGACCTGCTGGCCGATATTCTTGGCGGAGATTCCAGTCTTTCATCTCCGGCACCCCAACCTGCGCAGCAACCAGCTGGATCCATGAACACCAGCGCTATTATGGACCTGTTTGGTTCTAATGGAACATCGCCCTCCCCTCAACCTGCCCCTGCCCCTGCATCTCTCGACCTGCTTGGAGCAGCCGGAGCTGGCTCAGCTCCAGTCTCGACCCCTTCTCCCTCCGCTCCTGCCGCTTTCACCGCATTCACAAAGAACGACCTCGTACTCTCTTTGCAAGTTCAGCGGGGCAGCAACAACACCGTCGCTCAAATACAGGCGCGCTTCCGGAACGAATCCAGCTTTGGTCGTTTCTCTGATGTTGGATTACAAGCCGCGGTACCCAAGAGCCAGCGACTTCAACTCAGCGCTATCAACAAAGCCGAACTTGACGCCGGAGACGAAGGTGTTCAAATGCTCAAGGTCACAGGTCTCAATGGGGTAAGCTTCTCCTCCCTTCTATCTCCTCTTGGCCTTTTATCAACTAACAAATTTCACAGCCTCTCCCGCCAAAGCTCCGCCTGCGCCTTCGTATCACATACGCAAAGGACGGCTCCCAAGCGACCACAGACCAAGTCGACTGGACCGAATCGTGATTGCCTTGCAGCCCAGCGCCCCCATAAAGTACAGTGCAGTGCAGTGCAGTCCAAAGCTAGTATAATTCATTCATGTTAGAGAATTGTTAAAAAGGATTTACCCCCACATATGCTTCTTGTTTGCTTATAGGACCCTTTTTTTCCCCTCCTCCTGCCTCCTACCTCCCTTATCGTATCGTATCTATCATTACCCATCCCATCCCATCCCTCAATGATTTTTATTTCTTATTATCTTTCTCTTTATCCTCATCAACTATCCTCCCCCATTGAACGTACCTATAGAAGCACCTTCTATTACAATCTGTCTATTTCTCCCCCTTCCCCCTTCCCTTTCCCCCCTCTCCCCACCCGCCCTTCTGATTCCAATCCAGCCATGTGGCTGGTGCCTGCCTACTAAAGGGTGTTAGTGACTGAGCGGAATTCAATCCATATTTCAAATGCATGCACATATATACATCATACCCCATTCATTGACAGTTTTGGTTTATTTATTTTATTTTATTTTTTCTTCTTCTCTTTCTCCTTTATGCTCTATCTTTTACTTCTTGTAAATGCTCTGCTTAGTTTACTATGATGTTAACTATGTGATCTTGATGTGATATGTTCAGCACAAGAAGAAGGGGGGGGGGGGCGACTTATATAATCCATATGTTTATTTTATGTGCAAGGGTGTAGGGGGAGTTAACTAACTAATACCTAGTAAGCAGTCGTAACAGAATGAAGATTATACCAAGAATACTACTCAAAGCCATGATTGATGGAGTAATATCAACATAATTCATTTCAGCTATATAAGTTGGTAAATCATAAGTCAAATGTCATCAAACCCAATCTCATCGTCAGTCGTTAATAATAAATAATCGTATCATGATTTACTCCTGAGTACCACTCTAGACACCACCCCCTCTCCAAGGCAACTTCACAAAGTCCCTGGGTATGTCCTCAAATAAAAAATCCCCCCCCCAAAGAAAAAAACAAACCATGTATCTGAAACTGATCAGTGCGCCAACATGTGAAGAGAAACGAAATCATAAATGATGATGATAATGTCAGTAATAATAACAATGGTATTGGAGCGATATGATCGTGTCATCGCTTGTAATCCAAAAAATATATAGGGCAAGAACGGGAGAAAATGAAAAAAAAAAAAAAAAAAAAAAAAAAAAAGGGTGGCAGATAGATCTCAATGAGTGTCGAGATAATTCGACTCAGATTGTGAAATCCGAATGCCCACAGACCATCTCGAATGAATCTGATCAAGAATAAGGAGGGCTAGGCGAATTGTTGCGGCAGCCGAAAAGGAATGCAGGATGAACAAATGTAAAATGAATAAGACTTGTGTGAAAAAATGGGGATCGTTCAGGAATTGCAATTCCCAGTTCCGTGTCACTGTAGATGTTGATGGTTACGGTATAAACAGGTCCTGTTGATCCCAAAACCTTATCTCAATGTACAATGATTAATATGCGGACTGTCGTCTCGGCTGATGGTACTCGTTATTAGAGTATGCCTGGGCATATTGGCTTGGGATGTAGTGGACATCTCTAACCTCGCGATGCTTGGCATCCTTTTCTTTCACATGTGGGGAATCGACTTCCCGGTAGAGACGTCGACTAGGCTCACGGATCGGCTCTGCGGGAGGGTAAGCGTATGTGCTACTCCGCACAGGCGCTCGCCGTTCCTGGCGGGGTGGCGAATATGTCCTAGAATGTCTCAACGGTGGTGGCTGTATGGACGGTTCAATAATCTCGGTCTTGTAGCGAGTAGATCTGGCAGAAGGTTCTGCAGGTGTTATAACTTCAGGGGTTGGACTTGAGCTTCCGTAGCCCGAATCAGGTTTTTCGCCTCTCAATTTCGTCGTTCGCGAGACCCCCTCTGGGAAGATACCCATACCCAAGTGAACCGCCTCAGAGCGGCGAGAGGCTTCCCGCTGGGATCGAGATTGTGAGCGCACGCCAGTGGACGGCCTTGAGGACACATGTGAAGGTCGTGGTGATGACGACGAGCCTTTGGGACCAGGGAAAGTCGCTGCGGTTGGTAGCGGGGGGATCTTTTCGTAGACTCGGCCTTGATTCGGTTCTAGATGTTCCACGGAGCCACGATGAGATGTGGGAGGACGGACAGGTTCGCGACTCGAACGTTTTGATCGACCAGAGTAACGAGAAGAAGACATTTCTGGCTCTGCGGAGTCATAGCGCAAAGGAGAGCGAGAAGGTCGGTGTCGTCGTTCAGGATCAAGGGTTTCCTTGGAGCGACGGATATAATCATATGCATCAGTTATCTGTGTCTCATGCTTATACTCCCGAGGGAAGTCATCTTCTTCCGATCGGCGTATTGACTCAGTTGACCTGTGCTTCGACTCGCGGTTCCGCGACGGTCGCTTGACATAAACGGTATCCGACATATCCGATTCAGAGTCGCATGTATCGGAATCTAGATGAGTATACTTCTCGGAAGCTTCCCGTCTTCGTTCCTTGGTTCGGTATTTAGCCCGATCGGAACGGGTTTTGGTAGTGTCGCGCATATCTTTCGCAGCGCGGGCAGCACTGGATGACGGAGGTTTCGTCTTCTTCTTGTCCTCTGTGGCGCGGGAGCGCGGTCGGGCAAAGTATTCATCATGTTTGCGCGACATAGGCCGGGGAGGTTCGGTATAACGGTGCTCGTCATCAAAGAAAGCTTCGGTGGGAGAGCTGTCGTCGGCGGGGGCCCTTTCTTCATAGATGCGTCCATCGCGGTACTCGCGAGTGGTATGCGATCGGGGGTACGAGGACCCGCGGGCCGTCATCTCGTGCTTGAGCTCTGCCAAACGAACTTTTTGGTCGTACTTAATCCTGCTCGTCTCATCGGAAAGGAGTTCATAGGCTTGCTGTACTTTTTGAAACTGATCCTGAGCCTGGCTGCGTAGGGACTCATCTTTGATCTTATCAGGATGACATTTCAGAACCAGCTTCCGATGAGCCGATTTGATCTCAGCTACGGTCGCATCTTTGGCGACCCCAAGTATATCGTATGGATTGAATTCTGGTAGCGATGTCATGGTGTGGATGGGGGGATGTCGGCGATTGACAAACCATCAAAACCAATGGAAAAGAAGGCGAGGGGGGTATGTGTGTAGAGAGAAGTGGAATTGAGAAGGCAAAGAGACGGAAGAGGTGTATTTATTTGAATCAAGGGCGGCAAACGGACAGGAAGGACGATATGAAGGATGGAATGCGGGATGTGGCGATCAGATCATAGCCAACCTTTCCAGAAGGAGACACGACCGATCTTGCAGGAGAACTAGAAGAACAGGGAAGAGAGAGGAAAGTAGAGAGAGCAGAGAAGACACAATATGAGTAATGATGACCGTGATGCAAGAGTCAGAAGGGGAAGAAAGGAATGGGGAAGTTAAGTCCAACCGGAAATGCCGTACGTTAGCAGACACGAATTGTTCCTGGAGGGGCAGCCTGTAAGGTACGACCAGGTACGGTATGGTACCTTTGGGTCGGACAGTAGTAATCAACTTGAACCAATCAGCTGCCAAGATGACCGGTATAATCCGGGTATTTTTTTGCAAGGGTTGGTAATGAATGAGTAACGGTATTGGCTGGCCCCAAGATGGGATGGGGATGCTGACCGAGGGGCAAAAAAATCACAGTACAATAAGATCAAGCGCACTGCGCCACGATGTTGACTCTGACGAGATAAAAGGGAATAAATAATCGCCCCAAAAAAGACAATAATAATAATAAAAAAAAAATGAACTAGCCAGGTGGCCAAAATTAACTCTGAAAAAAAAAAAAAAAAAGAGAGCGAGAAAGAAGCGAAATAGAAGAATGGGGAGATAGTATCAGATGGCGTGGCACCACGTCACAGAGTACTAGAAGTCGTAGGTAGTATAGTAGAAATCTGTAGAATGATGAATAACAATGGCTGTGATGATGACAATGAAAGGTAGGAGCCAGAAATGATATGATGCCAGAGCGAATGGATAGACACAGCAATTGGGATCGTCAGGCAATTGTCGCAGCCAACGCAAGGACAGAATCTAAATGAACGAGGAGATTCTTTCTGTAGTCCATCATCTGTTAAGAAAGTCCTCTGTAGTTTCCCAACCCAGAATTCGTACCTTATGGCCCAGAATCAGCGGTGAAACGGAGCAGATAGTAGGGACTCGGAATCTCTCCAGAGGCACGTTGGGTCAAAAGTCCCAGAAGCAAGAGGTGTCAGAGATAGGAGATTGTAAAGGAGCGGTCAATCATGGACTCTATTGGTTGGAAGAAGAGAAGAGAAGAGTTCACTTCTCCCTGGTTGTGAGGGTAATGTGGAATGGATTGGAATAGTAAGTGGTAGTAAAGGTGGTGAGGAACTGGGGGTCAGAAAGAGAAATCCCAAGCTGCAGACGACCTGGACTGGATGTGATACAAATACATATATCCCTCGCTCATCATTCTCACCTCCGACGACGTTCGCTAATACTAAGAATTAGAATTATAATAATAAATACTAATACCAAGAAGAGGTGAATTCTGCTCCATACTCCTCGGGGGGAATCTATCTATTTTCTCTATTCCTCCTACGATTAGTAGCTAGCTCCTTTGGCGTCCAGTGGAAACGTACAGCAACGAGCCCATCGCCCTAGCATCAACATCTCCATCGATCCATCCTTTCTCGGATTCTTACTTGTTATCATGTTGCCAGCCAATTCTTAGGTCCGCCCTGAACCTACCAGTCGTGTGTGCATTACCCAGGAGGTCTGCAGGACTGGCTGGGTTTTGGTCATCCCATCCACCTCTCTGATGGCAGATGAGCAGCCATGGCGACCGTCACCCAGCAGGGCTTGCGGGGCGATCGAGAAGGGGGGAGAGAGAGAGAGTGTGTGTGTGTCTCAGGGGAAAGTTGACCACCTAATGATAATACTGATTTATTATTTCTTCATTAATTCTGGAGGTTATTATTATATCAGTAAACTTCAAGGACCTTAGTACACAGAGTAAAACAGTGTCATCCTCCAGCCAGAAAAGACAAGGGGAAAAAAAACCCCCGCACTATCAAGAAACCACCAAACTACTACCTCTGCGAGTGAGAGGTACCGCTGCTGGTCCCGGTCATGATCGCAACATGCCCTCTGCACACCACTTTAGTCCCTAGATGGATTCCCCATAGACCGGGTTCTTCTCATAACTTCTGCCTTTTGGAGAGAGGGGAGGTTTGCTATCCAATCACCCACGCTATCAAAGAGCGCATTTTCGGTCGCCTTCCCCGTTCGTCTCGCCTCACCGAGGGCCATGATGTGCTGGTTTCTCTGCAGCCTGGAATTGGCTCAGACCCTTTTCTCGCTGCCCCTCCCCCTCCCTTGGATAGTTCCAATCATCTCGGTCGTTTTTTAGCACTGTGGAGTGTCTTTTCTTCTTCTATGCGATCAGCCACTGCATCTCGCGCGACTCTCAGTCTCTCCTCTTTCCAATCCGATGCACGGAGAACCGCCACTTCTCCAAGAAACCTTTATCCGTGTCGTACCTGGAGGGGAGCCAACCATGGGTACAGTCCTCATCGATCCGATCCCGGCCTCGTGTGTGAAACAGTCCCATGGATTTGCCCCCGGGTGCTTCCGTAGGGAACCGTGGACTCCTCTGTTTTAGGTCTCTCTTTGACTCCGTATCTTGTCTCCGTTCCTTCTGTGCGTTGTTCTTCAGCAGATTGGCACTAGAAAGCTACCTAGGCAGTGGAACAACCTTTCGGGAAACTCGAGTCTCGTGGAATCCAGTTTATCGTCTGAGCCTTGTCAAAATTAGCGCTGACGTGCTTGATCAACCGTAGGATGATTCTGGTTGTCGTCGGTGCAACAACATGTAGCTTCTCTTTGAGGTATCTCGGCGGCTAACTTTGTCACAAGATATTTCAATCACATCGCGGGGTACGCAGTAGGTAGCCTATAGGTCAAGCTGTTGATCTATCACTCTCTCTCTCTCTCCAGCCAACAACAGATCGTCCTCTCGTTAGGAGAAAAAAAAAAAAAAGATCAAACAAAGTTAAAGAGATATCAGAAGTGGAGGGAAGGATCGCATGATAATTCCTCAACGCTCTAATCATATTATTTTCAGCCCACCACCATGTCCTATTGCCTGTCCCACACCTTTACCCGGCAGGGAATCTCCTCCTGGCCTGGTAGGAATATACGCGATCGCACTGCGCGCCAAAGCGAAAAGAAAAAAAAAAAAAAAAAAAAGGGTCATTCTTGAAAGCACAATTACTGGCCGAGTCATCTGCACGCGGGGTTTCTTGTCCCTCCTCCATTCAAGTACCTGGCCAACGGATACCGCCGCTTGCCATGCAATGATTGTCCTGGCATCAAGCTAGTGCTTCACTTGTATGAAAGCAGCACATCCAATTATAGGGTCTCAAACTTTGGCCAGGTGTTGCAATTCCTGTCAGAGCCTGGTTTCTTCCTTTTCTTCTTCAACTGACCTGGACATGCGATAACTAACTATAATCCAAAGATCACCCTTTCTCGCAGGCTATCGCGGGTCTAGATGGCTCTTTCCAGTATCCCATCAGAGACTCCTTTTATTTAACCACCATCCATCCAGAAAATTGCAAGTATTATGAGACAGCCATGAAGTTTCCATTTTCCCGGCTTTTCCCCTCTTCTTTGAGATAACAATAATTAACTATAATCCCGCTCAGCTGAATAATACTAATACTACGGGGTACGGAGTACACTTGTCTGAGTATACATATACAGGAGACAAAAAAGTAAACAAGCTGAATCCGTCTCCATCCATACGCCCGGGGCTAAGTTATGCGGTGGCACAGCATTCCAATGTCTTAACCGGTAATAATTAGTACCCTCTACGGAGTACTCCGACCAAGCCACTCTATCGCTCCGCTACAGCACAGCTACAGTTCCAGCTACAGTTCCAGCTTATGTTATACTGTATGTACATACAGAAACGTGCACCCAAAGTTTTCCGCGCCGTGCTAGTGTAATAAATGTACTGAGGTAACCTACAGCAATACCTGGATCTAAAAATGAAGCTATACAAATGGCCCGTCAGGCAGGAAGCGATGTCAGAGTAATAGAGGATCCAGTCTTCTTTTTCTTTTCTTCAGGCTGCTTAGTGGTTTTTATCTTATATCAACTGGTTATAGGAATCATAATATTTTGTTATGGGATAGATTAGGTCCATCCCTAGCAAAGCGTACTCAGCGTATCCACCTGGATCTTCTTGTTCTCTTCTCTTGATGAACTTCGGAGTGATGGCGGATTATTTAGGGCCAAAGTCATTGTTATTAATAGTAATGTGTCAGGACTCAGGTAATATAGCCGGTAGCAGAAGCCAAAACAAGCTTCAAAAGTAATTCGTCCATGGCGTTCTTTAGTCTATATTCAAGAGTATCATTCCTTGGTTCTCCTCTATATATTCCATCAGTAGGTACTAGGTAGCTATGACGAAGGGAGTAACTGTCAGCGCTAATGGTGGAGATATTGCAGGCAACAAGCCACAGCCACGAGAGAACGGTTTTCATAGTTGTAATCTGGACTCTGGAGCCGTTAGCAACTTCAACCTAATAAATATAATAACTGAAGTTATATAGGTGGGGATGGGCACGGATGGATAATTATTTTAGAGCTATATATATATAGACCCCCTTCTCATCTACATTTCCCAGCTGGTAACGTAACCAAATTATTACTCTTTTTCCACAGATACTTTCCCCGATCTACAACTAGAACAGGAATATAGATGAATCCAGTCATCCTGATCAGTGATGTGGCGATGTGGTGCCGCCAAGATGGCGTAGGTTCTTGCTTTGTTCAAATAATCAAAGAACTCTGCTCTCTCCTCCAGTAAGCTACCTAAGTATAGTTCTAAAGAATATCAGTGCCCTCTCTCTTAGAATTCAGTATGATGGCTTATAAATTAAATATTTGCAGGCTGAGCAGCTCAATAGGGTTGTCCAGAGCTGATGGCAAAATCCCACTTGAAGATTGTGCTATGAGTATTGAGGACTCAAGGCATCTATAGACTTACCTAGGTATGCCAGGTAGAGTGAGGAAATACATTCTTTAGCCATCGAAATAGGGGCATAGTTAAGCTTTAATTTATGGGTATCAAACCTTTCCTTTCGGTCTTTGGCCTCTTTCAAAGAGGCCGTTGAATTTCCATACTTAGCCGCTATGCTATTACTTAAAAGACAATCACTACGTACCTTTTTATATACCTTTCAACATGACTTTTCCAAGTCTCTCCCTAGGCAAATCATCATGTCTCCACCGGGGGTGTCTTATTATTCGCTTGACGGTACAATTAATGAGAACTGGCGAAGCCGTGCAGCCAGTTAAGATCCAAGGGGGGTTGGCATTGCCATGAAACGTCTGCTAGATTGGAAGGCCTTTTCTGGGATACATTCTATAACTGTGTGGGGGGTATTTCCAATGATCACAGACATGCTATAAAAGTTGCAGAGCGGGCTGGTTTGGTTCTTCGTTATGGGTTTACTTGGGAAAATGGGGTTTTGGAAAGGCCCGTGACGGAGCAGGATTCTTCGATTCGATACTTGGACGCGTTTCTACACCGTGTAGTCGTGAGATTGTTGAGGGTATATATATATATATGTAAAATATTGAAAGGGTTCAAGTACTGTATGTACCACTGTCTGCAGCATCAAGAGTCGAGCCCATGCAGGGGACTTGTCAGCGGCTATCACCCTGCTAAATCTTACGTCTCCCGTATGTATATAATCCTCTATCTAGTACGTATTTACCCATCAGGCATGAAGATTTTGTATATGCTTTATCTTCTCCTGTAGTGTACCTTTACTGCTCGCATCATCTAAGCATGAATTTCATCCTGAACCTAGGACAGAACTAGTAATTAAAGGAGGGATGGAACCTTTTACCTACCAGGGATAAAGAAGAGAGACTAAAGGGCTGTGTGAGTGGAGTGAAGCATGTGCAGGTCAGATGCAGATGCAGATTTGGTGTTGGCATTGAGCTGATTCCTGACTCTGACTTCTGACTCGCTGGACGACCTCTGTGGACAGCATCGAATAGGATCATGAAGAATGGGATGGAAACCGGGCGCCTCGTGCTCAGCTTTGTGGACGCGCATGAGAAGCTGGAACCATACAGGGAATATGTTACTTCTCTTCTAATCTTTGATTATATCTTACATAATAGCTGAGGCTTTAATTCTGATTACTCTGTATATCGAGGACTCTGTAAGCAACTCTTGCCCTGCCTCGTCTCTTCACACATCCACAGCACAATACAATCGAAGAAAGAAAGAAAGAAAGAAAGAAAGAAAGAAAGAAAGAAAGAAAGAAAGAAAGAAAGAAAGGACTGCCTCCAGCTAGGAAGACATGGAGAGACTCAAGCTTTGCCAATGGCCAGTTAACAAACAAATACTGCTGCTGTGTTGTTGTATACACGTTACGTTGCTTTGTTGCCGTGGAATTCAAAAGCATTAATGGGGCACAGGAATTTCTTTTTCCAGTGTGATCATCAATATATCATGAACAATGCATATTAGGTTTGGGTTGATTTCCCGTGAAGAAAAAGACTTTCTCTATACATATATAGTATATAGTTATCCATGGAATCACCATACTTTCTTTAGGGTGTAGTTGAAGTCAGGTATGTAACAGTGCTAAATCTAGTAAATAGTCAACCTAACTGAGAATAAAGTACTATAGATGTGTAAAGTGTAAACAATAGTTAACTAACTACTTAAATCCCAAGTACCAGTAAGGTACTGATCTCTCTCTGTCCGGCTTCGTGTTGGGCCGTTGTAGATCCCACGCGCCTCGTTATTGTATCAATAGGTGAGGCCTCATAGATGTACCAGGAATCTATTATTTGAGAGGGAAAAAACGAGCTACGTGGCTTTGCTTTCTACTTACCTGCTAATCGGATGGCTTTTCTTCCAAGGTTTTCAGAATAGGGATTGAGACAGTAGATAGCTAGCCCTATGTGACTGAAGGTGCAATAGCTTGCCCTCCTAGGTACTGCCTGATAGGTATGGTATGCCTGTGCAGTAAAAATTAACGCTTATAAGGGACATGGGGCTTCAACGATGACCGGGTATTCTAGGGTATGTATCTAGAGTTGTCAGGAAGCTGAAGTGTCTCTAATAAGAATGAGTAACACACTACTGTGTAACTAACTAACTAATAATAACTACCGCATATCATTACAATAAGTATAGACCCCACAATAAGAATCCATCTCTGTATAGGATCCTCCTCGTTGTATTGATTTCACGCGCTGCTCAATCTAGTCCCATGTGCCGAGTTCAGCCCCGGCCCAAGCAGGTACCGAGGGTGAAGCATGTCAGCTTACGGAAACCCTCTATTAAACCTCCCTCGGCTCCTGATTGCTCGCTTTAAAGTTTCTGGTTAAATTCCAAGGAGAAGTGACAGCAGTGCAGTGTTTTATTCTATCCAACCTTTCTTGTTTCAGGTGGTAGATGATGTCATGCTGTCTTCCTTGTAAGGCGAGACAGGTATCCGCAAAAAGATCAACATTAGGTCATCGGGATCATCATCGATGTCCGCCGCACAAGGGGAATGGAGGAAATCAAGTAAATTAACTCGGTGGGATTTTTATTATTACTTCAGCCACATTCCAAGGCAGCAGCAATACGTCAAACCGTGGGTTCAAAGCGCAAGCTTCGGCTGTTGTCGGAAATATTCCACTCCACGCCCTTCGCCCAGTCCTTTACATCGGGCCTGTTTCACTCCACGGTTATCAGATCAGATACGAAGATCACCTTGGGTATAAGCAGCTAAGCCACCTGCATTGGGTTTCACTGTCCCCGCCAGACTGGAAGCTCTAGATCGACAACAATGGGAGTATGAAACCTCCTTCCTCCTCGATGAGGCCAATGACTTGCCATGATCGCTGCGTTGACAAGACATATTATGTTTCCCGTCTTCTTGATCGAAGCCACTTTTCGTCATGGTCTTGCCTTTCAGTCGGGCACGAAGGTGAGAAACTTGGCACTTTTTGGCTTTCCAGCATCTTGATTGAACGATGGAAGAATGATGATATTCTCAAAAGATAGGAAACGGGATTCGAGAGATGATGTACTTCCGCCGGTAGAATAACCCTCGTTGTCAAGACGTGGGGCTTTTTTGCCCGTGAGATCGACAAGGCTCTTCTTTTTACTCCTTGGAGGTGGAAGCTCACCCTGGGCAACGTGATCCCGCACTCCCTCGTGCGTCTCTGCCGCCGAGCTTGGAGAACTTGGGTGCCATCATATTCGTTCATAGCTTCGCGGCTCATGGACGTGGCCACAAACAGCTAGCAATGGCCTAACCTTGCGCAACGTCCGATGCAAAGCTCTGCACCCGATAGATGTGCCATCTAGCAAGTCACAACCCACCTTCGAAAGGGGGTAAATCGTCTCGACTGGGGCAGACGCGTCCAGGGAGTCCCGTATGTCTTCCTCATGAGGGCGTACCAATGCAACGGTACCTGGGAGACTCTGGCATTTAGAAAGGCTGATCAAAAAAAGAAGGTGGTACTTACTTGCTGTTATTATTATCAAGTTTCACGCTATTACGCATGCTATCCAGTCGGATAGAGTAGGTAGTCTGTCGGGTAGTTTTGTAGTCAAGTCGACTTCTGGATCCAATGTGACAGCGGCTTGGAGCTTCTTCAACGTAGGTATTCGCGTTGAATCTCGTAGCTTTCGACGGTTTTGTGACGCGCTCCATGACTACCACAATACTGGGTAAGTTAGACCGTGACTACTAGTAGTAGTAGTAGTAGATATGAAATTACAAGTTACAAATTCCTCTGTTGTAAACATTCCAAATCGGTTACCTAACTAAAACCAGGTTAGGTAATAAAATTGCACTCTGCCAAGACAAATGTATCGACTGTTGGCCAATAGCACTTCTTTTTCAATGAGCCATGATCCATTCTTCACACAGTAACCAATTAGAATCTGTAAAGCTATCGTGGGTACATCAAAAACCCTCAATTGGGACGGATGCCAGAAATGATGATGAAACCATAAAAAGTAACAGCAGCATAGGAGGTACCTGTGCCTAAGGCAGGAAGGACTACCTGGATGGACTCCCTCGCGCTTTCCTTTCAAATTTCTCTTCAATTTGCTCAGATACTACTAACTGGTATGTACTTGCTGGTACCTTGCTTTACTTGTGAAACGTGCTTTAGTTTCCAGAAAGCTACTTTCTGTTCAGCTTGTTGGCTACGGTCTGCTATCTAGCGATTGAGGGTATCACTCGCAGCCTTCAGGCTGTCTTTTACAATGCGTCCTTGGAAACGCAAGGAACGACCTCGTCTCGATAAGGACATACCAACTAGCTACTCGCCATTAGATAGCCCGGCTGTGGCCTTCAATCCTGATATAGTTCCAGACACAGATCAGAGCAAGAAGCTGGCGAAACAGCACTCGGAGTTCGGCCCACTCGGTGATCCATCTCACCTCTACATCAGCGAATTCCCAGGGGGCGAGATAGCCGATCCAGTCGTTGAGGATCCGCCTTATTACATTGTCTTGACAACCTATTTCAGTTTCCTTCTTCTGATCTTCCTGGGACACTTTCATGATTTCTTTGCACGATGGTTCCAGCCTCATACTTACCGACACTTGAAACCGCACAACGGCTATGCGTCGCTGTATAGCGACTTTGAGAGCTTCTATACCCGGCGTATGAAACAAAGGATCAACGACTGCTTCGAACGACCTACCACAGGGGTGCCAGGTAGACATGTTGCGCTGCTAAACCGGACTACAAATGATAATGTTGATTTCCACTTCACTGGCACGAAGACAAACACTCTCAATTTGAGCTCATATAATTATCTCGGGTTTGCTCAGTCGGAGGGCCCCTGTGCCAATGCAGTGGAAGAGACGATTCGTCGAGAGGGTATCAGCATGCCTGGATCATCCAGCGATGTAGGGTATACGAAAGCACAGGCTGAAGTGGAAGACCAAATTGCCCGATTTGTTGGGAAAGAGTCCGCTATAGTCTTTTCAATTGGGTTTGTGACAAACTCCACCATCTTTCCTTGTCTGGTAGAGAAAGGATGTTTAATCTTGTCGGACGAACTCAATCACGCCTCAATTAGATTCGGTACCCGGCTCTCTGGTGCAGCAATCCAAGTCTTTGCACATAACAATATGGTTAGTCTCGAAAAGAAGCTTAGGGAAGCGATTTCCCAAGGCCAACCGCGAACACATCGACCATGGAAGAAAATTCTGGTGACTGTGGAGGGCCTGTTCTCGATGGAGGGAACAATGTGCAATCTTCCCCGAATCTTAGAGCTCAAGAAGAAATACAAGTTTTATCTTTTTATTGACGAAGCTCACTCAATTGGAGCCGTTGGGGGCCAAGGCCGTGGGGTTTGCGATTACTTCAAAGTCAATTCGGCCGAGGTTGACATTTTAATGGGGACATTTACTAAATCCTTTGGGGCTAATGGGGGCTACGTTGCTGCAAACAAGGCGATCATCGATAAGTTACGCTGCACCAATGCTGGCCAGATATACGGTGAAGCACCAGCACTTCCAATTCTAGCGCAGATATCTTCCTCGCTTCGTCTCATCGCAGATGAGGATCCCGCCCATCCCGGCAAAGGAAGAGAGCGCCTGCAGCGACTAGCTTTCAATTCGCGGTATCTCAGGCTGGGATTAAAAAGGCTTGGCTTCATCGTCTACGGCCATGATGATTCTCCCATTGTTCCCCTGATGCTGTATCACCCGGGCAAGATGCCTGCATTCTCTAGGGAAATGCTACAACGCAAGATCTCCGTGGTTGTTGTGACATATCCCGCCACGCCCTTGGAGCTCTCTCGAGCGCGGCTGTGTGTCTCAGCTGCACATACTAAGGAAGATCTTGATCGAGTGCTCAAGGCGTGTGATGAGATTGGGGAGGCATTGCAGCTTAAATTTTCGTCGGGGATTGCCAGTGGATTAAGGGAGCCTGCACTTTGTCCCACCATACTAAAGGAGGACCAAAAGCTACCCGAACCTCCGCGATGGAATTTGGAGGAAGTTATTGAAAGAGGGACTAGGGATGCGAAAATGCCTTTTTATTGACTCCGGAGGTGTGGACCGACCCGAGACGGTGCGTACAGTAGTAGTACATACTTACGTTCTGTATACAATATTTGGTTTGAGGACTTGAGCATTTTTTGTAAGCAGTTTCTTAGTTAGTTAGTATATGATAAAGAGCCATAGAAGATAGAATAATAGTAATAATAATTATATTCATCAAAATTATCATTCCTCCAGGGCCTGCGGCGGGCCATTATAGGGATTTGATGAAGGTCGTCAAACTATGACGGTAGAGAGTTGACCGAAATGAATTCAATTGGGTCTAACTAGGAGATGGAGAGATGAAGAAGATGCTTGGAAGAAGCATGGAGATCTGGAAGGAAACGGTGGCCTAAATACACAGAGTAGTCACGTGTCGCTACTTGCTTAATGGCAGTGCTGTTTGCATTGATTGCAGCACTCCAACACACCCCCCTTAGCGACACGTTTATTACATGAAGCTATTCAGAGTCCATCTCCAAACTGCCAAAACCCAACCTCTCGACGAATTCATCAAATTTCGCAGTTGGTAGTGCCTTAGTTAGCCCATTGGCGACATTATCCTCTCCACCAATCATTTGCAACCCAATATTTATCCATAACCTCCATATTATGCTTTCCACGAATATATCGTTAGGTAGGAGGTAATGGTATAAGTTGAAGGTTTCCGAAGGCCGTTCGATATAGTTGCTCTTTGTCAACAATCGAAGATTTGCTTGCCATCTTTGGGTCAAATCTTGCCTTATTTTGGTAACCAAATTTCATGACCAAACTTCAATTAAAGTGGCCAAATAATGTGTCTAAATAGAACACTTTGACTATTGCTTTTGGTGGAGTCGTTGCTCTCTTCCTTTTGCAACCAGAATTTGTGTCTAAATAGAACACTTTGACTATTGCTTTTAGTGGAGTCGTTGCTCTCTTCCTTTTGCAACCAGAATTTGTGTCTAAATAGAACACCTTGAAGTAGCGATTGTGTAGAGCTCCTTTTGCGGCCAGGATCTCTAACCAATTAGGTAGTAGATCGTTTTCTAGCACAGGGGTCTGATAAGAGTTTTTCGAGGTCTAAGAAGCATGAATTAGAACCTCAGGGAGGGCTCCTAACCTGATGAAGGTCGTCAAACTATGACGGTAGAGAGTTGACCGAAATGAATTCAATTGGGTCTAACTAGGAGATGGAGAGATGAAGAAGATGCTTGGAAGAAGCATGGAGATCTGGAAGGAAACGGTGGCCTAAATACACAGAGTAGTCACGTGTCGCTACTTGCTTAATGGCAGTGCTGTTTGCATTGATTGCAGCACTCCAACAGGATTTATTGCGCATCACTCAAGGCAGTCATGGATCCCCACGGAGTATACCAACCTAGGCACACCATACACTCCGAATACCAGCCACTAGATTGCAGTGTTCCCTTTGGTTTCAAACAACTTGAATGACAGGTAATACACTAGCGAATGAGAATGTCCAGCGGAATTGCCACTTCGAATACAATTTCAGTGTCTTTACCGTCTGTAGACAAAGAAGGACAGGGCCATCACGTGATATTCTACGACGGGATTGGCTGCGGGTTAGGGCTGTGGCCCTCAAACGATCTCCCGCACAAAAGTAGCGCCGCCTCGCTTAGCGACCGCCAACCTTGCGAACCACATCCGACTTCGTAGTGAGCGTTGAACCTGCCCACAACGACAACAACCGCCGACAACATACATCCCAAGGGAGTATCCTAGAGCAGCGCTCTTCCTTTCGCTGGATATTTTCCTTTTGAACCGGTGACAGAGCAGGATGTCCGCTATCGAGCCAGTTGTGCGTACCACCATTCTCCTTATCCTCGCCGACAAAATGATAAACCCTCCGTCATGATATCTTGTGCCTCAGGGCCTTTTCTCCAAAGGGACCCTCGACACTCTTGAATATGAATCAAATCAGTCGCTGACCTGTGCTTGGATTGAATTTTAGGTCGTCATTGACGGCAAGGGACACCTCCTTGGTCGCCTGGCCAGCACTGTTGCTAAGCAGTTGCTCAATGGCCAGAAGATCGTCGTCGTGAGATGTGAAGCCCTCAACATCTCCGGCGAGTTCTTCCGCGCGAAGCGTACGTCTTTCCTGTGATCCGAATCCTCGTTTTTTTCTTATGCATTTTCTTGTCTTTTTTTTGTGTGTGTGTGTGTGTGTGTGTGTGTGAGCGGAGTTGGACGGATCGGCAGACAGCGGGAAAAACGGAGACAGAAAAGAAGTAAAGTGCAAGACTGCTGTGGATGATGGAGGTGATTGATGGAGTGGGAGCGTTATAGACACTGGCATCCAACTGTGCAGACAGGCTAACTGGACATTTTTCATCAATATAGTCAAGTACCACGCCTACCTTCGCAAGATAACTCGTTTCAACCCTACTCGCGGAGGTGAGACAACCCCCCAACTCTGATCACCACGACATGGTTATTTTTCCATGGAACCCCATACTGAAGTTGAATGTCGCAGGTCCCTTCCACTTCCGTGCTCCTTCCCGCATCTTCTACAAGGCCGTCCGCGGAATGATGCCTCACAAGACCGCCCGTGGTGCTGCCGCCCTTGAGAGACTCAAGGTTTTCGAGGGTGTCCCCCCTCCTTACGACAAGAAGAAGCGTGTGGTTGTTCCCCAGGCTCTCCGTGTTCTTCGCCTTCGCCCCGGCCGCAAGTACTGCACCGTCGGTAGACTCAGCCACGAAGTCGGCTGGAAATACCAGGACGTCGTTGCCAGGTGCGTATACCTCTTGTACCGAAATATGCGTGTAGCTGGAGACTAACGAAGGATTTGTTTAGACTTGAGGAGCGGAGAAAGGTTAAGAGCAGTGCATACTACGAGCGCAAGAAGGCTGCCCGCCGCCAACTTGCCCAGGCTCAAAAGTCGGCGAGCATTAACGACAGCACCAAGACCCAGCTCGCTGAGTTCGGATTCTAGATTATACCTGGTTGCGCGGCTGGTTGCTTGTGTCTTTGATGGGATGGGTTGGGATCGCGAGCGGTTTTTAACTTTCAGCGAAGTTTGGAAGGGGAAGCTGATCGACCTTTGTTCTCACTGTTCCTACCTTGTCATGAATTCCCACAATGTCTTTATGTTGTGACGCACATGGGGGTTTGGAGAGCTATCGGTTTCGTATTCACCATAAAAGTAAAATACAGGAGTCGCTTGGGATGAAAGGTTGTTTCAAAATAGCTGACCTATTTATTTCGCGCCGTGGCGGTTTAATCCAAGAAATTTTCCAGAGTTCACAACAGTCCCAGCCTCTTCCGTTCTTGCGCTAGAAAGTAATCCGGGTACCGCCATGATAGAGCAGCGCGAGATCCAAGTCCAACATATAATAATGTGCAAGCAAGCCAGTGGCTAGGAAGGAGCCATATCCTCTTCCACCAGAAATTGCTAGGAGAACCTCTACATCGGATGATAAATGTTATTACTAGCTAGGGACTGGCGCTCCCCGTATAGTTAGTGAACGGCCTGCTATGATAAATCAGATTCCGGAGCACGACAGTCACAGCGCTCGAGACTAGTATACTTGGTAGGATAGACTAATAACCTAAAGTGACGATATAGACGTGCGGAGTACGGAGTATCTAGTACGGAGTAGGAGGTGCCTTAATGGGGTAATATAGGATAGCCCTAAAAAGCCCTAATGAGGTTAGGAAACTAAGAATACTCAAACCTTATTTCAAACAGTTCACATGATACTCCCCTATGTAAACTTTCGTTATATCTTTTGCAATAAAGTACCTCGTGTTATACGCGAGGAATATGTCAGGAGTGATACTATGAAATCCATCATGTATAAAAAAGGGTTTCGTGGCTCTTAGCAATCGAATCGTGGTAGTACTGGATTGTGACCAAGAAGTAATATATATTTCGTACTCTACTGTCTGAATCTGGACTGAAATATGACTACCTGGTGGACGGATTCGAGAGTAATCGCTTCCGATCTACACGTAAGATTCGACAGGAATGCTTTCCGGGAAAATAAAATAAAATAAAATAAAATAAACAGAACTCAGGTGGCCGCTGCGGGTTGATCAAGTCGGTGGGAGGAGATCAAGTACAGTTCAGTTCCCCAGCCTAAATTACATATAGTTAGTACGGAGAAATATTCATGTCTTCCCCGCACTTCCTTCCATCTCCCCAGCTACGATATCGGATACGCTGCTCGGTCTGGATTCGGCATCTTACTCTATACCTCCTCTCCTATTTAGAAGCCATGAGACATCTTTCTTTTTTATATCTTCTTTCCAAATCTCTCTCTCTCTCTCTTTCCTCACCTTAAGAAATCTTCATCTCGAGAGGTCATCGAGTTTTCTCTGCTTGTTTTCATTTTATGCAAGCCGTTGTTATGTCCGTTGCAAGGTCCCGCCTCCGCCTCTCCAGCCTCCTCGGCCATTTTCAACAACCTCTTGACGCCAATAATGGACCTACTGCTCCTCTGGCGGACTGTTATGAACACAATGTGAATTTTCATACTCTATCGCCGACCTTCTTTCTCCCACGAGCTGCAGCCATAGAACCAGATGTAAGTATTGTGCTTGTATTTTCCATTGCATACCTATACGGTTCATGCTAACCTCGTGGTCCCTGCGAACCAAAAAAAAAAAAAAAAAAAAGGCCGAGGCTGTTTACCATATCACTACGAATAATCGAGTTTTGCGAAGAACTTACCTAGAAACCGCGGACCGGGCTCGTGGACTGGCCTACTATCTTAAAAAATACGGCTTTAAGAAAGTTGGCATCCTTTGCCCCAATACCCCCGCCTTTTTGGAATCCATTTTTGGAATTGCAGCTGCAGGGGCTGTCAATGTTGGTAAGGACTTCGAGATTTGTCTTTTTTTTTTTTGTGTCTTCTCTCTTTCTGTCCCGCGGCTCTTGTCCCAAAGAGTACTGACTGTGGATGATAGCTGTAAATTACCGTCTCAAGGAAGACGATGTTTCGTACATTTTCACCCACTCCGATGTTGAAATCATTATCGTCGACCAGGAGTATCTACCGCTGCTCAACGCGTGCAGAAAAGCGAAACCAAACATCCCTATCATTCTAGATACAGATACCGATGCAACAGAGGGGCCGCTGGCTGGTCCCTTTGATGACGCCGTTGTCGAGGGCTTGAATTATGATCGCGACACAGGCGCAAAGGGCTGGAGCGGACTGGAAGGCCAAGCAGCGTCGGAAGATGACATAGTTGCTCTTGCCTATACCAGTGGGACTACAGCCCGTCCGAAAGGGGTCGAATATACCCACCGTGGCTGTTATTTAGCTGCTATGGCCAACATCATTGAATCTGGCTTGAATTACCAAGGGCGTCGCTGCGGTTACTTGTGGATTCTGCCCATGTTCCACGCGATGGGTGCGTAGCTTTTGTGAGAGCCAACGGATTCGAAGGTGTTCTTAGCTAATAACGAATTTAGGATGGACATTCCCGTGGGCAGTTACTGCGGTTCGTGGGACTCATTATTGTTTGCGGAAAGTAGACTATCCGCAGATCTGGAAACTCCTGAAGGAGGAAAATATCACCCATTTCAATGCGGCACCAACTGTTAATACACTTCTCTGCAGCTCTCCCGAGGCTGAGAAACTATCAGAGCCCGTACATGTTACTGTCGCAGCAAGCCCGCCTACCCCTCACTTGTTCGAACAAATGACGGGCCTGAACTTACATCCAGTGCATGTGTATGGGATGACGGAGACGTACGGACCCATCACGAAGGGCTACCATATGCCGGCGTGGGAAACGCTACCTCACAAGGAAAAGTTCCAGAGGATGGCCCGCCAGGGCCATGGCTTTGTGACCAGTCTTCCGGTCCGGGTGATCAAGACTGATGTCCCCGAGGCGACTATTATTGATGTCAAGCGCGACGGGAAGGAGATTGGCGAAATTGTCTTTATTGGAAATATTTGTTCTCGGGGTTACTACAAGGACCCCGAAGCGACACGGAAGCTGTTTGCTGGCGGCGTGCTTCATTCGGGGGATTTGGCTGTTTGGCATCCCGACGGAGCGGTTCAGATCCTTGATCGATCCAAGGATATCATTATTAGCGGTAAGCCTACTTACATATATGACATAGCAGCGTTCAGTTGCACTAATCCACTATATGTAGGAGGGGAGAATATCTCGTCCGTCGCCCTCGAGTCTCTGCTGGTCACGCATCCTGATATTCTAGAGGCCGGCGTGGTGGCGGTTCAGGACGGTCATTGGGGAGAGCGACCGAAAGCATTCGTCACCGTCAAACCCGGACGACAATTGGAGGGGAAGGATGTTATCGATTGGGCTAGGAACTCTAGTGAAATCAGCAAATTCATGGTTCCGCGAGAAGTGGAGGTTGTGGCGGAACTGCCTAAAACTAGTACAGGCAAGGTAAGGAAGAATATCCTTCGAGAATGGGCCAAGGGTACGCCGTAGATCGAACATTTCCTCTGCGCCCCTGGGAGGGTTTGTATCTATCTACAGTATGCGAAGTAAGGATTCACAATATCTTTTAGCCCTAGACGATTCTCGGTTGTTTCTATCCCAGTGCCTTGCATGTAGGCTCTGTCGATTATCTTGGACTCCTCCCACTCGTTTACTCTTGTGGTATAGTTAGTAACTAGTTATCATACGGGCATCATGTGTAATTCACCAGGGAATCAATCATGCTTATGACCTGGTTTCTCTATGATCACACACTAGGTGATAGGGTCAACCGACATCAGATTGTGTGCCTTGAGGAGTGAAGTTGACTTGATTGATCATCCAATGCTATTTCCCTACTATTAGTGTATTATCGAGTGTTGTCTGTACCCCCACTCCCTTTCTGTCTCTTTCTCCTTCCCTCTTTCTCCTCCTTTCTCTCTCTCTCTCTCTCTCTCTTCCTCTTCCTCTCTCCCTCTATCCGTTTCCCCTCAACCGATAATATATACCTTTTATTATTTCCTCTTTTCATACCCTCTTGAGGTCATCGCGAAATCCAACTTCAAGCTACTATTCTCATCGCTGATTCGTGTGACCCCTCCCTCCCGCCTTCGCAGCCGGCCCGCCTTCCCCATCTTGCGTCGTCACAATCACATTCCATCACTTCCAAGCCCAGGCCAGCCAGGCTAAGAATAACAACAACTACGACTTGATCCGTGCTATTACCCCTCCTACCTCGATAATTATCTCGAGTTCCTTGCGACTCCGTATGCGATCCCTCGTCTCGATACCCTTATTCTCCCAAAAGTCGTCCTCTCGTCCTCTCCCTAGCCTCCCTTGCCATCGCTATTGTGCTTCCGCTGCAGGCACGCCCAACGCGCCATCGCTCCCCTTCGTAAGATCTCTACAGTCTGTTCTCCTCCGTCTCTCCTCCACACACTGCAAGCGACTTGGAAGGCTCTAGAATTTTTCAACTTCTGCTGTTCCGCTGTCAAAGGACTTTACACGTGATACTGGTCTTTCAACCCAGGCATTTACAACCTGGACAACGGATTTGGCACCTCTTTTTTTTTTTTTTTTTTTTTTTTTTTTTTTTTCTCTCCCCAACACACAAATCGCTTTTCCATGTCGACAAGCTTTTCATCTTCGTCGGCGATCTCGAGATAAGTGGACGACTAGGACACCATCAAACCATATCCGTGTTGAGCTTTGACCGTTATTCTCATGCCTCGCGCTCGGCAGCACGCTCGGTTTTCGAGCGAAGCCCCGTCCGAGTCGTCGAGTTCCTCATCGCCAGACCGTGCCGCCGATGACGACACAGATTTCTTCACCCAGGTGAATGACTCGCAGTCGTCAGTTGGCATCGGGAACTCTCGTGATTCACAGCCCCACAGCGAGCAAGTAGTCCTGCCGCCGATCGCGCACCTTCCGCCGGAGATATTGATCTCCATTTTTGCGAAGCTGAACTCACCGTCCGATTTGTTGAATTGTTTGTTAGTTTGCCGGGGATGGGCTGCGAACTCGGTGGGGATTCTCTGGCATAGACCGTCTTGCAACAACTGGGGCAATCTGGGGAAGATCACAGCTGCCGTAGGCAAGGTGGACGGTTTCTTCGCATACTCGGGGCTAATCAAGAGACTGAATCTGTCCGCTCTGACTGAGGACGTCAGCGATGGCACTGTTGTTCCGTTTTCCCAGTGCAAACGGATCGAGCGCCTGACTTTGACCAACTGCTCTAAGCTTACTGATAATGGAGTTTCCGATCTGGTGGATGGTAGTCGACACCTGCAGGCCCTGGATGTCTCGGAACTGCGGTATCTTACGGATCATACTCTCTTCAAAGTGGCGGCAAATTGCCCCCGGCTGCAGGGCCTGAACATTACGGGATGCACCAAGGTGACGGACGATTCGCTGGTTGTTGTATCACAGAAATGCCGACAGCTCAAAAGAGTGAGTTGTCTCTCAAGGCGCTGCTACGACTGTCGCTAACCTCTATTAGCTGAAACTGAACGGCGTTGTACAAGTGACCGATAAAGCTATCATGTCATTTGCTCAAAACTGCCCAGCGATTCTTGAGATCGATCTCCACGAATGCAAACTTGTCACCAACCTATCCGTTACCTTCCTCATGTCTACTCTTCACAATTTACGCGAACTGCGACTCGCCCACTGCACCGAAATCGATGATACAGCATTCTTGGAGCTTCCTAGAAATATTTCGATGGACAGCCTTCGCATTCTTGACCTCACAGCGTGTGAGAATGTTCGAGATGATGCTGTGGAACGAATCGTCAGCGCAGCCCCCCGCCTAAGAAACCTCGTGCTTGCCAAATGTCGGTTCATCACCGATCGTGCTGTCTGGGCTATTTGCAAGCTTGGCAAAAATCTCCACTACGTCCACCTCGGCCACTGCTCCAATATAACGGACAGCGCGGTCATACAATTGGTCAAGTCTTGTAACCGGATTCGATATATCGATCTTGCATGCTGCAACCGCCTAACAGACCGGAGTGTGCAGCAACTGGCGACGTTGCCCAAGCTAAGGAGAATCGGGCTGGTCAAATGCCAGTTGATTACAGATGAAAGCATAATGGCATTAGCACGACCGAAAACATCATCTCATTCCATGGGAGTCAGTAGCTTAGAGCGAGTACATCTGAGTTACTGCATTCATCTTACAATGCCGGTATGTCATCTTATCTAATGTCGCAAAATCAGAGTTTAACAGAGCGAACGCAGGGAATCCATGCTTTACTCAACAATTGCCCTCGATTAACCCATCTCAGTCTGACTGGAGTCTCATCGTTTTTGCGGCAGGAATTAACTGTCTTCTGCCGGGAGGCCCCGGCTGAGTTTACGCACCAACAGCGTGAGGTATTTTGCGTTTTCAGTGGGGAAGGAGTCAACCGCCTTCGCAATTTCTTGAACCAAGAAACTGTTCCCCAGCGAGACATGAATGAAGCTACCATGTACGACGATGATGAAGAACTGGACGAAGATGAGGGCCAGGTCACCGGCCTCATGAACGCCACAGGAATTAATGACGACGACTACATTGACATCACACCTCACGGCTGATACCCCTTGTCTTTCAATTGAGCGAGTCCGTTTGATCAAGTTTCTTCTCTCTATCTCTGTCTTCAACAGCACTATCCTATGGCTTTTGAGTTACTTCTCTACACTTTATTTTCCACTCTTGTCCGTTAAGATATTTCCTCCTCATGGGTTTCTTTCTCTCCTTTGTCAATATTCTTATTGGCCAAGGAGCAAGCATTACCCGTCTCCCATTTTTATTTTTTTATTTTTTTATTTTTATTTTTATTAAACAGGGCTGTCACGGTTTAGGGGCTTTATCTGGGATATGCATTGGTAGCGGTTATATGCAGGTTACCGTTTTCAAGTTGATGGTTGGGGATTGGGTGGGCACATACAGAAACTCTCTACTGCCAAAGTCTGTCATGGTAGAAAATAGATATCAATTGATATCGGTACTAGGAAAAGGAGGAAGCCAAATGACCGCTGCTCATGCTGTTGGTTCTCCTGGTTGGGGTGGGATGTATAGATCTATATAAGCATGGCGTGTTTGAAGAAGCTACACTATCTTCTAGTTAGCATGAACGGAGTTGGGCTTTTCGAGAGTGATTGGTCTTCTCGTCTGTTATGAATTACGATCCGTTCTATCCAGGTTGCTGGCTCTGTGTCTAGGACTACTCTTAAAATATCACAGTATTTCTAGTTTTATCTCTTTTAACACAGAAATCATAATATAATAATGTCAATGAAGAATAAAAAAAAAATAAATCAAAAATAAACCAGAGCTGGGGATGTCAGTCAAATACCTGTAAAATTACACGGTAGTGTATCCGTACTGTCATTTCCGTAACCCCGCTCTCTCTCTTGTCCGGTACCTGTACCTCCATCATCTCCATCATCTCCTCATCTCCTCATCTCGAACTCGCAAAGCTCTCTGCAAAGAGACTAGAGACCTTCCTCGCCAACAGCTTGAAGGATAGAATCCTGTGGATCGAGGTCGAGTTCGATGGATACCCCTAAAGTATCCCGAGCCAATCCTCTGGCATTCACTCCCTGGCCAGTCACGATCATCACTGCCGTTGTGTACCTCGCGTTCGTAATCCCTTTACTCGTCGTCCACCATGTTGTACCTTCTGCCCCGAGCTCCAGTCCTACCGGTTTAAACCTCACAGAAGCCTGGAGTGACCTCCAGATCCTCACCTCCGGCTATCGCCCCTACAACTCCCATCAGAACGACAAGATTCACGAATGGCTTTTCCAGCGAATCTATGAGATCCTAGACGCGACAACGACAGCAGGCGAAAGTGAGCTGGAAAAGAAACCGGATGTGTTTGTTTTCAATGACGCGAGCTCAAACTTGACGTTTGCCGGGAACACCCTGTCGAGCTCTGATCTCGCGGTTTATTTTGAAGGGACGAACATTCTGGTGTATATTCGGGGCGAGGAAGATACTCGGGAGCAGTGGTGGGAGGTCCCCGATGGGTATCCCACGGGAACGGGCGGCGTGCTGGTGAACGCGCACTATGATAGTGTTTCGACTGGGTTTGGCGCGACAGACGACGGCGTCGGGGTTGTCACTTGTCTCCAGCTTATCCGGTACTTCACTACGCCGCAACATGCGCCACGGAAGGGACTGGTGGTGTTGTTTAACAATGGCGAGGAAGATTTCCTGAACGGCGCGCGTGTTTACAGCCAGCATCCGATGTCGAGGTTTGCGCATACCTTTTTGAACCTGGAAGGTGCGGGTGCTGGAGGGCGCGCGATCTTGTTCCGCAGCTCCGATGAGGAGGTCACGCGGTCTTATATGCGGTCGCAACATCCGTTTGGGTCCGTGTTTGGTGCGGATGGCTTTGAGACCGGGTTAATTCGGAGTCAGACCGATTATGTGGTTTTCCAAGGCGATTTGGGTCTGCGGGGACTGGACGTTGCGTTTATGGAACCGCGCGCTCGGTATCATACTGATCAGGATGATGCGAGACATACCAGTAAGGATTCCCTCTGGCATATGTTGTCTGCTGCCGTTGCGACGACGGAGGGTCTCGTGTCGGATTCGAGTACTCAGTTTGATGGGCCGGCAAGAGATGATGGGAAGCTTCCCAGCGGCACTGGATCCAAGGCCGTCTGGTTTGATCTTTACGGAAGCACTTTTGTGCTTTTCCGCCTGCATACTCTATTTGCCCTCTCGCTGACTCTTCTCATTGTGGCTCCCCTGGTCTTGCTCTTGACAAGCATCATCCTCACCAAGGTGGATAAAATGTACCTCTTTCGGTCGACGGTGCGGCCCCAGGACACTCTTGATTTCGTCCCGCTGTATGGCGTTCGGGGGGTTTTCCGATTTCCATTCTTGTTTGGCATTCCCACTGCCGTCACTGTTGGTTTGGCATATCTGCTTACCAAGGTCAACCCGTACATCATTCACAGTAGCCAGTATGCTGTGTGGGCCATGATGGTATCCGCGTGGACATTCTTGGCCTGGTTTGTTTCCCGAGTGGCTGACTTTGCTCGTCCTTCGGCGTTCCACCGCATATATACACTGACCTGGATGTTTGTTCTGATGTGGGTTCTTCTGGTCATTGCGACGGTGTATGAGAATCAATGGGGACTGGCAGGGGGCTATTTCATCTTCTTTGCATTTTCAGGTACCTTCCTGGCCACATGGATCTCTTATCTTGAACTGTTTTCCCTGCCGCGGAAGTCCGACTATGCTAGTGAGCTTCGACCAACATCGAGGCGGGCTAGTAGTCATGGTAGCCGCCGACTCGGAGCACCTTCCGAAGAAGAAGAAGAAGAAGAAGAGGAGGAGGAGGATGATGATGGTGGCGATGACGATGAGGAGGAGGAGGAGCCTACAGAATCGACATCTTTGCTTGGAAGCGGACAGCGGACTACCTTTGCGAACTATGTGCGAGTGACCGGGGATCATGCGGTCAACACTGACGATGAGGATTACGTTGGGAAGGCCCACGTGTACGGTCTGGAGCAACGATGGAGCTCCTACATGCCTACATGGATCTGGGTTTTGCAATTCCTTCTTGTTGCTCCTATTGTCATTATATTGGTTGGAGCTTTGGCGCTTATGCTTACCAGCGCCCTACGCCAAACCGGGCAAGATGGTGGCTCTTCGCTTTTCATCTACATTGCCATCGTTGCATTCACAACGCTCCTGCTGACTCCAATGTTACCGTTTATCCACCGGTACACCTACCACATCCCACTATTTCTACTAGCAGTTTTTATCGGCACCATGATCTACAACCTCGTCGCATTCCCATTCTCCGACTCCGACAGGCTGAAGCTCTTCTTCATCCAAGAAGTAAATCTCGATACCGGCGTCAACACCGCCTCCCTCGCAGGCGTCCAGCCCTTTGTCTACAACGTCGCAGCCGATATACCCAGCGCAGCAGGCCAAAGCATCTCCTGCAACCCCCTCGGGGATCGAGTGAAATGCTCCTGGGCAGGAATCCCACCCCAGGTCACCACCGGAGAAGACACAGCCCTATCAGACTGGGTGTCATTCGAAATTTCCAAATCCACGGATAAACCCCACGCCCAATTCAAGGTCTCTGGCCAGAACACTCGCGCGTGCAAGCTCCTCTTCGACTCCCCGATCACCAACTTCCACGTTGCTGACTCCGCCTACGACGAGCGCTTCCCACATACCTCTTCTAAGGGATTTAAGGAAATCCGCCTCTGGAGCCGCTCATGGGACAATACATGGACCGTGGATGTTGAGTGGGAGGACGACAAAGGCCAGGACACCAGTTTATCCGGCAGGGTAGTCTGTCTGTGGAGCGACAATAACCAGCCCGGTGTCATTCCGGCCCTTGATGAAGTACGCCAGTACGCGCCGTCTTGGGTGGGGGTGAGTAAATTATCCGATGGACTTGTGGAGGGTAGTAAGGCGTTTGAGATCAAGATTGATCCTTGATAGTTGTATTCTTTGTTTTTCTCCTTTTTTACATCTGTCTTTCTTGCCTGCCTGCCTGCCTGCTTATCTACTTGATTCATTTCTCTGTTCATTTCGGCGTATGGGTATGGGATATGATCTGCTCGCTCCTAGTTCTGTACCGGGTTGATTTCTTGTCCATTTTATATGCAGTGGTGTGCATCCACCACCTACTTACCGACTACTTACCAGGCTATCTCGGATCTACCTAACATTACCTAAGAGTTTACCAAATATCCATCTAATGAAAGAACGAACTCTGCCTGGGTGGATGGGTTCTGTCCTCTGTTCTTGTCCTCTCTCTGTATATATACTACTAGTGAGAGTTCAAGTACTACAATAATAGTATAGTAAGTAACTAAGAAGTCGAGTAGTGCTTGCTCGCTGGGTAGTTACCTGGAACTTACTCTATCTGTGTCTTTAGTGAAATAACCTCCCATGTACGGAGGATATACCTACACATATACAGAGTAGTACTTCTCTCTCTCTCTCTCTCTCTCTCTCTCTCTCTCTCTCTCTTGCTTGTACATCTACATATACCTACCTACTCGTTTTATCTAGGCTTTGTTCACGGTCCTTGCTAGCTAGCACGCAGGAGAAATTAACTAGGTTTAGTTACCGAACTGCAATGAGTAATATTAATTATTCTTAGTTAACTAACTAGTTTTTAATAGACAGACAGACAGATCTAACTATTCGGATGAACCTAGCTCGCTCCCGGGAAAAGAATGTAGCTGTTTGGATGAGTTTTTTTTTTTTTTTTTTTTTTTTTTTTTAATTAGTAGTACGTACTACGTAGTTTTATTAATTTATTAAGTAGTTGGCCCACTTGACCCATGACGAGCTGTTTGTTTTTTTCTGACCATGAACAGCCAGCTGCAATCCCTGCCTGCCTGTAATGACTGGGCTTCGGGAGGTCCTGGCTGGATGTGGGCAGGAGTTAAAAAGTAGTTATAGAAAACCCTGCCTTATTGACTAACTATTAGGTATCTTGGCTGGTTCACGCGGCCAAATAAGGAAAACGTTATGAAGGATGTAGACTAGGTATGCCAGAGTAGATAGAATACATGGGAGGAAATGTCCAGCCTTGTGGAGAACAATTCTGGGCTTTGGTCTAGGGCTGGCTCGTGCTCCTTTTCCATCCGCGGGTTCGACCCACCACTTTCTTAGCGTTCCTTGGTTCCTTGGTTCCTTGATGCTTTTTTTTTTTTTGGTTCTCAAGATGGAGTTAGAACTCTGTGTCCGGCTAGACTCGAACTGACCGATATCAGGTTGTTGTTGTTGTTGTTGTTGTTGCCGTGATGGTAATTGGGCTTGGCCTGGAAATGGATTATTGGTTGCCGACCGTAATCTCATCATTCGTTATTCGCGATACACGATGTAGATGTGGTGAAGACGGGAAAATAAAAAATGTGGTAGAGAGAGGATTGAGATGGCACATGCCTGATGGCGACAGTTGAGACGGAACGCACATTTACCCTGTACTTCCCGGCTCGATAGCGACACTGCGAAGTTTTTGCTGTAGGGATTCGGTAAAGTCTCGCTCGGAGGATGGATTGTTCGTTTGGGTCTCCCCACTTAGGGAGTGCGAGATATCCGAGTGCCTGGTTTCGGTTTCCCGCCGGGGCCCTGAGTGCTCGAACATGGCGATGGAGACATCATCCGAGTCCATCCAGGGGTGGGTGCGGTGGCGAATGGTAGGCGCTGCATGGGTCACATCTGATGTGACGCGCGTGGCATCGACAAAGTCCGGAAAGTCGGAGGGTCTATTGATCGACGATTCTTGTTTCCAGACGTGGTTGCGGACGAGATAGATGAGTTTTCCAAGGACCGCGAACTCCAATTTTAATTTAACGCTGTAGACGACACCCTTGACCATGGTTTCCATAATGTAGTAGTCCATGTATTCGATGACGAGCAGGCCGAGATCCATGAAGATGATCATCAAGTTAATTGCGACCAGCTGGTACATGATCTTGCGCTTGCTTCGGTCTGGGTCTAAGCGGAGCATGCGAATTGTCTCCCAGATGTACAGGGCAGAGAGAACGAACTCTTGGATGCAGAAACCGGTCATCTGGATCTTCTCCATGACGTTGTAGCCGTTGACGTATGCGGGCCGGCCGTCTGAGAGGTTGGATCCATAGGTGAAGACGGTAGTGGGGACATGGAGAATAATGGCGTCAATGATGATCATGGCCAGCACCGGGCGGAGAAGACGTTGATTCGGAAGAACCAGGTGCAGGCGCGAGTACAACACGACAGACTGCCCCGTGACCATGCAATACCAGCCAACAGTGATGAAGGTGACGGATAGCCATGTTGCCGACGTCAGATCAAAGTACTTGAGCAGGAATCCAATGGAGTAGGGCACGAGGCCGATGGATGACGAGACCAACAAGCTCCAAAAGTAGAGGCCGCGATATTGACTGAAGGTGACGAAGACGAGGGCAATGAGCTCGATAGCATTATACCAGGTGATTCCAGCGAGAGTCGCAATGGTGATTTTGATCGCCAGGCTGTCGCCGGTGTAGCCGCCCGTGATGCCGTTTTCAGGTGAAGAATTACTTCCAGGAACCATGACGAGTTTAGGAAATCTGGCCCTGTGCGTGGTAGAGCATATCAGGAGGCATCGTGTGTGGTACGAGGAGGAGGTGAAGGGGGGGGGGACTTTGGCAGTGACACTTAGGAAGAGAGTGAGGTTAAGAGAAGGGAGGGAAAGGAAAGGAAACAAAGAAGAGGGAAAGAGAGGAGATCAGTGAAATAGAGAAAGAAGCGAGAGACAAGAGAAGAGAGAAGAGAAGAGAAAAGAAAAGAGTGTGTCAGTCTGTCTGTCAGATGAGGTTGAGGTTGAGGTTGTAGAGTGACAGCGAGATCGGGGGTATAAATTTCTTTTCTTTTCCTTTCTTTTTTCTTCCCTTTCTTTGAGCCACACAATCCTCCGCTTTCAAACGTCTTTCGACACTGAATCTTGGAAAGGGGAACTAGGAAAGTATTCGAATTCCTATGAATAGATGAAAGTAAGGAAAATATCACTAATTAGAACTATGACAGGACTAAAGACACCGGCTGAATCGAAGAGAGAGAAAAAAAAAAAAAAACAACCAGTGCCCAAGGGTGGACTGCCTGAAGAGCACTCAGCACACACACAAAGGGAAAGTGATCGCGCAGACTTCAAGATCCGATCTAAAACCAAGCAAGCAAGTGGACACGATGAAAGAGTGAAGAACGAGGTCGAATACTTGATTGATATTCCAACTCTCCAGGCCGCATCGGCACCAGAAGAAAGAACCCCACTCCCTTTCTTATTGTGTCATTTTTATGGTCGGCTTGAACGATACCCTAATTCGAAAATGAACCGTCTGCGTCACCTAGATCCTAGCCAAGAGTCCTAGACCGCGTTGTGGTGTTGGAGTTGGACCGTGATTTCCCCAGGGTCTCTCTCCCCCCTTCTCGCTTGCTCGGATGGTTCGGTCAATAAGAATCAGTCTAGCAGGACCCGTCTCTGGCTGTCAATGGAGCGCACAAGTGGATCCGCCTGAGCCCAATACTAATGGGCAGCATCTGCTAGTTACAGCCAGCCTACAGGAATATGATCCTCGCCAACGGCTTGGTTACTGGCAACTTGGCAGCCTTAAAAAAAAAACATAGGGATACTCCGCATTTCCGAGCGCAGGCCGGACTTTTTCGTAACAAGGAAAAGGGGAAAGGTATAAACATGTTTGATTTGACTATGGAAGTCAACCTTGACTGGTACAAGTATACTCCTGGTGTACTCCTGGTATACTCCCGGGAGCGAACCAGTTCCGTTCTTCTGGGCTCTGGAATAACGAACGATGTTGTTTCCGAGTCTCACAGTGAGCGGAGTATTTTCCTTTCTCGCCCCAACTCCCTTCATTTTCCCTTTTCAACTTTTCTGTCCTACTTTCCTTTTGTCTTTCTTCCTTTCCCCTACCCCATGATCCGAAGACTCGAAAATATCCAGTTCTGTACTTGCGACAACTTTACCGGTTCTTGAAGTCTGACCGTGCCGGCTGCGATGACTGACTTCACAAGTTCAAACTTCCCACATGCACCTTCGACCGGGGTGAACCAGTCCCGAATTGTGGAGTAAAAGGGCTAACTAACTAAGTAAAAGTTACTCGCCTTGTCAGCGCCAGTAATTCAGCGGACGAGGGGAACGCTGTCTCCCTCCCTTTCAGCTTCTAAATGAAGCCTATGATTCTACTGGTCCAAAAAAATCACTCTTAGTTCTTACCTATGCAGGGATTTTGTGTGCCAGCGAATGAGACTGAAGAATAAAATACACTCCGCTCTGTGGTTCTTAAATTGGAGCATTGTCTCCCCCTAATTTCCTGAACCGTTGCAGATCTTGAATGCGTACCTGATCCTGGTCTGGTAGCTTTTTTGGATTCTGTCTGTGCTGAACCCGTTACCCGCAGCCAATCGTCGCCAGCAGAAACCAATAATGCTTGGAGCCTTGGACGTTGAGGATAATCTAGTTACAACTAGTACTCCGTAAAACGATAGGGGAGATGATATACTAATTAATTAATGCCTCACTTTTCTCCACCCCCGTTGACGGTTGGGCAGATGGATTGATCAACCCATGTCCACGCGTGCGATGCTTGAACGATCAACGAAGTAGGATGGTGTGTTCTCTGCAAGTCAGACTATTTTTCGGGTGTCATCTGGGGGGTTCCATTTCTGTATTCAGGGAGTCGAGCTAGAGTTGGTTGGTTGGAAAGAGCTGGCTGGTCTTATGACCAAATTATTTTTATTAAACTAAAGATAGATAGTTAGTTAAAAGAGTAGTTTATTGACCACATGTTTAACTGCCCACTGTATAAAAAAAAAATGCCTTATACCTGGGTAGTGGCTCTGATTGGACACTTCCCTACCCCGGAGTGGTTTATATTTGTACCTGGTACTTGCTGCATTGGAGAAATACCCCAAGCTGTAGCTAGTACTCCGTACTAGGTGACCTCCTGAGAAATGTGGGCTTTGGAGGACACAAACAAACATCCAAAGAGGATCACCGTCAATCCAGAGGAGGCTGCGCATGACAGCCGCCTCTCTAGCTATCTGAAGGCACTTTCGGCGTAATTTGTCCCGAAGAATAGATGAACGAACTCTCCCCCGAGTTTTGACACAGCTGTGGAGTGGATAGGGGGTACTCTGCTTGTAAGGAGATAGAGAGACTCATGGCGCAGCAGCTATCATAATTAGAGCCCACAATGTGAACGCGGCCGTTAATCTACCAGGCCCACTGGCGGAATATGGAACCTCCACTATTTGTTCCCCTGGCAGTCCGGCGTCCCGATAACTGATATCAGATATAGACATTCGACCGATACTCGAGCTCAGCGGGGACACGATGGCCTCGGATTGATTCTGACCACGGTTAGGAGGTGTAGCGGGCTGCCGTCGGGGTCGCTCGGCGCGCCGATTCCTTCGTGTATGTATATCCTCCACACAGAAGCGGAGAAGCACGAGTCTCTTCGATGTAAAGATGAAGCAATACCGTACCCGGTACAAAATACAGTAATGCTGCATCTGACGTAAGGCAGTTCGTACTTGGTTCTGTTCTTCCACCTCATCCCACTTCTTTGCCACTTTGACGTCCCCTGGCAAATAAATTCGCGTACCTCCGGCACGAGAAGAATCATCGTTACCACCTCTCCAGGCACAATTACAGGGGTATTGGCAGTCTTATGCATCCTTTCCCAACCATGCTGAGGACATGTGTTTAGGAGGGGGAACAAGGTTCTGATCCAAATCCAGGTTACTGAGGTTTCTCCCCATTCCTCCATGTGGATTTATATGTCCGAAAATACGCTTCAAATTCTCAAAGTTGAACTCGTCCCATCCGGTTGTACCAGTGAGCGAGCTCGGGGTATAGGGGGTTAGTTGTGAGTAATCCACCGGCTTTTACCTTCTGGATTATGGTTGGATTGAGCCAGGTAAGGACTTCGAGAAGGGTGGTCATCTTGAGAACCGGTTGAGCAGGCTGATTTTGGATGGTGAAAGATTGGTGCTTTATAGATAACTTCCTGCCTCGAGATTAACTCGGGTTGGTATCACAGCGTCATCCGTGACGAGCATCCTCACTCTATGCAAAAGCAGGACCCAATGTGAAGGGGCCACATGTAGATGTCGTGGCTTCGGAAAATCCAATACAAGCAGCTAGTACATTCCTCATGCATGCATCATCCCGGGGTGAGTGTTATAACTCGCGCTATTTCGTGCACTGACTTGACGTGGCGCAATGAAGATAACCAGCTCATCAAGAATCTATCCTTCTAGGCTCGCAGGAAAGATGCGAGGCCCTAGTTTTCGAAGATGGTAAGGCCGGCGTTCGGGGAGTGGTGGCATCTGATAGCACAACATTCCCCGCCTCGCACTCCGAGTAAGTGAAGAAACCTGATCTGTCGGCTTCCCACTGGCTTCTAATTTCGACAAATGTACGACGCCGCCTCCTGCTTCATTCGTGCCTGCTGATAAATCAGTAATGAAAAAAAAAATGAAGCAATCGGTTCAGTGACCTTGCTTTTCACCTCGAGCGTATTAGCGAAAAAAAAAAAGGTACACCTCACCTCCCCGGATGGTCCCGCAATATTACTCCGATTCAATGGAGGCCATGTATGTACACATCCGTATAGTATGCCGGTTAGGAAGCTGATGTCGAGTTTATCGCACGAGCTTCGCACGGTCAAGGGAAAGGAAGGGGGCTTGAGGGCGGTGGCGAAAATCCCCAGGTCTTGTCCTTTATGTACTCATTGAAAAGCACCCATGGATGAACTTGCGAACTGGACTTAGTTTCCCCAATGCAATTGTTAAATAATCTTCCCCGTCATCTACCACCATGGGAGATTTATATAAACTCTTCATTTCAAATGACACTTTAGATGTCGACACCACCTGCGATGGCTTGAGCCCTTCGAACGAGGAGAAAATCCTGAGCAGCTCCCCAAGACTCAAAAACGGTTTGCCGGCCACATCACGGACGATTTGAAATTCACATACGTTGGTAAAGACGCGCAGGGTGCTGTTTTCCGGTTTCATTGGGAGGAGAAGGACCTATGCATGAAGGTGGTTGGTATTGTCTCACATGTCCAACTGGGTCATTGCTGATACAGCGCAGTTTAAATCCGCCGAGATTCCAGGGCCGTATCGTCCGATAGACAAAGCAATGGTAACTCCCTTTGTGTCTGAGTGTCGAGCATTTGCCCGCTTATGCGATCTACACAAGAACGGCAAATGGGCGGTGAAGTGCCATGGATGGTTGGAGTTAGATGAACCGCTGAAGAAGCGCATTCTGGAGCCTCGTGGATTAAAGGTAGACGACTTCGGTCGTCGAGTTATCGTGAAAGACTTCATCAAAGATGAGGGGCTTCGGTCCGAAGATTTCGAGCTCATCATGTCGAACTTCGAGATAGCGAAAAGCGCCATGATCCTACCGCACGACACTGAGAAAAGGAACTATAGAAAATCATTTTTACTTGATTGGGGATCATCCGTGACGTTCCCAATCCCCACAGCATTCGGGACAAATCGAAGCTTTGAAATGTACTACGAGGATTTGTCTAAACATGGGTTGGGTTGGATGCATTCGGACTGGGAGCTCTCAAGCCGTGCGCTTGTTTGGCCTAAAGCAGATTTTAATTCTCTGGTACAATTGGTTAGTTACATGTCGGTCCTGATACTTCGCATGTGGCGGAGACGGACGTTATGACTAGATATTCACATGGAGCCACATGGATCATCATCAACTAAGTCTTTAACCGCGCTCCGATGTTTCGGGTCCCATGTGAGCATTCTCTTAATGAAAGTAATAAACTCTTCTCCACTAATTTGGCTTATGGCAGTCTCGAAGCTCATTGTTGGTATCCTGAATGGCGGATCGAATTTTCCGACAAGAGGATAAGCAAGGCTATAAAAGTGTTAGTTGAAAGAGTACTTACCATCAATATCGTAGAACATCGGCGTTCTTCTACCCCGTGAAAGAAGATCCTTTAGAGGTAGTCCTAACAAAGCTATAATGCACGTAAGATGGCTTTGATCATCGTACTCCCGCATTGGCGAATCAACTGCTGCAAAGAGTGAGCGGTTCTCCAGCAGATCCCACATTAGTAAAGTAGCCTAACCATCACCTAAATTCCATATATCTGCGCTGTATGTCTAGCTGTGAAATGAACCTTAAAGTCAGCGAGTTTCGAGCTTGAACTGATGTGTACTTACGTCAGCGAGTGCCAAGCAGAGTTGTAGTCAGTGCTTGTTAAGTATATCTCGATCCATGAAGTTGGAGACAGATACAAATAGTTGGCCTTTCATACCCAGTCCTTAGTGCCTACAATAACATGGCTAGGTCTTGATTTGGAGAGCCCTGCTAGGTGTTTTACTTTCCCCTGGGCTATGAGTCTTGTAGACGATCAGTAGCATGGCTTGTAGTGGTGGAAATATCCTCAGACAGAGTCGCCTATCCTTGTACCATTGAGGCCCTATCTGTGGAAGATGAATTGTCCTAGGACAACCCGGATCTCGAGAGATCTTGCGTAATGAACCGTATGGTAGCGCCATGCGAGATACAAAGTTCACGACTTCGTAAAGGTGCTAGGCAGACCTCGATACGTATGAACGAAATTCACCACTCAGCACTGATTTTCGACCGCAAGACGCACGAGTAATGTGGCTAGGGAAGAATTGCTCGTGCCCCTAGTCTTCAAGAGATCGCAACGTAAAATTGGGCTTCGGAGGAGGAGGCATTGAGAGGTGATCGTATGGAAGGGTCCCAGGAGCATATCTTCGTAGCTGATTATAGGCCCTATTGGATAAGGTATCAGTAACTTAATGAAAGTATTTTCGAGGTCTCTCAGAACAGATTCGTGTCAATTCTACGCGGAGTCACGCAGAGAGCTTTCTTGGTCAGTGAGGAACGAGCAAGCATTCGATCACGGCGCGTAATTCCGGATTTGACAGACATTCGCCTCGTTTTGGGTCGGTGGTAAGAAGGATTCTCAGGTGGATTTGCGGCGATGCTGGTGGAATGTGGAAGAAACAGCCCCTGAATTGAGCATGCAAGGTCCGAGGTACCACGGACGCGGCCTGCCACCATGACCCTTAGTCCCAGAATGGACCATGGTTGTTGCTGGCCTCATCATCCAATTAGTTTGTGGGGACGCGTCCTGCAGCACTCATAAAGGAGGAAACGAAGGAGACAGCCACTCAATTACGGTGCTCTGAGATGAGGAGAAGCTATAGTTTACCTCTTGTAACTGATCAAACAGGTCCTTTCGGCAATGTTCGGGTGACTGGATAAATGATCTCGCTGACTGCGTTTCTCGCGAAATTTTGGGAGTCACCATTGACAGGCTGGTCCTAATTAGTCGTATGGTTATGGGACTTTCCATTGGATAATGGAATTGATAACCGATACCCCAGGCACCATATTCTAGCTGTACAATTTCAGGCATCAGGCTAGGTTTTCTAACTGCGAGCCTATATTTGGGACAGGATACATTGCTCACAAGGCATATGACCCTGTCGGTGCGTTCTTTTCCCAACATTAGCGATGTGGGTCAAATTCGATGATGATGATATGAAGATGCAGCTAGTCATTTTCGTAGATGGTCAATTCGTGTTGCAATCAATTCCTTCATGTCTTCCCTTATCAGTATTGTTAAGGAAAGCCTAAGGAATTCTCGATAGGACTGCCTTCCATAAATAGGGCATCTGTGGCTTCTTCGCGCGCTTACTACTAGATTCCGGTATAATGCAAAACATGCCTGCCTTCAAGTAATAGAAACGGATGTTGGGGATACCCCTCTTCCCACGAAAAAAAAAAAAACCAAGTATAGGGCTAAGGATTTCTTGCCCAGTGATTGATGAACTCTTGCAAAGCAATTGGAATTATGAGAAACTTGCAGCATAGCAGAGAAGAAGTTGTTCAGCCTTGCAGAATATGCGGGCTAGAACCCAATGAAAACAGAGGCAAGTCGACGGTGAGGTCATAGCATCAGGAGATACAAGAGCTAATATCTTGTTTCATTTATGGAAGGGATATAGGCGCCCCGAACGTCCGAGGTTTGCTAGATCAACGGTGGGTTGTCTCCATTAGGGAGGTATATGGAATTTCTTTTCTGTCGGTATCATAGAAATTCCGCGCTGTTTGTTATCATTTACCTTGGGCAGCGTCCTACTGCATCAACTGCATATGGAGAACGCCGAATCATAAGAACCTAACGCAATGAAACCCCTCATTGTGACTCTCTCTGCAGTTTCCCACGAAGAAGCATTCATCATTTTATCCTTGCAAACCCTTGACATCGTTCGGCGATGATTGCCATCGAGGTGGAGGTCGTGTACTGGGGTCCACGGGCCTCATTTTCCATACGTCCGCAGAATATGTGATGAGATGCAATTGCCATCAAGAGACATGCGGTTGGCGACAGGCATTCTGCATTGCTTTCACCTCTCTCTGCGAGAATCTCCGTGGAAGAGGGGAGGTCTTTTCTTGTAGAGCCTCAAGCGGACCGGTTATAAAGAACCGCCCATACCACTGTAGCTCTGAGTCGGTAGAGCCAAAATTCACTCCAAGCTTTTACCATTGTCATTGCCAAAACCAATCATGGCGCCAGTTGAAGTTAGCTTCCCCCCCGTGACTGAATTCAGGGTAGCTCCTGAGGCCTATTATTCGTCCGGTTTGCGCGCGCGCTTCATTCATGATGCGGAACGAACCGCTGTGAAGACTAATAGCCCAACGACCTATGCCAGAATTGGGTACGACGTTGACGAGGTAGCCTATAAGAAACGCGTCCAGGCCAGTCTTGCAGCGGGCAACTTACCCACCACTGTTCCTGCGGGATGGCCCACTGGGTTGTCTGGCCCCTTGGTCTGGAGAACTGGAGATTTCCCAGATGAAGAAGAGTATGTATATCATCTGACCAAGGAGGACAAGGCAGAGATATTTAAAGCCTTGGAAATATTCAAAGGTTAGTTAGTACTGAATATTTTGCGACTAACGGTTGGCGGAAGGCAACCGGCTTCGCTGTCACCACAACCGCTTGAAGGACTAGCAAAAGCTGAAAATATCCACAGGTCTTGGCCTCGAAGGTCATGAAGTCTCGCAGAAAACTTTCCCTTTGTCATCACTGGGAAGGGAGCTTGAGAATGTCCGGAATTCAGTGTATGAAGGTCGTGGATTTGCCATAGTGCGAGGTCTTGACCCAGACGCGTACAATGTTGAAGACCTCACCGTGGTGTACCTAGGAATATCAAGCTACATCGGTGAGCGTCGCGGAAAACAGGACCAGCGCGGTTCAATGCTGAGTAGGTGACCCAATTAAGAGGACTTGACTATTAGGCTCTGACTCACCTGGGCATTTAAAAAGTGCATGTCATCAAGCGCGGGGATCAGGAGCGAGACGTCCAGTTCAGCGAGGACAAGGTAAGAAGTTTGGCAGTGATAGATGCCGCCCACCTCTTCCTGTCAGGGACACGATTGCTAAGATGCGTACACAGCCCTTCCACACCGACACAGTCACCGACTGCCTGTGCTTGTTCACCCGCAACCTATCTGAGAAGGGCGGATGCAGCGTTCTTGCCTCCGCCTGGACGGTGTACAACGAGATCGCAGCCACTCGGCCGGATATTATCCATACATTGGCGCAGCCTAACTGGCCATTTGACACGTGGGTTCCCCATTTTTATTACACCTTATGTCGTTCGTTGTTTTTGCCCTTGGCTTCCTCGCGCATGAGCGTCTTTCATCGGTAGGGGGTAACTGAGATCTACCAGATTTGGTCGCTCGCCTCCTTATTACACCCGCCCGGTACTTTTTTACCACCATGCTAGACTCATAATGTCATTCTCGCGTCGCTTGCTAGTGGGCCATTTGCCATTCGAAAAACGCTCCCCGGGAATCCCCGGCCTCACAGAAGCTCAGGCGGAAGCCCTGGACATGGTACACTTCGTTGCCCGCAAGCATGAGATCAAGCCTCGCATCGAACGGGGCGATCTTCGCTTCATCAACAATATGGCCGTGTTGCATAGACGGGAGGCTTTCGAAAACAGTGTTAACAATGCCCGACATCTCATCCGTATTTGGCTGAACAACGAACAAATGTGCTGGAAGCTCCCCCGCCACTTGCAGCTTTCGTGGGCTCGTATCTTCGATGATGACGAACGTGAGGAGCACTGGGACATCGAGCCCCCTCGGAAGGATGGAAAGATTCTGAGAGTTGCTGGGTCATGTGATTAAGAGAGACAAGCCTTTTAGACTCGGATCCAATGGGAAACTGCTAGCTATTGTTTCCATTGTTAGATAAGAAAAGTTCGAGTCAGTAGGTACCTAGGTAGATGTTGAAGTTTGGATGTGGAGGATGGAAGCTGGCTGTTCCGGGAAGGCTGGGGGAAGAAGGTTGATGATAGCCAAAGAAACTTCGACTAAGCCCGGCAACAACAACATTACCTCAAGTCCAGGCTCGGCTCAGGTAATATGAACTAAGAAGAGGCATTTTTCTTTTCACGTTGCGTTGACACTCCTTCCCGGGTTTTATGTTTATTATGACGATGAACAGAATGTTATCTATTATTATATCTTCACTATCTCACAGTACCTGGCAATGAAAACCACCCAAATCTAAGCGGTAGGCCCAGGCTTCCATTCAGAATCATACAACTGCGAAACCCAGTACAAATGATCTCCAAAATCTCTATTTGCCCGGATATTCGCTACGTACGTGTCTATGATTGAGACGATGTCAGCGCTCGGATCCAGAAAAGAGAGTAGTAATAGAGAGGTCCTCACCTCTTCCAGGGGTTTTGACCAGCCCGGAGGTGAACTTGATGAACTCGAGTTGCTCTTTATCCAATTCTGCAGCACTTGCTAACTCCCGCAGCGCTTTCTCGTCATAGGTCATGTGGAAAGGTGAGACACCTTTGTTGAGGTAGTGAAAGTGGGCGAGAAGGATATGCATGCCATTCTGCATTCCTTGAATACTCATGGGGTTTGCGTACTCATCCTAGGTATCCAGAGCCCATGTTAGTCTTGAGGGTTGTGGGAAAGTGGGAAACCTTAGGAAACAAACCTTTAAATTGAACTGGCGGGCTGTCTCCCAGTCCCGTCTCGTCAGCATAGCGCAGCTGTGTAGTAATATAAATAGGGTTAGATAGGTGGTCAGCCAGTTCTCCCGTTTGTTTTCCATAATAAGGTCCTTCATATCGGACAGCAGTTGCTGACTGATTGGACGGAGGACCTTGGTATACATGATACATTCCATTTGCGCTATCATTATGGGCGGCATGGGCACCACATTATAAAACGGGCTTCCTGGGTCATTGACGATGTCACCGCCATGGTTTTCAGACGAATAAATACGTTCAGGATGGCTGGTTTTGCGACAAGCAACCCAGAACCTCAAGCAGTTATGAATCAGCTTTTGCTCTCTGGGTGTCTGCCCTACGAATTTAGCTTCAACTCCACGTCCTAACATGGTTGCTCTGGACTTACTTTTGCTTTTTTCTGATAGTGAAAGGCAAAATAATATGTTCCCCAGATCAAAAGATCCAATCTTCCAACCGTTTGAAGGATATAATGTGGTATGTAATAGGATGTAAAATCCACCAGTGTTTTTGCCGCTTCCTCCATGTCAGCAAGCGCGTAGGCGGGTACTCTATGATGCCTGACGACGGAGCCTGACATCCATTTGAATTCTAGCATATCACCTTCCACTGGTACAAACTGCCTGACCGAAACGGTATATGGTGCATCAAGGTAAATCTGCGATAGCGTTATAGTCTTGGTCTCAGTCGACCCCCAGTCAGTTATGTTCACTATATCCATACTTTGCCACCGCCTGCTGAACAGTTGGCACGGCTTAACCTGTTCTCGGTATAGAGACACGTCGGTGATGATCCAGCGAAGGCAGGGTATTTGTCGGATGCTAGGGGCCTTAGGATTATGTGTACGTTTGCACGTTAGGCAATCACCACCTGGGTTCTTTTTGTCGGGTTCGCACTAAGAAATAGTCTGTGAGAAAAGGAAAGGGAAAAAAAAAGGAATGCGGGATTTCAGAGCAAGCATTTACCCGAATTCGCATCATTCGACATCGAATGCAACCCCTCAATTTTCTAGTAAGAGCTGTATTCAACCGCTTATCGTCATCTTTGAATGGGCCACGGCGGCGAGAATTGTTGGGTCTTCGGTACTGCTTCTTGGGAGTGTTTCTAGCTTTTGGTTTTCGTTTTCTCCTAGTTCTCTAGGATCATTTCCATTGCTACTTAGAAGGTACCCTCAGTTAACGTAATATTGAGTTTGGCATACCGGTGGAAGATGCCATTCCCTACTACAGGGGCCGCGAGGGGCATCGGGTATGACGTTTGGAAGTTGTGCTGGTACTTCTGTCTTAACATTCCCTGGTTCCTCGTCGAATGCTATGGACGCATTGCTCTCCGAGCCCGGCGTTGCTACAGCCCAGGAAGACGATGAACCACTTGACGACGACCTGCGCGACATGGTCGGGCTAATGTACTGAAACGATGTTGAAGAAGAGGTGGCTCGTGCCATTGGAAATGTGCTGGGAGATAAATAATATGATTCCAAGGTTGTGGTGCTGTAGCTACTGTTAAGAGAACCTTGTTCGTTGAAGACGGATATATTCCATGGTTCTGTCTCCTGTGAGCTCGAAGACAGGGCAGAAATCGGCGAGATCATTCCATGGCTTTGCAGATCAAACCTCGACGATGGTGATGTTGATGATGATGATCTTCGATCCCCCAGGTACACAGTCGAATACTGGCGCTGTGTACCCAGGGTTGAATCTAGGTTCTGCATTCCATCCTCCAACGTTGCAGGAGGAATCGAGTCAAACCAGGTCTCTTCGTCGTCAGCAGTTACCACTACGCTTGGTAGCGGGGGTGGCGGGTTCAGTGCACCTGCAGCCGCAGGCCTGTCACTTCTGGCCCTGGTCGTTTCGGCTGTTAAGGACATTGCCGGCTCGGGCTCATCCCACATTACAGCATCAAAGGAAAAGTCGGCATCCAGCGACTGCTGAAAGAAACCAGATATTCCGGCAGAAGGATCACCAACTGCTCGTCCCACAACGGTCGGGAGACTGTTCACAGCCTAAGGAAGAGTTAAAGTTAAAGAAAATTTCTTTCATTGTAGGGGGGGCAGGGATATGATACGATAGGTACACCCATGCTGATGCGTGCTCAGGGATTGGTCCCGTGGAGCGTCCGGACCTCGTAAGACGATAAATACTAGCAGATTAGGAGACTAGTCGTCATTTTATCACTTGCGACCGGACTGTTAAGCTATTGAAGTCTTCTCTTCAGCGCTTGCCCAAGAGAGGAATATCGTGGTTTGGCATCATTTCGTTAAACCTGTACTATCATCACTCAGCTTGACCTGCAGATGGAAGGCTGGCTGCTGTAGGTAAACTACTCCGTACAGCCACGATGGAAACTTACGATCGACGACGCAGACCTCCTGGTCACTGGTTTTCTCCTTTCTTTTTTGGCGGGTTTGGAAGGTTAGATCTATCGCTTTTGCCGGGGTTATTGAGGGGTAAATATCTGCTCACTACAAGCGAAGTAGTAAGTACATCATCCTCTCCCCCTTTACCCTTACGCGCCTCTTCTCTCTTTCCTCACAGCCTCATATCTTTTACAGACAAAATTTTCCGCCTGTCCCAGCATCCCGGGTGATTATCCTCCTCCTCGTCGTCTATTTTTCTTCGCCCTTCGAGTTCAGCCTCATCTGCAAGTGAGGCGTTTCTGCTGCTTACTACGTGGTCCACTCTTCGTTTCTATGCCAGCTTATTGAACAGACTTCTACTCTTCCATCTTGGTCTTTGCCCGGTTTTTTTTTTTAAAAAAAGAAAACACACACAAGAAGAGAAGAGGGGAAGAAAGACAGTCTAGTTTAAAAATTTTTTTGTCGCCCAAGGCACGCATGGAACTCAGTCATCGTATCGTTGATGCCATATGGCGCCCAAGCTTCGTTCTGAAGTATCACGAATTACAGGCATATCTTCACCCCTCCTCCGGGCGAACTGGCCCAGCTCCGTGGGATCAGTCTCCCCTCAACCCTCGAAACCTAGTCGATTCACTCAATAACACCTCTTCACGGTGGCGAATTGATGGAGCCACCATTTGCGGCACTTGTATATATGTGATACCCCTCGATCTGCTCCCAACCCTTCCCCCACTAGGCATCTTTCTCTTTCTTCTAGACCAAACAGATTACCCTCCAGCTCTCCGGCACAGCCTTGACGCTTCTGTCAGTGTGCCACTAAGAGATGGGCGCGCTATTTCTGGACAAGGCATCGCAAAGCATCTCTGTCGTGCCTTGGACCATTACTGCGCCCAAAACCCCGATTTCCTTGATCAGTATCTCAGGTTGCCCTTTGGTTCCAAACTCATCCTCGAGGAACTTGCGTCTGACCCTGCAAGCATGAAGCTTGAAGTTGAGCGGGTCTATGACATTGAGTCGAAAATGCTAACCGTAACAGCTCTCCAACAGTTGTGGTCCGATGTTGCCAGGGATGCTTGGCCGCCAATACTCGACGTTCATGATCTACGCCTCATTAGGCAGATCAATGAGGCTGTGAGTCTAGTAGAGACACCAGGAATTAAGCTTTGTATTCAGCCCCTTAGCATCTTCAAGTCAGCCGCTGGTTCGTTGGATCATATGTACCATGAGCTTCATTTGCTACTTACCTGTCCCCAACACCCGCACATCATGAGTCGGCCTCTGGCCATTGTGACGAAGAAGGCTTCGTTTGGCGGTAAGGACGGAGTTGTTGGCTTTTTGCTCCAGTATTTTCAAGCTGGTTCGATCCGTGACATTCTCCCTAATCGACAGCGTTCTGGTACACTGCTGAATTCCGTCAAACTTCGATGGTGTCGTCAGATAGCCTCCGCACTAGCTCACCTGAATGCGACAGGGATATTCTATTCCGATTTACGGCCAGATAATGTGCTGCTGGATAGCAACCGGCCTGATGCTGGTGTCGTTTTATGTGACTTTGAACAGCGGGGCAACTGGTACGAGTGGTGTGCTCCCGAGGTCCTATATCGACAATATGCCGAAAACATTCGATCCCGCCTTCCTGCACGCGTCATCAACCCACCATATGACCGTTTGCTCAAGGGTTATCATTACTCACATAGCCTATCCGACTCAAAATGCTATACATCCGCTGAAACCCACATCGAGTCCAGTAACCGTGCGTGGTTCGCCCTACCAGCTGCGGCGCGGGAGAAAGCTACCGTCTACAACCTTGGACTTTTCATCTACACGGTTTTTGAGGGCTTAAGTAACGTTGAATGCAATATTGCGAACCAGTTTCCAAATGAACAAGAGGTGGAGTTCCCGGTCTTTCGAAGAACCCCAGACGTCATAAGGGAACTTATCCAAAGATGCGTCGCTGATACCCCTGACCGGCAAGTAGAAGAATTGGAGTCTGGGCCTTTTAGAGTAGTCCGCAGGAACGGACTGCTATACCCCAGAACGCGGACTGATTTAGAGCGTAACACGTACGAAACAGTCACCGCCGTCATGGATAGTGCCTTCAGGTACTGGGCCATTGAACTGGCGTGCGCGGAAAAGTTTCTTGAGAGCCCAATGTGGCCGTCAGGTAACTTTGGACACAACAGACCATCTCTACGAGATGTTTCGGATATTCTTGAACGGCTTCCAGAAGATTTTGAAGAATGAACATCAACCAACTAAACATTTAATTTTTTTTTTTTTTTTTTTTTTTTTTTTTTGAAAAAGGTACGCTGCAAGAAACGCCAATTTCCAAGTTCCAACGGCGATGGCTAAGGAAACGCTCCAGTACTTTCGCTCAACCAAGCCTGCTGGAACTAGAGTCAGCACCCTTTGTCATGTTCAGATTTGTAGGCATTTATTGCATTAACCACGGTCTGGGCAAGTGATAACAGTCTCTCTTCGTCTAGTCTACGCCCGATGAGTTGGATAGCGGCTGGGGCGCCATGTTGTTTCTCTGAATCATCTATCCTATGTCAGCAACGAACCCTAACACCCGGAAGTCAAGCCTACACAATTTCATATTCAGATCGTCATTCTCTCCCAAAGGTTCAAAATCAGGGCTGACAACATCTATCTCCTTGTCAGCAACCGTCACAGGGATGACGACTGCTGCATAATCCAGTACGTTGATAGAACTTGTGTACGCTTATTGGAGCATTCGGTCAGACTATAAGACTCCTCGTACATAAAATAGCTACTCACTTGAACGGGAGAATCCTCCTGGTAGGACACCCGCGTACGGAGTTACTGGTGATATCACAGCCTCAACAGGACGATCTGCTTATCTTCATTAGAGGTTAAGTTTGAGTATCCAGAACGACACTTACCTCCAGTCCGTTTTGCGGTCGACATCCAATATTCTAGGTATTCTTGACGGTACTCCTTCATGCGTTGTACTACTTTCTCATACTCTGGAAGTGGCAGAGGGGCCTTTGGCCTATTATTGGGGAACAGGTTTTTGATCTCGGGAACAAAAGGCTCACCAGACAGCCGGGCAGCGTCATACACATCATAACAGCCATCTCCTCGAGCAATTAGACCCTAGCAGGAATATTTGTCACATAAACTTCTCTGGAGGTCCAAACGAGATACTCACATGTATATCAACGGTCTCCACATGACGCTTCCATTCCCAGTCAATCAACTGATGTCCGTTCGTTTCTAGCGCTTTCTTGACAATATCGAGAGCACGTGTTATAGGTGGGTGAGGAGTAAGCATTCCATCATGGGCTATCAAACCAAAGGCTGGTTTGTACTCTGGCTCTTCCTGTGGATTGTACTCTTTTTCGGATCTCCACGGAATTGGGAGGGCATAGGGATCATACAGCCAAGGTTCCACAGAGAGAAGAGACTTGAAGACAAGCCTAAGAGATTCAACTGAGTGAGCCATAATTCCAACTACCGTTGGCATAACCTCCTGCCCTTGACCCTTGTTGAAAGGCATTATTAGCAGATTTGGCTGCCAAAGGGCATTAAGACGGGGCATACCGTATTGGTTGCATCCTTGAATGATATACGGCCGGCTGATGGTTTTAGGCTGAAAACACCTTGGAATGAGGCTGGCATTGACACTGAACCGCCGATATCGGTTGCTATCCCAAATGCACTTCCCCTCAAGGCTTGCATGGCGCCTTCCCCTATAAAACATCAGTCTGGTCTGCTTAACCTTGGGAGAGATAAGGCTCTTCGGCTCAGACCTCCTGACGAGCCCCCTGCTGAAAAATTACGGTTGCATGGGTTGAAAGTATATCCGAGAATGTTGTTATTTGTCTCTGGGGCCTTTTTTATGTGAGTTTATACGTGACTCTGATGAACTGGCTCAAGACTTACCCAGAGACTTTGTGTCAGGGTTGTCTGTCACTCCTATTTTCAGCTCTTGCATGATTAATGATTAAGACCAAAACCGAGGGGCCTTACTGACCTTGCCTATCGGAATTGCCCCTAGAATGCGGAGCTCCCGGACTAATTCACTCTCAACAACATTCTCTGGGTTCTTGATGACTTTGCCCCCAAAGGTTCCAATCCATCCAACGAAGCCCATTGAGGTATCCAGCCCCTTAATGTGAAACTGATCCTTCAAGGTAAGGGGGACTCCATGCAATGGACCCACGAGCCTCTTATCTTTCTTATATATTTCATCAAGACGTCTGGCTTCTTCAATGGCCTCATGAAATCTAATCTCAAGCAACAGGCCGCTCTGAAATAAAGGACAATGTCTTAGCGATGCAAGCTCTAACAAGATGGGCTTCACTCACCAGTTGATGAGCATAGGCAGCCCGCTTGCAGAATGCCGTCACCACCTCTACAGCAGTAAGTTTCCCATGTTTCATTCCAGTCACCAAGTCCAGAACGTCCAAGGATGTGATATGACGAGACTTGTCGTCTAGTAAGAGCTCTATAAATTCACCAACGACACAGCGACGGGATTTCCCATCCGCCAGAATGGTGGGGTCAAGAATCCATTCCTCCGGTATCTTATCCATATTGGCGTCCCGCTTCTCCCTGGCGGCCAGCTGCCATTTCGCCGGGTGGCGAAAGAAGTTTTGTAGGCCTCCCAGCTCAGGTGCCCAACCAAATTGTGTCAAGGTCATGATGAAGGTCCCGATGGCATTAATCGAGACTCGGGGAGAATCACTGCCATGATGGACTACTCCCTTTATAACCGTTCGATCTCTTGGGCTGTCCCATTCCTTCGATCTCTGGTACTGACCACTGGATGCTACAGCAAAAGCTTGGGCCGTCCATCTGAAGCAAATCCTCGCAAGTAATACGTCCAAAATCGAAGAACCAAAATCATACTAAGGCCGGTACACATTGCGCCGGACTTGTCGAACGACAGGTCATTTCCCTGGGTACAGATGCCTAAACTAACCAAGTATATCTTCTATCTGTTCATCGAGTGCGATTGTAAGAATGGGGTTCCATTGGTTAGATTTTGTAGCCAATCATAACAGCCCCGTTTGCTCATCGAGAATCGCCATAAACCAATAATGGCCCAGACAAGCCTTGGGAGCGGTTAACCACATTTCCGCGCATTCATTCGACGATGCGGTCGGTGTCGTAGATTGAGTCGGTGAGTTTCTGATGCCTTTTATCAGACCACTGCAGATCTACATACACTACTAGGATACGGAGTACATGCCGAGATATGCACGCGCACCCCCGGTGAGATCGAATGCAGTCTCATTCTCGGCAATGGATATACCCCCAGGATATGTTAGCGAGCCACGTGTCTGGGGATCCGAATAAAACGGCTTTAACATGGTATGCCATATATTATCTATATATTTTGTACTCCGTATAGAATACCACCAGCTAGGTAAGTCAGTAGCCACCAGACATTCAACACAAAAACAGTCATGTATATATGAAGGACAGGATAATCTGACACAGCTCATGAAATACTCTATAGATAACTATTCCCCAAAAACACAGAGTAAAAGTAATAATAAAGAAAGAAAGAAAGGGGAAACAAAAATCGCTCAATCTCGTACCTAACCTTCCCAAATCACCCATACTCCATAAAATGCTCTAGTGAAAACAAAGACCTGACCTGACCTGTCCTGTCCTGTCGGTTCAAAGCCAATAAAACGGACGAAACCCCCCCCCCAAGCAAGACAGGTCGAATCCTCGACATAACTCCTCCGTATTCCTCCTCGCAAATCCTTCATGCATGATTCATTCCCATCCTGTTAAAAGCACAGACCATGAATGAAATCCTAAAAAGAAAGATAAGCGAGAGAGAGAGAGAGAGAGAGAGAGAGAGAGAGAGAAAATAACCACCTCTCTATTCTCCCCCCGTAACCCTCATCACGCGATCCACCTCCCCCCGACACTCAGGCATCGCACTCCTCATCTCCCTCGCCAGGACATCCCGGAAACTCGCAAAGGCCTCCTTCTTCCCCTTGAGGTCTTGGTTCCCGCGCTGGACCAGCTCGACGAATTCTCTCGTGTAGATGTCTGGGTTGCGCGCGGCGTCGACGTAATCGATGATTTCGGGCGGCAGTTGGATGGAGCTTACCGGTGGGTCAGAGGGGTTTGGATTATCGTGGGTGGTGTTTTCGGAGGGTTGGTCGCGGGTATGTGTGGAGAGAGTGGACAGGGCGAGGGTGAGGTTTTTTCTGGATGTGATTTTGAACTCGGTCAGTACGGTACTATTGTATGGATTGGGAGGTGAAGTGAGGTGAAAAAGCAGATAGATAGGGGGTCGTACATCTTCCGGACTAGTTCTTGCTGTGTCTCCGGTCCTAAGTATCCATGGACAGCGGATTGGATTTCAAAGAGGTGCTGGATTACGTCTTTGATGTCGTCTGCGAGCCAACCGTATCCGGGTTAGTTAGGGAAGTCAGGGGGGTGGACTGGATGGAGCGAAGACTGACTGTCTACTGTACTTAGCGTGATAGGTGCCATGATGGGATGGAAAGTATGCAGAATATTCTGCAATGGTGGTTGTGGTGACAGTGAGTGTGCAGACGTTGAGATGCACAAGAGTATCTCAGACTAACCATTTTAGGTAATTAGGATCTTCTCCGAGATCTCACCAGTATGTACAAGTACACCCCAAGTATGAAAATGGCTGGATTATTATTTCGTCTAGTATTCAATATATATATAATAGGTACATATGCAGATATGTATATCGCACTCTCAATATTAAGCCGTGACAAGAGTCTTATCGACGATCGCGCCATAGCCAGACACAACAGATAATATCATCTGGTCGATTGCTGAAAACGCACATATGCAATTCCACTCCAGCATTAAGTGGCTAATGTCTGATGTCTGAATAACTTGATTAAAAAACAACAAGAAGAAGAAGAAGAAGAAGAAGAAGAAGTGTATGAGTGGCTAAAAGGGACAATGAATGATATTGTTGCGGGAAATTACACCTCCTTGGTCCGCACGCTAGGGAACTTGGGGATCTCAATCTCCGTCTCTACCATCTCCAATCCCGAAAGACTAGGGAATCGTCGGCTGAAGTTCGCCTCCCAGTCCTCGCCGGGAGTTGTGGGTGTTGGTTGCATCGACGAAGTTCGCTCAAGGCTGGCTGGACCGGGTGCATCCGCGCCAGTGGCCCCGGATCGGAGGCTTTGGGGTTTCGGCGGTGCGGCCGGCCGCGGGCCCGTACGATTCGTCGAAGCGTACCCTGTGAAGGAGGGTTCCTGCTTGGGTAAACTGGAAGGCGCATCCCATCGATCCTTCGGTGGGGGAGGCGGGGGTCCGCCCGCCGTGGTGCGCATGTTGGGCCGCGAAGACGACGGGATTTCCGGTTGCTTTGCCTGCAAAGCGGACTCGGAGGCATCGGTAAACCGTCCATACCCCGTGGCTGTTTTTGGAGGTGGGGGTCGCGTGGCTTCCCCTAGGAGAGATTGCACCTTGTTCTGAATCGCAAGCGAGCGGGGTCCATCAGCTGCGGGTCGTCGCCCTCCTTCTCCTCTCTCGGTGACACGACGACGATATTCTGCTGCAGCATTGGCGACGCGTTTCTCTTCCTGAGAGAGACGCCGGCGCTCCAGCTCTCGTCGCATTTCGGGTGAAAAATCATCATCGTCATCATCCGGAGACTCCGCCACGGCCACCCCAGCTGACTCAGATCCAGGAACCGGAGGCAAAAAAGGTCGAGGAAACTCTTCTGCAGCGGGGGACTGAGCCTTGCTATCTTGGTTGCTCTCAAAGCGGCGGAAGGCATCCCCAAACCGACCAGCGAACAGATTCTTAGTGCCTGACAGAGACAACGTAGAAAGGCTGGAGCGCTTGATGTGTTTCGAGCTCCCGCTGTACCGTTTCTCTCGCTTCCGATTCGTTTCCTCTTCCTTGGCCCGTAGATAATCTACGTCCGATGAAATGTTGTTCCGGTCATAGTCCACCTCGGTTCTGGCGTGCTGCAGCGGTGCTCCGCCTTCATATGGGGCCCTCGGCAGATCCAGGGACGATCGTGCACTTTCGGAATGGCGTGGAAGGTCGAACTTGGAGGCCCCATGGACGGATACTGGACGGCTTTTGCTGTTGGCAGACTTGGATCTATGTGTATAATCGTCAATGTCCAAATGCGATGGCCGGAGGGCTTCCAGAGATGGTCGGGAAGATGCTGACACATTCGAGAGTCTATCTGATGAGATCCTGGGGTCAACTTCCAGCTTAGAAGCGGACGCATTCGGCGAAGGGACTGTTCCGTGTCGGGATCTTCTCTTCTCACTATCGGCGGCGGTTTGGGGGGGCTGATCCGAGGATGGGAACCTATAAATCGGTCGACTGGATGGTTTCATCTCGAGACCCGGAGTTGAAGGCGGTGACGTCATCGTGCCAGTAGAGACCATGGTAGGCTTCTGGGGAACCGGTTGATATAAAGGTGCCTGGGGTGGTCGAGAAGACTCATCGTGATAGTGATTATTAGGCGCTTCCCCAGACTTGGCCGTCGGGGGAGAAGGTTGCCGGCGTCTGCTCATTGCTGGTTCCGATACTGGCTCCTCAGGGGGTGACGGGTGCTTGACAAACGCATCGTCAGCCAAGGCGTTGGTCAGCCTTTGAGCAAGATCATCGTCATCGCCCTTGTTCTCTGTGACAGTAGGTTCAAACTCGAACTTTCCTCGCTTCTCATGCAAAATATTAAACTGAGCAAGGGACGGAAATCTATCGGAAAATTCATCTGCCGAGTTGCGAGACTTGGAGCCACCGTCCAGCACAGCGAATGGATCTGTAGAAGAACCTCGGAACGGTGAAGGACTTGGTCGTGCAGAGTTGTGCTGGGAGCTGTCTGGCTTGGTTGGTCGCCCGCGACGCATCGGAGCGATCTCTGGGATGATTTGTGTTTCTTGAATTGGCGGCGAAAATACCGCTCCCAACTGCGGCGCTTCCACTGGAGAAGGGGGGAGTTCCTGGTGTCGGCGTGCTTCGGAGGTAGATCGATTGGCATAGATCTAGAGCGGTTAGTTTTTCTTTTTTTTTTTTGGGAGGGGAGAGGAACAAAATGAGGGCGCACATCATGAATGGGAACTTCTTTCCCTTGCATCTGGCAGGCCTCGCGCAGGACTAGGTAAATATTAGGACGCTTTTGCGGACTTTCCTTGAGCATCGACGCTACTGTAGTCAGTGTGACACGTTCTCCATCTCGCGAGACTGGGGCGGGAAAATCTCACCAATAAACACTTTGAGGCGATCCGAAAAAGGGGGGTAAGACGGAAACTTGAAAGAGGCATTCAAAATGGCCATTTGCCCTACCTCTTCGAACGGAGTCGTGTAATAGCACAGCTTGTACAGGAGAACCCCCAGCGCCCAGATATCGCTCTTCTCGTCAATCGGCTGCTTGCGATAGACATCAATCATCTCCGGACTTCGGTATTGGAGGGTGGTGTGCCGTTGGACATCGTCCTCGATCAGACGGCCTTCAGCAGCCGAAGTTGCCGCGGGACGAGGAGGTGCAGTGGACCCAAAATCACAGAGCTTGTATAGAACGGAGCTTCCATGGCGAGAAATAAGCACATTCTCGACTTTAAGATCCCGATGCAGCAGGGGAGGTTTGAGGTAGTGCATGCACGCGACCCCCTCGGCCACATCCGAGAAGATCTTGATAATCTCCGGCTCCGTGAGACGATTTTGTAATCGGGTGTTCATGAAGTCTATCAAGCCTCCACCCGAGCAATATTCCATGAGTAAAAACACTTCATATCCCACTCCCTGAAGTTGGGAGGCATGGGAATCGATGTACTTGACGATGTGACGGTGGCCTTTGAGCTTCTTCATGGTCTCTACCTCGGTCCGCATGTTTGCGAGCGCAGACTTGTCGGGAACCGCTACCCGCTTCAAGACCGCCCGATCGGATCCATCTACAGCCTGGGGGAGGCGCACAACGTACACGTGTGCAAACCCACCCTCGGAGAGATATTTCTCGACCACAACACGATGACTGCCAACCTGAACCTTGGTGCCGGGAAGAAGCGTGCCCGCGGGGGCCGTTACGGCGGCGACCGGGTTGAATGACGCGACGGGCCGATGATGAGCAGCATGACTCTGGTAAGATTGATTGGGATGATGGGCAGAGGACATGGTGAGGAGAAATAGTAGAGAGGAGTCGGTGAGCCCAGTCCGGGGAGAAGGAGGAGGAGGAGGAGGAGGAGGAGGAGAAGAGGAAGCGAGCTGGGAACTGGATGAAGATAAAGGGAACTACCGCGGCTGCATAGAGAAGGGGAGCAAGAAGGTTTAGGCTAGGCTTCAGGGAATCTTGAAACAAAATGAGACAGGACCCTGCGCAAGCGGACAGCTGGAGGACAGTTGGCCGCGGGGAAAGGTGAGGAGGTGGTGATGTGATGTTTGGGGCGGTGCCTGACAGCCCCGAAGCCGTCAATGGGGGGAGTTTAAAAGGGGAAGTGGAAGGGAGGAGGAGTAGAAGAGGAGAGAGAAGGGAGAAAGGCAAGAGGAAAAAAGAAGGAACAGAGAGAGAGAAGATAGAGTGACAGTTGTTACAGCGATGGAATGCGAGTAGAAGCCGAAGTGGTGGTGGTGATGCTGCCTCAGCCTCCAATCTGAGCGGCCTTGGCCTTCAGGCATTACCACCCAGGCAGAAGTGATGAAAGATTACGGTATATTACATGTATGGCCAATGGTCTTGTGCATGTGAACGGCGTACGGATGTGTATAAACTCGGAGTACTTGTAACTAATGCAGGTACTATCACAGGATGAGCAGTGAACAAATGACATATCACAAGACGCAAGGAAATGACATTGATCGCATTCATTTTTTATGATCTTACTGGAGAGAGAGAGAGAGAGAGCGACTCGAAGAAAGAGGAGAAAACTGTAGTTGCCTGAGGCGTCGAAATCATGTCAGTGACTAACTTGTTTAGGATGGTTGAGTGTCGATCTTATATAATCACATCCAACCAATCAGCTGCAGGCACACCAGGACGTAAACAGCAAAATCAAAACAAACAACGGCTTACGATCGCCAGATAGAAAGAGACGGACTTCTTTTCGAGAATACTTACTCCCAAGAACTGTGAAGATGAAAAGAAAAGAAGGAAGGGGAAAAGAATACCATCAAATTGACCTTGTATTAAGGTTGCTTGTTAGACTTTGGCAGTTGGAATGTGGAACAGTCAGTATTTAGTCCATACCTCCGAGTAGCGACCACACTAAGCAGACATCTTGTTTCAGTATAGCACCGCTACTGTATGTATCTATGCACCTGTTAAATAGACCGTTATCCGTCTTCTTGAATCGACAATTCATTGTCTAGTGGTGTTTCCCTCGTGGGAATGTTTATGTATTGTTAGAGATCACGTCTGTATATGCAGCTTCCCCCCGGAAGGAGAAAAAAAACACCATAGCAAATCAAGTCCCAAAAGTACCACAGAAAAAAATAACAAAAGATTGCTGAATCCTTCATCTCCCGAGAAATCAGAATTAGCGCTGATTCTGGAGCAGAGAGGGGGGGGGAATTCCGCTCAGAATAACAGCGTCTCATCGTTAATTGTTCTGTTCTGTTTGGGTGGCTCTTGGTAGTTGTTCTTCGTTGCCGCCTACGATTTCTTCGACTTCATCCCACTTTGCTTGTTTTCTGGTCTTCTTTCCATCCCATCGCCATCCCTTATCATCCTTGATTTTACTTGGTTTGATTTGCTTTTTCACTCGGTATTATTATCCCCTATTTTTATCCTTCTTATCCTGGTTATTATCCCTTTTACATTGATTACCGCGTTGAGTCCACTCAGCGCCTGCCGAATGTTATGGTAAACATGATCCATCCGTCCGCATCTACGATCCAGATCCTATCGCTTCGAAAATAACCGTCCACGACGCAATTCAGAGGAAGACGGTCGTTCTTACGTCCCGTAAACGATGGACGGCCCTCCCCCTCCTCCGCCTCCCCACGGGGAGAAACCCAACACCACCCACGGGGAGTACCGTAAATCATCCGATCTCCCACCGGGCAACTACGATATCTTCATCATCCCTCCTCACTCCTCGGGCTCGGGGTTTCTCTACCTTCCCTCGCTGCAATGTGAACGGAACAGCTTCATTGCGGGCTCCGTGTCCACCCTTGTCGTTGTCTTCCTATGGACAACGTTTTCGCCAATGGTGAAAATGTGGTACGCCATGACCGTCGCGAGCGGGGGTGGAACAGGGATCGCTGTCCTGGCCATTGGGGTCGTGGGTATTGCGGGATGGGCCTTTGGCGCGTACCAGGCGGGTAGTAGTGGAGCATCGCGGCATGGACGCTCGGGACCGGGCGGGTTTGGATCCAGCTGGTTTGGGTCTGGGGGGTCAGGTGGTGGTGGTGGTAGTGGTGGTGGAGGAGGAGGAGGAGGCGGCGGCTCAGGAGGAGGCTCTAATTCAGGAGGTAATAATAATGGAGGGAACTATACAAGAGGGGGCAACTTCGGGGGTCAAGCTGGAGGTGGTGGTGGTGGTGGTGGTGGGGGAGGACCACAGAATCAACATCAACAGGGTAATTATGGCGGGAACTTTGGTGGTGGACCCCCACCAGGAAACCAATACTCCGGGAATCAGCATAGGGCTAATACTGAGCCACCACCACAGACAAATACTGGTCCTAAGGGCCCTGACCCGGGCCCTAGTCCGGGTACTACTGGTGCAGGTGCCAAACCTGAGCGTTCTGCACCCAAGAGCGAGGGTAAACCGCAAAGTGCGGAGGACTGGGAAAAGGCCAGGGAGGAAACGAGGCGGAAGGAGGAGTTGCGACGGAAGATGGAGGAGTTTAAGCGCAAACGTGAGGCGGAAGCGCGAGAAAAGCAACGACAACGCGAGCGAGAAGCAATGGAGAAAGAGCTGCGCGAGCGCAGAGAACAGTTGGAGAAAGAAATGGCCGCGGCCAAGGAAGCGGCCGCGAGAGAGGCCCGTTTACAGGCCGAGAAGGAAGCAGCAGAAGCCCGTGCCAGAGTGGAGCGCGAAGCAGCAGAAGCCCGCGCCAGAGTGGAACGCGAGGCAGCGGAAGCAAAAGCCAAGGCTGAGCGGGAAGCCGCTGAAGCCAGACAAAGGGAAGCAGATGCAAAAGCCAAGGCTGAGCGGGAAGCCGCTGAAGCCAGACAAAGGGAAGCAGATGCAAAAGCCCGAGCGGAAAGAGAAGCCGCAGAGGCTCAAGCAAGAGCCGAGCGACAGGCAGCAGAAGCCAAGGCCAAGGCCGAGAAGGAGGCAGCGGAGAAGGAAGCCGCTGCAAAGGCCGCCGCAAAGAAAGAAGCGGACGCCAAGTTCGCAGCCCTCAAGGAAGCTGCGGCAAAGAAATACGCCGAGAAGAAAGCCCGCGACGCCAGAGAAGCTGCCGCAGCGAAAGAAGCCGCCGCGACAGCCTCGAAGGTATCCAGCGCATCTGCACCCCCTCCTCGAACCCCATCCCCCAAGAAACCCTCCACTCCGGCATCAACGGCCAACACCACCGTTACGGACGACGATGCCTACTCCTTCCGTCCGTACGACCGCCCACGCCGGCCCTATGCAGGGACGTCCCAGTCCTCCGTGTACTCTGAATCCTCCTACGCACCCTCGCAATCCACCGCCCGCACCACCCCGCCACCCTCCAACCGCGGACCCTACGAAACCAAAGACCCCGACAAAATTGTCATCAGGGCGGTCTACGCCTTCAACCAGGCCTTCCTCCGAACCCCCATAGCCCAATTGGTCTCCGGCCAGGGCATGGTAACGGACGGACTCGTCCTCCGCATCACCACTGAAGGCCTCTTCATCGATGACGACGTGCGCGGGGTCCCGCAACGCGAGTGGGACGTGAAAGCCTGGACCATGAAACTCGTCGAAGTCTGGTGTCCGCAGATTGGGCCAAGCGCAAACAGGGCGGCCAACGCGCAAAAGGCGAACCAGGCATTTTTCCGCCGCAGTGTCAATTCCGATCCCACCCCGGAAGAATCCGATGCGTATTTGGCCAATTTTCTCAAGGTCTGCAAGAACACCTGCCGCCTTGCGTCGCCGGCTTTCGTGGGTCGGAACGGCAGTGATGCCAGTGGGAAGGGTAAGGACGCGCATCCCTTTGGTGGGTTGCATGTCCTTCGAGCTTCAATCCGAGACCAGGAGGGGAAACGCTATGTCTTTGTTCTCCAAGAGACAGAGGGATGGAAGGTTGCCCTTGGATTGCAACGGTTGCGGAAGGGGACGCAAGTGCGTGCTTTAGGGGTGTGCAGTATGGCTCTTGCCGAGACAAGGACTATCCTTGGTGGACTCGGGTACTGATTAAGATCAGTGAATCATTCTAAGTGAGGGAGAGGGAGGGAGGGGTGTATGTGTGGAAGATTGACGACAGACAATGATCCTTTTGTTTTATTTTTATTTTTATTTTTATTTTTATTTTTATTTGTTTGTTTCTATTTCAGCATGCGCTTTCTATACCTTGATATTGATGTTGATATTTCTGTCCATGATGGTTGGTGGTTTTCATTTATGTTTCCTGAATATGATGGATATGATGATGAATGCTGTATATATATATCCCTCGGGAGTCTTTTGAGTTATTTTGTATCTATTTATCATCATCAAGTATAAACAATTCCCTCCTTTTGAAATTTCCTCTCTCTCCCTCTGAATAGTTCAAGGCACAATTAAAGAAGACGAGGAGAAAGTACTGGAATCATGCCTGAATTCTTACTCTCCTCTCAAGGTAATGGCCAAGTTGGTTCATTTAGTTCAGCTCGATTTCAAATCATCATTCATCCCAACCGTGCACGTAGTAGTAAGTAAGTAAAGAAAAGAAAAGAAAAGAAAAGAAAAGTAACCCAGGTATATAACAGAACGCCGTGATCTTATCTTCAAGGCCCTCAAAACACATAAGCAGGACACTTAACACTGACACTGGCACTGGCACTGACACTTCCTCTTGCCAGAGGAGAAGGAAGGAAGCATTGATAACGTCAAACCAGAGTAAAAAAAAAAAAAAAAGAAGAGGAGAAAAAGAAAAAAAAGGTAGGAAATAAGACAAGAAGGTAAAAAAAAAAAAAAAAAAAAAAAAAAAAAAAATGGTGGGTGAGGGGGAAAGAAATGAAGTGGTCTATCTGATCGTGCAGCGCCGGGAGATAGCAATGAACATATATAGCAATATGTGTAAGTATGTAGAGGTGGTTAGTGGCAAGTAGATGACGAGACGCGGTTCCTGGTATCTATCCTTAGAAGGGGATTCGATTCATGCAGACAGAGTAGACAGGACAGGACAGAGCACAGCGCCGGGAAATGAGGTTTCCAAAAAGGAAAAGAAAACAAAAACAAAAACAAAAACCATGTTGATGCTGGAGGTAACGGTGGTGTGTGTGTGTGTCTTGCTGGCTGACTGGCTGGTTGAAAGTAGATGGATGGATGCTTTTGATGCAGGTGCAGGTGCAAAATTTGACCCCTTTTTGCTGTATGATGACGACAAATGGCGATGATGATGATGCAAATATGGAAACGGATCAAATAAAACCAATAATGCCAGTAAGTACGGAGGTGGCTAACTCCTTGCAGCAGGAAACTGAAACATGCGTGCCGCATGGTTGTTGCTGCACTGCTGAATTTAGAATGGGAACCCGCCCGGGAATCCCCCGCGAGTTTGTCCACCGAAGGGGTTGTTGCCGCCCGCGTGGGAGAATCCACCACCACCACCACCGCCGCCGCCGCCTCCGTTCATCATGTTGAAGAGCACGCTGGGGTCGATGTTGATATGAGTGCCGCCCATACCGCCCATACCGCCCATGCCGTGCATTCCATGCATTCCACCCATACCACCCATACCACCCATACCACCCATGCCGCCGAAGCCGCCGCGAGAGAACATCTCAGAGGGGTCAATCAAATCGTCACCGTTATCGTATGCCGCACGTTTCCTACAGTGGTTTCGTGAGCAACTTGTTGCCAATCAGAAAACATGAAAAGAGTATCCAGGGGACTTACTGGGAATCAATCAGCGTTTCATAGGCTTCCCCGATCTCCTTAAACTTCTCATCGCCAGCTTCCCCGTCCCGGTTCTTATCGGGATGGTACTGGATGGCGAGCTTGCGGTAGGCCTTCTTAATATCTGTCTCGGAGGCATCCTTGCCCACCCCGAGGATCTTGTAGTAGTCCTTGCGCTGGGCCTTCTTGAGTTCGAATTCCGCCCGGCGGATGTCTTCCTGGATACCCTTCTCGCCGGGGTTGGACTCCGCCACAGCCTTGTAGTCGCGGGCGGCTTCCTCCCAGTTTCCAGCGCCACCGGACGCCTTGGCACGCATCTTCAGAGCCTTGAGGTAGGATGGATCGAGTCGCAGAGCCTCGGTGCAGTCGTTGACCGCGTCATCGAACTCCTTGAGGTTGATGTGGGCCTGAGCGCGGTTCTGCAGGATCTTGGAGTTCATGTCTTTGTTGGTGGGGTCTACTCCGAGGGCCTCGGTGTAGAGGTCGATGGCCTTGCGGTAATCCTTGGCCTTGAACGCCGCGTTACCCTCTTCCTTGGTGCGTACGAGCTTCTGCACGGTGCGCAGGAGCTTGATGGCCGGCTTCAGGTCGGGATCCAACCCAATGCACAGTCTGAGCGACTTCAGCGCCTGTTCGGTCTCCCCCAAGCCATAGTAGGCCCGTGCGCGGATCATCAAAGCATCGGGATCCTGGCTGTTGGCTCGGAGCATGTTGATGGCGATATCCTGCGCCTTGCCGAACGAGTTGGCGGTAGCCATCTTCAACTGAGCTTCTGCCGTCATCAGGGTCCACGAGCGGGGTTCCTTGACGGTGGAGCCCAGGAGCTGTCGAGCCTGGTCGAGACAGAACACCACCATGGACACACCCCGATTCTCAGCCAAGGTCTCTTTCGCCTGGGTAACAAAACGAAGCATCTTCTCAGCGGGTTGACGGTCTGTTGCCGAGGGCGGGGGCTGAATGCGATCGAGTACCTCGAGGGCCTCGGCAGGGCGACCAAGACTGGTGAGGATGCGAGCCAGGCGGTACATGATCTTGGGGTTGGCGGGGTCAAGCTCGTCCGCTCGTTCGGCGTCCTCTAGAGCATCGAGATATCGAGAGGCGGCCATATTGGCGGCGGCCCGGTTGGATCGGTAGATGGAGTTGTTGGGGTTGAGATCGATAGCTGGGGAGGGATGAATCAATACAAAATACTCTTATTCCAGGAACAAGAAAGGAAGAGACAAACAAACCCTTTGTAAATTCTTGAATAGCCCTATTATAATCCTTATCCTTGAAAAACTTATTACCGGCCAGCTTGAAAGTGTCGGCTTCGTGTGTGTTGCCATTGGAGCGATGAGGTGGCGGGGTTGGACTCTTCTGATGAGACTCGGTGCCATTGACAGGATCATTGGAGTCGATATCCATGGAGCTGCGGGGGTCAGCAGCAGCGGCGGCGGCGGCCATGGCTGACAGACGACGAAGCTCGTCCGGCGGGAGATTCAGCGGATGAGAGTCGGGGTCGTGAGAATATCGATGAGGGCGAGAAGAGGAAGTGGAGGGTGAGGAAGACGAGCGACTATGAGGGGGGCGGGAGAAGGATTTGGAGGATTTGGAGGATTTGCGAGGGAGATGAGAGGAGGGGGAATGTTGAAGTTTGTGGGATTTGGATTTGGATTTGGAAGGCGAAGGCGAAGGCAAAGGCAAAGGAGAAGGAGAAGGAGATTGAGATAGAGATTGAGACTCCGGTTGAGGTTGAGATTTGGATCGAGAGAAATGGAAGAAATGAACCATTTTCAACGGGGGCGGAAACAGCCGCTGATTGGTCGAGAGAATCGAAGATGAACGAAGGCGGTGGAAAGGTGAAATTTTTTAGAGAAGAAGAAGAAGAAGAAGAAGAGAAGGTGAAGAAAGAGAAGAAAGAAGAGAAGAAAGAAAAGAAAGCAAGATGAAAGAAAGCAAGAGAAGAAGAAAGAAAGAAAGATAGACAAAACAAGACAATTGTCAAAACTCGTCAGTCTCGATTCTCTCCTCCGGACTACTCGATGGGAAATTCTGGAGGCTGGCAACTGTCACGATCACTATCACTATCACTATCACTCCGCACTGGTTCTGGTTGATCCAAGAGGTTGGACGAATGACGATAATTATATAGAATATATATTATATATATAGTTATAGTTATTTATACTCTATACAACACGGACTATTTACGGGCCGAGGTCTCATTCCCGATCGTTAATAACACTCCTAACCCAGGACTCAACCAACTCCCTCCCCATCCAAAACATCATCATGTGAACCAATATCATACTGTAATCAGCTAGAAAGCTCTGTCTTGACACCTTTTTAGCTCAGCGGTACTTATTTGAGTCGAACCAGAGAAATGACGTCCAATCAATCCCTAGTCAACCGTCAACATACCTGTTTATGATCAGTGGTTATGCTAAAGCTACCTAAAAGCGAAGGTGCGCATAGTGTTGGCGTTGACGACACCCGTCATACCCCTCATCCCTAGCATCTACCTAACCCTTCCCATCAGGAAAATCCCAGACCTCAACCCATGGTGAAAATGTCAGATATCGATTATAAAGCGTTGTTTCTCCAAGCTCAAGAGGATCGGAGGAAAGCAGAGGAAGAAAAGAGGGAAGAGAAGTTACTAAGAGAGCAGGCAGAAAAGGATAGGAGGGAGGAGAAGTTATTAAGAGAGCAGGCAGAAGAGGATAGGAGGCAGGAAAAGTTACTGAGAGAGCAGGCAGAAGCACTGAGAGAGCAGGCAGAAGCACTGAGAGAGCAGACAGAGGCACTGAGAGAGCAGTCGGAAGCACTGAGAGAGCAGTCGGAAGCACGAAATCGTCGCACCACGTTCGCAGAGTTTATACAATCCGGTCATGACCTTCTTTCGCGACCCTTGAGAGCTGGAGATCCCGCCCGCTCAACTACTGGCAACATCCCACAACCCACCGGCAAGCATTGCCCGCTACGACTGGAACCCTGGACGGATTGTGCTACAAGGCAGCAAGAAATTTACAACTCAGTCTGGCACTATCTACAACCGCGGGACAGAGACCCGCCCCGATTATTTCCCCCCCACCTGGTCCTGGAAGAACATGGTCGGCGTTTCGCAAACCGACCTATCACGAGTGAAAAGGACCTGGAGAGTTATGAGCGCCTTGCTGTGGAAAACCATGTAGTCGATATTATTTCAGCACTATGCAAGATACCGAGCGCCCGCGAGGAGTTTTGCCTGGGGGATGGAATGTGGTTTGAAAACCACGCTAATACCCTCGAAGAGAATCCGCCCGAGAACCAGCAACGAGCAGATTCCTCATCTACCAATCGACCCTCCCGCCCCGACCAGTTCTGTATCCATCGTGTCAATGGAAATACGATGGCGTTATTAACTACAGTTGAATATAAACCGCCTCATAAACTGTCTATTGAAACCCTTCGGGATGGGCTCCGATCGATGAACTTCTATCACGAGATTGTCGAACAGGAAACAGTTCCTCCCGATGGACCGGAGAAGTCGCGTTATAATGCGGCTCGGCTTGCAGGATCAGCAATTGTGCAGGAATACCATGTGATGATACAGGAAGGGCTTGAGTACTCATATTTAACCACTGGACTTGGGATTGTGTTCCTGCGGGTACCCGACGATTGCAGGACTCTGTACTACCATCTGTGCGAGCCGAATGTAGATGTCGACTCTAGTGTTGGAGGCGGTCAAGGGCCTCGGACAGCAATTGAAAGGGTGCTTTGTCTCTGTCTGATGAGTTTCCGTTCAGCCCGTCGGGATCAAACCTGGCGGAATGCTGCTCAGGCACGGCTACCGACGTGGGAAACCAGCTTCAACCACACACTATCTCAGCCCGCCAGCTCGGAGAGCGCCAGTTCGGAGAATTCGCCGTCTGAGTACAGCCCTTCGTCCCCCGAGTCTCCCGAGTCCCTCGTCTCCGAGGGTCGTCGCCCACGCACCCGTTCCACCGGCTGTGCACCTACCAGTGCTGCCCATCGAGAAGATTCCCCAGACTCTGACCCTGACCCTGACCCTGCTGCTGCTGAACGGCGAAAACGGGGGTTCAGCCAAATCGCATCCTCGCCGCCCACACAACGATCAACCCCCACCACCCCGCACAGCCCCCTCAACGCCACACCAGTCAGCCCCGTCCACATAACCATAGATTCTGTACACAAAAATGCCTTTTGGGTCTACAACGAGGCGATGCATTAGATGCAAGCTGTCCCAACGTTGAACTTCACCGCGCGGGACAACAACACACCCATCACCCAATCCGTGCTCCGGAATTAGTACATAGGATTAAGCAACAGTTGGATGCGAATCTAGATGAATACTGTACCCCGATGGGAGGATGTGGGTCTTATGGCGCTCCGTTCAAGGTGACGTGCGCTGCGTATGGCTACACAGTGGTTGGCAAGGGCACCACAACACGGCTCTGGTCCACGGTATCACAGGAAGCAGAGATCTATCGGATTTTGCAAAGTTTGCAAGGCTCCGCGGTGCCGGTATTCCTGGGGCCTATTGATTTGGCCATGATCTACTTCCTGCACGGCGCAGGGCAGATTCGCCATATGCTTTTAATGGGCTGGGGGGGCGAAAACATGAGCCACGTGGAGATAGATGCGACTATCCAGCGTGCAATCTCACGGGCCAAAAGAAAAATTCTGTCTCTGGGAGTGGTGCATGAGGATCTTCGACCTGAGAATATTCTGTGGAACGAGGAGCTCCAGCGAGCCCTGATCATAGATTTCCACCGGTGCCACTTGAATAATCGACTGATGCCTGGCAACCCCCGCTCCCGGAAGAGAAGGTCGTCCGAAACCAGCGAGCAGAACATCAAACGGGTGCGAGGACCGTGAACTCCCACAAGACCTGGTGATTCGGGCAGTGGCGAGCTATTCCCGCTTGTGTGTCTGGATATTTTTACCTCTTCAGACACGATCTCAATGTTAGGGTTATGCTTGGACATGGGAATCCTGCTCGCGGCCGCCAAAAGGCTCGATTATCAAGGAATGATGATCCTGGAAAGCTGTTCAGCCTTATTCAATACTCAATAGTTTCCAAATGCAAAATTCGGTTGCTCCTTCTACCTCAATCTGCCATCAGCCAGAAGTATTAATTCGACTCTCATTGGTTAAGAACAATTCCTCCCATTTCATCCGCATAAGTCGTCAAACCCATGTGCCCCAAGTGATCTCTGAACCTCGGATCGCCACGCCATGCGGCTCTGCCCCCGAGCCCGGAAGGTCCAACCCATTGGTCCGGATCCATCCTCTCGGAAAGTATCCTGCAATCTCCCAGTCAATGAGCCCAAGAGACCCCGTCCGCGGGACATCTTCTACGATGATATTCCCCGGGGCCAAGGTCCGCATGATAAAAGACCCAAATCCGAACAGTCCATGCCCCATCTCTTCACAAGGCTGTCGCAGATTCTCCGAAGCATAGTCGTGCTCCACCCCGTACTTCATCAGATACTGCTCAGGGACCACTCCCTTTCCAGCACGCAAGCGTTTCGCAGATCCCCCACCACCCGCTCCACATCGTGCTGTCTCCATTTCTCGTCGAGCGTGGGCCACGCCTCCGCCAGAGTGCGCCCGGGGACCCGGGTGAGGAACAGACCACATCCGGCCGTCGTGCTCTGATGCGTGCAGGATGCGCGGGGTCGCAAATCCAGGCTGGTGTTTCTGGACAAACTCTGGCGTCAATGACCAGCTGGCTGGGGGTCTTTTTGATGTAGTGTGTGAGGTGATATGACTGTGACTGTGATTTAAGAAGTTGATGAGAAGTTGAGATCTTATATATAGAGAGAGAGAGAGAGAGAGAGCACAGAGAACAAAGCCAGTGTGGACTGGAGAGCTGACCCAACTTTTCCATACATACAAAGACAAAAAAAGGCAGCTGTAAGAAAATTTCCACTTGAGAAATCGGTAGATAATTCTAAACCTCTATATATATATAACAGAATTTCGAGAAAAAAAAAAAAAAAAACAGCTTATCTTATTTCGAACTTTTGCATCTGATCTGGAGTACGGAGGAGTTAGTCAGTCTAGATACCATACACGAAACTGCCTTATTGGTGTTGTTATGCTGGAGACACACATATATATATAATATATATATATATATATATATATATAGCGGATGTCTCTCTCACGCGGTACTCATACTCATACTTATTGTTGTCGAGTTCCATGGTTGAAGGGAGTCATTTAGTCACGGTTACAATGGAAAATTCCCTATCCTGACTACCTATGTATGTATGTACATAGTTACCTACTCCTGGTTACATATCTGATACGGAAGATAACCTAAGCTGTAGGGGACAGTCATGAGCCAACCAAACGAACCGCCGGTCGGTCGTTGCGTTGCTTTTGAATTACTCGAGTCACTAGTGGCTAGGCTATCGGGACTTTTGGCGCACACACGCCTCTATATATGTACAAATACATAAAATTGTGCGGGGGGTCAATTCAGCCATGTCGTCCATGCATGTTTATCCGTGCATGCTATCCGATGCGTATGGTGCTTCCTCCACCTCCTCCCCTGGAAGGGGGATGCAAGTGTGGTGTGGTGTGGTGTAGATGGATGGAGAGATAGATGGAGCGCAAACGCTCCGTTCGAACTCTTCCAACCGAGCTGTCTGTTGGCTTTAACTCCAAGGTGAAGGGGTCGGGTTTCAAATCGGAGCCGTTCGGTTGATCCGTCGCGCGACGGCCGCCCAGCGAGATCCGCCTGCACTTGGCGCTACCTCTGGCGGAGCTGGGGCTCGCACTACCACCGGATCAGGGCCAAGCGGCTGATCGTATATGTGCTGTTCGTAAGGAGGTGGGATGTCGTCTGCTTCCGTGGAGGGGTACACTTCCATCGAGCGGGAGTGGGAGAGCCCACGATGACTGGTGCGGTATTGAGACGGATACAGCGTCGTCGGAGTTGTAGCTGTGGGGGGGTTTGTGGCGGTGGTGGTGGTGGTGGTGGTTGTAGTAATCGTCGTCGTGGTTAGGACCCAGGTCTGTTCGCTTTCCAGCCACACGAGCTGGTGCGGTGTCGAGAGGCTACTGGTGTGGGTGCGGGTGTCTCGGGGCGCGGGGGAAGAGAGAATAGCACATGGCGAGGGCTGGGATGCTGGCAATGGATTCGGAGAGGGGGAGCTCTGCCAGATTCCAGCATTGGATGCCGTACCCGGATATTTACGTCGGCGGGGGGTGGCGTCCGTCGATGCTGGTCGCGGCGGTAGATCGCGGACTGGGTCTAACGGACTCACGGGACTCTCAACATGGTCGAGAATAATATGGGGGGTGCTGTTGTTCCACGAGGAACCGGAACCGGAGCCGGAGCCACAGAACCTGGTGTCCTGGATAGGAAGTCCTTCGAGAGAGGAGAGGTCCATCTCGACAATGAATGAGAGCATATAGATGACAGAGGAGGGTTCAACAGCGGGCTAATATAGCACTAACGCAATCATTCGCTGACCTTTTGCTTTTTTTTGAAGTAAGAACTTGAAAAGTACGAGAAGCACAGGCAATGGGCTCAGAAAAAAAAAAATTAAGCGAGAGAGAATACAGTGCAGAGACAAGAGCAAAAGAACAACTTGAAACCCTAAGATAGACACAAGGAAGACACAGGGTATATAGCTAACTATATACACGCGTAGAAACCCGAACGAAGAAGTCTACAGAGGACTCGGAGCCCTGGTTGCTTCTTATTTTATCCTCCATGCCGGTTGGAGGCGGTGCCTCTTTGACCATGATCGCAACAAAGGAAGATAAACATTGCGCCGTCTTACCCGAGGCGAAAGCGGCCGATCAGGACGTTGGACCCGGAGATCCAACGTAGGATTTAGTCCAAACTCCAAAGTTGGGTCGTGGGATCGTGGGATCTGGTCGAGCAGAGCTGGCGGTCTGCGGATATGAAAAGGGCAAATGGTCAGTCGGAATTCCGCTTGGAGGGAAAGGGAATACCATTCGCTGCCCATAGTTAAGGATTTGCCCCGCTGAATGGAACCCCAAATCCTTCATTGGCCCCAGTCCGTAAGAGCAGCAGAGCTTGCAGACGAACCGCCCTGTTTGGAGCGATTCCTGGAGGAAGACGCGAGGGTTAAGCGCAGGCAGAGAAATCCGCCGTTTCTTGTAATTTCTCGCGTGGCTGAAGATAGAGATGGTTGCCGCAGGTCACCCTCGTACAGAGTAGATGTACTCCGTACAGAGTAGATGTCTGGTGGGATGTCTGATGGGATGGATGTCTGGGTTGGCGGTGGAAAAAAACACTGCCACCATCCACTATCCAGTTCTTTGTCAGCTGCCACCGCGCCATGCACCAACACGCAACGACTCTTCGTACTCCATAGTGTTGGGATTTCTTTATTTTAGTTTATTTCAGTATTCTGGATGGAGCAGTAAGGTCCTTTTTTGCTGACCTTTTTTTTTTTTTTTTTTTTTTGAATTTGATTGGTTATCCCTTTGGGGCTGGATGTACATACACTACCTAGGTACGTACCAGGTAGGCCACCTTAGGTAGGTAGGTCAGGACTGCACGATAAAAATACCCAAATATATCCTCACATTTTATCATACTTGCATATTAAAGCCAGATAATCACTAATTCACCATTCTATTTGCTTCGTGGCTGCAGGAAAGAAAGCTTGATAGCATTCCAAGTCAGTAAGGGAGGAGCAACACGTATAATTTTAGAATATATACATACCTATATATATATGTATACCAAGCCTTGTGCCCACAAAGACATCTCACAAAGGATGGAAGAACAAGTCTGCAACACTATACTAGTCTCTTACTTTACCACTTAAGTACATGAATTGCAGCCCGTGAATAAAAGAAGCCGGAAATCTAAACCTGAAGATAAAGAACACGGTTCCCCACTTGAGGAGGCTAACTCAAGTCTCAGAGTACGCCACCTCATGTTGTGCCCATCCCCGTCAATAGTAATATTATATTAGTACGGAGTACTCTGAATTATAATTAGACTCTGCCCATCATCACCAGTTATCTTTCTCTTTCTCTCTCTCTCTGTGGAGAACTCGTCCGCCCTCAACGGCAGTACCTGCAGTAGTAGACTTTGTAAGAAACTTGCAAGATCTCAGTAAGATTAAAAAATATGCCTGGCATCTAAATTTAGAATTACTACCAACTTCGGGGGAACTTGACCAGAATGTGAAAGCGCTCATGGTTTACATTATATCGTATTCAGCCACCAAGCTTCACAAAAAGAACTCCGAAGCGATCCGGCAAGCGGGGAAAAAAAAAAAAGATCAGCAGTCAAAAAGACAATCCAAAAAAGTAAACACATAGAATAGTAATATAAGGCAATCGAATCAGATTACTTTCCCCAAACCACATCTAACTTAGAAAAATAAAAATAAATAGGAACCCCAACACTCGCGCCTCTATTCATCCCCTCCTCCAGAATAGACCTCCGGACATGATACCTGATGGCGGCCGGATTCACGAGTAACCCAGGGCTACACTATTGACACGAAAGGAAAATTTATGCCAGGAAGAGAGCAGCAATGGCAGCAGCACCGGCAAAGCCGAAGGAGTTGGTCACGGCGCTAGCAGCACCAGTGAAAGCAGGCTGGGAAGGAGAGGGGCTGTTTTCCACAGGTTAGATACCAACCAAGACGAGGAGATACGGGGGATCAGAGAATACTTACGTGGAGCTACCGGTAGCAGCAACAGTGGTGGGGATCACTGGCTTGGAGGGGGTGGAGGTAGGAGTGATGGTGACGGTGGAGTAGGTGACGGTAGGAATGCAGGTGGTCACGGCGATGACGGAGGTGCTCACAGAGGAGGGCACGGTGGGAGGCACAACAGGCACGCTGGTGGAGACAACGGGAGGAACGACAGCACCGGAGTTGGTGGGGACGATGGGAGAGCTGCCGGAAGGAGCAGAGGTACCAGCGGAGGGAACGGATGGTGGTGGTGGTGGAGGAGGAGGAGGAGGAGGAGGAGACGGAGCTGACAGCGGAGGCAGCAGAGGGAACGGTGGTAACACCGGTAGCGCTGGTGCGTCCAGGGCAGTTGGTAACGGTAGGAGCGCAAGAGGTGATGGTGACCTCCTCAGTCTGGTAGACGGTCTCGATATCACCTCCGGGGGCAGCAACGGCAAGGCCGGCGAAGAGAGCAGCAGCGATAGTAGCGAAACGCATTTTGATTGATGTTGTGTTTGGGAAGAAAAAAAAACCGTCAAGGTAGTTTTGTAGGTGTTGGTTAGAGGGGGTTGGGTAATAAAAAGAGAGTGTGGTTAGTTGGGTTTTAAAGAGTGGATGACCGAAGTCAAGGGTTGGATATGCTTCAAGCAGAAAAGAAGTTTGGACTGGGAGAGAAAAGAACGGATAGAACCAGAAACAAGAGAGGACGGGGGGAGGCTGCAGGCTTTGTATGATCCGGGAGATTAACTTGGAGATCGGTCCAGGGACGAAAAGGGGAGCGTCACTGTAGTCGAGTGGAGACGCTGGACGGGTAGTGTTCAGGGGGGGAATAATGTAATAATTATAGGACCCTCGGGGATACTGGATGACGGCTTGTGGTTGGTGGACTAGAATGGTCGTGAGGGACTACCAGATCACTAACGTGTTTAGTTGGTTATTAGTTGATGCGCTGGTCCTCTCTGGGTTCTCTTCTATCTGTTTTGTCTCTCTCTCTCTCCTATTTCTTCTTCTTCTTTTTAGGATTGATGTTGATCGTTGCTACCCTCAGAAAGAAAGTTTGAATAGACGGGACTACTTTCTGTTGGGGGGAAAGGTACCCCTCCATGAAATGACTGTTAGCAATTAATGACTGAATGCATAATATTGCCACGGTATCCTGGTAGAAATATATATTGTTACATTTGATTACCAAGTACAGTCCAGTAAAGTTCCTCTGATGTGGAAAATGATATAATAATGATGGTGATGGTGATTATTATTATCAGGGATCATTTTCAGGGGAACCACAGACGTTGAGCATCCCCCCCTCTCACGCTTTGTTTCATCCTCAGGGTCCAGCCAATCATATAGCACAGCATGGGGACATGGCTCCGTTCCTGACCCTCTCCTCCACTCATTCTGTTTGTCTTTATCCCGCAGTGGGTCCTAGGCTTCGAGGTCCATCCAATGAGATATCTTCTATCGAGGTTCATACTACCCAGAGTCCCCACTTACCCCTGTCTCTCCATTGAGGTAATGAGCAACTCCAGTGAATTCTGGAATCTGATGGTCTGATAGGCTCTTTTCCGGAATTCGGTTTCAAATTTGGTCATTTACCGAAGGATCATTCTATGACGAGAAGGTAACTACATGATCTCCACTCCCCCTCATTCTTCCTCCGTACCTCCTAGTAGGCTAGTACAGTTACTACAGTAGTACTACATAGGGAACGACACGGTTGTGCGTGGCTTTTGATTCTAGAAGCGTGGCCTTTCCACGCTCTGCGCGTCTAATTTCAGCAAGAGGTTGTCATAGCTGTCAATCCTGATTCCTGGATGTGGACATCCTGCAAATCCATCCAGCCGCAATTACTGGTATACGCTATTATTAACGGGCCCGAAAATCCTTCTGTGTGGAAGATTTGCAATTGTCCCCTCATACGCTGCCTTATAATAACGGAGCTACTCCTAATTGCGGAGAGGAACAGAAGCATTTTATAATCATACACCTTCAAATAACAACCATTGGTAAAAACGGCCGTCCAGATGAATAGCCTACTACTTCTATAGAATATAAAAGTTAACTTAATTATTACTACTCTATAATTATTTACTATAAAGAGGTATACTACTACTTACTATGTTATAAAATATCCTATAAAATTCATCCTAATATTGCGCCTTTATAGGCCTGGATTTTACTATAGTTAAGATTTTCTTGCCTTTAATAGCATGTCTCAGACTAATCTTCAATAAATCTAGTATAATATATATAACTAGATAAATCTATTAGGTAAATACTTTAGCTTCTAAAATAGGCTTAGATTAAGACAAGAAATACTACCTAAAATCTGATACTTTATACAGGCGCGATAGATAGCAGGACAGTCCTCTAGAAAATGAGTGATAAATAGCATAATTTTTGAGAACTTTAAAGAAAAAATTTTCATCCTTTAAAATATTGATTATATAGATCTTTTTGTGTTTAAGTAGATGATTGCACGTCTTCGTCTTGCATATCAACAGGTCAAAGTTTACTCCATGCTGCAGAAAAAAAAAAGACCCCCGTGAACATGCATATCGAGTCCCGTCTCGAGAACTGTTCACGGGCCTGAGTTCATTGCGTAAGAGGCTGAAGGTTGGAATGATGAGTGAGGAATCATCCTTTGAAAGTTTGTGGAACATAGGATGGCAGAAAGATATTACACTTCATATTCCACCCACTTGATATAAAGAAAAGTCAGGATTAATGATGATGAATGGCTTTGGGGAAGTTGGGGAAGTTGTATAGGCAATAAGGGTATATCTATCAGGTGGCCTGAGGCTCCGACTACGGAGGCCTTTTATTACAGGGTGACAGTGTTAACTGGGCGATTGGCCTAGACTAGGAGACAGGCCTTGTTGGTCCTCCGTCCGGAGATCAAATTTAAAACAAGATACAAATGAATCGTCGGGATTCAGACGGGTTGATGGGTTAAATAAGACACCCAGAGGCCGAAGAGTGCCCAGGGTTTCAACTCCAGCGATCAACAGGAGAAATTTTCAATGGAACAGGTTGGTTCTCGGACTCGCTAACTTCGCATTTCGCCGGTCAGAATCAAAACTGAATCCTACCAGGTTCTATTATTAGGCGATGTTGAGGGTAGGTATCAGAGTGACCACCAACCATTGTCTAACATCTTACCTAACCGTTGATTCGAGATTCGAGTCAAGAGAATAGGGGACTGACTCCTCCGGAACTGATTTCGATCCGATTCGACTCCAATCTAGCATCAAGCAGGTTGGCTATCCAAGCGAGGATCATTTGTCGCCACGTCCAAGGCCAATCAGTGAGAGAAATCTCGGTCCCTCACATCGGCAGCGATTGTTCAATGCTCGAGATCAAGTTATTCAAACGCTGAGCAGGCTAGCCGTTCTTATATTGCAGCAGAAAATTGGGCCCCAGAGCCGAGGACCTGGTGGGAAAGCATGTCTCAAATCTTCCGTCCCATAAACGATAGGAAATCCTATTCATAGCGCTCTACGGAGGAAATGGAATGCAACCCTATTTTAATCCTTGAAGAAGAAGAAGAAGAAGAAGAAGAAGAAGAAGAAGAAGAAGAGGATTAATTATAGCAGGTGGAACGAGGCGCAAGACAAGTGGGGAATGATGTCGCAGGGTCCGAAAATCCATCCATCCATCCTCTGTACAAGTTGGCCAGACTGGATTTCCTTTCCCAGTTTTTTCGATTTCATCTCTTTCTTTCTTTCTTTCGATTTATTCTTCGGTAAGTAGAAGAAGTATCCATCCCTATCTGTCATTCCCTTTTGGCTGGGACTTCATCACGAACGAGATTGACGGATGCCTAGCGAAACGAAGCCTCTCCACCATGATCAACTTCGGAATCGTCCCCGTCCATCTTGAATAAACCAGCAGTTTCAATTTGCAAAACATCCCTCCTCCATAGCATCGCACTCTGAACTGTTTCATCTTTCACTATCGATCCCAAGAATAAACCACTAAAGCGCCTTTTGAAACAAGTCCCACCTCCACTCGCTTTCGAGATAATTAATTAACTACTGGACTATCAAGCAATTCGATCGCTCATCGGTCGGCGCAGCGTCTACTTGATTGATGGAACTTCTCTGATTGGCATCTATCCTCGTGAGAGATTCCCGTTCCTCTTAAGAGCATTATTTTCTTACTCTCACTTTTCCGCCTACCATCCACATCCATCTGAAATAACCGCTCGCCAACTTTCTCTCTCTCTCTCTCTCTCTGTCTCTTCCTCTTTTCTTCTTAACTCTTTCCTCTACCTCCTTTGACTCACTCCCTCCATCCAGTCGTTTTATTTCCTCGTCTGATCATTTCCGACCGACTGTCGCTGTCGTTTGCCGTCGTTTCTTTTTCTTTTCGATCGATCAATCATTCGTTGAGAGCCTTCCTCCCTCTGACCCCAACCTGACCCTTATTTCTTTTTCTTTCCTTTTTTTTTTTTTTTTCACCCTTTTTTCCCATCAATAGTGTGTGGTCTTTGCGTTCTCATCACATACACCTTTTTTTTTTTTTTTTGGCTTTGGCTTTGGCTTTAGCCTTACTGCTTTTGATAATAAAAAAAAATAAAAATAAAAAAAAAAACAACCGATCTCCTTCTCCCTCATTTTCCGCCTTTGATCGACCCCTCCCTGCCAGCAGCCGCCGCGTGTCTGGCCCCACGGCCCTCTTTGTTCCGACTGCTCCTCGTCCCCTTGACCTTCCGCTTCTTCCTTTTCCGAGTATTCATCTCGAAAAGCCGCCGATCTGGCTACCTTAACTGATCCTAACGAGTTGTTTTTGCCGGGTGAGAGGCAGAACAATCTCGCAATGTCTTCCTCGCCCGTCCCCCTCCTCAAGGCCCCCGTCCCAGGCAATCGCAACGGTCCTCGACCCCCCAAGCTGACTTTGGGAATCCCTCCTTCGGTCACCAGTCGCCCTGTTACCGGGAATGGCATTTCAACCACTGCAGAAGCGCCTCAGCTCCAGCTCCAACCCCTACCCCAACCCCAACCACAGCCTCAGCCTCAGCCCCAGCCCCAGCGTTCCTCGAAACGTCCCCCACCTCCCCAACTCCGTCTTGCAACCCCCATGGGTAGTACACAAGAGGTCCCGACGTCGAAGGGCCGGCCAGCTCCCCTCCCCTTGGTGACAACTGGATTGAATGAGCCGAATGGACACTCCAGGTCGGGTAGCTTTACCTACTTGGATGGAAAGGCCAGCGGCCCCGCCTCCGCCTCTTCGTCCAATTTCTCGACCCTTTCATTCGCCATGGGCCTCCGCCAGCCACATGGGAGTACACCAGACCCGTCGTCAGCGATCAGCTCGGTTTATTCAGACCGTGAGGGAGGCGTGCAGATGGAGCGAGAGAATAGTGTCAACAGCCTAATCCCGGACTTGGATAAGCTGAGCCTGGAGAAGGGTAGACCCCTTGACGTGGATGACTTGGACGATGAGGGTTGGCTCGCTGCGAGTGAACAGAAGAAAATTATTGAGCTGGGTAGCTTGGGGGAGGGAGCTGGAGGAGCGGTCACGCGATGCAAGCTCAAGGAGGGTAAGACCGTCTTTGCCTTGAAGGTGAGAATCTAATTCCTTTTTGTTTGTTTGTTTTTTTTTTTTTTAGAAGATGCTCCTTCGTGCTAATATTTTCCCTTTGGCAGATCATCACGACAGATCCCAATCCCGATGTGAAAAAGCAGATTGTTCGAGAGCTCAACTTTAATAAGGACTGCGCCTCGGAGCATATCTGCCGCTACTATGGTGCCTTTATGGATAAATCAACCGGTACAATATCTATTGCAATGGAATTTTGTGAGGGAGGAAGCTTGGATAGCATCTATAAAGAAGTCAAGAAGTTAGGCGGACGAACGGGAGAGAAGGTGCTGGGTAAGGTCGCAGAAGGAGTGTTGAACGGCTTGACATATCTCCACAGCCGAAAGATTATCCATCGAGGTGCGTTTTTTTCCACTCCTCGAAGCCTTGGTTATTTTGCTCACCAAAAATATAGATATTAAACCGTCCAACATTCTTCTCTGCCGGAATGGTCAGGTGAAGCTTTGCGATTTTGGAGTTAGCGGAGAGTTTGGTACTAAAGGGGACGCCAATACCTTCATCGGAACTTCGTATTACATGGCCCCGGAACGAATCACAGGACAATCATATACGATCACTTCCGACGTGTGGTCCCTTGGCGTGACCCTCCTGGAAGTTGCGCAACATCGATTCCCTTTCCCTGCTGATGGAACCGAAATGCAGCCTCGCGCTGGACTGATCGACCTCTTGACGTATATCGTCCGACAACCAATCCCTAAGCTCAAGGATGAGCCGGAGAATGGAATTCGCTGGTCTAATAGTTTCAAATACTTTATCGAATGCTGGTACGTTTCCTTTCACCATGCTCCTTGACGAACGTCGCTGATACAAAAAAAAAAAAAACAGTTTGGAGAAAGAACCTCCACGAAGAGCAACTCCCTGGCGGATGCTGGAACATCCGTGGATGCTGGACATGAAGAATAAGAAAGTCAATATGGCGAACTTTGTGAAGCAGGTGTGGGATTGGAGTGATTAGATCGCTTCATAGCCTCCATATAACCCCAACTCTTAATATCTCTAGTACTTTTTACGGTCCTTTTGACGCTTATACAAGTGGCTGGCCCTTGATTGACCCGGATGTCAAAAAGCATACGATCTGTGATTATGACGACGCTCCTTTTTATTGACTGTACCTACCTATCCTTATTGGGATCTTATGGAGTTGGGAATCATTATATCATTTACCGCATGGTCACGTCTTTCCTTGAATCCAATTATGTTTTCAGCACACTAGCATTCATCATGTGCAGCCGCCGCCGCCTCCATTTCTCGGTTGCATTTACGTCGTTGTCGTTGTCGTTGTCATCGTCATGGTTATTATCCTCATTCCATCCAGCACTGATGTTTTCCCATTCGCATTCGAATCATCTGTAGCGATTTGATATTAGTCTTGTCTTCTTCTGATGTCTAGTGAAGAAAGAGTTCATGAGAGATAGTACCCATCTACCTTATTTTGTTTCTGTCTTGTTGGTTTTGCAGTAGCCGATTCCGTTTTTTTTTTTTTTTTTTTTTTGGTTTTGGTTTGTTCCGCGCTCCCCAGTCTGCCTTATAATATTCAGGTGTGCGGTGCTTGTGATGATACCTAACTTGAGCAGGGAGATATACGGGCATACACACCATACCGAAGGACAGTGTTGTTGAATTATCCCGGTGGTCTGGACGACGAAGGAGGAGAGTAAGAGATATAATACAGTATGTGATTACCGAGGTTAGGATGAATGAATGAAGTACCTGCTCAGTGATTAGCTAGTTAGTTAGTTAGTTATTAGGTACTCACTTAATAATGCTAATTTCTATAACTAACTAGGTATCATCACCAAGAACAGGGACACCAAATAGGTACATAAATAATTCCAATAATTTATTTATCAGTCATGCAATGTCATATCGTAAAATCATTCCTTCCCTTCAACAATTGGAAACATCCACTACCGATCTAAAACACGAAACCCATTCAAAAGAAAAAAAAAAGAAATAAAATTATAAGCAGTAGTAAGTGGCAGAACTTGAAAAAAAAAAAAAAAAAAAAAAAAAAAAAAAAACCTACTTCCCTATTGCCTGTTCACAGGCTGCGCACCCAAAACCCAGCCGATCCCGCTCGCCAATCCACCCGTAACCATATTACTGACCACGTCTCGTTTGCGGACCCGACCGGGTTCGTTTTCGGCGCCATCTTCAGCGGCGGATCCGGATCGAGAATGACCAGGAGCCGTGGATAGGGCAGGCGAAAACGAATCTGATGCGGCGGTACGGAGCGGTAATGTGTTCCTGTGGAGTGCTAGCGCGGCGCCACGCGCGACTTCAAAGAGACCCATGGGTGCTTCGTCGTGGTGGACGCGGGTTTGGTGTGCGCGGGCTGCGCGTCGAGCGTGCTGTTGTTTTGTTTCGAAGAGGTCTTGCTCGTTGTCTGTGGGACCGAAACCTCCCGGCACGGTGCTGGGGGCTGTTGCGGTGGTGTCGCCCTTGGTGTCCCAGAGATCTGCTTCTTCTGATTCGCGCGCGCGGAGGCCCGAAAGTTCCTCGTCGCAGCGGCGCCAGGCGCCGAGGATTTCCGGGAGCGGGTCTGGGGTGGGAGTGAGGGTGAGGGCTAGCGATAAGAGTTCCATGCGTTGCGTGAGTTGCGCGATTTGGGTTTGGAGGAGGGTGGGCGTGGAGGACACGGGGGCGCGGTACCGACCGGCGTTGTACACGGCGCGCCAGGTGATGTCATCTTTGATGGCTGGGTTGGTGAGAGGGGAGGAGGTTGGGATGGAAGATGGTGGGGTGAGGCGGGTGAGGATATAGGAGTAGGCAGTGCCAAAGTCGTCGGAGGAGAGAGCGGATGAGATGGCCAGGGACATTATGCGGCGTTCGGCGATGACGACGGCGTCTTCCTGGGAGATTCTGGGGCGGCGCGTATATTGGGAGTCGTCGTCCGTTGGGCGTGCAGAGAAACCAGCTGTGACTAGGTTTCGTCCGATGCTTAGAAGGTCGTCGAGTTTTGTGTAGCTCTTGGGGTTCTGATCGAGAACCTTCTCGATCAAGGAGAGAGGATCGGGGTGGACCCGAATGCTCACCGGCTGGAAAGGAACGCCGTGCTGAAGGGTCAGAGAATAGAAAGAGAGGGCATGTGTAGCGGAGATGAGAGCATTGGCCTGTTTGAGCGGAGTGGAATCAGGGAATTGAGGCTTAAAAGCTTGCAGGCTATGTATGGTCAATTAGTATTGCGATGAATATGGCTGTGGGTTGTATATTTGACTAACATTTCATATGCTCTTTGCATTTTGCCTCGTGTTCTATTGCCATTGCTTGCGTTGTCGTAAGCTGCGAATATGGCTTCTTTGGCGGCATCTTCCACCTGAATTGGGCTCAGAGAAGAGTTAGGGTTTAGGTAGATGGCTACCGCAAGGTCGTATTCTGGGCTTGTTAGCACATCCTGACAATACGAAGGAATATAGGCTTGCCGAACCTCTGACTTCTAGGAACGCCTTTAAGATCTCTGCTTCTAGGGCATCTGGTGAGATTCTCCAGAAGAGGCCATGGCAGTCTGGATTTGCAGATTTGCCCAAGGCATTTGATGTCCAATCTCGCAGCCATAGTAGTTGCTCGCGGACTTTGCTCCAGTCGCGTCCAGACTTTGTGTGTTTCACCGCAGACGCCACGACACTGCGCAACTCAAACAGTTGCATGTCCTGACTGCTATGGAGACAGATGCTGGCAGCTGTCCTGCAAGGGATAGGATGCCCTAGTTCACTAAGCACGCGTAGCGAAAGAAGAAGGGCGCCCAGGAAAGAAATTGAGGAGGCAGCAGGGTACGTCAGTGGATTTGTAGACAGGAGAAGAGCGTTCTGAAATAAAGACGCTCTGGTAGCCGATTGAAGACGACTGGCGTCAAATGTCACTGAGGGAAGGGTTAGACTGTCAGGTGTAAGGAACAAGGAAGTCTCCAAGCCAAGAAGACTTGCAACACGGCCCAGAATTCGGATAGATCCATCCAAGGACAGCTCATTACTAGAGTAAACCACAGATAGCCCGGTTTGTCCATATCGATAACGTAGCTGATCGCTGTGTGCGAGCTCAGTTTCCCCGACGTAGCCCCCAAAATCTATATCCTCTGGTCCGTCCCAGTTCACAAAAGCGCTTACTGTAGCTTCCGGGTCTACTAGACTGTGTGACAAGAGCCATTCGTTTACATATTCCCATCCAGAATATTCAACCTCCCGTTGGTCATCATCATTTTGGGGGATCGTAATCAGATTTTGGCGGGCGAGTTGGTTGAACCTTTGTCTTCTTGGTCGGGTATTGCCATACATCCAAGGGCCAACAAGCCCACGCAGGTTCTGGATTAGGTCCATGTCGCTCTTGTGGGTGCCAGCCATCGAGAGGAGAACATTTGTGGCGGTGTGATCGTCCAATGCTTCCAGTGTTTCTATGGAAAATGACTCTTCCTGATCGGGGTAATACTCGTAGTTCAGTCGGAGCAAAGGCAGTAAACACGAAACGAGCCATGTTCGCAGAGGTGGGGATCGCTGGTAGAAGGGGAGAAACAAGTCTAAGATGAGGGGTTGGAGCGAGGTCTCTGAATCGATTCGATGTGCTCGATGAATTAGGAACTGCGTTAAAATATCACTCGATTCTTCGCTATCCTCGTCACCGGGGTACTTTAGTGGTAGCAGGCGTATCTTCCGTACACGTTTCCTCGCCGCCGCCTCGGACAGCTCTTTTACTGGAGAAGTATCCACACCATCATGATTCAACGGAGAGGATAGACCGTCCACCAGTGTTTGAAGGACAGGTATATAAGTCTGCGGCTCTGTACTCTCTGGGAGAAAGGTGAGGATGATACGTAGTAGTCGCTCTGTTGGGAGGGCGTTGGGAAATTGGGCTTGTAATTGCGGGAGACAGGAGGTATCGCTCCTGGCGCAGAGAGAGGTAGCTAGGAGAATGGCGTGTGCCCCCGAGAGCCTCGTTGAGACGGCCATGGCATTGCAGTCGAGCTCATTCAAGGTGCAGAATGAAGATGATGATGATGTGTATTGGGGCCGCAACGATTCGACGTAAACCTTTCTTGATGGTGACGGCGTGCACGTGCCACCCGGGCGGAAAGTGACTGAATGCGAAGAACCTCGTCGCATCCGCTTCTCTTTCTCCTCCCCTTCAATTCCCCGCTTCTTTCTCCCCCCCCAAACACACAATGGCGTCCGGTTTTGGTCTCAATGGCGGTATGTGTCTCTTGTGCTTTGTCCTCGAGTGAATTTTCTACTCTTAATGGGTTGTGGTATTGGGTTCTGGGGGATGTGCTGGCTACTGAAACGGAGCGTCCCGGCTAACCTAGCTGCTCTCCGCAGGTCCTTCCCGCTGCTTCAACTTCTGGCAAGAGGTCCTTGGTTGCTATGTCGTCAATGCTGGCGAGGGAGAGACTGGCAAGAAGAAGTGCATGCCTGCCCTAGAGGATTACCACGAGTGCCTTCACCACCGGAAAGAGGTATGTGTTATTACGCCCATCATCCTCTGTTCAATCTGGGAAAGATTTATTCCTACGATCCCCCCTCGGTCCTTTTTCTTTTGTTTTGTTCTTCCTTTGTGTTAGTCTTCTTTTGATTTTGGATGTTGAGCTGACAGATGATAGGCACTGCGAACGATGAAGATGCAGGCTGCCTACCGCAAGGCAGAAGCCTCACACCCCCGCGAAAACGCCCCGAAGGCCGAACAGATTCGCAGTCTAGGATTGCTAGGGAAGGAAGAAGAGGCGACAGCGTTTTTGGCGAAGGCTTAAAGGGATATTATACATCGGAGCGTGGTTCCTCGTTGATTTGTTTTTTACTACACCACTACACCTTATGTTTTATTTACCCGATTGTATAGAAATGGACCAGTGGATTTGAATTACAGTACATTTGGAGTCTTATGAGATTTGATGGCTCTAGTGGTCAGTTGATAACGTGACTGTAGGGTGTGGTAAAGTACATCATTATAGGGTTTTATGCGAGTTTAATCATGAATCGTCAACGTCAGATATACCTTTTTTTCCTTTCTTGTTTAAACAAATCATAGTACTTTCTTATGGGGAGGATCTAGGTAATACCTAGGTATTACCTACTTAGGTAGGTCGGTGATAAGCACGGAGTACTACTAGTAGATATTCAATGATGGATACCTACCTAGGTAGCGGTTGAGCTGTGATCAGGTACCTAGGCACCAGGTAAAGCAGAATAGAAGAGGTTTGAATGGTAGATTGGGAGAATGATGGATGTACGCTAGGTAGCTTAAGTTTTCAAAGAAACTTGAAGCACCCAGTATATATTTTAAAGGAGGATTGAATTGTACCTACCTAGCCTTGTAGTATGCAGGAATAGGGATGAAGTTCCGTAGGGATTTCCCTGGTATGATGGATAGCGACTCATTAGTATATCTAGTAATACTCCGTACATGATATAGATAGATATAGATACTCCGTATATAGATATATGATATAGATAGATATAGATACTCCGTATATAGATATATGGCCTAGAGAGAACAAAAGTTACGCGTCCTCAGGCAGCAAAGAGTCACCCATAGGAGATTCACGTGACCCGAGAAAACCTTTCCAACAAGTGGGGCCCCCTAACCCCAATCGCGTTAGACCACAAGGCCCAAGCATGGGTAGGCGCGCCCAGCGAAAGATGTCCCAATGATATAAACAGGCTGCGTGACCTCGATCACTTGTAGTTGAAGTTGTGCTTCTGGTGAAGCTGAATATTTGTACACTTACTGGACTACACTTTGACTGCCCACAATTTCACCAATTGTTGCCCTCTCCACATTTTGGAGGTCTTTCTTCAACCCTCTATAACCTCCATCTCCCGCGGGCCTTTTTTTTTTTTTTTTTTTTTTTTTTTTTTTTTTCTTTCTTTCTTTCTCCTGATTTTATTTTTATTGTATTTTTCTCTTCACTTTTCTCTTCGCTTCTCGTCTATCTATCCCTCTCCCCAATACTTGGTAATTTATATATTACCACCTCCTTTCATACTTCGCCGTAATTTTTGATACTTCAGTTCGATGAGATCTCCCATCTCCACTCCATCATCTTCTCTTTCTTTCGCGCGCTTCTCTCGATCACCTTTGAAGTCATCTCTATCCTGTCTGTCCACCCTCTTATATTCCCTTGCATGATTCCTCCCTCCGATCCTTCGTCTGTGGCTTGCTCTATGGCTGTGACGTGCGTGTAACTTTCACGTACTGTTTACGTTACGTTACGTTACGTTACATGACCCTGTGTTGCAGCCTCTCTCTCTCTCTCTCTCTCTCTCTTATTATACATTACATTACCGCTTACTTACCATTACTAGTAATCCTAATCTCCCCTTGAGTCGGCGCGCGTCTACAGTTGCCTCACTTTTTTTGCTTTCTTTGCTTCAATACCCCACGTTTGCTTTCTTTTTCTTTTCTTTCCTTCTGATTTATTTGATTTAATCCCTCCCTGTACCCCTTCAAAAATAACTCACGACCAGCATGACCTCCAGGTAAGTTTTTGTTCCCGCTCCCTCCCGGTATTGTTTTTTTTTTTTTTGGTTACGATAAAAACATGACGCTAACTGTCACGCTAGACTAGATCGTCTCGTCACGTGAGTGTACCTATCATGCATCTTTATTTACCTGCTGGGTTGTACCTGGGTATGGAGGAAGTAGCTGGTTACTGATCGCTAGGGCAGATTACTCGAGACAGGCAGCACTCCTCTTATTCGAAATACCGCCGCTCAGCAGCTGGCCGATGTTCAGAAGCAACATCCTGATGAGCTCTTTAACCTCCTAGGTCGCATTCTCCCCTACCTCAGGTCGAAATCATGGGATACCAGGACAGCCGCCGCCAAGGCTATGGGCCTCATTGTCACAAATGCAGACATATTCGATCCCAATGAAGACGATGGTCACGATATCAAGAAGCCCGAGGAAGATGACATCGATGTTCAAATCAAGTCGGAAGAGGAACAGGCTGCGTCCGCGGACGACCAACTGCTGCGCCTGGAAACGTTGGATATCACAGCCGTCCTAAAGCATGGAAAGAGGCTGTTGGGCAGCGGGGGGAAAGACTACGAGTATTTATTGGCTGGCATGGACCCAGCCGCCCGGCTACAGCACCAGAAGAAGACGTTAGCCGCACGACTGGGGCTCGCAGGGGAGTACGTCGAGGAGGATTGGATCGATGACGCCGATCTGGTGCTAAAACAGACCCCGGGCTCGAAAGAGAAGCTGGCCACCATTTTTTCCTCAAAGGAGAACCATCATCTCCATTCCACAGCCCAGCAACCCCTTCCATCGCCTAGCGAACCCGCGAATGGCGAAGAGCCGGGCCTGAGTAAGCGACAGCTCAATCAACTAAAGCGCAAAAATAAACAGAGTGCCAAGATGGGTGCGAATAAAGTACGAGTGGTCGACCTGTCCGCACGTAGGACATCGGAGAATGTCACCACGCCGTCTGCCGGCACTCCTCATCCTATCAAAACAGAGAATGGAGAAGGGCGGAATGGTGACGCAAAAGCAGACTATTTTTCCCTTGATAGGCCCGCGGGCGAGGATGATGACTCCAAGATAGTGTCCGAGTTTAAGGGCGAATCTGTTCCCGAGAGGCCTTTCATTCAGCCCGAACTCCTTGATGATGGACCCAGCCTTGCGTGGCCGTATGAGCCCATGTGCGAATTTCTCATGGTGGATATTTTTGATCCTAACTGGGAGGTTCGACACGGTGCAGCGATGGCCCTTCGCGAGGTTATTCGTGTTCAAGGTGCTGGAGCTGGACGCTTACATGGGAAAACTAGAGCCGAAAATGACGCTTTGAATCGAACGTGGTTGGATGATCTTGCCTGTCGTCTCCTTTGTGTTCTCATGTTGGATCGTTTTGGGGACTACATTTCTGATAATGTTGTTGCCCCCATTCGTGAAACCGTCGGTCAGACACTCGGTGCCCTGTTATCCCAACTCCCCTCGCGATCCGTCATCGCCGTCTACAGGTGTCTTTACAGGATTATCATGCAAACAGATCTGGATCTTGACCGCCCAATTTGGGAGGTTTGCCACGGCGGCATGATTGGTCTTCGATACTTGGTGGCCGTACGCAAGGACCTGCTCGTCAAGGACTCGAACCTCATGGACGGTGTTTTGGAGGCAGTGATGAAGGGCTTGGGTGACTACGATGACGACGTACGGGCCGTGAGTGCTGCAACCCTAGTGCCGATCGCTGAGGAATTTGTCAATTCACGACAAGCCACTTTGGGCACCCTGATGAACATCGTTTGGGACTGTCTTTCGAACCTTCAAGATGATCTTAGTGCCAGCACCGGATCTGTTATGGATCTCCTCGCGAAACTGTGCACGTTCCAGCAAGTCCTCAATGCTATGAAGGAGAATGCCGCTGTAGATCCGGAATCATCATTCGGGAACCTTGTCCCTCGTCTTTACCCATTCCTGCGACATACTATCACGAGTGTGCGATCAGCAGTACTTCGGGCGCTCTTAACATTCCTACAGCTTGAAGGTGAGGGTACCAATGATTGGGTAAATGGCAAAGCTCTACGGTTGATCTTCCAAAACTTGTTAGTAGAGCGGAACGAGGGTGTTCTCAAGGTATCTCTCCAAGTCTGGGCTGAGTTACTCAAAGCTTTGGAGCATCGGGGATCGTTCAACCCGGATACCGATTTGTCCAGCCATATCACACCTCTGATCACTTTGAGCATCGCACCCTTCGGCGTTCCCCGGTATCCTATTCCTATGAATGCTTCACTCTTCATTAAGCCATCTGGCGTACCCTACCCTACGAGTGCATCGATCCCAGCTAGATCATCACCAACCTCGGCAGTTGCAACCGTTGATGGGCCCAAAAAGCGCGGGCGTAAAGCCGAGAAAAAAGAAGCTCCTCCTCCACCTTCCGCCCATAATGTTGACGGGCATATGCTCCAGGGCGATATTGATCTGGTAGGTGTTGATACCATGTTGAGATCCAAGATATATGCCGCCAAGGCGCTGGGTCAACTTCTTTCCTTCTGGGACAGGAACAAACTCGCCAGCCTTTGGGAACCAATTTTGGAAGGCGTCGTCCACCCTGCCTCCTCGTCGCAGCTTTCCTCAGCCATGATTGTGGAGGAGTATGCCAAGTTTGCTGGAGCAAAGGGCAAATACACCACTTCTCTGTGTGATAAGCTCAGAGTCATTCTCGAAGAGGACCGTCCCATGTGGTATAGTGACATTGCATGCTACTTGCAGGTTGCCCGGGCACAATGTCACTCGCTACTAAATGCCTTCCGAGACCATGCGCATGTGCCAGGCGCGAAACTACCAACTCTGGCTGTCGTTGTTCAGGGGGAGTCCGATGCGGGCCCCAATGCCTTCTCGTTATCCGATGCCGAAAAGGTGGTTGGGCCTGACTTCGATAGGCTGAAGAAGGGCCTAGCACCTGCTCAGCGCATCACCGCTCTTCAAGTTTTGAATGACACTCGGGTTACAGCCGAAAATGCGATTGGTGAAGCAAGAGATGTCCGAGAGCAGAGAGATTTGCGGATTAAGGCTGCAGCCGCGGGGGCATTGGTTGCATTCCATGATATTCCCAAGAAGCCGGGTCTTATTATTAAGGGCATGATGGACAGCATTAAGAAGGAAGAGAATGCTGAACTTCAGCAAAGATCTGCCACCGCCGTTGCTACTTTGGTTGAACACTACACCGCTGCTTCAAAACGAGGCCCTGTCGACAAGGTTATCGGCAATTTGGTCAAATACTGTTGTGTTGACACCTCTGAAACCCCTGAATTTCACCACAATGCAAACTTGGAGCAGTCCATCTTGTCTCTTCGTAAGGAAGAAGACCGAAGAGACCATCCGGATGCCGCGAGGTTTGAGAGGGAGACAAAGGAAGCAAAAATTATGCGTCGGGGTGCGAAGGATGCTCTGGAACAATTGGCAGTCAAGTTTGGCGCAGAGCTCATGGAAAAGGTTCCCAACCTCGCATCATTGGTTGAGCGACCCCTCAAAGAAGCTCTGTCCGCAGACCTTCCTTCTACCATCCTCGACCCGGCCGATGAGTTGGGCCAGGAGGTTGTTGATGGACTGTCCACTCTGCGAGCCTTGCTGCCCAAGTTCGACACTGGTCTGTATCCCTGGGTTGTTGACCTCATGCCTCTGATCGCCAAGGCCCTTCAGTGTCGACTCTCTGTCATCCGATATGCGGCAGCTAAGTGTTTCGCCACCATCTGTAGCGTTGTCACGGTGGAAGGCATGACTATGTTGGTGGAGAAGGTCCTGCCTACCATCAACAATGCGCTGGATGTCCATCACCGCCAAGGAGCTGTGGAGTGTATTTACCACCTTATCCATGTGATGGAAGATGGTATTTTGCCATACGTTATTTTCCTGGTCGTCCCTGTGCTCGGAAGAATGAGTGATTCCGATAATGATGTGAGACTGCTTGCTACAACCTCATTCGCTACCTTGGTCAAGCTTGTTCCCCTGGAAGCTGGTATTCCAGACCCACCTGGTCTATCGGAGGAGTTGCTGAAAGGACGTGATCGGGAGCGGAAGTTCATGTCACAGATGTTGGATTCGCGGAAAGTCGAGGAGTTTCAGCTGCCCGTCGCTATTAAGGCGGAGCTTCGGCCGTATCAGCAAGAAGGTGTCAACTGGCTCGCATTCCTTAACCGCTACAATCTCCACGGCATTCTCTGTGATGACATGGGCCTTGGTAAGACTCTCCAGACAATTTGCATTGTGGCCAGTGATCATCATCTGCGAGCGGAAGAGTTCGCCCGCACTCAGGCTCTGGAGGTGCGAAAGCTCCCGTCCTTGATTGTTTGCCCTCCATCCCTCTCTGGCCATTGGCAGCAGGAGGTGAAACAGTATGCGCCGTTCCTCAACTGTGTCGCTTATGTTGGGCCACCCGCGGAACGCTCGAAGCTGCAGAATGCCCTAGCCGGTGCTGACATTGTTGTGACGTCCTACGATATCTGCCGAAACGACAACGACTTCCTCAGATCCATCAATTGGAACTATTGTGTTCTAGACGAGGGTCACCTTATCAAGAACCCCAAGGCAAAGGTTACTATTGCGGTCAAGCGGATCATCAGCAACCACCGCCTGATCCTCTCTGGCACTCCTATTCAAAACAATGTCCTCGAACTGTGGTCCTTGTTTGACTTCCTGATGCCTGGTTTCCTTGGCACGGAAAAGGTCTTTCTGGACCGTTTCGCGAAGCCGATCGCCGCGAGCCGTTTCAGCAAGTCGTCATCGAAAGAACAGGAGGCTGGCGCCCTGGCAATCGAGGCTTTACATAAGCAGGTGCTTCCTTTCTTGCTGCGCCGCCTCAAGGAAGAGGTCTTGAACGACCTGCCACCGAAGATCATTCAGAACTATTACTGTGATCCCAGTGAGCTCCAAAGGAAGCTGTTTGAAGACTTTACGAAGAAAGAGCAGAAGGCGCTCCAGGAGAAGATGGGAAGTTCGGAAAAAACAGACAAGGAACATATCTTCCAAGCTCTGCAATACATGCGTCGTCTGTGCAATTCCCCCGCTCTTGTCGTCAAGGAAGGACACAAGCAGTATGCCGAGGTCCAGCAGTACCTGCAGGCTAAGAACTCGCAGATCCGAGATGTGTCGCATGCACCTAAGCTTAGTGCTTTGCGCGATCTGCTTCTAGACTGTGGAATTGGTATCGACCCACCAAGTGACGGGGACCTCGCCACTGGCGCTAGCTATGTGAGCCCCCACCGAGCTCTGATCTTTTGTCAGATGAAGGAAATGCTTGATATTGTGCAAACCGAGGTTTTGCGGAAACTTCTTCCTTCCGTCCAGTATCTTCGTCTGGATGGCAGTGTTGAAGCAACCAAACGTCAAGATATTGTCAATCGATTCAATTCGGATCCAAGTTACGATGTCTTGCTGTTGACTACGAGCGTTGGCGGACTGGGTCTGAATCTAACAGGTGCTGATACCGTCATCTTTGTGGAACACGACTGGAACCCGCAGAAGGATATTCAAGCTATGGACCGAGCACATCGTATTGGTCAGAAGAAGGTGGTCAATGTCTATCGCTTGATTACACGGGGAACTTTGGAGGAGAAGATCTTGAGGTAAGTTTGTTGTCTAGGGTTGGATGTAGCAGATGCTAACATTTCTCAGTCTGCAACGATTCAAGATCGACGTCGCATCCACTGTTGTCAATCAGCAAAACGCAGGATTGAACACGATGGACACCGATCAACTTCTGGATCTCTTTAATCTTGGTGAAACAGCCGAGAACGCAGAGAAGCCCTCGGAACACGCCGCAGGCAATGAAGTTGACATGGTGGATATCGACGGTGAAGTTAAGGAGAAGGGCAAGAAGGGATGGCTCGACGATTTGGGAGAGCTGTGGGATGATCGTCAGTACCAGGAAGAGTACAATCTGGATTCTTTCTTGTCCACTATGAAGGGGTGATTGATATATTTTTTTTTTTTACCTTTCCATGCGGTCTTGCACCTGGACTAGATAGATGGCTGGGTTTTGTCTTCTTTTTCTCTGGCGGTTTCCGGCTTGGAGTTTGGCTGGTGGATTTCTTCTGCCTTGATGATTATTATTGACGAAATGATCTGCATGGCACGAAGACCAAGGATAGAATTGGCTTGGTCGCCTTTACTGTATGTCTAGCATGTAATCTACTGTACACTCATCTTATTCACATGATTCATATTGCATCGTACTGTGTACGAGAGAGGGCGAGAGCGACTATTGCAGATTGACGAAGAGTCCACCATCAACGAGTAATTGCGCACCAGTCTATTTTGAGATTATAAGTATATCACCCGTCTATCAAAGAAAAGAAAAGAAAAGAAAAGAAAAGAAAAGAAAAGAAAAACTCACCACATAACCACTCAACTCCTCACACGCCAAAAAAACCGCCGGCCCCGCCAAATCACAAGGCTGTCCCAGTCTCCCCAGCGGAATCCGCCCCTCCATATACTGCTTCTTCACGGGGTCACTCATATCCTCATCATTCAGCTGGGTGCGGATCGTCCCCGGTAGCAACGCATTACACCGGATATTGTACTTGCCGAGCGCCACCGCAGTCGACTGCATCAGGCTCAGCACGCCGGCTTTCGTGGGCGTGTAGTGCGTTTGTTGGCCCCCCCCCACGAGGGCAGAGATGGAACTTATCCCGATGATTGAGCCGCCGGGAGGAGACTGCGCGAGCGCCATTTGGCGCGCCGCGGCTTGCACGGCGTAGTATGCTCCGGTGAGGTTTGTGGCGATCGTGTGGTCGAGTAGTTTGGGGGTTACGCTTTTCCGCTCCTCGGTGGTGCTCGTATGTGAGTATATATTTCATTTCTATCGTTTCGTTTTTCTTTTCTATGTCGAGTGTAGGGGAAAAAAAAAAAGAGAGAGAGAGAGAGAGAGAGAGAAATATACGTACTCCAGAAACTCCTCAAACCTGCACACCCCCGCATTCGAAACAAAGACATCCAGTCGTCCGAACGCCTGCACTATCTGCGCGACAAACTCTCCCCCGGTCTCTGGCTTCGAGACGTCCCCTGCAACCGCTAGGAATCTCTCTTCTACCTGGGGCCTCGGCTCGGATTGTGTGGCGAGGAGGAGGAGGACCTCGGCTACGTCCCTTTGCATTGCGGCGAGGAGGGGCTCGTCTGTGCTGCTGCCCAGGTGGTTGACGGCGACTTTTGCGCCGTGCCGGAGGTACTCGAGGGCGATTGCCTTTTGGAGATATATATATATATATATATATAGGTACGGTTAAGAAGGGTCAGGTATGCTAGGTAGGTAGTATGTGTGGGTGGGGGAAAGTACCCGGCCGATTCCTGTGAGACCACCGGTAATGGCGGCGACTTTGCCGGGTAGAAGGCGGGGGAGGGACATTTTGATTATGAGTTATGGTGGCGGGTTAGGTAGATTTGAGAAGGAGAGTGAAAGTATAAGAAGAGAGAGAGAGAGAGAGAGAGAGAGAGAGAGAGAGAGAGAGAGAGAGTGAAGTTATAGTAATGGGGCTCGGGGTTTCGTGGTATTGATGGGCCGAAGTCGACCCGGTAGACGATATCAACTGCGCTTCAGTTCTTCAGAAGGGCTAATAAATTATTCATCTGCACGGACATGACATTATATATATACTGAAGAGAATAATAATATGTACAACACATCAGCACCTACGACAAACTAGTCTACCACGTAATTTCTTTCCCCGCCAGCCCCTCCACAGCCGGAATCATGGGGCGAATGGCGTATCCATAATCGCCCGCATTGGGTGTCCGCAGGAGCGTGTGAATATGGAATTTCTTGGGCGCTTCGTTATTCAAGAACACGCCCGAGTGGTGGTCGAATTCCACCAACACAACAGGATTCTGAATCCGGAAGTAGAACGGATCCTCCTCAGCGTATCCACCAATCCAGCAAAAGTGCGTCTCCGATTCAAAGCGCTTGATCTGTTCAAGTTTGAGTTGTCGTGCGCGGCCGGGGAGATACAGGAGGTATTGCTCGAGGATGGCATAGACAGTCCGTTTCTGCTCTTCGGTAAAGGAGGAAACGGGGACGCCCTCATATGGGACGATCCGATTGTCGCGGTAAGCACCGCAGACGTGGCGCTGGTCGTCGCGGTTCCAGCGTCCTGGGGGCATAGCGGGGTCGTGCATTTCTTTGTAGATCTGGGCCGTTGCTTGAGATTCAGCAGGGAGTGACTGCATTAGTTTGAGACCGAGCTCCTCCTCGACATGGAGGATCCGGGTGCCCTTGTACGGGCCTGCGTCAATTTCATTCGGTTCCGCACCTGTGAACCAGGGAGAGGCGATAATTTGGTTCCGATACAGAAAGATGTTGAGACATAGGTGGTGGCCATAAAAGGACCAGCCCCACGGCCGGGTGATGGAAGGGCGGCCAAACAGGGCGAAGTTGTAAGAGAATTCGTTCATGACCCGTGGAGATTCAACAAGTTCTCCGAGAAAGTGGTTGGTCCGCATGGCTTTCAAGGCCTTGTCGTAGCCTTCTGGGGAGAGAGTCGATTGGAGAATGGCAAGGATGGCGGTGCGGATGGATGGGGAGACTTCATCTAGACGGAGACCCTTGTCACTGAGGAGGAACTCGGGGTTTGACCAGGTGCGCCATTCAGGCGAATCAATGTGGTAACAGAGGGTGTCTTTTTGTTCGCTTGTGAGCAGGGAGAGCAGGTGTTCTGCGGGGGCGACGATGCTGTCGATGGAGATCTGTTCGTCTTGGAGTTCAAACAGGTTCGGGCGGACATTTCCTGATCCTGTTAGCTTTCTCAGGAATTTGAGATTATCCAAGCAAAAGAAATACCATCAGTAGTTACACCCTTGAAGGGCTCCTGCAGGAGCTCCCTCCAGTGCATGTACAAAGCGTGCAGCCATGGCGGATTGTGGCCGTTCTTAAAGGCATCTGCATATTCATGTGCATCCTGAGTGCGCATCTCCTGGAAACGCGGGATACCCAGGTCGGGAAGATATTTGCGATACGACATGATCTTAATCGAGGACAAAATCTAGGAAATGCCGGCAATTGAAGCGATGAATTGGAGCTGGGAAGCCCCGGGATTTCTTCTTTATCCAAGAGACGATGCTCCAGATCCCCACAATCCCCACTGTGGAGATCGGCCAACAGCTTATCCGACTTGCAATTGCAATATGCAGCTGGGATCAGGATATTTCCTGAAGGCGATTGGAAGTGGGAAAGATTGCATGATCTTGTCTTGATCTTTGCTGTTGTGGGTGTGACATGGGGAGGATCGGTCCTTTTGCAGTAAACAACAGAATCCAAGAAGATCCAATAAAGACGGAGATCATTCATTATATATACTACCAAGTGCCTAAAAGGTTGATATATCCTATTCAGATGCAAAAGTTCCAAGATTTTTTTAGGGCAATTTGCTCCTCTGTCCACTCCCACAGCGCCTTGGCCATCTCCGCATCATCTTCATAAGCGCTCACTCCCTTTACCCCAATGGGAACATAATACCCTCCATTAATCAAGCGCTCTTTCGACACAGTCGCGGCCCAGATTTGGTTTAGTGCTCCAGTACGAACACTTCGGAAGAAGTTGGCCATGACCTTGATACCAACCCGTGAGAATAGGTCAGAAGATTTAGACTGCTCATACAAGTCGCTTGCCACCGCCCCAGGATGAACAGAAACGGAGAGTATCTTTGGATATCGACGGGCAAGCTCCGCTGCGAAAAGGACATTGGCCGCTTTCGACGCCCCGTAGCACGTCACCCATCCGGTCCCCATGAGCGCTTGGGTAGATGTCATGATATCGTAGGATGGTGAACTTTGGTTAGCTAGTGAGCTCAGGGTCACGACCCGAACATCCTCGGAGCTGGACACGGTCTGCTGGAGTGTGGAGAGCAGGAGCTTTGTGAGGAGAAAATGGCCCACATGGTTTGTTCCAAAATGGATTTCAAACCCGTCTTCTGTAAGGGAGGACGGACACCCCATGATACCGGCATTAAGCACCAGAATGTCTAGACGATCGCATTCTGATTGAAATTTCTCAACCGCCGCCCGGATGGATTTGAAAGACGCTAGGTCGAGCGGGATATGTCGGATGTCCTCAGGGGATGGAAGTGTGTCTTGGATGGAGCTGATTGCATTCTGTGCCTTGGTCGCGTTTCGTGCTCCAAGGTATATCCGTGAGGGATTGTGTTGAGCGAGTTGAAGGACTGTTTCCCTGCCTAGTCCGGTGTTTCCTGGGGGTTCGAGTGAGCTGTTAGCAGAATCTGGCCCCAAGTGGGGAAAGGGGGTGTGAAGTTCCAACAGCCACGAGGGGATTTACCTCCAGTGACAAAGATGACCTTTCCTGATAGATCGGGAATATCACGACCCGGTTCGAAAGATGAACCCAGGAGGCCAGAGGTAATTTCACTGAGCGTGGGGCCAACACTGGACTGGAAATCCAAGGGGTGACGAATGGCGTGTATCATGAAGGAACTGAGGCCGATAACATCTTGGAAGGACTGGACGGGGAACGGCATGATCCTAAAAGATACCTGTACATGTATATATGATGATAATGATAATAATAATGGTGATGGCGATAACTTTCCCTTGTGCTTCCAGAGAGGTTGAAGCTCGAGGGAATTCCGAGAGATGCCGTTGCACACCTCTATTCCCAAAAGGTTGTCTCATCCCACTGTGTTTTCTCCATCGTGGAAGCACATCATCATCTACAACTACCTGGTTCGATCCCATTGACCAATCTTGATAATACTACAGGCTAGTCATGGGCGATATTGTTGATTCAAACGAGCTGATAATTATCCAAAGGCGTCCGTCCCTAATTCAACGTGTCTGAAGGGGAGATGAATAGGAGGTAGGCTCTCAGTTGTCGATGGATCATCTCCACCTACATGTCACTAACGGAAGATTAGGTCTGAGGCTGGATGATCTTGAATACATTGATCATCTTGATGCAGGTGAAATATAACTAGTGCAGTAACACACCTCAGGATTGCACCCCATCACCACTCTAAGCATCAGCTCCGACATCATCCAGCTTGTTGCGTTACCCTCTCTCAAGCTTGTCTCGAAGGACGGCCAGATATACGAACCCGCTGATGAAGATCTGAGACAGAGCTAAACAATCGTAATTTATCTAGCGCCGTCCGGAGTAAGTTTTAACTTATTACAACTCTACTCCATTCCGTTGCCGTCAAAGCTTCCAGTTCGGACTGGAGGAGCTCGAGTTCCCTTGGAGCCTTCCACATCAGCCCTTGAACGCAGTGCTCCACACCCTTCAACCTGTCACTTTGTCGCATTGATCTCGGTAAGTGGCCAAGATATTTGCGAAATAGCTCTAAACTGAGAAGAGAAGGCTAATTGGCGTCTTCGCAAAAGGGAACAGCGCTCCAGATGGCTCTGATTATATAAGCCATTTAAGGTGCTGGGACTGAACCTTATCGATCAGGTATCAGTTAGGTACCTTACAGATAACGGATGTACCCCTCACCAAAATCCAGCCCTATAGTTAGCTGGGGTAAATGTCTACAACCTTGAATACGCCCGCTACTCCTCTACAGGCATTATTATGTAGATCACTTGGTCAACCCGTCCATCTCTCCTCATTTTCCATCACGATTCATATGGATCTACTTCAAGAAACCGTGTATCTTACGGGGCAGAGTTTTTCCCTCTTCGGCGGGTGGCTCCCACCGCCCAGTCTGACTAATACAAATGCCTTCCAGAAGGAGACTAGTGGCTCAACATTTGGGCACAGTCACATGACTGATGTTTCAAACTAGGCTTAGTGCACAAGCCATGACTCTCACATGCACGAAGGGCGGCGTCACATCACATTTTTTTTTTCCCCTTCCAGCTGTTGGAGGGACTGGCCGTCGAGGATTCCCTGATACACCATCACTTCTATAAATTTTGGTCTACAAACGCCAAGATGAAGTACGTTCTGGTTTCAGGAGGTTAGTTGAAATACGAGTGTTTTTTTCCCCTTTCACGCACACTCAGCTGGGTTGGCTTTACCTCCGGAAAGCTAACAGAAATCCCTACAACTAGGTGTTATCTCCGGTGTGGGCAAAGGCATTATTGCCTCTAGCACTGGTCTTCTGCTGAAGACCATAGGCCTCAGAGTTACAAGCATTGTATGTTCCCCTAGAGCTCAGCATTCTCTTACTGGGGAGGAAGTTGCAGAAACATCGTCTGTGTTTTAAAACCTCTACCTTAAGCAATTGCTGACTCTAGATTTTAAAATAAAAAAATAGAAAATTGATCCGTACATCAATATCGATGCTGGGACAATGTCCCCAATTGAGTGCGTGCTCGTCCTCCGATCTGTAACCGACTTTGGTCTAATGTATACTGGCTTCTCAGGCACGGCGAGGTCTACGTAACAGATGGTACGTATTCTATCAGCCAACAACAACATGCCCATATCTTGAAGGATTTGGTCCGCATGGAGAACTGGGCTCTAGTCTCCTCTTAAGACACTTCTTGAAGGTAAATCATACGTTTAAGAGTAGTGGCTGACTTTGGGCATTAGATGGGTATGTATACCTATAGAAACACTCACGATTCTTCGAGGCAACCTATTCTCCCTATCGCTGCCCTCGACCCTCCTATATCAGCCAGAGCTCTAATAAGCTGTTTAGTGGCGAGATGGACCTTGATCTCGGCAATTATGAGAGATATCTTCTCACCACACTCACCCGTGACCACAACATCACGACTGGCAAGATCTATCAACACGTCATTGAAAGAGAGCGCATTGGCCAGTATCTCGGAAAAACCGTTCAGGTGTAAGCACGATGAAAATTGGAGGATTCATTTGGTCATGATGATACTGAACAATCAACAGGGTTCCTCACATCACCAACGCCATTCAGGATTGGATTGAGCGGGTCGCCAAAATACCCGTTGACGATTCCGGGGCCGAACCCGATGTCTGCATTATTGAGCTGGGTATGTCGTATCTCACCAACTAGTGATGGTCACTGACGCGGAAAATGCAAAGGTGGTACGGTGGGAGACATTGAGAGTGCCCCATTTATCCATGCCGTCAGCCAGCTCCAGAGACGGGCTGGCAGGGGCAACTATGCGCAGATCCATGTCTCATACGTCCCTGTCCTGCCGTAAGGTTTCATATCTAATCAAAACAAGCGACATCCAAAACTGACGATGAACTAGACCAGGACCTGGAGGCGAACAAAAGACGAAGCCGACACAAAGGGCCGTTAGTGACGTCCGAAGTGCCGGCTTAAACCCAGACCTAGTACGTGACATCCTGATCCCTTTATCAGATAATGCAAACTAAATAGTCTTTGTGAAAACAAGATCGCCTGCCGTTGTGAGCAGCCGTTGGAGAAGAGTACAATCGAAAAGATTGCAAACATGTGCCAGATGGACCGAAAGCAGGTCATCGCTGTGCACAACGTGTCTACGACTTACCATGTGCCCCTCCTTCTCGAAAGGCAGAAGCTCCTAAACACCCTCAGCGACCTGCTCGATCTCACATCCGTCCAATTGCCGACCCAACGTATCGAGCAGGGCGGCAAAATGTGGAAGAATTGGGTCGATCTCGCCCATAGCCAGGACCATCTCCGCGATACGGTGTCAATCGCACTAGTGGGCAAATACACCTCTCTTCATGACGCGTACACGAGTCTGAGCAAGGCATTCGAGCATTCCGCCATGCACTGCCGCAAGAAGCTCAAGATTATCTGGGTGGATTCGTCGCATCTCGAGGACGAGACCCTGGAGGGCGCACCGGCCGAATTCCACAAGGCGTGGCACGACGTCTGCACAGCTGATGGCGGTAAGTGATTCGACGCACATGTTCAACCCCTGGTAATAGCGGGAGAGAGGATAGCTAAAACAATATAGTCTGTGTCCCTGGCGGATTCGGTACCCGAGGCACTCTAGGCATGATTAAGGCTATTACGTGGGCGCGCACAAAAAAAGTGCCGTACTTGGGAATTTGCCTCGGTATGCAGCTCGCTGTCATCGAGTATGCTCGCAACGTCCTCGGAATCGAGGACGCCGGAAGTGAGGAGCTACACCCCAACGCCAAGAACCACGCTATCGTTTATATGCCCGAGGTATTTTTTTTTTTTTTTTTTCATGGAACTTTTATAACCATGTCTTCACTGGCCACTAACAGCTCTATTAGGTGGACAAGACTAAGCTTGGCGGAACTATGCGCCTGGGCAAGCACCCCTGTATCTTCCAGCCCGGTACTGAGTGGTCGCGGCTGAGGGCGCTGTATGGCTCGGCGCCGCAGATCTTGGAGCGGCATCGTCACCGTTACGAAGTCAACCCAGAAATGGTGGACCAGATCGAGGCGGCTGGCCTCAGCTTCGTTGGCAAGGATGTCAAGGGTGAGCGCATGGAGATTGTCGAAATCCGCGACCACCCCTGGTTCGTCGGTGCACAGTATCACCCCGAATACCTTTCTCGCGTCCTACAGCCCTCAAAGGTCTGTTCTCTTTCTCTCTCTCTCCTCTCTTGTGTACTGGCAGTTACTGACTCAGATATTCAATAGACTGTGCTAGGATTCTTCGCCGCTGCTGCCGGATGCCTGGATGAAGTTACACAGACAATCAGCAAGGACGCATAGAGCTGCGTCCATGGATCCTAGGCGGTTAACCTGTGTTTAAGCTATATGCAGGGTTACATTATTTATGAGAGAGACGGTGGGCGTTAATAGGACCAAGATTTATAGAGGTAGAAATCTCTGTGCAACACAACAGATATAATAAATAAAATAGACTACTGGCATTACCATGCTGATTTACACCACTCGGTTCCACCTGGGCCTGCGCGCCCCGTATTCATAGGTCCATCACTGCACATATTCGATCAAATATTCTCTGGAGCTTTCAGTTGGGATGTAAAATCGAGTGTGCTAACTGGATTGACATATATACAAAAATGAGCCCAGTGCCGCCATGCAAACAGAGCAAACATCCCTCCATCAAACCTCAATTATTTTGGCTTCACAACTTCCGAATCTCCCAGAATTCCAGTATACATGCTACTGCGCCAATTAGTTAGAATGGCCGAGGAAACCGTCGCTAAGAAGCCCAGAATCGGGTCTCCTGTTATTGGAACACACAAGTACGTTCCTTGACTGCTCAACACTGACTTTGACTGACTGCTTTCCCAGTGGTCACTTCCACGCAGACGAAGCTCTCGCCGTCTACCTCCTGCGTCTCCTCCCGTCCTACTCGCACTCGAATCTGATCAGAACGCGCGATCCCGCTGTCCTCGGCACATGTCACACCGTCGTCGACGTTGGCGGCGAATACGACGCCGCTAACAACCGCTACGACCACCACCAGCGCACCTTCTCCACCACCTTCCCAGGATACAAGACGAAACTCTCCTCGGCCGGTCTGGTCTACATGCACTTCGGCCGGGACATCATCGCCAATCAGATGTCCGTCCCCAAGGACCACAAGGACGTCGATCTGCTCTACAACAAGATCTATGCCGATTTCATCGAAGCCATCGACGCAAACGACAACGGGATCGCCTCGTACGACCCGGAGGCCGTGGCCGCCGCTAGCATCGAGAAGCGCTTCAGGGATGGCGGCATCACCATCACCTCTGTGGTGGGCGACATGAACTATCCCGACGCGACCTCGTCCGAGGAGCCCCAGGAGGAAGATGCGCTCTTTGCCCAGGCAAGCACATTTATCGGCTCCGTCTTCTCCCGCAAGCTCCGCCATGCTTGCTCCTCGTGGCTCCCCGCTTGGAACACCGTCCAGGCGGCTTACGCATCCCGCCGTGAGGTGCATCCGTCCGGCCGGATCCTTGTCCTCCCCCAGGGCGGTGTGCCGTGGAAGGAGCATCTTTACAACTTCGAGAGGGAGGCCGCCGGTTCTGACTCGGAAGCGGAACAGGTCTACTATGTTCTCTACCCGGAGAGTGCGACGGAGGGGGCCAAGTGGCGTGTGCAGTGCGTCTCCGTGAACGAGGGGAGCTTTGTCTCGCGCAAGCCTCTCCCGGAGAGTTGGCGCGGTGTGCGTGATGCGGACCTGGATGGTGTCCTTGCGGCGGAGAGTGGCGCGCCTAAGATTCCCGAGGGTGCGGTGTTTGTGCACGCGAGTGGGTTCATCGGTGGACACCAGACTAGAGAGGGTGCTTATGCTATGGCTGTGAGATCTTTGGCGCAGTAAATTTTGATTATATATATGACTTGGGAAATAAAAAGTTACGATGCAATCAGATGACAATTCCATCATGAATAATAAACACTCAAACTTGGTAAAGAAGGGGGGTAGGTATCAAAAAGGGGTTTCTTGAGTCATTTTCAACCCTTAAATGGTCTACATTCATACTATACACATACTCGTCCTCGTACACAAAATCAATCATATATTGTTTTTATTTTTCTTTTTACAAATATATATATATATATATTTGTATGTATATATCATGGACCACATCAGGATAAACAAAAAAAAAAAAAAAAAAAGGGTACCTATTGGATAAAATCATTAATCACCTCGATAAAAGCAGCCGGCTGCTCAACCATAGGCAAATGCCCAGCCTTCGGCACAATCCTCAACTCCGCATGGCCCTTCAAATCCGCAGCCATCTGCAGCATAGTCTTGGGGAGGACACCGTCGCCCTCACCGGCAACAAACAACCCGGGGACAGTAGCGCGCGCCATGCGCTCGCGCACATCATACGCACACAGCGCGCGCAAGGCCCTCTGGAACCCGACCAGGCTATTGGCGCGCACGGCCGCCTTGACTCGCGCCGCAACCTGGGGCTGGGTCTCGTACGACTCCGGCACGAGCCATCTCCGGGTCGTGGCCTCGGCGAGCCGCTCGCCGATAATCGGGTCGTGGGATTCGGGGGCCACGGCGCCCTCGGATTCCGCGAGGGCCGCGCGGTCGGTCCAGGCCTTGCGGTTGGATTCCGGGGCGGCGCTGTTCGTGTCGCAGGCGATGAAGCGGTTCACGCGTTCCGGGTGGAGCAGGGAGGTGTTGAGGACGGTGACGCCGCCGAGGCTCACGCCGATGAGGATCGCCTTGGGGATGCGGAGCGCGTCGAGGAGCGCGATGATGTCCGAGGCGAGGAGGTCGATTGTGATCGGGGCCTCGCCGCAGTGGCTGAGGCGGCCTCGGGTGAGGTAGCGCAGGATGCGGAATTTCTGGTTCTGGGGTTGGCCGAGGAAGCCGCTCACGAAGTCGTCCCAGATCGTGTAGTCTACTAGGATGGAGTTGCTGAGGACGATCACGGGGCTGTGCGGGTCGGCGCTGCCCTCGAGGCGGTAGGGGATGTCGACGCCGTCGGGGGTGGTGATGAAGGACTCGACGGCGGCGGGGCCAGTGGCGGAAGGGAGGGTGCGGGTGCGGCCGTCGTTGGAGGACCAGGGCGCGGTGATGATGCTGTTGGTTGAGAGCTCGCGCGGCGCAGGCCCGAAGGTGTAGGCCCAGTTGTACACGCGGCGGGTCTTGCGGGTGATCATCTCGCTGATGCGCTGGCGCCAGGGGGTGTCCGTGGAGGCCTGGTGCTCGGGGCTGCCGAGGCCGTTCTGCGGACTGAACTCGTGCAGGGCGAGGAACTCGCGGGGCGCCGTGGGATCGATGGCGGCCGTGACGTAGACCCGGCTGCGGCGCCATCCGGAGACGCGAGCGAGCCTCCCGATGTGTTCCTCCTTGTACCAGCGCTTCAGCTCGTCTTCTTTGGCGGGGTCGGCGGGGAGCGTAGTGGTGTTGGAAATCAGGACGTGGCCGGGCGCGGAGGTGTCGGGCATGTTCTCCAGGGGCTGGTAATCGGCGGCTTTCTCGTCCTGGAGGAGGTCGTAGAGCTTCCGGCCGACGTCAATCTGGGCCATGATCGCCTTCTCGCGTGCGGTCTTGATGCCATCCCCACGCAGAGCCAGGTAGGGCTCGCGGGTCAGCTCGACCATGTCGGTGATATCGTACAGCGCCACCCATTCGGGCTCGAGGGCATCCACGGCGCGATACCGGAAGCCATTGGTGACAAAGGGCAAGCGTAGACGCAGCGGACCGTGTTCGGAGTTGTACCAGTCGTGAAACTGGGCAGCGGGGAGGGACGGACGAGGCTGCATCGTCACATACAAAAGGCCGGGAGTTGCCATGTTTGAGGCGGGGTTGTAGAAGAAAAATCACTGCGCTGGCTCACGAAAACAGGCTTATGGAGGGATATAGAGAAGAAAAAGAACATCCCAAAGCCATGATATGATGATGTTCTTAATATTTCTCCCATTTCCCAATCATTCTCCGGGATGTGGTTGTGGCGACGACTGCCGACCACAGCCGATTTCCAGTTCATCGGCTAAACGCTTTAACGACTTGCAGGGGAATTTCCTTCCAATGAAGTTAAGGGCTCCATTTCTTTACAAAAAAAATACTCCAAATAAACGTCCCAGGAAGGACTGCCAATGGATCTTCCATCAATTCATACGGATATATGTACAGATGCGTAGGGTTTCATATGATTGCTGGTCAAGATGCCGCTGGTATAAACGAAAGGTCGTGATTTAAAGCGACGGTCCAAAAGCCAAAAGGAAAACGTAAGGGAAAGAAAGATGAAGCTTAGTCGACGCGGTCCAATTTCTGAATCACCATGGCAGTGGCAGCTCCGCCCCCGTTGCAGATCGCAGCAACCCCATACTCGCCAGGCTGCAGCTGGTGCAGCAGCGTCACCAGGATACGGGAGCCTGAGCTGCCGAGGGCGTGTCCTAGAGAAATGGCTCCTCCGAGGGGATTGACCCGGGCGGTATGTAGACCGAGAATCTATCCAACAGTTAGGGGGAGGAAGCTCTTCATACGAACTGATGATTGGCAGGCTTGACTAACCTTCTTGTTGGCTTCAATGACAGCAGCGAATGCCTCATTGAATTCCCAAACCGCAACCTGCTCCTTGGTGATCCCAGCCCGCTCCAGGGCAATTGGGACCGCCTTCGCTGGGGCCACGGGGAAGTCCACAGGGTCAATGGCGGCATCGGCGGAAGACACAATGCGGGCAAGAGCACGCTTGCCAGCCCCAAACTCGCGCGCAATGTCCTTACTACCCAGAACTAGGGCTGATGCGCCGTCGTTCATAGTGGAGGCGTTGCCAGCGGTCACAGTACCGGTACCGTCTCTCAAAAAGGCCGGCTTCAGGCTCTTCAACTTGTCGACTCGCAAGTTCTCGTATCCCTCGTCACGCTCAATCACGGCCTCACCCTTCTTGCTCTTCACGGTCACCGGGGCAATCTCTTCCGCGAACTTATTTTCGCTCCATGCCTGCTGTGCTCGCTGGTAGGATGAGATCGCATACGCATCCTGGGCTTCTCTGGAGATTTCGTACTTCTTGGCCGTGGTTTCGGCACAGATTCCCATATGGAACTGATTGTAGACATCCCACAACCCATCCTTGATGAGTCCATCCTCCAGCTTGATCTCTCCGAAGGGCGGGAGCTGACTAGAACGGGGGAGGTAGTATGGCACCCGGGACATGTTCTCCATTCCTCCAGCAATCTGGGCCTCAGCAAGGCCGAGCTGAATGTTCTGGGCAGCGAGCGCCACAGCCTTGAGACCAGAAGCACAGACCTTGTTGACTGTCACCGACTCGACTGTGGGAGACAATCCCGCGAAGATAGAAGCCTGGCGAGCGGGGGCCTGACCGACTGAGCCCTGGAGCACATTTCCCATATACACATCGGTGATCTTCTCAACGGGAACCCCGGATTTCTCCACAGCGGACTTGATGGCGACGGCACCGAGCTGGGGTGCAGACACTGACACGAAGGAGCCATTAAACTAATCAGGGTTATCAGCAGAAAGCGCCCGGAAACAACAAGTAGGGATGAACCTTTGCAGTAGGGGTTCGAGCAGCGCTCAGAATGTAGGCATCCTGGATCTCCTTGAGCACAGGGCGGGCAACACTGAATGGCCTTGGATAGTGACGAGATGCGGAGAGAGCTGCGCGCTTGGTAAAGACGCGGGCAGTAAGCCCTGTTGAGACTGTGAAGGCCATACTTGGGCAACTGCAGCAATGAACTCCTTTCAGATTCCTCCTCAGGTTGGATGAAAGATGATGAAGGGCTGAAGGACCTCATAAGAAGACGAATAGACGGGAATCGCGCCGCCTCTAACCGCCTCTCCGCCCGCATGATACCGAGGCTCTCCTCACCTGACGTCACCTGACCTGTCCTGCAACCCTACAATAAGATAGATCTCTATTTTTCTTATATTTTAACCTCTGTAGATCTACTCTGTAGATCTACTCTGTAGATGCTGGAGGGGGGAGAGAAGTTCTCTCCGCATTCCGTGAGCCCCGTCAGTGGAATCACATTCACCCGATTCGGTAATCTCTACTCCTCGAACTATGTATACGGAGGGTCCAGGAACTTTGGCTTGATTTTAACCAACCTTCTCTTTAAATAAAATAGCAAAAAAAAAAAAAAAAAAAAAACAAGAGTGTCAATTGGATATTTATCCTGCGGAAAAAGCTGCGGAACGGCAAGGTATGGCTGTCGGAGGTCCCGGACATGTGCCGAACGCAAAAACTTCCTTCGGAGGTCCGACAAACTAGATCCCCGCCGCACTTGAATCACCACTGAAAAACGAAGAATTGGAGTCTCTTGAATGAAACCCAGGCGTCCACGTCCCCGGTGTATCCGGTGTATTAGAAGACAAGTCAGAAATAGGGCCAGTGGTTACGGTTGTTTCCCTGACCGCACAGAGGTAGGGTTTTGTCGGCATGTACTCCGACAAATACAAGATCATAGTACTGATAAATAGATGCTAGTGACTCAAGAGGATATTTCCTGATCCTGGTAGTTCCTCCTCTTCTTCTTCTCATATATTAATAGGATCTGCTGGAAGTGCCCTCGGGGCTATCTGCCATACTAGGTCAAGCGCCATCCTCCTTCTATGCTGATAGACAAGAGCTGGTAGAGAAGAGAAATGAGCCGACAGCTCGCAGCAGAAAAGGCCCTGCATGATCAGACCAATATCCTTCCAATTGGGAAGTTACTGGTGGTCTTTGCGGGCCTAGCTATCTCTCTGTTCATATCCTTTGTCGACCAGAATGGCATCAGCGTCACCCTTCCGACAATTGCAGCGGCGCTCAATGGGAAAGACACAATCTCATGGGCCGGTACCTCGTCGCTGATTGCCAACACCATGTTTAGTGTGTTATACGGCCGACTCTCGGATATCTTTGGCCGGAAGGTTGTGTACTTATCCGCCTTGGGTTTGCTCTGTATCGCGGACCTGTTGTGCGGTCTCTCCCAGAACGCAGCCATGTTCTATGTCTTTCGTGGGTTGGCGGGTGTCGCCGGGGGTGGCATCAGCTCGTTAGCCATGATTATCGTGTCGGATGTGGTGACTCTCGAGCAACGAGGCAAATACCAGGGTATCCTAGGAGCATCCCTCGGGTTTGCCAACGTCGTGGGTCCGTTTCTCGCGGCAGCTTTTATTCTAAAGGCAACCTGGCGAGGGTTCTTTTGGCTCATCTCACCACTTGCCGCATGCTCGATCGTTGTGGGCTATTTCCTGATCCCCAATAGCGCACCGAAGGACAGCCTGCGTGCCAACTTGAAGCGCATTGATTACTTTGGAATTCTGGCCTCGTCAATTGGAATTATCTTCTTGTTGATCCCCATTTCAGGCGGTGGCTCGTATTTCGAATGGGACTCGCCAATGGTGATTAGCATGTTTGTCATTGGTGGCTTGTCGTTAATCGCATTCGTCTGTATTGAATGGAAGGTGGCAATCCTGCCGATGCTACCGAGTATGGCACCGAATCACACTCCAACCTAGTCAATTTGAGTAATGACTACTAACAGACCTATAGTGGAATTCTTTAAGAACAAAGTGATTGTTGCCCTGTTCTTACAAAGTTTCCTCCTAGGGGCAGTCTACCAAGCTTACCTTTACTATCTCCCACTGTACTATCAGAATGCTCGCCAGTGGTCGCCAATTGTATCCGCAGCGCTCACGGCTCCGATGGTTGCCTGTCAGTCGATATCCTCCGTACTGTCCGGGCAGTATATCTCGCGATGCAAGCGTTACGGAGAGGTAATTTGGGTTGGGTTCGCACTCTGGACGCTGTAAGTAAACCGTCCCATCGCCTCATGGCACTATAACATGATTGGCCATACATCCTGACAATTTTTCACACCAGAGGGGCCGGTCTCACCTTGATATTCGGACAAAACACCCACCCCGCTGTCATCGCCGTGATTGCCGGCATCACGGGCGTAGGTATCGGATGTACCTTTCAGCCTACTCTCGTTGCTTTCCAAGCACACTGCACCAAGCGTCAGCGAGCAGTCGTCATCTCAAATAGAAACTTCTTCCGCTGTCTCGGTGGTGCGTGCGGATTGGCTGTCTCCGGAGCTGTTTTGCAGGCAACCCTCCGCTCTCATCTCCCAGTTGGGTATGAGCATATCCATTCAACGTACACGCTTCCATCGAGGTCATCGGTATCGGACCCGGTGTGGAATCAGATCATTCATGCGTACACGGCTGCATCGCACGCCGTGTTTGTTCTCCAGGTTCCATTGATTGGGGTTGCTTTCCTGGCTTGCTTTCTTATTCGGGACCGTGGCCTGGAAAGACCCAAGGATCCTAGCGAATTAGCGGAGGAAAAGGAAGCCCAGAGGAGAGCATCTCCTGATGTTGAGAATACGGGAGAAGAGGCAAGTCCGGAGACGGCAGTTCCAGCTGTCGAGTCGAAGCGATCCGGTGAAACCGGTACCAACGAAAAGCAACAGGTTTGATTTTTACGGCACTCCCCAGTGGCATTTCTTCTGGCGTTGAGCGTATCTCATAGCACTTTCTTTACCCAGACATGCAGGGCATAGAGCATAGATAGACTTGGTCAATAGTATCATCATAACTTACGAACTACTCCTGTTAAACTACTGCATCTCAGCCACCGCCATGGCCATCGATGATCCTGTGTGCCGCCCCGCATTGCAGGTATTACTTTGGTACTTTGCATAACCTATGGATGATGAGCCTTCCCTGGGAAGAATGGGGTTGTGGAGGAGGGGACGCGGTTCACCGCGGGATAACCCAATGCTTCCTCTATATCATAAATCCCGAAGGTGCGGGTAGAAGAGGGAGCGACAGACTAGTACATCGGATCATATTTCAATAATTGTACCCTTGATAGGCGTATCCACTTGTCTGGAGGCTCTCCCTCGATAATTACCTGAGGTAGGTCAAGGATTCTGCCAGGAATTCCCCTTTTGGGACGAAACAAGAATCGCGGGAGGTGCTATCCTTAGTCAGACACACGCTCACCGCTTACCCAAGACGCGCGGGTTTTGTTTGTGTACAGCCGTTTTGGTTGACCGCCTTTCGCTCCCTCCTCCCCCCACCAGGGATGAAAAAGACTCCATCCCAAACAGTAGTCAAGAATCCAAGATTAAGAATCGTTCGTTGCCTCGACCCATCCCAGGTAAGTTAGGTAGGTACAGACAAGCCGTCGTCGGAATTGGCTAGTCCTTGGTCGGCAATTGATTCTCTCTGTCTGCTCCCTTGCTGCGTATCCCAGTCCAATCCAATTCCGAGTCCCTCCTCGCAGCCGCTGAAACCTGGCCGTTGTTTTCCTGCTCCTCGTCCCCGGGCAACACAACACAAAGACCGTCGTTGTCCCCGTGCAGTTTTGTCTTGTGTCCTGCACCCCGCGCGCTGGTGGACTTTGACAACACGTTGACTTTGCTCCGTTCTTCCCTTGGACCCCCCCCCGACATATATTAATTACCATTGTGCGGTCTTTTTGTCTCTCGAACAGAGCAGTGGAGATTTAGCGCGGTCAATATGGAGAATTATCAGAAGATTGAGAAAATTGGCGAGGGTATGTTGTGTGATGAACACTGATGATCCTACCTGCTGCTGGCTCTTCTTTTTATCTCAAGTTGCCTGTCGCTTTCGATAAGAAATGGTTTTGTGTGCAATTTAATCCTAACGCCACCGGTGTTTTATCATAGGAACCTACGGTGTTGTTTACAAGGCCCGTGAGCTCACACATCCCAACCGTATCGTTGCCCTGAAGAAGATCCGACTCGAGGCCGAAGATGAAGGTGTTCCAAGCACCGCTATCCGCGAAATCTCCCTGCTCAAGGAAATGAGCGATCCCAACATTGTGCGGCTCCTCAACATCGTGCATGCAGATGGCCACAAACTCTATCTGGTTTTCGAATTCCTGGATCTCGATCTCAAGAAATATATGGAAGCACTCCCCGTGAGTGAAGGCGGACGTGGCAGAGCCCTGCCAGATGGTTCTTCACTGAGTAGAAACCTGGGGCTGGGAGATGCGATGGTGAAGAAGTTTATGGCGCAGCTGGTGGAGGGAATTCGTTACTGTCACAGCCACAGAATCCTGCATCGAGATTTGAAGCCCCAGAATCTTCTGATTGACCGCGATGGCAACCTGAAACTTGCAGACTTTGGACTAGCAAGAGCCTTTGGTGTTCCTCTTAGAACCTACACGCATGAGGTACCTACTTCTCCTCTGGCCCAGCCTGGATAATTTGCTAAACCCGTCTAGGTTGTTACGCTATGGTATCGATCCCCTGAAATCCTATTGGGTGGACGTCAATACTCTACCGGAGTCGACATGTGGTCGTGTGGTGCCATCTTCGCGGAAATGTGCACCCGCAAACCCCTGTTTCCAGGCGATTCGGAAATTGATGAGATCTTTAAGATCTTCCGGTATGCCCTCTCCTTACCCCTTCCCATTTGGCGTTTCAGAATATTGGTACTGACATCCCCATCTTCCACACAGACTCCTTGGTACCCCGGATGAAGCAACTTGGCCCGGTGTCACTTCCTTCCCTGATTTTAAACCCACCTTCCCCAAGTGGAAGCGCGAAGAGGCCCGCAACCTTGTGCCGGGCTTAGAAGAGGACGGCCTCGACCTTCTCGAAGCCTTACTCGAATACGACCCCGCCCATCGAATCTCTGCCAAGCAGGCTTGCATGCACCCGTACTTCCAGCATGGCAGCTCATACTACTCCGGGCGCACCCGGCGAAATGGATTTCACTGATTAAGATGACTCATGAGTTTTTCGTTTATATGTAATCTATGTATGTACGTGGAGGACTGTGGCAGGTGCGCCTGCGAGATGAGTCAGGGCTGCGTAACAGACGCTCCATTCTTCTGTTCTTCCCTACTGTTGGCTCACAACTTCTGCCCAGTCCTGTGTTATTCCCCCCGTCTTGCATTGTTTTTACTTCTTGCATTTTCTTTTGTTCGTGGCGTTGTTTACGGAGTGATCTGGCAGGAAAGAAGTTAGGTTACTGGATATCTTAAGGACTGTGTTTTCCTTTTCCCCCTTTTTTTTTTTTTTTTTTTTTTTTTGTTTTTTTGTTTTGCCCTGGCATCGTACATACCCAGCTTCATGAATTCAATGCCTTCGGGCAGAGCAATCCTGAAACAGTAAAAAAGAAGAGTAAGACAGGAGTTAATAGTTAAGACGACAGAAATTTATAATAGCTCTACCTAGTAATATTTGAAGCCAAGCAATGGTTTTTTATATTTTCTTCCGTCTCATCACTCAATCAGGACGCTCATCTGGCACGTGTTTGGCCTGGATTCTCTTCCTTCTGACTTCGACCCCCTCATCCTCCCTCCTTATTATTGCGATACATTGACGTTGCCCGCTGTTGTTGCAGGTTGCATGTTGCATAGGTATATTCCGGATGACTCTAACGCTCCTTCGGCTGGGCCTAAATTTATTTTAGGAATAACGGGCCGGCCATGACCGATGTTGATTTCCTTCGCTGATCGGGGATTGGCTGCTTACAGAGTACAACTTTTCAGCCCTGCCAGACTATCCAGGGCCTCAGCTCAACACAGCCTCGGGTTAGCCGTCTTTTTTTTTCCCCCCTTTGCAGCCAAACCCATCTGATTCGTGAATTATCGTCGTCTTCTAGCCGTTGGTTTCAAAAGTTGAGCCCAAACGGAAAAACTCTCTGCTGCTGAATCCCTCAGCAGACGCACTTGGAAACGGCCTAATTGTCTAGTACATGTCTGGGCAATTGCATTCCGCCAAATTAACTCTCGTGTTCTTGGCCTGGTCCCTCTCTAGTTTGTGACTGCTCTTTCTCAACCCCTCCACATCTCTATTCCACTTTGGCCGGGACAATTCTCGAGTCCTGTTGGCTAGCGTCCCAACGTCGCGCAGAGAGACACCGTCTACGGTGTTTTGGCCCCTTTCGGCCCCAGGAGATGACAGCCGGTCAGCATCAAACATAAGAAATTTCGACCAAAAGCTGATTCCAATCCACTTTGGCATTCTTACTGATAGCTGAAATTAACCCTTATGGACCCGTGCTCCGCCCCGGCTGATAAAATAAGGGTTTCCTGGGCCTGCTCAAGCCAAGCACCGTCTACATATGAAACACCGATCTCGAACCAGAACTTGCTTATCTCAAAATGCCATATCCCAGTCAAAAAGAATACCGTATGCCGATTGGTTAGCTGCATGATGTACGGCCATTGGAGTTCGCTGCTCTCCAAGAGCCTTAATTTGAATGTTTTTGCTCAGCCGCCAAAGCGGGCATGCGGGGGCTACTACTTACGAAACAAGCGATACTCTTAAAAGCAATGGATTGCGCACTTGGTCAGTAGTTTTATGTGTCAGTGCTATCCTCTTTTTTTTTCCCCCCCTCCTGCGCATTATTATTATTATTATTATCTCTCTCGCCCGTGTAAATAGACAACTTCCACCCCATTCCATACTTTTGAAAAGCAAGTCAAACACATATCATCCATGGCAAACCTCGATCCAGAAGACGATCTAGGCGACATGGTTTATACCCCTCCCCTTTCCTCCCGCTCTGGGAGCAGAATTCGCGGAAGGCCCAGGCAGGCACCGCAAGAAACTGTGAAGCAATTCTGGGATCAGTTCAACAGCAAATTCCCGGGGAAAGTGTACACTGTTTTGCCCGATAATCCGTACGCACGCTCTAAAGCAGCAAGGACCCCCAAAGGCATTATCAAGGGCCAGGATGCCGGGAAATCATACGAAGAAGCCCGAAGGGATTGTATACGGGCTGTAGATCGCATTGCGAAGGAAGGCAGGCGAATCAACCAGAAGTATTCCGATCCACACTTCGACATCGAGATGGACCTCAAATCAGGGCGAAGAAACTATCTCGACGGACTTGATGTCCCCAATGATGAGATGCGCCCAAGGGGCGTCAAGAGAGTGACGGTGAGTTGATTTTACCTCAATACGCCAACTATGGTGATCTCCGTGGGAATCACTTTACTCATTGAATATGAATGTACAGGAGATCTTTGAAAACCCACAATTTTACGTAAATGGGCCAACCGCTTCGGACGTGCGTCAGGGTCGCGATGGCGATTGCTGGTTCATGGCGGCACTTTGCACTCTAGGAAACAAGGAGGGATTGATAGACAAAATATGTGTACGAAGGGATGAGCAAGTTGGAGTTTACGGATTTGTGTTCTACCGAGGTGAGTGGATGGCTGCTCTGTACGCCAAAGCTCGGTACGGAATCTAAGAGAAAATTCTAGACGGTGACTGGCAGCAATGCATCGTGGACGACAAGCTCTATTTACGAGCAGCTGACTACGATGAGTCGGTGGATGAACGTCCCATCTGGGACGACATCAACCGAAGTGACACCGAGGAAGAGTATCGCAAGGCCTGGCAGACTGGCTCACGAGCCCTGTACTTTGCTCAATGTGTGGACGAAAACGAGACCTGGCTTCCTTTATTGGAGAAGGCGTATGCAAAAGCCCACGGTGACTATTCTGCAATTGAGGGGGGATTCGTGGGGTAAGAAATATTATACCCTTGAGGTTTGTATAGATGCTTTACTAAAACTGTCCTAGGGAAGCAATTGAAGATCTGACCGGTGGAGTAACATCGGATGTACTCACTAGCAATATCCTGGACAAGGATAGGTTCTGGAAAGAAGAACTCATGCAGGTCAATAAGGAGTTTTTGTTTGGCTGCGGCACTGGTCTGTACTCCAACTGGCTTTCGCCCAAATACCACGGGCCGCCCAGAGATAGAAAGGGCATTTCCGAAAACCATTCATACTCAATCATGGATGCAAAGGAGATCGATGGCGAACGCTTAATCAAGCTAAGGTACGCTTTGAGTCACGATTATTGCCTTCCGAATTGTCACTTACAATGAATTAGAAATCCGTGGGGTAAGAAAGAATGGAGTGGTCCCTGGAGCGATGGCTCTGAGCAGTGGACACCGCAGTGGATGGAGAAACTAAAGCATAAATTTGGTAACGATGGTGTACGAGTCCCCCTGATAGTTACCTTGGATTCCTGGGCTGTACATGATTCTGATGACATCGTCGCAGTTCTTTTGGATTTCATACAAAGACCTCTTGAAGAAGTACCAGCATTTCGATCGCACTCGCCTTTTTGGTCCTGAATGGACAGTCACGCAGCAATGGACCAGTCTCCATGTTCCTTGGTCCGCAGATTATCATACCACCAAGTTTAAGGTGAATGTAACCAAGCCCGGCCCTGTAATACTTGCCCTATCTCAGGTAAGACGCCCTACCATATAGAATGTGCCAGAGAAACCAACGAGGACTTGATTAACACATGGAACAGCTGGATGCACGGTATTTTAAAGGCCTTATTGGCGAGTATGACTTTGTCATCAAGTTCCGCCTCCAAAAAGAGGGTGAAGATGACTACATTGTGCGCAGCCACAATAATTCTCTCATCTGTCGATCCACCAACGCAGAGGTTGATCTAGAACCGGGTTCCTACCACGTTCTGATGAAAATCACTGCCTACAGGTGCCAAGGTGTCGAGTCTACAGAAGAGTCCGTCAAGCGCCTGGCCCCCATCCGGCGCGAGAAATTAGTCCAAATTGGTCTCTCATATGATCTAGCCCACGCCAAGGGCATCGTCGTGGAGACTGAGGCAGAGAAGCGAGAACGGGAGGAACGAGAAGAACATCGCAAAGCTGTAGAACGCAACAAAGCCCGCGAGGAGGCCAAAAGGAGGCTGCAGCGCGAGTGGATTCGGGAACAGAAGATTGCCGCTCGCAAGCGGAGAGCCGAAAAGCTCGCCGAAAAAATAGCCCAAGTTCACCTGAACGGCAAGCACGATAAACCTCAATCTACCGCACCAGTGCTTGATGGTCCTGTCCAAGCACCGACGGAGCTGAACGGACACAGTGAGGATGGCTTTGCCGCGAACCCATCAGACGGCAACTCGATTCCGTCCATCAAATTCGAAGACGTCCACAGCCCCCCACGCTACCCATTGCCAGATAACTGTTCGGCACGAAATGGAAGAAACCGCCAGCGCTTACCATACTCTTTACGCCCACGGCATCGGCACAACCGCACCTGCGATTCGGAGCTACTCGAAGGATTCGAGTTCGACTCGGATATCGATATGCCTCCTGAGGAACTGGTGGTGCGAACGCAAAGCACCCAAGCTTCGACTTGTGATGATCTAGACTGCAAGACTGACCCGTGGAATGCAGTATGTGTGGTTGGACTGCGGGTCTACTCCAAGGATGAGATGTTGTCCTTGGAGGTTGTCCGGCCTGTTGCCGAGGATGAGACCGAGGCAGCTCTTGACATGGATGATCCGGCCGTCAGCGCTACTTCTGAAAAGGGATCGCGCTTGCATGCCATGCAATTTGAGTAATTATATATATCTACATGTTGGAGGATCCTCTTGTATTTTTGATCTTTTATGCGTCGTTGAAGACGCATTCTTACAGTTTGGATCAGTTGGCCCAGTGGAATGAGTGACTGAGTAACCAAAAAATCAAAGTTTTTGCCCAACCTTTATTAATGGAGGTTGCGCGTTCGATCCTACCGAGTATCATCTTCTTTTTCCTTCTTTCTTTCTTTCTTTCTTTTCCTCTCATTTCTATCTCTTGATATCCATAATTGACTCTACGAGGTACTCCAGAGCATCTACTCCACCCCGATCGGATAAACTATAAATCCGACTCTACCCGAAACAGCTTAGCGTCATCAAGTACAAGATTCCGTCGGTTCCTTTGATCGGTTCACCTTTGCTAAGCTTGCTACTGCTTTCCCACTGCCACACTTCCCCTTAGCTAGCTGTTCGGTTTCAGCCCCAGCCCACAAATCGCACATTCTCATCCCCGCGCTGGCTCAGATATGCCTCCGCCAGCTGCATCACTGGCAATGTTGATGTTGCAGTAGGGAGCAACGGACATGTGGCTCTTTGAGGTATGTGGAAATTGTTGGCTAGCTACTTGGCCAATGATCTGAAAGACGGCACTGACGGTATCTGCTCTGCAACTGCCCAGTGTGGTTCAGCCAACAACCAACCCTATACCAAGTGCCGTCCAGGAAGCCAATGTGATCATTCGGCTGCCAACGGGGCCCCCTGTTCCATACATAAGTCCTCCGAAGGCAGTTTCAGCTCCGCCCGTACGCTGGCAGATGTAACGTCGTCTTCCACCGTAGTTACGATCAAACTACCGCCTCGGGCTCCGAGCTCCGAGCTTCTAGTCAAGACCAGTGCCAACAAATCATGTATCAATTTCCAACCCCTGTCCACGACACCCTGGCTGGGTTTGACAGACCTCCCTCCCTCCCGGTTCCTGGCTTGAATCCGCAGAGTCCAGAGCTGGCGAGTGGCTCAGCAAGATTCTAAAATCAGATGCTTAATGCGTAAGACTATACCTTTTCTGTAGTTTGTTTTTCATCTTGTATACTGGAGTCTCCGCTGCATTTGAGTGCAGTACCTCGTACGATATAAAACGAAACCGAAAGAAAAAAGAAAAAAAAAAAAAAAAAAAAGGGGGCGGGGGGGGGTTAGATATAAGCAATGTCTATTCTAATATCATATTCTAACTATATATAGTAAATTGGAGGATTACTGTTCTATTCATCTTTACAGAAATGATAAACCAAGAAAGAAAGAAAGAAAGAAAGAAAGAAAGGGAATGTGCTTGATGTATACATATATATCTAGATCGAGACCGAGGAATCCCCAAGCGCATCTCCTCCGTCTGCACTTACGCCTGCGTTTCCATTCATCGGGGATTCCCACCAAGACTCGAGATCAGATAGACTAGGGAATCCCCCCTCGTCGCCATCTGAATGGCGACCATCCAGTGGTGGGAATGGAGATACGTCTCCTAAATTCTCCGAGAGGAGCCGGAGATCCGAGTCCCTGATCCAATCGAGGTCCCCCCCCGGCGCGCAGGAATTTAGTTGATGGGCTGAGATTATACCAGTCGAGTGCTGGGGTGGTTCGCTGTGGGGAAGCGAAGGTTCTAGCGAAGACAACGCCGTCGTGGTGGCTGTCGGATTCGGGATTGCGGAGAACGACGCGGAAGCGCGTTGAGGATGTCTGGGATGGCCCGGAGGTGTGACTTTGGATTTCTTACGAGAGGCAAGCTGCTCTGCATCTGGGACTCTTGGGGAGGACGAATGCGGGGCCAGAGCGTGGCTGCTGCTGCTGCTGCTGCTGCTGCTGCTCATTTGGCGTTTCGTGGCTCCTGACTGGCGCATGCGTGCTTGCCAGCGACGCTGGAGAGCGACGAGGAAGTCTCGGGTTCGTTTGGCGTTTTCAACGGACTGGCCTAGCTCGTCGAGCGCGCGGAAGCAAAGGTTCAAGTGGGCGATCATTTCGGGGCGGTCGCTCATCTCGAAGCCTGTTTTGCTGGAGAGCGGGGTGGTTGAGATGGTGACGTAGAGGAGCATGAGGGCGGCGCTGAAGATCATGGCGACGACTTGGTTGTTCATGCGGCGGAATGTGTAGTGCTTTTCGTAGATGTGAAGCAGACGGGCGATGGCTATTGAGGATTCGATGCACATTTTCCGAGCATGGTGGTAGCCAGGCCCCTGGCGTGGGCTGCGTGGTTGGATATAGCTTTTGGAAACCCAGGGTCTGTGGGCAAAGAGGACGATCTGGTGATATTGCATGCTGATATGGTTAGCTGTTGTTCGGGGGAGGTATGATCTGCGGGGACATACATACTGCAACATCAAGAGGTGAGGCAGTTTCGGCGCCGAATCATCGGCAAGGTCAATATCAAGAGTGGACGCCAGATTGGCTTTCCACGAAAACAGATCTTCTGTCACACGATAACAAAGTCTCTGGAGGTCGTGGCGCGGAATGTCCGAGCGTCCATATCTAACGTATGTTAGTTTTCCATTATCTTTCTAGACTTCAATCTGTTCGATGCATACAGGATATGACCTAGAGGAGAGATAATCTCCCACAGGACAGCGAACTGTCTGCTGATCAACTCGTTCGGGTTCTTCAATCCCCTGCTGAATATCGCTGATTTGACTGAAAGCCCATAGGGACGCCAGGTGCCTTCTTTTTTCGCAATCAAGTCCGACGCTGCTTTGGAAACAGTGATATCTCCGGCATTCATCCGGAAAGGCCGCCCCAGATAAAAGCCCCAGAAACTATACAAAGTCAGACATGCACAGGCCACTTATGGAGAATCGAGAGCAACTCACTGGTCCGCACAGTAACTCCCCCAAAACGCTAGGCGTCGTACATCCGCCTCGACAGTGCTCAGATCGCCTTTCTCAACATATGGGGTCATGTCCAAATGCAATCCAAGATCGAATGCAAGTCTCATCGACATTCCTAGGCTGGGGTTAATGTGCCACGTCTACGGTGTCTTTGAAACAACCATACCACTATAGAGCCACCCGCGCGCATCCCGGTTCGAAGATCCCTCGTGGCAGCTTAAAATTACAAGCGCTTGCACCGTGGCAACACAAGGCGAGTCTAGCTCGATTTCCAGAAGCGCCTTGGCTCTGTCTGCGAAGAACTCCGCTAGAGATTTAGGAAATGTAATGAAGGTAGCGTGGTATCGGGCTTCAAAGGCACTTCCAATGGCGCACCTAACCCTCAATCAACAAAGAGAAGAAGAAGAAGAAGACGGGATATTGGACTTACATGGCATTGGTGAGAACCTCGGAATAGAACGGGGTATCGTCCAATTCATCTCTCCATTTTGATCGAGCAATCATGTACATGTCTTTATCAACCACGTACGTACTGCTGTTCTGCCATGTAAAGTAGAGCTCTAATAGATGATCCTCCAGAGCCTGGTCTACAGGCTGTCCGACCCGGAGGTGATTCAAGATGTCCTGGCCATCGTGACGAACGGTACGTGCATCAGGGCGCTGGCGTTGCTGGGTAGCAGATACATCCACGAGATTAAGATTCGACGTGGCACCATAGAAGCGCAGGTGTCCGTCTCCCGCGATTTTCAAAGTTCCGATGCGATGAGATATTTGTTCGATGACATCCTTCTCTGCCTCGTCTTCCTCGCCACTATCGCTTTCCTCGTCTTTATCGTTTTGTGTCTGTCCGTACAGAGTTAGGGCTCCTGGTTGCTGTGCCACATCTGGAGACAGCTGCAGGCTGTCCGGGCTAAAGCTAGTATCTGAGAGTAACGGATGTCCCCCAGTTATGTTCGCGTATAGGGAATAATCCAAGCTCTCAGCAGGAGGGAAAGCCAAGTCCCATGTAGACTGGGGATACTGAAACCCAAGCAGGCTTATCGCATCCCGGATGGTGTTCTTCGCAGCGGATGCAGGATACGGGGTTTCGGAGATGTTCTGCGACAGGGGTGCATCTTCGACGGGGTTTTCCTTGGTGGATGACTGCCTATGACAAACAGGTACATGCTGCTTGTCGGAGGTTGGGGGGTCCTTTCGTCTAGCCAATCCATGGGGAATCCGAAGTGTCTCTAGGACTCTGTTGATACCCAACTCATCCTCCAGTTTCATGGCGGGGGGGTCCAAGCCATGGTCGTAAATGAATTGACAAAGCTGGTCAATCCGAGCAGAGAACAGTTCGGTTGCTGCGCGGAGAGAAACTCTGATGAGGGAATGGTTAGTTCCGAGTTCTCGAACTCGCACTCAAGACCTTACTTCCGTACTTTCGTTTGTCATCACCATGCTGATATTTGCAGGATTTCCCTTTTCTCTCACAATTGTGACAACGCGGGGAAGCGCCGTCACACTGAAGACCGATCAGTTCGTAGCTCAATCCATCCGCAGGGAGGCTATTAAAAAAAAAAAATAATCTCAACAGCAACAAAAGGTCGTACTCTGATTTTACTCTCCCGACAAGGAACACAAGCCGTCGTGACGTGTTTACGGGGAGGTCGTTTGGTCTTCTCCGTCCGAGACGACATAGTAGCCTGATCCGAGGGTAGTGAAGCAATATGGAGAAAGTGCAACAGAATAAAGACGGGGGCAGAAGAAGAACCAAGTCCAGGGAAGGGAGGAGGAAACCTTGGAAGCATTCATTCGTTCTCCTCTAGAGAAGTGTTCGCGGTAATCAATCAATTGAGGAATATTAGTCCCGCCTATAGGAAAAGATCCCATCCGGGAAAGAAACCCCGCGGGAGGAACCCTCACTATTTGATTATTGATCTCTGGATTATAGACTTTTGGAATTCAGACTTTAGAAAAAATAATCCTCATTAATTTTTCCGTATCATATATAGAGTAATCCTGGAGTTGTCCCGAGATCCCAGATCCAGATAAAAGAGAACCCCGCCTACCAGTTGCTGGTACGCTTCAGCGCCTCGTTCTGAACCACCTCGATCCAGTAGCCATCAGGGTCCAGGATAAAGGCCACATTCTTCATCCGGCCATCGGTCAACCGCTTCTTCCAGTTGACATTCAACGATTCAAACCGAGCGCAGGCCGCATCAAGGTCATCCACAGTAATGCCTAGAGATGGCTTATATTAGCAGAGGTCTCACCAAAAAAAAAAAAAAAGATAAAAAAGATAAAAAGCTCGAAAGAGGAGGAGCAAGGATATAGAGTCCGCTTACAGATGTGACCGAATCCTTGAGGCTCAGAGTTGCCGTCGTGGTAGACCTTTCCTTCCTGTTTCTCGGTGCCGTAGTTCCAGGTCAGCTCGAGCAGACCCTCCCACTCAGCGACCGGGTTTCTAGCGCCCTCCTGCACTTTCGGGTTGGAGGCGGGATATCCCAAGAAATAAAGGTTGAAGGCGGCATCCTTGTTCTCGGACATGCGCACCTGCGTCATGCCCATGACTTCCTGGTAGAACTTTAAGCTTGTCTCTGCGCACTTGACGCGGAGCATGGTGTGGTTGAGGCGATACCTGCTAGGATCCGTAGTAGTGGTGAGGTTCTCATCAGCGCGGCGAATAATCTCAACCCAGTAATTATCGGGGTCCTTGACGAAGGCAATATTCTTCATCCGACCGTCCGTGAGCTTCTTCTGGAAGGGGTATCCAGCATCCTCGAGTCTCTGGCAGGCCAGCTCGATATTGTCAACCGAGATAGCAATGTGTCCAAAGCCGCGGTAGGGTTCAGTGTTGCCGTTAACCACGCTATAGTTGGGGTCATTCTCCGTGCCATAGTTGTGGGTGAGCTCCAACACGGCGTTGCGATCCGTCCAGTGGCGGTCCCCTTGCAACGAGTTTGGCCCGCTGTAGGCAAGGAAATACAGCGAGAACTTATTCTCCGGAAAGTCTAGCTGTTGAATCTGGCTGAGGCCCAAAAACTGATAGAATTCCACTAAACCGAGACAACCCCAAGGTTTCGTAAATCTCACAATTCTCGGGACAAAGAATGAGGAATGAGCGTGTCGTCAAACTCACATGATTTCTTTGGGTCTTTGACCCGAATCATAGTGTCTGCGTAGTGATAAATGAGCCACTGTCAGTGCCCAACATTTCCAACACCATGTGATGAGGCCCAAATGTGGCCACAAAGCAGGAAAATACTAACGATTGAGTTTATACTTGGATGTATCGGTAGCCATGGTTGCGAGTGAGCGATTTGCACCTAGCGCACGCATGTGAGTATTCCGGCAGCATCCTGAGTGGGGGAGGAATGCAGACCTGGGACAATGGAAAATCTTGGAACGAAGATGCTGAAGAAGGATGTAGGAAAAGACGAGAGAGCGCGTTTAGCGAGCATCGAGGAGGGAGGAAGGTGAATGAGTCTAAAGGTGGGGGGCGGGGGGAAGATTTTTGTCTCCGGTATCAGGCTCTTCCGTCATTGGTAAATCGATCTGCTTTAGAATTTGAGGTGTTATCCAGGTCAGTATCCTCTCATTATACCTAATCCAATCATCTTAACTACTTAGTTAACTACCTACCAGGTGATACCGTGATGATACATCCTAGGGAGGTAGACCAGATAGTAGTTACGGAAGAATCGGGGCAACCACGCCACACCCTGAATTCTACGATCCACAATCAACCCATGTGGATTTTCAACTACAGGGGTTCTCCCGTTCTTCTGTCGGAGAATCCCTGAACGTCTTCAAGACCAAGAGACCCCTCCTGCTCTCGAGTTCTTCAAGCTAAGTTTTGCTTCTAATGGTGCGGTCCAATCACTGATGATGGCTGACATTTCAGCGACTAGGTACACCAGACTAGACCTTGCTGCAGGAGATCAAAAGAGGGCCGAGAAAAAGAAATCATGCTTTTGTACGGGATTTTTACCAGCAGATGCGCTACTATTTCTTGAGGAGGTCATCAATAGAGCACGCGGCAGTCACGGTTAACACAAAAAAAGGGGGGGGTAAGATTTTTCGATTCTGAAGAGCTTCATTGGACGAGAAAAGCTCGGACGGTATGAAGGGGAGAGCGACGACTAATATATCTTCATTCTATCAGGTAACAGGAATATGGCCGGTTGATATTAAGAATACTGGAGGAATAGTTAACTAGGTACCTACTGTCACTAATCTGCCCCGTTGGATAGATATCATAGGTAGATGCCTCGGAAGTATAAAAAGATGCCGCGTGACCTGAAATCAGACAGATCAATAGCCAGTCCTTGTGAAGAGTTATGATTTATATTATTATTATTATGATACTCTGTTAATTCTATATGGGCTGACGTTTTTTGTGTGGGCATAAGGCAGCATTGCAACTATACCCAATCTGGCTATCTCGTAAGCTCTCGAGCGACACAAAAATAACTAAAGGACAGGAAGAATCTAGAATCCAACCTCATATCCTCAATATATCCTCAACCTGACCTATCTAATCTACTTTCCACCTGGCGGGTGACAGGTAGACTGATCTTCTCTGTGGTAGGTGCATCTCTCTTTTCTGATATTCTTCCCCCAACTCATCCGAGAAATCATCGTCCTGCTACCATCTCTATCCCAAAGACTATCCACATTTCTTGTCATTCCACGCAACTTACACCCTTAGTCCACGCTTTATCTTTCCTTTCTCCTTTCGTTTCTTTTTATTTGGCCCCAATTTTTATTTTAGTTTCGTTTGTTTCGTTTTCTTTCTGATTTTTCTCCTCCTCTCATTTGGTGGCTTTGCTCAGTTGGGCTCCTCCCTGCCCACGACACCTGTATGTAGCCTTGTCCTATTCCCTGACTTGCATCAGCCTGGCTCCCCACGTTCTTAAATTTTTCATTTATGCAATGACTTGGGAGATCTTAAGGCTAAACTCCGCTTGGAGCGCCCCGTTCATTCCCTGGCTGGATTCTTAGTGAAAAAGGCCTTGCTCCCCCCCCTGTTTGTCTGTCCCTCGTGTCACTACTTATAGTAAGCACTCGTGTGGACTCAGGGCCAATATCTTCCGTGGTCTTCTCTCTTCCTCTACTATCTATCTGCCTTGCGCTTCATATATTGTTGTTCCCTCTTGATTCTCCTCCCTTCATCTTCCCCTATCATCATCACCCTCCAAGGCGGCAACATGGCTGAATTTGAGCATCCAGTTCGATCTGGGTTTTCAACCTCTAAACCTGGTGGCATTTACGACCCTTACCATCATCCATATTGGGCCCACAGCCAGGTTCAGTACGCGCAGAATCTTCTCGAGTACTCAGAAGAACCTATCGAATACGACTACGACGATAGGGATTACTGGGATAATTCTTTCTTCTTCCCCGAAGACTGTTCTTGGCCCCCTTCCAAGGGCTGGGAGATAGACGACGATCATTCAGAAGAGGATACCACCATTGGAGACGACGACACCATGATTCCCGGTCTTCCCGATATCAAAATGCTGGATGCAGAGGCCCTCAGCGACCTCCTAGAGGACAACCTTTCCCCACCGGAAATCACCTCCATCCTGTACGGAAACATTCTTCCTATCGTCTTCCTTGAGCGATCTTGCTACTGACTAGACCTGTCCTTGTAGAGTGTTTGCTACCAATGGGGCCATCTTCGCCTATGCCTCCTCTCTCCCCTCCCGACAACTACGTAACCTGAGCGCTACCTATGGAGCCGCATATACATGCTACGCAAAGAACGCCTCCAGTGGTAATCTCACCGGTGTAAACCCAGCCAGTCACCCGTCATCATATGTCACAGCCCAGTCTGTATCCCTGGGCGGTGTAGGTTCAATTGTTTTTGAGCTTGATGACCTGGTTGCAGTCGTGACCAGGATTGCGGACAAGGTCCTTCTTGCTGCCGTCGGGCCGTCTAAATCAGGGGACGTAGCAAATGCCAACCCCGACGATTCGTCAGCAAATGTCGACGATCCGGCACTTGCAGAACCCACTAGCGCCAACGGCACGTCTGCCACACCTACCAATGGTACTACCCCGAACAGCGCCGCCTCCCGCAACCATCACTTCGATAACATCGCAGACGCTCTACTCGAATCGCAATACGAAGTTGATCGCTCCCGCGACCTTGCGCGCCTCTCCAGCCTCAACCTCTCCGCCTCCCCCTCCATTCTTCTCGCGTTGGAGTCCAAATCCGCAGCTTTGGGGAGATTCCTCAGCCAGAAACTCGAGGATCTCGAGAGCCCTGAAGACTTCTAACCGGACCCAACCTCTTTCCCTCTTCTCTCCTCTCGTCTCCTCCACCCCTTTCTCACTTCCACCCACTCTTATGTTCTTTTAAATGTACCCATGTACCCCCTGTTTCAATGTTAACATAACCTACGTTGCACACCAACCCAGTCTTGTAAATGTGAATATGAATAAATAACCCTATGTTCATGTATGATTTCCTAACCCTCCATCATTGTTCTCTCTCCTAAAAAAAAAAAAAAAATTTCTTCTCCAGCGTTTTCATACTCATCCTATCGTCTTTACCTTCCACCCCACATGTATCGGGATTGGTGTTCAGAATTTTAGCATATTTGGAGTGTTTTGTCTCTCGTGTCTTTCATAGCACTACATATACTAGTTACATTGCATGTATACCAGGGAAATCACAACCTTGGTAGCTCTTCTCCAAATTTTTTTTTTTTAAAAAAAAAAAAAAAAAAAAAAAAAAAAAAAAGGCCAAACAATGAATATCCAGAGGATATAAACTGGTTATCTTTTATTAACAGATACCCAAAAGGGCAAACAAAAATGCATGATGATACTATATAAGGTTAGTGAGAAGCAAAATATAGCTCATGTATTTAAAAAAAAAAAGCAAAGACATTTATGTTCTTAATTCGTTATGCTTGGTAATGTCATTCAAGCGTGCTCAGTAGCAACTTCGGTAGCCTTCTCCGTTACCTTTTCTGATACAGGAGATGTTACAGTCTCTGCTACGCTGCTAGCTGTGGCAGCCGTATTGCTGGGGATTGAATCCTTTTCCAGGTAGGCAGGCGGCTGATGAGTAGCAACTGCAGGGCTGCTAGGCACGATGGGAGACACAGCGGCGGCGGCGGCGGCGGCCACGGTGGTGGCTATAGGGCCGCGGGTGGCATCCTTAAGGATATTCCACCATTTCTCTGCATCGCGTGCAGATGGAGCCTTGAAGCTCAACTCAGAGCTAGCGTGGAAAGCATTTCCCACGACACCACCCGAAACGTCCTTGCCCTTGACCGTGAACTTGTTGCCATCGATGGCTCCAACTAAGCAGTCGGGGAGGTACAGGGACAGCTCAGGACTGGGATCCTTGCGAAGGTCGTCGTTGTCTTTGAGCTCATGGAGATAGCGGGCGGGGGTGATGACATAGTAACCAGTGCTATAGCCTTTAAGGACTGTACGAGATTTACGCTCTAGGGATCCTTCAATCAGCGGCTGCGTTGTCCGATGATCTTGGTTAGGGAAGCTGATGTTTGCGAGCGACCGTGGTGGCGCATCAGGGTCGACCAGGGTGGAATCGTTTCTGGTGATAAAATTCACCCACTCGAAATCGGGGGGGATCCTTTGCACAGTGCCGAGCATGTCGGCATACATGGTCTTCTGGCGATCCGACTGATTGCCCATGAACTCGACGAGCTGTTCCAGGGCACCTTGGATGGTCTGTAGGATGTGTGCCTCAAACTGTTGGAAGTTGTTCTGCACAACGATGATATCCTGTCGGTTATTATTTTCCTCGATAACCTGCTTGTTCAGGCGGTGGACAACGCCACGGCGCAGGATATATGGATCGTGCGAGGCGTCCACCTTGCTTCCAGAAGTTGCATCGAGGGCAGACGTGTTCTGGGTGAGGAGATCGATATGCTTCTGGGTAGTATTCCGGGCCCGTTCGACGGCCTTCGCACCCTTTGACGCGCCAGTCTGAAGCTCGCTCGACTTGACCTTGATATCCTTGTGGAGCTTCTCCAGAATGGGAAGCACAACGGTCTTGAGATTTCTTTCGCCGTCAAGACACAGGTTGGCCATTCCCTACACGTTGAACCATAGTTTAGTAAACGACATTAGTAATTGCCGCGACAGAATATCCCGTACCTGGGTGTTGGAACGGACGCTCTCGAAGAAGGAAGACACTCCTCCCGCGCTCTGAGAAAAATGGTGGCCTTCTTTGAGTGGTTCATTCACCGTCTGTCAAGTTCCCTAAAATCAGTATTTTTGTCAAGAGGTGAGGGTGTCGAGTAGCGGTGCGCACCTTTAAAATCTTCTCAAAATCCTTCGACATGGATTTCTGCACCTTTGAAGTGGCAGAAACATAATCCTCCAGGTATCCACACATGTGTTTCCAGGCTCTGAGACGTTCAAGAAGAAGGTTGGTAGTCTAGACACGCAATTCGACATTAGACTTCGCTGATAATACGAGGGGGGGGGGGGGGGGTTGAGGATAAGTGTGCATACCTCATTGCTGTCGGAGCCGGGAATTGCTTCATCATCACTCATTGAGGCGCGGCGCTCGAAACCGCTGATGGTGCTCCTCAAAGTTGACGAGCGGTGGGGGAGCTTCTTGTCCACAGGACTACTAGTCGTCGACATGACTGTGGGAGAAGATGAATTGATCGGAGGGGAAGATCAGAAGGAGCTCGAGAGAAGACCGATCGATGGTGGGACAAAAGGGGGGTAGCAGTTCGTGGTTAGCGTGGTGTAAATTAGGAGGATTTGTATGATGGCAGAGTGGGGGTCAACACATCATCCTAATCAACCCAAGCAGCTGAAAAGAATAGGATTAACGATGGAATAGTAAATACTCTGTAGAAAAGGATGGGATAAAAGAAGGAGAATAAGAATATGGACAAAATAGAGACTCGGGTACTTCTTGAGATGGAAGAGAAACAATGATATACATAATAAAATAATGGCGGCGGGTTTTTTTTCCGTTGGGTGGAAAAGGCGATCGTCACCGCCTTCCTGATTGAGGAAATATCCTCCTTGCATTTTTCCGGGCCAAAATGGTACATCCAGTACTCTTACCAGTTAATATAACTAGACTCCCATGGATCCGCTGCAGCCACACATGGCCACCGGTTCATCCGTTTATTGTGGAAATCTATTAATTGTCCAGGCAGAAAGATCATAATCCAGTGATAATGCCATTTTTGTGTCTCCAAATCCAAGACCCGCGGGGCCTTCTTTAGCTCTACAAAGCTTAGCAAAATCTTAGCTTTTGAGCCCAGATGAACGAACTGAATCTGAAGGAAACTCTTTCGGATCCAAGCTTGATTGAATTCTTCGTCATCCTGCCCGTGAATCACTAGCTGGTGAAATGTCTCCAAAACGACTCCGAAAGCCCTCACTCATACAGAGAGGCCCACTAAAAACCCACTTAGGTACTGAATAATTCCAGGGAATTGGATGCGACCACTCTCGAGGTTTGCCGAAAATTGCCGTATCTGATCAAGATGCTCATTTATGTACAAGCCATCGCCCCCTAACTGATTTTTTTTCCCGTGATAATCTTATCTGATGGTGTAGTGTACAGAGAGGTGCACATATCTGATCCGAGCCAGATCTTTCTTTCACTGGGAGTCGTACCTCGACCATGGAGGTGAAACCCACACAGCTGAGTGTCGCCAACCAGGAGCAGAAGGAGGCTGAGGTGGACAAGGAGAGTGGATGTGAGCTTCCTCCCAACTATTTTCTATTCCCCTGTGATGGATCTTGTATGCTCATTCGGGTTCAGACGACGAACAGACGGAAAACTTGCTCCGAGCAGCGGGGATTGGCATCCAGGAAGATGGCCCAACGCAGTCGGCCCTGACCCTCCGCATGTGGGTGCTGGGGATTAGTTTCTGCGTGGTTGCGAGTGGATTGAACACCCTTTATACCTTGCGAAACCCATCCATCACAGTCTCGACTTCCGTCATCCTTTTGCTCGCGTATCCGCCCGGCAAATTATGGGAGATGTTCGTTCCTGCTTGGCAGGTATCGCTTGGTTGGTGGTCTTTCAACCTCAATCCAGGACCATTTAATCAAAAGGTACGAGGATCGGGAGTGCTGTTTGTCTCCTACTAGCTATACTGACTATATCTCTACAACCAGGAACATATCCTCATCTATATCATGTCTAACCTGTCCATCTACGTTCGTCTTACAGCAGACGTCTTGACCGAACAACAAATGTTCTTTGAGTATAACGCGGGATGGGGCTTCCAAATCCTCATCACCCTTGCTACCTTTCTCGTGGGCTTTTGCCTCGCCGGCTTATTTCGTTCGATTGTAGTTACACCGCGCGAATTGGTGTGGCCGGGAGTATTGAGTACCACGGCCCTCACTGCAACACTTCATCGAGCCGGAGAAACGGGTTTCCAAACAAAGTCAGTCCAGTCTCTCTTTAATTTGTAGAACGATAATCTGACAAGAAACCAAAAAAACACAGCGAGTACAGTCATCTAACCTGGAAAATCTCCCGATATGCTTTCTTCGCTCTGGCCTTTTGTATTTCATTCTGCTGGTACTGGCTTCCGGACTTCGTCTTTCCAGCTCTAAGCTACTTCACGTTCCCCTGTTGGATTAATCCCAAGAGTCCTGTCGTGAACCAACTTTTTGGAATGAAAACTGGAATGGGTCTCCTGCCGTTGACTTTTGACTGTGCGTGAATTTTTCTCCATCGAAGAGCCCAAGTTAACTGTTATCACCAGGGAGCCAAATAGCTTACGTCGGGTCTCCGCTACTCATCCCATCGTGGGCTATCTTGAATGTGTTCGGATCGCTTGTGTTCTGGGTTTGGATTGTGGCTGTTGCTTGCTACTATACCAACGTGTGGTATTCCGGACACCTTCCTTTCCAGAGCTCCTCTGGTACATCTTCATAACAACTCCAAGCGGCAGCGACGTAAGAGACGCTAATATGGGATATAATATAGTTTTCGACAACACGGGCGCGGTTTATAAAGCCGTAAAGATCGTGAACAAAAAATCTAGATATGTCCTGGATCCAAAGAAATATGAAGCATATTCTCCGGTATGTTCCAGTGTGTCCTTCTCCATCAAAGCAGATGAGCCCGTTATACTCATCTCTTAGGTTTTCCTGCCGATAACCTACGCAATGAACATGTTCGGTTTATCCTTTGCCACGCTGAGCGCACTCCTGGTTTGGATTGTCCTCGAGAAGGGGAGTGTTATGGTTGCGGCAGCGCGTCGGGTTCAGCAAAGGCTTTGGTTTTCTCGATCCAAGGACCCAGCCCCTGCGGAGTGTCTGTCGGATGTACCTTCGTGGTGGTATCTAGTTGCAACCGCAGTGGCGTTGTTTCTGTGTATATTTTCTGTTGAGTACTGGCATGTTGAGCTACGATGGTACGGTGTCCTTCTGGCTTGGGCTGTAGCGCTCGTGTTCTTCTCGCCGGTAAGTTTTTCACTCGCTTCTAACTACAAAGACCTCGCAATAACCCCATTATACAGCTCGCCTTGGTCTACGCAACATCCAACCTGAAAATCAAGATCGATGTCTTTTGCCGCATCATAGCCGGCCTGGTCTTCAAAGGACGAGTCTTGGCCAACATCTGGTTCTTCGACCTTGGATACATCACCACCATCAAGGGCTTATACTTTTGTCAAGACATGAAACTTGGAATCTACCTTGGGGTGCGTCTCTCTCTCTCTCTCTCTCTCTCTCTCTCTCTCTCTCTATATCCATTTCTCTACCCCTACACGTACATAAAGCTAACCATCGCAGATCCCCGCTCGACAAGTCTTCCTCGTGCAATGCGTCGGAATGGTCGCCGGCACGCTCAGCAGCGTCGGAGTCCTCAACTGGGCCCTCAACCACATCGAAGGCGTCTGCACCCAGAAGGCCGTCAACGGATTCAGCTGCCCCTACTCGCGCATCCACTTCAACACAAGCTTGATCTGGGGCGCCATCGGGCCGCGCCGCTTCTTCAACAATGACATCGGATACAGCGCCCTCCTCTATTTCTTCATCATTGGCCCCGTCCTCGTGATCGCCGTCTACCTCCTTCGTCGACGCTACCCGAACTCTCTCTGGGAGAAGGTCCACGTCCCGCTCTTCCTCGGCGGACTGAATTATCTCCCCCCGGCCACGGGCACCAACTATAGCAGCTGGGCCATCACGGGGTTGATTTTCGGCTACCTGATCCGGAAACGACTGTATGCCTGGTGGTACAAGTATAACTTTGTCCTGAGTGCGGCGCTGGATTCCTCCGTGTCCATCGCGGGGGTGGTCATTTTCTTCACCATTTTCTTCACGGGCGCGTCGTCGCATTTCAGCTGGTGGGGGACCAAGGTCTACAAGGCGAGTCCGCTCCGTCACTCCTAACCTACCTCAGCTGTTCTACTCTCGCTACTACAGAATCCGTTGGAGAATGCTAACTGCTAGAGCAGGAGACCTGTGACTGGAAGGGCTGTCCTCACTTGTCGCTGCCAGAGGACGGCAAGTTTTATAAATAAATAAATGATCGCATGTATTATAACACCATCAAAGAACTGGTTTTCTTTTATACCCTTAGGGAAAGGATTCATTCCGTTAATTATATCCTCACTAGGTAGTTCCCTACCCTAGTCTTTACTTAACTATTTACATTCAAGTTATTAACAGGCTATGGCATCTTTTCTTTATATATGTATGTATGTATGTATGTATGTATATAGTATATATTTCTTGAGAACCCACCCTACCTTGCAATAAAATACAATACCATAATATATAATATATTCTCAATCTTGATAGAGGAATAAAATCGCAAGTCTCGCCTTCCTTAACCTTACCTACTAGCTACGGTATAAAACTCAAAAGTCTCGACCATCTCAGTAATAACTCATAAAATTAAAGAATCGTGCGTGTCTATAATGCTAAAGAAAGGAGATCCCCAGATACACGTGCATAACTCGTTTGGAATCCGTGGTCGTCAATTTTGCCCATAACTTAGGTACTAGACTAGGTAGGTACTAGAACCGATTTTCACAACCGTCTATAAAACGCCGCCCACACACTGCCACGAAAGCATTCTCTGCGAAGAGACCAGACCAGACCAGACCACACCACATGTTGCTTGCTCATGAATGACAGACAATATAAATACAAAAATGAACCGGGGCTGCCCTTTTCTTCTTCTTCTTCTTCTTCTTCTGTGGATTAGGAGATGCGAATGTAAAGCTTCGAGCGTCCAGCGCTGAAATAGTCGTAATGGGTAATGGGTAGTAGGTAGTAGGTAGTAGTCGAATTAATATATGAATCGAAATAGTGGCTGGAGGCCCCCGCCCCCGGTAGTACGGGAGCGTAATCTGGTTCAGGCCGGGAAGAATAAAACAAATATACTGCCGAAATGGAGCATGTCTCAAATCGCCATCACAGAAATAAGAACGCTTCGGGGGTTAAACCCTAGCGCGGTTTTGGACTAGACGAAGCCTGCGCTCCTCGTCAACACTTTGGCCGGAAGGGCGAGAATGAAGAAAACTGGGCCGAGAGGGAAGTACATCGATCGGGGAAAAGTAAGAGTCCATACGGCCAACACTGCGGATATACGCCTGCTGTGGAGACTGGGGGGCGGAGATTTGGACATTCTCTGCAATCACCGCTTGATAGTCGGGCAATCCACTGTCGTGTGGGCGGACAGAACTGCGGACGGCAGTCGAATAGCTCGGAACACGGCTCAGACTCTCCAGCTCGAGATACTGGGGAACAAAAGGCGTTGCCATTCCCGATGGGACAGGGTCGTGGTCGTGGTCGACTTCGTCCGAGGTTCGTCGGGAAATTTCAGGGCTTGCGGGACTGTGGGTATTGGAGCCCGAAGGAGGACCGTGTAAGTCGACGGGCACTATCAGGCCCTCACTCTCCAAGGAAGAGGAGAGAAAACTATGTCCGTTGGCGTGGAGACTCGATAGACGGCTATGTAGAGCGGAGGCCGAGATATCAGTGTTGGTCAAGGCGTTCATGGAAGCTAGGTTTTCGGCGGAGAGATTGCGACTTAGGGTGCCGAATGGGGTGCCAGGGCCACTTCCAGGGCCCGGGGTGCGGTATCCAGATGGATCAAGTTCGCTGTACAATTGATCGAACTGGTGTTCCCCGTACAACGGAGGAGCTTGATGGGCGAACTCGTCGGCGGCTCTCTGGGTGGACTGAGGGGTCTGGTCGATGAGATTGTTATTCTCATCAATCGCGAGGTTCGGGGAAATAAAGATGGAAACTGGCAGTGTCGCACGGAGCTGCCCCACAAAAAAAAAAAAAAAGATTAGCATTGTCTTGGTTGTCAAGAGATTTGGTCCGTACCTCGCTAATATGACCATCAGGGTTAAGCAGTTGAACTCGGAACTTCAGTTTGTGTCTGATTTTGATTCCCCTTGTATCTGTGTCCTGCAGGCATCGTGTCAAGGTCTTGGGTAGATCCAATAACCGCGAGAATTGATATCCTTCCGCTTCTTCGTCTATGATTTCCAGGCCGTTCTCCTGGTCGAGAGTATGTTCATCATTTATAATGGTCCGGGTATTTTTATATGTATTGCGAATCGAGTCGGGGTCTTCAGGGTTGAGGGTAAGGTCGTGGGTCTCAATGAGTTGGGAAACAATCTGGCCGATTTCAAGTCCCTTGAGCAAAGGGATTAGTTTGAAATCTACCCGAATAGAAGTCCCGAAGATAACGGCCTTAGTAGGCGTGCTAATCGAGTATTCGATTTTGTTTGGCCAGATATTTTCCACGGACTAGGTACACATGGTTAGTGGAAGCCATGCAAAAAAAAAAAAAAAAAAAAAAAGGGGGGGCGCATACCATCGCGTGCGACAACTCCAGGGCGCTGGGCTCCAGGGTTCGAATAATCCGTAGCGGTTTTCGACCAATGATATCCTTGGCGTATTTGCGCCCTATTTCAGCCTTGAAGCGATAGGTAACATAGGTGTCACTCAAGCCCTCGACACTCTCGGGCATGGATCCCTCCAGAATGACGTTGAACGGGTATTCATAGTTGCCAGCCGGGAGGACCTCCGTCTTGCTTTTACCCGCGTCGCGGAATCTCCATGTCTTCTCGTAGAATACACGCTCTCTCCAGGATTTTCGGCCGCCTCCGGCAGAGCTCGATGGCAGGTGCCAGCTAAGTGAGACCAGGCTGTCAGCAATGCCATGTGCGCGGGTTAAGCCGCCGGAAAAATATCCGAGGTCGCATTCATTACTCACCAGATGCGGGAGATACCAGTCAAATGCAGCCGGATATGCTTGATGGACAAGGGTTCGGACAAGCAGAGAACGAGTTTCCCACTCAGATGGGCGCTGGCAGCTTCCTGTTCACCTCCACGAAAGACAATATAATCTTCATCCAAACTGGGGGGGGGGGGTCACGAGATTAGTTGGATCTGGGCATAGGACGGGGGATCGCAGGCGCTGAAAACTCACCGGATATCAAAGTACTTTGCGTGACTTGCACTGCCGCCACCACTGAAGAAACTGAGGGCCATGGCGGATCGACAGGACACAGCCACTCAGGGCAGCAAAGGGGAGGAGGATTTGCGACGACAGAGAGGGTAGAAAAGGGAGGAGGATTTGCGACGAAGAATCTAGCGGGAAAGGGAAGAGGAAGAAAAAGAAGAAGAAGAAGAAGAAGAAGATGAGACCGATCTCCGTGATTGGAATCAGAGTTGAGAAATGCTTCGGGTCCCAGTGAAAGAGGTGGGGGGGGAGAAACTTGGAACCAAAGCAGCCGTTTCCGTCAGGGAAGTGAGAAGAAAGGAAAGAAGCGGTCTTTAATAATACCATATTAATTCATGTTATCTTTTCATTTATTTTATTAGCGGGTCCGAGGCAGATCTCTATCATTAGGGAGTTACATGTCTATCTGTACAGGATTTACTCATGACTTACCGTCGAGTTATATCCATCCCCTACCAGTACATGCACAACATTGCCTGATTATGATATGATGATTGGTGGCATGATAATCTGACGAACAACCAGAGGGGAACTTTTCACATGTGAGATAATAATAAGGGTCGAGAGATTCATCGGATTCTCGCGGAGAGAGTAACAGTATGCGATGCTATTATTATACCGGTATATGTCTAGACTGTACAGACTCTCGGCCCGAGCTTCCTCCTGGTCGAGAAAAGAGCTCATGATATCATGACGGATCACTGTTCTCCAGGCTACAGAGTATGGATGCAGATAAATAGTTCCGGAGGACATATCTCCTGGTGTACAGGGTACTCTTGTACATACTCCGTACACCTCCCCGGTTTCACCGCGTAACGCGCGAAAAAAAAAGAATGTAGATCAATCAACCCAAAAAGTAATTGATGCTGATTACTCGGCATGCCGACCGAGTAATCAGGTCAAGGTATCTGGATTCTGAAAGTGAAACCCGTGGTTAAGATATCAGAACGGATCTAAGAATACTACTAGTAGTACCCTAGTGGATACATAGGCAGACAGAGCCACTCACTCCTACACCGACAGCCAGAAAAGGAGAGGGAAATAAGGGATGAGGGAAATATTTCCCTATCTTTCCCTCTGGCCTGAAGTCGCCAATCGATGCAGGTGTCGGTGACACATGGTCAATGGGCCAGAACAGTCGATTTGGCGGCGTATCTACAGGATCGATTATTTCGACGGGAACAACTCGAGATATATACGATCTAATGTATTAATAGAGTCCCAGCAGCATCTCGACCCGCAAGATGACCCTCCAGGACCAAGTAGAGACACAGAGAGACAAGCAAGGATAAAATCAAATCATGTCCCAAGCAAGAGTCTTGAGAGGACGGACCACGGACCCATACCGTACGGCGTATACACAATCGTTCCGGTCCACCCGCAAGGCAGCCAGGAGCAACCACGGACTCCCCTCCCAGCTCTAGAAAATCCACCCCAGTATCAACCACAACAACACCCCGGCTCCAACCACAATGCCTGCGATCTTCAGCACCGCCACGGTATCGCCCTGTCGCGCCATCCGGGTGAGTCGATTCGCGCTCCCTTTGAGATTCGTCGATAGCGACGAAAACACCTGGTTCTGCATTTGCGGCATAGGTCAGCTATCTCTCCCCTGTGACCGGAAAACAGAAATCAACCAAGGAATACAAACGAACCGAATGATCCAGTGTATCTTGGTCACGAGCATTATCGTATATATCAATCGTCACGGACTTCAGCGCCGATACTTTGCTCGATAAAGAGTTCAGGAGGTCGTTGTTTTGTCTATCGGGGTTTCTTCGTTAGTGTTTCCCCTTCCCCCCGCTTTCTCCTCAGTTGTTCTCAACCGAAACAGAGAAAGGAGATATAGAGGACAAATCAGTGGAAGACGTACTGTTCACGTTCGTAGGCGTCCGCCATCTTGGGTGGGATCGGATGACAGTATTCCAGCCAGGGGCTGAGCTGATCTTTTCGGGTTTCTTGAAAATGACTGGACGTGGCTGAGGCGCGCTCTCTATATTAAACCAAAAGAGTGTAGTGACGATCAGTTGGTCTGTTCAAAAGGAAAATGCGGATTGATGTCCGTTCTGGATACCTGGACATTCGGGAATCGGGACATCAACGCCCAAGTCGATGACGAAGTTGCGTTTGGGTCACGTGATACTCCGCCGCCACCATGAAGGAACCACGGTGTGTAGAGGAAATATAAATAAATTCGTTACGCACTCTGCTATGATACATATCGTATCCGAAAGCGACTAACCACAAGAGCCACCCTTAAACTGTGTGGCGTACTTACTGGCCACGGGAAAGATACGATACTCAAAAGAAATAGCAGCAAGTAAAGAGATGATGCATCATCAGCCGTCAAGTCAATTGAGAACAGGATAAAAATGCATAACCAGGACGTTAAGACAGTATGAAGTGAAGCCAAATCAATATAACCCCAGACGCTATGCGAACAAATCAAGCCAAGGTAATAGGTCATGTCGTGCGCTACCTTTTCCTCTCTCGTAATATTGAAAGGCGCGCTATATAAAGAGGCAGCCACACAGTATCACTGTGCATATTCTTGTTCCCCCCCCCCCAGGTGCGGAGAAATGACAATCCACGGTTCTCACAGAAACAAGGGCGTGGGGAGAAGCAAGACAGGTAAGAAGTAAAATCAGTGTACAGAGTCTGATATTAAACCAGTTGGACAAAAAGAAAGAAGGGGAGGGGTATTTGCGCGCGGCAGCAAAAGGAACAGTAGGAAAAGGAAAGATTACTCCTGATCTGTGTCACCACATATCATCGTCGTCGTCATCTAGCTGAACATCGTCGCTGAACGACATAGACCCGTATTGATAATGTCCCGGACCATATGCATTTCCATTTTCGTAGCCTTGGTGTTTACTGCCTCGAGAATGTTGCTGGTAATGGTTGTGCGGATCATCATTATAATCGTACATTTGAGGATCATCGTAGGAACTATCGCTGTACTGCTCCTGCTGCGAGTAGTCGGGGTTTCATCAGTATAAAAATTCGCCATGTCGATAAAGGATCAAAACGCTCACCTCTTGATATTTCTGGTACTGCAGGTATTCATCAGGTTGGTCTCTGGCCTTCTGTTGCCGTTGATTCGATGACGATGAAATCATCATGTGCGGCTGCATTTGTTGGACCTTGGCTAGATAGGAGTACATGAAGTTACTGAGCAGCACTTGAGAGTACAGAGCGCGCCGAGGATTTGCAAGTTTGATGTGAGCCATCCTGTAAATGGCTCTTTCTTCCAGAATTGAGAACCGAGTCCATGGATAGTCGATATCGGGTCGAAGCTCCCGGACTGGCGGATCAGGGGACAAAGTTCGAGACAAGCTCTTCTTGTGGTGATGATGATGTTCACTGTTCTTCCTTCTGCCCCCACCAAAGATCGAGGAGAACAGGCCTGACTCTTTTTCCTTCTTGGACTCGCCAGAAGATCTTCGTGCATTGTCTTTTTTGCGTTCTTCTTCTAACTTGGGATCCAGTCGATCAAACACAGCACTTTCACGTCGTGGGTTAGGTTCCACGGAGGATTGCAGGGAATTTGCTGTGTCCTGCACCTTGTCCGCTATCTTGTTTCTAATCTTTTTGGGCTCACTATCTTTATCCTTTTTCTTTTCTTTCTCCTTCTCTTTCTCCTTGTCTTCGGATCCCAAGAACCAGTGCCAGCTTGATTTGCGACCACCTTCCGAGTCTTTCTTATCCTTGGATTTTTTGGACTCAGCCTTGCGATCTTCGGACAAAGTTGGGATGAATGAAAGACTGTCAGTTCGGGTGCTGTTTCCAGGTAGGGGTTGGGGGTTGTTGGCGATTTCGTTAAGGGTTGACGGGATGTCTTTAGGCTGAGTAGGAGAGTTCGATGGCCGTCGAGCCGCGCTCTGCTCTGGAATAATCGGCGCTGGTAGAGAAGGGTCTTGAGCGGACTGTGACGGCGAAGAAAACCCTGTGCTGGCCTCGAGCGGTGGAGTCTCAACAATCTCAGGGATATTCTGATCTGTGTATTGGGTGGATAACGTCGACCGTCCATTGGCGTTGGCGCGAGACTGCCGTGGGTGTGACTGCTCAGGGGCAGCCACCCGACCGCCGGCGTCTCCTAAGGACGAATCTTGCTTTGTGGGATGCGAGTGGTCGACCATCGAATCGATGCCAACTGGGGACTCCAGCGTTTCGCTAGTGTCGGATGTTCTGCCCAGTCGTTTAGGGTATGGAGGCCGCTCGCCCTTCCTTAAACTGCCCGCCTTCCTGTACTGCGTTCTCGTGGACCGCCTCAAACTGTGACCAGGGGGTGCGGGGGGGAGAATCGGTCGATCTTCCTCCGTTAATATCCGCAGACTTTGAACCCCGTCCAAGATAGAGGAATTGCTTGGAATGCGTTGTTCTGAATCGTCAGCCAGACTCCCCAGCTCTTGTAGGCTGGGACCAAGATGATCTTTATTCTGTGATCGCTTCCGTTCCAGCCGTTCTGCACCATCTGTATAACCTTGAGGATTGTCAATCTGCCTAGATAACATGGACCGTTTCCGACGAAGTGACCCATTTACCCCTTGGCCTTCCGGACTCAGCGACGAGAAATCACCCGATGTGCGTTTTATATGCTCTGCCTTGCTTTCCAGAAATGATTTGAACTCCTTCGGGGCCAGTTCCGGATGTAGACGAGCAGGGACCCAGAATAATCGAGAGGTATCATTTTCGTCGGCGGAGGGCGAGGGTGCAATCGATGGGACAGTAAAGTTGCCAAAACTCGGGAGGTCGGGATCATCAGTGGCTGCCACATCCATCGACATCCGTCGAATAGCAGCCAGGTTGCTAAGTTCTTGAGCTACGGCGGCCGGGTTGGATTCGTAGTCGAGATCGTTCGGGGGGAAGGAGGTATTTGCAGTGTCGGGAGACATGGGGGATGTGGTTGAGCTGGGGGTCGTTGGGCTAGCATCCAAAGCCTTGCCTCCAGGAACAGAAGGCCGGGTCTGGCCGTTGACGTGCGGGTGATTTCCTCCATCTAGATGATTCTGCACCTGCAAGGTATTTGAGGAGGATGAGGACCCAGAGGCAGGACGATTCTGGGGAACGATCGAGATGGATTCGCTCAATGGGGAGGAAATATAGCTGAGGCGCCTGGAATCCCGCTGGTCGTAGTCATCGTCATACATGTGGCCAATAGCCTCTGTAACATGGTGGCTTGGGTCACTAATCGACAACTGAGGCACATGGCCTCTCCGCGTCGCGTATCCTCCACCAGCCTCAGGGGAACTCGGTGAAGCCTAAATGTGGGGAGGCAGGTATTGTTAGAGACGGAGCATCAATATAAGGTTGACGATAATTAAAAAAAAAAAAAAAAAGGGGGGGGGGGGATCCCAAGGTCCATCCACTCATCCATCCCTTGGCGAGGGTGACTTGTGGCCCATCAACAGAGGCAAGATGGTATTGCAGGGGGTTGGAGATTCGAACAGATCGAAGGAGATTTAAAAAATAGAGAAAAGAAAAGAACAGTATCTCAACCGGGTCTCTGAAATAAACCACATACCTGCATGGGACCAGACTATCCGGGGAAATTTGGCAAGATCAGACCGGTAATCGGTGCAAGACCAAAAGGCGACGGAGATCACGCCTGGTGGAGAGGAGGGCAATGTACCACCAGGGCCAAAAAAACAACGAGGACAGTGGGTGATCATGGAATCATGGAATCATGGACGCGAGGGGGAGGGGGGTTCACAGCCAGGGAGGAGGGGGAGGAGGAAAGAGAGGACGACGGTTAGGCATCCGGCGACCGAAAGCGTCGTTACGGCGGATGAAGGGGTGGGAGAGCCAGGAAGAAGGGAAGGGGGAAAGAGCGAAGAGGTCGGGGAGAAAGTAAACGAAGGGGCGGAGGAAGAAGATCAAAACGATGAGGGTCAAAGGAAGGGAGAAAACGGAAAAGAGAGTCGTCAGAGGTCGTGATCACAGGCAGGTTGAGGATAGGAGGGAAATAACCAGACCGTTTGGGCAGTAGGGGATCTGGGCGGTTTATTATGTACTTGAATGTTTTTCCAGGAAGAAGTATTGAATTAAATAAATAACAGTACATGGTGTCAATCTCCTCATCCACCGGTTTTCTTATGTCTTACTTGAATAGTCTCTTAACTAATGGCTCTCCTTTGTTGTATTTTCTTCTTTTCCACCGACTTCCAGGGAGGTACACATATTTTTTATTACTTGCTTTCCCATATGGCTTTATCCCTCTCTCAACAATCCCTTCGTGTATATAGGCACTGCTATATTAGACTAACTAGTTGCCCCTCTAAGGAATAAAGATTTAGATAACTTCTTTTTAGTTCATTATTAAGGCTATCAAGAACAAAATAAGAGAACATAAAGTAGAGGAAACTTGCATAATAGATAAAACACGCAAAGAAACATGACAGAAGTATTTGACAGTGACAGAATCAATCATAATAAAAGTGGATTCTTATATTGCAAGACTGGTAGAATTATCAGTTCCTGTGAGGATCTAAAGATTATTATTCATGTTAACTAAGATATCATCTGGCTTTGCATCACCTCCTTCTTATCATACTTATATGTTCAGGAGTGGCATCCATATTAATATCTACTAAAGTACTATAAGACTCAAATGTTATTCAAGTAAAATTCTTGAACTATTAGTATTAATATGATCTTCCTGGCCTTTCACTAACTCATGCAATAGAAGGGTGCGTATATTATATAATAGGCCCATAGATTTGATATGAACTAATGCAAGTATCTCGCAATCAGCTTGCTTGCTCGCTGGAGTAAGTGGGTTTAATAAAATTGGATTGCACCAGATCCAACCAAAACTTTCTTTGGCCGTTGAGGAAGATCTCCATCTAGCTCATCCTGTAAGAATGTTACTCTCAAAGCTTCGACAGACGGAATTTCGAGGTTGAAACCAGCAGGAGATAAATTATGGGCTGCTGGTATAACGACGACACTACACTCAGAATAAGGCCAAGTTTATCTTGAAATTTTTTGGCAGGCCGGTAGAATTCGAGAATATCGTGGATGGATGACGATCAGAGACTATCTCGCTATTCTACTCAACGTAACCGGTGAGGATCGGGAGCATCCCGTCAGCATAGCTACCGGTAGTTAACCTAGGTACTCCGTAGGCTTGCGTGGGGATACAGCTCACCGTGGGAACCACCTACCTACCGACCTAGGTCTTCCAAGGTTTACTCGGTGGCACCAACATACTACATCTAATCATCATTCCTGATCTGACTCGGGAGTTTGGACGTGTTTAATGCGTTTGCTTCGTATTCGTTGTGTCAAGGTACTGTTTCCTCTGCTTGCTGTCTTTTGGCTCTACTGTCACCACTGCTTAGCTCTTCTGCTGACTCGGCCATGATTTGATCCTACAGATATCAAGCCTGCTAAACCTAAGAGATTTCATACTACTAGTCAAGACAAGCCGTAATCCACACGGTATAGATAGATCAGATTCTATGTATGCCTGGAGGCAAGGAAAGAAAAAGAAAAACGGAATAAACATTCACCAAAAATATCAGATACAGTACATAATATCAATTGTCCTTTTCGCCTAACGTAGGTATTGGTAAAACCACCTTCAAACTCCGACACTTGCGCGAGAAGGCTGAATGAGATTCTTTTTTTTTTTCGAGGCCGAACGGGAAAAGACAGGTTTCCACAGGTTTCCAATATAACTGAGAGAAAAAAAAAAAAAAAAAAAGAAAAAAAAAGAAAAGAAGAGAAGAAGAAGGGGGGTGTCTGTCATGAAGTTCATTCCGCATAAATCAACATCCTGCAATAGCCATTTAAGCTGTTTCGACGTAATTTCTAAAGAAAGAGGTCAGCAACCATTTTTTCGCTTGATCTTGCGGAGAGAAAGATATCTTACGCAGGGAATATGCCAACACGGTCGCCGATTCGCCCTGTCCACCAATCCTCCTTCTTTTCTGTACGTTTGACGATCGTGATCACATCGCCCTTCTTGAAGCCCAAGTCGCCATCCTGGTCGGCATCGAATGTGAATAGCGCGATAGCTTGGTCATCGCGCAGCGATGATTGCCCGGTTCGTTGACCAAAAACAGGCTTGGGTGCCGTGGGCCGGCTAGGTTTTCGATCCGAGTACACATAGTCGTCTTCATATCCACTAGCAGTATTACTACGCGAGCGGCCATAGCTGTCCAAGGTATCGTTGCGGTCACCGGCATAGCGGCCGGTGGATGAACGGCCTGGCCCTCCAGCAGGGCGGTCATAGACATCGTCTGTCCATGTATTCGCGCGGCGAGGACGATCGCGGTATTCATAGTCATCCGACGAGTCGTTGGGTCCCCTTCGATCGCGCCGAACACCCTCTCCATATGCATCTCCCCGGCGGCCCTCCCAGACAACATCGTCGTGACGGTCATCATAGACGGGGATATCATTGTACATATCTCCGGCCCGGCGCGAATTGCCTTGAAAGGCCCGCGAATTCAACACGCTCATCAGAGGTTCCGCAGCTGGTGGAGGTCGAATGGTACCGCTGAGAAGTTGGGAAGCAGACACTCGGCTGCTATAAAGCCTTTCATTGGCGTCCTTGCGCTCAACCAGCATACTTCCTTCCAAACTCACACCAGCAAAGAGACCTTTGGTTTTGGAATAGGAAAAGACAGCCGCCACGCCTTTGGTGCTTGCAGCACCGGCGGCTTCTGCATTCCGTCCAACCGGACCAGCGGCGATGGAAACGTTGCCCCCCAGAGTCAGAGTTCCCACCTGAGAGAATGTACGGACAGCAGCAGCATCGTTCAGAATGAAGACGAAGTCTGTCAGCTCAAACCCAATTTGACCACCGAATCCCGCACCGGCAGTCGCAATCGCGGAGGGCGCAGACCATGTGCCATCGGCTAGTCGGGCGACGACGATACCGGAGCCAAAGCGACCAGAGCCTATAAATCCAGCCTTGAAGACCGTAAGAATAGCGAGACCCTAAGAACACGAGTGTGTAAGTCCGTATCGTATGCCACTGCCGCAACCAGATTGCATTGCCATACCTTAGCCCCAGCCAAAATCTCAGGTGGGATGACCTTTTCGGGACCAAACGCTTGTCGCGGGTCGACAAAGGATACGAGGATTTTACTAGCTTTCTTGCATTCGCCTATTCAACGAGAAGAGGGATTTCCAGTCAGTTCGTGCTTTACTGGGCTGCTTCGCAAGATAAGTGCGGGGAAGCCGGGAGGCACAGGAAAGACATACTTGATAGGGACGAAGGCAGCGGGTTATGGATCCCGAGAGGCATTTTGAATACGCTCGCCGGAATATACAAAGGAAGAGGTGACAGGAGGAGGTTGATTCCCGATAGAAGCAAAGATGAACGAACGTTCTGGTCGCACAAAGCTCGGGGGAGGAGACTTGGTCAAATGGGGGCGACCGGAAGTGGAGCTAATAGTGGGCGCTGACTCTTAGTTATGGTTCGCAAACGATCAAAGATGACAGATGAGGCTCCAGGCGATACAGGGAACATAGAAGAACCCTTCAAAGCCCCCGATGAGAAGGATATGTTCAATTTGTAAAGAAAAACAACCCTCGGCTGTATTTAAGCAACCCCCTGCAACTCACCTGGCAGTTGGGCGACCGAACGATGGCGGCGGTTGCGTTGGTGGTATATAAGAAAGTGGCTGGGTCGATGAAGGCGTGGGTTTGTCTTACTCCTGTTACATCATTCGCAAACTCGTAATCCAGTGGTAAAAACACCCTCTTCACGAATTAAACGTCAACCCAGCCATAGGCACGGTTGAGCTTTCTATTCTTGTTCGATTCCGGTCACGCATTGAGTGGTTCGAAGGATGCGTTTCTGTGGTTGGTCGGTTGGAGCCTGAGGCTGCAGCAGATAGCACAGCCACCGTCCGAAACTCTGGGGATCAACCATGTTCAAAAACAAGCACAAGCACCACTGAGTGGCCATTCCGGTTCCCATTGTCTGTCTGTATTTGCTGTGAATGTTTGTGGGGTTATATTTTTTTTTGGCAATGATTTGAAGAAGCTGAGGCTCTTTATGACTGCCTCATCCAATAATTGAAATGGCTACAGGTTGGGATTCAGCTTTACCTATTCCCTACCGGGCGGCTCACTGACACCTCCCCAGTCCGAATCTGCGTATGTGGCGATGAGGGCACTGGAAAGTCGAGCCTCATCACCTCGCTTGTGAAGGGTGTTTTTGTCACGAACAAGATTCAACCTATCCTTCCACAAATTACCATTCCTCCTACGATCGGAACCCCCGAGAATGTCACGACGACGACAGTGGTCGACACTTCCGCTCTCCCGCAGGAACGGACCAATCTGGCCAGAGAGATCCGAAAGTCGAATGTAATTCTGCTGGTATATTCTGATCACTATAGCTATGAGAGGGTGGCGCTTTTCTGGCTGCCATATTTCCGGTCCCTGGGTGTCAACGTCCCCGTCGTGCTCTGTGCCAACAAGTCCGATCTCGCGGCAGACCATACTGAAACGCAGGTCATTGAGGAAGAGATGTTACCATTGATGTCGGAGTTCAAGGAGATTGATTCGTGTATTCGCGCGAGCGCTCGCGAGCATCGCAATGTCAACGAAGCATTTTTCCTCTGCCAAAAAGCGGTTACCCATCCCATCGCCCCGTTGTTCGATGCCAAGGAGTCCTCCTTGAAGCCGGCAGCGGTCGCAGCATTGCAGCGCATTTTCTACCTCAGCGACAAGGATCGTGATGGCTACCTCTCGGACAAGGAGATCAAGGAGTTCCAGATGAGATGCTTTGAGAAACCCTTGAGCGAAGAGGACCTGGTTCATATCAAAGAGACGATTCTGAAGACGTACCCGAATTCCGTGACGCCGTCAGGCATTGACTGCCGTGGGTTCATCCATCTGAATAAAATGTATGCTGAGAAAGGACGTCATGAAACGGTTTGGATTATCCTTCGCGCATTTCAATATACGGACAGCCTTTCGCTACAGGAAAGCTATCTCCACCCGAGGTTCGAGGTCCCACCTTTCGCATCGGCCGAACTGTCTCCTGAGGGCTATCGGTTCTTTGTCAATCTTTTCCTCCTCTCCGACAAGGATAACGACGGCGGGTTGAACGATACTGAATTGGCATCTCTATTTGCTCCTACTCCGGGGTTGCCGGCATCCTGGGCGGACGGGTCGTTCCCGTCATCAACCGTCCGAAACGAGGCTGGTCACGTTACCCTTCAGGGCTGGCTAGCACAATGGAGTATGACCACATTTACGTCCCCCAAAACGACCCTAGAATATCTGGCATATTTAGGATTTGAGTCGTCAGACCGCAGCAATCCCTCTACAACGGCTGCACTCAAAGTCACTCGCCCCCGAAAGCGTAGAAAGCGCCCTGGGCGGGTGGGTCGCAACGTGGTCCTGGCTCACGTTCTGGGGTCTCCTGGTTCGGGCAAGTCGGCTCTGCTTAACGCTTTCTTGTCTCGCGGGTTCAGTACAACGTACCACCCTACCATCCAACCCCGAACTGCAGTGAATACCGTCGAACTGCCAGGGGGTAAGCAGTGCTACCTCATCATGGACGAGCTCGGAGAGTTGGAACCTGCGATTCTAGAAAACCAAGTGAAACTCTTAGACCAGTGCGATGTGATTGTATATACGTACGATTCATCCGACCCCGACTCCTTTGCATATATTCCCACACTCCGAGCCAAGTACCCACACCTGGAAGAGCTCCCGAGTGTTTTTATTGCACTGAAGGCCGACTTGGATCGGACTACTCAACGGGCGGAATACCAGCCCCATGAATACACCGCCATGCTCAATATGTCCGGACCTCCCCTTCACGTGAGCGTTACCTGGAATTCGATCCAGGAGGTGTTTGTTCACATTGCAGAAGCAGCTATGGAACCTAGCATCGCATTTCCCCGGAGTGAAGAGGACGTCGAAGGCAAATGGATGTCATGGGGAATCGCACTGGGAGCGGTGGTCTGCGCGGGAGCTGCTGCGGTGATGATCTGGCGGAGAGTTAGTGGCAGTGGTAGTGGTAGTGGTAGTGGGGTTTGACGAAACGATACCCAAGACGCTTATATCTGGATTTTTTTTACTATCCATCAATCCGTAGAGGTAGTGTAGAGTAACTTAATTAGGTACAACTATACTCCTTATTGTGCCTTTAATATAGCCAATGTTCTCTCACCCGCACTATTTTCAATAAACGACAATGCTTTTACTAGTGACTATAGTATAGTCTGCCCCACGCCCCAAACTACGCCCCAACCAACCAGTATTCATAATGATTGCTGGGTCCCCCTTTGAACCCCAGAAAATCGTTGTCTGCCGCCTGCCGTGAGTCCGATCGATCATCCTCTCTCTCTCTCTCTCTCTCTCTCTCTCCCTCTTTTCCTCTCTGCTCCTCCTCCACTCTCTTGTCTCCTGCCTCTGACTGTTCTGGGGTATATCATCTGTATTACATCTTTTATTATCACTATCCTTCTCGTCTCTCCTCTCCTCTCCTCTTCTCCTCGCAAAACCCCCACGTACCTAACAGTCGGGGAGCCCGCCAGCCCTGTGCCACTTTAGCAACCCACCAACACTCATTATCAGCTGGGTATTGTCGCATAAGTCTTAAGGTGTCTGATTGCAGCACTCAACCCGACACCCATTCTTTATTTGATACGCATCCAACTTGGCTGTTGCAAGCTGGCACCCTGCCCGATCCGCTGTTTGAAGCGATCTGTCGCACTGCTGCGTGATCGGCCAGTCACAGCTTTATCACTCCCTCGTGTACCTGCCCTTTAAAAGCTATTTGTTCTACCTGTACTTTCTCTCTCACTCTCCACTATGTTGTAAGTAATTTCCCTCCATTTCGCTCTCGGTTATCAGCGCAAGCATGGGGGGTTCCTTATCTCGCATGTGTATTTTCGCTCGGCTCGGGATTTGTTGTAGGCCCAAGAACGGCCGACCGATTTCTATCCCCAAGCTTCCTCGATCGATTTCATAATAATGCGCTACTTATTCTTCTGCACCTCACGCTGAGTATATTTATTAGTGTTCTTCCGCCACCGCCGCCTCGCTATACCGTTCCCGTTGCATATGCAGCCGGAGCCTCGAACGGTATGGCAGTTCCCATCGTGGAGACAAATAACATCATAAGCCACCCAGAAGGGGGCTGTCCTCTGCAGGTTGGAGAAGGTGTGTTTTTATTTCTTATTGCAAAACAGTGCCAGTGCGCCAGCGCACTTCAGTTGGCGCAGCTTCTTCGCAGGCCATATCACTAATGTTGGAAATGTCTGCAGGAACGTACCATCTCAAGGACGACCTGCATCTGGCTACCCCTCCTCCGCACCCATCCGAAGCGCCTATCGTGAATCCGAATCCCCTAGCTACTGTTCCTACCCCTCCGACTTCAGGCGTCAAAGTATCACTAGCTAGTCTCGGCCCTCGAAACAAGAATGTCTTTCCTTCCAAAACGCTGGTCACCGCACTCCCATTTGGCGATGGCAACGGTGCTTTGGCGCCTCCTGTCACGAAGGATCCAAAGAAGCGGAAGCCAAAAAATAATATTGTTAAGAGCAGCTCGTCGTTCGTATCGCGGGTTATTACCCATGAAGCTACTACGAAACGCCTGAATGATCGGGATTCAGAAGGGCTTTTCGCCTTTGCCAACATCAATCGTGCATTCCAATGGCTCGATCTTAGTTCTAAGCAAAAGGATGAACCACTTGCCAAAATTCTCTTCACTAAAGCCCATGTAATAAGCCACGATGTCAACGAGTTAACAAAAAATCCCACGCACATCGATGTGGTTATGGGGTCGTCAGCTGGTGATATCATTTGGTACGAACCGATATCCCAGAAATATGCTCGAATCAACAAGAACGGAGTCGTTAACAACTCTCCGGTAACCCACATCAAATGGATTCCGGGGTCCGAAAACTTCTTTATGACTGCTCACGCCAACGGTCAAATAGTCGTGTATGACAAGGAAAAGGAGGATGCTCTCTTTGCCCCGGAACTCACTGAGAACTCAGCAGATGCAGGGAAGCCACCATACCAGTCACTGCAAGTGTTGAAGTCCGTCCACTCCAAGAACCAAAAAACCAATCCAGTCGCAGTCTGGAAACTCGCCAATCAGAAAATTTCCCAGTTTGCCTTCTCCCCTGACCAGACACACTTGGCAATTGTCCTAGAGGATGGGTCTCTGCGAGTGATGAACTATCTGAGAGAGGAGTAAGTTCTAGATGTAAATTTAAGCCATATCACGCCGATATTCAGCTAACCGAATTTTAGGGTATTAGATGTCTTCCGAAGCTACTACGGCGGGTTGATCTGTGTATGCTGGTCGCCAGATGGAAAGTACATGGTGACCGGTGGGCAAGACGATCTACTAACAATCTGGTCCTTCCCGGAGCGCAAGATCGTCGCTCGATGCCAGGGCCATAATTCATGGGTGTCTGCTGTAGCTTTTGACCCGTGGCAATGCGATGAGAGGACATATAGATTGGGCAGTGTCGGTGATGATTGTAGGCTATTGCTTTGGGATTTCAGCGTGGGCATGTTGCACCGTCCGAAAACTGTATGTTTTGCAGTGTGCTTCCATTTGCTACACACATATGCTAATATTAGGGACAGCTTCACAGCACTCGCCAGCGATCCAGCATGGTTGCTTCTAGTACACATGTCAGCCGTCATCGCGCTGATAGTGCAGGCAATCGAATGAGGTCAGATTCTCAGCGTACAGCCCCAGATACGGAAAACCCGTATGACCAGACTATCCACCACCCCGTTGAGGCTAGGGCACGCACCGCTCTCTTGCCTCCCATTATGGTTTGTAGTTTTATTCCTTTTTCAATTTAGCCCATTCTGACCTTAGCAGTCTAAAATCGTAGGAGAAGATCCTATCTGTTGGCTGGGATTCCAAGAAGACACCATCATGACATCGTCGCTGGAAGGTACGTTCGCCAGCCCCTCCCCCATATTCCGCATGTTTTTATTCTCCCCATTGCAGCCATTAACATATCAACTTTCAGGCCACATTCGTACCTGGGATCGTCCCCGAGAAGGTATTAACGAGAGTTACGGTAATGCCTCATCACCTGCACTCGAAACCAGCGCGACTAGGTCTAGATCCAGCCATGCAGACTCGGCCATGGGATCATTTTGACCGTGTCTATCTTTCTGTCAGTAATATCTTGTAAATATGTACATATGTATCAGATATACCCTTGCATAATTTAAGCCTGTTTACGATTCTTTCATTGGTGTCAACTAGGTACTATTGAAGTTTTCGTTTAATGATGTATACCTTTTTCGTTTTCAGTATCATATCCCAACTAGTCTTTCGTACAAAAATCTAGGTATTAATGGGTTGTAAATGATGCCAGTAGCTAGCAACCCATTTCCTGCCTTACGTTCTGAGAGTATATATATCCCTTACACCAAAACTTTCGCCTTCGTTGCTAAATACCACAACATACAAGGGAAATAAATATACGGATTGCCAAAGAATGAGAGAAAGTCAACCACTACCCTGAAGCTTTAAGAACTTTATGCTGAAAATGGTCTCTTCCTCCATACATAATAAGGCAAGGATAGCTGTTGTTCAACAAATATCGGAATATTGTTGTGCCGAACAGTGGACGCGGCGTGGCATCAATAATTCGGGATGCAGAGTGTATTGACAGCTTTCCACGACCCCTTTGACCACCACAACAATCCCACTCCACAATGGGGAATTCCCGGCTTACAATGAGGTCGGCCCTCGGACTTCTCTTTCTTTTATTTGTCCAGATTTCCTCCGCACTCAAGTTCGACCTTATTTCTGGAAAGGGCGAGAGATGTATACGCAACTTTGTGCTCAAGGACCAGCTTGTCGTTGTGACTGCCATTGTAAGCGGCGACAAGGGCGATGGACAGATGGTTAATATCCATGTATGTTGACTCTTATAGCGTCAAGAATTCAGGAGTTAGATGTGGAACTGGGCTTCTGCATCGCGGCATTTTGTCGTTTTGGATCTTGCTCCCCGGCGAAGAGGTTATGAACTAATTATCTTTCCGAAACAGATCAAGGATGCATTAGGGAATGACCACGGACGTCCAAGGGATGTTGTTGGTGAGACTCGCCAGGCCTTCACTTCTCCCGCGGATACTGCCTTCGATGTTTGTTTTGAGAACCTGATGGTATCTCGACGTGAGTTGCACCCTTCCCCCCCCCGGGCCATTTTATTGGTGCTAATTGGTCCCGAAATAGGAGGCATTGCGAACCCTCATCGCTCGATCGAACTCGACGTTGATATTGGCGCCGATGCCCGTGACTGGTCCAGCATCCAAGCTCAGGAGAAGCTCAAGCCCATCGAAACCGATCTCCGCCGGATCGAGGAAATGGTCGGTGAAATCGTCAACGAAATGGAATACCTGCGTGCCCGTGAACAGAAGCTCCGAGATACTAATGAAAGCACCAACGAGCGTGTGAAGTGGTTTGCATTCGGAACCATGGGTATGCTTGTTGGACTGGGTGTCTGGCAGGTGGTCTACCTGCGGGCTTACTTCCGGTATGTACCTCCCGCCCCAGCTCACGAAAAATCCGATCCTCGTATACTGACAGCTCTCTGTTTTAGGTCTAAGCATCTCATCTAATTTTATCTCTTTGGGGCCTTCCGTTATGGCTAGACGCGGGCGCGAGTGGTGGTTTCTATATGCTTATGACAAAACATGGAGTTTTCAATGCATTTCTTGCGTGCCTTCAACCTTATACGGTCTCGAATACTTATCGCGGTATATTGTTTGAATACTCATGATTACTATGATGACTATACACATGGCGACTGGAATCGGGGTTCTGTTCCATTGTAGGATTCATGCTTCGTAGACGAACAGACGAGCTTTCATGTAAAGTCCCAGAGCCTATGATATATAACTCACAGAATCTCTGTAATTCATGAATATATCCTCTCCATTATCATCTAGGAGTATTAAAATTCTACTCTTGTCAATCCCGCATATATACTGGAAAATGTCTGGCAACACTTGGCACTCTCCTTCTGTTCTAGTGCTAAGACGGGGCCATGCATCAGGTGATCACTGACTATAAGCCTGGGCCAGTCAGAAACCTCCTTGATAAGAAAGATACAAGCTTTACAACCGCTCCCCTGAATGAGGCAGCTACGTTTTTATTGTTTTTATTGGCCAGATTTAAGGATTTTGGTAAATAGTTCTGAAAAGTCAGCATGTTGGTACTATTTCAAGATTGTCGTAGAATATTTTTCTAGGCTTTTCCGACCTTCGTTGTCCAGGTTCGGGTATTGTCTGAGATTGCACATATCCGTCCAGAATAACTTCGCATCTTCATGCGCCTCATCATGTATACCTAGGCGCTCTCGTAGTAACTTTTTCCATTCGACGTCCATTTTTGTAAATCCGAAAGAGGCAGAGACATACTCGTACCAAATAGGAAAGAAGGCAGCATACTCCCAATCGAGGATACTGACAACCTTCCCATCTTGGATCATGATATTTCCCAAGTTGAGATCGCAGTGAGTAAGTACATAGGGCTCACATTTCGGGAGACGCCTTCTCAGATTCTGCAAAACTTGTTGTGGGAGGTGACTCAGGTTGACGGCAAGAGCATCCCAGAGCTCTTGGTCAGAGTGAAACGGTCCACGGGGCTCAAGATCGAAAAACAATAAGCCTGGATAGCATGGACTCTGATCAACACACTGAATTGAGCTTGAAGTCACAGATCGCAGCTGCTTGCGCACTCCAACGACTTGATCTGCGATTTCTATTCTTTGCGCCTCTGACAAAGATGCCCATGTCTCCTCAAGTGTCTGACCGCCAATACGTTCGTTCAAAACGAAGTATCGCCCATCTCGATCGACCCAGTCGCGTAAGACCTTGGGGACGGGAATTTCGGTATGTGTCGCTAAGTAATTCAAAGTTTTGACTTCGACTTTTGCCTTTGGGCCCTCGTCGGGTCGGTCTTTCAAAATCACATCTGATCCGATGGACCAAACACCCCGAGTAGATGCACCGTAGAAGAGTTTGAGATGGCTCGTGTAATGGCAACGCTTTTCTTTATCCGCTGTCCATCCGCATGCGGTACAACCCTTCTCGGGCACTTCAGCCATTGCAGATAGTTAAGCAGGTCAATTGTTGCAAGAGACGGTTTATAGTATTGGAAGAAACAGAAATATCAGACTAACCGCGTCATTCTTAGCGAACAGGTCTGACCGCCATTAAATCGGGGATACAGCTCGGCGTGGGTAGAAAAAAACTCTGCATGGGTAGAACCCTAGAATGGATTAACTCTTGGTATGGGTAGAGATTCTACCCATAATAAGATTAGCCTATACTAGCTCTATCTATAATAAGCTATTTATCTAACTATAATAGGATTTTATTTAAGATTACCTACTATTATATTAAAATTTACTACTATTATTCTATATTATTAATATAAAGGCTAATTCTGTCACGGCGGGCAGGCTGGCAGTAGGTGTAGCTAACAGTAGGGTATATATTTAGGCTATCTATGTATAGGTCTAATAGGTAAGGATTAGATTAAGATAAGGATATAGCTTGAAGAGCTATAATAAGATTATGAGTAATATAGCTTAAATATAGGAATAAAAGTAAATAATTAAAGTAAAATCTTAATTAAATAAATATATAATTATACTATAATAATATTCTTTTTTTTAGGCTAAACTTTAGTAAAGTGTCATGGCGTGAAGCTATATCCATGCCTTTCTGCCCACCTAAACCACTACCTACTTTAGGTGCGCCATATATTCTTTGCAATCACACATTCTTTGCAATTTTTAATATTTTAACTTATTTTTATTATTATTATAATATAATATACCTAAATCTCTAGATTTTAATAAATCTTGCTTGCTTGAAGCTATTACCATAATTAAAAAGTAAAAAAAACTAAATATTATAAAGATTATATAAGAATTTAATATATCTAACTCTATACTCTAAACATGCCTTAAAAAACTAAAGATACTAGTAATACTAATAATAATAAATAAGAACCTTCTATAGCTATATTAGAAGAAGGCCTTAATTAACTAGATTATATAAATATAGAAATAGAACATCCTACTAATTCTTATAGTTATTGCAGCATAAACTATATAGGAAGGCAGAGTTCTTAAAGATTATCTAGCTAATCTATAACTAGACCTTTTTATAATAAATTATTCAAGATACCTTTAAAGAATATAGTATCTAGCTAGTTAATAATACTAAAATTATTAAAAAACTAGTAAATTAGATAAATATACTAAATATATTAATTAACCTTTATTAAACCCTATCTCTATTACTATTACTATCCTCTAGTATTAAAAACAGTCCTCTAGTAATAATAAAGGCTCTTCTAAAGAATTAGGTAAAAATTATAAAGAAACTTGATAAGATATCTAATTAAGTAAGATAGAATATATTAAAATTCTTTTAATATTAGGTAGAGAAGCTAGAGGAGCTAAAAATAATTTAGAAAGTAATTTAAAGGATTAGAGCTATATAAGAGCCTTAATACTAGGTTTATATTAAGTACTAGATTAAAGGTCTATCTAGTAATAAGATTCTAAGAATTTATAATATTATTTAATTAATTAAAGATAGGAAGGCAAAGGATACTAAATATAAATAAAGAAAGTTAATAAAGTAAAAAAAGAAAGTATATAGTTTTCTATTCTTTCTATACTTATAAGAGTTAATTTAAAGAGAAATTAATAATATAAGATATATTAAAGAAGCTAGAGAGTTTTTTTATTTTAATTACTAATATTATTATTATTATATAGCTTCAAATATTAAAAAAATCATAAAGAATATGTGATTGCGAAGAATATGTGGTGCACCTAAAGTAGGTAGTTGTAAGCGTCTCGCTGGCGAGGCGCTTGGGTATGGGTAGTGTTGGTAAAGGAAGCAAAGCTACATAGAGTATAAGGGTAGTAGGAAGGTATTAGAAGTAATAAAATAAAGTACTTACCTCTTAGTATTTTAAGAGATTATTATATTATTATTTATATTATCTAGTTAAGTTACTAGTATAGTATAAATAATTTAAATATTATTATTTTTTTAATTATTCTTAATTACTTAATATATAGTTTAATATATAATTTAGTATATAATTATATATTATATAATTACTATAATAATTATTTTTTTTTTTCTTAATAGTATATTTACATACTATATATACTATATCTAATCTAGTTTAATATCCTATCTAGAAGGAGCTAGTCCTAGTTAGTATAATATAACTTACTTTTTTATTTAATACTAGAAATAATAATAATATATATAATATTATTTTTATTAATTATATTTTATTAAATAAAATATAAATAATATTATATTTTACTTTAAATAAAATAATAAATAAGAATAAGTAATTTACTAGATATATTAGTAATAAATAAAAATATTATTATAATATAAATATTATAAAAAAATACTTCTTTATATATATATTTTCTAGCCTAATTTATATTTTAAAAAGACTTTTTTAATAAATTAATATATTATTTTAAATAAATTATTATTACTTAAATATTATAATAATAATTAATCTATATTATAAACTTTATAACTTTTTTTAAATATTTTTTATTAAATACTATACTAGCTATATTCTTATAAAAGAGAATTTATTTAATTATTATTATTTCTTTTTTTATAAATATCTTTATTTTAGTAATATAAATCTATTATACTAATTATTTATAAGTTCTTATAATAAACTTTTCTATATTTATATTAATTATAATATTTATAATTCTTACTATTACTAGTATATTTTTTATAATTTTTATTATTATTATTTTATTATTTAATAAGACTATATTTCCCTTATTCTCTATAGCTATTCCTAATATTATAATAACTCCTACTATCTCTTCCTTTACTTCTTCTACTACAGTAACTCTAGCTACTCTAGCTACTATTATTATACTAGCTCCTATTATTATACTAGCTCTTATTATTATACTAGCTTCTATTATTATACTAGCTCTAGTTATTCTTACTACTACTATAATTCTAATTACTCTAGCTATTCTAGTTATTCTTACTAGCTTATTTACTATTATATAAATACTATATTACCTATATTATATTAAATTTTAGTAATATATAAATAATAGCCCTATAAAAATTTATTTCTATATATATTTAAATCTAGATGTCAGGGGGCAGAGTTGGATTCAGATATTCATTGACTAGGAGCTAACCAGACAGAATAGCAGAATAGTAGGTACCAGGTAATAGATAGGATATAGCTTGAAGAGCTATAACAGGATTAAGGATAATATAGCTTAAATATAGGGATAAGAGTAAATAATTAAGGTAGAATCTAACTAGATAGGTACTATAGCTTTATGTTATAATAGTACTTCCCCTCTTAGGGTCAAGCTCTATTAAGACTAAGGAGGAATTAGCTGGGGTTTCTTAGAATAATAGAGATAGTAATTATTTATTAATTAATAAGTATTCTCTAAATATTTAGTAAGCTCTTTAATTAGCTTATTATATTTAATTTATTTAATAATATATTATAATTTAGATTTATTATAATTTTAATAAATTTATTAAGAATTAAGAACTTCTTTAATTTCTTATTCTTTTAATTCTTTTACTTTAATAAGTAATAATAAATTAAGATATTAACTAAATAAAGGATTATTAGTAATAGAATAGAGTAAAAATATATTAAATATAGAATAAATTCTTATATTTTTAGATAATTTAAGTTTATAAGTATATAGGCTAATAATTCTTTTAATATAATATAATTTAAAATTTTTCTAGTCTAATTTTTTTTATAGGTAGAGTATTTAAATATTATAAATATCTAGCTAGACTTCTTACCCTATAATATAGTAATATATAGGTTATCTTTAGTAATTAGCTTATACTTTATAATAGGCTTAAGTAGATAAGATCTTAGTATAGATAAATTTATAAATTTTATATATAATATTAATAAACTTCTTAATATTTTTTTTAATAAGATAGATAGTAAGATAATTTAATTTAAATCTTAATATTAAATAAAATCTATAATTAGCTATAAATAGTAATACTTTTATAAACTTAGAGTAAATAAAGTTAGTAGTAAATTTAATTATTAATAATTATTTAAATTAATTATCTTATAAATATAATATATATACTTATAAATATTATTCTAGAATAGTATTAATATATTTAGTTTAATTATTAATTTTAAAGTAATAAATAATAAATAATAGATTATAAATTTTTAAATAAGATATTAGGTATTTTTAAAAAATAATAATAAATTAGACTTTATAATCTAATATAATTATTTTAGGAATATTATAAAGCTTTTAAATATATTTAAGATATAGATTAGCTATTTTTTTAGTATTAATTATTCTAGTATAAGGAAGGAAGTACTTTATCTTTATTAAATAATTAATTATAATTAAAATAATATTATAGCTATTACTTAATAATAAATATATAATAAAGTCTATATTTATATTTTATTAAGTATATTTAAAAATTAGTAAAGGCCTTAGTATTCCTTACTTTATTTTTTAGAAAAAAATAATTTAATAGTAGAAGTAATAATTCTAGACTTATTAATTAATATATTTATAGATTCTAGATTAGAAATATTTATATAATATTAATTTATATATTTTAATTTTTCTAGAATATTTAATAATAGAATTTTTATAATAAAGTTTTAATATTTTAATTTTTATCTTATTATAATTAAATATATAAAGTTAGTCTTAATATTTTAGATATAAACTAGTATATCTATAGTTAACTAGTATAATATTAGGGTATCTTAATAGATTATTCTTTAGAATATTTAGAATAGACTAGAGCTTCTTATCTTATAGATAAGCTTTATTAAATAGTAGTTATAATATTAGTAGTAAGGAGATTAATTTATTAGTAGTAAGTTATTTAGTAAAATATATTTAATATTAATTATTAGTATTTAGTCTTAGATTAGTAGTAGTCTTAGGTAATAGATTTTTAGATTTTAAGATAGTCTAGCTCTAATAAAGAAGTTATTTATTCCCTTTCTTAAGTAGGTTCTCTAACCTCCTAGTTAGTATATTAGGCTTAGTACCTAACTTTCTAGAATAGTAATATATTTAAAAGTTAAATCTTAATAGAAATTTAGAT